CATATATATATTGCGTTGGTACGTACCCTTATCATATAATTATTATAAAAGTAATTATTTAAGTATTTGTTATAAAAGAAAAATCTTATATCGATTAAAGTTTAAATAGTTTTAAAAAATTATTAAAAAATATATAAAATATCGATTTAAATATTTAATAAAAGAAAGTTATTTTATGAATTTTAATAAGTAAAGTTTTTTATTATTAAAGTATTGGTAATAACGGTTTGGTTAAATATTAAAATTAAATTTGGATTTTTAATAAATAAAATATTAAGGAAGAAATAATATTACGACATTATGATAATTTATTCGTAGGATATTTCCATATTAAATGTATATATAAACTTTTTGTAAAAAAGTATTATTAAAGAAATATAAAGATTAAAATTTAAGAATAGATTAAAGATTATAAGATTTATTAAGGCTTTAAAGTATTTAAGTATAAACTTTATAAAGATCTTAAATTATTCCTTTTATTTTAAGGTTTTTAAAAGGAATTAAGTATGGATTTTATTATTAGATTTTTGATAATATGGTATAAAGGAAAAAAGGTTAATGTAATATTTGTTATGATAAATAGGTATATGAAAATAATAAAGTTTATATTTATAAGTATAGATATTATAATAGCCGATTTAATCGAATTATTAAAAAAATATATCTTTTTTAAATATGATATATTAAATAGCATTATTATCGATAAAGGTTTTATTTTTATAAATAATTATTAATTAAAATTATGTTTTTATTTTTAAGTAAAACGTTGATTATTTATTACATTTTATTTTTAAATAAATGGTTAAATAAAGAAAGTTAATTAAGTTGTTAAAAATTATTTACGTTATTTTATTAGAGACGAATAGGTTAATTAGCTAATATTATTATTATAAGTATAATTTATATATAATAATGTAAATAATGCGATAATAGGTATATTATTTTTTATGGTATTTATGGGTTATTATTTAATAATTTAAGTTAACGTTAATGATAATATTTAAAAAGGAAATATATTAGTAGTATGCGATCGAGTGATTAAGTTAAAGATAATTTATAAAAAGGTAAAGAATTATTAAAAATATATAATTAAATATTAAATTAAGTATTATAATAAATATTATAAGTTATTTATATTTAATATAAGATTTTTAATAAGATTTTTTATTAAAAATATTAAGCTTAAAAAGATTAAGTCGAAGTTTATACTTAAGTTTATTAAATCTTTAAAAGTATTAAAATTAATAAGCCTTTTTATATATCGATTTATATTTTTTAATAAATATATAAGATTATATAATATATTTGAGTTTTGCTATTTGCACCCCATAAAATTGCTATCAAAGCTTATCCGCACCTTAGTACATAAAAAATTAGCGTTTAAGGGCCGTTGGTTTGAGTTTTTTACCTAGCTTTTATTAATAAATCTAATATAATTTTAGACTTAGGAATCTAATTGAGGTGTATCTAAGGTTATTAGAATTGTCTTAATTAGAGCTTTTAAACGATATATGTTTCAAATTGACGCGATAAGTAATTATAAAGTTATTTAGAAAAGAGTGAAATAGATGTTTTGCCGTTAGTATAGCGCTAGCTGGCATTACGCGATGCATGGACTACTTTAATTTGTACCATTTTTAAGGTGTTTTTTGATTTTTGAATTCAAATAATTTTGTAACCATTAATTGCATCAATTTGAAACATATATCATTTGGGCTGTTTAATTGAGCTAATTTGAACGATATTAAATGTGCTTTAATTAAAGTCTTAAAATGGAAGTTATGTTAGATCTTTTGATTGAAGCTAGGTGGAGAGTTTGGACTAATGATGTTTAAACGTTAAGCTTTTAATGTACTGGGGTGCGGATAAGTTCTGATAGTAATTTTATGGGGTGCGGATAGCAAGACTTATATATTTTCCGTTTTATTATTAAAATTTTAATATATAAAAAAAAGGAAATAAGTTATTAGATTTCTTATAAATGTTAAAATTAAAAAACGATAATAAGGAATAAAAAGTAGAAAAAATTATTAAAAAAAGAAAATATTAAGGATAAATGTTATATTTAATTAAATGGGTTAAATGGTTATTAGAATATAATTAATAAATAAATAAGGATAATATGGAAAACTTATAAAAAAAATTTAATTTTTCGAAAAAAAACAAAAAAAAAAGGAATAAAAGAAACATAAAACGAAATCGGAAAATATATAAGATAATAATTAAAACGATCGCATTTAAAAGAAGGGAATAATTATAAAGCTTTAAAACCTTATAAGGCCCTTTAAGCCTTATAAATCTCATAAGCTTTAATGTTTTAAATATTATATAATCTTTTTTTATAAAATATAAAATTATTAAGCGTTAATAAATAAAAATAACTTTTTTTTTATTTCTTAAGCTTTAAATTAAATATATTCTTATTTGCATATTAACTTTACCTGGTCCCACTTTTATAATTATTAAGTATTAATAAATAAAAATAACTTTTTTTTTCACTTTTTAAGCTTTAAATTAAATATATTTTTATTAATATATTAATTTTATTTAATTTCACTTTTATAAAAATAATTTAATATAAAAATATTAATTTACGATTTTTATTTATTTATTATAAAATTAAATAAACGTTTTAATTTAATCGAAATATAAATTAATAACACTTTTAATGTTTTCGATAAATAATTTGAGTTTTGCTATTCGTACCACCTCTTTTTGCTATCGGGGCTTATCCGTACACCCAGTACATCCCCTAAAACTTTAAATCCGGGCCTTATCTAGCGCCCCCAGCTGCCCCCATCAATTCAATCCAAATAACTCTCTGAAACATATAGCTACAAACATGCAACCGAATTCAAATGAAAGCGCATTCAATTACCAATTGATTGATACAGGTCTCAATTTGAGGCGATAGGTGGTCGCAGAGTTATTCAAGTAAATACGTGGCATCCTGGGTGGCACGTGATCACCCTTAAAGCCACACTAAGAGCTCTTAGTGCCACGCTAAGGGCCCTTGGAGCCGCCTAAGAGCCCTAGAGCCGCCTGGGCCACGCTAAAGAGTGCCACGTGACCCCCCTCGATACAATTACCAATATAACTTTTCAACCACATATCGCCTCTGTTCGGGGTTTATATCAATCAATTGGTAATCAAATGCTCATTCAATTGAATTTGGTTGCATCGTGGTGGGACATGTAATTGAGAAGTTATTCAAGGTTGAAACTGTTGAATAAGGTTTGGGTTTAAAGGGTCCAAGGGCGCTAAGGGCCCTTAGTGTGGCCCTAAGGGCTGTCACGTGCCTCCCGGGCTGCCATCACTTTCTTGAATAACGCTGCGACCGAGTATCGCCACAGTTCGAGAGCTATATCAATCAATTCGAAATTGGACGCGCTTTCAATTGGTTTTGGTTGCACCATGGTGCGACATGTGGTTGAAAAGTTATTTGGATTGAATTGATGGGGGCAGCTGGGGGCGCTAGGGGCGCTAGGGGCGCTAGATTAGCCCTGGATTTAAGGTTTTAAGGTTTTAAGGGATGTATTAGGTGTACGGATAAGCCCCGATAGCAAAAAGAGGTGGTACGAATAGTAAAACTCAATAATTTAATTATTTTAAAAATAAAAAATTAAAAAAAGCTAAGTTTTTAATTAAAAGCAACACTAAATCCGCAGTAGGAGTACTTAGCTTTTTGTCCGCAGTATGGCGCTAGTAGCGCAGCTCCGGCGGCTCCAGTACACACCAAGTTGTTAATCAATTGCAACCCATCCAAGCCATCCTCAAATCTTTGATTGAAGATGTTAATTTGAAGCTCTCAATCCAAGGATCATATTGATTCCGGTTGCACGTTTGTACGGCCCGGATTGCCCAAGTTATTCAAGTTCCAAGTTGCGACCGGTACCGCGCATGGGCCACCTGCGTTACCACCTTGATTCAGGACACGATACAGAATTGGCTGTGGCAGAGGTACTTGTGCGCGCACCCAATTTGTGTGGGAGATTAGGTAGTACTGCGGATTTAATGTTGCTCTATAGTTACAAATACCCCTTTTTTTTCATAATAATTTCTTAGATAATTTACGCGCTTTGGGCTTGATCACATGTTCATAGTTACATAATCCATTGGTTTAAACTCGATATAACAGTCCTTGGCCCGGTGCATCTCATCCAATGGCTAATAGATGGTATGGTTTAGACTAGACTTGAAGAAGAAGTTAGGAAAGCAGAACCAGAGCGCGTCGGCGCGCGTAACAAGCCCAGCCTGTCAATTTCATGTTTCTATAGCTCTCTCAAGTTATGCTTAAGCTTTATAATTAGATCTTTTCAACATTTTCTAGGTACAGACTCTTAATCTCAGTCTCACTGCCACACACACACACACACACACACACACCACAGGTTTAACGGAACCCCCGATTTATCACACTGTTGCAACCTCGGCTGGAAAATCGACATCATAAGCCATCGTACACTTAAGAATTGCCAAGGGTCTACCTAAGGGCTAGCTAGAATAAAGACGGCTACATATATATGTAGTCCAGATAATATCCGGGGAACCGTTAGTGCTCCCCGCGTTACAAGAATGCTGTTCTAACTTCTAAGTCTTCTAGTTTCTGCCTCGTGACAAGTTAAATCAAGGATATCGGAGTCTACACACGAAGCAGCGCGCCATGTCGGCGATATTAAAGTATTAGCGCTTGTTCTCCGTACTAATTAAATTCGGGCCGTTAATCAAAACGGCCGGGTGCGGGGGCATCGTTAGACGGAGATGAAGCCAATCATGTTGAACTTCACACCTTCCTTCTCCGTCAACCAACGACGGTAGTAATGTTATTGCCTCCTTTTCCACATGCAATCTATAAAGTACTTGGAATAGGTGTTGATGGCATATAATAATAGACATCTCTCATCTCTCCTACTATCCCCTCTCTCTGTCTCCAGCCTCAGCATCCTTCGTCTTTCGGACACTGCCCTTATTATAGTTGAAGCAGAATACCATTCATCAAAATGATCACCTTCTGGGGTTTGTTACTTGCTATTTCTCACCTTACTTCCATTGCTACCGCAGCGGATACAGCGGCTTGGAAATCTAGAAATATTTATTTTGCTCTCACGGATCGTGTAGCTCGCAGCAGCCAGGATACAGGAGGCAATGCATGCAGCGACCTCTCGAAATACTGCGGGGGTACCTTTCAAGGCCTTCAATCAAAGCTTGATTACATCGCTGGCATGGGCTTTGATGCTATTTGGATTACACCTGTCGTAACAAGTATGTTCCGACCTCTTCCATACTGCTTACTATTAATATCACCAGAGATAGCTAACTAGAATATGAACATTAGATAGTGACGGTGGATACCATGGATATTGGGCTACAGACCTTTACGGCATCAACTCTAACTATGGTACTGCGAGCGACTTGAAAGCTCTGGTCCAGGCGGCCCATGCTAAGGTATATTACTTGGGGATCCCCACCATATTCTGGGGATGGCCTGTTGGATGCTCATCTTACTAACTTGAAACCTCAAAGGGAATCTTGATGATGGTGGACGTAGTGGCCAACCATGTAGGACCAGTCGCTATCTCGGATCATAAGCCGGCACCACTGAACCAACAGAGTTCCTACCACACACAATGCGAAATCAACTACTCTAACCAGAATAGCATAGAGACATGCTGGATCGCGGGCCTCCCCGACGTCAATACTCAGAACTCCGACATTCGGAAGCTCTACCAAGATTGGGTCAGCTGGCTGGTAACAGAGTATGGCTTCGATGGCGTTCGGATCGACACCGTCAAGCACGTGGAGAAGGACTTTTGGCCTGGCTTCTCTTCCGCTGCTGGGGTTTATACCATCGGTGAGGTCTTTGATGGTAACCCAACTTATGTCTCGGGTTATGCCAGTCTAATGTCGGGGCTACTAAACTACCCCATGTATTACCCAATGAACAACTTTTACCAGCAAAAGGGATCGAGCCAGGCCATGGTCGACATGTTCAACCAGGTTAGCTCAATCTTCCCCGACCCAGCAGCACTTGGCTCGTTTCTAGATAACCACGACAACGCCCGGTGGTTGAATTCGAAGAATGATATTTCACTCCTCAAGAATGCACTTGCCTATGTTATCCTTGCCAGAGGGATTCCCATCGTGTACTATGGTACGGAGCAAGGCTATTCGGGCGGGGCTGATCCTGCCAACCGAGAAGATCTTTGGCGTAATAGTTTCAACACCCAGTCGGAAATGTACAAGGCCATCTCGAAACTCTCTGCGGCTAGGAAGTCCGCCGGTGGTCTTGCCGGCAATGACCAAACCCACTTGTACGTGGCAGATACCGCATACGCCTGGAGCAGGGCTGGAGGAAACCTTGTCGTTCTTACTACCAACAGCGGCCTTGGATCAACTTCCAATCACTGCTTTAACACACGGGTTAACAACAGGTCATGGAACAATACGTTTGGCACTGGAACTTATACCTCAGACGCAAGCGGAAATGTCTGCGTTAGTGTTAGCAATGGTGAGCCTGTTGTTCTTATTGCCTCTTAGAAAGGTATGGTTCTCGAAGGATGTCAGAGTATCTGAAGATTTCATATAAGATAACATCGTGTTTGTGTGTACGACATGGTCGTACGGTCGTACACAATGTACTTACACGCCGAGCTGACGTAATTAAATTATTTGACTCGGGCTCGGACTCGGACTTGGGTATGTGTGGTTTAGCCCCGAGTACCGAAATGAAATATCACGTTGAGCTGTTTTGCATTGTCGTGTGCCTATGTATGTTTGCCAATCCTGCGTAGGACTTAGGGGAAGTCCGCCTGTCTCACTACATAACATACAACAACATTCTCATTCTCTCCTCATTATTATTTTTCAGCATCACCTCCCCTTTTCATCACGCTACATCAGCGAGAGGATAAAAAAAAACCCCCCCAAAAAAAACCCCCAATACCTAAAAATGGACACCAGAATGTTTATCGCACCTCGTCTAACCCGGGGCCTAACTGGTGTTGCGGTTGCTGGGATGGGTATCGGAATCTACATGTATACGAGAAATACGATCCACGCAGACTCTGGGGTCCCAAAACCGACTTTTGGCACTGGCCCAGCTTTCTTGTCTCTTCAGCTAGAAAGTACCGAAGACATAAACCATAACACTAGGCGGTTGCGCTTCAAACTACCTGAGCCAAACGCCGTCAGCGGGCTGAGCTTGACTTGTGAGTCGGGCCGTTTCACAACGATAGGGATGAGCCTACCATTCGTTCGGTAAATGCTGACTACCTCGGAAAAGCCTCGCTCCTAACATTTTCCTGGCCAAAGGGTAGCGCGTTGCCCGTTTTGCGCCCCTACACTCCGATAAGTTCTTTAGGTGTGTGGCTTCTCTTCTATTTCCCATCAGTGAACTTAGTCTGACTCTCGGCAGATGAGCCAGGTGTTCTCGAGTTCCTAGTGAAACGATATCCAAAGGGTAAACAAAGCAGTTACTTGCATTCATTACGGCCAGGAGATTCCTTACGTTTTGTGACCCGCCTTCCGGGTTACAAATGGAGCCCAAATGAGCACTCAAATATCATGCTTCTTGCTGGGGGAGCCGGCATCACCCCAGCTTACCAACTGATTCGAGGCATTTTCGAAAACCCCCAAGATCAGACTAAGATCACACTCGTGTTTGGTGTGAATACGGAGGGTGATTTGCTACTGAGGAAAGAATTTAGTGAGTACGAGGCACAGTTTCCAGGTCGGTTTAAGGTTGTGTACACCATAAGCCAACCGACGGAAAACTCACGGTTTCGAAAGGGGTACATTGATAAGGACTTACTCAAGGAGGTCGCACCAGCTTCAGACGATTGCAAGGTGTTTGTATGCGGTCCGCCACAGATGGAAAGCGCTCTCGTGGGTGGCTGGCGAAAGTCGGGTATATTGGAGGAACTTGGATATCGGAAGGATCAAGTCTATAAATTCTGAGTATTGAGATATCTAGCATAGGCGGAACACATAAGAAGTGGCCTTTTGTTGATTTCTTTCATTGCATAAGTATTAAGACCATTTCCAACAACTCATCTAAATACACTAAGCATTATCCCACAATACGTACAGAGAAAAACTTTATGTCTTTAATAGCCGTTAAGGCTATTTCGGAGTCATGTGGGATGTATAGTGAATGGGAGTTGTACATGGGAAGATCTTGACTACCTAGTGCGTAGTTATCCTAGTGGCAAGGAGCTGGGGATACCTATTCTGGAAAAGAGCAGATGGATCTGATACGTAGTTATGGCTCTCATACTCCCGCCTATTTAGCCGGAGCCTGGTGATCTGCTTGGCCAAAATGGCGCATTGTTTCATTTCTAACCGCTCCGCGGATCCTATATAAGCCCGACGGTTATATTGGCTGGAAAACTCATGGAAGACTCAAGTAGGTGACTTATAGTGAAGGATGTATGGAAATGTGAGCGGTTGTGTTGACTTAGAATGACGCACCTACCTACCTACCTAATGCCCAGGTTAGTTGATAATTATGTAGTCTTTAGGGGTTGAGAATCTCCTAAGCTGTATAGAAATGACGACTGACATATGTTGAATGAAAGAAGATACTGTCCTATTTGAACAGATTCCACATGGATCATAATGATCTGATGGAGAACTGAACCATCGTACTTGCTGCTTGGCCTCGCTTGGCCTCGCTTGGCCAATCCTGTCTGCCTTTGATGTAAATGTTGATCGATCTAGCTCAATAGGCGCTTCGCTACTTGGCCTCCGCCTAGACTTAAATGAACTTGAGTCTGAGAGCAGCAACGTGTACCTCAGCCACGAGGAGTGAAGATCGGCTCCGTAGATATAATATTTATAATGAGCTGTGTTACTGGCAGATCATTCGACATGCCACTCAATACTTTTGCCATCCTATGTGATGCTGACCAAAGATGCGTATCCTAGCTAATTTCTTCGCCCACACTCTCTACGCCGTGGGGCTGCTTCTGCTCTTGAGCCCGTACGCCCTATCTCATAGCTATCCTTCAACCGCCATCGATAAACAATGCCCATCAGATAGTCCGGTGGGACTGCAATCGGCAGGGCAGTTGGGATGCCCGCGCCCAATTGAGAGCACTGCCAGCCGGCCCATCGACTGGTCACCCTGGACGCATCCGCCAGAGTGTTTACATGATGGGAAATCCCTAGGAACTAGGTATTGCGTATTCACCAATTCACGGCATGGAAATGGAGGCGTCAGCATTATTACGACCCCCGAAACTGCGGCGAATAGCATCCAAATATTGGATGACTCGGGCTACATCCACACAAAGTCACTTACCAGTAGCAGCGCAGAGACTGGATACAGAGTGGTTGAAATCCCTGGAAAAGGGAAGGGGATGGTTACGACACGTCGAATCAACCGCACCGAAGTGATTATGGCGGACTGGGCTGCGGTGATTGTAGACCTAGACTTCCCAACGTCGGTGAAACGAGAGCTGGGATATCATCTACTTCATAGGGCTGCTGATCAGCTACTGGACCCGGATCGTGTGCTCGAGCTGGCACGTAGCAGTGCCTTTTCAGCTGACATCATGGAGGATGTACTGAGAACAAATGGGTTTTCATACCCCCTATCTGGCGAACCTCACATGGCCCTCTACCCTAGCGTCTCTGTAGGCATTCCAACTCTCCTATGCGTATGATGGGAATACTAATAAGGAGCTGGTAGAGGATCAATCACGCGTGCCGCCCAAAGTAAGCAGCATCTATGACCTCGGAAGTGAGACAATAACTGAAAGACCGCGCCCCTTCACCCTTAGCGCTTTTATTAGGTTTACGCCGACGAGCTTAGCGGTCAGCGTTGTGGCCCTGAGAAACATTGAGCCCGGAGAGGAGATTAGTATCACCTGTATGATAAGTTGTTCATTCGGTGGTATCCTGGATCTGCTGCTAACGATATCCTTCGCGTACCCAAATACAGACGTTCCGATGGGAAAGACTAGGGTAGAAAGACAAAGAGCATTGAAAAAATGGGGATTCAATTGCGAATGCGCGCTCTGTACCGCATCCAAAGTCGAAACAGCGGCCTCGGATTATCGTATGACAAAGATCAAGACGATGCGTGAAGAAGTGTTAGAGGCGGTCGAAGCGCGGGATGGGAGAAAAGCAGTCAAGCTTACAAAAGAAGTGTTAGAGCTTATGCGAGCTGAAGAACTGACACCACTCTACGCAAGCCAATACGAGATTATAGGGCGACTGTACTGGAAAGGGGGAGACATGCAGACAGCAACTGAGTATGCACGAAGATCGATAGATACACTGGTGGACCTCGGGTATCTTGAGAGTAGTCCGAACGCACTTCCAGAATTGCTGAAGTCCTTTGATAGCTAAAAAGGGAAAGCCTGGGGGTTATAGAAGCAGACATAACTGGTAAGTGTGTTCGTTTACAGCATATATGTAAATAGGTTGAGTACGAAGTATGCGGATGGAGATGGAGATGAGATAAGATGAGATAAATAAATAGGGGGACTTACTGTATGTACGTCACTGGTTCTAATTAGATTAGTAATGGCTAAATTCAATATCACATGCAGTACCTAAATAGTTACCCCACCTAGTACATAACGGTTCTAACCACATTGCACTTCAAGTTTGTACATAACTAGGTTAGGTTAATACGTACCTAGGTACATAGGGTTAGTATAAGTTAATTGATCATAAATTCACTTGGATTAAGGCCTCACTCAATCTCTTCCACCTATAGTTTCACTCTGTAAACCATGAGCGACAAACAAGTGCTCTTCTCACCATCCCTTCTCTCATCCGATATCACTGCTTCTTTCCCAGACGGTTTCGTAATTCGACCGCTAGAAAGGGGGGATTATCACAAAGGCTTCTTCGACTGCTTGCGAGTGCTTACATGGATCGGAGATGTCGACGAGGCTGACTTCCTTGAGAGGTATGATGAGATGTTAGAAGCCAAGGGCACCTATTACTTTGCAGTAATCGAGTACGAGGGCCGTATTGTTGGAACGGGTGCTCTAGTAGTAGAGAAGAAATTGTACGTACCCCCGCTGTCAACAACGTAACCGTCATTTAGAAGTCTCATTTTGGTAGCATTCACGAGCGGGGCAAATGTGGCCATGTGGAAGAGATCTCCGTAACTAAGGAGCATCAGGGCAAAGGCCTTGGTCTGAAGATGATCAAGGCCCTGGACGCTGTAGCTATGAACTTGGGATGCTACAAGAATATCCTCAACTGCGGCCCGCGCAATGAACCCTTTTATGTCAAATGTGGGTACAACAACTCTGGAATAGAGATGTCGCATTACTTCGAGGATGAACGCGACGACTATCACCGAGGCTGAGATTTGGGCGAGATCTAGGCGAGCTCGGAGAAGGAGGCATCTACCTCACGAGTGCATGTGAAAGCAATTGTGCGCGGAACCTATAAACTAAAAAAGAAACTTGAAGAAATCGTACTGGGTTCCCATAAATCCCATGAAGATGGCCCTCATAGATGAGATCCACCAGCTGTGTTACTGTCACGGTTACTCTAGACCACTTGGACATGCATGACACGCTATTAATGTTCCTGCATTATGCAGAATTACCTAACCTACATACCTAGGTACCTCAAGTCTACCAGCCTCAACACAGCGAGTACACGTGGCTTATGAAGGATAACTTGCGAGAATATATGATTACACTACACAGGCTACATAGGCTACATACCCTAGCTATGTATGAACTAATGTAAATCCTGCCAGTAACCACTAGGCAACTATACAAGTCTAAAAGAAGCCCCGAGGCAATACCGTCTTGTTATTTAATGACCGGATTCTAATATGGTCTTGCTATGCCGTGTTGGCAAGAATCCACGATCCCGATGGCCAGCCCACTCTATAGAATCCCCAAACGCCCCATTTGAATTGCACGCGCATTCGAATACGTTGTTGAAATGCTGGGGCATTCCTAACGTCGAGTAGACGATTTCTTTTCCTCCTTCTTGCTAGAGCTTCTGTATTCGGGATGTGGGGCTTGGTCTTCATGTCCCGATCCGTGGTGGTTATAGATGGAGACATCAGACCGATGGTGCATATCGACTTTATAGTCTCCTTTGGATTAAGTTAGCCACACAAGTGCAACTACTATTATCACTGCAGTTTCTACTCACCAGCCTGAGGGGATCGACATTCCTCATGCCTAACCCTTGGAAAGGTGCTGCTGGAGGCTTGAGAGTCTGAACCTGTCCGCAGATTCGGGGTTCCCCTATGAGAAGACATAGTGTCATGGGGATTTGTTGATGCTGTGCGGTTGTCCACAACGATGGCGTAAGAAACCCCGGATGGCTTCTTATTGGATGATCCCATCTTAGGGCAAGAAGTGTATTGGCAGTGAATAGGCAAGGATATATATGATGCTTGGGCGAGAAGTTGATAGAGATGTGGGATGAACGATATAGTGTCGGTTGGTAAGGGTTGAGAGGGTGAGAAAGGGGAGCAGTAGACCTACGATATAGGACGGACACTAGCCATCTTTTATAAAGAAAAATTGAGAGATAATACACATCACTTTTCAGCTGTTGCAGTGGCAGCCTGTGCAAGAGCCTGTGCAAGAGTGAGAGTTACAGACAAACAGACATAAGGCAGTTATACATAGCACAGCAGCAGCAATGAGTGGCAATAGCAGTGCCCTAGGCTGACTGGATGGGGGCCGGGGCCGTCACAGGTAGCAATGAATGTTTAAGAGAAACAAAGGAGTTGGGGGGGATAATGGGAGGAGGAGAGTCAAGAGATTGCTTAAAGAGACACCGAAATGGTGAGTCACTTGCCTGAACTTTAAGGCAGAAAGGAGGGAAGAGAAGGGTGATAATGAAGATGATGAGGCAGCAGTTGGTTGATTTGGTTGCCATGAGACTCCGGAGTGGAGAATATGAAGAAAAGGGGAAGAAGGGGGGGGGGGGGGGGGGGGGGGGCTGTCGTGTTTGTTTGCCTGGGACACTTATGTACTTTACATACGGAGATAGTATACCTCGATCTAAAACTAGACCTAGGTCAGCGTCTAGAATTGACGGAGAGAAGAAGAAGATGAGGATGAAAAGTTGGATTGGGAGTATGTCTATTAGATACTTGCGCTTTCAAACTATTGAAGAGGCTGTGCTTATTATTATTATTAGGCATTATACTATGTAGGAAATAGAAAATGGAAAATTACCTAGCAGTAGTATTAGTCATATTGTAGATTCAGCAGCTTGGAAGTCATTAATTGTATCAATTGATATGTTTGTTCAGCTGGCGTTCAATGTTTTTTTTTGTCTGTCTGCCTGTTTAGCGGGGGCAGTGAAGAACTTCGACACTGAGTATATTGGTAGCTTTAAGCTTTAAGGTGTGCTGACGCACCTAGTTTTTCCATTTTGGGATGGCTAACATTTCGGTGAGCTCTATCATTGATGTAGGACTAGGTTCTGCGCCTTACCAACGTTGAAGTGCCTATGTAGGCCATAGTTACCTCCTACTAACCTACATGTATGTACTATGTCCACAGTCCTACATAGTACATGCACATATGCCAATATGTAACTATGTAGTTGCACAATTATGTAAATAGTCATATCCATGGATACCTATGATTGATGTATCAATGATTTAATTTGATGTGCCCTAGCCTACTAGGTACCTAGCACCCTAGCATACTAGGTCTTATCTAATCCATGGATGTATTCAATCATTGCAATGTTGTACCCAAAACGTCCCTCCGAAAACTGAACCTAAAAATCGATAAGGACTTTTTGACTTGACCAGGACTAGCCAGGACTGACCGCCACACTGTTGGCCGAAATTAAGTCAACCTTCTCTTTCGTTCTGTACCTACATACCTACATACCTTCCACTTACATATCCATTACTTCTTCCAAAAGAAAAAGAAAAGAAAAAAAAAAGAAAAAGAAACTCAATTCCAATTGAACTTAACACTAACTCGACAACATGCAAGGCTTCCTCCTCTCATTGTCCCTAGTGGCATCTATCACCATAGGTGCTTTAGCCTCGACCCCTTCGGAGCTAAAGATCGACGTGACCCTCCCCGTCGAATGCGATCGAAAAACGCAAAAGAGCGATACCATTCAAGTACACTACAGGGGAACGCTTGCAGCCAATGGGAACAAGTTCGATGCCAGTTACGATCGAGGCACTCCCTTTAGCTTCACCCTAGGCGGTGGTCAAGTCATTAAGGGGTCCGTCTGCCCTCATGTCACCCGTTACGTCGCTTCTGTCTTGTCCTAACATTTGATAATAGATGGGATCAAGGGCTCTTGGACATGTGCATTGGGGAGAAAAGGTGAGAATTATCTCGGTGGTGCTGGTTGCCGGAAAACAACAAAATATGGAAAGCTGACTGTAGATTAGGACCCTAACTGTACCTCCCGAGTTCGCTTACGGAAATCGAAACGTGGGATCCATCCCACCAGGATCTACTCTAAGTATGTTACTCATCTAAAAGAAGAAGAAAAAGAAAAGGAAATAAAAAAAACGCAGAACTTTGAGATCAAACGATCAGTGCCTAACATATATTGCCATTAGTCTTCGAAACGGAGCTCATGGGCATCAAAGGCGTCCCTAAGCCCGAGTCCATCGTAACCAAGGCCAGTAGCAGCACGAGTTCAGCCGCTAGCGAGGCTTCCGAGAAGGCATCGGAAAAGATTGCGAGAAAAGTCGAAGAAGCCGTCGAAGTCGTAGGGACTATGCTTGCCGATACCGATGATTCTCAGGACCACAATGAGCTGTGAAGTCATTGATTCATAGGATTTCGCTTCCATAGACACGTATAAATATACATACTTGTATGGCTTACTTTGAGTTCTTACTAATATAATATTTATAGCTTATAATGTTATCATTCTATACTTACCTAGGTTGTTAATATATATACTTGCAGACCTGCCTAGGACCTAGGTATACTTGATTGTATTTATGAACTACTTATGTAATCTATACCATACTCCTAGTAGTACATAGTATGGTCCATACTACATATGTATGTATTTAAATAGTGTAGGAAGAAAGTATGGGTCCTAGAGATTCGCTTAGTTACATGCTTAGACATTTTACCGGCCAGCCAGCCACGCATATTCGTTTTATTCTCGTTGCATATGCACGTAAGAGGTACTAGCCTATCACATGTAACCCAATTTTCGTAACTAGTAATTGCTGTATGTATGTACCTGGCAATGATCTAAATAATATGTAGTATATTAATTGTTTGTTTCCAATTCTTGAATTATTTTGGCGGTGGAAGCGAAAACTCAAAAACAGCAATCTCTCCAATATTTTGTTTCTTCGAAGTAAGATTGTTAGTTGAAGAAGTACGAAGTAATTGTAAATCTACAGTTAAAGCCTTCATCATGTTGTTCAACTGAAACTTTCGAGATACAAATATTATTACGCTACAGCTTCTCCTTTCTTTATCCCCCTTCACTTCTTCTTCTTCTTCTTTTATTTTTATTTTTATTTTTTATTTTTTATTTTCTTGCTGAGCTGTTATTTGTATTAAAAAACATAACGGGGCCTCAGCAATGCACCATTTGCGGTCATTTTTACCCCCCGTGAATTTCATCACAATACACTATGCCTACTTCATATTGGTCCCTCTGGTTGCCTCGCTCGTGTTTTGGGGGTCTTCAAACCCCAAGCTCAGTATATCATATGTCGACAGCTTATTTCTAGTTACCTCTGCCATGACAGAGGCTGGCTTGAACACTGTGAACCTAAGTCAGATGACCACCTGGCAGCAGGTCCTCCTCTGGCTCTTGATTATCATCGGTAGCTCTACCTGGGTGTCTATTTGGACTGTTCTGGTACGGAAACATGCCTTCGAAGTACGCTTCCAGGAGATAGTACGCAAGGAGCGAAAGCGTAGTCTTGATAGACGAAATACAAGCTTAACTCTCCTTCCTATCACCCGTAGGCTTAGAAGTCTCGGCAGGAGTAAGACAGTGCAACGAGACCACGATGATAACCCTCCTCATTTGGACCATAGCTCGCCATCGGGTTCGACCCCAGGTCCAGTTCTGGATGGTGCTAATAAACCCGCCATATCTCACCCGAGCGACGGAAGGCTTCTTTCCGCTATTATTCCGTCCCATCAGGATTATAACTCACGTGATGATGTGGTGTCCCAAACCCAGCGCCTACCACATACACACACCGCCGATTCCCTTTCCCATCCGCGTAGCTTACCCCCACTTAACGATACCGCGTCAGAGCCCACAGGTTTGGATGATGCAAGAGACAGCCGACTGCATCCCGGAAATGGCGACCATGTTGCATTCGTTGATAACCCTCATGCTAGGTCGACATCTCTTGCTCCCAGTGGTCTGACTGCGCGAAGACACGTATCGAGTACCGACACGGCTACAAATCATCCCGGTTACTCGGGGGGGCATAAAGCTGGACGTAATGGCCAATTTCATGGGTTGACCAGCGAGGAGCGCGAAGAGCTTGGTGGCACCGAATACCGAGCCCTCAAACTCCTTTCCATCGTTGTTCCTCTGTACTCCTTTTCTTGGCAATTTCTCGGATGCATCTCACTTGGTGCCTGGTTAGCTAACAAACAACCCCAACCCGCCGTGGATAACGCCATCTCGCCCTGGTGGAATGGGATCTTCAATGGTGTATCGGCTTTCAACAACAGTGGTATGAGCGTCTTGGATATGAACATGATACCCTACGGAAGTTCCTATTTCGTACTCATCGTTATGGGAGCCATGATTCTTGCCGGGAATACCGCATATCCCGTATTTTTAAGGTTGTGCTTCTGGTGCAGTTGTAAGTACCTCCCCCAAATTTGTGTCGTGGAGGGTATCGATGCCAATACACGCCAGTGCAGAAGCGACAGTTCCCCTCTTTCGCATATACTATGACTGACTTAGCATGTTTTAGTGAAGGCTTTGCAGCTAGTGACTTACCCGCAGGAGCATGTCGAGTGGAAGGAGACGTTGGAATATATCCTCAAGTATCCCCGACGTGTCTACACCAACTTATTCCCATCGCGACAAACCTATTGGCTTCTTTTCATGCTTTTTGTACTTAACGGCACTGATTGGGCAGCCTTTGAAATATTGAACCTCGGAAATCCCGCCCTCGAGCACATCCCTCTTGGTTCTCGCATCATCGATGGATTATTTCAAGCTCTCGGTAGGCCGACGCGTGACCCATATGAAGCTTACTTGCGCTGATAGTATTTCTAGCTGTTCGTTCGGGAGGATTTTATGTGGTATCTATCCCGACACTATACATCGGTCTCCAGGTGCTTTATGTTATTATGATGTTCGTCTGTATCCTTCCCTAGGCCCCCATCTCATTCAGCCTCCTATTCCATGGACATAACCCATGTCCTAGCTTGACTTTCCCTTAAGCTATATCTGTACCTAGCCTCTTACTTCTGCGACGCAATACATCACTCTCAAAGAGGGCATCACGTTGTACTTGACTCTAACGATCCTTACAGGTATATCTCAGTGTATCCGGTCGTGATAACTATGCGGCATTCAAACGTGTACGAGGAAATGTCGTTGGGTATATATGAAGAAGATCCTAGCTATAAAGAAGAGCTGACCCGCAATGTATCGCATGGCAACCAAAGCAGCAAATCCCGGTCTCTCAGCCGAATGATTCGTATCGCATTTACCGAATGGTATGGAGTCGGCACAGCGCCCAACCAGCGGGAGGAGAGTCGAATCAGCTTCATCAGCCACCAAATTCGCGGACAACTCTCTCACGACTTATGGTGGCTTGTCTTGGCTGTCTTGCTCATTGTCATCATCGAGACGACCCATTTTATCGAAGATCCGGTCACATTTTCAGTCTTCAACGTCGTATTTGAGGTTGTCTCCGCTTATGGTTGCGTTGGCATCAGCATCGGATTGCCGGCTGCGGCTTATAGTTTCAGCGGCGGACTTTACCCAGGGAGCAAGTTGGTTCTGTGTGCTGTCATGATAAGAGGACGACATCGTGGCTTGCCAGTTGCCCTTGACCGCGCCATTAGGCTTCCTAGCGATGACATGCACATGGTGGAGGAGGACCACCTTCGTAGATCAATATCTGCAAGGCGACCAAGTTTAGACGATACACGATTCATGTGATTACTCGGCTATAGTTTACTGGATAAAAGAGAAATGATAAAAGGGGGGAAATTGCTTAGGGTTCTAGGTTAGAATCAGCATCACAGCATGCATATACTCACGACGCAATGATACAAAGTTTCTATATTCTTATATCAATAATCTCACGTAGCCTGGCCAATTGCTCAAACACGAGTGCGATCTGGGTGACCCAACCTCTAATGTTAGCCGAAGAAGAGCTTCTTCTGTCTCGGATCGGCAGAGGCGGTAGTCTTGCCTCGTTTCGTCTCACCCATGTGCTTCAACCTCTTAGCAGGCGGCCTATGGGTTGTGGGGGTTGGCTTATCCATGGAATTTTGTTGGACTGTGTCGCGGATAGTCTGTCTCGAAAGGCACAAATCAATGTGCTCGTTGAATGAGCGCTCGTCTGGTTGCTGGGGTCGACTACATATTGGACAATCCCACCATTCCTCCGTCTCCTCAGTTAATGCTCTCTTGGGGTTAGGGGCAACGTCCTTGCCGTGATGATGATAGTTACTATCTCTGTCCAAGGCTTGATGACCATCTATATTGGCGTCATCAAGGTCAGAATGGCTATTATTGTCGTAAGTCGAATACTCTAACTCTCTCGGTGAAATACTCCCTTCCCGAACGGCCTCCACTGTCTCTCGACTACTCGATCTTTCCGACGCATTGCTACCAGTCTCTACCCTTAGAGGTCTTAGCCTAAAAAAAGCACGAGCATTAGGCTTCTTGGTGCTGATTAGATTGGTGCATCGAAGACCCATCAGGCGCAGTTTCATGCCCGGTATCTCCAGTTCCAACTTTGTCAAGATAGGCAAGGAGAAATTGTATAAATCATCTGCGGCAGACACAGCCCTTGGTGTCACAGTCTGCCTTGTCAAGACTTCGTACGTATGCAGCTTCACCTTGAGAACCAGGGTTCGGCCTTTGCATTCAGCTTTTCGCATGTCCTTCTCCAGCTCTTCAGCAGTCCATCGCAACTTTGCCCTTAGCTCTTTTGAGTCTGACATTTCACGAAATGTGCTTTCGGTACCGACACTTTTCCGTTCGTACTCCTCAGCAGGCTGTACTTCTGTTCTACCAAGGCCTAGGTAGCACATAATGAGAAATTCGTATGTCTTTTCACCAAAAAGTTGACGTCTGTTGCAAGTTAACATCTCGTAAAAAGTTAAGGCCGAATTTCAGCATAGAAGGGAGAGGAGAGGGTTCCGGCAAGGGGAATGAAAAGACATGTAAACATACTAGGCACGTATCAGTATTCATTTGCGTAAGGTCATGAGTCTGAGCAAGACGGGATGAATAAATGAAAGGTAGATTGTGCACATACCAAGAGTTGGCGATGAGGGAAGATATCACCGCAGGTTTTGACGCCTATCTCCTGTAGCTCGCGCTCCAGCACTCGGCCAATCCCATTAACTTTCCTAGTTGGTAATGATCGCATGAATGACATGATGACGTTGCGATCATTAAGGAGGACATATTGGCCGTTGGGCTTGTTCATATTTGAACATATTTTAGCAAGCTTCGCGTTCGCGGCAATGCCGGCGGATACGGTGATTCTAGTGCGCTCATGGATTTCATCTCGCATCTGTTGGACAACGTCTTGGGGCTCCATACGATTCTCGCAGCAGTATTCGGTGATGTTGAGATATGCCTCATCGATGCTAGCGCTTTGGAACCTGGGATCATATTGGGCCAAGACCTGGCGTACCTCTTGGGCTTTTGAGGTATACTTGTCAGAATTAAGAGGAAGGAGAAGTAGCTGGGGGCAAAGTTTCTTTGCGACAAAGCCGGCCATGCCACTTCGGCAGCCATATTTGCGTGCAAGGTAGTTGCATGTAGTCAGCACGCCGCCACCAACAGCGAAGGGGACGTCCTTGAGCTCTGGGCGGTCTAGTAATTCGACAGCTGCGTAAAAGGCATCACAATCGACGTGGACTATATACTGAGTTAAGTCGCGGGATGCATCAAGCTGGGCTATGAACTGGTCGGCGGCACGAAGTTCGCGAGTCAAATCGAGCTTTTCAAGACGCCGCTTCTTTTCCAAGATCTGTTCAATCTTTTGAGTCAAGATCTTGTCTTTGACTTCTTCACGGTTGAAGAATTTAGACCCCTTGGAGGCGTTATATATGACCTCGGAAACCTAAACCAGGGGACTTGTCAGGATTGAGAGCGGACTAGAGTAGATAACAAATACCTTGGACTGGTCTACAGAGTCTTGACCGGCTTTGGTGAGAGAGGGGCCTAGAAGATGGTATTTGAGACTGTCATGTTGATGATGGTCCTCCAAATTGGGGGGAATCCCATCCGGCTCATCCGGATTTGGCCGAGGTTCCATTTACTACAAAGTAAAGTGTGCAGATCTAGATAAGGGTAGACCTATGTTATATCTTATTACTTTCTCTTAATTATGAGAAGTTGACATAGAAGTTGGCATTGTCTTGGATACATTCTGTCGGTGACGTCGCGGGGCTCTAGTATCTACATAGTACATACCAGATGTGCGACCGCGTTGTAACTTTTGGAAGTACGAATATATGTAATTAGTTAGTTAGTACATAAACTAGTTAATACCAAGTTACCTCCTCAACTCGAGTCGCGTCATCACGTGATACGTGTCCGGTCCCACCTTCATATATACCTAGGTTACATGTATGTAGTTATGTAATCTTATGTAACTACCTAATCTCATAAACTCTCACGTGGCAGTTCAATGCTTTTACCTTCTTACCTTACATATGTAGCGTACATATGTGCTTTTACACAGTACCATTAATATAACTTGTATAACTTGAATCAACATAATTAGATTATATATGTATTATATATGTATTACTGACAACTTATGTGTATTAACCCTCTTAACCTAGATAAATTTACCTAGGGACTGGATTTGTGTCCATACATCAACCCCTCCACTCTACCGCTCTGTTGCGCTGAAGGGGAGCTGAAAGTCCTGTATCTAGGACCGCAACGCTCAAGTTAGGCAAGGCAAATTGAAAGCCACCCTCTTCGTCAGCTTCGATCGTCTTCTTTATAGTCTTGACCACATTCACTCCTGTGAAGGGGTCATTAAAGCCATACGGATCCTCAGGCCCCACAAGAATAGTCAGTTCGCCAGTTGTTCCTGGCTTGATGCCTTCAAAAGTAAGTCGAACAGGGACATCAGCCCCTTCCGTCGAGTTGTAAACTGCCGCCTTGAAGATATATCCATCCGTATTCTCATTCCTACCAGCCACGTAGTACAGCGGATTGAACTGTGAGGTGGCTGGTAAGGTTTCTGTCATTATATGCGCTGCCATGAGCTAATCACATGGAGAAAGCCAAATTAGCCTACGCTCATACATTCCTAAATGTGGTCTTAATAGCGATATACATACCTCCCAGACGTACCAAGACGTGGACCGGGTAACTGAATCGGCAGTAAACTGAATCATAGTTATTTCCCATTGCCAACGGTTCACTGTAAAGCCTAGAGTTAGTAACGGTCCTGATAAGCGAGTTGCCATTGCCGATTCGAGCAGTGAGCCCAGCTCTATCGGTGTGACCTCTAAGGAAGAGGGAAGCAGAACGTTATACATACTGTTACGAATGATAGGGGCCTTGAGAATGTTAGCCTTATGCTGACTCCTGCTGCAGATGAGAAAGTAACTGGTATATGAGGTTCAGAGAACTTACAAATGCTGCCCCAATGATCCTATCCTGGTTGCGCTCGTAACCGATGAGCGATACAGATTCGGCAACGGCACCTCCCCACCTGCATAACCATACAAATTAGCAGACACTCGACTTCTGAGGTGCGCATCGTCCCCAAAATTGTAAGGGGTCAACTTACCAAGGGAACGGCATCTGTGGCAAGTCCCAACCACCACCACCATTAGGTTGTATCGCTGCCATCTCACCAATAATGTGCGGTGTTGTTATGTTATCAAACCTGTTGAATTCCTCGACGAGGGTGTCTGGCACAGCATAAAGATGATAGTCGCCGGCTCCGGGTGAGGGAATATCGTAGCCGTTGTAGGTGGATCCCGATGAAATGACTTGGATGTCTGGGTATGCTTTGTTGATAGCATCAAGAAACATGGGGAACCTATATTGCTTATAGGTATCCCAACCCTCTGGCGCTCCAGCAAGCCAGTCTTCGTTGCCGACTTCGACGTACTCAAGCTTCCAAGGCTCTGGGTGACCAAGCTGGGCACGGACTGAACCCCATTTCGAGTCGCTGGGTCCGCGGACAAACTCAATTTGATCAAGGGCGTCGTCAATAAAGTATTGTAGTTGGTCTTCCGGTGTTATATCTCCGTTGAGAGCAAGGCCAGAGTATACGCCGAGGACTGCCACGAAGTTAGGTCATGATACCTTTCTAATCGCGTGAGAAAGGCTGAAACCTACCAATTTCCATGCCAAGATCCTCTGCGAACTCCAGGTATTCCACCAAACCCAGGCCATTAGTTTGCGGATATTCCCAAACTCCATAAAAGCCAGGTCGATCCTTCAGGGGGCCAAGTGTGTTTTTCCAATCCCACCACGACGTATTGGTCCACCCTTCAAGCACTGCAACACACGCGTAAGTAACCAACAATGAGCGGTTTTACATGCGAGGATTTGAGATGAAACTTACTGTTACCTCCCGGAATACGAAAGAGCGTCTTAATTGTTGAGGTTAGTGCCTATCATAACAACAAAAAATCATATCCAGGTATGAGAACTGCTCACAGGATGTATCTGCTCCAATGCCTCGGCGATATCGATCCGCATACCGTTCTTTCGGCCTTTGTATGTAGGAGGAAATAGGCTGATCAGATTGAAGTCGAGCGCACCGTCGTCTGTGCCCTGAGAATGATAGTGTTAGATGAATATACACCAACAGAGCTTAGTTTAAACTTACAGCCACATCGAAAGTGAGTGCAAACGTGTTGTTGGAGTTGGGCGCATCTTTGGAAGGTGTCAATTCAAACTCGTGCTCAATCCAATCATCCGAACAAGATTGAGATTGGATCTTGGCTGTTCCAAAGGCCTCGCCAGTGATGTTCGACCGTAGCGATGCAGTAAATTGACCGGAGTAAGCCCCCCTGACCCAAAACGAACCGGTGTATTTGTTGCTGGCTTTGACATCCATGCCCCAGTACCCGTCGTTGTAGAAGCCAATCTCGCCGTCCTTCTCACCAGCTGCGACATTCATTGAGGCAGTTAGAGCATTGGATAGAGGCGTGCTGAGGTTCTTGAGTGACAGCTTAGCATCATTAATGGGGTACCATGCATCCAGTGTGGAAGGAAAGCCTTCATTGGACTGAAAAGCCCTGTTACGGATGAGTTCGGCATAGAGACCGCCATCTCCTGAGTTGTTGATGTCCTACATAAACAAGTTAGCCTTGAACATGTCCAGAAGGTCAGGGTACAAAGTGATATTATGTGCACCAGGAAACATACCTCGTGCAAGAAGCCGTACTGGTGACCATTCGTAGCATTACCGCCAGTCGAGCTTACGGTAATATCAACCGCATCAATCCCAGTCCCAGTCGCAGAAGCTACATAGGCGAAGACGCCAGTCAGCACAGCCAGCCCTAGGAATACCATGGCGACGTGGAAAATCAAGACAAGTTGACGACCGGTACAATGCCGACCGGAAGCTGACGAGGACAGCCAGGCCTTTTATAGACATGAGACGACATTGCCGAATCGAGATCGGGGTAGTATGCGGTGTACGTAGGTAAGGAGTAAGAGCGAATGGAGACGAGAGCATCAAGCTCGTACCTCATTACTACTAGGAAGCTAAATACGTAGCTACCCAGGTCGATATGCGAACCAATAGCAATCTGGTAGCTATTTACCAAAATCCGGGCACTGGCTCGTAATGGGATAGTAACGGAGTAGTTGACGGGATAGTAATGAGATAGAGCATGGGCTGCAACGTGGAGATCTACTCCAACACTATATTTCGGCTGTTTCATGGCCGAGTGCAACGATGAGCCATCAACCCCGGGCCGGGACTTTCTCTCTCAGTGGTGGACTGGCGCCGCCTTGGAAGTCGGGGTAGTGGAGAAGCATTCGAATCTTGATCTGACTGATCCCCAAAGCCGTCATAGCGCCGCACAAATCCTAGCTGCGATGCTCTTGGAGGGTCCACAAAGGCAACATTTCAAGGGAAATAAATCATACTACATAGCGACAATCTTGCACCTAGGCAACTCGGTGAGCATTTGGCTGATTCTACTAATATTACCACTAGAGAATTTGGCCGAGGCGATAATTTGAAGTTCTATATTCACCCTCTCTCTCCTCTCTCCCCTCTCCCCTTCCTCTACTCTCTCCACCTTTTCGGTATATCTCAAAAAGAGACGACGTAAATACACAACAATATATATCTTGTGCGGTATCTCGTATATCCCATCATATCTGCGGAATCATCGTGACCACCTAGGCAAGACAATGGCACTGCCTAGGGCTGGGAGAGTTCACTTAGGCACCACCCTCACGCTTGGCATATTCTTCCTCAATTGCATCCTCATATTTCTGTTCAGGCGATCGAGGGTCTTCGTGGAGTACACCGTTCTGAATCAGCTTCTCGGGTGCGGGTCGGTGAGAGATCTTATCGTTTAGCGAGTCGGCACGCATGTGCCTCTCCAACTACAAATTGAGACCACGTAAGTTAATTCGGCTTGATTCGTGAACAAACCTCGAAAGTATACTATGAGAGCATAGGGGGCAAACGCACCTCTCTCTGCTTCTCCTGTAGGCCGGGAGCAGCGTTTGAAGCAGGCAAGATGTTCTCTAAGATAATAGAAATCAGTTTAGCTACCAACTGCCTAGTTAGACATGGGCATGGGATAGCTTGGGTTAATTACTCTCAACAAGTTCGGAACGGTCAGGGCGGTGTTGAAGGTGCTGTTCGAGTGAGTTCCTCCTCTCGTTAGTGGGAGAGATAGGAGTCTCGTCGACGGAAGGATTCGGTTTGTGTTCATCGGCCATGGTGTCTCTTTCGTCTTTTTCTTGGTATATAAATTGTATACGTGTATGGTAAGTAGGTAAGTAGGTATGTAAGTATGTAAAGGCTAAGTGTTTGTTTATTTTTTCCTTCTCTTGGCTGTCGGCGATATTCCTCTTTGAAAAGGAAGAAAGTCCAAAGATGGGTTAGACGGTTGGGTGGAGTATGGGGGGATGGTATGACAAAGGACAGAAGGTTAGGTTAGGTAGTAATTATCGGTATTATGTAAGTGTCAGGCAGGGAACAAGGGACTTTTAATTATGCGGGGAAATACTCTAATAATGTTAGTTAGTGGTATTTCCCCTCTCTAATCATACGTAGGTCACGAGGCTAGATACCTACTACCTAGCAGGTAATTATGTGGGAATCAGCCGAAAGCATCAAGCAAGTTGAACTGTTGAAACAACAGGCCCTGCATTAAAGCTACTGCTATGTACATAGTGCATGAGTGTTATGACGTAACTTGGAGCATCTAATTTCAATTGCATATTCTGTAATTACTAACCTACCCTGTCTTATGTATGTCGGTATTTTATGTTTTATGCTTAACTAATAAATACTACAGAAAAACGTGTTATAAACACCTACACATATCAGGTAACACTCAACAACATTGAAGCCATATTAGTTGCCATATTAGTTGCTATATTAGTTGCGTCCCGAGGCAAGTTCATCGCTACCTAGGTACATATTATTTCATACATACGTCGTATTTCATACATATCATACGAAACGTTAACGTCAAACCTCCATATGTTTAAAAGACCAGCCGCATCCTTTTATTGCTACGAGACGGTGTTTCAGACGCAGGGAGCGAAGCAACTTAAAGTGAGACATTTGATAGAGGGGTTGAAAAAGAACATTGAAACATTGAGTTGAGATGGTTTCATCAAGTACGTATATATATATATCCACGTAACTACCGGTATGTGGTGTATGTAATGTATGTAATGTATGGGACCCCCACAACCCGCAATGTACAATAAACACAGTAGTATGATAGTACAACGCCAATGATTGAATGTATGCAAGTACGTATCATCAACATCAATGATTATCTTACATACTACCTAGTACTACGTACTATGTACAAACCCAGCCTTATCGAGGCTCCAAGGTATAACCTTGCTCTTTTTGTCCAATCCCGACAAATGTGGGACCCGCCTATCTCTATCTACATAGTAGACCATCTACATGCATGTGTACATATATGTAGATTTAAATTCCTATCTTTGTATCTCTATCTCATAATTTTGCCGGAGAATACATAGACATTTTTCATCTTACTTTTACTTTTTACATCTGTAGATAACAACGTCCCATGCAACCGGATACGGAAAAGAAATTCGTCATACCCTAGGTACCTAAGAATGAAGTACATAAGCGCGAAGCAAGTACGATGGATTGGTGTATAGATAGGTAGGTATATATATTACTATGTGTACATTACACAAGGAGGGGGGGGAGAAGGAACTTGAAAGAAACATTGAAGCCTCCGCTGCTGCTGCTGCTGCTGCTGTTGTGGTTCTCTCGCTACATATATCGTCATTTACTACTAAATATAGAATATAATACTACTGTTTGCCTCCTTATTTCTATCCTGATATTTCAGTTTACTATGGCGCCAGTAAAATCGAATCCCGATCTCATGGACTCTCAGTCGACTCAGATCAAACAAGATGTCATATCAAATTATGAAAATGATGAAGACCAGAGCGGTCATGTGGTGCTTTCGGAGGAGATAGCTAACGTCACTAACATTGCCGCTGAGAAGGCACTCTGCCGCAAATTCGATCTCCGTTTACTCCCTGTTTTGGCTGTCATGGTGAGTCGTTGGAAATGACTGACACGATACTCCTAAAGTTCCAGTCCTAGTCCTACGAGTTTCTCTGTTCGGATCCATGGATGCTAATAAATCTCTTTCAAGTACCTATTCAATGCTCTTGACAAGGGAAATCTTGGGAATGCTCAGACTGCGGGCCTGTCTAAAGGTATGCCAACAGTTATATTCCTCCTTTCTAACGCACCTTAGGGAAACGCAATATTTATTTTGTGCATACCGCAGACTTGCACTTCAGGACTGGACAATATAACCAGATTGTCGGAATATTCTTCGTCCCCTACGTCTTATTTGCGCCACCTATTGCCATGTTAGGCAAGAAGTATGGTCCAGCTCGTGTCCTGCCCATCTTGATGTTTTGTTTCGGCTCCCTCACGCTGCTCATGGCTGCAACGACCAATTTTGGCGGCATCTTCGCTCTCCGATGGCTCCTTGGCATGGCCGAGTCTGCCTTCTTCCCCCTTGTCATCTATTACCAGACAACATTTTATAGGCGTGGCGAACTTGCACGTCGTCTTGCTATCTTCTACGCCGCATCCAACATAGCCAACGCCTTCAGTGGGCTCCTCGCGTTCGGCTTGTTTCAGATCAAATCGACTCTAGTAGACCATTCTTGGCGTTGGCTCTTCATTGTCGAAGGTTGCGTCACAGTGTGCTTTTCTATATTTGCCTTCTTCTACCTACCTCGATCCGCCGCCGAGGCCTGGTTTCTGAACGAAGACGAGAAAGTACTAGCATACCATCGTATACAGGTCGACAGTTCTTCCGGCGTGAACGAGAAATTTGTATTAAGAGAATCCCTGAAAATATTCAAGAGACCAGCCACATACGGGTTTCTTATCATTGAGATATGCCTAGGCGTACCTTTACAAGCCGTGTCTCTGTTTCTACCTCAAATTGTCCAACGGCTAGTCAATAGCACAGTCACCATCAACCTCTATACTGTTGCCCCTAATGTTACTGTAAGTGGATTGCCAGACTATCGAGCCGTACGTTATGTGTATTTCCTAACTTGCTAGTAGGGTGCTATTATGTTACTAGTTCTTGCGTTCGCATCTGACCATTGGCGGATCCGATTTCCCTTCGTGTGCCTCGGGTTTGCATTTACGTTTGTTGGCTTCATCGTTTATGCCACAATCCAAGACGTAAATGCGCAAATTCGGGTCGCTTATTTTGCAACGTTTATGATGTGCTGGGGGACGTCTGCACCGTCCGTTTTGCTGAGCACTGTAAGTGGCTCCCCCCTAATAAATTAAATCCCAGATTCAACCTTGTAGACTACCACTAAGAGGCCGGGTCCTGTACACTCTACTAACTTCCCCGGCAGTGGTACAACAACAATATAGCACACGAGGGGGAGAGGTTGACGCTCACAGCAGTTGGAGTTCCTCTGGCAAATCTTATGGGACTTATACCCAGTTACGTATTCCAGGAGCGGGATGCGCCAAAATACGCCCCTGCACTCATTACGACAGCTTGCTTCGGTGCCACAGGATGCCTTGTCGCGGGATGCCTAGGGCTTTTCATGATGCGGGATAATAATCGCCGCAACCGTCAACAGGGAGTAAATCTTACTGCAAAAGATGTACCGACACTGCAGCTGAGAGACGGTCCTCGAGTTAGGGAGTTTAGATGGTTCCTATAGAAACAGCAACTTCAAAGCCTTACAAGATATAGAACGAAAGGGTATTTCGAAGGATCAATACCACAAGGTGCCTCACAAAGGTGTGTCATTTGCCTTACTGCCCGTCTATCTATCTACCAGAGTAAATATTCAATATGTACTTAGGTAGGTAGCTGCCGAGTCTGGTATCAAAGATTCCAGTATTCCGTTGTCTTCCATACAATGTAACCATTGTAGCCAATACCATACCGATATACACTCTAAACTCCTAGGACCCTCATCGATGCGACGTGAATTTATATATCCGTTTCTAAGAACCCGACCCCTGAGTCGAAACGGAAGTGGGTTGGGCTCTTAACGCCATTCTGCTGGTTCTCTATGATGATTCTGTATTTCTCATGGTCAAACTTCCACATCATCTTGTCCTGAGAGTCTGTGACATCGGACTTGCCCTTGCCCTTGATTGAGAGCTTCTCTGCTACCGGGTCCTCTTGGGGATGTGTGAAGTATCTTCTTTTCCATATTTCACCTGCTTCACTTTCTTTTCTCCTCAAGACGCGTTGCGCGTTCTCGATCTTGCCTTTCTCGTGACCCACGGCGAAGATATCATTTTTATTTATAGCATCCACAACGTGTTTCCAGGCCCGTCTAGACTCTAGGGGGTGCTGCGAATCGACTGGTGCTACTTGAAGAGGTGTTCTTTTCAAAGTAGACAGATCTACTGTATCGAGCAGCTTTCCGTTGCCATCCTTGACAGCGTACTTATCGCTCCATCGACCTTCTAGGACATACAGAGGCTTCTTCTCGTCGTGATCCGGATACACACTGGCGGTGAAGGTGTTGCTTTTGCCTTTTAACCACCCCTTACTTGAGTAATTGATACGCGACGTGTAGCCTGACGAGCTACGGATGTATGAGACACCACTAAGCTCGGGAGCAATTTGTAGAGTCACAATACCTTCGAGATGGGCTTTTGGCATCGTAATCCAGTGATCTTCATCATACTTGTCTATGTGTAAAATGCTGTACCCTTTCCGTTCTATGTTTATTGTCGACGAAAAATAGGCCTTTGGAGCGACGTGGCCCTCGAGCTGTGTTGATGTCAGTCTAAGGTCAGTGGGTAACACAACACACACATATATAAACTGTACATTTGCTGTACATATTCTGTATATCGTTGAAAATGGCTGAAGTGGGCTCTTACTCTCACACCATGCGATTCGTTCCTAATACAAAATGCCGTGGCTGGTGGGTGATGGCTGACTTGCTCGCTAATTAATTGGGTGGTACCAACGTCATCTTGCCATTGCCCCAAGAAGATTTCGCCTAAAAATGGGTTTAGGGGCTTCATCTTCTTTCTCTTTCCGTTTTCGTCTTTGCCGGCATGTTGATGCTTCAGGGTGCTCAGAAACCATTGGAGGACTCTCAGAGCTCTCTTCTTGGCACACTCCTCATTCGCAGGCGACACAAAAAGACTCGGATGCTCAGCCCAGTATGTGCTGTATTCAACAATAGATTGTGGCGCAAGTAAGAAGGGGGGAGCTGTCAACGAAGCAAGGTCTCCTTTGAAGGTTGCGACAGACTTGAAGAGCGAGTGAGCGGAACTGGGCGGTTTGACAACTTGGAAGGAGGATAGTTAGAGGTAGTATACCTTGATAAATTGAAACCATGCTGACTTATGCTGTTGGTCTTCTTTCTTATCATCGCATTGGGTAGGAGCGAGATGTAAGGACATTTCGATTTCGGATTTCTCAACAAGTTTCTTGTACTAGTTAGGTATGTATTATGATACTCTATATAGTTACAATGGTAGGTAGGTATCACACTCTGAGCTTCATTCCGAACGTCTGAAGATATTTTGATGAAATATATGATCAGTTTGATAAATTGGGGGACTGGGACTCTCAACTATATCGTCACCGGTCCTTGCGTTTTGCACTGACTCGGCTGTAGTTATATGATACGGAGGGAGCAATGAGACGTCGTCTGCTTCATATACTAATATTGGGCATGTGAAGGTGGAGTCTAGCGGAGTTGGCGTAGTTGGGGGGACGCCCCTGATTTTATTTCCGTCATGTACCTAGTAACTTATGTATTAGTATCCCTTCTATTAATCTACACATGCCTTGTATTTCTTCTTCTAGATGTTGATCGGAATCGATGGATCCGTCGGCGAGGTTGATCCCGGAGCAGGGCCTGATCCAGTAGTGCGGTCGGCTAGGAGTGGGCTGTGTCGTGCTCAGGGTAGTTAATACTATGTAAGGGCAATAAGGGCAATACATATAGTTAAAGGTTCACAGTCTTATTCTTGTTCTTGTTTTTGTTTTTGTTCCTTTAGTGTCTATTATATAGTAATAGGTTATTCCAGAGTCTTATTGTACATGAAGATGCTCAGCCATAAGTTGAAGAACATTGAAGACATTTAACTCGAAGCCCGTGTTAGTACGGTGTTACAAAACCTACCTAGGGTACCTACCTAGGGTACCTACCTAGGGTACCTACCACATGGGCATAAGCTTTCTCTCTAACAGTTCAGAATCTTCAGATGTTAATCGGGATTAGGGTCTAACCTAGTAACTCTAGTTAGTACCTACACGTACTACGTATTGTATTGTATTGTATTGTAACTACATATATGTACTATGCCGCCGTATTGTACAATACAATACATAGTAACTATCGGAACTTCCCACTAGGGGCCCCATACATGGGGTATTATAGTGGGTATCTACGCTAGTACGTAGTAGTACGTCAACTCGCCAACATTGAATGCTGTCTGGTTGCATGTTCAACGCCGTCTTTTAATAGACTCACCTTTATATCTTACCATTACTACGGCACCACTGCAGCACTGCTACCATAAGGTGTTCGAACTTACGAAATCCAACTTAGGTATACACTCAACAAAGAAAGGTCCTGCCTTTTTATACACTTCATGTAATGCAATCAGCTCTTCTCTAGAATGGCTTCACTTTGCAAAAAGGGAAAATATGGGACAGACTCTGTCAGAGGAGGCTAGGCCTCCTTCTAAAGAGGAAATAACTGCAGATCTGGTAACCAATGCAAAACTACCTTTCCCCAACCTTCCCTCAAGCTGACATTGCTGTGGGCTTAATAGGCCGAGAAGTTTGCTCGCAGATGTTTCGAGCCATTAGAGTTATACTCGTTCAAGGACAACTTCAAATCACTTGCCGACCATGAACAGAATATACGATATCTTAGCGAGGACACTATCGCCCGTTTTCTCGAGCTCCCGGACATTCTCGCCGTGTCGCCCATCATATTTCACATGTTGGCCTACATAGGCGCATTCCCCTTCTTCGAGAATGCCCCCGTCATACTCGGCTTCGAGCAGATGATCATGGTAGTAGCTATCATGACCAAGCGGTACACCAAGATCCTAGCCAGAGGTACCAGTGGTAGAAGGAAGCTATTATTCAAGAGCTTGGCTGTCTACGATCGTAAGCTATCCGAGATTGAAAGACAGCAACGCCGCCACGAACACACACAAGCGCCAACTTCCGTTACGCACGTGCCCGGCTTTGCTGTTGACAAGGCCGGCAAAGACATGGACGATGATGCGATGGACGATGATGACCTAGTCCTGGCTGCACTGGAGTCTCTAGATATCAATGACGTATTCAAAACCGGTGACTTGCACGCCGCAACTACCCACGGGGCCATGATTCCCGCAGATAACTTCAAGAAGTTGATTATGCTTCTTCTACTAGTCTCACCGCTGGATGCCTCGGAGAGCCTATCGAACCATGCAGATCGCGTCAAGGGATCAGAGCTTGAGGATCTCAGAACCACGGCCGAAAATATACTATCCTCCTTCATTAACGTAGAGAAATCCCCTGGAATTACCTACGCGCAGTTCCACAAGGTACTTCCGTTGAACTTCCCTTTCCTTTTCAATGGATTCAATCCCCTATTCGAACACTTCCTTTTCTCCAAGAACCTGGACTTTTCTAAGCGCAATGACGGCCAGTCGAAAGCCAAAGATCCCACTTTGGTGCGGCCTCCTCTACTGCAAGACAACGCTCAAATTCTAAACCTGAGCGTCCTTTCCCAGCTATCTTTTTTCATTAGCGGAAATGACTTGTTCCGGCGATTGCGCTTGTTGTACTCGGGCTCGGAAGCAGGCTTTTCGATGGGAAGCTTCGAGACTAAAGTTTTCAACTGGCATGCACCCACCATCCTCCTAGTGTCCGGGACCAAGCTTTCCGAGTCTCCAGATAGTGGTGGTTCAGAGGGGGCCTTCAATCGTTCGCTTCCGCCGAGGAGGTTTCCTAACGGGAGTCCTACACATCATGACCGTCTAACTTTCGGCGCACTCGTCAGACAGCCGTGGCGACATACGCACAAGGAATGCTTTGGAGGAGAAGGCATGGTACTGTTCCAACTCGGTCCGATACATGACGTCTTTCCGGCCTCGACATTAAACAGCGATTATGTAACCTTTACCAAACCACCGGTAGTTAACCCGGGAATCAACTTCGGTTGCCCATTTCCGAGAGCTGGGAAATCTTCGCGTCACGATTCACTGCGAAATCTAGGACCAGTATCGCTTGTTATTGACTCTAGCTTCGAGTTTGGCGTATTCACCCACGACTATGAATCACGTGGGGGCGCATTCGCCACTAGTGTTTCGCGAAAGTACAACTTTCAAGAACGCTTCCAGATCGACGAGATGGAAGTCTGGGGGTGTGGCGGCGACGAAGAGGCGAGGGTACAACGAGAGAGGTGGGAATGGGAAGCTCGCGAGGCGGAAGCTAGAAGACGCATCAACTTGGGCACAGGTGATATTGCCGCGGATCGAGCGTTACTTGAGATGGCCGGGTTGGTCGGCACAAATAGGAGTGGAGGGTCAATGTCTTGATGTGCGGAAATATTGAGACTAAATCATAATAATCAGCATACGCTCAAGTATAGTTTGAGTGATGCTTGCCTGCCATGAAATAGAATCCGATGTATAGACACGAGTGACCTCGATGTCTAAATTTTGATTTGCATCGTATAACATTATCGCATGAGCACTAACAGATAGTGACCATTAATGATGATATGAACCTACAAAGACTAGAGGAAGATGCTCTTTACCTACAACCTGCCAACCAAGCAACGTTTTGGATCCGTTTTGTACCCGTCGTGCCCCATATGCTCTACTAGATTACTGTTTCCAATACCGAGTCGTTTCATATAGCAATACTTTTGGCGAAATCAACATACTCTGAACACTTCCGAATGTATAGATGAGCTTATTTTTTAGAAGGTTCTTGTTCAATCTTCTTCTCTTCTGACTTCCCGCCCTCGCTTGGTTCCTGGTTCTTCCCAGTGCTAAACCAGCTTCCAGCACCTGATAGAGCGCTTAAGACAGTGGAGGACTCTTTCTTCTCTTGAGAAGCGGATACTTGGCCACCAGCCTCGGAAGCAGTCTTGGCCTTGAGGTCATGGCCTTCTTGTACCGGCTCTTTGGATCCTGTGGCATTTCTCTCCTTTTCGCCTGCTCGCCTCTGCTCAACACGATCCTTCCTCCGTTTTATGGCGGCCTTGAGCTGCTTTTCTTCTTGGTCTCGGACCTCGAGCTCCTTGAGCCACTTTTGGTTGCGCTCCTCGGCGCGCTGCTGGGCCTCGAGCTTGATGAGCTCCTTCCGTTTCTCGCGGTCGGCACCGTAGTAGGCGCCACCAGCAACCATGGCCATGACGGTGAAGGCCTGTGCGCCTATGCGAGCGCGGAACATGCGCTGGACACGGGCATGGTCACCACGACGCATAGCGCGCCAGGCGTTATAGAGAGCCATGCAGGTGAGTGCTGTGCCTATCGAATGGGGAAACATACGGGCGCATTTGTTAGTCTAAGGCGTGACTTGATAGGTATCGAAGAGGGTCGCCGAATGAATGGGAACGATTTACCGAGTGGAATGAGAGGTTCCTCTTTCAACTTGCGGCCGATTTTCTGGAGAGCGGGTTCATTGTATTCTCTGTGAGAAAAATATGTGAGCCATACATATACATATACATATACATATACACATCAATGCACCAGTTAGGATGCATCTATGTTCAGGTCTGGCACTAAAGGGAAAGGAAATGGAGAGGGAGAGGGCAAGAATTACTTGTCATTGTCAAAAGACGAGGGCATAGATCTGTCTGCCATGTTGAAGCTAGAGTCTACTTTCAACTCTGGAGTATTTGAAGTATTTTAAGATCAACCATAAAGAGGAATTGCTGGAATTGATATAAATTCATATACATGAACTCGATTGGCGGCAATTCGATGATGACTTAATAAAGGTCAATTGTGCACTAAGCAGTTCTAGTTAACATTGAAACATCATGTACGTAAGATACATGATACTTATCATGAAGGCGATTTTGAACTTAAAAATTTGGGACTCTCTTAACGATAGAAGTTACATCCGTCAATAGTACATGTAGTAACCTAGACTAGTTAGTAGTAGTGGTTCAAGATGTAGGCGGGGCTTTTGAACCCCACTGAAGCTACCTACCTACTGCCCCACCATACCTACCTAACCTCCTAACCTAGGTACCTATGTATTGTACTATCCTAGCTCGAAGTCTGAAATAATTTTTGGCTTTAACATTGAAGTTTTAACATACATGTATCTACAACCAACATTGAACTCTTATAAAATATCCCTTACACACTCTTCTCTTTCCAATCTTTACTCAATACAATAAAAGTCCCTCCATCCTAGTTTTTCAACATGCCCGGGACAACTGCAGTACCACTTGATACTGCAATGGTCAATGGGTCTAACAATGGCACCGACAATGGCACCGACAATGGCGTGAATGGCCATGTCCCTCGCACTCCCTCCTTATCAGGCCTGTCTCTTACTGAGTACAGCGCCAACCCTTCGCCGCCATCGGAGCGCAAACAAGACAAAATTAGACAGATCGTGCCAGAGGAATACATCTTGCCTAACGGTCACCCTGATGTTCGTCATCCAATCGGCTATCATGGACAGGTCGATGACTGACAATTTGCTTCTAATTTACTTAGTATCTTCGCCTAATTCTTACTTCAAGAGTCTACGAAGCATGCAAAGAAACCTCTCTTATGCCCGCTATAAACCTTTCTAATCGGCTAGAATGCAACGTCTTGCTGAAAAGAGAAGATGAGCAACCCGTTTTCAGCTTCAAGCTACGAGGCGCTTACAACAAGATGGCTCATCTTGATCGAAACCAAAGCTGGAAGGGAGTCGTCGCGTGCAGCGCTGGAAACCATGCTCAGGGAGTAGCCTACTCGGCTAGGCTGCTCAAGATACCCGCTACCATTGTCATGCCCTCGGGCACGCCAAGTATCAAGCATAAGAACGTCTCGAGACTGGGTGGCTGCGTGGTGCTTCATGGCGCAGATTTCGATGCCGCTAAGGAAGAGTGCGCCAGGTTGGAACAACAACATGGCTTGATCAACATACCACCATTCGATGACCCTTACGTCATCGCTGGACAGGGAACCATAGGCATGGAGCTGTTGCGACAAACTAACATTCAGAAGCTCGAAGCCATATTCTGTTGTGTAGGCGGAGGCGGCCTCATTGCGGGCATCGGTGTCTACGTTAAGCGCATTGCACCACACGTCAAGATCATCGGAGTCGAAACTGAGGATGCTAATGCTATGGTCCAATCCTTGAGGCAAGGCAAGCGTGTGGTGCTCAAGGAGGTAGGCTTATTCGCCGACGGCGCAGCAGTCAAGACAGTTGGCGAAGAGACCTTCAGAATATGTCAAGAGGTGATCGACGACGTGATTGAAGTAAACACGGACGAGACCTGCGCCGCTATCAAGGATGTGTTCGAGGACAGCCGATCTATAGTAGAGCCGGCGGGTGCCTTGGCCCTTGCTGGGCTGAAGAAATGGGTTGTGGCCAATCCGTCAAGCAACCCAAATCGATCAGTCATAGCCATCACGAGCGGTGCGAATATGAATTTTGACAGGTTGCGCTTCGTAGCCGAGCGTGCTACTCTCGGTGAAGGCAAGGAGGCTTTACTCCGGATTAGTATCCCAGAGCGGCCGGGAGCCTTTGCCGAGCTGATCAACCACGTCATGCCTCACGCCGTAACAGAGTTCTCCTATCGGTATGCTACTAGTGAAGTTGCCCACATCCTGATCGGTATATCGTTGACTGGCGCGACGTCGGAAAGGACCGAGGCGCTTCAGGCGCTGATGAACCGGACCAACAACGCGGGTATGGCTGCTACGGACCTGTCGGGCGACGAACTTGCCAAGTCACATATCCGCTACTTGGTGGGTGGTCGGTCAGATGTCGCAGATGAGAGGCTATACATGTTCACATTCCCCGAACGCCCCGGGGCACTCGAGAAGTTCTTGAAGACGCTACGGCTGAGGTATAACATCAGCCTATTCCAGTATCGGAATGGTGGTAGCGACGTAGGTAAGATATTAACGGGCATACAATGCCCCGAAGCAGACGTGGTGGATCTAGAGAAGTCGTTCAAAGAGATCGGATATCCATGGGAAGATTGTACGCAGAGCGACGTTTTTAAGACTTTCTTGAGAACCTAATTCCAATTATTTGTCAATAATCAACATGATGCGTATTGCGCATCCTGCTGGTTAACAGGGTTGGGTACAGATTATGATAGATAATGATACCTTAGAAAGTATAAATTTGGCGGTTTCGAGTGTTTCGGGGGTTTCGAGGTTTCGAGGTTTCGAGTATAATATAAAATTACTGCTAGGTATAATACTTACATAGTACCTAGGGCAGTGAGGTATCTATGTAGTGTACCTAAGGTAGGCGGGGGGATTTGAGAAGAGTTGCAACGAGTTGTCCAGCTTTGATAATAACTACATAAATGCATAATATCCAAAAAATGAGTGGATGTGTATGGTTTTATTTGAATAAGTACAGGCGCTATGAGCAGATGTGGTCCCATACATATCTTTTTAACAGTATATAGATATGTACATACTGCATATAACTACCATGTACTATACACTAACTATGCACATGCATGTACTGTAGTTAACTAGGTTAGTAGATTTCAGCATTTTACATTTTACGTCGTACCATACTACCATGTAGTTATTTTACATCGTACGTACCTACTACCTACATGCATACCTACAACCATACAACCAACTTACTCAACTCCGCAGTCTCAATTCGACCTTTACAGATTCACAGATCTGAGCCTCAAAAATAAGGAGGGGGGAACACCAATTATTTCGCAAAGATGGCCAATTCATCGTTAATATCCTCACTACGGGCGTTATCCCTCCGCGCTGCTCCAGTGGTCCGGCAAACCCTACAGACACAACAGTCCATACGTACCATCTCTCAGGCCGCTCTCGCTCCAAGCACGACGGCACGGCCTACAGCGACAGCAGCCAACCCGACTAGAGCAGCACAGGTTTTTGCGCAGCAACAATCGCGGGGCATGAAAGTCCACAGTTCGATCAAGAAGCGATGCGAGCATTGCAAGGCCAGTAACCAACGGGGCATTTCCATCTTAATCCAGGCTACAAGGCTAATATGCGCGTGACAACAGGTTGTGAGAAGGAAGGCCAACAAGCGACATGGTGGCTATCGCTACATCATCTGCCCCGCGAACCCAAGACATAAGCAACGGCAGGGATGATGAACTATTGATACACATGGGACAAATAAATAAGTAGCAATGATGCGGAGGCATGGCTTTGGTATGTATGTACCATATATAGGTACCTACCTAAGTATATAGCATGCTTGCTGGCTATAGGGCGGGGGTGATGAGTAACCAGCAGGCTCTATGGTTTACGTTCCACCAATATACCTCTCCATGCTTTCCCATTGCGTCTTCCCGGTGGATAGTAGATACCGTATATGGTCAGTATCGGTGATATCACGACGTCGCTCGAATTCGGTGCGGGCAAATTTGCGCGTCTCTGCGCGAGTCGTTGGGTCACTGATCTGTTTGGTGCCGCGCATAATACTACGATAGAGGGATAAAGCGCGCGAGCGCAAGAGGAACTAATAGATGCTTGTTAGTCTCAGATGGCCCATCTATATATATATATGTATGGGTATATTAGGTAGGTACGTAAACTCAAGTGATGTACTCCATAAAGAGATAGAGAGACAGATAGAGGGAGAGAACATACATGAGTTAGACTTAGTTTCGCACCGAAGCGACTCTTTGGCGGAGTGGTCGCATAGCGTCGAATCGTAGTGGCTGACGCAACAGCAGAGAGCAAATTCGATGTACCTCGAGACAGGCGCATATGGAGGAGGTAGAAATGGGTAAGTAGGTATATATTACCAAGATACTGGATTCATGTGCATAATTTGTATAGTTGTTGAGTTCAAGTTGCCAATCATGCAGCTAAGCTACATGGCAACCTAGTGTACCTAGTACCCTAAGGTTAGGTACTACATGTAGGTATTTCTGTCTACTTACCGGGGTATGTAATTATTGTAATATTTCTAAATCAGGTATGTACTTTTCACACACATGCGCAGGGGGCATCTTTTTATCCCTATCCCGCGCTCCAATTACAACACAACATACCTAACCTAGGTACCTACCCTAGGTAGGTCACACTCACTCTTATATTTAAATTCTTACCACACATACCTACTTAGACTACATAAGCTTCTTTTTATTACAATAACGCGGAGAGAGAGCTATCGTACCCTCACCAAAAATCTTAATGAATCCCCCCAAGAATGTGAAGCGTAGACGGGCTACCACAAACCCCATCGAGCGAGTAAACCGAAAGGACGACTTGGACTTCGTTAAAGAGCATCTGTGTCCTAGGTAGAGTGTCCCATAGAAATTGTCAGAAGGCCAACCAATAAATCTAACATAGGTGCAAGCACGCCAACGTGGAATGAATGGACCAACCCAAAAACGCAACAGAAATATTCCATCAGCCTCACACTATCTGGAAAACTGACTTCTGAGGACCTCGATGCTTGTTTCAAGCTCGTTGAGGAAACTAGTCGGTCCGACTATGAAACTTCGTCGGCCGGATGGAAACCAGGCAAAAAGCTCGCCGAGATGAAGTCTCCTGAGCTAAGATATATTATCATCAAGGACACAACCGGAAGCGTGCGTGGTTTCATCTCTTTGATGCCCACGTACGAAGAAGGCGAGCCTGTTGTATATTGTTACGAAATCCACCTACAGCCAGAACTACGAGGGTATATCAACTCTGTCGTCCAGAGTAATCACGATAAGCGTTCTGTCCTAACTAACACGACCATTTTATAGGACTGGCTTAGGCAAATTGCTCATGGGGTTTCTAGAGGATATCGCGACGAATACGCCACCCATCAATAAGGTGATGCTCACTTGCTTTTTGAGTAATGAGCGTGCTCTTAGCTTCTACAAGAATTTGGGCTTTGAGAAGGACGAGATTTCGCCTGAGCCGAGAAAGTTGCGGTTCGGTAAAGAGTTTGTCCCTGACTACATTATTATGAGCAAAGTGGTAAGCAATCGCCAGAGCGTAGTAGGTTAGATTCAAGACGTCTCCGGGAAGAAGCCAGGTAATTGACCTCTCTTAATTCTCACCACTGAAATTCATGACATTACCTAGGTAGACTATAACCAGTTATTATACGGATACGATGTCTACGTCGGATCACCCTGTATTAAACAAGGACTGTGCCTACTTACCTACATACGACGTTGACATCATAGTAATCGGCATCGTACCAATGGCAAGGCCAAATTTGCCGGAGCATTTCTTCAAATCGGACGCTAGACAACAGGGAGGTGTAATAGTTGGTACATGGCAAGTAATTCTTACAATACCACCTACCAGTTACAACCTTCAAACAAGCTAGCAATACAAGTAAGATACCTACATACCTACATATGCCATATGTACCCTACAGTAAGTAGTAGATATTTCTATATGGGATACTGGATAGCTTTGGGGAAAACGATAAGGACAAGGATGGGCTGGTTAAATATGATACTATAGTGGACGGCATACCAACCTCCTCGGTTACTGGCTTCATTGTAGCCAAGTATTACAGCCTTAGCACAGCAGGTTACGGTTTCGCAAACATGTCGTCATCGTTGATCGCTCATGTTGGTTCATGTAATGTGCCACCAGAATCGAGATGTCGGATCTACTACTAGTATTCATTCGCCCTCTTCTTTGCGACTCATATTTTTCTTTGGTTCCCCTTTAGATCCCATATCCACCGAACCCAAAATCTAGCCTAAGTGGCGTATCAATAACGAAGTTTACCCATTATAATTTCGTTCAGTATCGAGAGATACCAGGGACGAACTCGGAACCTACCATGGCTCCCGTTTTACCAGTACTGGCTTCCGATAGCTCCGTCGGTCATATAGTAGCTCTCAAGCTTAGCTACATAACTCCAACGAGCACTTGGCCAGACGCTGTCTCCAAGGTTATCTCCGCCCGTCAACAGGGGACCACCACTACTGTCATCGCGGAGAGTAACGGCGATTCAACCCATACCTTGTCCGGTGGAGCAATCGCCGGTATTGTCGTCGGCTCTATCGCCGGGTTCTTGCTCCTGCTTTGGATCATCCGTTCGTGCATCAACTACCGCAACCCTGGGGGGTGGGGAGAGAGTTTCGAGCCGGAGTTTGAGAAATCGCCATCCAGACATCACCATAGCTCGACACGGTACCCCAGAGAAATACACGATCACCGATCGCACTCTCGCCACTCGCATAGGAGTCCCCGGCGCACATCCGTGGTGAGCGTGACCAGGCCTGTCTACGTCGAGCAGCATCGAAGTAGAAGCCCGAGGGCACCACCTACGGTCTACCACTCAGATGGCAGGGATTACCGAAGGTCAAGCGATGCCAGAAGGTATTCGCGGGCATCTTCGCGGGGGCACTAGTTGAATAGGGTCTTACGAAGCAGTGCAATATTATCATTGTTATACATACGACAAGGGATGATCTTGACGCTTATCTTATACGGATGACGATTTGGACTGGAAATGATTTCTTCTTTTTTTCCCTCCTTGACTAAGACATGTCTACCTAGGGACTTAGGGACCTAGTTATACGTGGGCTTTTGGGCAATGAATCTTTACGTCATGACAACTGTACGAATTATACGAAATAGCATGCATTTGCAACATAGTAGCACCTTCAGGGTAGCCAAGTATATAACATCTAATTCTATATATATACCTCAATGCCTAAGTGGACATGAGCATCCAAGAACCCTATCACATTACTGCTTCATCTGATGAGGTCGCCCTGTCCTTCAAAGCTCGGTATTGACCATCACGCCATGAGTCTAAAGGCTCACACTGAGGCATCCATGCAGCGTAACCTCCTACTTCCGGCGGCGCGAATGGCTTATATACGGAAACCTTCAGCACAAATGTTTGTAGTCCACGAAGTTGTCCAAACACTTCATCCTTCAACCAATCCCAGAATCGTCGCGGGTCCTTAGGTTGACCCCATGTAAGCACCACTTCTACGTCAAGCTGTTGTAGACCCAAGAGGGATTCCTGGAGAATGCGCATTGCTCCACGAATAGTCTTCTGCTGCGATGACGAGTCCCAGCCGGTGGATGGCATAATGAGCGCCAAGTGTACGAAACGCACCCTGCGAAGACCCTCGGGGCTTGCGTTTCGACAAAAGTAGCGCGCCATCTCAGCGCCGAACAACGAGATGGTGTTTTCCGAATACAGTATGTCTAGGACCTCGCCGTACACGACACGACACGTGCGCATCAGATCAGTATAGAATACTACTTTCTCAGATTCCACCCATCCCGGGACGAAGTGCGACCTTTCGCCGCATATTAGCCTCGATATGCAACCGTAGCTCACGCAACCGCGTCTCGGCGGAGCGACCAGTTGTTTCAAGGCAGAGCCACCTAGCCCGATAATGATGCGCAGTGACTCGCTAGGCTCATCGTCGTCGCTACGGATACCCTGCCCTACAGCCCAGCTGACAGGACGGGACCCCCAGAGCGGGTAACAAGAGTTGACCTGTGTAACGGCATTCCGTTTCAGTGTGAGATAGTATATGTAGAGGCGGATCTCTGGCGGTAAGTGTAGAAATGAGGTGGCCCTGCCTGTGGTGGCATTCATATTGGATCCAGGTGACTCCGTGGCTATGGGCTTGGACTTGGGTAACCGACGTGTGTTGACACGGTAAAGGTTGCAGGCTTTATATCCAGCATCAACGGTATCTGATGTGGTGTTGTAAGTGAATTTTACAACCTTGTATATACCGTATAGAATCACGAAACATACTTTCGCACCTACTTTCCCAAATCTGTGTCCCACCGTTTCCGGCATCTTTGCATGACAAGACCAAAGGGTTGCAATTATATATGTTTGAGGGGACGCCGAGACGTGAGGGGATGATTATATAAACCTTTTGTAGCATGAATTGGGTAGGATTGGCAGGATTGGCAGGATTGGTAGGACTTGGAGGACTTGATTTGGAGGGCTCTCCAGCTGCTATGGACCTTGGAACTCATCGCGAGAGAGACTCGACATGATAAAAATACATCATTTTTATTTGGTATTCTATCTTCCTGCGTACATAATTGAGTATACGTTCTCCCTCTATGGGAATACATGAGACCTGTGTATTTAGTAGAAGCAGGATGGTTTTTTTGATATAGAATAGGGATCTAGTTAAAATACCCGGCAAATTGCAAGCAATTTAAATTAGTAAAACTTTACTAATTTGATATCTGGAAAATCGTCGCTCCGCAACAATTTTGATTTTAAGTACTATTTCTTAATTTTTTTATTTTTTGAAATACTAAACATGTAATCATGCCTCCGGCGGCTCCTGCGGAGTGCTGCTCGCTCCGCTCGGAAAGGAAAACAGATTTAAATCACCCAAATGTTTAATCCAATTAAAAGCCAGCCATTGGCCAGTTTGAGTGGGCACTTTCTTTCACGTACGACATAGTAAGGCAATAGTTACATAACAATCACGTGATGGTAGGTTCCTTTCACATCAGACACCGATTACATAATACTCACGCCAGTGACGACGGGTTCCTTTGGCATGGATTACGTGGTACTCACGTGACGGTCGGAATACCGGCGTAATGTACGGACCGGACTCACACGTGAAAAGAGTAAATTATACTTCCCTCCAGGCCACGTGATATTGTTGAGAATATCAAGTGGCCCCATCTACTAAGCCTAGATCAACCCATGCGCCGGGACTTACTGGTATTAGGGCTGGGATCGGCTCGGCCGGATGGGGAGAAATTGTCGGATTGGGGGGATTTATGGGTATAGGAGGGAGGTTCGGAAAGCCGGTTGTCGGAGGCCGGCTGTATTTGGGAACCGCTTGCGGCGATGGGACTGCCCCAGGGGGGATTTACGGCTGATGGTACATGTTAGCGTCAGGGATAAACCCTCCCGGAAGCTCTGAAAGCTCTCCTGGAGCAGGTCACGGCAGCAGCGGCGGCAGCGCAGCATTCCGGGGCCGGCCGACCCGCCTCGGAATGGGTGTATCAGCCATTAATTCAATGGATCAACTGGGTTGGGGCTGTGTGGCTCTTGAAAAGCTCTTGAAAAGCTCTTGAAAACTCTTGAAAGCCCTTGAAACCTGAAAAGTGGTTGAAAGGAGGAAGAAAAGAATTACAACAGCTTGGGGGTTGAGAGCCCTTATATAGACCGGTCTAGAGCACGCTCCATCAGTACGTACCCTAACCATCCAAGGCAAAAAGTTAGGCAAACTAAGCGCTAGTAAGCCTATTGAAATTGAAGCCATCCTATTGGCTCAAATCTGGACCTATTGAGCCGCTAGTAAAAAGTGAAACGTTTGGAGCCAACTTTCAAGCTGTTGATTGATTGATTGGGTGCATCGCTTTTCAGCCCCCAAATCCAGCAAACCACCTTCCACACCACCTTCAACACCACCATGTAAATCAATTATTTCAAATATTTCTTGAAATATTTGATTTAGGTGGTGGTGTTGAAGATGATTAATAAGATGGATTAAATGGATCAAATGGATCAAATGGAAAAAAGTTGAAAAGAAGAAGTTGGAATGGAAGAATTAGAAAAGATGGATTGGATTAGTCAGCTTTGATTATTAAGAATGGAACTGAATGGATGGAATTGAATGGATGGAATTGAATAGAAAGTGGCTGAATTGAGGCTGTGGAGGCTCAGCTCCTTATCTTATCAGTTTCTGCGGGAAACAGAGTCCGAGCTTGAAATTTTCACTCATAGGCACGGCTCCACTACACGATTTTATTAAGTAAAACTTTACATTTAACTCGTCCCTCCTTAGTAAAGTTTTACTAATAAGTCATCTATCTATCTATAAAGGGGTATTATGTATCTATTTATCTAGTGAGCATGTGACTTTATCGGAAATATGTATAAAAAGAGGTTAGGTTAGGCATTTAAACTTTAACCAAGAGCATTGACCACACTATACAGAATACACGTGATGACGAGCTTCTTTCGCGTTTCAACACGCTTCTTTATTAATTCTCATTCTCGCATTATCACCACTTGACCACTTGATCACCCCACTTTATATATTGTGGTCGCTCACAATTCCCAATTCCCCAGTGATTGATTGTCTTATCATTGACGTGACTATGTGGCTTCTGGAGAATGAAGATGAAGCTCTTGATGGTATAACAAATTCTACTTCCCTCCTTTTACTTCTAATACTGACAAAATCGCTATCCAGGGAAGCGACTTTGGTTACGACCAGGGAAGCGATATCTTTTCGGTCGAACTGTTGCCGAGCGTACGCAGCATTTCTTATACCCTCACCCCTACTCATGGGTCCCCGTAAATTAACTTAAGCCTAGCCGGTCAGCTTGCTATAAAAGGCCCTGGGGCGGAGAGAGTATCGCGGAAGCACGTCGTCATCCGCGTCGATAAAGTAGCTGAGAGAGATGGGGTACGACGCCTTGATCTTGATATTTATTCCTATCTGTGCTTTTGATTTGCTGATATACCTTATCCAGGAACGTGTTTCGAGTCGTTCACAAATTACCGTTGAGGACCTCGGCTCAAAGTCTGGAACGTGGTTAAACGATGAAAGGTTTAAAGGCGAGAGCCGTGTACTCTCCCAGGATGTAAATATCCTTCGAATGGGCTCTTTCCCTTCTAAATTCCGGCAAGTAATTCTATAATTACTTCGCATGCCCAGAAATTCTGACCATGAACTACCCATTTTAGCATCACCTGGTTTCCTGTAGTTTTGAGCTTCGTGTTTACCGCGAACGAACGCCGAGCCGACCCGGTATCAAAACTTCGAGAGGATCTTGAGCAGCTTGATATCAAGTTCCTTACGGACTATGACAAAGCATGCACCCATGTTGTATCAAAAAAGAGAAACGTTGCAAAAGGCCTACAAGCTCTAGTAAATGGACAGTTCATCGTGACGGATGCGTTTTATGGAGCTATCATCAACGCTGCAACACCCGAGGATGGGAATGATGGTATGACTGCAAGTGCGTTGGAGAGCGATTTCGACGCAAATTGGCCAGATGCTATGCAATTTGTACCGCCACCAGGAGACGAAGCCGTGCCAAGGCCAGTCGAGGCTTTTGCCCCTAATCCTAGCCGCTCAGAGATATTCCATGGCTTCTCCTTTATATTTTATAACCGAAAGCAATTCGACCAACTTCTAGGGCCTATCACGAATGGTGGAGGTAAAGCGTTGCTAAATGAAGTGGTAGAGGGGGAGACAGTCATTGATGACTTCATCCGGTATGTGAAAGGGGTCGCAGGAGAGAAAGGGTTAGGGGAATTTGAGGATGGAAGTGAAGGCAAAGGCGTTGTCGTGGTCAGGTGGATCCCAAGTCCTCCCAAAGATGCCGTCTGGTTCACCGAATTTTACACGTCTGTTTCCTTACGACTTGATCACCGACTTATTGATCAGAAAGAATTCCTCGACGCCATCCTCAATAATGATGCTAGTGGTTTACGAAGACCACTCGAAGCAGAAGCAGACCCATATACACCACAAGTCGAACCGCAGCCTCCCACGGTAAAGGAGACCATGGACATAGATGAACATCACGTCCAACCACAACAACCACCACCTCGAAGACGAGTGAGAGGGACCGTGAAGAGTCGTTTCAAAGGATTTAATGTGGATTTGGAAGATGACGATTTACCTGTGGATTCCCCGGCTCCTGTAGTACCCCAGGCTGCAGAGGCGGAATTTTCACAGGAAGCTCTCTTCGTGTCGCAGGATGCTGCGTCACAGGAGCCGAACGAAGATATCCATAACACTCGACAGTCGCAGCGAAAACGTCGCATACCCCCACTGCCCGAGCCGCAGAATATTATGGATGACTTTGCCCCTACGGCTGCGCAAGTCAAGCGTCGTCGTATCGCTGCTGGAGAAGACCCCGTTCCACGGAGGCCCGCGCCCTCGACAGCGGAACCTCGGAAACCTTCCATCAAAGCCCCCAAAGTTAAGAAAGAAATTGATATTCTCGAACTAGCGCGACAACATCGGGAGGAGGCAGAGGCCCAGGCGAAAGCTGAGAGAGAAGAGCTGGCCATGGCTCCAGAGGACCTGGACCTAGCAGAGATTCGTCGTCTGCATATTGAAGAGCCTATGGAATTGCGGCAGATGCCACTCATACGCACCCGAGAGCAGGATATAGCCGATGGTCGCTGGGACCCAGCATGGAACGGGCGGAAGAACTTCAAAAAATTTCGTCAGCGAAACGGGGTCCAAGGACGGGCGCCACAAAAGATCATCGTATCTCTCGAAGAGGTCAAGTCGAAAGGGTTCGGTATTGGCGATGACTACTGGCTTGAAGATGATAGCCAACAACAGAAGAGAAAAAAGCAGACTCAGTCACAGACTCCAGGCACGGATGGGAGAGCAGATCAAACAGAATCTAATGGGCATGCAAAGGGGCCTCGAAAGCAGACCCAAAGACTGCCTAGTGAGATTCTCCCTCAGGTCGACAGCAGTGAAGATGAGGACCACCGCATGGATGATGACGAGGACGAGAACGCCGATGTTGTCATAGCCCCTGCTTCGAAGACACGGGCAAGCAGGGCATCGCAACAAACAGCACCTTCGCAGTTATCGCGGACCACGACACGTAGCACATCACAGAAGACACAGTCTTCCAGGACAAGCAAGCGGCCCGCTCCGCCTCTCACCAAGGAACAACCGACAAAAAGGTCTCGCTTAGGGTTGGTAGCTGCTAGTGACGATGAGAGTGACGATGAACTACGGTTTAGATTCGGGAAAAGATGATAGGATTCCCTTGCTCACTGTACGCATTGTAGGTGCCTGCTAAAGCTATGTTGCATGTGCATAGGTTTCTTCTATCAACGGGGTATCTCGTCTATATGCCTCGGTAGCCTAGCTCTTAGTTCTGTTATGAGTGAACCATGAGAATAATGAAAAATCTAGTATCTACTTGGATTCAATCCTGGCCTGACCTGGCATTGATATGAGAGTGACGTAGCTGGAATGCCTGTCTGTCTTTCTGATGATGATACACAACCAACCCCATGCTATATCATACACGCTGCCTTCGCCCTAACTGGAATGCCGATTATAATTATTACAAGCTATAGCTTAATGCTCTGGATCAAAGAAACTCTCAATCGCCGTGGCGAAGAAGCACGACTGATTCTTCCACATTAATCAATCCATCGCATCCATCTCACCCGCGCTCTTGGCTTCATGCTCTTCGACGGGCAGGCCGATCAGGCAGCTCGAAAGCATTGTTTCGAAGTTGACCCAGGGGTGGATCTCGCCAAACAATTTGGATCCATCGCGGCCGGCGACGCGCAGTAGCTCGGGCTCGCCACCCGGATGGAAGGGCAGGTATGGCGTGATGTTGTAGACGCGGCCACCGAGCACGGTCCAGGCATCTTTACCCTTGCGCCCCGTCTGCCGGCGCAACATGCTGGGGGTGACGCGCAGGTAGGGGGCGCCGGGGCCCAGGTTCCGCAGATCGGACGATGGATGGTTCGCTAGACGGGCCCAGTCCAGCGGGCTACGACCTGGCTCTAGCGTTACCTTGCGCGAGGGCTTCTGCGGTTTGGTGGAGTGGGTTGGGGGCGGCGCGAGAGTCGAGGTCCCGGGCTGCCGATCGTACTGATGCTGTGGCTGCCGATTTGGAAGCGGTCCGCGTGAGGGAACACCCAGGAAAGAAGAGCCGCCGCCGCCGCCGCTATTATTTATATTGTTCAGAGTAGGTGGGCGGGGTGGCGGCGCCATAGACGTTTTCGAGGGCACCGGTAGCATCGGCGTAGGTAGGTGAGGAGGGGGGGAGGGAGCAGAAAGAGTAGGTAGGGTTGTCAGTGAGGGGTTGACATCGGCAGCACGTGCGATGGCGGCGACTGAAGCAGGAGGGTCGGAGAGAGAGAAGCAGGGTATGTTACTACCGTTGAGCGACGTTGATGGTACTGCTTTTGGTGTGGTTTGGGGCGAAGATGAAGGAGATCGAATCTGTGGTATTGATGCATTTGCAACCCCATTGGCTCGCTGTGTTGCTGAGGGGGTATGGGGAGGAGGAGGAGGCGGCATAGCTCCCTGGTCAGCTATGACTTTAGACATCGTGGTCGGTACGGATTCCGACTCAGGTATTGATGTGGGTAGTGGTTCATCTTCATTCTCATCCTTAGTGCTATCCCCGTCCCCATCCACATCCTGGATGGCACTATCCAGCCTATCCTTTGTCGCCGGCGGAGGTAGACGACGTGTCGGGGGTGGTTGTTGAATTATGGGCTCGCCACGCCATATGGCTAGGAATGTTTGTACCAAAGGTGGCCTCCAGATGACAGCATAGACAACTGAAGCCAAAACCAATGTTAACCCTAGAAGCGCCATTCTTCTTGAGTCAGCTTGGTATAGCAAAGCAACTCTTGATGAGTTTATGATTTCAAAGTTATTCCAGCATGTTAGATGACTCTTTTTTTTTTTTTTTCGCTTTTCCTAAATCAATAATAAATAAATGAATGAATGCGTAAATAGAAAGTTCGTCATGCGCTAAAAATAACTAAGGTTAATCGTTTACTACTTCTTTCGTACACTAGGTTATTATGTAATTTTCTGGGTCATGGAAAGTTATGAATCATGTGTCGTGCAGGATGTCAGCGTAAGCCGATTGTTCAATACGCTAGTGTACTTCGCGATAAGGGAATATTTGGAGATAAGTTCAGTATTAATGGGAAGTACGTAGTACATACATAACTAGTTACATGTACCTAGTAGTTACCTAGGTAGAATCTGGTAGATAACTACTAGGTACCTAGATATACCTAGGTTAAGTATCTACCCGACTTGAATAACCCGGGACCCTGTACCTGATCCACCGATAATACAGGGGACAGCGCTGTACAATTAGTATTACCGTACAGGTCCATCATTGTATGTAGCTGCATGATTCTGGGGCGACCTTGGAAGCTTCTCAGCTTATCAGACTTCTATAGTTAATTCTACCAAGTCCCATCAAGTGTCCAATAAGTCCTTAACTGCGGGGGAGCGGTGTGATGTTTTTCTAGCGCCATAATGTGTAATGCTAGGTACTACTGCACGAATAAACAGAACTGCATATGAGAGAAAGAGGGGGAAAGTTGTAGATCTAAAGTGTTGGACACGACGAACATTCACACGTATGTTTAGGAACGTCATGTTTTTTTTGTGGGTTGCTTAGGAAGGTGTACCGGTAGGAAATTTGTGAGAATCAAATGTTTCTTAAATGGTTCGCCTGATTGTGTGTTTCTTCTCTCCTTCTCCTCTTGTTACTCCTTCGTCCCTCAAATCTTACATAGTATTATCTTTTTGACCTCACAGCCTCAAACCTCTTTCTCCATGCTAGCACCCGTTTACCCTTTATTTTAGGGGCTTACCCACAGATCCATAAGTCTCCAGTTCTACCCTTAAAATTGATTGTGCTACATTGAACCCCCCGTCAGTGTCAATTAGTCCCTGGGTAGCTAGCTAAATTGATAGTTGCCTACCTAGTAGTACTGCATAGTACCTAAATAGGTACCCAAGGCAACTTGAACTGGCAACTTTGAAGTTGCCGTCTAGTATCCATAAATCGGTGAGATCCCGTCAGCACATGAAAAGGGGATAGAACAGAAAAAAGAAAAAAAGAAAACAAGAAAAAGAAAGAGGAAATAAGACAGAGCACTTTGAGCAAGTGCAATCCCGTTGAATAAGGTTTGGCTAGTTTCAATTGGAATTGGAAATTGGTTAGGTACTGGAAGGTAAGGCTCAACCATCCAGTGGGGACACAACCGAGTGTCAGCTGCGAACCTCTCCCTCTCTGTTCGGGAAAAAACCATCCATGGAAAGAAGCATGGGGTTCGATTTGACCTAATAATAATTCTTGTCGCTTTTTTAGCCATGCACAACGCGCCTTTCATCCCTCTTATTACATCTGCTACTACCACTACTGCCACTGCTGCCACCACTGCCACTGCTACTGCCACATCTACAACTTCGTATTATACCAATTCGACTCATTCGACCCATTCGACCCATTCGACCAATTCGATAACCAAGGATGGCCTAAAACGACCCCCTTCTGCTGAATCATTAACATCAATTGGGAATAAGACAAAACATATAAGCACAGGCACAGACACCCACACAGGAATAAGACCAGGGACATCGACAAGGACACGACCTACAATCATATCCACCACCATCAGTGCCAAGACTGCTACAATAACAACCACCGCTTCTTTCTCTCCCTCCTCGAGAACCCCCCTCAGGCTGCGAGACCAAAATGTTGCCCCTGTTACAGAGGTGTTGTTGAAGGAGCCAGGAATAGGAAATATGCCCCCCGATACAACCTCACCTCCATCTACAAACGCACAAGGGAACAACAGTCGATCGCAGATGCCATCACTTAGTGCTGCCGCCGCGAGGGCCATCAATAGGAACCCCCTGACGCCCAAGATCGCCTCCAAGACAGCACATCAGCCACCTGCTATAACAACTACAACCACATCTGCCAGCCGTCGTCCACAGCATCCTACTCTAGCTAACGCTAACTCAAGTTATCGCTCATCCTATCTCGACGAGTCCACATCCTCGTCCTTTGCCTCACATCTAAACGCCAATATCGCCTCTCGTTCTGGCTCTAGACAAACTCGAGCCGAAAGTGCCCATACCACACCGAGTGGTACCCCGAACGTAGAACGATCAGAAGTTTGGGAACCCCGATCTAATTTCGCATTACCGAGCCCAAGGCTCGAAGGAGAGACAATGAGGAGATCAGCCGCCTCATTCAGTTCAATATCTCCGGATATGGGCGGTCATGGAAAGGATACTTTGGACTCTAAGTTCTTTCATGCCAGCGATATGAAGAGTAGTCGCCCAGCATCGGCTTCCAGAACGCCCCAAGCTAAAAGCCCAACTTTCCTCCATGCCAATGGCAACACCAAAGAGAGCAAATCCTCCCATCCGACTTTATACAGCCCTGCTCCAGTTCAATCACAAGAAACCCTTTCTAGTAAATTTATGTATGCCAATGGAACTCCAGAACCTCGACACGCCCCGACGCCTCCGGTATCTCGTAGTTCAGGGTCTACACCATCGACAGGACTCAAGGCGTCCGGAAACCGACCGGCAACGAATCCCTCACTTACACAGAGGCCTATGTCTCCTGCGATACTACCGTCCCTCGCCTCACAAACCTCATCTAAACCCAACATAGGCCCCGGAGCAGGCCGCCCACAAGTTTTATCCAGCCAACAATTGGGTCCTTCCCCGCCCGTGCTGCGCCGTTCTAGCACCGGTACGTCGCGGGCCGGTGGCCATTCCCGCGCGGGAAGTCTAGCAAAGGGGGAGCATATTGTCCCAAAACTTGCAAACTCTCGAGCGTCCCCGGAACCCTTCGTTCCACCGAATGTTCCGTCGACACCTGCCCCCCCTCCTCTGACGCTAGCTTCAATAATACAGGCAGCGGAAGATCTTGCAGATAATGATGGATCAGCGTCCCCAGACGAAGCACTTTCAGGGCTGCAAAGTCCCACAAAGTCTGTCCACTCTATAGAGCCGGCCAATGAATTAGTCGCAAATGCGAGGCGCGAACGCAAAGTTCAAGACTTACAAATCACAAATGCTTCTCTCGAAGCCATCAACCGCACACTTGAACGTCAACTACGAAAGCAAACCACAGAGCTGCGGAGATACCGACGCTTATCGCGATCTAGCCGGCTCTCCGCGGCTTCTACTGCCTTATCCAGTGAAGCACCAGCAGAAGAATTTTCCAATGAAGGGATAGCGGCGACTGCCCTTTCAGATCTTAGTGAAGAGGAACCCGATATAGAAGAGGAAGATTCATTATTCGAAGATGATATGGCATCTGGCTCGGTCAGTCCCAGCGTCGGGGGCGAACGGGATACGAAGCATCGGAAACGAGACGAGGAACGGCTACAGCTTGACTTGTCTAACCATCAGCAACTACTGATCGACTCGCAGAAGATCAATCAAAGCATTAAAAGATGCCTTGACTGGACCGAGGTGCTCATTAGCGAAGGGAAGAAGGCGCTCGAGTATCATGTTAGGGTTAGCGACGTGGAAGTGGGCGGGAGAGTATTGGACCCGCTCGACGATGACGACGAGCGTCCTTCTACTGCGGGTAGCTTTCCTGACGATACGATTACGCTCGATGAAAAATTGTTAGATCACCCCCCGGGGCTAGTAAGCTGGGGATTTGAACCACAGGATAGGGACAGCGGTATAGAACTCACGGTAGTGGGAAGCTAAACTCGGAAGTTAGCAATATCACTGCCGCGGCAGTGCTTATACGACCTTTTCCTTTTCCTTTTCTTTTTCTTCTTCTATTTTCTGGATACAATTCATTACAGCATATAAGACAACCGACTGCAAGCGGCCTCGGGATTACATTATTGTACTGAGCAGCTACATTCTTCATTGGATTCCACCACCTTTTCTTTGTGTCGACTGTAACATCAACGGATACCCAGAAATCATTACGAACAGGCGCTGGGTCAGTAGACCATCTCCCCACCCTTGACGCGAACCAACTTTCCTATTCGAGTCTCATAATGATACCCCCAAAACAATAATGAAGCAAAGAGTCAAAAGAGTACATAACCCGAGATAAAAAAAAAAGGAGTAGACACCTACATAGAGGTAAACGCAAATTCTATCAGAAGCCATACTTGGAGGTGTACATATGTCGACTATGCGAAGACGCATCAGTATCAGGTCGTACCCAGCAAGGGGAGTTACCTAAATGCTCGCAATAGAGCAAGTTGGCGAGTTGAATACAGTCTAATACGAGACTCCACATAGCAATTAGTGTTTTCAATCAAATAAGAATTCAAATTAGTCCAAAATCTAGATACGTACCTAGTAGTCTATCAAAACGATTCATGCTGTTCACATCAGAGACGAGGTATAGTTATTACTTGGGAGTGAGTTTCATTAAATCTCTATATGAACAGAGATGTAGACGTTTGTAATTAGGAGAGCCTTTCTTACCTCTCTTGGTCGAAGTCTCCTTACCGACTAGTCTATACCATAACGACCATTTATGGTCTTGGTTTGCCATCTTTTCTTCCCCCTTCTCCTTAGAATTTGCGTGTATCGTGATATACGCAACACAGTTTCCTACTTTCTCAGATCACCAGCATTTTGGATCTTGGATTCCACTCTATTGAGCTTGAGTCACCCACTCGTTCCATGTTAAGCCCTTTAACTAGCTTAGACGAGCCTTCTCGTCATGAGTTTGCCTCACATGGAAAACCCGAAAACTCGACCATCTGCAGTCGTCTACCCTTCTGTGTCTGGTGGATTTGATAGAGCCCCTGGGGCTAATGGGGTAAACCTGATCAGGACTTCTCTTGGTGCTGGATATCGGGATATGCGCCATCTGTTTCGGGTATATAAGATGCCCTCTTACTAGAATCCTTGTCCTTGCCTTTCTTCTTAGAGTCCTTCTCCTTCTTGATGGCAGCCTCGGCTACCAGCTGCTCGAAGGCCATGTAGTCACCTTCTTCTTCCGGGGATCTCCGAACCTAATGGACAGTTAGCGGATCATGGCTTGTCATGAAATAATCAGGGGCATAAAAATGTGACGGCCCATGGAATGGAAGTTGAACGCCCACCTTTTGGAGGATTTCAGCAATGATAATCAGGGCTTCTGCGCGCTCTAGTCGCTTGAACAAAGGCACTTTCTTGTCGTGGAGTACGCTATCACAAACTTCGCGCAATACGCTCTGAATCTCAAACCTGCTGCCACGCCATGCGGCAGTGAGGATCTTGCCAGTGACTCGGCGCTCGTACTCCATCTTCTTCTCATCAGTCCAATCCTCGCCACCAGCTAGCTCCATGCGCGCCATTTCCTCCATGGTTTGCTGAGCTTCGATGGCCGACGAAATAGTATTCCAAGTATCCTTGACTAGGGTTCCCTTATCCTTCATACGGCTAAAGAAGCCACCAATGCCAAGGAACTTTTGGGACTTGAGAAGCGCGGTGGCTTTCGATAGGTACACTGCGCTAATAGCTTGCAGGATATCGACTCCGAAACTTTCCATCTTGAGGTTCTCGACCTCAAGGCGAGTCTTTTCTTGGAACGCTTTCGTAACGTCGGAGCCTTTGTCCGTTTCGGTCCAGACTGATATGCGATCAATGAGCTTGCGAGCGAGTGTATCAACACGTTCTTGTCTGACTTTGGCACGTTCTTTCTCGTAGGCTGCGAGCTGTTCGCGCTGCTCCTTGGATAATCCACCCTTCTTCTTCTCCTTTCTGCGAAGTTCCTTCTCTTCCTCTGTCTGATCCAAAACATGCGCATCGTCTGACGGGCGATCCATAAGCGCAGGCCGGATAGGGATCGCATGCCTGGAGGGTATCGAGGTTCCAGAAGCGTTGGGTGATGGTGAGGGAACGCGTGGGGGCACAGAAGGCTTCTCGGCAGAGGCGTCAGAATGTCTAGATTGGTGTCCAGGTGGGGTCTTGTTGTCGCTAGCCAGCTTTTCTGGCTCATCTTCGACAACGACAGCGGGCGGTGTGGTGGCGGTGGCCGCGGCAGTTTTGACACTCTCGCGTTTGGCCTCTTCGGTTCCTGGAAATTCCTTCTCGTCAACTTCCCCTGCTCCCTCTTCTTCCCCAGCCATAGTGATATCCATAGTTGTGGTGAGATCCTTCATGAGACTAATCTCGCCGATCCAGTCAGCGAAAGCATCACCGCCAAATATACTACTAAAGAACTCGGCAGGGTCGACAAAACCCTCGGAGGGCTTAGCACTGTCCTTGCCATATTTATCATATGCTTTTCTTAGATCAGTATCGGATAATACTTGGTAGGCCTCGCCAATAGCCTGGAACTTCTCGTGGGCAGATGGATCGTTTGGGTTCTTGTCTAGAGTGGTGTGTTTGTTAGTATGGATAATGGATAATGGATAGTTAATGGTCAATGGGGAATGGGGAATGGGGAATGGATTGCAAAGTGTTTGGTGCGCGAACCTGGGTGATGAACGATGGCGAGCTTGCGATAGGCTTTCTTGATTTCAAGGCCTGTTGCTGTAGGCTTGACGCCTAAAGCATCGTAATATGACGTATCAACTACCATGCTTCCTCTTACTAGGCTAACCACGAGTATAAGGGTTGGGTCTGTTCGCGCGAGTCTGCGGGGGTTGGAGGTAGGATAGGATAGGTACACGTGGACCGTGAAAAGGAAGTGAAGAAAAACTGGCGATCCTCTGATTGACGTGGAGGGGGAGGGGTGGGATAGATAAAAAAGAACAAAGGTTGGGTATAGCTGTATAGTTTATCTTCCAAGTTATTATAAGTCGTGTGTCCAAGAGGAAGGGAACATGAAATTTGAATAGGAGGTAGGTGTCAGGAAGGTATTGTGAATAATGCAAAAGATAATGTAGATACCTAATGTTACTCAACAACTTACATACATAGAAGAGAGCACGAGATAAAAAAAAAAGAAAGAAAGAAAAGCTATGACGAATGTTATCAGCCTACATGTACACATGTACCTACTACCAATGTCCGATGTCCATTGTCTATCATAATACTAAGTAACTACAGTAGGTACTAGGTAAGTTCAAAGGGGATAATATGGGCCGTCCCTGAATATGGGCCGTGGGGCTGGCCCTTACTGCTTTAAGTAAGGCTCTTACTACTTTAAGTAAGAAGCGGTACATTCTGGGAAGCGAAACGAGCTTTTTTAGTTAATGTGATTGGTTGGGATAGCTTCGCAGTGAACCAATGAAATCAAGGAGCTAGCACAACCTAGGTTTAGCTCAGTTCTAATTCTCAATTTGGATCAAAACGTCCTTAAGGTCCGAGCTTTGGCAGACTCTTTGAAGGGCCATGTGTGAGACAGTAATATTAATACTGTGCTAGACTGTATAAGTCAGCCAATTAAATAAGTTCAAAATTACAAGAATTATTATGTAATAAAATGCTCGCATCACGTGACACTCAAGATTTATACAGGTTTCATAATATTGCATAATTACGTACCTAATCTTGGTGCGCTAAGCGCCGCTAGTCCGGAGCCTTTAGTACACACCAATCTTCAACCTGGTGCGATTAATTCAATTCAAGATCAAATCTCTATTCAAAAATACAGATCAATAGCCCTTAATTAGAGATTTTGAATTTGCCAGGTTGCACGACTTCAACATTATTATTGCCGAAGTTATTTGATACTTAAACTGGTAGCGGTACCGCGTACGGGCCATTAGAGCCATATGCATCTAATGTTTTTGTACTCTTAAAGTAATCATCCAATTGAAATTATCCGATAAAAGTCATCTTAGTAAGCCGATAAGAATAAGACCTTTCATTGGCTAAAAGATAAAATGGAAAATATCAAAAAATACATAGAATTTATGTGGCCTTCTTAAATTTTATTGGCCAACTTGGCCCCACGGCCCATATTCAGGGACGGCCCATATTATCCCCTTTGAACTTAGGGCCTGGTAGGCTACCTAATGTAGCTTTACCTACACATGTCACATGTGCATATCATCAACATTGAATGATGCATATGTATATACCCAGATACTTGTCATTATTCCTCGCTTTATGCCCCGCCCCATATGAGTCTTGAACCTACCAAGATATAATATATTTAAGACGTTTAAATCGTGAACGTTGTCATGTTTCACACATCAATGCATTAGACAATATCATTTGAAAACATGTATTTGTAATGCTGTATAAATACATAACTACCTACTCTAGGTGTTAAATACTATTAACCTACATATGTACCGAGGTAGGGATGGATGGTGGGAATCCGTGGGATCTTGGGAAAGAATTTGAATGAATCTCAAATTGCCCCGCTGTAGTATACTGTGTATGGTTTTGGTAAATATTCACAGGCACGCAAATCATACATATGCATAGGTATCATCTAGATTATGTACCATGTAGTTACTACTATCCATGATATGTACAGTGTAGATATAATAGTAGTATGCACCTACAGAGTATATAGTAGTATTAGGAGTAGTTATTAGTAATTAGTTATCTTAGCAAGCTTAGCCTTGAAATTTTTTACGCCACCACAGCCACCACATACATGGACCGTGCCATGTATCTGTGGGGCTGTGCGTGTCGTGTCAAAATTTCAAGTCTAAGACACGAGTGTGATTTTTTGAGGTTACCTCCCCAAAACGCCATACAAATTTTTTTTTTCTTTCCGACAAAATAATCAATAACTAAACAACAAAAATAGATATCCTTAATTTCTAAACGCTCGGAGGTAGATAGATTCCATATCAAGCCCTGTATACATTTTTTATATGTTATAGTGAAAAGATTCAAAAAATATGGACAATAACCTAAATTTAGGTTACCTCCCCAGACCACCAATTGCCACCCCTACTAAGCGACAGCAAAACAACGAAAGGCCCTATCCATTTCAAACAAGCTCTTAGGGCTAGTGATAGATATTCTAAAGCCCGTTAGCATTTTTTCTGATTTCTCTGTCGTGATGTTGATGGTATTATTTGATTCGAGGGGTGAAAATCACGAATCACGAATTTTTACCATTATAGAACATTGACACTCGGCGATAATATAACCAATAATGTTCCAATCAATCCCAAACTTTATTGACTCGTATTATTATTTAAGAGCGTGGCTCTTGTGGCTCTTTAAATGGCTCTTTAAATGGTTTGACTGGATTGATGGTACGGTATATGTGCCGTCTCAGAAGGGCAGGTGACTGCTTTTCAACGCGTTGTATTTTGTCTTAACGCGTTACTATTCTCGTGGCCTGGACAGGCTATAAAAAGACAATTGTCTACGTTATTATGTGTGGGAAAGTAACTATTTGGCGTATCGCGTAAGTAAGTTTGATGTGGCAACTGATGGGAGTGACGATACTTATGTAACTTTATGGAATATACCAACAACTAAAAGCCGTAAAAATACCAAAAAAATTGTATTGAATTCGCAATGGCGTAATTATCTGTATTGGAGTAAATTTGGATGCTTGTTTCTTGATTGTAATGATTATTTTGATGTTTTCAATATTTGTTGTAGGGGGCTATCATATAAACGATCACACTCGTGCCTCAGACTAGGAGACGGTTTTGCGTGGGAGGGGTGGGTCTGGGGTCTGATTGGCTGAAAAGTGCTGTGGCGCAAAAGGTACAAAAGCAAAACCGTCTTCCTAGTCTAAGCCACGCTGAGATAAGTAATTAGTTCAAAATAACTAATAATTGAACGTTGAATATTGAATATTGAATATTAAATATTGAATATTGAACTTTGGAACCTTAAAGAAACCACTTTAAAAACTTCTAGTTGGAAGGGTGAGTACTAGGTTGCTTTAGGTAGCTTACATGTGCACTATAATGCCCCTATGTTACTAGTATTAATAACTAACTAGTAGAACCTGTCAAAAGACCCCCACCCGAGCTTATTCAACCCCTGCCACTTTCATCCTCTCGAAGCACTGTCGGTAAGCCTCATGAATCTCTGGTACTGTATAATTGTACTCCTTCAACTTCCCTTCTAGCTTCGTTGTATCTAACAAGCAGTTACTTCGGCCTGCCTTGATCACCTTGGCTTGTTCTTCCACACTAAAGTTCTTCCACGTGAAACCCGGACGAATTATGTCTCTAAACAGCGTCAGTACTTCGTTGTGGCTAATAGCCCCTGGGTTAGTGAAGTTATAGATCCCGGTGTCATTATGCTCCGCCATCAGGATGGATGCCGGCAAAAGGTCGGTCAGGATCGTGTTGCTGTTTGGGATGTCGACTACCCGATCATACTTGCTGATCTTGGTGACGAAGTTGCGTGGATGTAGGTTATCGGACACCGGCATACGCAAGCGGAGGATCAAACAGTTTGTATAGTATTTGATAACCTGCAGGCCATCCCAAGTCAATCGCAATGTTCCCCATAGCCACAAGCAAAGAGCTCGACTTGGGCCCGAATTTATCTTACCTCCTCAACATGGCCCTTGGTTTCGGAATAGAAGCTGCCGGTAAAATTGGCCGGGTCCGTCTCCTTAAATCCAGGACCTCCAATCGGGTGAGCATCATCGTAGTGATATATGCACCCGGTAGCAAAGACAGTACAGTGAATGCCGGCAAGAAAGCAACAGTCGGTCAGATTCAATGTCCCAACCACATTGGATCGTATCGTGTCCTCCTTATGGTCTTCACACCAATCGACATTAGGACGGCCGGTACAGCCAGCACAATTTAGAACGTGGGTGGGCTTGACCCTGTCTAGCTCGGCCTTGACTGCTTCACGGTCTTCCATACGGGTAGTCGTGGTAAAAACCTCCTTGCCTTGTTTTTTGAGAATCGACTCGAGATGGCCAGCAACCCAGCCCTTACCGCCCCAGATCAAAAATTTATGTTTCTTGATTTCATGCGTTGCCATGATGGATATAATGGATTATGCTGTGTGATATTAACGTCTCTGATTGGTGATGTGTGTATAAGAGACAAGGGTGAGAAGATGATGCTCCAAGCGCTTTTGGATGTAAGAGAAAAGAACGAGTTGAAAATTCAAGGGCAGCAGAGGTAGTAAAGCAAGATCACAGAACTTTAGCAGAATAGCAAAAGAGTGGTAGATATTAAATCAAATCGCAATGATGTTACAGCTTGAAGTTTCAACATAAGAAAATCATAAAAGTTAAGGTAAAGGTAGGTGTAGATTAATACATATAGATACATACCACATACCTAGAGGCTAGGGTAGGCTATGTAGGGAATAGGGATATGTTCCGTTGTACAATACGGTGTAGGTGTTGAAAGTATTGGAGGGGCAAAAACATTGAATTGGCCTTGGCATAAGTTGCACGTACGTACATACATACGTACATATGTACCTAGGGTAGGTACATACATAGTTACACAGTATTATGAGTAGTACGGCGTAGTACTGTGCTCAGTGACTGCTCATGTCCCGGGTGATCGGCAATGCTTGGGAAACACCAAACAGGTCGCCTTCAGCGATAAAGATAATACGGAGGAAACCACGACTTTACGGAGCAATATCATTGATGCATTCCTCAAAGTGGCTCAGGTAGGTACACATCAAATTTGGATAGCACCCTGCTAAATTCTACTACCGTAGAGCCCGGTGGGAGTTCCTACATACATAGTACAAACCTACATAGTAGTGATAGTTATATATCTCAATCCAAGAGGCATTATATTGTAATGCTGTTAGTTATACGGAAGTAGGACAAGTTTATTAGGAACCTTGAAACTGTCATACCTTATGTACAATCATCCATATTGTGTACCTACGGCCCTACCTACTGTAAGACCTAGGTGTGTGCATAATACCTAGTATTAATTAACTAAATGTTAACGCTAACTTTAAAATATTGATCAAGTTGTGGCTTAGTACTTACTAACTACATAACTACATAAATGAAATACATAAATATATAATATCTACGTATTCGCATCATGTACATATCGGATCTCTCATATGCTACTAGTTACATAACTATATGCAGAGGGTTCCCGAAATTTAAAATCTTTGATTAAGGCTAGCTGGAGTGGGCCAAAGCACAGCTCACCCCCAGCTCAGCCAATGGACTCGTAGGTTCACTCCTTTCTACCTCTAGCTTTGCTACTTAAAATTTGGTGTGGGGACAGAACCTTGGACCTCCAAGGTTGAATTTGATCCTACAATCCTTGTTAAGGGCGGCAATAACTACTATGTAATATACATATGTTGTTTAATGTTTACAGTACTTGTGTAGGTACATGCTAGTGTAGGTACTAGCTCCAAATGTTCTTAACAGATTCGAACTTGATTTTCCGACTTCCAAAGTTTCTAGAAATCGCACAGAACACATCAACAAAGTGCTGTCGTGTTCCTCAATCCCAATCCCCTAATATAATCTTTATTGTAATGATATCTTTACTTTTTGCAACAACAACCTGAACACTTAGTACCATCGTGTACTACGTATCACGTATCACGTACCACGGCCTACTACACAATAGGTGGTCTCTGATATTACGTTCCAGTGCATCGCGATATCTTAGGAACTATCATCAGCATTCGTAGAGACGTTGTCCTTTCGTTTACATATATTTTCCCCTTTTTTCGTATTCGTTCTGAACTTCGTCTCTAACCTAACCATTTCTTCCTCTACCAACCGCAAAAATGGCTGGCATCAAAAATATTCTCTACTACACCTTTCACCCGAATCAACTTCGGTCAATCATACAATGGTAAAACTTGTCACTCGCTTTTCCATATCATACGTGTCACTGACTCAGATTTTCAAATTACAGGAAACTATGGCACGACCCGGCGTACAAGCGTGATCCTTCCAAGGAGTCCCCTACTCTGCGATCGTGCTTTGAACTGTTGAATATGACGAGCCGCAGCTTCGCCACCGTCATTCAAGAGTTACAACCTGAGATGCTCTTAAATATTGCGCTGTTCTATCTCGTGTTGAGGGGACTTGACACTATTGAGGATGACATGACACTCCCGCTTGAAAAGAAGGAGCCTATGCTGCGCGAGTTCTCCAAATATATGAAGATTGATGGCTGGACTTTCACCGAAAGCGGCCCTAATGAGAAGGATCGCGATCTCCTTGTTCATTTTGACGACGTAATCGTGGAACTAAAGAAGATCGACAAACATTATTATGACATTATTGAGGACATCACTATCAAGATGGGTAACGGCATGGCCGACTACGCCCTGAATGCCGAGTTCCAGGCAGGTGTTGAGACTATTCCGCAATACGAGGAGTATTGCCATTACGTGGCAGGTTTAGTCGGAGAGGGCCTAACGCGCATCTTTGTCCAAGGAAAGACGGCGAACCCAGCTCTCCTGGATCGCATGGAGCTATCAGAGAGCATGGGCCAATTTCTACAGAAGACCAACATTATTCGTGATGTGCACGAGGACTTCGAAGACAAGAGGAGATTTTGGCCCAAAGACATCTGGAGCAAGTATGTCGACAAGTGGGACGATCTATTCGACCCTAAACACCGTACACAAGCTTTATACTGCAGTTCCGAGATGGTTCTCAACGCCTTGAAGCATGCTGACGAGTGTCTGTTCTACATGGCTGGTATCAAGGAGCAAAGCGTCTTTAATTTCGTCGCAATTCCTCAGACCATGGCCATTGCTACCCTAGAACTTGTGTTTCAAAATCCCAAGATCTTTCATAGCCATATCAAGATCACCAAGGGTGATGCTTGCCAATTAATGTTGCAGTCGACACAGAATCTGCAAGTGGTGTGTGATGTTTTCAAGGGATATGCAAGGAGGATAGCTAAGAAGAATGACCCGCGAGATCCTCACTATCTTGAGATCAGTGTGGCTTGTGGCAAGGTCAGTCGCTTTTTTTTTTTAAATCCTAGGAACATAAGTCAAGGGATATTAACCAAACTTGTCCAGATTGAGCAATTCATCGAGACACTATTCCCCACGCAGGACGCGCGAAAGCTAAAAGCTTTACAAGACACAGAAGGACAAGAAGGTGCTCAGAACGACTTCTGGGAGGCCCTATTGTTGGTTGGGTCTGTAGTATTCATTCTTCTATTCATATCTGGTTTGATGGTATGTAAAACTCGTATCCTACGAACCCTAACATAGTTGGCGGATATTGACAAAACTCGTACAGCTTGGCTTGGCGTGGTATTTCGGGGCACGGTTTGACGTATTGTTCGACAAAGAGGTAGCATCTAGCCTTAAAGCCGCCAAGGCGACGGCGACGGCGACGATAACGTCTCTTGCCCACGAAGAATTATAGAGAGCGCACTTTGGAGCTCTTGCATGGCGTTGGGAGGATTTATAGGGTCGAGGAAAGTTGCACTAACAACAAGGTTACTATGGGCGAGTAGCCAGCTAATGCCGTCACGCGTAATGTGGTAAGGCATTGTAAATATCCCTACAAGACATGACGGTATGCCCTGTTTTGAATCATTACTAATAAATACTAATACTGTAACAATTACATCTCATTCTACAGTCTTATAACCCCTTTGAGGAGTGGCTTGATAAAATATGAGAATGGGTAGCACGGATGTCAAATTACAACCTAGTCTTTCCATGACTATGGTTGTGCCGAGAAGTGCTGAAATCAAACAACATGGCGAGGAGTACCGAGTCCATCGTGGCTCGTAGGCACACTATTGGGCTGTCGAACTCGATGAATTTCCAGATAGGGTTCCCCATTGTGGATCGTCAACATACCTTTCTTTACTTTATATGCTAAATCCCCCAAGTAATTATTGGTAGAGATGTTAACAATGCAAACCCCGTGAGTTGGAAGCTGCTTTGGATATATTCTGCTATTTTACATCATGGTACGGCTACGAACATGAGAGTGCTCTGAGACACCACGAATCCACGATTGACTCTGTAATATCAATACGTTACTCTTGCTTCCCTTGTACCTGCGTAGGCTAGCTCTCGATGACGGCCCGGAGCTAGGAACAGGACAAGCATGGCAAGGCGATGGACATGGTTATTCACGGACATGAATATTCTTGGCAATGCGTCTTATTCATCGTCAAATCGATCTACCGAGATTTGGATATAGACAATGGCGATGGCGTAATACTTACCAGCATGTCAACCTAGGTAGGTAAATACACGTAGTTATATGCGTGCTTGTCTCACATTGAACCCCAACGTTTCGAGGCTGTAGAGGAGACGATCTGTTATTAGTATTTAACTTGTTATTAGTAATTCTGGCTGGAGCCGCTGGGCTGGCTACCTTGGCTGGACGTGTCTATTTTTTTCTTCTCGCGGGTCTTGCCAAGCAGCTGCCAAGATACGTTTCATCGCCAAAAAGTCTCAAGTTGTCGAATCCAAGACCTTGGCTTTCCATCTTTTGTCTCATATCCCACAGTGAATTGCGTAAGCGTGCGGATCTTCCCATGCTATCGTGTAGAGTAGACCGTGAGCACGTAATGCGGTTTGCGTGCTGTACCATACTAGGCACTATGCTTTGCCGATCATCAACTAAGCTTTCTCGACTTCTCGACTTATCTATAATTAAATTCTAGTTTAGACATCGTAGAGGGATGAGAGGCCTGGGATAATTGTGTCGATGGACGCGATGAACACGATGAACGCTGGATGAATGAATTTGAATAATGTCGCTTGATTTGATATGTACCATCTATCTTCTTGTTCTGTCTTAAAAAATAATATGTGTATATACAATAGCAATGATAGTCTTCGCTTGAACCGTCACCGTCACCGTCGCCGTCACCGTCACCATATCATCATCATCATTGGTTTCCGTTGTTAGCAATGACATCGGTGGTGCCTCGAGTGTTGCGTCGAACACTTGCGCCAGTAGCAGCACCTAGCTCCTTTATGCGATCCGAGACCGCTGTGGCGTCGGTAAGACCCTCGATAGACATAAGGTAGGCGGCAAGTCCTGCGATATGTGGTGAAGCTGTAGTCTAGATTAGCTCATGTATTCTCTTTACCAACTGCATCGAGTCCGCATGGAATAAGAAAGCCAGAGAAGAAGGGAAAATAAAGAATGACATACCCATAGAAGTACCGCTCAGCGTTTCGCTAGCCGTATCGCTCGTAATGCCGACGCTCTCTACGTCGACGCCAGGTGCAAATACGTCCACCACGCGACCAAAGTTGCTAAAGCTTGCTTGTAGGTCGTTGGTCTGGTCGATAGCACCAACCGTGATGGCGTTGGGGCTGCTTGCTGGGGAAACATTGGCCGCATCCTGGGCCTCGTTTCCAGCGGCCACCACGGGTACAACCCCGTTAGCGAAGAGGCGCTCAATGGCATCGTTGATAGCTCGGGAGGCGGGACCACCAAGCGACATGTTCATGACAGATTTTCCCTTGGTAGCATCTTGCGCAACGAAGTTGAGGCCGTCGATCACGTCAGCATTGGTGCCACCTCCTTGGGCATCAAGAACCTTTACGCCAACCAGCTTGACATTCTTGGCCACTCCAAACGTTGCGCCCCCAATGGTGCCTGCAACATGAGAGCCATGGCCATTTAGATCAGTAGCCTGTTTATATAAAAACAATCGCAATGTTAGCTTCAAGTTTTATATGTCTGGGGGGTTTTCCCCCTTTTCATCTCGCGCTTTCAGCAAGTGTGGTGGGTGAGCAAGTCTCAAGCGTACCTCTTCTTGTTCAACAGCGTTAAAGCCCATCGTTGCCCGTCCTTCATAATCCTCATGCGTAACCATTATACCAGTATCCACAATGTAAGCCGTAATGTTTTCACCACCTGCGTCGTCAAACACGTAGCCGTTGCCTCCCACTTCAGCATGACTTAATCGAACCAAACCGGTGGGTGCGTTGGCCTGGTTGACCAGGCCAAAGGCCTTGACGTATGTGTTGGCCTCGACATAGTTGACCATGGCCATATTGTTGATCTCGTTCATCATGAGGTCGTCCGACTCCAAAGCCATACCGCGCCATCCCGACATGGCAAAACTACGAACCCTCGTGGATAGTAACTGGCCATTGAGACCTCGCTTGCCTAGGTTGCGTTTCCTGACTGCCATCTTGACAGATGCTTCGTGTGCGCTGATTTCATCGTCGGTAGTATTCTTGTGGTAGACCACGATGTACGAGTTGGGGACCACGTCCGTCGCATCTGGATTACTAACGAAGACCCCCAGTGATGTCCCGGACTCGGCAGTAGGTCGCCATACGTTCAAAGGGCTCGCGAAGGTGCCCAGCGGGGTTAGGGCGAGAAGGGTGGTAAAGATCTTGCTGAGACTGGGCGCCATGATGAAGAATCGGAATTGGGATATTTCCTCTTTTGTGCCAGACAAAGATTCTGAGGATTTGTCTTCAAGTTGATAAAACCCTCTTTTTCAAGAACAAGAGAAGGACTTGAGATCAAGTATATACCGGATGAAGGGGAGTTGGGAATAATATGTACAAGTGAGTGGTACGAAACGAATATGAGATTTTTTTTTGGTAAAAAATAGAAGGATAAGGATGCAAGACGAGTCTAGGTTAAGCAAGCAAACGAAGATGAAGAAGAAAAATGGAATAAAAGTTTGCACCCTAACAGTCCGTTCTACGTCCTATGTCTTTTTGAAGAAATGGGATCCACCCGGAGAAGAATAGAAGAAAAAAACAAGTTTGGTAAGGATGGTTGAAGAAAACAAGACGACGAGGAAAGCGTGGTGAGAAAACAAGACGAGGGACATGGGATCTTTAAAGAGTGTTTTAATCGGCAGCATAGCCGCATGTAGTATCATATGTATCTAGCATATTTACTAGGTAGCCTCGTAAGGTCCTGCCCCATAGATGAACCCCTTAAGCATGAGAGCATGGGAGCATGGGAGCATGGGAGATTCAGCAGCATCTTGGTCGGCTAGACATGCAAGAGGCTACAGAACATAGCTTAGAAGGCTCTCCAGAGTCAAGATGCTTGCCTGAGGAGTTCGAGATGGGAGCCGCCATAGGCGCCAAGTGCCGCCAAGTCAAACGTCGAACCCCTTGAACGCCGCGTCGATCCACAGACAGGGGCCCGGAGCGCCTTGTACACCTTTAGCCAACTCGTCAGGCCCAAACGAGGTCCTGTGACAGGCTAGCTGGGAAAGTAGCAGGGTGATCGTGTTGCAACGAATGCATTTCATAGCCAGATCGTTGCGTGCATCATTCAATGCCCCAGACTATACTACAGTAGGGATCCGTTCGGTTAAAGTCTTATTATCGTTAGCAGAAGTTGCAGAACCTATTCGTCATACAAGAAGCAACTTGATGGATTGGATTCAATGTTGTTGTTACCACAGATCTGTATTGTACAACCCAAAGGATGCTCATTTATAGAATTTATGAAGCAGAGCTCAATGTACACATACCCTCCCTATGTAGTATGTAGTACCTAGGCAGTTATATATGTATGAGAGATGCCTGAAAGGACCTTTTTTGGATTACGAAGCCATCATGAAATGGCACACAGCTAGCATGGATTAATAAAAATTGTAGGAGCAAAAAGAACAAGTTTTGACGACTGGCCAGCAATTAAAGACACTGGGTGACTGGGTGTATGTTACTTGTGTAGTTACTAGTTAACATTTGAATTTTAAAAGTCCAAAGTCCAAAGTGACAAAGTCCAATATTAATTAGTAGAGATGGATCCATTGAGGCATCCGTCCGTCCTGATCCATATGTAACTGCGTTAGGCTGTTTGAAGTAATAGCAATCGCTGTATTTGCTGATTTCCATTGGTCAAAAATACAAACTTACCATATGAAACCACAAGCTTAAATTCACAGTCTATTACTAGTCTACTAACCTAGTAGTATTGCGAAATAGGTAGGTAAAAAGATAGTTACTAACGTTATGTCTGTACACCTTTTGTACTGCTTACCTAGTAGCTAGTAGCCTAGTACTGCTAATGATTTGATGATGTACTAGGTACTGTACTGTAGGTAGGTAAAGGTCCCTGCATTATCCTGCATTACATATGTACTATCTACATACTATCTACATACTATCTACACACTATCTGCTTTACAAGCGATGTACTGTGTCGTGTGATTGTTTTCTTATCACAATCAGATCCTATTATAACTTCAATGCTTATAAAAAGTATCGAAACTGTCTTTAGTTATATGTACCTACATCTTGTTGTTTGCTGGGACCCGTTTAGACCATTGATAGGACTTTTGGTGGGAGCATTGAGGCGTCAATACGTCAAAAATGTTTTACGCACGTATAGTACTAGACTGTGCTGCCGCTATACGGAGGTCCCGAACTGCCTTTTTCCCTTCTTTTCCCGTCTTTTCCTTGATATATTGTCACGCTGGTTGACTAAATCGTATCCACTTTACATAGTATAATTTCTCATAGATTAGGAACGGGCATGTTAATAACCTTCCTATGTATAAATGTTACTAATTAGTGTTAGGACTAATACTATACAGTACTGTGTAAGTATGTATTCTCAAGTCATGCCAACTTCAGAACGCGAGTCATTCAGGAAAAAAAAAAGAAAGTAAAAAAGAAGGCTTGTTGTTGCATTGAGAAAGGGATCGAGGTATAGACATAGACATGGAGAGGCAAAAGCTGCAAACCGCTCATGCAAGTAATTCCGATGCGGATCCACTCCGGCACGCTCAGGACGTTGAATGGCGATCTGCTGCAAGTGTGCAGTCCACTCAGAGGCCAAAGACAGACGCCAGCCGGCCCAAGAGCACCATTGTACTTCATACACGTAGACTGCTACTACATATATGTATGTATGTTCAATGTTGGTCAATGCAACATGGTGGCTGTATATGTATGTTGGTTAAGTTGGTTAAGTTAGTTAAAACACCAATAGATGTCTATTTTTGATATTGCATGCGCAAGAAGATAAGAAGACATTATTATGTATAAGAAATGAGGATACTAGCAAAGCAACATCGAAGGGAGGATTCTATAAGAAGCGTTCAAGTGATGGTATATATGTACCCTAGGACCTACATGTAGGATCTAGGTAGGTACATACATATTTGTAAGGTTTATTATGTATCGATTGATTATTGATGTTGCGTGTAGTACTACATATGTAGTACAATACAGTAGTAGGTGCGTGAGCCTTGAGGTGCGTGCCACAGTACAGGGTATATGCCTACTATATACCTACAGTGCATACATGCATATTTGTGGCTACCTAATAAAGTACATGCATACAATGTCAGGACTCAGCAAGAGCGATAACTAACATGATAACATCGGTACCCCCAATATTCAATGTTGAATGTTAACCCGACTGGAGCGGCGCGTACTATCAATGATTGATAAATACTATGTACATTGTACATACTAATGTAAAGGTCCCCTCCCCGGCAAATCTGTCAACGTCCAACATCCACGTTCGTTCATTTTGCATCATCCCAAAATCCAGTGTCTCTCGTGACCTCTTAAAAACACAAAATTTAGTTGACAAAGTCTTCTATTACACTATTATTTTCAACTTCAAAACCACCTTGTTGACCCGATAAATTCTGTTTGGTTCAGTTTAGTTCAATTCAATTCCATTCACACATTACATTACCGACCAAACGCAATCACATCACTCACATTCACGCTGTAAACAATTTCCTTTTGCGGACATTCGACTCGCCCTAATCTCATATTGGGTGGGCATAATCGACCCCCTTCCATCGAACCTCGAGCCTCGAACCTCGAACCCAGAACCCAGAACATCGAACGTCTTAACCTCTAGAAACGCGACTTTTCTTCGAATCAAGGGACCCTCTCTCGGACTACACCTACTTACCCGTATACTTCCTTATACTTCCTTATCCATTCTACATACGTCTGGCTAGCCACATAGTGTAGCCCGGCGGCTAACTTGAAATTGAACCAACCATTCCGCGGCTTGTCGCCTCTTCAATCGTTTACTCAATTACTTCATCTCCTCTAGTAATCGCTAGGTCTTCAGCAGCTCACTGGTCTTTCTTTTTCTTTCCAAGACCTTCACAATTTTAAACCAGCGACCCCATACCCTGTCTGAAATCTACCTCCGACCAACCAACAGGCAGTCGGTGTTCTTCCCCAGCCCACAAGCCATGGGCATCATCATCTCGTAATTGATTAATATCCAAGCATCATGGAATTCAAAAAAATCACGGCAGCTTCTAGGGATTCTGCCACCTTTCACAATGAGGATACGACCACGAACAATACATTCGAGTCTCACTCTCAGAGTCTTCATCTTCCGAGAGAACCTTACCTACAAAGAGACATGTCGGCTGACCGAGACGAAGATGAAGATGAAGATGAAGGTACCGCCACCGTCGAACTAGCTGCCATCATGACCACCACATCGACACCCGTCACGCCTGGTCCTGCAAGTCCACCTCTAGAACAGCCCAAGTCTACCGATTTCGTCCCCCCTACACGCCCCAGCAGTACTCCATTCCCCAATGCCCAACAAGGCCAAACCGATATTCGTTGTTTGACATGTCAGCCAGACTGTGTGGGTTCCGATGATTGTATGGTCACAAGTCCCGTTTCTGCGCCGGCAGTTGTCGAGCAGAATCCAGTTTTGACCTTGGCTCAGTTGCCTGCGGAAATTCATGAATGCATTCTCGACCACATATTTGGGTATCGAGTCTCAACCACATCACCAAGCTCCCTCAACATTCCAAGTGTCAACGCCCGTAGTTGGAGTACCGCACTGCGACATTCACGAAGAAAGGAACTATCAAACTTGGCCCTCGTCTGCCCTTTGTGGAGGGATCTGATTCAGCAACGACTGTATCGGCATATCAAACTAAAAGCAACTGTATTTTGCAGCAACGATGTCATAGCCTTCTTCGTGCGCCATCCCCATCTTCGAACGTATGTGAAGCATATCGAGATCTGGTTCCCAGTATTCCAACCCAAGTTTCACCCAACCACCGTCGGGGATACTTCGCTTGCTCTCCCAACAGTTTCTCCAGAGGGAATCGCCAGTGCAACCTACGCGCTTCCAACAGACAACTCGACGCTTGAGGAGGTATTCTATCTGGTGAGCACGGAATTTTCCGAGGCACGGGTCATGACGCTTGAGGGTGGGGAGAGGAAAAAGGCACCACGAGTAAAATTCAACTTGCCTGGGCCAACGTGGATTACTCGAGACTTACCCGAGATCCCCTCCATTCGAACACTTATCGTGAAAGGACAGTGGAATATTATTCGGCAGCCGAAGGATTGGGAAGTCATATCACGCGCGTTGCCAAACCTGGAGGAGTGGCATGGCACTTATGCTAAGCCGAAATCTAAAAGCTATCTTAGTATGGCGAGCACACTTGAGTGTCTTGACCCAAAGATCACTAGTCTCAATCTCTGCCTTGAGTGCGACTATCGCAGAGAGTCGGCATGCCCGCCTTACTATCTTAAGGTCTGTGAGCAGCTTCATTGGTGCGAGAAAATGGCCAAGGCTGCAAGTAATCTAGAGCATATCTCGTATACTGGACGTGTTTGCCATAGATTTTTCGATGTGCTTGCCAAGTATTCTAATCCTCGCACTACCCGGCTTAAAACTATTGATCTCACCGTCAAGAACTGCTGCCGGCAGAATGTCCAGTGGAATGAATCGGGTTCGGGCATCACTGATATGCACTTCATTGCGGCTTTTGAGCAACTCGTGCTAGGCGGTATTCGAGCCTTGGAGCGCTTGAAATCCGTAGAACTACTACGTATCCGATACGTTGATCTAGGTATGTATCGCCATTTTCCCCTCCATATCCCAAAATGCATTTAGCTAATTGTCTGGGCAAGACTCACCTGTCCCGCCCCTTAACCCATACTTCATGGTTAGAGACGGTTGGTGCTCTGGAGTATGGAGTGACGAAATCGTAGCAGAGATTAATCGAGTACGGCCTGACATCTGCTTCGAGAAGATGGTAGATAGCTTCGGCGAAGTCGGCTATAACAAGGAAGGTCGGTTGGTTATTAACCCTGATTTTCCGAAATCACGAGTGCTCTCTCTCAAGCTGGCAAACTATGCCATGCTTTCGAGTGGTATTACTATCATGTGAAGCCCGAACGCCAAACACATACCGCAAACAATTTATGCATGACAATCATCATGATCGATCGATACAAGAAACAGAAAGAATTTCCTTACCGGCATGGTCAATAAAACCTGTAGTGCCAATCTATTCAGCATAGGGGGGTGGGAGTGGTAGGCAGTTGATGTCTAGAAGAAGGATTGTCTATGCGGAGTTCACACGGGAATTAGAGCTTGAGGGATCGCGTGAGAGGCATGCTTTTTTTATGTGCTTATAGACAAGCATGGAAAGGGGGGAGGGGAGGGGAGGTGCTTGATTTGCAGGTTCATGCGCTGGAGAGGGAAAACAGGATTGACTCTCAGGAGGCGAATAATACCCACTGCATTGCCTGCTTTTATTTAATGGGCGTATCGAGTCTTCATGGCCGTTATTGATGGTGGTGGCTGGTGGCGGTAATCTGGCCTCATGGACAAACGTGTACATAACATACCTCTATACTTGCGCGAGAGTAATTCACTTCTAAGCAACGCATTGCTTTCTAAATTCATTATGTGAGGTTCCGTAGGCTTAAGAGGAAACTTCGGGGCTCATTAAGAAGCAAGCTCTTCAAGGTCCGTCTTCTTGCTCATATTTATCTATTTGCAAGGGTTTTTTATCAGGCGAAGAGTCTAGGTCTCCTATCAAATGCTACTATTACCACTGCCCCCCCCCCCCCCCCCCCCTTCCCCTCCCTCTCACACACACATACACACATACACACACACATATATATAGTTATCCAACTCAAAACGCAACTCGTTTCATCTCATACCCAGGCCTCTCTATCCAGGTCCTCGACGATGACCCCTAGGATCCAACAGTTGACCAAGAAGAATGCTAGCGATGATGTCCACAGACCCGAGACGAACGTGCTTAGACCGAGAAATTCAAGATTGTAGGCTTGCTGCAGCCACCGTCCCTGTGTTGCAACCCAGAGTGCGAGGGTCGACAGACCGAGACCCGGTCGGCGGAGGAGTGAGGAGTGAGGTAGGTACAGAGGCAAGAAGACCATGTACCAGAGAAAGTACTAGATGCATATTGTTAGATGATATATCACGCTTGAACAATGCCAATTATGGGGTAGTTTTTATCTCTACTAAACACAGTCTAGTCGAGGGATTGGGGGAGGGAAAAGAAGAAAAAGGGGAAAGAGGGGAAAGGAGAGGATATCTTACCTGGCTTGTGCAAACTTTGTTAAAGGTCACAAAAGCAAACGTCTGTGCGAGCATGGTAGCTGGTAGGTCCTTCTTTGCACCCACAAAGGGTATAAGAACCGTCGATAATAAGAGCTGCGGTAGAAAGGCTACAGATTCGACCTTGAGGGACGAGGAGCTCGGATGTGCCGACCTAAGATACAGCAAAATGTTGTAGGGGCTGAAGTTGTGACGATGGTCGATGCGGGTGACATGGTGGAAGAAGGTATTTGTCAAGAACGGCATGCCGTAAAGGGCGTACATGATGAGGTTCAAGGCCAAGAACGTGGCTAGGCTGACAAGGGCAAGGGTGATGCGAGCAGGTGTCATGAATGCCACAACCTGGTCCAGAGCACCCGTGGGTGGCGCGGGCTCCCGAATGACTTGACTGCTCCTTCGCCGCTGGCTCTTGGCCCTCACCGTTCTGCTCATCTGCTCCGCATCCATCCACCATATGATCGCGGGGGCGTAGATGAAGGGATAGATCTTGAAGTGGACACCAAGTCCCAACAGTAGGCCGGCGAGCGTAACCCTCCGCTCGAGCACGGCCCACAGTAGTCCCATGACCAGCACGCCTAGCAGTCCCTCCGAACTACCCCTCGTGCTGATCGTTGCGACCATGGGATTGAGCAGCCATATGCTCGCATACTTGCACGCCCGCTCCGTGGACATGCGCACGTGGGGGCCCTCCAGCACGAGGATGATGAGGTAGCCGGCCAGGAGATCGGCGGCAGCAAACAGGACCTTGCCGAAGGAGAACCAAAAGGTGCCGGGCCAGGTGGTCGGGTACAGGAGCCAGGCGAGCAGGGGCGTGTAGCGATAGGTCTCGCGCGTGTACGGCGAGGCGGAGGCGGAGGAGAAGGTGAAGCGCGCGGCATCAGTGAACACGAGATAGTCGATGTCCGTGTACTTGAGAGGCGAGTTAGCGTCCTGCCATAGGCCGTACACGAGCATGACGACGCGTAGGATGCTCGCTAGGGCGAACAGCGGGAAGGGCCGCGAGACAAGCTTCTTTACTTGAGAGGCCATGGTTGTTTATTTCCTTGTTCTCTTCCCCCCTTGTCTGTGATGTTTCTTTTTCTTGTTCCTTTTCCTATGTATTAGATAACCTTAGGTAGGTACCTAAATGCGATTTGTCCCTTGGGCTTCAAGAATTGAGATATGTATATGAGTGAGTGGCCAGCACTGTAATGGAATGGATTGAATGAAAGTTTCTCGTGGTCAAAATCAAATTGTTTTGTTTTGTAATGAGAGCCTCATCAGATGGTCATTCACCAACATGATTCACACCTATATTTGAGGCTCTAGCATGAAGAGTATGATGATGTGTTGAGATTACTTGTGGTAAATAATATCGTTGATGTATTATTATGTAGTTAGGTACTTGGTACTACTACATATGTAGGTATTATATGGCGACAAGTAATGCGCGTGACCGTGATGGATACCTACCTAGGTAGGTACCGAGTACGTAGCTACCTAACCTAGGTATGTACGTACAACTATTATGTCAACTAAGCTCAAACTTAAAGTTTCATTGTTTGTACAAGTCACTCGGGTCATCTGCGGCTAAAATGACTAGTGCCAGCCTTATGTGCATACCTAGAGTACCTAACCTAGTTAAGACTGAAGTAGTACGGCGTACGGGCGTAGTAAGCAGTAACATCATGATTGAACCTAACGTTAGGTCCTCATCATTATTAAATAGTTAGTACTAAAAGCATTAAATCTCAAACAAACAACAAACTGTTATAACCCTCATAATCTTAATCTAAACATGTCTGGGGTTCGTATCTCGCAACCTCAAAGTCGTGGGATGGGTGGCGGCATTAAAAGAGACTACCAAGGGAAGGAGAAGACGATGGATACCAAGCCGATTAAGGATGCGCCCCGTAATGCATATACTTCCATGTTTGAATCTTTTCGTGATGAGTTAGATGAGCACCATGATCGCCGCATGAGAATTGGGAAAGTCTCAAGAGATGTTACCGCTCTCAGTAAGAAGATGTGAGTAGACACATGCCTACCTACCTACCTACCTACCTACCTAACTTATCTCAGCTCAGTATGATTAACTGACATTCTACAGCATCTTTTCACTTCAACGGTAACTGCAACAGCAAGACAACCCTTCTAATTGCTTTCGCTCATACGCAATTTGTAGGGTCCGCAGGTTGAACCAGCCAATTCCTCCTCATATTCAAACTGAGATCGATGAACGAATAAAGGAGATCGCTGGCCACTTGGTTACCATTGAGGCAGATGTCACGGGAATGAATCGATATCGTTACCAACTCATCTGTCTGGAGGAATTCGTCGAGGCCGTCTCATTCCTTCATTACCTCCGGTATCAACAGCTCATCACGCCCTCACAGGCCGAAGAAGCTCTGCCTGCCAACATATCACTCACACCTCCGGATTATGTATTTGGCATATTCGATCTCACTGGAGAAATAATGCGCTTCGCGACTGCCGTCACTGCATTGAGTGGGAGTATGCCAGGACGAACCACTGACGACACTATCAACCGCACCATTCTTACTGACATGCAAGATATCAGCTCTATGCTGCAGATCTGCCCGACCGTCGGCGGGAAACCGGGTACGTATGCTAAGAAGTTGAGTATCATGATCGAGCAGGTCCTCAAGGTGGAACGCCTCGGGTACGGTATTACCGTTCGAGGCAACGAGCGACCAAAGGGCTGGATGCCGGATATGAATGAGTCCGGAGGGGATAGAGATCGTGAGGATGTGTCCATGGACTGAGATGTACACGGCAAACCCTTATCTCTTCGTTAAAGATCTGTACTACTAGTACTCTATACTTTACCCGAGCAGGTTAGTATTGCAGATAGTCACTTTAGATAATATCACTGGGATATTCATTCTCCTGCCATGTAGTCATGTTCTTCGATATTTATAACTATGGGGCCGGTCAAGTCCAGACCCTGAATTCTCAACATCCTTGGCATGGTGTTTTCCCAATGGAAATTACAGCATAGGTATGATACGATGGTCGATAGGCAATAATAAGCCAGGACATCAAAGTAACAGACACCCTGACGAAGGGCTTCGTCCGTTTTAGGTAGGTATGTATAGTGAAACTTGACGTGTTACCGGCTCCCGCCCACCGGTGTAACCATAACCATAACCAGCAGTTATCTACTATATAGTAGATGAGCGTGTACAACATTGAAGCTTTAATCCATCGGACGCACAGTCACCAAGTTGATATTGGTGGTTTGCTTCAGCTGCAGCTAGGTAGCATATGGATTGCAATTGAGATACCACCAATTTCCACGGGGTCTCGGATACATGCCTACGCATCCCAATATATAAGGACAATACATGTAGGTGGCGCAGGAGGTCAGTGTCAGCTGAGGGTTTGACGTGTAGATTACTTACATATTACTTGCCTATCTATTCTACGATTTGTTCCACGGGGGCTGTTCGCGTCCCATGTGGCGTACCAATAATAAGAAGCAATACTATAAAGCCGGGCTCCCCTGACAATGTTCGTAGATCGTTAGATGCTGTGATACACTCGTCGTGGGCGACAACCCGAGGGAACCTTGCGTATACGATTATTGAAGCTAGAAGGCTTCGTATACAAAAGGCGACATTCCATACATATGGAAGTAACCCCCCCCTGAAATATAGGTATGTATAGGTACCTATATATCGATCTACCTTAGGGTACAATTACCCCTGAGCGCATTAAGGTTAGGCAAGTTAGCTGATATCGATTCAGGGTGTAAAATGTAGTTATCAAGACTTCCATCCGGCTGAATTTTATAAGTCTGCGGTGTAGTCCGATATAAAATGTTGCCGTGCTTGCCGGACCAGTACTGTACTTAGTAAATGAAGACTACGAGCTTTGATAAGAAAGGCGACCGACCTCACCAGCTTGCCTGGCAGGGATGACCAAGCCTTATACTCTACTTAAATAGTTGGATGTGACTCTGCAATACCCCGATATTGCATTAACCAGGAAGTGATTATAAAAATAAATGCCGTTGAGTCGTTGACCTATGTGCTACATAACTTACTAAGTGCTTGTACGCATTACCTACCTAGGTACCATTAGTTAAATCGAGATAAGTCAGCAATGTCAAAGAAAAAAGAGAAATACACCCAAACAATATTGAACCTCAAAATTATCACGGCAGAGCTCGGCAAAGTAGCACATGCCAATTTTCAATGACGTGTTTCCCTCAGCTTCCTCAGCTCCGCGAGACTGTGGGGTATTAGGATCTGGGGTAAGTAAGGCAAAAGCTGTTGCCAAGCACCAAAGATTAACCATGTACGGCAAGTGCCAGGGCGCGGCATTCATGGCAAGGCTAGCTTAGGGTGATCTTTAGGTTAGTTTTCTCAAACCTCATGGCATGCCAGTCGCTCGAAAGGAACGTCCCAAAAAGTCAAGTGACTCCAATAGTATGAATCTTTGAGAAGTCTTGGGGGTAGTTAACTAATAGGACTTTTTTTTTTTGGAGATAACGGATAACGGAATTGATGAATTTGAAAGATGAGGGGAAAAACTTGGCTCTTCTCCACTCTTGTGGGGGAAGGGGTCCAGGTTGTTAGTGTGCTATGCAATTCCATGATTTATATATGCATACTAGGCTAGTTATGTAGGTATGTATCATACACGTCTTGCACATCTACTATGTACCTAGTAATGTATCTAAGGTTAGTGTAGTTCATCCATTCTTTGATCAATGGATTTCTGTTTTCTCTTATTTTTATACTAATAGAGTGATTGTCATTCTGAGGGTGCGGAATCTCTGCGCATAAAAGAGGGGAAAAGATCTCATACTCCACAAATATCTATAACCTTGGGTTAACAGATCTTGTTGTTCGTGGTATTACAGTAAGTCATGGATCTTTGAGCGGCCGTAGTTACGATGATATCGAAATAACAATTTGGAGAACAATAACTATTTGGTATTGTACAGTGATATGTTGTGCTGACTCAGGAAGATAATACTCAGTCTAGCCAATCATAAGCCACATACCTAGTATATCGAATAGTGTATGCATGCGGTATGCCGTTTAGCTAGGACCAACAAACTGTGCTGTGCGATAGAATCGTCTTACTTTAGAAGTCCCGTCCGAAGAGAGAGGTATACTGTGCTACATAAATAGTACTAATTTACCAAAGGTATGTATCACATCCGCTCAAATACTACGTCGAACCAACGCTTCTTCGATGAGCTATACAAATTATACAATATTATTGTGCTTTTTACTTTTAAGACACATTTTGCGGCTCATCCCGACCACCGGTAACTTTTCTACTGCGCTGTTACCACACTTGTTGGTTGCATGGAGCATGGAGTCGTACCACGCAAGCCCCCCCCCCCTTTTCATTTTTGTTTTTCATCGAGTCGGAATCACCTATCATCTGCTTACTAGAGGTGCAAGATACATTTCTCGATTTATATTGGCCAAAGCTATCTCATCTCACCCTTATTGAGAACGTTTGCCATGCGATAACAAATAGTAAAATAATAGGTAAGCAACTACTTACCTAGTACCTACCTAGGTACTCAACATATACATACCTGATAGGCCAGTCAAGTTTACCCTTTCTCACAGATTACCTACCTTACCGATATCCAAATGAAACTTGATACAGAGCATGTAAAGTAGCGTGTAAGCTCGAATCGGTGTCGTATCCTGGACTCCTGGACTCCTGGAAGCTCGTCCCTTTTCTCCGGTGTGGCAGGGAAATGCTAGGAGGGGGTGGTGGTACACCAGGATGATGCCTTCCGGTACATAAGCTAAGCTTCGTTATGGTGCTACATAGTACATACCTAGTAGACATGTGTGTACTAAAACATGTACGTCGTTAAAGTCGTGTAAGGCGATGTCCAATTCAAACCATTCATCCGGGTCTGCTGGACCCTAGTTTCGTATAGGTAGTTGGTCAACAGGTCACCTTTGCTTCTTTGATGCGCTTCTAAAATGGGTTTCTAGAATGTTGAATTCCGTTCAACGGGCCAAGCCACTTGATTCAAGCGTGTCTAGTGTAGTACATGTAGGTAAAGTAGGCCACATATATACACACTAGGAACGGACGGTACTGCAAACAGTTAGGGGAATATTACACATGTCCCGGCGAAGCGGAAAGAATGTAGTGTGTATTTTAGCCGCATATCACCTTGGCTGGTGGGTTATTACGTATTAAGTTGGATTCTTTTTCTTTTGATTTTTCGTCGGTTTGTATTACACAGCTACAAACGAAGTGGTTGGGGAGAGGATTGGGACTCGGAGAGAGGAGTCGGAGAAAAGATCCTGCAGAGTAAGTACCAAGAGATGACTTTTAATGCTCTTTGGCTGCGTTACGTGATGCAATATGTCGGGGTAAGGTACTAGGTATCCTAGGTAGGCACCCTAGATACTCTCAACACAAAACACATAACCACTTAGGTACTTACCCCGGAGAATAGACCAAATGGTGATGGCGTATTGGATGAAAAATAAGAAACCAAGCTAAGCCAAGCTAAGCCAAGCTATGCCTATTGATTGGGAGAGTGGATTTTTCTCTCTCCCCCCCTTCAAAGGTCCTTTTCCGCTTGTTGGCCTACAGGGGATATGCAAGGTAGACATACTGTACAAGGTGGTTGACAAGGGTATGACAGGGGATATAGCAGGGATAAGAGATATAGCGCGTACGGGGTAGTGGAGTTACCAAAAAGCCTTAAGGTACTTGTAACTACATATGTATTGTACAGACTCTACAGAGAGAGCTGTAGCCTGTAGCTGTCTAACTACCTAGTACATAGCTGTGTATTACCGTTTACGGGAAGTTGGGAGCATGTCGTTAGTTACCTCTTTAATGCTAGTACAGTTGTAGTATAACTATTAACTACACTTAGCAGACTATTCGATGTAACTATAATTTCCCCAGTCCACCCCGTTTTCTTTCCCACCCCCCCCAGATATTTCCCCATTGACTACTAACCCTACCAACCTATCTACTTCTCATAAACAGAGCTCTCATATTCCCATATTTAAGGCACTGGCCTTTCCACTGCTGCCCCCAAATTCGATCCGGGGTTTCTGTCTCTCCCTCTTTTTTTGCTTTTCCCCTAGTCGCGGATAGCAGAAGAATTCAGCTCCAGCTACTGGTCCATTGGATATCTAACTTCCCTTCACGATGGCTTCCACCGAACCCCAAACGACCGCACCACCAGTTGCCGACTCCGAGAAGGGCGTCAGCACTGGTGCTAACAACCTCAACGGCGCTTCTACCACTCAACGGTACGACTATGGTGGTAATCCTCTATACCACGCGCACGCTGGCCCTGATGCTCGACTCCCTGCCTTTGGCGGGGAGTTCCAACCGGGGCTGTATAAGCCCATCGAGCACCGCAAGTTCGCCAATCCCGCGCCTCTCGGTCTCTCGGCTTTCGCCCTGACCACCTTTGTGCTATCTCTCGTCAACTGTGGCGCCCGAGACATTACTACCCCGAATATTGCCTTGTCTCTGGCCTTTGGATACGGCGGTCTCGTGCAACTCTTGGCTGGCATGTGGTAAGTACAACCTACCTGACTTAAGAATTCATTGTTCAAAGAACAAAAAAAAATTGGCATTTTGGCAGTTCCGTATTAGCCGGTTTTCATAATTACATCTGCTAACTATGGAATTTTTCTGTTACAAAGGGAGATGGCTGTTGGCAACACCTTTGGTGCTACTGCTCTGTCCTCATACGGCGGCTTCTGGATCTCCTACGCCATCATCCTAACTCCGGGCTTCAATGTCCTCGGCGACACGGAGGAGGTTAGTGGCGCCGCTGGTGTAGCGTCCGTGCTTGGTTTCTTCCTCACGGGCTGGTTCATCTTCACCTTCCTCCTGCTCCTGTGCACGCTACGATCGACTGTCATGTTCTTCACCCTGTTCCTCACCCTCGACCTGGCCTTCCTCATGTTGGCTTGCGGTGAATTTGCCAAGTCCAATGGCGCTGCTACCGCTGCCGTTAAACTTACGCAAGCCGGTGGTGGCTTTGGTTTGATTGCCGCTTTCTTGGCATGGTACAACGCCTTTGCCGGTATTGCCGACTCTAGGTATGTCCCTTGCTCATCGTGTATCTTTTGGCGAATATCAGCTAACCTCCCTTTAGCAACTCGTTCTTCATCATTCCCGTCTTCCACTTCCCATGGTCTGAGAAGGGTCGCCAGGAGCGTCAGAAGACCGAACGTGAGACTGTTTAAGTCAGTACCCCATCGGAGAGCTCGTCGCAGCTTCGTGTGGCTTTTTGTGTGTTTTAGTATCTGAAATTGGAGTGGGAACAGGTCACGGCAGTGGGCCGTCCGGCATTCTTTTTCGGGAAGCGGGGAGGGTTATGATACCAAATCTACTTATTTAATCATTATGCGACGCAGATACAGAAAATGAAATGCGGATGGATAATATCTATCCACCTGGAGGCAAGGTCGAATGATGGGATGGATATAAATGTGTAAAGATGATGAAAGGGAGGTGAATACCAATCGTTCCACACATATCTGTCATGTTGATACCTACTATCTAGGTATCCAAGTAGCAGTTTTAATAATAGTCTTGTACTATATGGCGAAGGATACCTATTTATCTTGATCCTCGTTACCAACTGACACTCCCCGAGAAGAAAAAAGAAAAAGACCGAATGTTCAGAACGGATGGATCTAAACTAATATGAACTACGTAGGCCTGTTACTGACTAACGAAGTCCGTCTAGATTACCTAGGTACCTTAGGCTATGACTTAGACTTGTCTCTGCCCGTCCAGATCTTGAAGCCGCGAGACAGCTCGACGACGGCCCGGAAGTGTTCCTCGGTGACAACAACCAGCCCGTCCTCGTTCCCGTCCTCGAGCGCCTCGGTCTCGGCCAATGCGACGGCCGTCTGCAGCGCGTTGCGGATCTCGCGACCATTCCATTCTAGGGCGCGCACGGCGACGTTCTCGTACACGTACTTGCGCGCCGCGGGGCAGACGTGCACTTTTTCGCCGCTGTCGCGCTCGAGGCGCTCGAAGCCGCCGAGCCAGATCTTGGCGCGGTTGGCGTCCGTCAGCGCACGATAGTGCAGGGCGACGTGGATGCGCGACGTGAAGGCCGAGTCGAACGTCTGCACGCGGTTCGTTGTCAGGAACAGCACGCCCCGGTAGTACTCGAGCGCGCGCAGGAACACCGACACCAGCCCGTTGCGCTCGATGTCCTGGGCCTGTCGCGCCTCTAGGAACACGTCCGCCTCGTCGATCAGCACCATCGCCCCGAACCGCTCCCCCAGCTTCAGGAAGTAGCCGAGCTCGCGCTCCACCACGTGCGAGTTGGGGTTCAGGAGGTCGCCGCTCGTGAGAGATAGCAAGGGTCGACCAGTGAGCTCCGCGATGGCCTCCGCCGTGCAAGTTTTGCCGACGCCCGGAGATCCGTGGAGCAAGAAGATGCGGCCCTGGCCTTTGTTCATGATGAAGTCGCTGGGCCACGGGCTGACCTGGCCGTGGGCGCTCGCAAACTTGCCGATCAGGGCCTGGATCGTGAGCTTGATCTTGTCGTCGAGCACGAGGTGCTCGAACGCCTCCTTGTCGGCGATCGCCTCGTCCAAGTGCTCGACGTCGAAGTAGGCCCATCGTCGTTGGCCGAGGACAAATCCTGGCACGACTTTTCTGAGAACCAGGTAGTATAGATCGCTTTCCGGCGCGGCATCTTTTTGAGGGTCGCGAGCTTTGAAAGAGGCAAAGGCGCTCAGGGCCTCGTTTTTATCAGTCCTATTGTGACAGGCGGCACAGCCACAGCGAGGAGCAAAGTAAGGTAGTTGGTCATTTCCGAGTACATCGTGCGGTGGCTGGCCGTGGTGGGTGCCTTGTTTCGGGCAGTAGAACTTTGTAAATCCGATAGAGTCGACAACGACTCGGCCACTGACATAGCCGGTGGCGCCGAGAACATCCCACCCGCTGGAAGAGCGTAGGTCGATAAGATCTCCTTCGTAAGACCTGTACTTTGGTCCCGTATAAAGTTCCCAGGCCTTCTTACCGAGCATGATCTGCTTGGCCTGGGTATCTTGAGGGCTCACACCGTCTTCGCCTCGGAAGAAACGGGCGGGGATGATGGGGAGGTTCGCGATGGCCTGCTCACCGGAGAAGGGATCGATTCCGAATACGCGTGTGGTGCGACGGAACCTCCCATCGATACCGCTATAGCATAGGTTCCAACCATGAATAGTGTAAGGCATAGGGCGCTCTTCGCCGGGGTGAGAACCGCCGAAGATTGTGGAGATGACAAATGAAGTCCACTTGCCGTCCAGCATACTATAAATGACCTCGCCGGGTTTCAAGATCAACCAGAGGTTTTTGAAGCTAGCCGAGGGGATGCCGCTGTTGTGTCTCTTCTCTTCTTCAGTGATCACAGGTCGAAATGTCTTCTCGAGGAAACTGAGAAGCACGTCGATATGTTTAGTAGTGATAGAGGCATACTCCTCATCGTGAGTATCTGGCTGATGAGATCTGTAGTATGCAAGGTCCTCTAAATGGTGAATTAAGACGTGATACGGTGCGTCTATCTTGACGCTGTCTCCAAGGAAGGATGTCCCCGGATAATATCCTACGATGGCCCTAAGAGCGTTGATGAGGTGGACAGAGTTGATAACCATAGAGGTTTTTTCTTGGTTAACAGCCTCCGTCTCCACGTCTTCGTTGTCGTCATCACCCCTACGAAGCCCACTGTGCAGAGGGCGAATGTTGGATGACCGTCCCTTTCTGACAAGCCAGGTGGAGATCTTAGTTATGATCTCGAGGATTGGCTTCTTTATCGTAGAAATCCCTGGTTCGTCCAAATCGTCAAGTTGAATGTTGATAGGCACCTGGCTACGATGTACTAGGTTTGGCGAAATTGTAAGCAAATATAGACAGACAAGCTTAAGCGGTTTAGGGGTTGGGGCTAGCTTACCATCGCTGAGCTTTCCAAGCCACCCCTTATACTGAAGAATATAACAAATATCTGGAACTTCGTCTTCGACAAGTTCTGTAGCTGCATCACCATTGGCGGCAGACCTTGCAACTAAAGCCTTCAACTTCTCAATGTTATTATATTCGTCATCTTGGCATGCGGCTGGCAAGGGTTCAATTTCTTCGAAGCTGTTGAAAGAGCTGATATCGTCATCCATCTTATGAATATTCTTGTTTCAGTACCGGAGAAAAAAAAAACAAAAAACTATCTAGACAGCTAGCTAGCTAACTACGTACGAGTTTAACAGTGAATGTAAGAAGCAGATCTGGGAATGAAAAGAGAAAAAATGTTTGTGCTCTTGTTTACCTCACCATTCCGTCACTATATAGGGCGCTGTAGCTGCATGTTGCCGAGTCGCTTTAACCAACGGTTGCCTTTTTCTAGGCCAGGACCAACGACTTGTAGGCATAATGCCGAGTATTCGTGCGTGCACTTAGCAAGGCTGATCCAATAGAGCAGACAGGCTGGCAGGTTGGTAGGTTAGAAACAGTTGTATTCGTGACGAAGTTGGCTGTGACTCAGACCTGCATATTGCAAGGAGCAAGGCTCGTGATACAACACGGCAGCCTTAACTTGCGTCTAACTGCATGATAGCTATTACAACATAAGGCGCCCAATGATATATCATGGAAATGATTAACCCAAAAAAGAACTCAGTGTCTTACGTAGGAACCACACCACTCGCCCCTATCGTTTGCTTGAAGATCTGTAACGAGAGTTCTGGCTCTGAATCCAAGTCAATATCCGTAGTTACATCCAGCCTGATGACTTGTAGCATGGGGTGTCCAACTTACGATAGAAGGCTGTGTTGTGTCCCGCCCCGAAGATACGCATAGAGATTAGGTTGTCTAGGGACTTATAAGTCCCCTTTTGCTCGCCGTTGAGCGTGTACGGCACCATCGGTTGGTTTGCGAATGTCTCCTGCTTTGCCCACTCGATCGTATCTGCCACTTTCGTCGTTCCGAACCAGTTTGAGACATAGTCAGCGTCGCCTGTCCAGATGACGACTCTGACACCAGCTTGAATAACGGTGGAGAGTTGGTCCATAAATGAGCGGGCGTCTATTCTCTTTGTTAACAGGTATGTCCATGAAATGTATCGCAGTGAACCTTACCGTCACCTCCTAGGTAGAAGCCAGCCTGGCCTGATCGAGTTGTAAAGTTTACTCTTGCTCCAAGAGCCCTTTGGATTTCTGGCCTTTGCAGATAAGCACTATACGCATCAGAAGGCCTCGATGAGGGATCGCGTATGTCGCCGAGAAAGAAACCTGGCTGGTTCTCGTTCAAGAGAGCTACGACAGGGTACTCGATCTCGTTTGTATACGACTTCCAAGCAGTGGCACAGTCCTCATTCGTATTGGTAGCTATGCACTTATCAAGCAGAGCCGCACATTTCGTGTCAAACCGGTTGATAAGCTCGTCGTGGAAAGACTCGTTGATCAACCGCCTGTATGAATTGTTGTATAAATACTCAATGTTGGCCTTCTCTTGAATCTTGGCATCGAACCAACCATTGCTGATGCTTAGGAATCGCATGTGGATCACTTCTCCTGAGATGTCTCCTCGACCAATTGCTTGGTTCTGTGCTATGATGTAGCGCGCAAACTCGGGCCCGTAATGGCCTCCATACGACTCAGTCAAGATTCCGAAGTCACGACTCTCATATTCGGGGAATTTCTGGTAGAATGCTTGTAATAGTTTCCATACATAAGGGGCGGCTTCTCCAGTGGAATTGATCGTTGCGTTGCCATATGTAAACCCAACGCCCACTGGTTGATCGATGTACAGCATGTTGGCATAGTTGTTGTAACTATTTGGGTTTACGGATGGCTCTGTCTCATTATCAACGAAGTTGCAAGGCCCGTTCTGGGTAAATAATCCAAACTCGGAGGCATCGCCAGGGCCACCACCAAAGAATGCCATGAGGGGCGCTTCCTGAGGATTCTCACGAGCTTCGAAAAACCTTGATTGCTATGCTTAGTTGACTTATTCATAAAATGAGTTAGGTAGGTGCCTATATACCAACGTACCAGAACCACATGTTGAGGTCATCACCTGCTGTAATGTATCCGGAGTATTGGTTAACCCCCGGTGTTGTTTCGCATATGCCTGAGTTCTTGACAAATGTCATCTTGGAATTCATGGCAGCATGCTCGAAGACATTTGGCGAAGCTGGTCCCGCTATCGCCGAAGCAGCCATAAAGGCTCCGACTGAGAACTTGAGTGTCCACTGCATCTTCAAAGATATGGAAGTTGTGAAATTCAATGGTCCCTTTTCCGTGTGGACAAGTATAGAAAGGGAGTGGTATGTAGAGAGATAATATACTTATCACATGGCGTTTTCTCTGGCAGTTTAAGACGTCTAACATGAGTTCCATCCTTGACTGTGCCGTCTCATGGACTGTTCCTAGCCAATAAGAGTTACTATAGTGTTGGAAAGACCTGCTCGGACCATATCAGCATGCAGACGTTGCCGAGATGACGACCAAACTTCACCAAAGGCACATACCCGTGTTCGCCAAGGAAGACCACCAGGGCCCATGTATTCTACAAGGTGCACAGCCACACCACATTACATCGTAATTAAAAGAAATACCGTGAACTTACCTATCTACGTAGGTGAATAATGATTAGTGATCCTGAAGGACTCTTGGGTTGATAGATAAATATAAAAGGCGCGACTATGGATTATATTAAGAGATAGCTTCATATTCAATTTAGGTGTGGCGGGGGGTTCGTTTGATTTATATAATATTTTGAAGCCATTGATATATTGTCATATATTGTAAGGTTAGGCAGTATTACTTGATCACTTGATCGTCTTGGTGGCAGACTTGATGCACTCGTCAATGATGTCAACCCACTTCAAAGCATTGTAAATGTCTTTGTTGTCGATGCTTTCCACCAGCCCAGGGAATACAGCTAAAAATAGGAGTTAGCAATACACTTCATTGCGGTTCAGATTTGAGTTGCCTAGATAAGTACGTACCTCCCGCATAACCGGTCCATATGCCAGGTGCAAAGACGACGTGTTTGAACCAAGGCCGGCCGTCTAAGCCGCCTGGGTATAGGAAAGCACGTTCAATCTTCTTATATTTAGCGTTGGTGAACCGAATCTCGTGGAGCAGCTTGAGCTTGCTGATCCACTTCCACCAGGGAATGTGTTCATTCGCTTTCTCCGCTAGCTCATCGGCTTTAGCATCCAACTTAACTGCAGCCTCCTTCAAGTCAATGGCAGACTGGTGTAAGTGCCCCAGGGCCTTGCGAAGAAGGGCTGGGTCGCCCTTGGTCTCGGTGCCAACATTTCGAGATCTAAACTGGAAGATTTCTTCTTCGGTGGAAGGTTCTAGATCGGTGTCCTCAAATTTCTCTTCGACATTTCGAATATAACCCTTTAGTGCTTCGGCATAATCCGTTGCGTTCAGCGCGATAACTGGCGTTTCGGCTAGTTTTGCAGTAACAAGACCAAGAACCTGCGCCATCGCCTTATGATATACAAATCCAGGGTCCCCAAACTCGGACATCCAATGATAGCTATCATAATTGCTGTGGTATTGGTAGATGGGGGATCCACCAGTTTGTCCGCCGAAACCCATGTCCAGACTGGGGATACCAGCAAAATCTTGGAAAGCCGTAAAGTCACTGCCGCTTCCCATCGTGCTGATATGCCCATCCCAAAGGTCACGCACAGTCTGGCCCTTGACAGTTTGATTAGGTGACTGCACTAAAGCAGTCACATCGTAAAGAAGGTTATGCAGTAAAGGAGCTGCAGAGGCCGAGAATACGGGGCTGCGAACACCTACGTCGACATTAATGTAAGCGACGTTGGCATCGGAAAGCCATGGTAGATATTCCTCCACCCATTCGGTGCTGCCAACCAGCCCGTACTCTTCACCATCCCAACTGCCAAAGACGATGGTTCGCAAAGGCTTCCAACCATTTTCTAGAGCCTGGCCAAAGCTACGGATTACTTCATTTAGTACGGCAGATCCGCTATTAGGGTCGCCCGCCCCGCCGGCAATCCACGCATCCCGATGGTTACCGACGACAATCACTTCATCGGGGATGGTCCCATTGATGATGCCGATGACATCCCACATCGGGGTAATGGTGTAGTCTTGTTCATTATAGAGGTTGAGGACAACGTTGTCTGGCGAGGGGCCGACGTTGTATTTGATTCCTTTATGACCGAGGCCGGTGTTCCGGGTCCAATATTTGCCGAAGTCCTTAGCTTGAGGACCGACTCCATTCAGAGCCCCCAGTATAGGCAGCGCCTCTACGAAAGATATGGGTAAAGATGGGATGCTTGGGATAGCTCCATCGACTGGCATCCGTGGCACGCCCGGCTTAGAGGGGTACCCAGGAGTGGTGGGATCACCGGGTGCGACGCTGAGAAACTGGACACTTCCTCGCTGGACACTGCTGGGGTGCCGTGCGGGACCATTTGGATATGCGTCAAAGCCATTTGCCTCGGTAATTTCACCATCATCACCAGGGTCGGTGAAGAGGACACAACCGATCATGCCAAGCTCTTGAGCTCGCTTGACCTTCAAACCTCGAAAGATGCCTCCATAGCGAGCGACAGCAATTTTACCAGCAAGGCTAATGTTAGCTTCAAGGAGATCCTCAAAGTCGAGATAAGTGCCGTAATTCACGTAGACAAAAGAACCAGTAACGTTGCCACTTGCGGAATAGCCATGGAAAGTTGGGATGCTTTCCTCTAGTTGGGTCGTGGAATCTTCCTCGAGCTCATCCTCCTTCAAGGTGGCTTCAAATGCGACTTTCCAAGTGCCAGGATTAGAAGAGTCTGATTTGGACTTCTCTAAAAGAGCGAGTCGATGATCAACGGGATAGTTGATATAGGTATCATATGCTACGATGTCTGATTTGATTCCCCATTCATTCCAACGATCCCTCGTCCATTCGGCCTATAATCAATGTCAATGAGTGTTTTGATATAATCTACTGAAGTACTAGTTATGTCCAAGAAAATTATAGAAAATAGGGGGCTTACCTGGGACAAGTTCTTGCCGGCCAGGTGTGGGCCAGAAGTGTAGTACTTGCTCCATTCGGCGGCTTTAGCTGGGCTGGGAGTATCTAAGAGAATGCCCTTCAGGTCGTCATAGGTAAGACGGGTCTTATTATGGCCAGGCCAGTGGCGATGTGTGGTGTGGTGTGGTGCGAAGACGAGGGTGACAAAAAATACAATAAAGAGAGCAATTAAAGATGAACCTAAGGCGACGGAGCAAAACCGGCGAATAGTTCGATGGGGGTATCTTTGGCGAACAGGGCCGATGACAACGGTGGTGATTAATGGTGTGCGTTCATTTGCCATCTTTTCATCGCGACCAAGGCACGGCTTGGTAGAATTCATGATAGCTTTGTGGGAGGCATTGATGAGCAAAAGTTACGGAGTGCCTATTTGTTTTGCCACTCCGATGTGATAAAATTGAAAGAAGTACGGGAATGTTGTAATCTTGCTATGTTGCTGCTATGTTGCCATGTCGCCATCGGATTCGGTCATTCTATGACCGACTTATCTAAGTGGGACCGCGGTCGCAAAGATAAGCATTTTAATGTTGCATTAGTTATGTTAGGTGCTAAAACATCAAGCATAACTATTAACTACTCTACCTACTGTAGGTATGCATACATACATAGCACTTAATGATAGTTTTTATAGTTTTTAATAACTATTGAAACTCTAATATATATGTACTATACTATGGTAGTAGAACCTAACATAGCAGTGCCTATTACCTGTAAGACGCATATTCCCTTTGCTTACATATATACTACATACCTATATATATAGCAACTTGGAAGTGATACTAAAGATCCAAATGTCCAAACTCGATATGATACGTGATACCCTTCGACGTGTCCTTCAAACATACAGTATCTGCTGTCTCATACCGTTTTCTCATTGGGCTTATGCCATCTTACATGAATAGAACCCATCATGTTTGAAACTGGTTAACCTATTAACTAGGTATACATTAGTCAATGTTCTGTTGTATACGGCGTAACTGGAGTTTGTCTGAGTGCATTCAATATGTTAGGGTCCCATAGCCGCATTGCGCACTCGTCAGGGTCTTAACTTACCTGCCTACTACTAGTAGTACGCTAACCTAGTACATAGCATACTACTGGGTAGCGGGGGCTGATGCGGGGGCTTACGAGGGGCACTGTATTAGCCAATGAAAACGTGGAATTCGAACGAATAGCGGAATGAGCTCAAGCCTTACAGCGATTACCACCTTGCTGCAGCGTAGATCCCTCCTGTACATCCTCAACTCTTCCTGAAGTTCCTGTTCACTCCCTTGTCCTGTTGTGGTCACTGGTCAGGAGGCTGGATGTTAGCGTGTGACCTTCCTGAGCTCGTTTGGAGTTTTTCCTAATCTCGCAGCCGTATCGCACTTCTTTTTCATCTTTTCAAGGTTCCCTTAATATTTCTTCTAATACTTTTTACAGCATTCCTTTCTATAACTTCCGACACCGGACATCTTACCTTACCTACCTAGTATCTAGGGCATCTAGGGCATCTTACCTTGCCTGTCTCAGTAGCAAGGTGTGAATCGTGTGGATCGTGTGATGAAAGAAGGGAGCGGCCTGGGAGCCAGGTTGATTGATCTTGGGGTCTCACTGCAATGTTCGTCTCTCCATGCATCGGATGGCATGCCTATTTCCGATTCGTAAGCTGGCTATCCCTATTCAGACGAAGGCGGGTCGTTGAGTGATAGACAGCCCGCTATAACACAACAAAGACCCTGTCTACAACAATAATCTTGGGCACCTTGTACCCTCCCACCAGGTAGTCATCGTCCAAGAAAAATTTTGCATGCAGCACATAATGTTACCCGTCCCTCTTGACGAAATGGGCCGGCCCACCGCTACGCTACCGCGCTTAATTTTGAGATTCTGGAGGCTTTGTAAGGTAAGGCACAAATCAGAAGCCGTCTATATGACGAGCGAGCTATCTAAGCAACGGCCTATCTCTATTTCCAGCTTAGCTCAATGGCATGGAGCATCTATGTACATAGTAGGCATGTACGTACTTTCCACGAGGTAACGACCGGCGATGAGTCGACGGCCCAGCCCAGTCCATCCTATGTTCGGTACAACAGTGCTAATGTCTGTGGGTGTTGTCAGGTAACATTTCCTAACGGTCCTCTTCTTTGTTTATAAAGTATTCATTCCCCACCAACTCAGAGCAACTGTCATACCTTTATGCTTCAGTTTGGTTGGTCCATTGGAACGATCGTCGTTTCTTATTTGTCTTAAAGCTTAAGCTGGAGTGGTTGCTCATCCACTTGGCATCTTGTTGTTCACTATTTGGGTCAATTCATTCTCTCTTTAAACTAGACACTGCTTTGCCAACCTACTTCGATATTATAAGTGAAGGGGATCAAGTCTTCAACTTTTATACTCCAGCCTTTCGGCTTTCTGGTACCCTATTCTATAAACAACAATCATGACTACTAAACACCATCCCCCGAAACTGCCAGTCCAGCAGCTGGCCATATTGGGTGAGCTCAACTCGTTTCTTTACCAACTCATGCTATCGTCAATTGCATAGTACCCTTTGTATAAGAAGGGCGTGCGTGGCCATTGACGGATAATAATACCCTGTCCCGAATGACCTATTATACGTATTTAGAGTTGTACCGCTGTGCTCAATATACTATGGTTTTATTTAAGTGCTATGGAATGTGCCCAGGTCCGAGAAAAAGCTGAAAGTTCCCTATACAATATTCACTTTGTTTGATACTATGTAACTCGGTCACTCTAGGCAGTCGAGCGCTATCCGGGGATATTTGCATAGTGTTGCACATAGTTGAACATGAAGTCTAGACGATAAGAACGAGACCGTATATAGTGGCATTACCAGGTACTTCTTCCCCTTATCATACCTTATGCTAACTTTGCTCTTAGCTGTTGCACGGTTTGCTGAACCCCTCGCCTATACCTCTGTTTTTCCATACCTCCCTGAGATGATCGCTAGTTTCGGCGTCGAACAGAAAGAAGTTGCAAAATGGGCCGGCGTCACCAGCTCTGTATTTTCCTTGGCTCAGAGCTTAACCGCTGTAGCTTGGGGCAGGGCATCTGATCGTATAGGCAGAAAACCTGTCATCATGGTTGGGCTTCTCTGTACCATGACTTGTTTCCTGATTTGGGGGATGTCGACAAGCCTAACAATGGCTATTGTTGTTCGCGCCATCCAAGGAGCATGCAATGGAAACGGTACGTATCGAGGGTCATTACTCTTATGGAGAGGCTTGCTGCTAACTGTGCCGAAGTTGGTATTATTAGGACGATGGTTGCCGAGATGGTGACCGAGAGAGAACTCCAACCGAAGGCCTTCTCTGTAATGCCTTTAGTCTGGAGTATCGGTTCGGTATTCGGGCCCGCTTTCGGTGGCCTTTTCGCAAAGCCAGCAGATCAATGGCCAGGTGTTTTCGGCAACAGCAAGTTCTTGAAGGACTATCCGTTTGCTTTCCCTAATATTATAGGTTCCGTGTTTTTTATGATATCTCTCGCGACCGGTATTCTCTTCCTCAAGGAAACATTGCATAGTAAACGCCATACGCGGGACTGGGGTCTCGTCCTTGGCGACCGCATTAAGGAGGCATTCATGGTTTCCCCTCGACGACGAGCGCAACGGCTACGACGGTATTCAATTCAAGACGCAGAAGTATCAGCGCCACTATTAGGAACAACCACTACTACAAAGACGGCAAGGGTCTCTATTATAGAGACGAAGATCCATGATCATAAACCTTTACCTCTGAGTGCGGTATTCAGCCGCCAAAGCGTCATCAATCTTATCACCTACACATTCCTAGCCTTACACTCCGTCGCATACGACCAAGTTCTGCCCGTGTTCCTCAACTACCCACCAGTAGCCCATACCCCCGAGAACACGTCGCTCCCCTTTTCCTTTAGCGGCGGCTTCGGTTTAACCCACGCCCGTATTGGTACCATCTTCGCAGGATACGGTATCGTCTCCGGGCTAATTCAGTTTCTCCTATTCCCCTCATTGTGCAAGCGCTTCGGTGTGCTAAGCTGCTTCAGGGCCTGCGTTTTGATCTTCCCCCTTGTTTACATTGTCACTCCCTACACGGTGCTATTCGAAGACACGACCACGCGCTACACTCTCCTCTGCATCATCCTAGTCGTCAAGTCGTTCGCGGTGATCGTCGGCTTCCCCTGCACCACCATTCTACTCACCAACAGCGCCACCAGTCTGAACATCCTCGGCACCCTCAACGGCTTCGCGACTACGTTTAGCGCTCTGGGACGTGCCAGTGGTCCAGCTATGTCCGGCGTTGCCTTCACCTGGGGTGTCAAGCACAACATGATCAGTCTACCGTGGTGGATCCTAGCATTCATAGCAGTTTTAGGGGCCATACCTGCGTGGATGATCGTTGACACCGACGGGCCGAGCGGTGCTAGTTCCCCGGCTGACAGCGAAGACGAGGAGGACATCGAGGTTGATGACGAGATTATAATCGACGACAGCGAAGAGGACGACGAGATCAACGGACCTGAGGCTACCCGAACACAAGAAGATGTCCTCATAGCAGGCTCACGGCCTGCTAACAACTATGGAACACTAGGGACTGGGAAAGTCCTGACCCCGACTACGTAACCAGATGGCCTTACGGTGGGGGATTTATGACTTTTGAGGGGATGTATATGTTGGCTCTCACGATAGTAAGTAAATGTTCTCACGATGGAGACGAAAACAAACGAATGTACACGACTTTGGACTACGTAGGTATCACATCACATCACATCACATCTACATACATGTACGGACCTTTCTCTCTGAAACGAATCGAAGTAACGGGGGTTTTTTAAACAAAAATGACATGGCTATCACATAATCAATCACATCACGCTTCAATGGGGGAAAGGAGTTACGGAGCATTGAAAAATTGGGGTTTGCGATGAATGGCATGGAGTTAGTGTTTTTCTTCTACTAAGCACATACTGTACATATGTAGATTTCCCTTGCAAGTACTAAGCATACTGTAGGAAGCTTGCTGCGTCAATTGACATCAATTAGAATATCTCACTGCAATACTGAATATGTTGTCAAGTTATGATTGATTCGCATGCTATATTTAACTGATGCAGATGCTGATGCTATTCCGCGTCTCGTGCGCCCATAAAAAGGACCAACGTGAATCCCCCCTTCCGTGTCAAGTACCTATCCATCAGGCTGACATGACCTCCTCCCTTTTCCGTGCCGTATAACGCCTGTAAATGGTATGAAGCTATTTCGCATATCAAGCATGCAAGCTTTCAAGAGGTATCACTACTTATTTTACTTTTCCGTTCCGAAGACTATCTTTTTCTTTTTTAAAGGAGAAAGAAAAGGAGCATTATGCCCCAAATGACCCGCAATCATTTCTGGTAGATCCTACCAACCTACGAGCTCAGGCTAGTTCGCCACTTCGTCCAAACCCGGTTGAATCAGCTACCAGTCTGTCGACCCAAGCCTACTAGGCGTATAGTTTCTTCTCGTAGCTTTCCATGTTCACATTACCCTCAAGTTGGGCGCTCGCCGTTCGAATCTCGAATCGAAGAGACCCGTTGGCTGCACTCTCATGCAGCTCTGCCAAGCTCCGCATACCGCAGTCTTGCATCGAATGCTTAAGGCCGGCTGCGAGGTATGGAACGAACTTGTTGATAGATCCGCGGTGAGCTACAGCCCCGGATACGCCTTGGGCTACCAGAACACTGTCGCCTTCGCTGAAATATCGTGCAGTGCCAGCGTTGCTTGCTTGGCTGTTCTTCCCACCAGCTCCAGCTTTCTTGTCTTGCATGGCGTCAATGCTGCCCATGCCACGATATGCCTTAACAAGCTTGCCCTCTCGCGAGACAAACGATGTGCCTGGCGACTCGGTTGTGCCGGCAAGTAGGCCACCCATCATGACAGTAGAAGCGCCGAGAGCTAAACCCTTGACGATGTGGCCAACGTTTTGGACACCGCCATCAGCGATACACGGTACACCAAATTTAGCCGCAAAGGCGGAAACGGAGTATACCGCAGCGGCTTGAGGGCGGCCTACAGCCATAACTTCTTGAGTGATGCAAGCACTTCCACTGCCCATTCCGATTCTCAACCCATCAACTCCTGCAGCAATCAGGTTTGCGGCCTGCTCACGAGTCACCACATTCCCACCAATGACATCAAGGCCAGGGTATTCCTGTTTGATCCATTTGACCATCTCAATTTGGTACATACTGTTGCCTTGGCTGCTGTCTAGGATGACAATGTCGAGACCAGCGTCAACAAGCTTTTGCAAGCGAGTCTTGTCCTCTGGTCGAGTACCGATAGCAGCAGCACATATGAGTTGTTTGGAGTCGGGGAGTTTGGAAGCGAGAGGGAAATGCAAGTTTTTGGTCAAATCGGAGCGTGAGATCATAGATACAAGGTTGAAGTCCTTGTCGACGATGGGTAGCTTGCCCTTCCGGGACTTTGCTAGAATCTTATTCGCCTCAGGGAGAGTAACACCTAGCTGAGCGGTGACTAGGTCGGTGACCATGACATTATCGACTGTTTGATTGAGGGTATCCTCAAACTGGAGATCGCGGTTCGTGACGATACCGAGGAGTTTGGAACCAAGTTTGCCAGACTCTATAGATATTTGTCAGTTCACTAGATCTTGAGATAACCAATGCGAAGAGAACAAAGTATAACCGGGTAGGCAGAGTTGACATCATCATAAAGAGCATAATTGTATCCCCATGACATTTCTGTCTATACGGTGGAACGAAAGTTATAATATTAGGTTTGTAATCATAAGATGCCAACATCGTGCCACAATAAAAAAATACGGGGAAAAGAAAAACAGGAAAAAAAGCAAAAAAGACTTACCAGTCACTGGGAAACCACCAAATCCCCATTTCTCCTTGAGGGCTTTGGCCTCTTCAACAGTGGTTCCTTTGGCAATGACAACGGGATCAACAATGAAACCATTCTCGTATCTCTTGACTTTCCTGACCATATCGGCCTGGGCATCAGGGGAGCAGTTGTGATGAATGACACCAAGGCCGCCCTGTAAAGCCATGTGAATAGCCATCTCATGTTCTGTGACGGTATCCATAGGAGAGGAGACAAAGGGAGTCTTCAGAGTGATCCTCTTCGTGACAGGGGAGTCGAGTACAACTTCAGAGGCAGGGAAGCCAATGTATCCCGGTAGGACTAGGAAATCATTGTATGTCAAACCACCACGCTGTTTGGTGTCGATAAGCTCCTCAATACCAAGGCCATCGCGAGACTCATACTCTTTCAAAGCCTCGATGGCAGTATGAAAGTCGCGGGCTTGAGCGTTGCCATTGACAGAAACAGATCCATTGAGAGACGGCATCTTAACTAAAAGATTCTAGCAAGTATCAATCAATGGTAAATTTCTTGAAGGTGAGGTCGAAGAAAACGTCGAGAATAAATTGACCTGTCGACGAATTGAATGGTTATCTTCTTCCCAAGAAAAAAAAGAAGAAAAAGGGAAAAAAGTTCGATGTAAACTCGAGTCCAATAAATTTTTTTTGTGTTCACTTGCTGCGGGGACCCTGTACAAACTTTAGTGCGGGGCAATTTAGCTATGTACTAGGTATGATCAGACCAATAGTTGTCGCTTATTGAGAGTTAAGTATTATTGCCAAGACAAAAAATTGTACGTAGCGTTTGACAGTGGAAGTGGAGTAAAAGAGCTTGGTTTTTTCGGAGTAAACCAATCATTGATACCTAAGGTAGGTCAAGTATATATAGGCGCACAGACCACTAAAACCCACTAAAAGAAGCTAGTGTATTTAGTGTAGTAGGCTAACTGGATAGAGTTCCATCCCATCTGGCACTTGGCAGCTCATGCTCTGTGCAAACCTTGTTTGTGGCAATTGGTGTGGCTGGCCAATGAGGGGCATCCTGGTTGCTCCCCATTCAAAGGTGAATAAATAAACAAACTTCCCAAAAAGGGTTTAAAAACGGTCGTCAGTTTTTTGGTTCTCTCCAGTTTCCGTCACCCAACCGAATAAGGCTGAGCAAGGCCCAACTCTACCTGACCGTTGCTCAATTGAATGTTTAGATTTTCCACATTTAGCCTACCAACGATACCCTCCATTCCTCTACTGTAGGAATTATTTACTACTACCTCCTATGAGTGCGCTGGAAGCGCGCGTGCTTTTCGATATTCGAGCAAACGCCGTTAAGTAAACGGGCCATGTTTTCTTGTTCATAATTGATATTCTACCCGTCATCATTGCTACATCATTTTTCAATTCGAAACACAAACAACAACAACAATTCATTCACCAATATTCTAGAGCTACTTACCATCTGGTATTGCTCATAATAATACAACACAACACAACAATAACGACAAGAAGAACAACACCTGAAGGCGCTTTGTAACACCCCAGCTTAGTTAGCTGTGATGCGGACTCCAATACCGGACGGTGACATAATTCAACTTGACCAAGAACATCCTCGTCGCCTACAAGTCTAGTTGTTGAAGATGTCTAACAGGCCTCATCCTCTGCGTCAGTCATACACCGCTGACTACACGACTGTCAATTCCGTTAGTCGACAATTATCCACAGCCTCCTCATCAGCATCTTCTGGTTATTCTAGCAACTCTTTGAATTCGGATCCTTACGACTTTGGCCCATCCAGTGTAAACTCATCGGTAACCTCAATTGGGTATGGCCCAACTACTACCACTTACGAGCATAGGCGTGGTAAGAGTGAGGCCGCTATTCGCCAGCCATTGCCACGGGCTAGTACATATGATGACACAAAACAAAAGCCGAAGCCAGAAACCATGTACAACTTGGCCAGACAATCATTGCGCCCACTCCCACAGCCGCCTGCTTCAGCATCACCATTACCGCCAAAAAATATAACACCACCCCCAAATCGTGACCGCCACGAGCGCGGGCAAAGTCTTGACATAAGCAAACTCTCCTTGTCCAGTGGGAAAACTTCGCCTACTCCTCAAATGATATCACCAACCTCAACCGCCCGGCCTACCTCGATGGTGCTTACGCGATCCGATGCTAGACGCCCCAGTTTGCCAGGCACGTCAACACATTCTTCTCACGCCATGGCCCACCCCACTCTCGTTGCTCCTGACCTACAACAGTTGGGCCGCTCTTCCACCAATCAGCTACGTACCTTATCTAAGCTAGCACAGGATAGTTCCGCCAATGAATTTGCCCTCACATCCCAAGCCCAAGAGGTGGTCGGCCTACGTGGACGCCGAAGACTACAGCGAGCGGGCAATGCGAATGGCTCTAGAAATGGGCGCGGCGACCGTTACGGCTTCGAAGGACGCAATTGGATGGACAAGCAGAGACAATTTCTCCAAGCGTATGAGTACCTGTGTCATATTGGTGAAGCAAAGGAGTGGATTGAAGATGTTATCCATCGCCAAATTCCGGCCATTGTCGAACTGGAAGAAGCGCTGAGAGATGGTGTCACCCTAGCTGAGGTAGTAGAGGCTCTGAACCCGACCCGACGATTCCGTATCTTCCGCCACCAGCGACTTCAAGCAAGACACTGGGACAACGTCGCCACTTTCTTCCGATACCTAGACGAAGTCGAGCTGCCTGATCTATTTCGATTCGAGCTTATTGATCTCTACGAAAAGAAGAACATCCCGAAAGTCATCTACTGTATACACGCCCTAAGTTGGCTCCTGTTTCGGAAGGGCATTGTGGATTTCAGGATAGGCAACCTGGTGGGCCAACTTGAGTTCGAGCATCATGAGTTGGAGGCTATGCAAAAGGGCCTGGACAAGCTCGGTATTAATATGCCCAGCTTCGGAAACATGGGTGCCGACTTTGGCGTGGAGCCTACGCCCGAACCGGAGGAGACCGAAGAAGAGCGTGTCGACCGCGAGTTGGCCGAGAACGAAGGTGCTATCGTAGAGTTTCAAGGACAAGTGCGAGGTGCATTACTTCGTCTTCGACTTGGTGATATTATGCAGCAGCTATGGGACTCGGAAGACTGGCTCATAGATCTTCAGTCGCGCATCCGTGGAGACTGGACCCGTCAAGTCATGGGCTACAGACTTGAAATGCGGAAGTTCGCTGTCAACCTCCAGAGTGCCGTTCGTGGCTTCTTAGTTCGAAATAGGATGGCCGATAGAGACCAGTTCTGGAAGAGCAAGGAGAAGGATATCACGAAGCTTCAAAGTCTAGTACGAGCCATGAAAGTTCGTGACGAAGTGCGGGACACTCGATCGCAATTGTCACGCGCAGACGGTCCAATTCGGAATATTCAGGCTGTATTCCAAGGCTATCTGGCGCGCAAGAAAATGTCTGCTCAGCACCAGGAGACGAGCCAGATGGCCGGTCCTGTTTTGAAGCTTCAGTCTGCGATACGAGGGTTTTTAGCAAGAGATAGAGTCAGCCGAGATCTTTATTTCCTTGAGGAAGAAACCGAGGCGATCACTAGTATACAGGCTGCTGCCAGAGCGATGCTGGCTAGGGGCCAAATCTATGAGCAGCGTGAAGCACTCGCGAGCTTCGGCCCCAAATGGGAATCGATTCAGGCAATCTGCCGTGGCAATATGCTTCGACAGGATATCCGGGCAACGAAAACCGAACTTGCACAACACACTCCTGAAATTGGCACGCTTCAAGCCCATATTCGTGCCGCAGCGGTACGCCGGGATGTTACAGAAAAGTTGGATGCCTTGAGTGAAAATGAACTCTCAATACTTGAACTTCAATCGCTGGCCCGTGGCATGCTCGAGCGACAACGGGTCACTGTTGAGCTCGACTCACTCGAAAGCAATACACCGGAAATCATAGACCTCCAAGCTAGGATCCGTGGTTCTCAGTTTAGGATGCAACATAGTTTGCTTCTTGATGAGTTACAGTCGCACGAAGAGGAGATCACTCAACTGCAAGCCCTCGCCCGCGCCATGCTTCTCCGTAATGACCTGGGTCTACTATTAGGCGAACTAGACGAGTACGAAGAGGTCGTGGCTGATCTACAAGCTTTTGCGAAAGGCTTCATTGTTCGACAACAATTCGCAGCCAAGAAGAAGCATTTCGAAGAGAACATGCAAAAAGTGGTCAAGATTCAGAGCTTTGTTCGTGGAAAGCTCCAAGGCGAAGCATACAAGAGCCTCACAACCGGGAAGAACCCTCCGGTAGGGGCTGTGAAGAATTTCGTACATTTACTCAACGACAGCGACTTTGACTTCAACGAAGAGATCGAATTCGAGAGATTACGGAAGACTGTGGTCCAGCAAGTCCGACAAAATGAAATGCTTGAGCAGTACATCGACCAACTAGACATCAAGATTGCCCTGCTAGTGAAGAACAAGATCACACTCGACGAAGTTGTCCGACATCAGAACACCTTCGGTGGACACACCAGTAACCTCCTCGCCAATGCCTCTATTTCTTCCACCAACCAGTTTGACTTGAAGGCCTTGAACAAGAGCTCAAGGAAGAAACTAGAGTCATACCAGCAACTATTCTTCAATCTCCAAACTCAGCCACAATATCTAGCGCGACTTTTCAGACGAATCCGTGAACTAGGCACCGCCGAGAAGGAATGCAAGCGCATCGAACTTCTCACGATGGGCCTGTTTGGATACGCACAGAAGCGAAGAGAGGAATACTATCTACTAAAGCTTATCACAAGATCGATCCGAGAAGAAATAGAAGCTTGCAACTCGATCCAAGATTACCTTCGTGGTAACTATTTCTGGTTGAAGATAGTAAATCATTACACTCGATCCCCACGAGACCGGAAATATCTCAGGGACCTCCTTGGCCCATTAATACGAGACAACATCATCGAGGATCCTGCTCTGGACTTGGAGAGTGATCCAATGCAAATATACAGATCTGCTATCAACAACGAGGAACTCCGCACCGGACGACCGAGTCGGCGACCACTAGAGATCACCCGCGACCTTGCAATCAAGGATCCGGAGACACGCGAACTATTCATCGACCACCTTCGGGACCTCAGGGAGATCTCGGACCAGTTTTTCCTTGCTTTGGAGGAGCTGCTACCCCGAATGCCCTATGGTTTGCGGTTTATCTGCCAACAGTCCTATGAAGTACTCTGCCAGCGATTCCCACGCGAGCCTCAACACCTTGTACTACAAGTTGTTGTCAATTGGCTTTGGCGTTTCTACCTCCAACCGGCATTAGTCAACCCTGAGCAGGTGGGCGTGATTGAGAAGACTCTGGGCCCTCTCCAGAAGCGCAACCTAAACGAGGTTGCCAAAGTGCTCAGCCAAATTGCGTCAGGCCGTCCATTCGGTGGCGACAATATCTATCTTCAGCCCCTTAATGCTTTCGTGGGAGAGTCAATGGAGCGACTTGCCCAGATTACCAATGACCTTATTTCTGTCCCGGATGCTGAAAGCACATTCGACATTGACGAATTCAATGATCTATATGCCAAGAATAGGCCGACCCTATATATCAAAATGACTGACGTCTTTGCTATTCATTCCCTCGTTGCACACGAGATTCCAACCATTTGCCCCAACCGCGACGATGTGCTCCGCGAGATCTTACAAGATCTAGGAAGTGCGAAGAACAACGAGAATGAGATGAATGCAGCTGGTTCGTCGGATATACAGATGTTTCTCACTCCGAAGCTCCACGACATCGATGACCCAGAGGCGGACGTCAAAGCTCTATTCATGGAGACCAAGCGTTGCATCTTGTACATTATTCGTGTACAGACGGGCTCTAATCTCCTAGAGATTCTCGTCCGCCCGCCCACCCAGGAAGACGAGAATAAGTGGCAAGCACTTTTACATGATGACTTTTCATCCGGTAGCAAGACCAAGGGCGCTTACTCGGACGTGAATATGATGGATGTAACACGACTTTCATACTACGACATGAAACGCAACGCTCTAGAGAATATCATGCACCTAGAGCAGATGGGACGTATAACGAAGCACAATTACTACCAAGACATTTTGAATGCCATTGCGCTCGACATCCGTACGAAGAGTCGCCGCAGGATACAACGCCAGCGAGAGCTGGAAGGAGTACGCCTGACTCTAGGAAATCTGCACGAGAAGGCCAAATACCTAGAACAGCAACGAAAGAGCTATGACGACTATATTGAGCAGGCCATGGCCACGTTGCAGAAAAGCAAAGGGTAAGATGAACTTGCTGTACCTTGTTATGTATCATTATTTGTGCTAACCCATACCTATAGAAAAAAGCGATTCCTCCTCCCCTTCACGAAGCAATACAACCACCAAAGGGAGCTCGAGCGCTCCGGCCGGGTTCCCAAGTTCGGCTCCTACAAGTATAGCGTGCGTGCGCTGGCTGAGAAGGGGGTGGTTGTGTCATGGCAAGGTGTATCAGAACGCGATTGGAGCAATATCAACCTCACCATCTCTTGTGACGAGGTAGGCGTATTCAACGTCGAGGGCAGCCGCGGCCATATCCAAATCCCGGGCGCGAGTGCCCTCATACCGATCGAGGATCTTTTGCAGGCGCAATTCGAGTCGCATCAGTTCATGAATGTTTTTGAGGGCAATTTGAGGCTCAACGTCAATCTCCTGCTGCATCTGTTGTACAAGAAGTTCTATCGTACGCAGTAAGTCCCCAATACCTACCTTCCCGATAGAGCTGGTGCTCTACGGAGAGATGGAAGGGCAGACGAACACGCACAGACCTTATCATTACCATATGACGATTATTCGAAACGGAGAAGACGAAGATATAATGGAGTGAACGGGATTAGGACGTATGGTTCACGATCAAAGGGGAGACGGGCAATGGTGTTTTACGAGGTAAAGGAGTGTTTGCTCGTGCGCTTTCTGTTTTGAGGATTGTGAGAGACATACGTCGACAGCATTGGCTGGCAAAGGGGGCATTGAAAGACCCTAACTTTGTTCTACAATAATTGACTCTTGGTTACCTTCGGCCGACTACTGAAGGTTGCTTCCAGTTGATACCAGCCCTGATGATTCATTATGGTAGCATAGCTTACTTAGACGCATAACGATATGGCAATGAGACCGCACTATTTTGTAATTGAAAATCTTAATTCCTCTCAGACTCAGATAGTATGTATGATATATACACTACATACCTACTTACTAAGTTAGACATCGCCCTGAAGTATGACTATGAAACCATTTAAGAAGAGTTCATCTTGTGAAATTTCTAGAACTGTGTAGTGCCGTTACAAATCTAAACGGCTTGTATAGGGGCTAACTAGGGGCTTTTTTTTTTCGGCGGGTTCGGCGGGTTCGGTGGGGCCTACGCCGAACCCTCACCGGAAGGCCGCCGAATCGTAAGGGCTACGCGCCGGCAGTGCGTGTGTGGGCGTTTCTTGCCTAGCATACCTCCTTAGCACGTACGCAAACAAGTATGTCGGTATGTATATAAATTATGGTACTATTTGACGAGTTATCCGGTTGCGATTCTTCAATTCTCACCGTTCTTTTCTTCTTTCCCAATTCGGATTCCGGATTCCTTACCTATCCTTTGTCTTTATCTTATCCGGCTATTGTCTCAGAACGAGCCCAGGGCTAGTTAGTAACTGGAATCTAGCTATTACTCGATTCGGACAGCTGTGTGAGAAAAGCAGGGTGGCTGGAGCATTCCTACGCTACTTGGTGTGTGTAACCCAGTGCTTCTAAAAATAGGTACCAGGGAGTAAAAAAAAGGGGGGAGGGAAGATATGGCGGCCAATGTACCAATGGGGATGCGCTCGCTCGTGGCGCTGAAGTACTGCTTGCCAACCAAGTGGGAAGTGGTCGATGTGCCGGTGCCGAAGATCAAGGGCCCCAAGGATGTGCTGGTCAAGATGCACGCTGCTGGCATATCGACGGGTGATACGCAGATTGCGAGAGGGGGTACGAGGTTTTTGATCGATGGGTTAAAGTAGGTTTTACTATCTCCCCCCCTTTTACGATGCAAAAAAAAGACTAACCACTAAATACCTAGGTTTCCCCATAAGATAGGGGTCGAAGGCGCGGGAGTGGTCGTCCAAGTCGCGTCCAAATCCTCGCCGTTCCAACCCGGCGACGAGGTCTACGCGTTCGCCATGAGCCGGCCGATGGACGTGACGGCCCCGCACGGGTTCTGCTCCGAGTACGCGGTCGTGAACGAGGACCTGATGCTGCGCAAGCCGGCCAACTGCTCCTTCGAGGACCTGTGCAACCTCGCCAGCACGGTGACCGCGTACCAGGCTATCGAGCAAGCGCTAGAGAAAATGCGCGAGAACGGCACGGCGGACGGGCTCGCAGGGAAAACGGTGTTCGTGCCGGCGGCGCTGAGCGCAACGGGGTCCGTCGCCATACAGCTGCTGAAGAACGTGTACGGCGTCGGGCGCCTGCTATCTACCGTGTCCACGCCCAAAGTCCCGCTTGTCGAGCAGCTCCTCCCGGGCCTCGTCGACCAGGTCGTCGACTACACCAAAATGTCCAAACTGACGGACGCGATCCCGAAGGGCACCGTGGATCTGGTGTACAACACGATCTTCGGCGTGCGCAGCACCTTCGCGCTCGCGAAGCCGGAAACGGGCGTCGTCGCGTCCATAGCCAGCGTCCCCGACCCCGCACTGCTGAGAAAGATGCTCCCGCCGCTGCCGTGGTACGCGTACGTGTTCGCGGCGCTCGCGCAGTGGCGGTACGCGTGGGCGCTGCGCGGGACAAAGGTTAGGCACTTCATGCACTCGGGCCAGCCCTCCGTGCGGGCGGACCTCGAGCGCGCTGGAGAGTTTATGGCGGCGGGGAAGGTTAAGTCTGTGGTGCGGGTGGTGAGGCTGGAGGATATTGAGGAGGTGAGGAGGGAGGCGATGAAGGTTGCTACGGGGAAAGGGGGGGTGGGGAAGTTGGTTATTAAGATTGTGTAGGTAGAGTAGGTTGGTTGGTAGGTAGGTAGGTGGGTTAGTGGTTAGAATGGGGGCGAGTAGAGGGGAGGTTTTAATTTAAATAGGGGGTGTTGTAGGAGAATAAAGAATTATAACCTGCCCCTTTTTCCTTTTCATGGTTATCCCCCTTTTCTTTTTTAAGTAGAATAGGTAACTCGTTCACACTAACATTAGGGCTTTTAAAGTTTAGATGATTTTACCATAATTGAGAATATAAAATGGAGAAATAAGTATGTAGCACATTCATTAGAGGCCATGTTAATGATATGTACGTTGGGTAAGTGGTAGTATGTATGTACGGATTCATAAAGTTAATTGTATAAAGGGTAAACCAAATGTCTAATGAACATAAAACCTCAATGGTTGTAGGTCTTTATCGCTAGACCTATAACCCCTAGTCCACCTTTTGCATATTTCTCTAATTTCATATCATGAACCTTCAATGTTTGTGGAATTATTCAAATTCTAAAGGCAGATAGGTACCTCCTTGTTTTGGTATGAAAGCGTTCCAAAAGGAAAAAAAAAGGGGGGGGGGGGGGGGGGGGGCCCTTATACTATATCAGTTACGGACACAACATTGGTACCTATGCATAATCACACAACACTTTATTAAAATAATAAAAGATGACGATTACATGCCTTAACTATAAAATCTAAGTTACATATGGAATTCCACTGATTTGCTCCCATCTCAAGACTAAGGGGGACAAAGACGCAAAATAAAAAGAAAAAAAATCCCAGACCAACAAGAGCAGAAAAAATGCAGAACCCATTTCAAGTGAGCGGAAAGGGAGGAGCTGGGCCCTGAATGTTGACCGTCTAGATGGGTTTCACGATGATCCTGGCATACCGGTACGGGGGACCAGTAGTGCAAGGGGTGACAACTATATTGTGGTCTCCGTGATCACCTTGCTTTGCGTCAGCCCAGCATTGCGTTTGGACCCAGTCAGTATGGTTCGCTGCCTGCCTGTGACCGAGAACTATGCGTAGTCCCAACTCCTTCCCAATTTGCGTCAACGCACTGACGACTTGTGTCATGGTCTTGGTAAACTCATCCTGGTCGCTGAACTCCTTGCCCACGGAGCATACGCACTCCTCCTTGAGGAAGGCGTTCATCAACCCCTCCGCCGTCGCCCTGGCCCCATTGCTGGGAGGGTTCGCAGCGATAGACTCCTCAATGGCAGAGAACGCACCTCGAAGACCAACTCGCATATTTCCCCACGTCCATTGCCTACCACCAGTGTGTGTTCCATCCTCCAATACCCACGTCCCCTCCGGCGTTTTGCTATTAGGCCTAAACTGCGTCAGTGCCTCTCTTTTATCAATACCGGTATTGCTACTTGTTCCATTAGCACCAAGCAATCCAATGGTAGGAGGTGGGATTCGCACAGGAGATTGGTCATCACCCGCAGACGCGCCAAACAATCCACCGGAACTAGGGGGTTGAGGGGCGGGCTCTCGTAAATTCGCAACAGCAGCAGCAGCAGCAGCATCATCGGCAGCTCTTTTAGCAGCTCCAGCGGCACCAAACAATGAACTGGGGTCAGGGATAGGAGCTGGCGGCGTCGGGGTCGAGGCTGCAGAGGCGCCGAATAATCCGCCGGTGTTGGGGTTTGTAGGATTAGTAGCTGCCGGTTGCGAAGTAGGTGCGGTGGAACCGGCTAAAATGTCATTAAGGCTTCCAAATCTCCCAGTAGGAGTTTCGGGCGAGATAGGAGTCTGCACTTTCAATTCATGTTTCGTGGTTTGCAGATACGTGTTCCACGTGTCAATCACCTGCTGTGGCATACCCTGAATACCGGTAGGCAAGCCCATATTAAACTTCAAGAAAGAATCTATGTATGAGTCAGAATACCGTTGTCCAGGACCAACAGACGGCGTCGGAGCAGGTGTGGTCGGTATAGGTGCCGGTTGACTCGCAGGAGCAGGATCGGGTTGCGGAGGAACCGTTGGAGTAGTGGCGGGCTGAGGCGTTGGAAGTTTGGTTGTCGGAGGGGGCAAAGCGCCGGGAGCACCGACAGGAGGAGCACCGTCGTTATCATCGTCGATGGAAATAGGATTACTAGCATCATTTCCAGCGTCGGTCGTGTTCGCGTTGGCATTGGCGTTGGCGTTGGCGTTGGCGTATGCATTTTCCCTTCGTTGTACTCTCTGGGTGAATTGTACCCTCTTCGCTGGGCTGAGGATGAAATCCCCCGGTATCATGCGCTTCTTGGACGAGCTACGGGGTATGTGTGATGGCTTCACATACGGCAACAAGGGCACCGGCTTCGGCACGATGGTTGTCCATCCCTTGTAGGCTTCGCGTATCTTCTGGTGCCACTTAGGTACTTCTTGGTGACCTATGGGAACTACATGTAGAATAAGAGGGTCAGCACTACCATAACATCGTGGATGCTTCTATATTGACTCCTCGAAAGGCGTTGAGGGTTAATGTGAACAAAAAAGGGGTTGGGGGTTATAACTTACACTCTCTCTCCATAGTCTGGTTAAAGACAATCTCCTGCAGAAGGGATTCGGGCATGGGGAAGACGGCAGGCCCTGGCATGAATCGCCTCGTTGGACGAGTATATGGCATTAGTGGCCTCGGTGCCGGGGGTTGGGCCTGTGTCTGAGTCTGGGTTTGACCCGACTGGCCTCCATTGTTGTTAGCTTGTGCCGCCATAGCAGGTATATTGTTAATTGGATTTGGGGTTGGACTCGGGGTGTTGTTTGTGTTTTGAATATGAGGAACCTGAGGTTTAGGAATGCTCGTCTCATGTGTTCCAGAGGGAGGCTTTGTATTTTCAGGGACCTTTGTGCCATCCAATCCCTTTGTGTCATTATTGGTCTTTGTTTGCTCAGGAACCTTTGTGTCCTTTATTTGATCATCCGAAGACGTTTTGTTTGTTCCCGGTCGTGTCAATGGAGGTTGTTGCTGTCCACCATGATGTCTGCCATGCTGGCCCATCCCATAGGTTACATCCGTAATAGGTATCCTAGGCGTTAGAATACCATAGGCCTGATTTGGATCGCTTGGGTTCGCCCTTATTTTTTCGTCTAGCCGGTTCTTGATGATATTCTGCTGCTCTTCCGTCTGGTGACGGAGTGGCCAACGCCGCATGCTGAAAAAGGCGGGCCGGGTATGTCGAGCTTGGTATCGTCTCTGTGATGCAGTAGCCCATTTGAAGAGGCTTGGCCTCGTGGTGCCTTCGACAAACTTATTGGGTGTGTAGTGATTATCGTCAATGTAGTTACCTGACGAGTCCTCGAACACAACACGTCGGCCAGGGTACATCGTGCTACGGTTGTTTACGCAGTCATCAATGATCCCCTCCCGGATGATCCCTTGTGTGCCCACTTGCATTATATCTACCTTGTCTTGAATTGTGTGATTTGTGTCGACTTTTTGGACCACATCGTCCATCCTGGGCGGTTTAAGTTCTATCTCGCCTGTGCCGTATTGGATGGAATTGTTCCAGTGGTCTATCGCTTGGTGGAGAGCATGGCGAGAAAAGGGTTGCCACCAGTCTTGACCGTCTCTCTCCGCGCCGGACTTTTTGCCGGCCGCCGGGCGTCGTAGTCGATCCTCGATCTCCTTGACGTGCCCTATCGTACGGCCCATCCGGTAAGCCAGGTTGCGGAAGAACTGAGCCGTCTTCTCCGAGACACGTAGATCTCTCCCTTTATTGCGTTCCATCTCGCCCAAGAGCTCCCAGTCGACCAAATCGGACCAGCTGGGCGCCTTGCGCTTCGTTTCCAACTGACCCTCTTGATATTCGCCCAGGGTCCAGTTAGTCTCGGGGATGATGGCCCACCTCAGCGGACCCAGACTTGGATCTAGAGGATTTGCGGGTAGTTTGACTTCCGTCATCAAACGAGGGAGATCGTCGTATGCAGCATGTTCAAGGATATCACTGAAATGCTCCTCTGACAAAGTACCTGATACATTGAGTCCGTATGCATCTATCAGACTGTCGACACGAAGTTCTTCATAAAGTCTGGTACTTTGATGAAACGCTTCTTCGCTTGGATATCGCCAGGCTACGCGATACTCGGGATGTAGGGTATACGCCGGTCGAACAACATATTGGTCCGCGTTACGGAATAACCTATTTTATATCATGTTAGTTTCCAAAATCCAGAGTCTGGTGGTTTTTAAACATTTCACTTACCGTACTAGACCCTTTCTCCTGAGTATATTCAGATTATCTTTTGCCTCTTGTTCGGAGAACTGATAAGTTTCGTTTGCATGGCACGACTCGGCACCTGGGCCGCCGTTTATATAGGCCAATGCATCTTTGAAAAGTGGAAGGTTCTGATTTCGTGTAGTTTGCCATACACTAGAATCGAACTCCGAAGCCTTCTGTCCAGCCAAGCCTACGCTACCCGACACAGCGGTGTTGTTAAAGAAACTCTGTAGGCGATTATTGAAGAGAATGAGCAGGTTCTTTGTGGGTTTCTGCTTGGGGTCGCACATGGCAGAAGAGCGAGAAGGCTGGCAGAGAAACCTGAGCCAGGCCGCATCGACCTCGTCGATCAGCATGATGCTAGGGGGATGGTCTGTCCCGTCATACCCCGTGACGTCCACTTCGCTACGTGGCATAATGTCTCGACGAGAGTATTTACCGATGGGTTGCTGGCCCGGATTCGAGTCTATTCCCGCTTCAATGTCTCGCAAGATGGTTAGCAAGAAATGCCGGGGAGTCCTTCCGTATGAATCTATCAACAGTTTATGCAACCGCCTGAGATATGCACCCATTTTAAGCCAGTAGTCATCGTAAACAGACAAGCCGTTATAGACATAGGGTCCCCTATAATTCATAGGCAAGGCAGATATGCTGAAGTTCTCCCAGTTTTCAATGTTGTAACGACGACGCTGCCAATCGGCCAAGACGTCTCTCAGTTCCGAATATTGCTTGGTCCAGTACACCCAAGGAAAAGGATCCTTGAGCCGTTCTGGAACCTTCTCAGGGGGGAGTGCTCGGGAGTGGAAAACTATATCCTTGGAGGTCTTCCTGGAATCTTTGAGAGGCAGAACCACTCGACGCCACGGTGTGTTGATCACTCTGTTCTCGTGACTAGTGAACATGTTTAAACACTGTTGCAGCCCAGCCCGTTGCCACCCTCGCGAGCTGTAGTAGTCGACCACAGGAGCTGGCAGTGGAGCAGCTGCGCTCGCCGTATCGGTCTGGTTGGGAAAGGAAACGTCATCGTGAAAGTTGGCTGGCATCTCTGCAAGTGTTTTAGCCATCCCGGCTTGGATCAAATCTTCATATTGACGGTTGTCAATCTCGAATCTGTTCATGCTTGGTTGCGTTCCGGCCAGCGCGTGCTCAAAGAAACTCTCCTCAGAGGCTTGGTATGCGCGAGTTTCGGCAGTGCCCCCATCAGAAATGCCATGAAATGGATTCTGGTTGGTAAGAGGAAAAGGTGCGTAGTCAAATCGCTTTTTCGTATATCGTGATCTATCCTGATTAGGCGCAGGTCGAAGGGAGTGGCTTGGGTCAGTTGGAAGTCGGTTCGAGGTTTGCTTGCTGCCAAATAACCTGGTCGACCAGCGAGTATCTTCCGACTTAAATTGGTGAAATGCAGCATGTGCATCGGCGAGAATAAGTGCTTCCTGCAGCAATGCACAAATTTGAGGATCTTCGTAGCCAAGTTCGCCTTGAAGTCGGGCCGTGTTGGCCTCATCGAGGTATGTTTTAACAGCAATGAACTTGCGGGCCCATCCATTGACTCTGGTAACGTCTTCATCTCGCAGGAAGTTGAGAATCAATGGCAGCATCAAACGAGGATCCCTTCCACTAGGTCCTATGGATACATCCGCCAATGCCGTGGTTTGCCATGATGTCGCAGCCATCGTTACCACTAGGTCCCTTCAGGACTAGACAGCGTTAAACCCTTGGGTGTAGGTGAAGAATAAGGTGTGAACTAAATTAGTAGAATATTGGTTTACAGTTTCAACAGCAGCGAAAATGTGTGGTAATGCCGACTTAACCTCGTCGTCGGTCTCGATATTTCGTCAGTTGGGTGGTCTCTGGTTGGTACGCAGCGTAATAAAATCAGTCAGATGCGACAGATGAGCCAAAAAAAATAAGGAGAGAAAGACAGAGAGAAGTGCGAGCTGCGTGCTCATGACAAGTTGATTGGAGAAACAAAGTTCTTGTCTTTCCTTGCGAAGAATCTGTTCATTGCCAGGGTCCGGAACATGAGCATTCCAGAGACGTCCTGTGGCTTTCTTTAAACACGAGCCGAATTCAACAAAGAATGCCATTGTGTGACTAAGACAAGGAAAGGCAAAATAGGACAAACAGAACAAAATGGTTATATTAGAGGCCTAAGATTGTCTGCACACTGCCGTTTGCGGTGTCAGGTTGAAGCCAGCATATTTCTTTGTGGACTGTTCGCCGGAACTGAGAGAAAGATATCATCCATACCTACCTAACTAGTATTAGTAGCATTATCCTAAAATACATCAGAAGCTTTAGGAATTAGATAGCTTCAAGATAATAGAGCATATTAGAAGCCTCGGGAAGGGCTGAGTGGACAATGTCTGAGAATGAGCAATCATCGCGCCTTTCTAAGCGTTCTTCTCGACGTCGAGAATCCAAGAAATGGCCATCTCGAAGCCGTAGGCGGAGCCTACGAAGACTTCAGATGCCGAAATATGAACGTAGAGCTCGAAAACAACGTAGACGTCTGCTCCGAGGTTTGTTCAGTCCTAAACCTGAATATAAAGATACAAAGGAGGAAAATAAAGGCTCTAAAGCAATTCACTCGAATGCGTCACAAATAACCACATCACCAGAAACAGAAAGGGTAGAGGACACGCCGATGGAGACAGAGATTGAGGAAGCTCGGGAAAGGAAGCCGTGGGAGACTTTAGTGATTGGCTGCGACTTGGGTGAGAACTTGAGCTACATCGAAGAAAAGAATCGCGAGATTGAGCAACAACAGTATATTTTGAGATACCATGAGAAACATTCGCCAGATCAGGTTCCGCATAACAAGAGAATTCTCAAGAGACTAATGAAGCAGAGGGCGGAGATGGAAGACAACGAGGAGAATAATATGCCTGAGTAGGTCATCTTCACAATGTGTTTTTGATAATAAATATATATACTGACCACGCCGTAGAAACCAGCGGGAAGAGAGCAATCGCATTGCTGAACGTCTTAAGCTGCTGAACTGGGCTCTCGATACTTGCCAATGCGAAGCTGAATCAGACAATATACGGGCTGCTATTCAGGGATATCAGTCTGGAGATATACCATACTCGGAAAAGTTCACGCTCATATATGGCGGGCACATCGCCGATGTCTGCCCCACGTACCAGTCTTTCTGTGAAGACAGACAAGAAAGACTTGACCGTTACGCGAAACGATTTGGACCCGGTTGGTTGTGGCACGAACCACCGCTGTCTGGTCCAGGATTTGAGGTGCTAGCGAAGAAAGGCGCTGCCCTGGGACGAATAAGCTGTGCAGGGAATTATGGTATAGGGCACTACGGCGTGTGTATGGGATTTTCCATGGATAAAAAACACGTCATGAGAATGAGCAAAGAAAGCAAAAGGGGCAAAGAGGTCAAGAGCATCAATAACAAATACCCGGAAATGAACTCGGAGGTTTCATCGTGCATGGTGAAGGTGCTCTTAGACTGCGGCTCAAACTTTCCCATGCTACCCCTCGGAGACCTGCGGGATCGTTTCGACGTAGACCTCAAGTATTATGCCGCGCAGGGCACCTTGAATATACAGATGGCATCCGGACAGGTTCAACCGAGCAGGTTCTTCGAAATGTTTACCTCAGTGTGGTCAGACGATGGGACTCCACTTGTTGGCAGCGGTGACAAAGCCGTGTGGCCTAGCGAGCCGCCTCTTCTTGGGGGATATGTTCCGGTCTGGGTCAACGAACTCAAATTAGATAATATCCGTTATACTGATCGTTTGAGCGGCATGATGCCATTCGAGGCATGCTACATGTCATCGGCACCGACGAAGAGGACGATTTGGATCGGGGAGGATCGTAGAGATGTGTTGGGTGCCGGACGCATGCCGCCGCATTTACGATATGAGACGGACAAGGCCATAGCAGTAGAGCAGCCGCATCCGTTTGCACAGCTGCGGAAAGAGACGAAGACGCCAGATGAGGTGATATTCCTACACTACCTCAAAGGCAGCGAAAACGAAGTACTCGTAGACGGCGATTGCCCAGGTGTGCGAGGAAAGAGTGAGTTGGCGGTCTTGAAACATACATATGATGAATATGGCCAGCGAGATGGACTAAAGAAGATAAAGACCTTAGCTCTGGAACCACGGCGAGGCAATTATCGGGAGAGAAATTACGAACCACGTCTATGGGAGCGGGATTTCTTCCCAACAGAGAAGTTCTTTTCACAACACTATTTGGGCATGGGAGAAAAATCGCGCCAGAAAGAGCGTAAATAGCATCATATACCTAATGTGTTGAACTTGAAGAAGTCGTCTGGGCGTATGCATACCTGCCTACCTACCTAAGGTTAGGTGCCTGTATATGTACAGTACCTACCTATGTATATATATTATGTGAGTCGTATCCATCGCATCGTAACTTGAAGCGTGACAACGTGGTGGCCGGAGATTAAATCATGAAGACATATTTCCTTTGTCTTCGTCTTTGTCTTTTCCCCTTTCCCCTTTCCCCTTTCCCCTTTCCCATTTCTATTGAAGAATCAAAGAAGTTGACGCTTGAAACTGGCATTTCAAAAAAAAAGCCACAATGAATAAAATTGATCCAACATGGTTGACGGTCTTTGGATAGTAGGCTATGTATGATTATTAGGATTCTGTCTTAGTACGACACACTTGTAATGAAAGACCTATCGGAGAATTTTCTAATCCTACACCGCACAGGAGCTCATCTCCGGCTTGCTGGTTTTAATTTGGGTACCGCGGTCGGCGACAGTCAGTGGCGTTTGTCCTCAGCCAGCGTGAGCTTACATAGGTAGGTACAAATTGATGTCTAAAGGACTTCAAGGATACATATAGAGGGGGGCCTACTGATCTTGCTCAAAAGGGGTGGAAGCCTTAGGAGGCGCTGCAACTATGTGTATGGATGTATGTGTTATGTATGTATGTAAGACGAAGAGGGGAAGAGATATCTTGGCGCGTTTATTAGAAATCCCAATCCTTGCTACTTGTGATAGACGCGTAAAGTGGCATCTGGCAGTTGAGCTAAGCGGCGTTCATTTTGCTTTCATGACTTTCATGACTTGTCAAGACGCCAAACCAACGCGTGAAGAAGGAAAAGAGAAAGGCACGCTTTTGCCTCCGAGGGGTTGGTTCGCTTCATCATCAATCTAACCTAAGCCATTTAGACTCGGTTTTGATATACTATATGTACTCCACTATCAGGGTGCCATCTCAACGTTGTGATACCGCAGTGGAATTTGAAGTCACGAGACGGGCGAGGAGTACCACTACATAGGTAGTTACATGTATGTAGTTACTATCATGGAGTTACAGTTAACTGTTACACAGTCGGCGTTGTAGACATCGTTGATACATACCTACATATGTATGTTATTGCAGCCGTCACGAGGGTGACCCCTGCTGTCGCGCGCCTTTGCTCGGTAAGATCCGCCGTGTTTTCATGCATGGCTTGAAAATATTCTATGCTCGGTTTGTGTACTATAAGAGCGTGTTAAATCATGTCAAGAGCCGACGTGAGTCTCGGTATACTGGGCATACTAGGTATCATCAATGTATCAGAAACCAATTCATGGCTCCAGAATACTACATTAGTATACACTTCCCCGCATGGCTAGAGCAGACACCGAGGGGAATTGGCCCATTTTCGAGGCTGAGGATTATAGAAGCCTGTATTTTTTTTTTGTTTATTATGCTTGATTCCTTGCTAGTGCCGCCTAAATGATCACTACCTACCTAGAGTTTCAAGCATATCAGAAGATTCAGAACAGACGATGGTCATGTGAGGGTTGATAGGAGCTGACGCCAAATACTTGCAGAAGCAGGGTTGGCTGGTATACGCAGGCATATCTAGGCAAGCCGAGCCTTGATTTGGTTGGGGCGGTAATCATGAGTAATGATTGCCGACTATATCTGTGGTTATATAGTTCCTCATTGTTGTTTCGAAAAAGAAAAAAGACCATAATAGCTTAAATACCGACACCTTGGATTGATAGGCCCATCGTTTCTCAGTGGCTAGCTAAGTTGTCGTGATAATTCCCGCAGGTATATAAGTGAGCTACGAACATCTGATATCCAATAGGGGACAGACATTGCAATTGATCTCTTTTAGCTCATGATCTGGCCAAGATGAAGACCTTTGCGCTTCGGACTGCTGGGACTGCTGGGACCAGTTACGTGACCTGGGCATGCTGTCATTGGGAACTCGGGCCTGACTAGGGCTAGGATCCAAAACTTTCCCCGGACGGTGAATGCTCATACAATGACATACATACCTAACCTACCAGGCCCTACCTATGCACTTTTGATCTGGTTGGTTATGAGATCTCAACGCGTCCCGAAGCTAACGCGGTCGTTTCGTTTTAGACTCTCGCGTCATCCTTGCTACTTGCTGGGTGGGTAGACGGATCTATGGCAAAATCTGCTGATAACCTACCAATCTAGGTAACGATTGGTGCAATTAGACCTTCCAAGGCTCCCGGCTTTTCCTATGGTTTGGAAGTTGTATTGGTTAGACTGTCGTGTCTAAACCCGATACGGTTGGATGTAACAGCGAGCTTAGATTATTATATGTAACTGACGTGTGTTGTTCCAGTTATGGGATGTTGACGGATGATAGGTATGTACTATGTAGGCTTGCAGCCGAGTTTGTCTCCGTTATTCATGAGACTGAGATATTTGTTATTTGTAGGGTTCACTGTCTGGACTATGTACGTTCGATGTAACGGATCGTACGTATTTATCAGGGTCGATTAATTGCACATGTGGTTGTGAGAAATTGCCAACGTCTGGAAGGATTCCGGAGTACGACGTAGGTAAGTATTATCTGAGGGTTAAAACGAAGGAGCCTTGGCCCTGGGCCCTGGGCTTTCGTTTTCGGGTGTGATATCGTATATAATAGTACATACATAGTACTGTAAATGCATGCTAATAATGGAGACCGGCCCGCCAACAAAAAGTTTTCAATGCTACAGCGACCCTTAACAATTCCCTCTTCGTTTGCGGCAAACGGTCAAGGAGCAGGCTAGGGCAAAGTAGGGCTGGGCAAAAGAGATGTGTAGCATAATCGAAATACAATAATTATAGGTAGAGCCATATACTGTACCTACGTTTCTATGTTGGTGAAAACATGAAATTGAAAGGAGAATGACCTATGTACATGTTGTCATGTACATACATAGGGACCATGTAGTACGTATGTACATACGGTAATTGACTGGGATGTTCAATTTTAAGCGTTCCACAGTTCCATTCCGGCGGAACCATCAGCCTCCATGTGGCTTGACTTAGACTTGGCCCTGGGAAACATTGAACCCTGACATCAGGCCCAAGCTTCTAGATCAATTATCGAAGCATTGTGTGACCCTACTGGGCTAAGTACCTACTAGTCACATGTAACTGATCACCGGCTCGGAGAAACCGTTTACTAAGGTTAGACCCTTAATATATCGCACCACGACGGGCGTCGACGGCAAGCCCGGCTGCTGAAAACCCATAGTAACAGACCTGTCGACTAGGAAACCGGAGATGATATCTTTTTTTTCAACAGTAGAGCACATAGTAGTTTGAATGTGAAACCGTTGTCACATTACTACATTAGAGTCGAAGGAGGAGAAGAAAAAAAAATCTAGCGTACCGAATTTGCTGCTGGATACCACGTATATAGTAATATCCATACATACTATTACATAGTAGCCCGCTTCATGACTGGAGTCTTTAGCTTGAGAAAATGCATCATGTAGTTGCTTCCATTCTTCTCCATCGACCCTACATAGCTGCATAGAAGAAAAAAAAGTTTGCACCGCGTGGGTGGATTCTATCAATAATTTTCCATATCGACCCGGTTAGTTGGTTGGCTGGGTGTTTCCGTTGATAGCTATATGTATGCGGTTGGCAGTCCGTTGAATACCTAACATAGTGCTACCGACACATGGAGAGTCATGGACACCTAACGCCCGCCGCCGTCCGGTATATTCATGCCTATGTACTTACGTACGTACGTACTTAATATATGTACCTAGGGTCCTATTTTAGCCTCGGTACCCAGGTAGGCACTTTATCATATGTATGTATCTAGTAGCTCATAAGTAAGGCGGATGCAGCGATGTTCGGCATAGAGAGATCCATTTCATTGTTGGATGATGACATGGATGCGTTTACGAGTCTGCGGAAGGGTTCAGTTACAACATTGAACTGAAAGGGTTTTATTTGGCGATCCATAATAGTACCATAGTACGTTTTAGGATGAAAAAGGGGACGATTCGATAGTCTATTCTATTTTGCAACGGTAGACCTAGAAAACGCAAGCCTTGCCCCTTTACCGTTAGGTCAGTTACATCCAATACCTAAATTGAAAAAAGTCTTCCTAAAAGGAATACATAACTTTATCGCCTAAAAGTAGGTATATGTATTATGTAAGCGTATCTGGTGCAAAATCGTACCTGAAAATAGTTACTCTGTAGGATTCTTAGGGTAAGAATTTTGTTGTCTGGTCTTTTTTCCTTTTTTTTTTTTTCGTCTGGCCTAGTAGATGGAGCATGGTATGTATCCACGGATGCATTGTCAGTGTAGTTCGTCCCTAACTAGGTAGGTATGTAGTTAATTAGATAAGTGCCTACATAGGTACGTTAGGTTCAATGTCCATCGGCACAATGACATTATACAAACCTACCTACAGGCTACTGCCCCTCATTATGTATGCCTTGAAAACCCTTCAGCGGGACCAAGTGCATATACGTCACTTAGCGATGCTCTCGTCATCCTAACTTTTGGCTGCAAAGTGATCAACTTCCAAGGTTAAAATGGCTTTGCTCTTGCAACTTCTGGTGTGGGGAATGCATGGCAGCGGGCCTCTCAGTTTAATGAATGCGCTAATGACGAACGTACCGAATACAGTTATACTTACAAGTACATATACCATATGTACACTATGGATACCGTATTTGGTGTCCGTCTAGGATGTTTTATAGGCTACACAGTGTGTACCCCCGTTCGCGGTAAGGCTGAGTTAGATCGGCGGTAGAGTGGGGCACTTTAGGAATTACAGTACATACATTAGGTACCTAACAGACATGGGAGGAAGGATGAACCTATTGCATCTTTATTATGGCTCCGTAATCTTGCGATTGATGATTACACATCTGATGAACCATATATTCATTGATGGACATGAAATCAATCTAAGAAAGGAGGATGGTAGAATATACATATGTAACTAAAGGACTAATGATTAATCAAGCCTGGTACAGTGGTACTAGATACAGATATACCCACAAGACATCCATGTAGTTATGTGGCTTGATCTTGTGGCGTACACTGCTCCTCCGATGCCTATTGTGAACCAGGTACCAGGGAATCAATCTCCCATATTTATTGTACATATATTAATCATGATGTTTAAGGATGGCCTTCATATAAACTCCTATTCTTTAAATTGAAACCCACTGGCCTGGCTCACATCTTGTTAGCCATCATCATGTAAAGGCGTTAATTGAACTCATTTTGGATGGCGCGGCAGGAAGCAGGAACATCCCTTGCCGATGATGGATTTGGTGGTCTTTTTGTTGGTTTTATTTTCTTCTGTTACAGGCTTACAGCCAACATGGGGGGGAGTGAAAGGTCCTCTCGTAGGTTTCAGGCATGCAGGGTCGCAGACACTTTATTGGTCGCCGATTCGTTTTGCACTCACTATCAGATCTATTTCGGATTCGTTCAAGATTTCGATGCGACCGTCTAATGGCATTTATATCTCGTATAGAACGTATGGAACACCAAAAAAAAAAAAAAAAAAAAAAAAAAAAAAAAAAAAAAAAAAAAAAAAACACGCCGTGACATTTCCAAGATATGGGTAGGCAACGTGATGAGGGGTGACAATTGGCTGGCCAGAGTGCTGTAGGTTTGCTCTCACTAACCTGTTTCAAGCCAAGAGAACACTACGGTTTCTTGCTGCTGATTAAAAGGAAAAGGGGACCCTGTTTGTGTTGAAGCGTTGGTCATTCATCAGCAACTAGAAAAGTCCTAGGATGCGCTGATCGACAACTCCGAGTGATGAATGGTGAAATGCAAACGGAGTATGCGCCACATCACCTAAGTTGGTAGGTACAGTACCGAGGTAGGTATTGGATCGGATAAGCTCAACGAGAAGGAGTCAGCCAGCATGGCCGGGCGCATATTTCAATGTCTCTCGGCTTCGGCTGTGCAGCATCGTGGCGGTCTACAATAATTGCAAACATGCACGATACCTATGTAAGTTTTTGATGATACATATCTGACTTTGGTTCTAACCTCTGTGGGATCAAACGCCATGCGTACTCTTGATGTAATTCAGGACATGTATGCGACTTTAAGACTCGTCTTCTGAGATGAGACGAGACGAGAAGCGAAGGGCCATGTATATGAAGGCGACGCAAGGCAAGGATTTTCTGTATTTTGTATTGAGTGTGTCCCAAAAGCAATTACATTCGTCTTGGGCTGCTGCAGGAATAAAGAAGAAAAGCCCTCGCCACCAAGAAGTGTGCAAGTTGGTGCTGAAGGGGTCATACTTAATAAGTGATTATACATACTTATACTTGCTCACATATAGGTAATGTCTTTTCCATACAACCTAGGAAATTCCCGGTAGTAATTGGAACCTCTTGACGTACATCGGGACGAAGGGGATTAACCTTTCAAGTCGCCGACTGGACGGGTGAACCCCTCCTCTTGATGGTCGGATAGATACGCACACACGTGTTAGGCCTGATATAGATAATGAATAGGTAGGTAGGCAGGTAATAGGTATGTACCTCCTGAGTTAGATAAGTTTGTAAATATCGTCATGATTTGGTCTATTACCGCGAATGCCGGGGCGCGCATGTGGGGACAGTGCACTGTATCGCAGCTTCGTGATTGATCAATATAGAAGACCTCAGCTAGCACACCATCAAGATGAAGCACGATGAGGTTGGACACAATTGGCTATGTAGAGCTAGAGGCGGTGGGATGAAGATGAGCTGTCCCACGGGGGTGCGGGAGCACGGCAGCTGTAAAAGCAATCAATTAATCCAATCATGGAATAATCTCAGCCATTACATCGGTATCACGGTCTTTTCCCCTTCACTGGGTCGGCTCTTTGGGACGCTGCTTTTTTGTTGCATGCCGTGCACCTTTTCGATTCGACCACGCTCCTAGACATAGTTATCTTGAAATTGTTTTGATGTTTTTTGTGTTGTCCTTGTGCCGTGTTTTTTGTTTTCCTGGACCCCCGATCGGCTTGTAGGGGGCCTTCTGCTACAATATGTTGGTGGCCGTTGATAGCCTGCTGGGCTTCATACCCTATTGGTTGCCGAAGCCGCGATGTGATGATCTGATACATATGGCCAGGCCTTCAGACACGGATGTCGACAAATGCTGTAGCGGCTCTCGCGTGCCAATGGACAAGATGGGGAAGACCTTTAGAAGCCCGGCCCCGAATTTACCTACGTAAGTACCTAGGTAGTATGTAGACTTTTTGGGAGGGACGGAACAGATGGAACAAGAAGGTGGTGTGTTCTACCTACGCAAAGGACACTTCAAGGTCCTACATAGCAAGGTGAACCATACATACCTAAGTAACCTAGGATTAATTGATAGATATACGTATGTATGATGAGGGCTAGACGTAAAGGGGGATGGAACCAATTACACACACGACACGCATGATAAATTGATTTCAAAGTCGTGTAAGACCGCGTCAGGAGATCTTGATTGGCCAAGAGATACCGATGATTTTAGTTTTGACGAGCGACATATCATGCCCTGTATTCCTGCAGAATTTCATGGGCTGAAATAGGGATACTAGCCCGAATGGAACGGCCCCTGTCCAGCTACATTCCGTCTCGGCGTTCGCAGCTCCATGCGAACGAACTGGCCTGGGATTTACCTTTTAGTATTTGCTCTCATATGGAAAAGCGTCCAGAGTAGCAGGACTCACTGTATTCCACGTATTTAGTAATTGTTCTTTCATGCATGGAGTATAGAATATATAAGTTGGCCCTTCGTGCTCGTCGTAATAGTTATTATGCTCCTTACTTACTTAGGTAGACTAGCAGGTATTAACGGACGAGTTTAATGACGATGATGATAGGGGGCGTGGAATTTAAGCGACTCTGGTATGCATTAGCATCGTTTCTCACGAACCCCAGCGAATCGATTTAACTGGCCACACTTTAGTAGCCAGATCTGCAATGATCAATATATATTTACCTATTACTAGGTATCTACCTAGCAGCTGCCTAGTATCTGCACAGCAAGCTATTGTAGCTTGCCGTATATGTCTGCCGTACGCTGTGTTCGCGACTTCTAATGTTATAGGCATGTATTGTACGAAGGTATCTAGATTGGATAGGTATGCTCTAGCATTTTATAGGCAATAATACCTACCTAGGTAGTGATAATGGGAACCTCCTTTTTAGAGTAGGGGGGGTATTAGCTAGTAAATGGACAAACACGGTGCGACACTCGCCTGAATCACATAGGAGACTCCGCTACTTCCTTCTATTTCGAATCGAAACGCCTCCGTCGCGCGCTCAGTGCCCTCTTCTAGTTTAAAACCATTGTAATATCTTGTTACAGTCTAGAGCACTGTGGATTTGGCTTGAGCCTTTCAGGATCGTAGGTGGAGTTATCGCCGCATCATCCCCAATTATCCGAATTATCGTGCCCCGGTCGTGAGGTAATGGCATAATTCCAAGATGCCCATTCGGCGATGCTTGGCAGCCTATTTGGTCTTGGTATAGCGTATTACTGGCATTTGATGTTATTGGTATATCTCATGAGGTACATACTACTAATGAGGCATGTATGTACTGCATGTGTAGTAGAAGATGGCCGAATGAACGGGCTAGTTGCCCTTAGAAAACGGACATTACGTGCATACATGTACGCCTATCAATCTCGAATCGAGCTTTAGCACAATGCATTATGTATGTAGGTAAGGCCTGGTAGGTATATAATATATACTAGGTAGGTATGCATCGAATGGTCAGCGTTGAAGAGGCCTTCTTTATTTTCCTTGTTATGTTTGGTTGATAGATCGATCAATCAGTTATAGTTACCTGGGTAGGTACCAAACAAACAAATAGACCTTGCCTCTTTATCTCTTGACAAGAAGGGATCTTGTATCATGGAATGTGGTTCATGGCGCCTTAAAATTTTTGACGACAAATAACAATGATAGGGAAGAGATGCACTCATTCAGGACCAGGCTGTGATCTTATGTAGCTCTTATGCGGCCCTAAGAAGCATACGTGCATATAATACATGGTACATGATATGTACATATATAGTAGGTACCTGCCATGCGAGAATTAAGATTTCAACTACATGTTTAATCTCCAGAGTCCATACACATATCTATCTATTATTACATGTATCTACCTGGTAGGCACTTTCTTTATGGCGATTCAGTATCATTGGCCTATTACGTTTGATATTAGATGTCCAAACGGTTTAAATGTAGATGCTCAGAGTTGCCCTGGGCAGTGTTACTAGTAACTTACTACCTAGTATTACTACCTACCTAGTAGTATAATCTTTAAAATTTATTACGGTGCCGTATTGCCTGTAACTAGTTACTATGAAAGTATGCTATAATATAGTTATCGTGCCATTTATTTTTAGGCACCTAAGCACCTAGCCTAATAAGCACTTGTATTGTATTCGTACCTATAATACACTACGCTATAGCAGATATCGTACCTATTGTAGTGGCCACAGTACACTACACCCATACCTACGTATTGTACAACTACCTAATAATCACAGCCTTTCAACAACATTGAATACGGTCAGCATTAAAGCTATGGATATAACTATTGGGCGGTAGGTTTAGGCGGTCTACATCTACTACGAATGTGTAAGATTTTAATAGAACCTGATAAATCATCAATGACTATTTTCTCCACATTCATCGTTCATCCATCCATAGGACCCTAGGTACATCGTGAGAGCTGAAAGGGGGGGCCAGGACATCTGTAGCTTCCACTTCCCCTCCTTAAAGTTTGTAATATTCAGGCACATATGTATTTACCTACTTAGCACTAACCTAAGCGTCGCATGTGAGTTAGTACACGCGTGTGTACAAATACAATTTGAATATCTTCAATGTTGGATACCACATGATGGACTGTGCGGCCCACTACTTAATGGTAGCAGTGGCAGTAGCAGTAGTGCTAGCCTGCTAGGTAGTACACATATACGCCCTGTACCCGTTACGTGGGGACTGGGTTCAAGTCAAGGAAGCTGTGAAGGAAGAAAGGCGAGGTCACAATTGCTTGGTGCTCTTGCTTGCTTGCAACTTAACAGGGTTTTGGCTGCAAGGTGTGGTGCAGTATGGTGCAGTATGGTGCAGTAGAAGGTGCAGCAACTGGCGTCAGGAAAGAAAGGAAGGAGGGGGACGAGAGGGATTTAAAAATAAAAATAAAAATTATTACACACTTGGTAGCCTGGTAGGTAGTTGACTACATACAATGTCATACATATGTAAGGTTAGTACTAGTAGAGAATATTGAAGGAGAGACGGGAAATACATGATTGCAGGGGTAATACGCAAGTAAGCTGGGAAAGTACCTGCAAGGCGGCCGCAACCAACCTCAGTAAAATGCTCGAACATCATAGGCCGTCGCGAGCGCGGTGCCTTGCTAGGCCCATCCTGGCCCTGGCCCTTTAGTGTCTGTGGCCCTCTTTCTTACTGTCAGGGCTGTACCTGGTGTACCTAGCGTACCAGTGTGTTTGACTGGTGCTTTTTTTTTTCTTCCTCGCTCCTAAATGCCCTAACCTAGGCCATTTCTACTACCTTTTTTTTTTCTTAACTAACTAGCTAACTACCAGGTACATTGTACGTACATAGTAGATTGCTCGACCCGCGCTGGACCCGGTTGTCTTAAAAGTACCTGTTAAACCAATCCATCTCTTCCAATCCTTTTTCATCTCCTCCATCCTCCTCCAACTTGAGGCCATCTCCTACTCTCTCCTTCCTTTCCTCGTCCTCTTTCATCCGATCCATTCATTTCCTCCTCCTCCTCAATACTCATCCTTACCATTTATCTCCTCCCCCCGTTTCCACTTCCAAGGAGGAAAGGAAGAGAGAGCATCCTGGGCCTTCACGACAGCTCCAGACGAAAAAGATAAAAAAGGGTACTTTGGGCCGAGTTAAATAAACTCCCCAGGTAAAAAGAGAGGGATAGAGACGCAAGTCCAAATAAATGAAGAGAGAAGCAAAGAAAGGATAAATCTTTTTCTTTGGCTTTTTAGAAACTTCGATAATTCCCTCTTCAAATATTTTCCCAGGTAATAAACCAATATTCTTGGAATTCGAATTCCTCGGTCTTTTAATTATCGAGGAATCCCTCCCAATTACCACAATTACCACCACATTTTCCCTCCCTCCTGTCTCCCTCCTGTCCCTATCGAGATTTTATCCCGTCCATCAACCACAACCACCTTTATCTCCCATTCCTCGGCCGAACCTTGATCCCTTTTCTCCCTCTTTGCCCTTCCGCCTCGAAATAAGCCACCCCTTTCCCAAGGAGAATAGTCTTGTCTGGCTTGGTGGGCAGATACAAGGCGATTCGCATCTCATAACCTCTCTCCTTCGTGCCAACGGTACCAGGAATCTGACTCTGGCTCATCACAATTACTCCAGACCGAACATCGGTAATAGACTCGTTAAGGGTCTAACTACCGATTCGAGGATCTCATCAACGAGCCCTACATGAACCCAGTCGGTCGACTATAATCCATTAGAAGCGTGCAGGTGTAGAGGTACGTCCGAAAGTAGCGGGAAAGGGGAGAAGAGGCAGACAAAGTTGTATAGTGCAAAGATTTCTTTTGAAGACTCGAGATTCTAATATTGCCCTTTTTTCTCCCTTTGCAGGTACATGCCGACGGTCCACCCGCAGGGTTTCCAACGGTGTACTCGGACACTCGCGCACGCTTCCTAAGCTCCCGTTGAGCAGATACGCTTTGCCCTTGTGGGACTCGTTAACTCGCTGTTCCCACCTACTCGGTCAGGAATCACATAATTTCCTGTGATTAATCGTGGCGGTAAGGGAGACCCTTCTTCAGCGAAATTATAACACAGACCAACGTCATTTTTGTCATTTCATATGCACGTATGCTGCATTAAAATACTCCATCGAGAATCAATTGCCCTGCCAGACGTCTCGCCGCGTGCCAGGAATCTTTTCCCCACAGATTTTCAGTCGAATCAGAAGGCCTAAACTACTGCCCCTGATCGTGTGGTTCCAGAAGACCCGTGCCCTGATCCCTCTGTCCTGTCTTTGGTTCATTTGTCTCTCCTGTGGTCTCAATTGGAGCTCCTGGGTTCCTGACGCTAATAATTTTCCACTCCAGAGCCTTTCACTCGACGTCTCTTTTAACGGCCGCCTCTCCGGCCCTTCCCCCTCAACATTTTCACCGTCTTTCGGTAGCCATTCGGCCACAGTCATTCTTTAGTTTATTTTTTATACTGCATACAGTTCATCACGCTCTTTAATATTGTAATAATTGTTGTGTCGTCCGTCCAGCTGAAATAATACACTCTTTCGATTTTCTACCTGCGACGGCCACCTTAATACGCTCTCTCACAGCATAAAGATTCCTGGAGAACCTAATCGTCACTCTTTTCAAGAACACGTCCACGCAAACAAACTCTTACCAAATCCATCCAATCCTAACTAGCCTTATCACACACAATGGCCTACTCAACATCAACAGACAGCGGCTTCTTTGTCGAATCCGATGAGCCTCGACAGCCTAAGATGAGTATGAAGGATGCAGCAAAAATGTTGGCCCGCAACAGACAAGAAATGATTGCGAACGACCTGTCTCGGTTAGCCGGCGATGAATATCTCGAGGATATCATGCAACATATGAGACACATGGAGGTTGGTATTCTCTCGCTGCTGGCCTGCTGGCTTCCGATTTTCGGAATTGGTTGCCTAGAACCGAACCTGAAATGAGGAGCTGGACTTGGCATATCATAGCTAACAATTCGACAGGACGAGACGTTACCTGACGCCAATCTAATCGATATGCAGCGAGAGATTCAATGGTTCATGCGACCTTATCTGATCGATTTCTTAATTGAGGCTCACGCTGCCTTCGCACTTCTTCCCGAGACTTTGTTTTTAACCGTGAACCTCTTGGACCGCTACTGCTCAAAGCGAGTCGTCTATAAGCAGCACTATCAACTGGTTGGGTGCGCAGCCTTACTCATCGCTGCCAAGTATGGTGACAAGAAAGACCGAGTCCCCCAGATCAACGAGTTGAACAACATGTGTTGTGGACTTTACGATTCGGGCATGTTTACCCAAATGGAAATGCATGTTCTTAACACCCTTGAATGGACCATCGGACACCCAACCGTCGACTTCTTTACCCAGCTCATAGTTGCCGAGGAGGCCGATGACCGAGAAGTTGACCACATGGCCGCTTACCTCTGCGAAATTGCATTGTACCACCGAGACTTCGTTTCCACCAAGCCCTCGATAATGGCACGTGCCTCGCTCGCTCTCGCCCGTGCGATACTTGGACGACCGGAAGTGAACGACGGAGAATGGGATCACATTGAGAATGTGACGGTCCTCGCCCTATCGCAACACTTGCACCAGCCATCCGTCACCTTGTCAAGAAAGTACTCTTCCCAGCACTTCTCTCGCGTCTCTGGAAAGCTAGCCGAATTTCTTGAACAGCAAGCTGCTATCGCCCATCGAGCGCAAGGTCCCCCTTCCCCCCCGGCTGAATCTACGTTGTCAGCACCGCACTCGAACATCTACAGCACTCCTCAGAAAGGCCACGGTGCCGCTTTAGGTGTCGCCGACGGATATCTAACTCCGCCTATTACACCTGACGGAGTCAACTTCGGTGTTGCAGACCCAATGAACAAGTACGTCCCGCCTCGGTGCCCGGTTACCCCTACACCTCAGCCTCCCAGCATGGCCGGTTATCAGCAGCAGCAGCAACCGCAACCACTACCACTACCTCAGCAGCAGCAATATACTGCTTACTCGTACGAACAGTACAGTGGTCAGATGGTCTCATAAAGCTCCCTGTTCCCTGGCCAACATTTCCACATATTTGATGTAAACTCACTATCAATTTTAACACACTAACGACCTCGTTTCGAGCCCACCGCATGGATGTGTATCATTGGAAGATAAAAAAAAGATTGTTGCATAATTGACGGTTTAGGCTCCATTCCATCTCCATGGCATTATCAGCGACTTATTTGATTTCAAAAAATTTCCTTTCTCAGTCATACCCATTGAGCGTGCTATTGCATCAACCACAACCAAACCAAACGATTGTCGACCAAAAAAAAATCTGATTTCTCCTTTTCTGTGAATTCGGGCGTTTTCCAGTATCGATCCGAGGACAGAATACGGCACCCAGATTGCTGCAGTACGAGAGTTACGGAGCATCAGGAGAGGAGAGAGATTACATAAAAACGGGCGAGGCTGTATTTTGGAGAAGAAAAAAAAGACTGGCAATTTGTGAACAACCGGAGAAGGATACGAAAATGGGGCGCATGCGCGCACCGGCACGTCTGCAGGCGATTTAATCTCGCCATTTGCTTTCAGGAATGTCAAGTGGTCTTGACAGTCCGCCTCGGGTAGTCGAGGAATAGTGGAAGCAAGAAGCTACGGCATGCCACACACGACACGATATACGGATCGACTCTCGTCGAGAGAGGAACTTAATTCTTTGTGGAGGACTTTTGCTGCGGAATACACGGGCATCTAAACGATCGATGGCTTATGTATAGTTGTTCGGTCTTGTCATGGGGTTTAAATTCCCATGATAGGTATGCCTGCCGCATCCGTACATAAAAATCCAAAAGAGTAAAAAAATATTCTCTTGCAAATTTGATTTGCTGTTTTTTCTTTGTCTTTCTTTTTTTTTTCTTTTTGTGATTAACTAACATGTCGACATCTATATCGTTTTGGTTTTGCCCTTGCATGTGCCCCTTTCAATGTGAGAATGGACCGTAGGCTACTTGATTCACTCCAAAGGACTCCACTGGATTATTTTTGCTTTCCATTCTTAGTCGTCTGCATGCCTACATATCCACCCATTCTCCTCTCATTCCCACCCATAAGCAACAAGCTAATGCAAGCAGACTGCTTTTTATCTCATAGTGAGGCAGCAGCCTAGATTGCGATTTGCAGCGCATCGCTCAACAGCGTTCGATGCGATAGATTCTTTGACTTTCGATTTATGCATAACTTGAACTTGGATCAGTCTGTTCGTTGTATTTGTATGATCCCAAATTCAACAATGGCGAGGATTTCTGCCTACGTATTGACCTTAAAAGGCTTAAGTAGGTAAGATGACTCACATTCTCACAGAGTCTCAGGGGTCACCGACTTTCCAGGAATTGCCCGTAGAGCCAACCCAGGGTCTGATTATCACGCCATGCCTCTTTAGAAGAGGTGGCTATTAAAGACTTAGCGATGTGATGAATTCCAATTCCAAAAAAAAAAAAAAAAAAAAAAAAAGACCGAAGCTGTAGTAACTGCTGGCAAACCTCGTAGATGATCGTGGACTGATATAACCCCCCCTTCAACCTCCAAGATCCCTTTCCAATCCTCCTCGCCGGGGTTTACGTGCCTAATCTAAGCTGCCTAAAATAGGTACCCAAACAATTGTGTCCAAATATGCCAAGAAATGATCACCATGTTATTATAATACGATGCTGGCATCCGCTTGGCGTTTCCATCCGTTCCCATCGTAGACTCGACATGACAACGTAGCATTTTGATCTATAAACGTGTTAGTCGTTTGGGGGGGAGCAAGGTATCGTCATTGATTAGGTACATGTCTTAGCCAGGTACCCATGGAGTCGAACCACAGCAGACCAGACATCGCAGCGGGCAGCGGAGCAACCGCGGCCACGACACGGCGGAGATGCAGCAGCAATAGCGAGGCCCCGTTGGAGAAGTTCATGCATGCAGGATGCCTGCTCGGGTACGATGGCCAGGCTGGGCGACGGCGGCGATGGCGATGGCGATGGCAACACCATCAGCAATCCAGAGAAGAAGGGAGAATCGGCCGCCGACCGCACGAACCCACATCCTGGTGTACGACGGGTGCCTCAACCCGCCGCACCGCGGCCACCTAGCGCACCTCGTCCACGCGTTCCGGCACGCGGGCCGCCGGCGACAACTATCTTTGGCGGAAGCTGGGCTCGCGGCCGGATGTCCTGAGACTCTCGCTGGCGCAGCGCATACGGTTGTGGGAGGGGAAAGGGAAATAGGATGGTTGCTTCGACTGGTGCTGGGTGCTCCCCGAGGACCACTGGCCCAGGATCGCGGATAAGCTGGAGACGAGCACGGGTGCGGCCGGGTTCGAGGTCAAGTTCGTGTGGGTCGCGGGCGGCGACAGGGTATTATCCGTCGCCAAAGTCCCGTCTGGGGGGTGTGCGACGTCGATCGTGACGGACGTGAGCCGGGCCGTGGACTTCTTCCCCGAGGCTCGCGGCGAGGCTCCGGCTCCGTTGTTGGGGCATGGGCCGTGGGAGAAGGTGGCGGTGGGACGTCATCAGCGCCAACACCAACGAAGGGATAAGCAGGAGGATCATCCCGCCAGCTCAAAAGCCTTCTCTCGCCAACAATTCACTACTATTACCAACACCGACACCGCTCTCCCAACAAGCACAAGAGACGTGTGGGGCAGCAAGCGCGGCGACTACGCTTTGCGCTTCGTCGCGAGGAACGGGACGACTCCGACCTAAGCTCGACGCGTAGTCCGCCGCATCATAGCCGAGTTTCTCAGCGAGATGGCCAACACCAACGTCACCAGCAGCGATGCCAACAACACCGCCACCATCAACATCACCAACGATACCAATCAATGCCAACACCAACATCCACCAAAAGGATCATCAGCAAGAGGAAGAGGATGAAAACAAAACTCGAAAACAGACTAACGGGCGTATCCCTAAGCCCGGCACCCCTAGCACAGTATGTCATCGAGTGAAGCGGCGCGGACGTGCGGAGGCCGACGACAATAAGTTCAGGGTGAGATTCTAGGGATAGTGATGGGGGTGGAGGGTGGGTCTGATAGAGATATCGTGTGAGTTAGGTACCTAACCTAGGTAGCACTGCCATCGACTATCTACAGTATCTAGTAGAGTAGGGTAGGTAGCTCCATGGTGGAGGGTACAGGTTAGAGTAAGAAAGTGAGAGACAGAGAGATAGAGAGTTTGTATTCGACATCGTGGGGAGAAAGGGGGCGCTCAGACTGAAGCGGTTGATACGATAGCTAGGCATCTAAGGGGATCCATCGATGGAAAGGGGAAGGAAGGGAGCAAGAACGCTGATATCTAGCCTGCTTTGATTTGCTTATTATCTGTATCCCGACTTCAGCGGCTTAATCATATGGATAGGAGTTGGGTATCAACGCGGATACTAACTTGACTGAAATTGCTTCGTTGCTAGCCGTGCACAACATATAAATAACCTCTCCTAATAGAACCTCCGCTGCAGGGAGAACGATTATTGTATGGCCTTAAGCACTCCTGAATGAATATACGTTGATGAACATACACACACACACACACACACACACACATAATACTTTAGAAAGATAAATGTTTCAATATATTACTTTCTAACCTTAACCCGCCTACCCATCTCCGCAGAGTATCTACCTAATTCAGCACCTAATCCTCGCGGTTTGTCTCTGTATTTTAGGTATAGGTAGTAGGGCGTGGTTAAGCCAAAACAGTTCCAAAAAGAAAAAAGAAAAAAGAAGAAAATAAAGCTCCAAAAAGACTAAGTGACCCTCTCACCCATAGTAAATAGTCCGATAGCCTTCTTCCCACTTGCAATGTTTCCTAACCTCTCTCTGTCTCTTAGAACCCTATCTTTTCCTTCTTTCCTTTTTTTGTAATTCTTTTGGGTATCACCCTACACTCCCCCCCTTTATAGATAGACCTTCTACCAAAACCATCCCCGTATAACTAGGCACGGTACTATACATATTCTCATCTCACCAAACCATCACCGGCCTCATGCGTTGCCACCGCGGGCCCTCCAGCATCGATGTACTAGTGGTCGTCGTAGGGGGTTCCTCAAAGTCCAACTGGGGCGTGCCAGAAGGCTCTATCTGACTGCTCATACTATGGTGTAGCATGACAGGTGCCTCTTCTTCTTCGTCAGGCCCTGCCCATACCATCATCGACGCCAGCGTGGTCATCGAGGGTGAAACACGGCCGCCGTATGGAACGACTCCGGGAGCGAATGTATAGTCAGATGTCTGTGGGTTCGTGTTCGCTGCGCTCGGAGTTGCGCCGCCAGTATTGGGGTTTGATACCGTTAGCTGGCCTTCGCCGGTAGGTGTGTTGCCCCCGTTCGGTACAGTTGGGCCAGACCCTGGCGTTGATGGCCTACCGTTCCCATTACTTTCCGCTGGGTTAGACTGGGCGCCTTGTCCTGGTATATTGGGGCTATTGCTTCCTCCATTACTAGGTCCGGCACCTCCATTCGTGGAAGGGTTTGCTGTCAGATTAGGGCTTGGTGTTGGGGAATTGCCATTTCCATTACCTCCACCAGCATTGGTTTGCGTCCCTTGCCCTTGCGATTGCCCATTCTGACCGGAAGTTCCTCCGTTGCCAGATGGATTTGTTGCTACTGGAGCATTTGTGGCCGTATTGGGACCCCCCGTTCCACCATTGGAAGGTGTGGTTTGGCCCTGGGTTTGTCCGGCGCCCATGCCTCCCCCGTTCTGCGGCGATGAAGAATTTGGGTCATGAGTCGCCGTGGATGGGTTTGATCCGGCACTGTTACTACCACCAGCTGAGTTCTGCCCCTGGGTCTGAGCAGATGGATTAGGGCCCGAGTTTCCACCGGTAGAGGGGTAGCAACTCTGATCAGACGAGCCTGGAGTACAAGTAGCTGGGAAACCACCATTGCTTGATGGGTTTGCCGAAGGGTTAGGAACCATACTACCTTGGCCTTGACCTGTTGACGCTTGGCTTGTAGTACCTGATGGGTTAATGGTGGGATTAGGGTTAGCAGTTCCTTGGCCTTGACCCAATGATGGCTGAGTTTGCCCACTACCATTACCGGTCAAAGTACAGCCCGGATCCGCGCCGGGACGACAAGACTCGGGAGTTCCGGCACCGCTATTCAACGCCGACGCACTGGGAGATGCTCCTATCCCACTACTCGCTGGTGAATAATTCGGGGAGTTGGGGGTTCCTCCGGAGGTGACTTGGCCAGCACCCCCACCCCCACTTCCACTTCCACTTCCAGTATTCGATCCGGCCGTCGGACAGGGGCCAGTGTTTGTTCCTCCATTCGAACCCGATCCAGGACCTTGACCAGATCCAGCCCCGCCCCCATTTCCATTCGAGGCAGAGTTAGGGCTCGTTCCTGTGTAGGTACCTCCAGAACCGCTCGACGGTGAATTTGTATTTCCATTACCTCCTGGTACAGTTGGACTTGCCCCCGCTCCCCCGTTCGAGTTCGAAGACGGACCATTGCTCCTAGCAGGAGAGGCAGTCCCCACACCGTTAGTCGGCGGTGATCCATTGTTACCACCGTTACCACCCGGTGAAGTGAGACCTTCACCAGAACATCCTGGGGTAGTCGGGGCTGGTGAGCCACTCTGCGGTGGAATTGTACCACCACTTTCGTTAGGTGAAGTCGTTGGCGATCCTGGCCCAGACTCTCCATTTGTGTTGCCAGGTGCTAAGCTAGCGCTTATGCTATTTGGAATATGGCCCTCTGATTGCCTTGTCTTCTTTCCGTATTGACTGATCAACTGACCCATATCCGCACCAGGAGGAGGGAATACTGCTACTGGCTGTGTCATAATTGAATGAGCGACGCCGCCAACATCCATAGATATGACCTCGGGAGGCTCGGCTGTTGCGGGCAATGGTTGGGGCCCGGCACTCGCCCACCCATGTGCTTCGTCATCGGAGCTATAGCAGCTAAGAGCATTGTTGCCTCCACACGCTTGTCTTGCGTCTCCTGTACATGGAATTGAACATGCTGAGTCGTCAAGCTTTTGCGTACCATTGAGGAAGTTGCCACAGTAGCAGTTGGAGCCGTCCTCGGTACTAGCCATGAGGAACCCACGAATTATACAGTGTTGAACGCAATTTTCGTTAGTGAGAGGACCTAGATCAGGATGTGGTTCCATGTTGAGAGCTCTTTCGTCTGGTTGATCAGCCCAACAGCCGCAATAACCCCAACTCGAGGCTTTCTCGGGCCTTTTCGGACTTGGCAGGGCTGGTACTGGTATCGTTGACTGCATCGAGCTTGGTCGTGAAGAAGTTGGGGATGGGGTGATGGTAGAGGAGATGATACCAGGGCTATTGGAATCTGGCACTCTAGATCCTGCACATGTTTCTGGACCTGGTGTTGGATAGGGAACACAAAACCACCCGCCGTCGCAGTGTACACAGGGCCAACCAAAACCACAAGGGGCAGGTTGCGCAGGGGTTTGGGGAGGCGGACAAAACCATCCATCCAGACAATCATGACAAGTATAGCCCGAGCCAGGACACGGTCCCCGATCACCAGTGCCTCCAGGTGGAGGAGTAGGAGATGGCCCACCAGCATTGGGACAGTGGCAAGTCGGGGAAGGGCATTCTGGACAAGGCGGCCGCGTTGGACATGGTTCGTAGGCGTATATAGTAAGAGTGGAAGTTTGGCCAGCTCTACACGATGGTTAATTGCGCTAGACCTGGAACAGCATCATTACAAATAAGACCTACAAGAGAATTGTCTGAGTCAAACAGTCGTCTGCCACAGTAGTGGTCTCAGCCAAAGCGACAAGTCCATCAACTAAAAAAGAAAATCAGACATGAGCTTCCTCTAAATTGTGGTAGCATCTGCAATTTCCAAACTTACCGCCGGAAGCCATTACGACGATAGTGCTTCCTGCCCCAAGCTGTAGACCGCCCGGTTGCACGAATCCTGTTAACGATGGGCGAGGACTTATGACAGAATGAGGAGTATCTATCATGATCAACGATGCTAAATCAGCCTTAGCAGACGTAATGACAGTTTGCTTGTCAGATTCTGCCAACGTATGAGCTGCCGAATTATGAGGAATAGATTGAGAAGGGGCTGAAATCACTATGGTCGAAGTCTGGGTATTCAGTTGGATATCCGGAGAATCAATACCGCTTGATATAGTTGGCACAGGAGATGACATAGCTTGTGAAGTTAATTTAAGAGAAGTTGTGGTCTGAGAAGCCCCTGATTTAGACCCCACTGAGGAAATCAAGGTAAGAGACGCCTTTGCTGTAGTCTCTAGTACAGAGGCGTCCGTCGTCAAAAGCGCTTCTGTCTTGGATGCAGACATAACTCTGGAAGTATGAGCATCGTTAGCAAGCGCTGATGCCATATCGCCGCATATGCCGACAACTGTAGAGGTGATGCCATTGACGACAGTTACGATACCGCATATATTGTCTTCGATGAGGTCCCCAACTAATGAAACGGGACCGTTTCCTACATCCACTATGTTACCAAGATCGCTAGCCAGAGCAGTGGAAAGTCCCGTCAGCAAAGGTGCTTCGGCTTCAGAGGCAGCGTCTGCGACCACATCCTGGACAATACTAGCAATCATCGAGTCCAGATTTTCGAATAAGACCTCCACTGATTCCAATGCATCAGGAGCTTGTAGCTGGCTAGCTCCAACTTGACTAGCTATCGATGCGATATCAGTAGCTAGCTTCTCTACCGAGGCCACTACAGCTTGGGCTTCAGACGTTGCTTCGTGGATGATACTGGAACTTTCCAAAGGGATGGTCCCGTTGAGCATGCCGCCAAGTTTGTCTTCTAGGACTGCGATTTCGGAGCTAGTCGGCTCAGGTTGTGCGGTTGGGATTGAACCCCTCGAATGCTCAGGCGATACGAAAGGCATACCCCTTAAAGAGTCGAAAGTAGGCAAACTTATTGTATGTGCCATCCTGTTTATATCACTGGTGATCTTTGCCTCTAGTGATGACGCTGCACCGGGAACGAGGTCTGAGATGGCGCCAGGAATTATACCAGACAAGGCATCCATATCAGGACCACCACGTTTCTCGAGGGAATTTTCTGGTACGCCATCTTTGAAGGACTTCTCATCGAGTGCATTGCCTTCCTTCAAAGGGCTACGCCCCTCAGGCGTATCGTTCGTAGAGCTTTCATAAACAAAAACCGCAGCGAGAAGGCCGATAAAGAAGACAATAATGAAGAGGAGCAGCTTTGCTATATTCGTGGATAATAATCGAATGGTCATTATTATTATTTTTTTGGGGGGGGGGGGACTTCGGGCCAAAAAGCTTAGAGAGCGAGAACAATATGGACCCAAAAAGGGGGTTTATTGTCAAGTGGAAGAAGGAAACACTTCCAAAATCGAGCCTAAACCACAAGTCCAAAAGCACCAAAATGAACAGGGCTATAGTCAGGAGAAGCCAAAACGAGTGACAAGATAGAGAGGAACATTATTTAAGGATGAGAGTTGCATTTGGATCTTGAAGCCTTTTTTCTATTCCGCCAACAAAATATTTACTTATCGTTCCTTCTCAATATTTCAGTATAATCATTAAGACGGTAGGAAGTACTAAGGTTCGTAACTGGAAGGAATGGGTAGATGAGTAGATGACGAAATATTTAGTTCTGTCTGCCTACTTAGGTGCATAGGAACATACCTGCCTGGGTACATACGATATGGGCATTTCTATTCATTACCATATTAGCTTCCCTCCGCTCAACGTTAACAAGTACATATTGTACGACTACTCAATAGAGGTTGTTAATATTTGGATTTTGAACACTTGTTCTAGGCTTCGTTACGTAAAGGTTCAAGAGATATTCACATTGCATTGAGAGAGAACAAGTTACTTGTTAGAATAGAGCTGCCTTTTTGCTGCCTTTGTCTGATACCTGCCTACCTGGCACCGATGCAATTAAAAAAGCAGAACAACCGAATCCACGCCATATGCTCAGAATCCCGCATCTAGTATCGCTTGCCTTCACGGAGTGTGTCCGCATACTCCTCCAGTGGGCTTCGGATCAACTTGGTCTCAGACCACAGGTTGGGTGTGAGGAATCCGTATGTGTTGGAGATAGCGGCGAAGGTAGCCTTTAGGGTGTTTTCGAGAGTCTTGGTTGAACCGGAAGAGGAAGTGTAAGCATCCTCGATACCGGCCAGCTGCAGAAGACGCTTGACGGCGGGGGATGCTACGATCTGGGTACCACGAGGGGCAGGGATAAGCTAGTAAGTATTGTTAGCTTGACAGTATTCTCTATGGAGTTCAGGTTGGTTTTGACTTACTCGGACAGTGACGGAACCGCACTTTCCACTCTCCTTGACGGGTAGAGAGTGAGGTTGACCAAGGTTGGTACCCCAGAAACCACGTCGGACGGGAATGACGCTGAGCTTGGCGATAATGATGGCGGCACGGATAGCAGTAGCGACTTCCTTGGAGGTCTTGATACCAAGACCAACGTGACCCTCGGAGTCACCAATGATGACAATAGCCTTAAACCGAGTTCGCTGACCAGCACGAGTCTGCTTCTGGACGGGCTTGATCTATATTTTGAATAAAGAGGTTAGTATTATGTTTTGTATGCCTTCTGCCTGCTCAATCGCCAGAATCGTACCTTCATGACTTCATCCTTCAGCTTAGGTAGGAAAAAGTCGACGATCTGGAACTCCTTGATGGGGAGCGAGTGTAGGTAGATCTCCTCCATGCTCTTGATCTTGCCAGCTTTCACGAGACGGCCAAGCTTGGTGACGGGCATCCATTCCTTCTCGCTGTCCTTGTTACCACCACGTCGACCACGGCCACGGCCACGACCACGACCACGATCGCCGCCTCGGTCACCTCGCGAACCAAAACCGCCTCCTCGGGCACCACCTCGGTCAGCCATATTGAATTGTTGTGAGAATTTTTGGCTGTGAAGTATTCGTTAGTGTGGTGGCGTGCGCGATGCGAAGCTCACTGAATTGAGCTTTTTTTTCGTGGTTACGATGTTGATTGAGGTTGGGTGGGAAATTTCGAGGTTTGGGAATTTTGCAGTGGAGGAGGGGCTTGACAATTTTCGAATTTCGTTATAAGTTTGTGGGAATAAGGGCCCCAGCCGAGATGGTCTGTGCATTAATCGATACTGTATTTTATGGGGTTTAATCGTTAACTAGTTACCTAGTAGTTAGTCTTTAACCTATCCACATGCAACTTGCCGTTGATTATTTTAGGTAAGCTAAATGGGTAAGTACATATACTAGGTATCTACATATAAGTTAACAACTTCAATGAAGACTCTCCTTTTCATGTTAATAAATAAATAGCTTCACTTCCATCCATGGATGGCTTATTTGCCTGCCCACCTACCTAACTTTTATGTATATGGATACGACCCTCTAGAGCATTTCCTAAGCCATCAAATACCTGATCCGATATGGAATCTCGATCAACAGTACACATGGCATGTTATAGAAGTTGCAATTGACAACTTGCTACAACGCCATATGAATAACCCGTGCAAGCCATAGAGCATCATTACTATGCTACAAGGCATTATTAAGCCAGTTTGTATTGCAATATAGAACTGTAACTTTTAGGTAGGCCATCTTGTGTCAGCCGTAAACACCTTGCGGTTGAACCCAAAAGATCTAGGACGTATTTACCATACTTCTGGTCCTTTGCTTTTCACTGCCTGCAAATTCCCTGGGTCCAACTCAACTATTCACAGTAATAAGTGGAGGGTTGGCCATGCGTGATCCATACTCCATGCAAACGATACTAACTAAAAAGAGACTCGCATGGAGAATGCATGTAAATTAGGTTACATGCACAAAGAACTCCGGGGAATGGGGTATCTCATCATCATTCTGTCAACGACTCGTTCCACAACCCTTTTATTCGCCTTGAACAATTAAGGATTCTGGAGGGTGAACACGTTGTGCCCATTCTCTGTGTATCTGTTAGTATTATTATAACCACGACTAGGGGGCCATCTGTTTGACTCACGTCCAACTACCATCATATACTCGCCGAGTTTCAGGAGAGCCATAGCCTGCCTCTTCGAGAGCAGCATCAATTACAACTGCTGTCACTCCAGTGCCACAACTTGAGATAATGGGCTTCGATGGATCTACCCCTTTCTCCTCGAACAGCTTCTTCAGTTCTTCCTTTGGCAAGAAAGCCTTCGTCTTCGGATCGAGAACTGCGCTGAATGGAATACTGATCGAGCCTGGCATATGACCGGACGATAGCCCTTCTCGAGGCTCGGGATCCTTGCCAGTAAATCTACCATAAGGTCTGGCGTCAAGAATCTGAACACCTTCGGCGCCCTCTTTGTTATGATCCAATACAACCTCTCGCACCTGCTCAAAGGTTGCAACCTTGGACTCGTCCAATTTAGGAATTGGGTAAGGGTTGCACTCCACACTGTATAGTTCCCCTGACTCTGTCGGAAGACCTTCTGCGACCCAGATCTTGAAGTTGTTCAGGATATGCACCTTGGAGTGGCCAAAGACCTTGAGCATCCAGCCCACTCGCGGTGCGCTGAAGATGCCTAAATCCTTTGAATCATAGACAACGACGGTGTCCTCCTTGCGAATACCTAGGGAACTCATTGCTTCGGCAAAAGTTTGGGGACTTGGAAGCATGTGGGGGTAGGGACTTCGTTTGTCTATGACCTTGTCAAGGTCAAAGAAACGAGCTCTTGGTATTCGCGTTTCGCGGAATTGCTCGATACCCTTTCGCTCGTCATTTGGTAAGAACCAGGAGGCACATAGTGGTATTACTCGAGGATCGGAATTGATAGGCGATGGTGGGCTCTTCTTCAGTGCATGCGACAACTCCTGCGGCGTTACGAGATAGGAAGAAAGATTTCGGCGTGATTGAGTGAAGGTGATTTGGGGTTTTCGTGATAGTAAAACTCTTGTCGAGCGGAGTATTGTGGTGGTAGCCATGGCTACCTAACCTGACTGGCTGAGTACCTTGCTAACTCTTATGCAGCTTGTACACGGCGGTGGGTTTGTGAATATTTATGCTTGAAAGAATTAATCTGTAGGTTATAGGTGAAGCCCGGTTGCCACTTAGAAGTGAGCAATATAGATCAGCACCTTGCCCAAAAAGATGGCGAGTGGATGGATTCAATGTTCTGATTGCACAGAATGAAGTGATGTTCAGATGAACGAACCCGACACATCCAATTCGTCCGTGACTTTGGGGAAATGTGGTAAAGTGCGGGGTCTTTGAGGAGTACCTGCAAATCACAAATACCTACTATACATTTGTAGGTACATATGTAGAGTAGGGAAGGGAAGAGAGTCAAGATCTAGATCGTGGGTGTAGAAATTAACTTCAGGTGCCTACTACACAAGTAAGCTTCGCGACGGTGTCAAGTGTAAAACCCAAACCCCAATCATTTAGAAGAAAAATAGAAAAATGACACGAGGTTGCACCTAGTCGCGGAGAGAGGGTTCTGATAATGGGTGGAGAAGGTGCGATGTCGTCTTATATTGATATAAGCGTGCACGCGTAGCGGTTTGTCGCATCAAATTTAAACCTAACAAATTCAGGTACAAGTACATCAATACAAGTACATCAATATAAACAACACAGTACACTGAATACATCCAGAGTCTATGTACAACATTACACCAGCAGCACTATGTAGTAGCACAAAGCCACATGCAAGCACGACTCAAAGATTTAACAGACCTACCTAAGGTAAGGTATATGTTCATCCACTCATTGATTGATTTTGTTCTCACTACGAATATAGTTGTACCCCCCACACCAATACCACAGCAGGCTATATACCACTAGACAGACCATAAGATTATAAAAGAATGAAGGTCAAGATTAAGAAGTGGAATGCCGTTGCAACATGGCGATGGGATCTCCCCGAGGACGACGTATGTGGCATCTGTCAAGTCCATTTTGATGGGACATGTCCGACTTGCAAGTATCCTGGTGATGATTGCAGCCTTTGTAAGTCATCCTCGTGCCACGCGTCTTATGATTTGTCTTTATCATTTGTATTCGACTAACCTTCCCAAGTGTCTGGTAGATGTGGTCACAACTTTCACATGGTTGGTGCAAGATAAGACTCCTTTGTTGATAGATAGTTGAGTAATCTAACGTTGTAAAAAGCATTGCATCATGGAATGGATAAAACAGGAATCAGCTAAGGGACAGTGTCCAATGTGTCGACAAAGTAAGTTTCTCGAATACCTCATTGCTGAAGCTCTACAATGGCTCTACATGTGGTGGCATGACAACTGACACACCGTCCAGAGTTCGAATGGGGCCCAGAAGCCAAGGCAGCTCAACAGCCAGTCGACGAACAGCAAGAAATGATTGAAGACGAATGAATGAATGATGAGAAGATTTGAACATCACTGACTTGGTGAAGTGAGGGGTCCCTTTTATGACTTGAACCATGATGGCGTACTGTTTTTGGGCGGGCTTGTACTTTAATTTAGCCAAGAGTGAGTGAGTCTTGTTTTTCTACTTACTTAACATAATACACACGTGGTTGATAAAACTAATCAAGATTCGAGGCTGATCAAATACTATATTTATAGTGTCTCTACCTATATGTATGATACATATTACACAACCTACATGTATCAATTAACACCAATAGTCTTACAGGCATTTTGCCTATTGGCTTAGTACAACATTGAAGTTGTAAGCTGCAAGGTTCAATGTTCGTTCCTACTTACATGGACTTTGGAACTTTGGAGCCTTTTTTTTTTTTTTTGTCCCTGCATGTGGCATTTCTAACCGTGGAGTGCCAAGCCTCCACGTTCCCCACACCCAGATAAGATAGAAGCTACCGAATAGCTCCCTCCGCCTAAAGCTTGCTAGGCCTTGCTTAAAGGCTTCCCCATGTGGATACCTACGTGGGTGTAGGTACCACTTCCTGCTTGCAGCTTGCATGACACCACCTGCAGTCTTCCATCACTAGAGGCAGTTCTGCCTATCCGCGAACCCTGGGAGCCTTTTTCTCTCACCTATTAACTTCCCAACACGTAAAACCTTGGAGTCATGATGCGCCAGCCTCCTTTTCATCATTTCCATCCAAACTTTCCCTCTACTCCTTTAGTCCAAGCAACTACACCCATACCTATGACTTTCGACTATCCATCTTCAAGATGACGGATCCCGAATTGGAACGACCGCCTACCCCAACGGTCGATGCCTCTCACGACCAACACGATGATCCTCCTCCGTTTGCGCCCATCTTCACCCTCGTTAATAACACGTCAACCCGCACAACCCATCATCCACATGTGCGCTACATCTTCAGCGACGATGATCCAGACATCCTAACCCAAGCACTAGCTGAGCTCGACCCCCGTGACGACTCTACTTCCGACGCAGCCTTTCCGCATAACCCCAACACCAACAACAGAGCTATGATACTAGACTTGGCTCCCGACCATAGAGGCGGGTATAGCGTTGCTTGGGCATCGAGTCTGTCATCATCATGGGCAGTACTAGATGCACAATTAAGCCAGATATCCCCACCTTCATCCGATGGTGGAAGCAATAATGGAAACGAAGGTGGAGATAATAGCGCCCGAGCTGATCGTTTGATGTTACGTATCGATGGCGTGGAAAGCAGTGCCTCAGGCCTTGAAAGTGACTTGGCTGGAGAAACTAGTAGGCAGGGTTCGGGCCTCACAAGTGGAGGAGGGAGTGGCCAGCATGACCGTGATAGGGAGGAGAATAGGGATAAAGATCACAGCAATCTGGTGGAGAAATTTGAAAGACAAATGACTACGTTACGGAAGATTGTCGATGCTAGCGAGGATAGGCGGCGACAGACCGCCCCGAATGCATATGCTACCGCGGAGATCACACCACCACCACCGGTAGAGGAGAGAACACCCGCAGATTGAAGATATTAATGGGAACTAAGATGTGTCCGACATGGAATGTGGAAGAATTACCAACGTCGACGCCTTTGAATTTCTTGGGCATTATTGGGGTACTGGTTAGAGTCAAATTGGTGCAACCAGCCAGAGGTTTATGAAGTATATTGAACAGGAATACAGAACTGCAGCTTGCTACATTTATTGGGAGGGCGTCATACGGAGCAAAGAGGGTAAGGTCACGAATGTGGCTTATGGTACGTCCTGACACCTTCTACACGAAACTTGGCCCGGCGGCGACTATGGACCATTAATGAATAGTTAGCTTTTCTTTGGAAGATTTATTTGAGACCTGTCTGAATAGACTACTAATATCATCCCAAGCAAATGCGATTTTTTCATTGGGACATATTTGGGTGTCTTACGTTTGAGATAGTGGGCATATACGCCTAGGTTAGGGGGTTTAAATAGATGCATAGTAATTAGCTCCTCTCTCGTCTTTGGAATCCCTACTACCTTCTCATAGATATTATTCAGCGACTTGTCGATAAATCAAATATCACAGGTGAATCACTTGTATCAAAATAGACGGGTGTTACGGTATTTGAGCAATAACTTGTTAATTCTGGCAATTCTCGTAATAGGGGGTAAAGAACTTGATATGCGAATACGGATATGATATGATGATTGACATAATGTACGAACATACATAGTAGGAACAGCTGTACTACATATGTACCTACATATGTAGTACATAATACATATGTACCTGCCAAAGAAAGGCATTACGTCTAATGCTCCTGCAATTACAACATTTAACATCAGGAAGCTTCCGAGATCTGAGGACGTGGCGATCGGGATCCTCCTTGGCGTTCAAGTTTTGGTAAGTACGACTACACTAACCTACTGTAACTACAGTAGTACATAATACTACATATGTAGGACAGGCTGACTTTTACGGTAAAGTAGGCAGGTATAGTGGGCCATTCCACGTAACCAATTAATAACTAACTAGTTATGTAGTTACATTTGCCCTGAAGATTGAACGACCCTTGGCCAACCAACAACCTTGTCACCCCCTGAACTCACTCAGTGCTCAACTCAGCCAGGCTCAAATAAGAATTACCGTAGGCCAGCCAACCACGGTTCCTTCATTCGAGACCTCTTTGAAACACCAACTTTGTAACAAGTTCTGCCGCAGCTTGCGACAAACGCCCGCAAAAGAAAAAGAAAAAGCCGTGCAATTTGGGGGGTTCCCTCTTTCACTCTATTATCACTCTTGACATAGGTTTACTCCATTGAAATCGAAGAACAAAGCAGATCATTGAAATAACGATCCCCAGCCCTCTGCTACAGACGAGAAAAGGCTTGGCATTCACTTCTTCACTCTCTCATTCTACGAACACCTTCCTCGATTAACACAACAGTACCTACATTCGTTTGTTTGTCTGTTTGTTCGTTAGAGGTAGTTTTTTTTTTCTTCCTTGATTTTCTTCATTCATCGATCGGCTGGGCTGGTCTAGGCTCGTAATTGCTGTGCATACCTAATCTATCCATCAACCTCCACAGCCAAGACTTCCGACTTTCACTATTCACTTTCACTTGTATACCTCTGTGGTGTACTGGATAAGCATCATTCCCTATTATACTTGTTATTCCTAGTTAAAAGGAAAAAAAAAAAGACATCATGTTCGGAAAGACACGCATTCCACCCTACACCCCGCCGGCAGACGTAGTCCGTCGTCAATATGTAGAACAAGATGATGGCCGCTTAGTCTGGTTCTGGTACACTAAGGTGCGTATTCAACCACAGTCAAACCATGGTATTGAACCATTGCTAACGCGACCCGTAGGAGGGCGTCATCGTTAAATGGGCCGTGTTCTTCGGCCTCGCAGTTCTGTTTACTCTCTATGTCGTCCTTGGCCGCCAGCACGCCAAGAAGCGTGTTCGCAGAGGCTTAAAGCCACTTGCTTATCACAACGTACGTATACATCCACTTTTCTATTCTATCCATTTGGATGGATGCAATTAATGGCCGAACCACTCACATTATCACAGTGGCTACTTTCCCGCCATGAAAAAGCTGGCGTTGACCCCCGATACGCCTGGCCGCAAGCTTCGTATGCCAACTATCAAAATGGCGCGCAGTACGGGCAGGGGGCAAACGGCATGTATCCTATGCCACCCCCTGTTTATGACCCGAACAACAGGCCGCCGATGTACGAAGGTGGTGTTCCTCCCATGGGTGGCTCCAAGGTCGATCCCGTCCAGACCGGCATTGAGCCCGCTCGACAACCAGACAACGACTACGCGCCACCACCTGGACCGCCGCCATCTGCTGCGCAGAGATGAAACGAATGCAAGAAACGATGAGCATTAGGCGGGTTGAAATCGGGAAAGGGGGTACGAAGGGGAAAGGTGGAAAGGTGGGACGGAACGGGTGTTGGACTTGAATGATAAAGCCGTGGGTGTACTAATATGTGGCTGGTGGTTGGCGGCAAACATGCTTTATGGAATGGCACTCGAGAATAAAGATGATAATCCCATTGCAAGTCTACAAGCCAAGTGCTGTTGCAATTGTATTTGTAGTTGTACTTGTGTGCTAAGAGCAATACCCTACATGACGCCGTGTTCGTGCCGAATCTGCGCCGTTCATGAGAATCACTATTATTCGGTACGCCTGCCTGTCCGCCAGGGTATCTATCTGTAAACATGATCCCAAACCAAACTCCTTGTATATATGTATTGCATGTCGAGAGAGAATCTGAATTCCTCAGTCCACCTCCATCGCATCTGGGTCATTGTCGTCATTATCGTTATTGCTCGCGGCCATCCCATTGGAGTTCGCGAAACCGTTCAGCGCATTAAGCGGGAGCAGGGGCGGGGGCGGGGTCGACGTGGCTGTCTGCAGCGTCGATTTCGAAGGGCCAGAATTCAGTATAGATTCGGTCTGCTGGCGCTCCCTCTCCTGCTTCTCCCGGACCCTCTGTCTGGCCTCAATAATAGCCTTCCGCACGCTGTCGTGCTCCTCGGGCACGGTGAGGGAGGTGGGCTCGCTGTAGAGCACCAGCTGCATGCCGGCGATCTCGCCGTCCTTGTTGGCGAACACGGAGGGCGGGATGCGCGTCTGCATGAGGTGCTTCTCGATGTCGGGCAGGAAGACGAGGCGGCCGTCGTCGGACTCGCCGCCGCTGTCGGAGCACTCGTCGTCCAGGTTGTAGATGTACACTTTGTGCTTCGTGTCGTCGAGCTGCATTGAGTCGTCCTCGGGTATCCGGGTTAGCGAGTTTGATTCGGTCGGCCGCAACTGTGGGCTCTCGACGGGGACGTAGAGTTTTCGGCCATTTTGCTCTGTGACCATGAAACTTGCTGTCAGCTAATGATTTGATTGCTCTTCTTGTTTGTCAAGGTTTGGTAAGGAGGTTATATCGTATTTGTGTGCAAATAATAAACTTACCAAGATTGAGAAGACTTAGTCGCTTGGATAGTCGTTCGTTGTCTTGAGACTCGGCTTTCCGCTTGCGCATGTTGCGCGGGCCCTCTCCGACATTGAGATTCCACTGGTGTTGCTGGTAGTTCTGCTGCTGCTGCTGCTGCTGCTGCTGCTGCTGCTGTTGTTGCTGTTGTTGCAATTGCTGTTGTAATTGTTGCTGTTCTTGTAACTGTAGTTGGTGCTGCAGCAATTGCGATTGTAAGAATTCGTTGTTGAAGTACGATGCATAATTTGGATTTTGGTGATAATTGAAGTTATCAAAGTTATTAAAGTTATCGATGGAAGCAGCTGGAAAGGTAGCAGTAGCGGGGAGCTGCATTGTAGCTTGGGGATTGGCTTGTGGCAGTTGTGCGAAGCCGGAAAGCGTAACTGCAGGTGAGCTTGACCCCATGTGAAAGTCCATCATTGGTCGCTTAATCTCTTATCAATTCCAAGCTCTTTTTCTGTAAAAATCCCTTATCGGTTGGCTCACAGAAATGCACTGCGAAGTCGGGTGATGGAATCGATGACTCGCAATTGACTCTTTTTTTTTTTTTCAAATTATAATTTAAATTATAATTTATCACTTCGATCAATGGAATTGCTTGCTAGTCCGATAGCGCGCGTAGGTAAGTAATGGCAAAGACAGTCACAAGGGTTGTTATTATATTGGAGTCGAGTTTGAATTGACTTGAGTCTAAAATAAAAAAAAAGAATACTAAAAAAGAATCGCGTATGAGATTCCAATGTGGTCGGCCGTGGCCGTTTATAGGCAGCGCATCATTCAGTCAATCTTGTAGAAGTTTCTATTCTTTCTCTAACTTTCCAACAAGAGCCACTCCTACAACCACCACTACCAAAACAACTGCAAACAATTTACTTTACCCGCCTTGTTACTCCACATCCACTCAACGATCGTCATCCTTTTTCGTTTGTTCTTCTTTTCCTTCTTTTTCTTCTTATCATTGTTCTTCTTTAAACCCCTACCGATTCTCGACCCTTAGTACTAGATCTTACATCACCCCCGCCATCATGGGTGACCCCAAGTGGACCGGCGTAGGGGTTCGTAAGACTTTCCTCGAGTATTTTGAGCAAAAAGGACACACGATAGGTATGCGACAGCACAAACCAACCACATATTGACACTTCATAACACTTGACATATCACTATGTTAATATTTCGACATCGCTGCATCTTACTAGAAAATAAAAAATGCTGATTTCTCACTTTTTACCCAGTGCCCTCATCGTCGGTTGTCCCTCACAATGACCCCACCTTACTCTTCACCAATGCGGGCATGAACCAGTTCAAGCCCATATTCCTCGGAACTGTTTCTAGTACAGATGATATGTCCAAGCTGAAGCGTGCCGTCGACACTCAAAAGGTATTTGCGACTGTGGCTGGGCGAAGCTTCATGATGGAACCGAGTCGCTGACTCACTCGATAGTGTATTCGCGCTGGTGGCAAGCATAATGTATGAGATGCTCTATCTCCCGCACAAAGGGGACTCAGACCTAACCAGATTCATGTAGGACCTCGACGATGTCGGCAAAGACAGCTATCACCATGTATGCGCCCGCGCTTACCCTCCTACCGAACCGCGGAAACTGACTAGTGGTAGACCTTCTTCGAGATGCTGGGTAACTGGTCCTTTGGTGATTACTTCAAGAAAGAGGCGATAGAGTGGTCCTGGGAGCTTCTTACCCAGGTCTATGGCTTAGATCCCGAGAGACTATACGTCACTTACTTCGAAGGAAATCCCGCCATGAACCTCGAGCCCGATTTGGAGGCCAAGGACTTGTGGAAGTCTGTTGGTGTGCCCGAGGATCACATTTTGCCTGGCAACATGAAGGACAACTTTTGGGAGATGGGTGATCAGGGCCCATGTGGTCCTTGCAGCGAAGTCCACTACGACAAGGTCGGCGGCCGAAATGCTGCGCACTTGGTCAACCAAGACGACCCCTTAGTGGTAGAGATATGGAATAACGTGTTTATTCAATTCGATCGCCAAAAGGACGGGTCGCTCAAGTCATTGCCGGCGAAGCACGTCGATACTGGTATGGGTTTCGAGCGATTAGTGTCTGCCCTCCAAAACAAGGATTCCAACTACGCAACCGACATTTTCGCCCCTCTGTTCGACAAGATCCAGGAAGTCACAGGAGCTCGCCAGTATACTGACAAGTATGGTAAAGACGACGAGGATGGTATTGACACTGCCTACCGTGTAGTTGCGGACCATATACGATTACTCGCCTTCGCCATCTCTGATGGAGCCTCACCAAACAATGAAGGTAGAGGTTATGTCGTTCGCCGTGTGCTTCGAAGAGGCTCACGATACGCAAGAAAATACTTCAACGCCGAGATAGGCTCTTTCTTCTCCAAGATCCTCCCAGCGCTGGTTGATCAGATGGGCGAGCAGTTCCCAGAGATCGTTAAAAAGCAACAGGATATCAAGGAGATACTAGATGAGGAAGAGGAGGCGTTTGCCCGTACATTGGACCGTGGAGAGAAGCAATTTGAGAAGTACGCAGCTCTGGCAGTCAAAAACGGATTGAAGAAGCTCTCTGGGGCAGATGTCTGGAGACTTTACGATACCTTTGGTTTCCCAGAAGATTTAACCAAACTCATGGCCGAAGAGCGGGGCCTGGAGACGGACGAGGAAGAGATTTCTGTTGCCAGAGAAAAGGCCCGAGAGGCCAGCAAGGCTATTAAGGAGTCCGTTCAGACCTTTGCGAAGCTGAACGTTCACCAGATTGCCGAATTAAAAGACAAGTTGCAGGTACCCGTTCCTAATGATGAACCCAAGTTTGTTAAGGGCGACACAACCGGTCATATCCAACTCATTTACACTGGCACCGACTTTATCAAATCAACCAAGGATCTTCCACCGAACACACCCTTCGGTCTCTTACTCGATCGAACTAACTTCTACGCCGAACAAGGTGGTCAGGTCTTCGACACTGGAAGAATTGTCATTGACGATGTTGCCGAGTTTGAAGTGCACGATGTCCAGCAATTCGGAGGATATATAGTCCACAATGGAGTTTTGAAGTACGGAGAACTCAATGCTGGTGACGAGGTTATTTGCGAATACGACGAACTGAGGAGACAGCCTATTCGTAACAACCACACGGGAACACATATCCTCAATCACTCTCTCCGAGAAGTGTTAGGTGATGAAGTGAACCAAAAGGGTTCACTGGTCGACCAAGACAAGCTCCGTTTCGACTTCTCTCACAAGACGGCAGTCACGCTTCAAGAACTTGAAAAGATCGAGCACATGTCGAACGAATACATCCGACAGAACTGTAAGGTATTCTCGAAGGATGTGGAGCTCGATGTGGCAAAGAAGATTAATGGCGTTCGCGCCGTCTTTGGCGAAACGTATCCCAACCCGGTCCGAGTGGTGTCCGTTGGTATCGACGTTGACATGTTGCTCGAGGCCCCCGAGAACATTGAATGGCGAAAGGTCAGTGTGGAGTTTTGTGGTGGCACTCATGTCGACCAAACCGGCATCATCAAGGATTTAGTAATCGTCGAGGAGAGCGGTATTGCCAAAGGTATTCGCCGTATTGTCGCCTACACTGGAGAGGCTGCGCATGCCGTGCAGCGTGAGGCCAAAGAGTTCGCTAAGCGCATCTCGGACATCGAGGCCCTTCCATTCGGCCCCGAAAAGGAGTCTGAGGTTAAGCAGGCGACAGTCGATCTCAGCAACCTCGTCGTATCCGCCCTCACTAAGGAGGAACTAAAGACGCGATTTACAAAGGTGGTTAAGTCCGTCGTAGATGAGCAGAAGAAGCGACAGAAAGCGGAGAGCAAGACCGCGCTCGACGCCGTCACTGGCCACTTTAGCAAGGATGAGAACAAGGAGGCTAAGTACTTCGTTGGGCATCTACCCATCTCTGCTAACACAAAGGCGGTTGCCGATGTCATGAACCACTTTAAGAGCAAGGATAAGGAGAGAACGGTGTACATCTTCGGTGGTAGCAAGGATGAAGGCACCGTCGTTCACGGTGTTTATGTTGGCACAGTAAGTCGAACCAATTCCTGAGTATTAGATGGTGGAAACTCCCGAAACACGTTGCTAACATCTTGGTTTCTAGCATCTTGCATCGCAAGGCGTCACTGCTGAGAAGTGGGCCGCAGCAGTCACAGAAGTGGTCGGCGGCCGGTCTGGTGGCAAGGAGCCTACACGCCAGGGCCAGGGAACAAACGCAGATAAGATCGAGGAGGCGGTCGCGGTGGCGGAGAAGTGGCTCGCAGAGAAGCTCAAGATCTAGATTGTGAAACCTCCCACTGAGGATCTCAGACCTTTACAATTAGGTACCTACCTTACCTAGTCCACCTACATATATCCCGGCTCAGCTTCTCTCCACTTTGCTTGGTTCTCGCACACGCTTCCCCTCTCCCTGTACAGTGATTTATACCCGCGTAGGTTAGTGCAGATAGGATAAGGCAACAGGTTGGTCTAGTCCAAGGATGAGAGATAGGGGCTATTAGGTGAGAATTTCGGACAGTACCTACATAAAACGGGAATGCTGTCACAGGGCCGGCCTACCAACCAACCGCAATGCGGTTCTTGTTAAGTACCTGCTTAAGTTAGGTTAGGCGAGGTGAGATGCACACTGTATATGATAAAGACCTCCCACCATAACAAAAACGTGCCGTCAAAGTCTTAGACTATATCATGCTTGCCAATCATGAGATTTCTACGCTACGTCGTGTGGGTAAAATCGGACTAGGTTAGGTAGATATATAGATAGATAGATAACAAACAAGTAAAATATCTTACCCCTATTCGCCAGGTTCTAGAGTGGATGAATCTACATAAGGGATACCTATGGATATACTTTTATCACACGTAATAATAGGTTTGGAGTTATATGGCCAACTACTTCGTATGCAGGCACGCACACCTTGGTAGATTATAAGGATTAGTAGGGATCAGTATTTTTATTTTTTCCACATATACATGTACTATACTATGCACTCACTATATGTACTCCAGGCTAAGCTTTCGAACATCGCCCGAACAAGCCTTGCTACCTGCATATGTGCACCTACATCTAGGCCCGCCACCCTACAGAGTAACCATAACACTGGCATTCCGATACCAACTCAACAGCGGATTCTCACCACTGCGCGTCCTCGTATCCTCAACATAAGCCCAGGAGTTCATGAAGGTCTCGTGAGTCAAGACACGGGTTAATTTTCCGGTGAGGGCGCCGTAGACGGCCTCCATGACGGCGAAGTCGGTGGGGAAGAGGATGTCGAAGTAGCCCTGGTGGACGAGCGGGGTGGAGACGGTGACCATGCGGCGCTCGAAGCGGGTCTGGACGACGGGGCTGTTGAGGCCGCGGACGGCGTCGGGCAGCTTGTGGAAGTCGCTGGTGACGAGGCGGTGCGCGGGGAAGTGCTTCTCGAGGATGTCGAAGAACTGCATCAGTCGTGTGGGGATGTACTCCGGGTCGCTGAGGTTGGGCGCCAGGGGCAGCTGCGTCTTGAGCCAGCGCATGGCGCGGTTTGTGGGGTAGGGCACGCGGTACTGCCCGTTTGTGGCGGCGTGGCGCACACGGAGGTAGCGTGCGGCGACTGGGTCTAGCACGGGCTCGTAGAACTCGTAGAAGTCGCCGTGGCCGTCGATGAGCACGGTGCCCTGGAGGGGTTCTTCCGTTTTTAGGTCGTAGCGCAAGACGTCATGAGCAAAGTTATCGAATACCTCCATGGCCAGAAAGAAGCAAGGGGAGGGCTCGCGGGAATCCCAGTCGAAGATGGACTTGTTGATGATCTCGACCTTGTTGGCGTGACCCCTACTGGCGGCCGTGGCCAAGAGTTGGGCGTTCTGGAGGGATGCAAGGGAGGAAGAGATCTCGATGATCTTGTACTTGGTGCGGTCGTAAACGGCGGGCTCGATGTCGCGAATGTAGTCGAGGATGTTGAGCATGAGGGTACCGCGACCAGCGCCCATCTCGTAGATAATCAGGTCGTGATAGGGGTATGTGGTCATGAGGTAGTTGGACATGAGGTAACGGGCGATGGCCTCGCCGTAGTAGGGCCGGAATAGTTCGGTGGGAGTGTGCCATATCTGGCGGGTGTCGTTGCTCCGGCCGTCTTTGGCGTCTAGCTTATCCTCGAACTCGGTGTAACGCCGTCGTAGCTCGTCATGAAAGGTAGGCTCGTCGGGCAAGTCGTTGAAGTTAAAGGGTTCGCCAGGGCTGAAGATGACGACTTGTTTGGAAAAGTAGCCGTAATGTGGATTATAAAGGCTATCTATACAGAGGGTTGGACCGAGTTAACCAGTGGAGGCATAGGGCGAGAATAAGGCAAAGGCAAAGGCAAACCTTCGATGAAGTCGCGCATGAGCATCTTGACCTTGCGCGGACGTTCCCTCCGTGACCTTAGGTCGTTGGCGGTGACAGTGGGAAAGGCCTTATACTCTTCCGTCATATCCAGGACAAACATGTCCGTTCTCTGCTGCCAATTGTCCTCCTGGCCAGACGGGCCATGCTTCGATCCTCTTGTGGTATGGCGGTGGCCCATATAACGCCTCTGCTCCTGTTGGCGTTGCTGAATTCGACGGCCATGTTGGAGGCAATTTGTTAAGGCAGCTAAGTTTCTTCTGGATGGACAGGCGGGATGTCTAAACAAGCTTCGAAATAGTTGGACGACAAGAGGAGAGTCCATGATTTGGACACATAAAGTACCTTAGCTTGGCATTGCCATGTGGCATATGTTTCTTGTTTAAAGAACTCTTGTTTAAAGAACAGTAGGGTATGTACATACATACTATGCTGTAGTAGTGCTGTAGCTTGGGGAACTTTTAAAACGGGGAGATGTCGGGTTATCGCCGGCATTGCAGGGGTTAGTTAAGAGGGTAAGAAACCTCAACTTTAAAATAATCACTTGAGTAACCCCACCAAAGCTTTTGATGGTGGGGGGGTACCTTGTAACTTGTAAGCACTTATACCTACCTTCAATGTTGACATACATCATACTACTTTCTTCATTCTTATGCGTCAGTTACCATTATCCAGTATGTATAACTATATCATATATTGGGAACCATAAGCTTGGAAGACTTGGAACAATAAGAGTATCAATATCCAAAGCGGAATCAAAAACCGAAAATGTCGCTGAGCGACCACCCGAAAGCCTACGGCACCGCCGCCATCACCGTAGCCTTTGTAGCAGGCGTCGTATTCACCCTCGGCCTCAAAGACCTGTACCCAGACCTAGAGCGGCGGTTCCAGCAGCGGAGGGGAGCGCGGGGGGTCCAGAGACGATCCACCGCCACCACCATAGACCCCGCGCGGCGACGATCTAGTCTCTTCTGGGGCCCCGTCGAGCTCCAAGACCACGACTCTAGCCGCGACGTCGCGGTTCCCGCAGGCGCCATGATCCCGCGGGACGAGGGCATCAGCGACGGCATCGAGGGGTGCATCGGGCGCACGCCGCTGATCCGGATCCACAGCCTCTCCGAAGCCACGGGGCGCACCATCCTCGCCAAGGCCGAGTTCCTCAACGGCGCCGGCAACAGCCCTAAGGACCGCGTCGCCCTCAGCATGATCGAGACGGCCGAGGAGCAGGGGCTGCTGCGCCCCGGTCGCGGCGACACCATCTACGAGGGCACCGTCGGCAGCACGGGGATCTCGATCGCGGCGCTGGCGCGGGCCAGGGGCTACCGCGCGCACATCTGCATGCCGGACGACCAGAGCCTGGAAAAATCAGACCTGCTGCACCACCTCGGCGCGACCGTCGAGCGCGTCCCCGTGCAGCCCATCGCCTCCCCCGACCACTTCGTCAACCTCGCGCGCCGCCGCGCCGCCGAGCACACATCCCGCGCCACCCCCTCCAACCCCAGCGTCGGCTTCTTCGCCGACCAGTTCGAGTCCCCCGCCAACTACGCCGCGCACCAGCGCACCACCGGCCCCGAGATCTACCACCAGACGCGCGGCGACCTCGCCGCCTTCGTCGCCGGCGCCGGCACGGGGGGCACCTTGTCCGGCGTCGCGCGGTACCTCAAGCACGACGCCGCGCTCCCGCACGTCCGGATCGTCCTCGCGGACCCGCCCGGCAGCGGGCTGTACAACAAGATCCGGCACGGCGTCATGTACGCGTCGACCGAGAAGGAGGGCACGCGGCGCCGCCAGCAGGTCGACACCATCGTCGAGGGCGTGGGCATCAACCGCGTGACGGCGAACCTCGAGGCCGGCCGCGACCTCATCGACACCGCCGTGCGCGTGTCCGACGCCCAGGCCTGCGCCATGGCCCGCTGGCTCGTCGAGCACGACGGCATCTTCTGCGGGAGCAGCAGCGCCGTCAACTGCGTCGCCGCCGTCGTTGCTGCTCTTTCTTTGCCGAGGGGAAGCCAGGTCGTCACCGTGCTGTGCGATTCGGGCAACAGGCATCTGAGCAAGTTCTGGAAGAAGGTTGCGGAGATGGGGTTGGAGAAGGAGAAGGAGGAGGGGGAGGAGGGTGGTGGTGGTGATAAGGAAGATCTGTTCACGTTGCTGGGGATCGAGAGGCCGCGGTGATGGGAGGGAAGGGAAGGGAAAGGAAGGGGAGGTGCATAGGCACGGCACACATACATATATTATATTGATATACACCAACGAACGGAACATATCCACGTCACGATCTAACAAAAGGGGAATAAGGGGGTATGGGAGGGACGAATCCATGCATACATGGCAGATATTAGGTAGGCACTACCTCGCCCAGAAGGCGAAACCCCCCTTTCCTTCGGCTTAGATGCTATTATTCTATGGTACAACAACTACTCCGGAGCACATACATCAAGTCGTTACGGATTATGTATAGGAAAAGGTCGTTTCGTTAGCTACTAAAAGCCAAGAAAAGGCCAACGCTGTGTTGTCCTCATTGATAAGATGGCGGGTACCTCTAGAGTCTTCTTCGGCTTTCTCTCTTTCTCTCGTCCTGTCGAGATAAGAATGAATAAAAATAAAATAAAAATATTCCGATACAACTCCACGCAGCAAATTACACACGCACGGCCTTTAATTCGTCGCCACAAAAAAAACCAGAAGACGCCTTTGTCATGAGATATTGATATTTCGATATTTCTTGCCATATTTTCGATGTTATGCCCCCATGATGCATGTATACCTGTGCAACCCCCACGAAACCCCTGGGAATAAATCGTGTTTTCTTATCTTATGGCTATTTTGCCTGCCCCTGGATGAAGACAAGAGGGGAGAAGGGGGGGGGGCTGTCTTAGTGTAGTTGCACCAATCAAGAGAACTAGATGAGACGGGACTTAGTTTAGTATGCAGTAGAACCAATGTAACAAGACAAAAGCAAGAGTATTGAAAAACATAGCTTGCTTACCTTCCACCGCTTTCCGCAGTTCATGCATTCGCAGAATGTCGTCATAGGCTCATCAGCACTGCGGGTCTGTGCTTGGGAGTAGCTGACCATCTTCTTCTTGCAGTTGCCGCACTCGAGGCTGTCGCTGATGCTCTTCTCGGCCATGGGAACCTGGGCCTTCTTCATGTTCTCGAGCTCGAGCTCGGCATCGGCCTTACGCTGCTGCGCCGACAGCAGTTCGTTGGAGGTCATGACGACAAAGCGGTCGGCGGTGATGGTTCCCGCCATGATGTTGCGGCCCAACTCGGCGTTTGTCTTGACTTTCAGATTCTGGAACAGCGATCTTATCTTGCTCTTGTACTCTGGAGTCTCCCCCTTGTAGTGTTTGAAGGCAGCGTTTTCGACCTCAATGGCGCGCAGCATGACGTTTTCCTCGGAGTCGCGGGAGCGGTATGCGAGGCCATTGTACAGGAGACCGATGCAGTTGTTGCGCACCTGGGAGTCGGTGCGGCCGATGTCGACCTTGTCGGACTTGAAGGTACGTTTCTCCGGGTCGCCCTCATACGCCTTCTTGTTGCCGGCAAGGGGCTTCGGGGCAGGGGAAGCCGCCTTGGAGGCTGGAGACACAGAACCCTTTTGGAGCTTCGCGGCAGATAGACCCCTAGCTCTCTTCTCGGCTTCGATTCCCTTCTTCCATAGTACGACTACTTCTCCGGCGAGCTTCGCGACATCCTTGTTGGGGTTAGTGCGCATCTTGCCGACGACAATGCCTGCCTTTGTGGTCTGTATCACAAGTTGTCAGCATATATAGTCTGTATTATGCATTATGCGATAGTCAATTGTAGTACAAGCGCATAGATCAGGAGGAAATTGCAAGACAAAGGATACAAAGGATAGACAATGTACTAACGCGGAGCATTTCTTCCGTAGGCTTAGCATTCTTGATAGACTCAATAATGTTAATCAGGTTTGAAGCAGGCTCATTGGATTGAGATGCCTTGTGAAGGGCCTTGATGCGCGCTTCGAGTTCTCGTTGATCCATGCTGGGCGAGTTGTGGTGTGCGATAATGTGGATGTGGATGAAAGGGCGGTATCGGAGTTGGAGAGAGTTGGTATGGTTGTCGATGTCGATGTCGATGTCGATGTCAACGTGGGATGTTTTATGTTTTATGTTCTATGTTCGTTGTTTGATGTTGAAATAAGTAAAATGTTGGTAGATAGGATAGTTTGTATAAATTAGTGGAGAAGCCAATCTAGCAAGCAAAGGAGAACGTGACAGCGTGAGGCAGCTGAAGCTCTTGTATGTAACCTAGTTACTTGGTAGATCTAGTGGGGGGAACAACTGCAAGTTGACGTGGAAAGAGAATTGAAGGCACTTGTTCCAAATGTTAAATGTCTGTGTTTTTAGCGGATCTGTAAAGAGAACAAGGCCGATAGGTTATCATAGGACAAGGCTGACGACTAGTTAGTTAGTTAATAAAAAAAAAGAAAAAAGGAAGAAAAAAAAGGAGATTAGACTACGTTATGAATCAAGAAAGCTTTAAAGCTTCTACTGCCGTTTGTTCCATTTCTTTCCCCTTGGGCAGCCGCAATATCCACTAAAGAAGAATTGCGCACGGACTCTGGGGGAAGAATAGTTATCTCTCCCTGCTAACTATCCATTTACTTTACCGTTATTTAGCCGGTATTTTCCCGTTTGATACATATGTTACTCATTAGAATTCAATGTTTAGCACGATATCAAGTATTATGTAAGTACGTCACTGCATAGTGCTTCTCTATTGTAAGCCCCCGAAATGAAATATTTCTTTAATATTTATTATTTAATAAAATCGTTTGCCCCTATAAACGCCTAAGATAGAAAATCCTCAACTCCGACACACCCTATCCCTCCTTTTGCTAGAAGCAGTAGTCTATCAGTGGCTTGTTCCGCCAGTGATATGCTCGAAATCAGGGAGGCTATCCAGATTTAGGAATTGTGTGAAGTCTATATCATTATCATTGCCAGGCTCTTGCACAGAAGAGCCTCCTTCAGGTGCAGCTGAAGGAGCAATAGGGAATCCAGATCCCGAGGCATGACTTTGGTCACCATTGGCTGTGTTGTCGGGGCCAAACATCGGTTGGTTTAGCCAAGCGGCGAAGTCCTCATCCGTCATGAGAGGGGGGTATCCGAGGACCTGGTCGTTGGGATCGTTGATTCCCAATCCTATCCCCTGCAGTACACCACCGGAGCCTGACAGGTCCTCGTTTCCACCCGCAGTTATGTTTTCTGCGGCAACGGTTATAGAGTCTTTTGGCACTGGTTCACCCTGTGTCGCAGGGAGTCCCCTCTCGACTCCCTTTCCCTTACGGTCTCTCGAGGCTTTCTTATTTTCGTCGGCGGCCTGTTGTGCTTCCTTGGCCTTCAGACGAGGCTTCTTAACCTTGGGTAGCGGGACTGGTGTACCAGCATTTCCCTGGCCTTGTGGCGACGGTTCCTCGGTCGTTCTAGAATGGTTGATCATCCCGCCTTGAAGCGGATTGGCCATCTGAACTGAACCACCCATCGGCGATAGTGATGGGTATTGGCTTGGGACTTGGCCTTGGTTCATTCCCGTAAAATTAAATTGCGGCATATTTTCCGCATCCCAGGTTGGAACCATACCCTGTGTTGAGGGGATATTTGGGTACGTCGGTGATTGTAGAGGTATCTGTAGGTTCTTTTGTTAATTAGCATTAGTTTATAATAGGAATGAAGGAATGACTTACTTCACCCATCTGATTGTTGGCATACCACCAACCGGGTGGGCTCTGTCCCATCATATTGCCCATACCGTTGCCCCGGGTCGCAGAGAGCGGCAGTTGCTCGTTCCCGTAGCCAGAGTTACCGATTACACCGCCATACATGTTATTGTTTCCCATGGTAGGTGGCAGGTATGGGCTTGGCTGTTGGTAAGCTACGGGAGACTGTTGAGGCCCGCCCGGCCTATGAGCCATTATGGCATATGAGTTGGGGACAGCAGCGGGAGTCGAGGTAGTCATCTGTCGTGGGCCTGTTCCCATCTGCGCGGCCAGCTCTGCCGGTTCTGGCTGTAGAGTTCCCATTGGTGCTCCGTTGTTCCGGGAGTGACGAGCAAAAGTCCCATTCCCCTCTGGCTGTTCTAGCTCAATATCTTCTCTTCCATTGCCAGCATCTAGGTATCCTGTACCCTCGCAATGTGGGCAACGAGCTCTCTTCTTTCTGGAGGGCACATTGACTGCCCCGAGTGCATTATTCTTCTTATTTTTGGAAGGGTATATAACCTTTCCTTTCCGGTTTCTAGCAATGTTAAGTTAGTATTTTAAGCATCTATGACTTATGACTTCAAGGTTGTATCAAGTTGCTTACCCATACTTGGGGTCCCGGCCGTACATGTTTGTGATGTACTTGATACTGCTGACATTGACCGGCGTTGTGAGAGGGAAATTGGCGTTTACCATGTCAGCCACTTCGTTGAACAGTCTGCTCTGTCTTCCGCGTTCGATCGGACGCTCAGGGATTGTCTTCTCTAGCACAAATCGAATGACCGGGCTAGAGTGTCGAGGCCCGACCTTCTGCTCATCGCTCTGGTTTGGGTGAGTGTCAGACATGGCTGGACTGTGGTCGCGAGGCATGTGTGACATTGTGTGTTGGTAAAGATACAGTTAAAACTGCTCGTAAAGATATTATGAATTGAGAGAAGCTTTTCGAGTTGTCTTTCGTGTTTGTGGATACGAGACAAGTAGCCTTTCGTGTGAATAAGTTACTGAAGATGGAAAGAAGAAAAGAAGAAATTACTTTGAACTGTTCGCGATTCAAATACTTTCCAAGGACAGTCCAAGATGTCCGTGTGAACAGTAGAGCCTCTTCCATGTGTGGAGCAAGTCACTTGCATAAGTGTAGCTAGAGGCATACTGTCTTTCTCCTTTAGGGGTGACTTGGTGTAAATTGTAGATGCCGTTACCCTTTTGGGACTGACAAGACTGAAAAGGGAGCTTTCCTGCAGAAAGTAGACTGATCAAGCGCCGAAATATCTATATTATCCATACTCTTGAAGTGGGTTCACGATCCTATGACTGGAAGATGTATACAGTAGTAAGTGAGTGAGTAGGTGCAAAAGTACCATAGCTTTCGGCTCAAGGGGTGGGATAGGAAGAACCCTTGGGGTTATTCTTAGGAATATAGGCAGTATTCTATGCACTAAGAAGTAATGCCACTTCATACTTGGGATGACTTGACCAATACACAGTGGCAAGCGACAGTATAGCCTACGATGATGTTAGGAAAGGGGCTAGCTATAGTTCATTGCTGCTTAAGCGGCATCACTAGTGCCTGGAGATTTTACTAGACCTATCCACCCCCACAGTTCATACCGTGCACATTATCGCGAAAGGGCCAATAATAAATATATCTACCGAGGTACCTACCTACCTAGGCATTTATACCATTTACGGGGAAAGCTTTTAGTTACCAGATTGGACAGCTGAAAGCAAACATGTTTGATAGCTATCTACCTACTAACCTAGGTACCTAGGTAATCATATTTGATTAGCATGATGACTTAAGGAAGAATCAACATTTAGTATTAGATAGGGGGGACCTCTGTGAAATATGGTCACCTGGACTAGTATATTATGCCTGCCAATACGTACGGTGCTTGGTACTAAGTAGTTATATTCAACTATCTAGTATTACCTCATAGCGAGGGCAGGTAGCTTAATTCTGGACTTATGTGTTTCTTTCATCATGTTGTTCATGTGTTAATTGAAGCACCTCTCAGTCTCGTGAATCACTATTCAACGGCATGCCTATTCCTGGGAATTACGAGAAAGCATAAACGCTCTACCAAGTCCTTCCATATTCTAGTCACAAACAGACCTATTCTTATGAGCAATTTCCATACCTAGGTAAACTTGCTGTGAGTGTTTCTCTTTGTTCAATACCCAACTCCCAATCTCAGTCCGAAGCATCAAGCTTACATTAGTTAACTGCAGGGTTTCAAATAGGCTAGGATGTGAGATATAATGGACTCCTAGCCTCTCGTTATGTTGTTTAGTATCGCAGGTGATATCTGTCTATTTGCCTATGAATTATTTCTAGTCCACCAGTCTATCAGGAATTTAGTCGTATCTTGCCAATATCATGCATTCAAATGTAAACGCAACGCCGGGTGGTCATGACTGTTACTGCCTTCCGAAAATAGCACACCAACAATCTATTGCAGAATCATCATCATCTTCATCCCAGTCGTCTTGACCAACCAAGGTATGTTCCTCTAGGACGGCCATCCCCAAACTTGCCATAGTCAAAACGAAGCTGTCCACCAATTTCTTAGTAGTCAGGTCTCTTTGAGGGACCATTACAATAGCCCTAGAGCTCTTGTCTTCTGCCAAGTTTTCACAAATGGCAGATGAGAGGAGCTCAGGGTGGTCATCATCGTATAAAGGGTCTGCGGCAAGAATGATCTGAGCGAGGTTAGCGACTGGAATCACCACATACACAAGACGACATGTCTCACATTAAACTGATTCTTCATGGCGAATAGATCTGCGTTGCCATTGCCAGAGCCCCAGGTTAAGATACCTGAGTCAATCCTCCCTCCTAGGACTTCGATACTTGGACGGTTTATCTCAATGTTGTGAGATAGGTTCGACATTATGTCTGGGAGATCGCTCAAAGACACGTTAGTTTGCCAGATGGCAGCTGCAGCCATCCCTAAAAGTCCAGTACCAGAACCAAGTTCAAGAACGTTCAGGGACTGGTTCGAATGCCCCATATTGATCAAATGGGCGAGAGGTCCCTGTGCAATCTTATCTAGTGATTGAGAAAGTAGATAGGAGGAACCCCAGGTCTTCAGACCAAGACTATCGCCGGTGATGGGAGGCTCTCGGATGATCAGTTCGAAAGAGGAGGATGCTTGGGTCTCGAACGGCCATCTCCGTGTAATTTCGCCCATGGCTGCCCTCCCACAACGCTCGGAGAGGCGCCGACTCGCTTCATCCCATAGTGCTTCTTTCTCATCGTCGTCTTGGATCCACCCAAGACTGCTTTGGATTATGCTGGCAAGGTATGCAGCAACTTCACGACGATAGGAGGCAGCATTATAATATGTGTCTACGATAACTTGGCGAGGGGTGCCTGGCTTCCAGATTGGAGGTTCTACCTAGTCTAGAGTGAGCCCCTACAATCCGTTTAGAGAGGGCACCTTCAGCAGTTTTACCTGAAGGCGCTTGAGAGATGCTAGAAGTTCCTCAAAGGAAGGCCTCTGCCAAATCTGGGGGAAGTCTTCTATGGCTATAGACATGGTATCAATAATAAAAGGGGTAACGTCTACTGAATATATCAAAAGGATAGCAGAGTTAAGAATGAATGAATGAAATACGATAGAAAAGGGGAAAGAGAAGACCCCAATTCTATCACGGGAAGATAATCATGATGAAGATGTTGTGAATATTGCTGTTATTTGGCATGGTTATTGATTGAATTTTATAATTTTGGAATAAGTAAACTTGAAAGGTAAGTAAATCCACATCATGACACTGGCGGCGGCACCTTTAAATACAAACAGTATAGTATGAGTCTGACTAGTGATAACCAATGAGAATTAGAAAAATGAAGCAAAAAAAAAAGAGAAAAAGAAAAGAAAGCCACATCTAGACCCTAAAATGGAGCTAGGTCGTGCTTCGCAATGATTGGCTAACCATTAAGCCTCAACTGCAGGTACTAGGTACTACCTTGAGCCACTGTGCCAGGATTAACACTGAGTTAACGCTAATATGATTGGACAGTAACCTACATATGTACTATGTCGTAGGTATTTATCGATAAAAGCAAACCCCACTTCAATTTTGGTACTTCTAGTGAAATTTGAACGTGAATTCTTTCTGACTCTTTTCTCTTTTCTCCTCAAGCATCGTCCTCATCAACGCTGCGTTTCTGAGCTACAAACAGAGATACTGCGCAAGCTTTTATCTCCACAATCTAAATTCTTTATAGAGAAATCTTTACTGAGTTTAGATTGGCTTTCTTTGCTCATGAGAAATTCGGAGTAATCTTCATTACCACCTTAGTCGCCCGCCCTGTGTGGGATTGACAGGTCTACCCGTAAGGGTCTGGCGTGATGGTTTCACACGTCTGCAATATTGGCATCAGAGAAGCAGGGCCCTTCACCTTATGCATATTCGCAAGAAGAAGATGAGGGAGTTGGGTTCCTATGGGAGAGCCGTTGCGAAGATTGTGTGTGAGAACACTTAAGTGCGATACGCAGCGTGGGTGGTCTATTTCTCTTAGGAGAGATGGAACATCTACAATTCGATTCCGATTACTCTGATGAGGACGATGCTTCACCCTTTTTTCTTTTTAGGTGAGTGCTATTATAATTTAACCTATATTCTCATCCTCTTGCTAAGTCAAGGATACTGCTAATGATACATCTCCTAATCCCTACCGAGTACTCGAAGCGACAATACCTCGTAGACTCAGCAGCACATCAATTCCAACCACTTGCCGGTTTCCTATTTACCTTTACCTCAACATTAAAGTTCATCAAGGAACATATCCTGCACTTCTGAAGGTTCCCTTTCAGTCGAGATTGGATCTAAACACTCGCCTGCAGGCATGGCATTTCCGGTCTCCCGCCTACCAAGCTGATGTAGTACTTTGGATTCACTGCTCATCGGGTCCACGAGCTTCTCGAGACTGGATGCTTCCGTCACCAGATCTGCACACGCGGCAATATTGGCCACGGCCTTTGTAGCCAACCCGAGAACGAGATCGCCAGCTGCACGAACTTTTTCTAGAGCAAGGCGGCGAGGGTCGTGATCGAGGGGGTCGTCTAGTTGCTGAGATCGCTTGAATGCTTTTGTAGCTTCGTCGAGTTGTTCCAAGCATGCTTCCAGCTTCATCTGCTGCATACTGAATTGTTCGCCATCGTGGTTGTCGCCATTCTTGCACTTGTCATTGTGCTCGATCTTCTTTTGCCAGATCTGTTGAAGAATACTGTCGCTGATGTAATGCTTGATCCCGGCTACGTCTTTGTCAAACATTTCTTGAAATGTGATCCAAAATCGTTTACTTTCGCTGGTCTGGGTCGCCAATTGTTTTGCTGCGAGAGATATTTTCAACTCTGCACTGATACTAGTCTTACTTCTAGGCATAGAATGTATCGGGTTGGAAGGTACCCGAGTAGAAGAGATGGATGGTCTCTTGGCGCCTCCAAACCTGGAGACTGGCTCTATCTGCGTTCCTTGACGGCTGTTGCTGCTATCATAATTTTCGGGTTGATCGTCGACATTCGCACCATGGTACCCGCAGGGATGTGGAAAATACGAGGTTCCATTCATGCTGTATTCTGCAGTGTGAGATGGATGGGCGTATGCGGAGCCCTCATCGACGTCGGGCATTGCCTGACGATGACGGGCAGGTAGTGTTGACCCATTGCTACTATTTCTGTTACCTCTACCCATACTGGACATTCCAGGATACCGTGGAGTGGGAGTCGTTGTAAGTGGCAAGTGCCGATTTTAGTGAGGGCTATGTGTGAATTTAAATATGTATTGGAACATCTTGTAGCCAGCCCTACTGGTTTGTTTGCAAAATGGCATTCATCTCAGCCTTTGATAAATATAAGATACATTTGCTTGTTTTACATGCATTTTGATAACAACTTTTAAGCATTCAGCATCAAAATATTAATGCAGTTTGCTAATCAAGCAATAGTATTTACACACATATGTACGTTGGATATATTTATTAAATTTCAATATCTACATGGTACCTAGGTATCATTTAGTGACGATCACAACTGTACGGCGTAATAGACATAATGTATTATGCAAGTACCTAGTATCATGTTAGCTTATCTACCTTAGCGTCAAAACCTATTTTGTAAAAACCGTATATATACCATATTTATACCGCTTATACTAAAATATCTTTTAAAAAAAGTTAGGGAAATAAATAGGTTATATTTTAAAACGTTCTAAATTAAATAAAACGTTTTATTGATTTTAAACGTATTTAATTAGAAGCGGTATTTTTTTTATAAGCGGTATTTAAATAATAACGGTAATTTTTTAATTAAACGGTAATTAATTAATTACCGTTTCTTGCATATTCTTTTTTTACGAAAAATTGAATATTTGTATATTAAGGTTTATGCATATATCGTATATGTATATTCTTATATCAAATATTTTATATTTTATCTTTTATATTAAATTTATTATTTTCTTTATTTTCTTTTTATTTTTATTGGTTTTTTTTATTTAAAAATATTTTAAAATTTTTATATATATATTAAATTAAATTATAAACCTATAAATTAATTTATTAATTTATAAATTTTATAAATTTTACCACTACGTTATAAGGTATTTATTTAATTATTTACGTGTGTATATAAATGGTTTAATTATTTTAATATAAAAGGGTATTATAAGCGGCTTAAAATAAACACTAATATTAAATAAAAAAGCCGGTACCATTAAAAGTGCTAATATTATTAAAAGATATATACACCTTTTTAAAGATTTTAATAATTAAAAAAGTTTTAAAAAGTTAAACGTGTTAAAAGAGGAGCGGTATATATTTAATAAAGCCTAATAAAGCCGTAAATATACGGCTTTATAAAAAGATATTAATATATTTACGGTTTTATTAAACTCTTTAATATATATGCGGCTTATTTAAATAAAACATTTTAATTTAATAAAACGTCTTAAATAAAAACAATAAATATACGAATTTATTTAAGAGTTATTTAATATTTTAATATCTTAAAATAATTGCGGTTCTATGAAATTAAGAAGTATATTTATGGTGGTTAAATGCAAATGGAATATATGCAGTAAACGCAAACCCCCCATACTCCCCTATGTATCATAACCCCCAAACCTGGTCCAAGCGCTTCCCACTAGTTTGACCCGACGCTATGGTTTTACGGTCCGTCATGACCTGCGCTAAGCTTCATTTAGTAAGGTGCGGTAGTTACTAGTTGAAGCGCTTACATCAACTTATACATTTGTATCATTGATGTAAAAAGCCTTTTGGATGCGGCGCAGGATCACGTACATATTATACGTATACATAATTAGTACCGTAATTGAAACGACGAGCTACAAGACGGGATTGTTTATTACATAGGGAGCCAGGTATGTAATCCTTCCCAGCTTAGGAGTCGTTTTCTTAAATACGTACTTGTACAGTAAGTACTGTACATACCTACCTACCTACCCTAGGTACCTAACCCCAAGCATAGTAAGATAACTATCGGTACATACTGAAGGTTGGTTCGGGTTTTCTAACAATAGCTAAAACAATCCTGGCGAACTCTGATGATTTGGTTTTCGCTCCCGAGAGCGACCCGTCGAAGCGCGGCGGCATATCTGAGTACCCTAACCTACGTGTCTAGGTACCTACATGTAGGATAGATAGTAGATACTAAGCGCGTAGGTTATTGGTTCGCGATGCTCGATGATCAGACCTTACTCGGAAGGTTATATATCCATTGAAGCTTCTAGGGGAAGTTTCTGCTCTTACTACTACTACTACTACTACTACCTGTAACCTAACAATAAGAGCCGCCGATAACATGTAGTAGGGATGGGTTGGGGGGGGAGGGGATTGTGCTAGCTACATCACAGTACAATACAATAGGTATACATGCATACCTACATTCCGTTGCCTGCTATGTATGTACAATACTTATCTCCATTGGAACCGAACCGATCGCGGCGCCGTCATTGGCGACGGCCCCTGGCACAAACACGAGGTGGACACGTGCTATGAATCCTTTGTATGTACAGTACCTACTTCGGTATTGTACCCAATGGAAGCTATGTCTTGCTAGAACTACCGTTCACGGCTACCTACCCCAGGTACCTGGGCATCAATACGACATGAAATCAAGATACTACTAGGTATGTAGGTATATATATATATATATGGGAGGGATCAGGGGGATTGTATTGTATTGTATTGCATATAATACAGAGCGATCCCACCGAGTTGTTCGCTGACTCTGAATTTGGATGCATCATGTGTGTCGTGCCCAACTCGTTTATCAATCACGAATAACTACATACCGAAGACGCAGAGATAGTGTAGATTGATCGATCGATTAATAATAAGCAACGCCCGATGACCATCACAGATAGGTAGACAGAAGAGGCGCACCTACGACTTCATGCACGCGTACCTATGTAGGTAAGCAGATGGGTATGGGTAGATACCTACCTACCTACCTACCTACCTACCTCCATATGTACATAGGTGCCTAACCTACATATAGCTATGCACCTCACCTCACCTCATCGCATTACCTAGTACATAATGTCGCAACAACACAGCACGGGCGTATATAGACTAGACTTCGCATCACACTGCAGAGGGCGTCTGTCACCTGACGTCGGAGTCTCGCGGGTCATCTTCATACCTCCTTCGACCGCCAGCTCTACCCAACTAACTATACACAAATGCAACAAGCCGCGTCAGCAAGCAGGCAAGCAAGCAAGTCCTCCTCCTCCTCCTCCTCCTCAGTCCTAGCCCTATCAGCAGCAAAGAAACTTGCACAAACACGTACCACGTGCCCACTTACCTACAATGGCCACCGTTGTCTCGCATACAATACCATGCCGTTGCCATCATGCCTAGACGCACGTAAGTCCTACTAGCAAACTAGGTACCATATCTTACCTTATACATGGAGGAATACCCACGTGAGGTATCAATATCTTGTATGCCCTGACTCATGCGTACTAACATGCAAAGCGATACGCATCTTCAAACACACACATACATGTCACATTAAAACGCAGACAGAAAAGTGTTAGATAAGATTTCTTCCATTCGATATTCTACGTCGGCATTTGCCGTCTACTATAGGGAGGTATCAAGTATAATAAATAATAAATAATATGCGTTGTTCTCCCCCATGCATACACACATTGACGTTTGCTTATAAAAATCGTTTGTCGTATCGGGGGAAGAAGAGGGTGGTGGGGGGTTTGCCGTAAACTCCTATGCTCAACTTCAAAACGTTCCAAGTTGCCAGCCAAAAAAATATGACCATGCCTTTTTTGTTGTTCCAAATGCTAGTTATCCGAGATGCCGGTACCATGTGTGTCCATGCTGTTCCTGTGACTATCAATGCCAGATCCTGTTTGTTAAAGAAAAAAGAAAAGGAGAAAAAAAAAACCACCAATAGCCCTCCCCCCAGATGCGTCTGCATCTCCAGCGATGATGAAAGCAAAATGCAGAACCACCGTGCCATTATAAACGCTTCCTATGATCGTAGTAGATATAGGGTGGCCACTTCGAGAAAGACATGCCCCCCATCTATCCTAACCTCCGTTGAACTCCTCGCTGAACAAAATCCCAGCCTGTTATTTTTTAAAGTTCCATTTCCAGCTGGTCAGCCACCTCTTCCCCCCGGAGCATTATATATATATGTCTTCTTAATTCGTGGCCACAGCCTGTGTGATCTCGTTCTTCATGACGGACAACCGCTCGCGCATATCCAGCAGGTCCGCCAGTTTATCCTCTGGTGGCTCGTCCAGTTCTGAGATTTCGTTGTGCAGCGCCTCGTATCGTTCGTAATACTTCGTAAATATCCTAGCTTTTACAATAAGATCCTTCGACACGCGCTGCTTCTTGTTCGGCGTGGATTGCTGTGAAGAATACTGGTCGAGATCCCGATCCCTCCGTTTCTTATTCTGATTGACCCCTGACGACCCACCGTTCGTCATATTGTGGGTATATCGCTCCCCATTGCGAGCTTGGGGCTTGGCTGGACGCTGGACGGGCTTCTGATCCTCAAAGTCTGAAGCGTTGGTAGGCGGAGAAGAGGCAAGTGGAGAAGACTTGGCCGGGGAAGTGTTCTTGCTCTTTGCCGAGAAATTGGAAGACATGGTTCCTGCTCCAGTATTTCGCGAGCTTTGGCTTGCATCCGAAGGGCGATGCTTCAGCTGGGTAGAGGCTGGCATCGGCCTAGGAAGTTCCTTCGGCTTGATCCTCTTGCTAAGCGGTGCTCCGGAGCTTGAACTACTGTCATCATCTTCACGGGTCCGCTTCTGTGGGGCTGAGCTTGAAGGCTTGGCCGGGGGTCGGGGTGCTCGGATCACAGGTTTCGCCTTCGGCGCTGGACCAGCTTTCTCCTTGGGCTTTTCTACCACCTTCTCGGCCGGCTTTGTGATACGCTTCTCTGCTGGTTTTTCAGCCGCCTTTTCGGCTGGTTTCTCGACTGGCCTCTCAACTACTCTCTCGACGGGTTTCTCGACTGGCTTCTGAGACGGTTTTGGCTTCGGCGCACCAGAGCTAGTACTTGATAGTGGCCTCTCATCCCCACTGCTCTCTGAATCGATGACCTTCTCCTCCGAAAGAAACTTTCTATTTTTCTCTTCCACGATCGCCTTAGCTTTGGGGGCAGGCTTCTTAGGAGCAGGCTTTTTGGGATTGCTCGAGAATAGCCGCTTCGTCTGCGCTTCGCGCTCGCTGATCTTCTTTGTTTTGTTACCCGTCGGCTGGGAATTGGATCGAGCCATCGCCTCACCCTTTGCCTTTGAAGAATCCATATCACTCTTATTATCATCGTCGGCCTTTTGTGCCGAGACTCGAGGGATCGGGGTAATGTTTCCTTTGGCAAGGGTCGCTTGGAGCTTACTGAGGATAATTCCCTTGCCACGTTCGGTAGGAGGGAGTAGCTTTTCCCATTCGGACGCGGATGTTGGGATTCGTTGCTTGTCGTATTGACGGATGGCGTTGTCGATAGCTGCCTGCCGATCATCGTAGTTACGGTAGTCGTAGTTCCAGACATCAAGCTCCTTCCAATACATCTTCTTGAGACTCCATTTCTTGTTCAACGCATCGAAATTTGCAACCTTCTCGACAGTTGGCTTCAGGTCTGACTCGGAGCCCTTCCAAACATCCATTAAGTGATCGTATGGCTGATCTCTTGACGCTAGCTCATGAACCAGAATTATTCGTTGGCTCTTATTCTTTTCCAGTAGTTGCTGAGAGGCGGAAAAGGCAGGATTCGGGGAAGACACTCCGTTGAGTGCGGGGCTAGTCGGCAGTGATCTAGTAGAGCTTGACATGACACTCGCCATAGCAGATTTTCCACCCGGGAGCGGTTTCGTCTTGCTCTTGGTTACTTGCCTGGCTGGGGTGTTGGCGGCCCTCGCTACCAGGACACTTGTAGGTACTTTATCAAAGATACTCATTGTCGGGTGTGGCAAGTGTTGCGCTTTGTTTTTGGATTCAGGTTTGGTAAGATACAAGTCATAATCATATGACTTTGGAGTTGCCTTGACCTTGTGTTCTTTCGAGCCGACGAGGAAGCACTGTAAGTGAAAAGAAGTTTTGTCAGCCTTTGAATTTCGTCGGGATGTGCCTCCTTGTATGATGGGCAATGCATTGACGTTTTCTATAGGTCTGTTGAATTGAGTACGTAGGTTGGTTACGTATTTGTTTTTATCTTCATTTTTATTTTATTTCTTCGTACGAGCCGGTGGGCGGTCGTTAATCATGCCATAGCTTCAAGGGTGCAATGGCCATGTGCTCCCAAGGTACAATGCACCGCACTGCCTATTGTCGACTGTCGACAATAGCAACGGCGATTGTTTAAGGAGATTAAGCAGAAGACAAACTTACTGGATTGCTTCCCAGCGTCAATTCGATCTCCTGCCCTTCCGTGACACATCTTATCATATCTTCAATAACACTGTCGCTTATGGTGACGCCAAAGGCTTGTGATGGGAGGGAATCGTTCAAGGTGGCCGAGCTCTCCAATAGGAGGCCGGAATCAGGAAGTGATAGAGCTGGCATATTGACCAGGTTTCGGGGTTGTTAAAATTAAGTAGAATAAAGGGTTATAGATGTCGATGTCGATATGGATACGACTGGGTATAGGAGATATTTCAATGTTGTTTCGACTATGGTTAAGATATGTCGTGTAGCTGTTGTCGAGTAGAGACAACTGCACTCGAGCTCTGCACCCAGCCAGACGATCGAAAGTCCAACTTGACAATGACCCGACTTCTCATGCAGCTCCGTCACATGGCTCTATGTAGGTGGATCTCTCGAGCAATAAGTTCCGAGGCCGTAAAATCGGAGTGGTCTCTCTTTAAGATTTAGAAAAAGACTATGGTTGTCAATGTGGTTAAAAGGTTCAAGTGGAGAGGGCTAGTTATGATTTAGTATGGTATTAGAGAATAGAATAGAATAAGGAAAGGTAGTAGAAGGTCGTAGAGGATTGGGAAGAGCGAGGTTGTACGGGAATGACCTCGTTGAATCTTGCACCAAGAGGAGAAAGAAGGGAAAATGAAGGCACAGACAGACAGATGGATGGATGAATACATAGAGTGGATGGATTGGATGGGGTGGGATGGTACCTAGAGGTGGAGCATGACGGGGGTACTCCCAGTATGTACTGTACAAGTACCACACTTGCTTAGTTCATCCCGTTTCCCTCAGCCTAGCTACACTCTAAACCTTTTTTAGTAAGACTCACCTAACTTTCTGTCAAAGAAACTTGCCAAGCTTCCCCAAAGTTGCACTGTGAAAGAAGAAGAAACAAACAACATTTGAACTTTGATACCCCAACACATAAAAGGGAGTTACTCACTGTCACTAATTGATGATTGATATGTACATACAAAGGTTTGGTTAACTGCACATGTGGTTAAAAAAAATTAATTATATTACTTATCATGCTACCTACTTATGCTATTGACCTAGGTAAACCTAGTCATGAGAGATACTCACAAAGAGATAGTCAGCCGTAAAGTGTAAATAACCATTGTTTTTCTCTTTCTTTAGCTATGTAACTATGCTTTTCCATGTTCAAATAGTCACGACTTTATGATGTTAGTGTAATAATAATTCTCGTACGAAGACAAACATTTGCAACGATAAATGGAAGAAAATAAGCTACATATGTAGGTACCGGCCGGCATAGCCCCCAGAAAACTATGTACACTACAATACATAGACCTGGGTATAATACTACTAGGTAGGCAGTGTTATGTAGTAAGGCATTCATTCTAATGGGTTAGAAATAAGCAAGGTACAATACAGGCTATGCGGTGCAATAGGGCGAGGCACTAGTTACAGGAGTTACAAGAGTTACAGGGCATTAGCACCTCTAAACACCCCGTCAACTTGATACCTAACAGGTACTTTGCTTGGGCTATGCAAGACAGGGGTTATGGATTTGCGGATGGGCAGATACATGCATTTTCCCTTGAACGGAGCGTCCAGTAGTTGCCCGGGTTGGTAACCACTGATATTTACATATGTATTTTTACATTCATTGTTGCTCATGAAGCCGTTCAATTCAATTGTCATGTCAATACAATTGTTATTCCAGCCTACTACATCAAATGTCTTGTATTACTAACCAGGTAGTTATATGTACTTACTTGATGTATCGACGGTATAAACTTTATGTACTTGTCCAAGTAATGTGAGAAACACGCTACCTGTTACATACTTAGACAGGTACATACATACATGCATGGTAGTATTTGAGCTTTTAGGTGCATGTGGGCGGATCTACTAACCGAAGATGGAATACCGCCTTAGAAGTTGGTTAATACGATTTCTGCTACTATGATCAATCGATGTACCTACATACATTAGTAGTGCTGTACTGTACTTCCATGTTATTTTCCACTTTGATACAAAGGGGGAAACTCTCAGTTTCTCACAGACTTCAATGTTCCAGTATCTACGCATGGTACTAGGTATAACAATTGAAGTCACCTTAGCGCACATTACAGTTCATGTGGCATCCTTTCCGTCCTTCTCTCTTACATAGTACATAGTGCTATGTCCTTAATCCTCCGACCGTCCTGTGTCCTAATTTGAACATACTTACTATTATGTATCAACTCCTAAGCCATTGATATCCTCCACGATCCAAACGTTTATAAGCTGGGGGGAAACCCTCATGGCCCAAATTACATCATTCTGGCTTGGGCTTCGGAGCATATACAGTACATACATGTATGTATGTATGTATTATGTATGTATTGCCCTGCGGCTCGTACCCTCTGCCACTTAGTCACAGGGCAATGATGTGGGTGAGAGGTAGGCCAACTCATCACGACCTACTGTAGGTAGTACGTAGTGCGTAGTACTTGGGTTAGTATGTATGTATCCATCCAACACCGGATGATAAGTGTTATCCATGGCAATGTGAGTTCATACACATCAGGACAATTCGGTGAATGACTTTTGTCCAAAACCAACAGCCTAGGTTTGCTACATAAGTAGGTACGTAAGCAGGCATCGAGTGAGTAATCGAGTGACTACCTGAGGACATCTGGAGATATCGTGGTAGAATTGATGCTGCGAATAAAATAATTCCTGGGCAAACAATTACACCCTACTTAGCACTAGTTGTCGGGTCTAAATACGAGGCGAAATACCAACATGGTATATGCATATAAAATGCGCTATACACGTAGACTCGTTAGGCTAAGTTACTAATTAGTAATTGTTTAACCTAGGTTAGAGTGCTTCAAGTTAATTACTGTTGAAGTATATTGTTCTTTCAGCCTCCTCCTAACATCCCAAGAACCAAACTGTCTGGTGCCTGGGGAGGGGAAGGGCAATGCTATGATATGCGGCAGTCAGCAGACTATTATTAATAATATAAAGTTATTATTATTTTTTGAAAATTTAAAAAAAAAAAAAAAAAAGTCAGTTGCTTTGTGCGTCTGACATCAACTACCCCTGACTTGAAAGGTAGGCTGATCATTCATAGTAGGGGCCCTCCTCTCAGCCTTTGCCTGGCTTTTGGGTACATACCTATGTAACCTGGGCTATTGTATGTAACATATGAATCGCAGATACACTAAGATTTCCCTGGGAGACGGATCATACACGGTGGGACCCCCGAAAAAATAGGTTCGCCAGCGCTGCTGACATGCAGGTCGTTCGGAATCTTGATTGGATATGCTATGTCATGACGGATGGTAGTTGGAGCCAATCGAGCATCTTGCAACAACAGAGTAAGAAAGGTAGTTTACATTGATAATACTATGTAGGTTAGTACACTGGTATGTACTGGTTACTACATGTAGGTATTTCTGTATGTCCCAGATCTGGCTGAAACAGATTAACAGGAAGTGGGAAGCTTATGCTCTGCAGTGCAGCAGCAGCAGCAGCAGCAGCAACACACTCTTTTACTGTTCGTCTCCGCGGTGGCGGCGACTGTGCGTATTGCCCAATCTTTGACTGTACCATATTTGTCTTCGACTGGGGCCGAATAGGACGGCGTCGCCGTAACGTCAGATCATCTTACCAACAATAACAACATTATTCACAACACTATTCACAACATTCTTTTTATTTCTTCGTCTTCTGTTTTGTTTTACGCTTTTTCATATTTGCTGGCCTATTCTTGAAGATTCGGGAGTAGATGTCTTTGGTATAATACATAATGTCCCCTAAGCTCCAAAAAGTACCTAATGCATAGTTATTAGTTGCAGACAGTAACAGACTAGCTTGCGACGGGAAGACATGGAAGAAGCCAAAAAAAGGGCGGGCGAAGAAAGCCATTTACAGAAGGTTCGAAGAAACACTTCAGGTACGACGGGATCAGGCCCATAAAAGGGAGCTGTGGAAGTATCAGACAAGTACTTGCAGCTCTCCACCCCACTCCACCTAACTACCTAACCTAGTACAGTACATACATACTACTATGTACGTGCATGGATAATATGTACTATGTAGTTATGTATTAATATGTATGGTTTCCATTCCGGGTGGTGGGACTTGATAGCGACACAGCATTTGAGTGCGTACATCCATGATAGCCTACTACCCGAGGCTTGGGCCGATTACAGATAAATAGGTACATGATACTATGTACATCTATGCATACTAGGTAGGGTATAGTACCTTACTACCTAGTACCTAGTAGTAACAATGACAATATCGTCCGATTTCTACTACTAGTACTATCTGCCAGTATCTAGCACTTGATTGTAATCATGGATATCTTTTTTTCTTCTATATATATAAAAATAAACAAATTTGCCATGCTTATTATGAATAGGTAGTTACTTGCCAAACGTGTATTAGTATGATAAGTCGTTAATACCTACTTTATCTCCTTTGATATTATACCCCCTTATAACCTGCCAGTCAACCAACTAATACACAATAAACACCGGGGGGAGAAATCGTTAAAGATGGGGATTATAAAACACTTAGCGGACAAGGGGAGGAGAAGGGGGAAATTCTACGCTTAATATCTAAGACGAAGAAAATGGTCTTAGACCTTTTTTAAATGATGCGTTTTATTACTCTGGAAATAGTTATGCTAATATGTTAATGTGTTAATGTGTTAATATACTAGTATGGATGTAGGCAGATAAATAAAGATGTAGGTACAATACCTACATTCACTTCTAGTTCGGTTCCAGAAAAGGATTGTTCAAGCGAGAAACGGCTACAATTCGTACATACACTTACGTACATGCATACTGACCTAGGTTAGGTATGTATATACATACATACAGACACATGCCTCGTAGACTACCTCCCCTCCAGATGGATGTCCTTGCTACTATAAGAAGCCGAAAGTCAGCAACCTAAGCCGGCAATATCAACAACCACACGGTCAGTCCTAGCGACGACGATCGGCGAGCACTAGGTAAGCAATTATCGAACTCCATAGAAAGGAGAGAGGTGAAGAAGTCGGTAGTTGCATAACTTGCTTCCAGCTAGTATTACATGTTAAAAACTATATACATACGTACACATGGTAATTAACTAACCTAGGTTATGTAGGTGTATACTACATATGTACCTAACATAACATTTACATATGTATGCTCTTTAGAGGCTGGCTGAGAGAGAGAGAGGGAACTCACATATATGCCCTGACATCATTCAGCTGACACGAGGCACGATAGGATCGCACTATGGGAGAGACTATTGCAGAATCATATTATTTGTTTTTGGTATTCAATCATACCAAGAGATTTAATATCATTTTGTCACACGGTATATTTAGGAATTGATGAATTGATCCCTGGAAGAAAAAAAACCCCCCCCAAACCCATATTGCTTAACTAGCAGGTATGTACATATATGTATGATCGATCATTGATTGCTGTTCTTTCGTAGCGAGCGACTTGGACGTATCAGCAAAGCTTTCCAGTGTATGTATTGTGCATCGTCGCTTCGTCAAAGCTACATACATTTCATGTATACTACCTATATGGGTAGTGCATACATATTACATACACCACGCGAGAATCTGCACGAGCTGGATGCGATGCGCCACGAGGGGAAGAAGGGGGGGTCCCGACGGCCGAGAGGGAATTGGAATTGGAATTTCCGTCTGGGTAGGGTACTGTAGGTGACATGAACGTGGCGTCTCTGCCCCGCAGCCTTTGCAGCCCATCCATCTCGTCCTATCATATGCTATCCTATCCTAACGGGTAACCATTAACTCACTTTCCAACTGCGCTGTACAATACAATATTTGGGGGCTATATTGCGGTCCCCGCGGTTGGCCAATACGGGGGAAGAGAAGCATTGATATGTTATTTCGAAGAAGGATAAAAACATTCAATCACTTCTTTCCACGTTATCGAGAGTTTCTCTTTGTTGCAATATAGTATTTGTAGGTAGGTACCTACACAATGCCTAAAGGGGGGGAAGATTGGTAGCATTATGTTGCGTGTCGTCACTCTAACATCAAATAGCATACACCTATGTGCCTACCTACCTACATAGGTACATAGTAGTATACAACTTATTACCTAGTAGCCTTAGTCTACCTACTCAGGTACTTAGGTAAATGTATATAGCGATCGCACAAGCGTCGATGCGGGCAAGCAGCTATCCGGACGAGATAGATGGATAATACATACTAATATGTTAGATGGCGAGTTGGGACATACATATGTACGTCGAGTTGCGCTGTATACGCACATAGCTATTCTAGGAAAGGCCGGTAAGGTAGTGGAAGAAGGGGGGGGAGGGGTCGCCTACCTACCTACCTACCTACCTACATACTAGGTACCAATCCGTTTATGGTAAAGGCGAGAACGTCAACCGAACTATCAGCGTACAATGTGTGTGCAATACCTATTAGGTATATATACGCTCGCACAGTTCAATGTTCTGGCTGTATGCTTCGTCCCCAAACCTAGAGCTAGAATATCTATCTATCTATTCAGAGGCGGAATAAACTGGTAGGTGGTGGCTTGTGGGGGAAAAGGCGTTATCTACCTACCAACTCAACAACCTGCACGTCTATCATTTCGTCACAAATAACACCTACCGAATACTCACCTGAAGTAAGGGTTCATGGTTTGGATGGTGGTGGTGGTGGTGGTGGTGTAATATGGTGACACCTATTGTAGGTTAGTCTATAAGTATCTGATCGGTCTTTGTCAGCTCAGCGCGATTATTTGTTACCCAGCCCTTCGGCGTTGCCCAATTCCCTCATTGGGTATCCAGGTGTTCGGTAAACGAAGAGGCACAGCGGAATACCTGTCTCGTTCCGGCCGACGCTTTCTTGTTCTCTTAAGTCAGGTCGGAAAAGGGAGCGCGAGGTATACATACTAGCTAGTATAGGCTATTACCGTTGTGGTTAACTATCCCACCCGGCGGGAGTTCCACCATTTTCTTTTAGGGGTTCTAGACCTGTTACTCCAATGCGAAGTTGCTCTCGTTCCTGAGTCATGGGGTGTTGGGCATACACAGTACAGACATACCTACCTATGTAAGCTGGAGGTTATATCCGCTAATGTTAGTTTTTAGTAGTATTATACTCACATACCTAATAGCTGAAGCCTGGAGGAAAAGGAAAAGGAACAGGCGAGGCGTATCCCAAAGCTGTTTCAACGATGACTTCAGAACACAGGATCTGGTCCTGTGTCACAAAGCCGTAAAACTACTGAGGATTTTACTTTTACCCTATTCGAGGATGCGGAGGACGGGTACCTAGGTGTCGTGTCGTAGATGGAAGAGTTATTATTGGGTACAAAAGTATGTATGTGTGTACATACATATATAGATAGTACACACATACATACATATGTCGAAGGGTGTAAGCGGGTTGCGGGAATGCAAGGCCTTTCGCCTTGGTTCGAGATTGTCCGAATGCCCCGCCGTCACATCCACGATCCAACCCACGATCCATTCCCACTAGACCCGATAACTCCAGATGTCCATTTCTGAGGATTCTCCGAACTTGCTGCGAACCTGTCAAGTGTTCAACGAAGGGGGGCAACTTAGTATTAATTAACCTACATCTAAAATATACGAACTGGGGGTTGGTTGCTCAACGGACCAGGTTTTTGCACGACCTATGTATAGGGATGTGTGTTATGTGCTCGGTAGATTTACTTAATGACTCGAATGCACCTACATATTAACTACCTATGATGTACCTACATATATGAATGTTCTAAGGATAGGTAGCAAGTAATAACCTACCAGCCTGGAGGAACCATGTTGTCTGGCAACTACGACTCCATAATGTGTTATATCAAACTAGATCTGTTTTAGACTCTTGGCTTGTTTAGATAGAATTCGCACTCTCGTCCCCGAAAACCCCACGACTTTGAGGAGAGGAGGTAAAGGAAAGAGTCCGAGCAATGACCGTGGGATAGCCTTTTAAATCACATGCTTTGAGATGGTGTACACCCACATACACACACACACACACACACGCTCGTCGTCCAACACCAGATGAGGCCTTTTCTACGGTTCTTGCATCTAATCTATCATACCTATCTAGACCGGTGGGCGAGCGAGCGAGTGGGTGGACGGAATACCTTACATAGGTATCTATCTTGAAGAAGTACTAGGTGATATGTTACATATTCGATTGGACGGCTTATACGACGGGTAGGTTCGGTACCTAGGTAGGGTATAGTTTCTACTATAGCACTACCTCTACCTACCTACTAGTCGATAGTTATATGTGTGCCAATGTTGAAGTGAACAAGCAACCTTGATAGACTTCGGTAGTGTGGAACCGAACGAAGATCTAACTAACTTGTTCTTGTTTTCCTGTAAGTCCGTTTTCTGCGATACTACCTCGTACCTTGGTGCACCACCACCACCCCCCCTGCCTCCCCCAGTTCGGCCATTCTCTCACCATACACACACCTCGAATTAGTAACACGGAGCGTGGGAAGCCAATAAACCAATATATTGCTTACGTACTCAAGAATCCCCCCCTGAGCGAATGGGCATGTTGGCAATCTATCCACGGAGGGTTCGTCTCGGGGTTTGGTCCGCAATCACCTACCTCGAGTGAAGAATGCCGATTTAAGTATAAGCCAAGTAGATACCCAGAGAGCTAATTTTTCTATCACATTCGCTTTCTAAACTTTCTTGTTAACTACAATTTGGGAAGGGATCATGTGGGAGACAGGAGAGGATCTGACTCCAAAATCTAAGGTGTTGGTTCCAAGGCTCGCGAACGGGAATCAACGGAATCAAGTTATAGGTAGTGTTTGAGTATATCACATCACACCATCTGATGCATTCATTCCTCGTAAATCAATACGGAGTCAAATCAAGGAAGCAGACAGGCCTGTAGGTAATTAAAAATTATTGTCCGCCTTGCCCACCCAGGTAGGTACCTAAGGTATAATAGAAGTTGCTGAGTTGATTAGATGGTATTTAGGTATATTAAGCCATAGTATGCCTCATATGTAAATATGTAAACGACCCCTTTCCTTACTTTGTTGCCCTACAATTTTTCTTGTATGACCAATGGACCACAGACATCAATGTACAGGATGGACGTAGTATGGCCACTGAAACCTTGCATAAAAATCGAGGGTCTTGGTAACCGTCTGATTCACATCCATCCTCGGAGAAAATCCACGACCCTATATTGCTTTTCCTGCAGTTACGATGATCATATATATGAACATCATTGCGTATCGTCCCATGGCTGAACAAGTAGTTGATCACCAGTCTCCCTTTACTGGGTCTTGAATAATAGAATGGCACAGTGTCCTAGGTAAAAGTAGATGAAATGTTTTGTCTCTAAAGCATTTATTGCAAATTAGTTTATACATTATTCTTCGCAAGGCTGATCCACATCCACGGCGTCCTTAGGATAGGAGGAACATACCGTGAGTAACAAAGCTTCCGAAGTTTCGTCCAACAATACAGTGCCAAGTAGGGCCCTTTCGTTCATCGAACTTCGCAGTCATATTAGTAACAGAGTTTCTAACGATAATAACGGCTGAGAACCAGGCCTAATGGACAAGCTCACCGTTCGCTTGATGTGCTGGGCGATATCCTTCTCGATGGTGCACTTTCCCATCGCCTCTTGAGCTATAGTCTTGTCGTTAGAACGTGTATATCTGTAGTCGCTGGATGATAATAACCTACCCACGTCAATCGCCTCTTGCTGCATGTCTTCCGTCTATGATTGTAGGTTAGCCCCCGATATAACGTTTTTCATATCCGGATAGTTCTAACCATATCTGCCGACTTGATCTGCGCTACAACCCGAGAGAACCTGTCAGTCAACCGATTTCTTCAACACGTGTGTAGGTGCTGGAACGGACCTTCAAGCTTATCGCGGCTGGCGGCCGGGGTAGGTGACGTTTGTTCCGCCATGTTGTCGGTTTGCGACGTTGATCGGCGATAATTGGGAGATTCTTTGGTAGACAGTAAAGTTAGCGAAAACGGTATTATTCAGAGCCCGCCCGAGGTATCTTGGAACGGAACGAGGATCAATCAATCCCATATATAACCACTAAACTTAGACCGCCACAAGCCTAACTCAGTGTAGGGCCAGATAAATAGATAATACACGATGGAAATACATACCTAAACTAAAGGCTCAACGAGGAAATGATGGAGTATGACGAGTTTGACGAGTATGGGAGTGTAGTTTGCAAGCTTGATAGTACAACAGTACGATAATACGAATTTGGCGCTCACTAAGTTCAAATGGTTAATGCTAGGTGGCGTGGAGAGAAAGAAAAGGTGCAGAGTCCAATGGTTGCTAGGTGGGTTCAAGTTGTTTGGTTTGTGCCCAAAAGAATAAAAAGAACGGTGATACGTCGCGTTTTTTATTTTTGGCGACTCAAGAAATCGACGATCTCCAGCCAGGGCTATTACTATTGGGGGGATTTTAGGGATTTTAGGGATTTTAGTTGGAACCCCCCACCTTGTTCATTACCTAACCTTGTATTCCGGGCTGTCTGGGCTGTCTGTAATTACTTGAACCTTATGAAGTTTAATTGATGGATGCTGTAAATTTGTGGATCAATGGGGGCTGAAGAGCCGCAGATGGGTTGGTGGGATAACTAGGTAGTATGTCTCCTCATAAACCACGTGATGATAACTAGTTAACTAGGTTAACAGTTTCTTCTGATAAGGTATTAGTGCATATCCATACCCATACATATTGAAACCTTTTTTTTTTTTTGTTCTTCTCTTCAATTTTTGCATCGAATCCTTTGCGCCATGTCACGGTTAACTGTTATACTATTTAATAAATCTCCCTAAACTTCTATATTTACAAACCGTTGAAGCGGTTAATACTTTACAATTACTATATCGCCTTATAATGTTCTTATAAACATCATCCTCTTTCCAACCCTCCATCAACACTGCCATCATGGATTCATCCCGAATTTTTGTGAAAGGTCTGCCACCAAATCTCAATGAGGCCGACTTGCGAAAGCACTTCGCGTCCAAAGGTCATATCACAGACGTGAAGCTGATACAACACCGAAGGATTGGATATGTTGGTTACAAGACCTCCCAGGAGGCGGCAGATGCTGTTAAATATTTCAATCGCACCTTCGTACGCATGTCCAGGATAGGCGTCGAGTTCGCAAAACCTGTCAGTAGGTTGAAGTCTTGTGTATACTTGAGCCAGCCTAACAGTTACTTTTCAGATATCAGATCCTTCCTTGTATCGGGCACAGCATGGAGGAAGTCAGCCAGTGACTGCAGAGATTCCCCGAAATGTTACCAAGCAATCTTCAGAATCCGAAGCCAACACGGAAAATGCGAAGAAGAGGAAACGAGATGCGCTCGATAAATCTGACCCCAAGCTGCAAGAGTTTTTAAGTGTTATGCAACCTAAGATGGCACCGACAAGTCAGGTACACGGGATAGCTATAGAACCTACAGACGAGCCGCCGGCAAAATTTGCAGCAGTACCTGTGGATGAGGGAGCATCTGATGACGAGTATGAAGTCGTGCCAGCCCGTCGAAGGAGGAGTCAGCCTCAAGAGATTACGAAGCCCACTGTAACTAGTGGAGTCAGTGTTCAACCCGTCGAAGAAGTTGACAAACTTGAGGAACCTGCCAAGGAACAAGTCGTGCCCAGTGTTTCTACTCTGACTGAAACTGCACCTCCACCGGCTGCCACAGATGATGACTGGCTACGATCACGGACGAATAGGCTGCTTGATCTAGTTGACGATGAGGATCCAATTCCTAACCGGATGCCGGCGGGTGATCTTCCATCTGTATCGCCGCAGCAGGAACAGGAACCTGAGGTCGTTGATGCAACCATAGATGAAGACCATGCGATGGAAGATCAAACCCAGCAACCCGAGTCGGATGAGCAGGACGAGCCGCTCGTAGACTCTAAAGATGATCCTCTGGATTCAGTACGCAAGAATAGGAGATTATTCGTGCGGAATTTGCCATTTTCCGCTACCGAGGACGATCTCAGGTCGTACTTCCAACAGTATGGTGACGTTGAAGAGGTAATAATTTTTGCTTTGGTGTTTTCTTTCTTCATGTTCTTTTTGTTTCTATGATGAAGCCCAGATAGGGACAGCTTATACTTAATGTATATGATGAGAAGCCTGGGCCAGTATTTTAGTAGATATCTGGTGTCTGAGAAACTATCCCTTCTTAATTTCCTCAAGTTGCCTTTCTTCCATTCCTACTAAAATGAAGATACTTAGGTTCACGTGCCAATGCAAAACTCGGGCAATAACCGCGGAATCGGCTTTGTTTTATTTACCAGTCAAGATGACGCGACCAAAGCATTCCAAGCAGATCGTACCTCGTTTCAGGGCAGAATTTTACATGCCCTTCCAGCATCGGCGAAACGGGACCATAATCTGGATGACTTCACACTGTCCAAGTTGCCGTTGAAACAACAGAATCTTATCAAGAAGAGAGCTAAGGCGGCAGAGTCCAGATTCAACTGGAATTCACTCTATATGAACCAGGATGCTGTGAACTCATCAGTTGCCGATCGTTTGGGAATTTCAAAGTCCGAACTGCTGGACCCAACCAATTCTGATGCTGCTGTGAAGCAAGCCATAGCCGAGACCTCAACAATTCAAGACACTAAAGCCTATCTGATAGCTAATGGTGTTGATCTGGACGCTTTCAAGTCAGGGCCGCGGGGCGATACCGCAATCCTTGTAAAGAACTTCTCTTACGGCACTACGATTGAAGAATTAAGAACTCTCTTCGAAGAGCATGGTCAGGTATTGAAAGTGTTGATGCCGCCCACGGGGACTATAGCGATTGTTCAATTTGCACAAGCTCCCCAGGCTAAGGCTGCTTTCACGAAGCTAGCGTACCGCCGGTTTAAAGAGTCCATCCTATTCTTGGAAAAGGCACCCAAGAATTTATTCGTAGCTAAAGAACAGGAGGCGATAAGCCAGGCTTCTACGGCCAAAGAGCCTAGTGGCGTACAGAAACTGTCTGTTTCAGAATTACTGGAACAAGACAATCAAGAACCTGTGGAGTCGAGTTCTCTATTTGTTAAAAATCTTCATTGGGACACCACCACCGAAGAGCTTGCAAATGAATTCAAACACCTCGAAGGGTTTAGATCTGCGCAAGTGAAAACAAAGAAAGACCCCAAGAAGCCCGGCCAAGTGCTTAGTATGGGATTTGGATTTGTCTCTTTTGCCAACAAAGCGACAGCTGAGGCCGCCTCCAAGGTCATGGATAATTACGTCCTTCGGGGACACACACTTCAAGTTAGAGCTTCGCACCGTGGGCGTGATGCAGCGGAGGAACGAAGAAAGGAAGATAATGCCAAGAAGACAGCAGGCCAGGGAACAAAGATCATAATCAAGAACATCCCCTTCCAAACCAATAAGCAGGACATCCGAACGCTTCTAGGCGCATACGGGCAGCTCAAATCAGTCCGTGTCCCCAAGAAGTTCAACTCGACGAGCAAAGGTTTTGCCTTTGCCGAGTTTGTGTCGTCGAAAGAGGCCGAGTCGGCAATGCTGGCCCTACAAGACACGCACTTATTAGGACGCAGACTTATCCTTGAGTACGCAGAGGCAGAGACGATTGATCCGGAAGAGGAAATCGCGAAAATGCAGAAGAAGGTAGGCGGTCAAGCCAACAAAGTAGCCCTGCAACAACTCACAGGGGGGAGCCGCAAAAGGGTAACCCTTGGAGGTGATGAGGAGGAAGGGGAGTTTTAACGGGCAATTAATTGGGTCTAAAATCCTCATTGCGTGCCTGGTTTTATCTATTTACCTAGATATGTACTAGGTAGATATAGTATGCAGTGCAGGAGTGCCGGGATTGCCACGTTGGGAGCTAGGGGGGCATGGTTCATTGCGTTATCCCTTGTTCCCTTGTCAGGGAGATGTCGAATCTGGGGTGACTATCTGTGCCCAGGAGTTCGGGTCTGCAATAGCTTGCAGCATTACATCCCCTCATTCATGTGGCTTTGGTAAAAAAAAAAGCCCAAAAAAAAACCCCTCTGGATTGAATGAATGTCTACAAGTCCTAGACCTGACGATCTGATCTGTATGGGTCAGTTAATCAAAGTTACATTCCCCTCCGCGGAGCTCCACGAACTTCAGTCACTGGATCAGTCTGAGACGGGATACCTACCTAAGTAGATAGCATCAACGTGATGGCAAATTACACATTCCCGTGGGTAAGTGTCGTTCCTCGTACTTGTACCGAATCTACTCTCCTTGCGTGCCAACTACTCGCAGTTGGTGCAGAAGACGTCATGCATCTCCCTACTTGGACCTTATCCATCTATCATGTCATGGCGTTTTGTACTATTCAGAGTATTTTCTTCAAGACGCCCTTGGAAGCCTCCTAGTGGGGGAGGGGGTACTAGGGCTCGAGTATCTCTTCAGGGCACCTTTATTGCTACACTCCTAGATAGACGAGCAGTGACAGTCTTGTGAATACGAACTCTTATAAGATATGGTAATCTTCTCTTCCATGCCAACATCTCTGTCCAGGAAACCACCTCTAGTCTTAATAGTAATACGGCATTTTCTTTGCCACTGCCATTCCTTTTCACATATCTCACTCTGCTTCCCAACGTTCTTGGGAGCTCTCCAGGCATTCGTTAAAATTCTCGCTCCTTTCATGAAGCATTCTTATCATCTTTTGTCATACCGACCTATGCAATGGAGCACCCACGGCCAGTCCTGCCATCTCAGAGATATTCCCCAGCGTCAGACTATGCGTACGAGACGGATCACGAAGTGATGCCAATGACACGACAACCTCTTGGTGAATCTACTGGCAACGTCCAACAGCATAATCTTGCCGCTCTGGCACTCTGTAACCACTCCTTATCACCACCTCTACATCCTATACCAACACCACCTATAGTGCCTACACAGGCTCTGACCTCTACGTACGGGACAAGCCTTCGAAGGCGGTCCCTACACCGAGATGTATCATTGCGAGAGTCACCAATGGGTTATCCACGGGGTAGCAAGAACCCCATCTACGCATACAAACACTTCGCCGATTATCGTAATAAAGTAATGCAAAAAGAGCTCGAGAAGGAACAACCAATATGGCCTCTATGGTTAGAGGATGCCTTTCTCGACGGTAAGCAGCTAGTCTTTGTGTGATTTTTGAGTCATCGGATTATACAAGCTAACATCCTGAGAAGCTCTCCTTTTAATTCCCCAGATGGGCCGAAAGAAGTTCAGTTCAAAAACTATCCTCTATGGGCGGAATATGCTCATCACAGAATACCTTTGGATCTACCACTGGTTACTTCACCCGCCTCAAAATGGCGAGGTCATCCCGAATAGACAACAGAGAGAGAGGGGCCCGGATGGAAAGCCGCACCCCATGTACAGAGGAAGAAAGCAGGTATCCAGTCACATCCAAGTTCTAAAGGGCTTCTTCGCGACACTAGTGACTTGTAGGTAACCCCCTAATGAATAATGTTGCCCTGTCTACAATCGAAAGAAACTGACTGGCCGTATCTTCTAGTCCACTTCATCTTCCCTAGCAAGAGAGACGCCAAGGAGGAAGACAGGAAACTTATAAGAGAAGACGAGGACACAGAATCCTTCAAGAATAACCGTGTCCTCATCTCCATAGCTGACGGTCGGCTACCTGATGAACGGCCCAATTACGAGTACTTCGCCCGCCTGTTGAGCGCAGACAACGATGTCTTCCTGCGACCGAAGCAATGCTGGATCTTCGTTTCATCCTCCCAGGTCAGCCTAAGGGAGAAACATTCAAAGATGGATGACGGCACCACCAAGAAACAAGTTTCAGGCATCACACCCAACGGACATCTGCTAGGCGAGTCTGACTATCCTCACCTCAAGCTCAACGATGGCAAGGACTACAAAGACTTGCCACGAAATGGTGACCGACCTACTGTACTTCTACATGAATATACTAGGCCGCTTGCCCAAAAGGAGTCTTCATCCATCAAGGAGATTTCCAACCGGTGGGACGTCCAGTTCCCGGAACTGAGGGAGAAACTCCTTACCGCCCTAGATGACACCCACCCGTCAGATGAGCGCACATCTCGTTGTGTGGTGGGACCCTGCGACACGTTTCACTTTGAGGTGACACTTGACTTGCACGCCACATCCAAGTTCCCCGATGGCTCGGAACTTAACGGGATGGTGGAGCTGTCCATCAACCGTCCCGAACTACACAACCATAGCTGGAGATCTGTGACTTCGGTAGTGAAGCCTGAAGAACTTCACATCTCCGGCTCAGAGCCCGACTTCTGGGACCGCAGCAACCCCGTTGAGGTGATCGTCTCACACCGTGTCGGCTGTAACGGCGTGGGCCGGTGCGACTGCGCAGGCCGCGGTAACCGTGATACCATTGGTGTTCCTTTCCCCGCCGCCAGCTGGGCCAACACCTTCATCAAGCTAGCCCCGTATGTGACGGCAGAGCGAGAGAGGAGAGAGCGAAAAGGGCGCGAGCAGGACTCGCACAAGGGAGCCCGCCCATCCCGAGCTGACCGTGAGTCAGCACGCATGAAGAAGGAAGACGACAGCAGTGCAGGGCCATCACACAAGGCCGGCACTGCCAAGACACAGACACCCAAGGACCTCCTATCCCAGGTAGCCATGTACCAAGAGATCTGGTCGGCGCCGAACCAACCCAACAACGGCAGCAACGACAGCGAAGGCGGGAAGCGCGGGTGGGTTCGTCGCTCCGTCATCCTATGGACGTTCATCCCCGTGCACGAGAAGACCGACGAGAAGGGCAAGACCATCACGGTGGCCCCGGGAACCAACTGGAAGTTCCTGACCAAAATCGACCCCATCTCCGAGTACCACCAGCAGCGCGCCTACCTCTCCGGCTCGCCCTCCGTCTCGCGAGACAGCGTCATGTCCCCGAACCCAGGGTACCAGGCCCACCTCCACGCCTCCATGCACGAGAACCTCAGCGCGGCCTACGACGCCCCGCCCATCCTCCCCTCCACCACGATGCCGGGCCAGCCACACCCGCATCAGCACGCCCACCTCCCCACCGGCCTAGAGCTCCTCGACGGCTTCGACAACGGCCTCGTCACGCCTCCTCCCACCGCCTCGCTCACAGGCGGGTACCCGCACTTCGACGACCACAGCAGCGCCGGGCCCTCGCTACACCACCAGCTAAGCTTCATATCCGACGGCGGGCCCTCCGCCACAATCCCCACTACCACCGCCGAGATGGCGCCGGGAAGCTCAGACGCCTTCCTCTCGGGCCTCGGCGTCCCCGTCTCCTCCGCGTACGAGGACCCGACCGACGCGCACCTGCACAGCTGGGTCGACACCTCGCACAGCGGCTGGGGCGCAGGCTACGCCGACCCCCACCTCCACCAAAACCAACACCAACACCACCCCGTCACCTGGGCCGACACCTCCCCCCTCACAGCCACAACAACCAGCTCCGGCGTCCCCGACACCCTCTGGGCCGCAACAGCCAGCGTCCTAGGCGGCGGCACCGCGACGCGGGACAACAGCTTCAGTTCCGCGAGCACATCGCACTGGACCACCGCCGCGCCGCCCTCGGGCTCCGAGCAGAAATACCAGCCACCCCCGCCCTCAGCGTCGGACCCGTGGGCGGCGTGGCACCAGGGCGCCGAGCAGGCCGCGTGGGAGGCGGGCGATTTCGGGATCTATCTCGGTGGTCCTTCCGCCCACCCCAGTCCGCATACCACCGCTGTCCGGCCAGGCGCCCCCCAGAGCTACGGCCAGACCCAGCACCAGCACCAGCAACAAGTCACGGGGCGCAAGAGATCGCGCGCGGAAAGCGGTGGTGATGATGATGATGGTGAGAATGATGACGGGGTCGGGTACCCGGTGCACTCGATGCGGAAGCTGTCGCATCCGGCTGTGCCGGGGTTTGGGCGGCATCATCATCATCAGTCGCATCAGCATAGTAGACAAGGGGCGGTTGGGGTTGGGGGCCAGGGACATACTGCGCCGACGGCTGTGATGGGTGACGGGCATACTTTCCTATGAAACTAGGTCCTTTGCTTGGTGGTTGTCTGTGTGTGAATGTGTAGTGTGTATACATATATGTATCATGTCGTTGTTCAGCAGCGTTTCAGGTTCACGATGGATGGGTCTTTTTTTTTCGCACGGAATCATTGGTTCAATCTATTCGATCTATCTATCTATCTATCTTTGGGTATCGATTTGTCCTAGGCCTCTATTCACATGTACTTCTAGGCCTTGGAAGCTTTTCTTCAACGGCGTTTAAGGGTTTTCAGGGGTTTAGGGGGGGGGGGGGGGGGGGGGGGGGGAGGTTTTCTAACTAGGTACTACCTACTTTTTGTTTACTCGGGCTTTGATCAAGCACCGTAGCCTGTAACTTGGGGCTGGGACTGGGAGGTCGGCGTACGGTAGTTCTTTTCTCGTATCATCATAGCAATCAATCTATCCATCCCACTATCTCTCCATATATTCATCCATCTGTCTCTGTGCATCTATCTATTGCATCATCCATGCCTCTGCACGTTAGAAATGTTGGTTCATCTCCTCGTCGTCCTTGCAGCGTCAAAGCGGTTCTTTGTCAACGACGTTGAAATGCGGGTGATGAGATATCTTAAGCCTAAATCGGTATCTACCTCGGTATCTGTGTGCCCTATCCTTCCCTTGCTTTCTATTATAGCCCACGTGGTAAGACTGAAACCCTTACTTAGCTAGTTATGAGTCGATGTGTGTATGCATGTAAATCAGCCCAGGATGGCTCACAGAAACGACGGGGTAAGTTCCGAGTAAGCGAGGAGGATCACTAGGCATATTCGGAAGACTCCAGGACCGGGTAGATATCTCCTAAGCAGGCATGTAAAAAAGAAAATGAGAATGCAAGAAACTCATTTGATAACTTGCCGCCTGCCAGCGCAACGAGGGGGCTGGAACAGGTTTATTGAATATATAAATGCTCGGCCCCTATGCCGTAGGCTTTTAGGCTTTAAACTCCTCGCCATTGCGGAATCTTACGTTTCACGATACTTGCTCCCAGTAGGTCCTGGTAGGTCCCAGCAGGGAAACGTCGTGATATCTTGGCAAGGCGTAGCCCTCGATTGGGGGGGTTATCTCCCTTAGATGTCAGGGTGCTACCGCGCGCGGGATCGAGAGCATGGGGGCTCCCCTCCCCTTCTACCTAGATAGCAGCTATTTAAAAAAGAGTTAAATGGGTGATCGTCGTGAACTAGTCAGGGGGGGTGCTGTAGCGATCGAGGCGATTACATGGGTGTTGATGAAACAAAGCGGTGGTCTAGCGGTCGGGAATACCCCATATCCTAAGTGCTGGTAGGTGGTTAGGTACAGATAGCTGGAACACTTTGCCTTCCATAATTGGGATACACTTCGTTATTCAAATTAGTGTCGAGAACCTAAGCTTGTAGACGATGATCTATTAACAGTTCGTAGATGGCGTATTCGATATTCATGTACGGGATAAATCAACTCCAACGGCAAGGAGGAGGTTTTTTAATATCCTAGCCACCTCCTCTAGATAATATATATCTAGGTAGGGTAGGCAAGTAAGATGAGTAATGAGTAATTTGGGGGTATCTCTCGGTTGTAATACATGAGAATTATCAGTAATGCCTTGGGGGGTTTGAAAGGTATTGCGGCGCTTACAAGCGGGTAGCCTATAGTTTTATGGCTTATGGCTTGCTCATAAGGCACATTTGTTCGAGTAGTCGCCTTCAAAATCGGAGTAGAGAGCCCTGGTTTTTAAATTTTCGAGGCACGGCGCTTACCATGGGAACACGAGACAGACCACGAAACAGAGAAAGAAGGGCTAGAGGTATACATGAACATATGAGGGAAAACCACGCATACATATTTGTGAAGAACATTATGCGTAATGCTTGCTCAAGTACTTCGGACTTCGTACTTGTTGCCAAGGCAGCGGCTAAAATAACCAACCATTGAAGTTTAAGGAGGCTACTGTAAAGATATGTAAAAAAGATATGTAAATAATAACTGAAGAATTCCAAAGACTTCATCCGGGAGCCACAACAGGTATGAAAATATTTGTGGCCATATCCATATCTGAAGATCGTGAACAGATTAATAGAAACATGGGCTACCCTAGCGAACTGGCAGTCTGCCACATGTTGGAAGATTGATAGCCTCTCGATAAGATGAGGTTCTGCTGGATCTCGTCGCGAACTGGGATGTGGTCGGGGATTTGATTGGTGACGATGCAAAGAATTGAAGAAAAATGAACGATGTGGGGAATAAAACAAGAGAATGGGGAATGAGAAAGTGAGAAAGAAATCGGGGAATTGAATGGTTGGTCGGGTAATTCCAGGATTTCCCAGATTAGCTACATTTGTCGCCCAATGATTTCATGCTTAACCTTTTTAGTGCAAGCTCCCGCCATCCTGTGCTACGCTAGGTACCTTACATATGTACCTAACCTAGTACAATACATGTCTTTCATCCCTGCCTCTTATCAAATTCATACATACATGTACCTATGTAGTATCATTCAACGTTCAATCTTCAACTTCAAACCCCAAAAAAGCCACCAAAAAGAAGACCAACCTTCTTTTCCATAGAATCATACTACATACCTATGTACTATTGCTACATATATGTGAAAAACTGTTATAGGTATTATACCTACTGGCTTGCATGAAACATGGCCTAAAATAAAACAACCGCTCCAAACAATGCCGGCCTATCGTATATCTCGTCATCCATACTACTCTAGTAGACCCAGACCCTACTCGCTCCACCATGCCAACCCTACCTGAGAACTCGTAGACATCAGAGTGTGGCCGTATTAGATATCAAGATGAGGCTAGAAAACATAGAACTGCCTATTTCTTCTGCGCTTCGGCCCCCATATCCTATGTATACTCGGTACTCATTCTGCATGAAGCTCACAAGATACAATACAAGTACCTACATACACGATACCTAGTAGTAAATTATAGATCCTCAGGTATACACACTTCCGATTCTAAGGGTTTACGATTTTACGATTTTACATCTTTTTTAAGCCAATCACTTACGCAACTCCACCTAAGAAACCGCTTCCCTGAGGCAACTATATTGAGTCACATGGGTCACCGCACCAAAGACCTACTGTGCTAATCAATTCACTCAATTCAACTCGACTTGTTCCGTCTCATCCATAATCTAAACCTTTCTCACCTTATTCTTCTACTTCGATCAAGGTAAAGAACGCGGTGAATTATCGATTTTTCCAGTCTTGGCACTTTCGTATAACTAACTCCCGTCTACTTCACCTTGACCATCACTCCCGACCTTCACACAAACACACACCTTACAAACATTACACACTAAAATTCATTCCTTGACAACTACTTTGTTCTCCCCAGTCGACACAGAACAACGTTGCCTTGTCAATCCTTTGTTGATTGTTCAACAACGAGGGGCATTGTTGGTCTACAAGTCTGGACGTCTCGACAAAGGATAGTTCTTATTACTTCTTTACTCAACACAGCCGGACTGCGTTCTTCCACGCGGAGCGTCATACTTATTCGTCCTCCCATACGACTTTCCCACGAATCTGTATTTGTTTTACTCGCCCAAGTTGAAACTGTGCGCTGTTTAACCTTCTTTACTCTTTACATCCCGTACATCCTCGAGAACGTACCACGACTTACAACTATCAACTCTTTCCTTGAAGAGTACTCTTGGACCCTTTTCTCTCCACTACTCAAGCATAGAAGCAGTCTCGGTCATTTGCAAACTTCCCGAGGTCCTCCGCTTCATCCTGGGTTTCTTTTCCCAGAATCTCGCAGGCGAGACGAATACAAGTCAACTTCAGACGCTTTTCTAAACCATTCTCACCATGGCCTACAAAAGTATTCTACACATCATTACCCTTCTTGCGGTCTTGTCCGTAGTCAGCGCCCACTCCTGGCTCGAACAGCTCCGCCGAATTGACTCTACCGGCGCCTTTGTAGGCGATCCAGGCTACCCAGCTGGATGGCCGGGCAGAGCTACATTAGTGGACTACAAGGTCCAGAATAGAATCTTAGATAAGAAACCTAACCCACCCGTGTGCCTCAAGTCCAAGGCCGACTCTTATACTACTACTACTTTTCCACGCCTCACTGCGGCTCCCGGAGACCACGTCGCCTTGATTTACCAGGAGAATGGACACGTCACTCAGCCCAAACTAACTCCACGACCCTACCGGAGTGGACTTGTGAGTGTCTACGGCACTCTCCATCACGAAGACTCCGATGGTATCAACGACGTCCTCAACTCATGGACTGCCGACGGAAAGGGCGGAAATGGCAAAGGCCAGCTTATCGGCACCCACTTCTACGATGACGGTCAGTGCTACCAGAACTTAAACGGTAACTTTACCATCGAAGTATACGCCGAGCGATTCCACGAGCACGGCCTAGACGAATTGTATTGTCAGACAGACATCCAACTTCCCAAGGATCTTCCCACCTCGGGCACCTACACCATCATGTGGGTCTGGGACTGGCCGCTCATTGTATCTGACACTCAGAACACCACCGAGATTTACACCTCGTGTGCCGAGATTCAGCTTCAGCCCCCCCAGGCTAGTAGTGCCGCTCAGGTTAAGTTTTCCCAGGATAATCCTCTTCCTCTGAACGACTCCGGTATCGCGTCACAAGTCGCTATTCAGTTCGAAGCCACTGGTCTAGGTATCGGCACCACCCCCCCTGGAGCCCCAAGTTCCACCGTAGGCCAAGGCCAAGGTCAAGCAAGCACGGCCGTCTCGTCAGAGGCCGTAGCAACCCCTTCGTCAAAATCCACCCCTTCGTCATCGTCATTGGCGAAGCCTGTCCAAAGTGGAATTAAGACAGTGACCGTAACCGCGGATGCCCAGACGACTACCCAGTGGAAGACCGTCACAGTTGGCGGTTCTGGCCGCGCCGAGCGAACCGAGACAATCCCAACGGCCGCGTCTACATCGTCTAGACCTACCTCCGCTAGCTCTGCCGCCAATATCGCCCCTACCGTCAATGTCCCCGTCATCTCCGTCTCCAAGTTCCTCAAGGCGCGTGCAACGGGTCGAGCGACGGGTCGATTCCGCCGAGGCAGCAACGATCAATCCTAACTGCGTCTGGACGCAGGCCTCGTATCCCGAGGAGTCAATGCTACCTTAGCTACTCGATGTGTTTTGGTGGTAGTGGTAGTGGTATCTCGCGTTTCATCATTCTTTCACTTCGACCATACATAACTATTTTTTTTTCTTCTTCGCTTCTTTGTTAATACTTTTTTTTACCAAACACCCCCTTATTTTTTTTCTTTTGTGCCCCCACGGGCCACCACGCACAAAGCATACGAAACGAGATTACGACACGACACATGAGGCCCACGGTTTGCTGGCCAGGGGCGAAAACACGGCAAGGAAAGACAAAAATGGAACGCATTTCTCTCTTTCTCTCTGGTGGGCATAGCATGGCATAGCATGGCGCGGTTAATAAGCATTTGATGGGTTTGAAAGGGAAAAAATCGATCGCGAAATGGAATTGAATGGAGGGTTTTACGTATGGAAAAATCAACGCACGGCATGAGGCGGGGAGAGATAGGCACCTACACGATTGTAAGAAACCTTTTACAATCGTAGACAAGCAACTATATACCTACCTACCTATCTCTCCCTACAACGACGATGATTGATCGATCGATTCATAGGCTAGGCGTTGTTTGATATTATTGTTGCGATTGCTTTTTCTGAGGAGTCTGGACAAACGGAAGGAGTCTGTATGGCTGGAAAACGGAAAGGAAAGGGTTTGCACTGCACGAAATGGGCGAAGCACAAGGCACGAAGATAACTTGATCAATCGATCAAGTTTTTCTCTCCCTCTCTATGCTATGTTATTGTATTCGCATCGGCAAAGAAGAAGTGGTGGTATCGTACGCAAGTACTCTTCCTGTACATGATTACGATGATGAAAGATGGCTGTTAGGTGCAGCTAGTATAAATGAAATGAGACAATTCATCGGTATTACCTAGATTGATTTTTCTATGTGATTCGCCCTCTCTCGTAGACTGCCTCCGTAGGCTGGTTGCTCACGAATACCTGCCTAGTATAGATGGGCAGTATCTAGGCTACCTATACGATGAGTCCTCTGAATTATTGATACCTATGTATCACAGCCCTTCCCACCCCCAATGTCAAGAGAATGAGGTTACATACGGAGGCAGGTACCTGCATAGACAGGCAGATGCGCCTCATATCTCCAACAAGCTGCAACACCACAAGCCCGCATGCATGCAGGTCACCTCTTGGCAAACGCACCTTGCCTTCGATCAGCCGGGTCTGATAGGATCATGCTACATACATAATATAGTTAGGTAGGTACAAGCCAATCAGACTTTTACAGTCATGGATGAGACGAATACCATTAGGGTTACTTCTTTACTAATGTTGTATCTTGTCTACTGAGTACCTACCTACATATGCTACCTCCTTAATACATGTAAGAGCAAGCTGTGCCGGCTTTCATCGAGGTAGATGGCCCCCAACTAATTAATCAGAGTAGGGCCCAGCCTATGCGGTCCACGGCAACAACATTATCGCCGCTCCATTATCTCGGCGGGTTTGAAGGGTATTGCTTTGCTCAATGCTACTACGTACTAGTAGTGCGTGTGGCATGACATGACAAGAATTCCTCCTTGCTACCTACCTACCTAACCTAGTAACGTCATCTTTATTTCCCCTTCTTTTTGCCCAGCGCCAGGGCCGAAGGGGTTCAGAGCTAGAGAATGAGGCAGCTCCTCAGGCAGGCTCCCTTTGTGTCTGTTCTTGGTTCTCGGGGCAGAAGGACTCACTTGGTAGAATATTGGGGTTATGGACTTATATAAATTGTCTCCGTTCTGTGTACCTATATGAATGACATGCTGCGTACTGACAACTTGGAGTGATGATATCCCTACCTACATATAGGACCTTTGCATATTGGCTATAATTGGCTTGACCGTGGTGATTGTTGGTCTGTGTGATTTACGTTTGGGAATAACTACTTACCTACCTAGGTACGTAGATAAATAGGCGCAACACCCTTAGGGAACCGCAGTTCTAGATAGGGCCAATACCTCCTAGGCCTGCCTACCTAGATATAATGCGAAGGACATACCTTTGTGGTGATAGATCCGCCTTAAGCCTCAAACTCTAGTAACTTGAAGATAGAACTACAGCTAAGTATTTAGTAAAGTATATCCTAGTGTAGGAACCTGCTTGGGGCAGACAGTAAGTTGATAGAAATATTGTATTATCCATATGCGCCGTTTAACGCTTAACGCCATTACTCTTAATAAATCAATGGGTATCGCATTCCAAGTCATCGTCCGAGTCATCCAAATCACCGTACAGCACCTCGCAGACGCCAGCAAGGGGTATGTCCATGACCGCATCCGTGCCCTCGTTCCAGATATTTTTCCAGTCAAGCTGATTGGCCTTCTCCTCAGAGATAGGTTTCCCTGACTCGCCCATTCGTATTCTTCCCTTACTGTCAATGGTGGCAACATCGGCTGCCTCGTCCACAATCGTCTCCAGGGAGTTCATGGGGAGGGTCAAGATCTCGGTGTTGTAGGCCGCTAGCGCCACGTAGATGTAGACGATAAGCATCACGAGAAACGAAGGAACGGCTAGAGCCCACCACCGGTTGGGATAGTAGTAGATTCCGAGGGCGTGCAAGAATGGAGACGGTAGATACGCCCACAGGAGGTAGATGAGGAAGGCGAAGGAGGAGAAAAGGTACAGGACAAAGCCATAGTATTCGTAGGTGGGTACCTTGGGCGATGCACGTGGCACCGGCTGAAGATCGTCGTCCGAGGCATCGGGTGTGGTAGGCCGTGAGGGACGGAGCAAGGATGTTAAAGATGGCGAAGGGGGCAGTGGAGTTGGGGGGCGACCGTAGAAGGGAGGAGCAAAGTAGTTTTGCTGTAGCGGGGGTGGAGGTAAGTCATCTTCGCTAGAGGCTGAAGCATCGGATTGGTTGTCTGAGAGGAAGTCTTCCTCGTCAGAAACGAACGTCATGTTTGTTTGTATATATATATGTCTTGAAGTATTCGATGAGTATTTGCTATGTTATTGAGATGGGCTCTATAGAGTATTAAGAGACATCATCCTCCATTACTAGCTACGTAGTTTGCGTCGAGATGGGAAGAGGAGAGTGAAGTTTTATAAATAAAGCGTCGAAGAAGTGAGAAGTGGGAAGTGGGAAGTGGCACGTTTAACCTTGAGCTTCTAGACACGCAGGTACTGCTACTACTAGTAGTACTAGGTTAGGTTACCTAGTTAACTGTTAACTTGAAAGCTTAACATTTACAGGGTTCACAGTGCAGGGTAGGAAACTGTTGTTAATACTGTCAGCCACCGTTAGATTTTTAACCAATCAGATAAGTTAAAACATCAGAGCTCAGCACTGTTGCCAGCCACAGGCGCGATTGTAGGCTGGGGGAAGCTTCGATTCGACGCGATCAACTAAATTTAACAATTCCATCTTCTTTTTTTTTTTTCATTCCCCCTCCTCTCTCTCTTTCGTAAACTCGTCGCAAGCGCAAGTCTAACTCGACCTGTTACTCGGCCATTGGAATTGACTTGCAATATGTCTTCTCAACAACCACTTCCTAATACCCAACAGCCCCTCGATGTCTACGGTGGAGGTCAGTACATCTGCTAATCATCTTCAGCCTCGTCAATTCTAGCTTTCCAATATTAACACATCTCATTAGACGAAGTATCAGCACTCGTTCTCGATGCTGGCTATTGTCACACACGGGCAGGCTTTGCAGGCGAAGATGTTCCCAAATCAGTCCTGCCCTCCTTCTACGGCAGCGTGAAGAGTGGCGATGGCGAGTCTGCCACTTACCGCCATGTTTTCGGAGATGAACACTTAATACCCCGCGCCGGCCTCGAGATCAAGAATTACATGTCGCGCACCGAAAGCGTCGTTGAAGATTGGGACACCGCTACGAAGATCTGGGAGATTGCCCTTATCAAACGTCTACAGCCCCAGAAGCAGACACACCCGACTAAGAACGGTCTGAATGATCCCATTCCTGATGGCGAAGGCGACGTTGCTATGGATGATATTGAGGAGCAGGAAAAGGCGCTAGCTGAGAACCCATTGCTGATGACGGAAGCACCGTGGAACTCCGGCAAGGCGAGAGAGAAGGTCATCGAGATTGCTATGGAGAATTGGGGGTGCCCTGCTTTCTGGCTATCGAGAACGCCAGTTTGCGCCGCATTTGCAGCCGGCAAGGCATCAGCACTAGTGGTTGATGTAGGTGGTGCGAACACGAGCGTCACCGCCATCCACGACGGCATGATCTTGAAGCGCTCTATCCAGAAGTCGCCCATCGGTGGAATATGGCTATCGCAACAAATCCGATCCATGTGGGAGAACAGTGATCCCAAGATTGATATTATACCATCTTACATGCTCGAGAATAAGGTTCCGGTCGATGCAGGTGCGCCCGCGCAGGCGAAACTTCGCCACTTCCCCTACGAGATTAGTTCCTCCTATCGCGCCTACGAAGAGGATCGCCTCTTGACCGAGTTCAAGGAATCCGTTGTGGAAGTCTGGCGAGGTCCCGGCCGGTATGCGAACCCAGGCAACGAGGACGTCGTTAGGTCGCAGCCCGGTCGTGTTTTCGAGATGCCCAACGGCTATAACCAGATGTGGCGAGAACAACGGTTCAAGGTTTCCGAAGGCTTGTGGGACGAGACAGCCGCATTGGCGGCACCAGAAGGCAACACCAAAGTACAGACGATCCCGGAACTGATCAAAGCTGCCGTCAACGCGGTGGACGTAGATCTACGACCTAACCTCCTCGGAAACATCGTCGTAACGGGAGGTACCAGCTTACTAAATGGATTCAACGACCGACTTAACAACGAGCTAGTGGCCATATACCCTGGTATGAAGATTAAGTTGCATGCTGCTGGTCTCACGACTGAGCGACGTTTCGGTGCTTGGATCGGAGGAAGCATTCTAGCAAGTTTGGGTACATTCCACCAGATGTGGATTTCACGAAAGGAGTACGAGGAGAATGGTGCTGGAATCGTTGAGAAGCGATGCAAGTAGTAGTGTTGCACCGATATCCGCATTACTTCCAGCGCGCTGGGGAATTCAGTACAATCAAGGCAGCTTTTTTTTAGGTCTCTACCCTGGGCGTTCCGGAGTTGGAGTGATATAGCCACGTAGGCCGGTAGGCAAGAAAAGCAGGCACGCTTGGCCTCGTTGTTCTTTCGAGGGACAGAAAAAGAAGAAGAGTCCTCAAGGCTAGACAAATAGTAGCCAGTCATGACAGAAAAAAATCACCAAAAAGATTCAAATACTCGGTAGACAGATAGACACGTCGATTATGAATTCTATTTGATCTGCTATTCCAGAAGCCCCGGTTTCGTCTTCTTTCTTCTCATGGTTTCCAAGTAATATTGCTAACTCTGAAGTTCTACCTGTTCATATAAAGAAATCCCCCTTGGACCCAATTCGTATAGGTACCTACCTAATACCTAACCTTTAAGAACTATTATCATCATCACCAGCCATTCCACCGCGGCCACACATCCACGATCTCGTCCTCACGCCCCGTATTCCTGCTATCCACCACAAGATACCAGCCGTGTCCCGCGCCCGTGATACACGAATGGTTCGGCCAGATGCGCACGCGCTGCCCAACACGCACCGGCACTTCATCATCAGCCCCCCCTACCCACCGCAGCACCCCGTGCTCCTGACTAATCTTCGCGACCTCCCACCCCCCATGCTCGCGCGGGAACCCCTCCCCCGGCACCGGTACCTTCTCCGCCGCCAGCTCCCCCCACGGCATCACGATCCCCCACCCCCGATACTGCTCCCCGCCCACCATCTCCTGGCACGGCTCCCGCCCCAAAGCGAGCGACCCCGCGTTCACGAGCGCCTCGGTTTCACCGCTGGGCCCGCGCAGAGGGTACACGGAGGCGATGTCGGCGAGCACGGAAAGCGCGATCAGCCCGCTGTGCAGGTACGGCGCGGACCGCGCGTGCGCGGCGAGTTGTTGGAGGTCGAGGGTTGGGTATACGCCGGCGTGGACTTCGGGGGTGAGGTTTTGGGTGGAAAGGGTGTGGAGGAGGGATTTGAGGTGCGTGGTTTGGGCGGCGGCGTTGGTGTTGGGGTTGGGGTTGGGGGTCGGCTCGGAGTGGGATGGAGCTGAGGAGGACGGGTCGAGGTCCGGGTGCTGGATGGTAGTGGCGGTGGGTGTTGCGCCGACGGAGAGGACGAGGGGGCGGTGCGTGGTGTGAGAGGGGTTCTGAACGTGAGCCTTCTTCTGTTCGCGCTGCACCTCCTCCGCCACCTCCTTCAGCCCCTCGAACTCGGCACCCAGGATCCCCATCGCCTCCCAGTCCTCGCGCGTCGCGTACGAGTGCCCCGCGTGGCTGTACACGCCTAGCAGCTCGCTTGCCCCCGCGGCCTCGGAGGCGAGGAGCGCGGTGATCAAAGAGGTGCAGGTCGAAGTTCCGGGGACCACGCCCGCGCGGTCGCTGCCGACGTTCACCTTGAGGAAGACGAGGGGCGCGATGCCCCCCGACTCGGTGGTCAGGGTGTCGAGGTACGCGACCTGGTCCACGTGGTCGACCATCACGGTTACGGCGCGCGGGCCCAGCTGCTTGGATATGGCGGCGAGGCGGGGGGTGCTGGAGGGGTAGAGCGGGAAGGAGTAGAGGACCTGTGATTGGTGAGACTTTAAAGTAAGGGGGTGGAGGGGGAAGGGGGGAGGGGGTGTTGGCTGACGTTTATCTGTCGCCCTTTGTCCCGGTATTCTTGAAGCAGAGGGACAACACGCTCGGCCTCGAGGATCGTGGATACGATGAGGTTCACTGGAGACGAGCTGGCGTCCCCTACTTGGAGTCGGGTAAGCTCCTCGGTCTGTGATGTGTGTGTGAATTCGTCCCAAGGTCAGTAAATATTCTTTATACACCAGGCTAGGTAGAGAGTCCCCGGGATGGAATCGTGCTTACCTTATGCGTCTTGATGTGTGCCCGCCAACTGAGCTGCAGCCGCTGCGCCGCTTCAAGCATCAGGTTACAGTTCACCTCGACCTTGGCGAGGTCAAGGACCGCGGCCGGCGTGATGACCTCGTGAAGAGTCTTCCCCACGAACTCGGCGCGGAGAAGGTCCTTGGATAATGGAACCGCCATTGTTAGAGCTATAACCGTTCTCTTGGCTTTCTAATGGTACTAGGCTATCTAGATAAGCAATTTAAGAGACCAGACAGTAGAAGATCCTCCATAAAACCCTTGATAAGGCTGTGGGGGGTAGGCAGGTGAGCGGGCAGGTGAGTAGATATAGCTTCTGTGACCGTGGTCGGACTTACCTATGTTAGGTTTTACTTATAACATAACATATTCGAGCGCCCTATGCTTCCTCCTCCCCCTCATAACTAGGGAAGACGCCGCGGCCGCGCACGGGAGCTAACGAATCCACTAGCCGGTATACTAAGTCGAGCTAGTGTGAGTTGGGCTGTCATGCACCACCCGAGCAACGACCTGCAGCGCAAGCGTGGATCACGATGTAACGGCGTCCTACATTGCATGAAGGGGACCTCGCAGTGACGGCTGCGTCATCCTGTGCAGACTGTTCGGTGATGCTTTTTTTACTCCCTTTTTTGGCATTGTCTTTATATATTCGAGGGCTTCGGGGAGGCAAGCTTCCGGTGGAATATTTCTGTGTTACGTGATGATAGGGGTATAGGTAAACTCCGAGTTTTTTTTGTTAGTTTTTTTTTTTTTTGCTTTTCCTTTTCATGATCCACCTACCTCACCATAAACTAGATAAGAAGAAATTGTGTATTCTATTGTATTGCATTGTGTGTATATTACGCTTACGCAACAATGACGATGTTTACCTAAACGAGAAAAAAATATATACAGTGCCATCCTCGCGTTCCACCCGTTCGGGACGAGGCATGCAGATGCGGTAGTTGGGAATACCTCACTCACACCGGTCCCACCCTTCAAATAGCTTGCGGTTGTTGTTGCGTAGTGAGGCATGCCGATCTTGGCATATACTTATTTCAGTAGAGACTAATGTTAATACGCACACATGTGTTGAAAGTTGGCTTGATAGGTTCGGCTTCAATAGTTCGTAGACCCAGATGGTCACCTTGTCGTGTTGCTTATAACACGGAACACAACACCTACTTAAATGGATAGGGAGGCTTAAAACCCCAAGAAGTCACAAGTCTATTCAGAATCATATTCATCATAGTTCTTCAAGGGATTAGCTGATTTGAGGAAGTCCTAGATATTCTATGAGTGAGTTTGGTAGCCTACCTCCATACTTGGTTGGAAGGATAGGAGAAGGCAAAGAAATGTTGGTTTGGATATTGAGACTCAGACCATTCGATCTACTGGTACGATTCTTCTCGAACATCCGATGTAGCAATGGAATTATATCTATACCTATTCTCTTGGTCCTCTCACATACGTGGACGCCAGTGATTTGGTACCATGGATTTCCCCCTTAATTCTCCTCACATGACCCGGTAAGGCACAGCAGAGTATGCAGAATTTGGCCGTGTGAGACTGGCGGGGGACACAGAATATGTGGTTGTCGTCACATTTTCTTAGTTAGATGGCAATGGATTTCTACGGCAGTAAGATGTTGGACGGCACTAGGTATAGCGATCCGACTGGCTACTCCGAGATTGACATGTAGGTAATAAGAGTTTTATTCCTGGGCACTCTCCATGGATACGACGACAATGCTGTAGGGCTTTTAGCCCTATTATGGTCGTCACCATGAAGAGAGAATGCTTGACTATCGAGGGCTATATTCAAATTCGCTAAGGAAGGGGGAAATGGTACTCTATATGTGCCTAGGTAAGTAGTAGCTGAGGGGAATACATTGAAGATAATTTGGTAATTCTTTAAGGCGATTCATGTTGTCTATAAGTCAGTCTGCGTTGAATGTTACCTACCTAACCTTGGGTATTTACTTAGGGAAATAAATACCTATAACTTGTGGCTATGTAAGAGTTTTTCATTATACATGTAGCCTTGATTCTGATAGAATGATATAATAATCTAACCTGCTTAGAGTGTCTTCTCTTCAGGTCATCACCACAGTAATATCCCGCAACTGGTGTTTGTGGTTGTTGATTCAAGTTAAATGTTTAGGTACTTAGGTACTTAGCCGAACGGTAGATACATGCAATTTACATATGTAGTACTGTGTAACAGACCTGCTGATTCAGCAAAGATCTAACGCTAACCATAACTTATTAGTAGAAGTTATTAGTTATTGTCATTTCTCGAAAATATGAACTTCTAATAAACCCATATTTCATTACGCTTTACCCGATTAAGGTAAATATGCATTTTCGCATTTGAAAAGTACCTCAATTAGGTAAAGCGTACTTGAATAATCTATTGTAGAGTACTGTACTACTGTGTACTGTACATTAGGTATGTACTGTAGTTTTGACACCTGAGGTACACCGTACTTGGGAAGCGGGGAGCCCCATTAACTGCTTCCTACAACGCCCCCATAATCTCCCACTGTCCTACTACCTAATTAGGCCCCGATCGGAATCTTTCTTAGGCTGTGAACGGAATGCGTCTTATTTTAAGGGCTCTTCTTAAAAAGATACATTGGCCCCACACATAAAATCTTATGAATCCAAATGTATCTTCTTTATCCCTTGCAATCAATCTAAACTAAATACGGCTAGCCTAGCCAACAGCTGACGGCAGCTGGAGAGGCCTGTCACAGCTGCAATAATTTAAATAAAATAGAAAAAAATAAAATAACAGCTGTAATTATTAAAAGGCACTTGTAATAATTGAATGGCAACTGTATTAATATTTGAAAATAGCTAGTTGCGTAGTTGGCTTGCCAGCTGTAATGGCTTGTTTGCCAGTTGCGTAGGGCTTTGAAAGGGCTGTCAGGGCTTGTGCGACGCTGTAAGAGGCTTTTCTGTAAGCAAGACAGGTTGAAATCAACCTGTTTTGCTTACAGGAAAATAAGAGCTCTTTTGTGGGGCGCTAAACCCCTTATAGTTTAGCTTTGGACCCGATTTAAACAGTACATTGCATAAAATAAGAGATAGGTCTTACAGCGTAGTACAAGCTAATGACAGGGGTCTTAGAGATTTGTGCAAAAAAAAAAGGTGCTCTTTTGGGTTAAGTGCTTTTTTTAGCGTGTTTTTGAATATTTTGTGCAAGGGATCCACAAGCTGTAAGGACCCCTTCTTAAAATAAGACGCATTCCGTTCAGGGCCTTAAACTGCCTCTTAGAAAGTGGAGAGGTACATTCAAATGCATAAAGAATATATGGGTCCAGAATGTATCTTTTCATCCCCTGCGATTCTCTTTCAGAATTGAACCTTTGGAGTCAAAATTCAACCTCTAAGGTCACCGACCGTAATATTCAAACTTAAATAATCCAAATAAATTCAAATAAAATTCAACTTAATAGCCACCTTTGAAGAAAAATATTCATTAAAACGCTATAAAATTGACTAATAATTGGTTATTTTTTAGGAATTTTGTCAATTTAAGTGGATTTTATTTATTTAAAAAAGTGTTTATTCTTAAAAATGAAATGCATATTTGACCCACTTTGTAAGGTCGAGTTTAACGTAAGACCCTACCTTTTAACCGCCTCTTAAAAAAGGCCTTATTTTTGAGAAAAATGGAGACGCTTTACTTGTTGTAGTTTAGTTTTTGACCTAATTTAAAAGATACTTGCCAAGAGGCTCTTAAAATCGTTACAGGGATCTTACAGAATTTGTGCAAATAGCTTCCTAGCTGTTTTAAGTAAGGTGTTGTTTTTATGTTGTGGCTGATGACTTTTATGACCAAAAACCCACTTTATAGTAGGGATATTTAAGTAAGAGGCAGTTTAAGAAGGATTCCGATCGGGGCCTTAGTTTCCTTCCACAAACATCATTCACCATCACTTCAACGTTGAAGTTAATCCCACCGTTGACATTTCGTTTTACGCCACAACTGACCAGCACTCAGCACTGAGCCTTGAGGTTAATCAACCTACTACAACCACCTTTCAAAGCACAGACCATACATCAATCAGTCCCCACCAATCTTTCTCCTTCCAAGTTCCGAGATCTTCAAATCTTTAAAGTCCCCTCTCCATTTCCAACTCCATTCAATCCTTACATAGTACTTATTTAGGTACAGTACCCAAACACATTACTTTACCCAAACATCACCTTCTCTTGATCGCCATCATAAATCTCAAAATTACCATCTCTCACTTCTCATTTCTCATTCCTGAGATCAATCGTGTGATGCTTATAGCAAAAGACTTTCATTCAGTGAACCGACACATTCTCGATTATCTTGACTAGATACACACCCCGGAGTGGACAAAAAGATTGAGCCACTGTTCAGTTGGTAGCCTGGTATTTTACTAGGCATCTTTAGTACTAACCTCAAGTACCTACTCTTACCCACTGGCCTGGCAGCATCGCACGTGCCCCCGACTTGAGAACATCAGCCGAACCTGGGATTGAACCTTCCATGTTCTACATACAGTACATACAGTACATACATCAGAGTTAAAGTATCTACGTACCTCTTTAACGCGATTTCTCAATCCCGACATCTGGAATCGCCACGATTGTCAACTTTTACGACTCACCTCATTTGCCTGCTTTTCCTTTTCCCAACACCTTCTTTTAAATTGACTTTACCTACGCTCCAGACGTACCGAGCACCTCGCGACTTTCTTACCGTGCCTTCGAATGACATATCCCTGATCGCGTTTCCTCTTCGTGTTAAATGAAACGCAATTACCTATCATGAAATAATCGATTCCTATTTTTAAGCTCGCGACTATCTATCGTTGACGCTGACAAGTGATTTCCGACGCGCCAAGATCGCGCGCACCCTATCCCACGATGGATCTCTTTAGCGATGACGATGCACCGCCGCCGAGCCCGGTGCGTGATGACGGTATTGCCATTAAGGAAGAAGAAGCCGATCACGACCCGTTCTATGGAAGCGCCTTTGAAGACATCGACTGGGAAGCCCAGGAGAGACAAGATGAAGAAAACATCAACCAAATGTTCAGTGGTGAAGGGTCTAGAATGCCCGAAGGTGCTGACGTATTTGCCGAGAAGGAAATAGATCAGACATACAAGGCAGATGATGCCATTGACTTTGAAGACATTAGTGATCTAGCCTCTGAGGACGAGGATGTCGGTGCCGCCGGCGTGGACATCTCCCAGGTCCCAGGTCTTACCGAAGATGAAGGCACTAGTCATGATACCGAATATATGGATGATCTGTTTGGGGATAGACCGGGGGACAATGACGATTTCTCTTCCCCCCCTCCAGCGGGCGATATCACCAAAGAGAAGCCGGCCACCACGCCTACCCCAGGTGCAGCTGCAGCCGTCATAGACGACGATGTTACTGAAGAAGCTTGGAAGAACATGTCATTTGAAGAAAGGCAAAAACTAAACTTCCCTCTATACAGCTCGTCTATTGACAAATGGATGAATCAAATGAACAACGAAGACGCTTCAACCAAGAAGACCCCGGAAGATATGCAGGAGCTCGTGAACCAAAGGTTCCCAGGCTTTCAAAAGTACGAAAGACTTTTCTTCAACCACCTGTTCCCGGAATGGCCCGCCGAATACATTTATAAGCAACCTCTCAATAAGGATAGAGATCCACCCGAGTTTGTTCCAACCAAACTCGAACTCGAACTCGAAGCGGATTCTGCCAAGTTGTTCAGGATCCCAGAAAATGTCCTAGCTGCCCAGAGATTCAGCAATGGTGATGAAGAAGATTGGGGCGATGAGACGGATAGCTGTTCAGCATCCTCGGAATCAGAAGAGTCGACTATTGGAGGCTTCAATCTCGACGAGATCACTACCATCTGCTACGACTGGGATGCGGCCCTAACGCCACCCGAGAGCGAGAACGAGGAAGCGAACGAGGATGCAAACGCGAAGGTAAATGGCGTTGTCGCCAATGCAGACGAAGAGGCCGCCAATGTAGACGAAGAAATGGACGAATGGGACAAGGAGTTCTTAGTACCGCAAGCCCAGGCCAAACCTCCACCACGGAATTTCAAGCCCGGACTTCCGATGCTCCAGTCACTTGATACCCGTGGCGTTGACAACTTCGAGCGTGAAATTCGGCGAACTAGCAAACGCATCAGACTTGACTACGATGATCCATACCTTTTGCTTATTAGAGACAATGATTGGGAGCGGCCGGCCAAGCGTCCCAAGATCGAAGAGAGAACTAAACGGATGGCCAATGGCCAGCTAGGAAAGGATGTATTGCAGCACTACAATCTCTCCAATGATACCGAGTACGAAGGGCTCAAAGTAAACAGCAAGAGCAAAGTCCGGGCTACACTATCCAACCTTTCCGTTGAGCATAGTTTGCCAGCTCTCAAGTTGACTTTCCCCTTCTACCGAGTCAAGGCTAGCGGCAAGCCTTGGGAACATAACCGCAAGAAATTCGAGATCGAGAAGGTTGTGAAGCACGCCATTGGTGTGCGTAAGCCCTCGAAGGTCAGACGTAAAGACACGAAGGGGAAAACCAACCAAGAAATCTTCAGAACGACCAAGGATCTCAGCTTGAATGATAATTCAACCACAGTCCTCTTCGAATACTGCGAGGAATTCCCAGTTATGATGTCAAAATTCGGCATGGGTAGTCGCGTGATTAACTATTATCGTCGCAAGGATCGAAATGACGAGGATAAGATCCCGAAACTCGACCTCGGCGAAGGTCATCCGCTACTACCCGAGGACAGGTCTCCGTTTTCAATATTCGGAACCGTTGATCCTGGCGAGACTGTTCCTACGCTACACAACGAGATGTACCGAGCCCCGATTTTCAAGCATGAGTCTCGCCCGAATGACTTCATTCTTGGCTACTCTACAAATGCTACGGAGGGGCCCAAGTTCTACCTTCGGAACATCGATCACGTATATACAGTTGGCCAGACCTTCCCTTCCTTGGAAGTTCCAGGTCCTCACGCCAGGAAGGTCACGAATACGGTCAAAAACCGACTCAAAATGGTCGCGTATCGTATAATGAAGAAGAAAGAAACGCAAGATGTCAGTCTAGCCGAGATCACGCCTCATGTATTTGAGAAAGCCGATCCCCAAAACCGACAGAAGATGAAGGAATTTCTTCAATATGACAGGGAACGAAAAACATGGGTACTGCCTGAAGATCAGACGTTGATGGATGCGACGGCCATTCGATCTATGATAAAACCAGAAGACGCTTGCTTGCTCGAAGCTATGCAAGTCGGTCAGCAACTCTTAGCAAATGCCGGCTACGATCCTAAGGATAACAAGGAGGAGGGCGATGAAGGAGTGGAAGAACCATTGGTCGCTAAGATGGCCCCATGGGAACTTACCAAGAACTTCATCGACGCTAGCGCGGGCAAGGCTATGGTGGCTCTCCATGGCGAAGGCGATCCCACTGGTCACGGACTAGGGTTCAGTTTCATCAAGACGTCTATGAAGGGCGGGTACATTAACGCTGTCCAAGGCCCTCTGGCGACGTCAGCAGATGCAATTGAGCGTGAACGTAAGGCAAACGGCGGTCATTCGTACAATGTCAAGAAGCAACAAGATATGTACAATGCGGCCATTCGTCAGATCTGGGAACGACAGAAGACCACGCTTAGCGATCCTACTACACATGATGACGCGGATGTCCTAGACACTGCTAATGAAGATGACCGGTTTGAAATGAGACAGGCCGAAGCAACGCCCATACCCTTAGACGACGGGCGTAGTCAGTTCAGTCGCACAAGTGCGGCGAGTCGTGCGGGCAAGAGATTGAAAATTACACGCAAGAAGCGGGACGAAAATGGAGAGATAATCACAGAGACGATCTACGTGAGCGATCCAATAGTTGCGCGGAACTACGTCCGACTGCGGAAAGAAGCTGCAGAGAAAAACAGAGAGTTAGTTCTTAAAGCCATGCAAAATAGAAACTCGGCTAACGTGGACATCTCCAGTGTGTACAGTTTGCAGCCGACAGCCGATGCCACCGATAATCGCGAAAAACAGAGACTGTCAGTTTTAACAAGGATCGCACCAGGGGTTGAGCTAACAGACTATGATAGTGTGGACAAGGAGCTTTCCCGCTTACTCAAGAATCAAGATCGACGCCAGGTTCGCGAGAAGGCAGGCAAGGGCAAGAAGAGGAAGGTCGAAGCCAACCGTGACGCAACTCCAGACCCGGCCTCCGTCGATAAAGTATCCACGGGTACGACTAGGAAGTGTGCCAATTGTGGCCAAGTTGGACACATCAAGACTAACAAGAGGTGCGTACTACATAGATACACATTTCCCCTGGAGTAGTGCTATTGCTAACACTTTTCGCTTTAGCAAATGCCCTATGTTGAATGGAACGATTGCAAGCAACGGCGCCGACGCCGATCTTGGAGGATTTGGCTCTTTTGGAGCACCGTCCGCTGGGCCGTCTTCGGCCAACGAGTAAACATGGAAGAACAGTTTGTCTGTCAGTATGTGATGATGACAGCTTTACACAACGGCATGCCCTATTACCCTAAAGATAGGTTGATCATACGGGGTTTTGCGTTATTTCCTATAACATCACCAGGGTGGTAATTTTGCGATGATTGGCCGGTAGCATGGTCGGTTTAGGAAGCATTGGTATGGCGTTTAGGACCAGGCATAGGTTCAGCAGTGTATGGTTATACACATGCGAACAATTCGAAGGGACAAAAATCCAATTACTTGTCGATGAATGGAAGGAAGTGAAGAGGCGTAGTGTGTCAATCAGATTCCGAGATACTCAGATGCATGCATGCATGCAAGTCGTTCCCGCTTTTCACCCTCCGAGTCCAGATGTGGACCGAAATGATATTGCTACTATTGATACCATGATGGAAGATTCTCATGGAGCAGGTACTTCGTTATGTACCATACTACCTACCTGCCTGCTGGGGTGAGTAATGGAAAAGGGGCAACCCTGACGATATTCCTTCTAGAAGGCTTCTCCTGCAGGGGAACCATGTGCTTGTGTATATGTGTGTGTGTGTGTGTGTATGCCGGCATGTGGGCTGGGCTATACATAGTAGCAAAAGGGGGAGGGGAGGAGGCACGATCGCAATCGCGAAGCCGCGGGGCCCTTGGCTACCTATTGGGGTTTGAACTACATACCTAACCTATAGGTGTACGTACTTACTACTAAGTAGGCAATGACATGCATCTCGTCTATATTTTATCTACATACTACCTCTTCGTGCTACGTAGTTTTTGCGAGTGGAGTAAACTCCTTTAACCTTGGTGGTTATTGATGATGATGGTGGTGGTGTTCTTTGTTAGGTAAGCTACTTTGTTACTTTCTAACCCCTTGCCTTGCCGTGGCTTTTGACTTGGCTTTGGGGTTGTCTTGTCTTAGAGGATACGTCGTTTTGGGTTCAAAATGGCGAGCCTATACCTATTACGACATAGCTGGTGATGTGGGATACGGATGAGGCGATACAATCATTATAATGGCGGTGGATGTATGTATGTATGTATGTATGTATGTATGTGGTTGTGGGTATATGCTAGAGTAGTAGCAGGGGGGGAGAAGATGAAGAGAAGACAGACCGAGGGACAAGAAGCAGAACAGAACGAACAAATGGAAGATTTTTTTTTAAAAAGGTATTGAGAAAAGTCGGGTGGTGGTAATCAAATGTGACGGTAATATGCACGTGGTAAGTCGATATTGCAACCTAGTCTGCATGATTTAGTTTGCCCTTTTTCGTTTTGGCGTGGCCTACGAATCAGAAAATAGGAAACCAGGAAAATAGAGGGGAGGAATGGTCTTTTCTTTCGAATAAGGCGGCCAGAATAATATTCGCTTATATTGTGGTGTGATGTGTTGTTGTTGTTACTGGTGCTGGGCGGACGTGGGTGAGTAGGTATGCTTACTATCTATCTAACTAGCCTAGGCATAAGAGCAAAAGGACGATGCCTACCTAAATACCAAGACATATAGTTACGGGGAGAGAAACTGTAGCATACCTCGGTAGGTAGGTAGGTAGGTAGGTAGGCAAGTAAGTAGGTATCATCGGCGGGAAATAAGTGACTTGCATGGAGAGGAATTGACAGCATAGTTTGGGGGCTGTCGCGGCGGCTAACGGTGGTGGTGGTAAAGGAGGCTGTGCATATATTTACGATTCGGCACCGGGCTTCCGGGCCCGATCGTTCGTAGGTAAAGTCTCCAAGGCTTTTCCATAAATGGTTTTATATTCTAAGAATGCATTCCTTTTCTGCTCTTCGCTTTTGGGAATATACACCTACAATGGGCTATACACTACGCATGTAAGCACCGATAGCACCGAGGTTAGACATGTAGGTGCTGCTTATTTTCAAATCCTACTTACCTAGGTATATAAGTAAAGATAGAGTTTATACTGGCAGCTTTATGTATACAAGTAGTACCTAGTTAGGTAGGCTGATGAATGATGCGTCCGGCGCTTCGATCCGATCCGTAGGACCCGTTGTATGTTTTTGGTTTTCAGGCTGTAGGTGTCCAGGTAGCTGGTAGGTTAAACTTAGCAGGTGCGCGGGTAGGCGAGGCAGCAGCAAAGTTATCTGAGAAAGCTAAAGTTGGATATTTTTCGGTGTCGATGCCGAAAGATTCTGGGATAGTTTGCCTGCATTCTGGGGCGGTGGTGGCCCCTGATAGTTCCAGAGGTGGGCGAATGGGAGCCGGAGGGGGCTTGCACATACATCATCAATATAATATCAACCTACCTACCTACATAATATGGAAGAAATATTTGACGTCTATTTGCCTGCCTGCCTACTTACATACCTGCCCGCCTACGAACAGTTCTCCCCCCCACGTAAAATATGCGAGGCAGTCTGACCATCGGCGCTGAACTGACAGGATACAGGCACCATCGCCTCTTGACAGGTGTAATCACCGCATGGCTTGGGGAATAAAGAAAAGGGGAAAACTAATCGGGCCTACAACAATGAGGAATAACTATTATGGAGGATGGAAAGAGAAGTAAAAAAGATAAAGAAAAAAAATGATAAAGGGGGACGATTAAGGATTCAACAACTACTGCAGGAGAAACTATTCCTTCAGGGCACGCCGTATTACGTGCGGCTCGCGTGGGCGTCGAAAGTGCCAAGCATGGGGTTGTTCTTTTTTTTCTATCATACCATTCCATTCTAGTTGAACAATTCTTCCCCTGCTCGTTCCTGGTCGTCGTTGTCGCCGTAGGGCAGGTATGTACTGTAAATCATCATCATCGTCATCATTATCATCGTCATCTGCAAGAACTTCTAGCGTCCTTCTGGAAAAGGCCCTCAACCCCTGGCCCCTGGTCTATGGGCCGCTGGCTTACATATTCTAGTGTACATAGGTTTTCAAACCAGGAAGGGAGAGAATGGATGGAAGAATGATCATGCAAATATTGTGATTTTCTGCAGACACGTGGAGTTTTACTACGGTAACTAAGGTGTAGTAGGTCTAGCCTCCAGGTTCTTATGTGATGTCCTGTATGTAATATGTATGTAGGTTGTGTGGTATGTACCAGGTATTTGTATCCACCTCTATGCAATAGTCTTGATAAGCGGCCACCGACTCTTCATTCGACCGCCAAGGGCGAATATCTAACACGATTTCTCGGCTCTCCGAGCTGATCATGTCCTCCTTTGGGATGACTTTTTCTACTTTCGGACTTGGGTCGAACTTTTGACTTAGATATTGTACCATAGGTACCTACACTACATCAACGCACATACATTAGGGACCTATATATCAATATACTACGTCTCTAATGCCATACTACATCCCTAATGTACGTCGAAGGCGTTATTTGAGATAAACAAACAGAAAGTGCAAAAAATCGTACAAACATAATAGAGTGGGATTTCTCTTTTGACGCTCTTAAGGCCGGGATGTGACCTAAAAGGGGAACTGGGTAAATTATGTCTGCTCGGCCATTAATTCGGGCAAATTAATCAAGTGTTGGGGTAAGTAGGGTAAATTAGCTCACATGAAAGGGGGCCGAGTCGAGGGCTAATTGGCCAGAAAGGGCAGCAAGGTGCAGTAAGGTGAAGGGTACGTAAGGTGGGAACTGCATGGCGCTTCTATAAATAGTTCTATTTTTAGCGTTTCGGCTGTTGGAGGCATGGATCATGGATCGTTGAGCATGGGGGAGGGGAGGGGGGAGAGTTCAAGTTACACACAACACACACCTATGAACCCTACGATGTAGGGGAGTTTTATTCCGGGGGGGCCATGCCAGAACGGCACACTGCACTAGACACACAACATCATCTTGCCCAGCCATGTCATATTGCTTGCAGCTCGAGAAAAAAAAAACAAAAAAAACAGAGACAGACGAATGATCTCTTCCGTAACAAGAGCCCTCCCACGTTCCTAGCCCCGGCGCTTAAAGATCAACGATGGTAGATCGTCGGCTCCGATGGAGAATAGGAAAAATAAAAAAGGGGACACATACAAAAAAAAATAGTTATACCACAAAAGAAAAAGCTGCGCCGCCAAGCAACATGAATCCTACTGTTTGTTCCTCAACTCTTTTTTATCCGACTTTGTCTATGTATCCCCATTCTCCCTGATTAGTGGTCTTCTTTGTGTGACCGAAGTGAGATTTTCCCAGCCATCAAGCTGTGCACCCACCACATCTATGTATGCAAGCTACCTATGCAGCTATAGCTATGCAGGTTTGACTTGGGGGAGTCTCGGCACCGACTTGACTTGACGTCAATGTCGCGCTTAGTTAGATCCAACTAGTTATCCGGGGCTGTGAATTCGATGATCAAGTTAGAAATGTAAGAGTTGGGTAACAATTGAAGATGTACGTTTGCTTATTCTTGTTCATTATCACATATCGTAGCCTTTGACAAAGGTAAATAGGAAAAACATAGCTGTACTGTACCGTAGATACTATGTTACCTAGTAGTATACCTACTTACCATCTAGGTAGTAGTAGAAAAAAAGCAACATCTCGGGCCGTGAGATGTTAGGTAGTATTGGAAAGGGCGGAAATTGCTTTACATAGTAGATACGGAAATATGTACCTGGACACATGTAGGATTCAGGAACCGTAAAGTATCGAAATGAGGAAACAGGTACATAGGTCATGGGGGGAGGGAGACCGTTCTGGGCTTGTTTTCCCCGGATCCGGCGCTGGTAGATCTCCACAAGGGTCCTTCACCCTATACATATTATCCATATGAAAAACGCTATACAAGAAACCAGCCGAAGCGCAACGGCGCAACGGCCAATATACATACATCATACCATATACACTATACCACATACTATAGTCAAACCTCTTTACGAGGTTGATGAGCGGCAAAATTCAAAGAGTGGTGGTAGGTAGTTAGGTACTAGCTAGAGATAAAGTTGGAGTGACAATACATAGGTCCCTAGGTTAGATACATACCTAATGGCACATGGCATGGCGGTGCTGCTGTACGACTCTTGAAGGTTGGAACAAAAAGCTGAGGAATCCGGCTGTCCGTTTACACTGTACTGCACCGGTAGCACAAGATTCAAACGTAGCACCAAGCCCGCCAAAGCACGATTATCTAAGGGTCCTCGAGATACTACAACCAACATACATAACATACTATATACGGTTTAACTACCATACGAGGACTATCAGTACTAAGTGGACTGACTAACATTACGAACTGGGTACCCGGTAGAGGAAGGATGAGAATAGTGAAGTTGACCCATTTGGGGGCTGTTTCATCGCTTAGCTGCGAACCTCCCAAGGATCCCAAAGATATGAGATCTCTGGATGGATTCTCGATGCTATAGCGTACCTAGATGGGAAGTGGGTTAATTAGGGTCTGTCTATCTCTTGGCTGCTGGATACATAGCTGTATGGTACTAGCATGTATGTGCCGTCGGGTTTGTATGTATTATTAGTAAAGCTATATGGATGTAAGTGCTGGTGCTTGTTGACGCGATCGGAACATCAGAAAGCGAGCCCTGGAGCAGTGTATGGTGTACGATATCTACACAGTGCTTTTGTTTTTTTGGTGTCTTGTCTAAGCCACGCGGCTCCCATACCGTCCCGTGCTTAGGCAGGTACCGCATACATACTATCATATGTAACTTAGTGTAGTGTATGTAGGCATAGGTTCAATACATATCACCTAACCTACATTACATTATGTATGATACCAAGCACAGGCACATACTATTAAGGTAAACCGTTAGTTGAGCCCCTCCGCCTTTTTACCCATTGAGCCAGAGACCCCTGTGAGACTGTTCGGTCGGTCGGTCGCGCTACACTCACTTCCTACATACATACCTAGGTACCTAGGGTCATATATACCTAGGGTATGGATCAGTACTACTACGTATGTAGGTATTAACCTTCAATGTTTCTACGTACTTAGGTAATGTTACATAGTCTTTACACGCTAGAGCCCCAGGGCTACATTACTGCTGTGGACTTATGCTTAGGAAGTTATTTGCTCCTTACATCAATGATATGTATAGAATATACTACTTTCAATGTTCCTATTATTCAATGTTATTGCCCACTATTGCCCACTCTTGCCATATTGCTGCTTACATACCCAGGTACGAAGTACATAATAGGTTAACTACCTAGGTTAATAGGTATAAAGTACTGTCCTTTCAGGGAACTTGAACATTACCTAGTAAAGCTTTGACCATCATCATATACTACAAATAAACTTACGTAAGGTACCTGACAATCTCAATCTTCATACACATTATTACAGAATCATACTAGCTAAGTTTGTACCTGGCCAATTATGTAGGTAGTTTTAGCGTCGAGGTGTGCCGCAAATGTAGTGGGTCATGGAACGGTTAGCAGGACGTTTCCGCTACTAGTTGGGCATGGTTAGTGGCTAACAGTTTTAAAGCAAGGCCCTGGCTGCCCTGGAAGTTCCAAGGCTAAAGCCCTAGAGGTTAACATTTTAAATTGTCTTAGCAACCTTGGAAAGATTAAGAAAAAACTGTCCTAACTATTAACATCCATACATATGTATCCCAGTCCTGAAGAAAAAAAAAAGTGTGTGACACCATGCCCCCGCCCTTTCCCTACCTCATTTTCCCTCCCCCCCCCCCCAAAATTCCTTGAACCTTTTTCCCACTTTCTCAAGTTTCTCCCGCACACAAAATTCTCGAGTGAACACGATTCTATCTATTATTAGAACTGACCACGCCAGATTCAGCCCCATCGTCCTGCAAGTCCCAAGTAGTGCGTCGATTTGAATTGATGTATTGTATCAATGTATATTCTCGGGAACTGATTGAAGAATAACGACAACCCATCATAGCCTTAGCTGTTTACCCTGCACAAAAAATCATTCTGATCATTCTGCATTCTGATCATTCTTAAGAGCCTTGAACATTTCAGTCCGACTTTTCGACTTCTTGTCTTTTTCTATATTGATATATCTATCCCGCCACTCCCTCCACCTTTTTCACATCCCCTTCCAATATACATACTCCTTCGATATAGACAACATCCTTCAAGCATCATCCCCTTCAAAAAGTATCAACATATCAAAATATCGCGGGCGATCTGCTTCATTGCTTCAAGTACTTGACCTTGACCTGGCCTAATCCCCCTTTTACTATATTTACTTTTGATTACCTACTTACCTAGGTATTCATTCACTGCCATCATCAAAACTCGATATCATCCTGTCCTCTATCTACTTTGGAGTCCCTCAGCCTTTCCAGTCATACATCCCCTTCACGTCAGATTAAGTCATCAACCAGGGACCCCCCCTCCTCCCGGACACTGGCAGTGTATATATATTCGTCCCCGACCTTAGCTTGAAACCTTCACGTTTTGCCACCGTTACTTGTCAGATAAGATTACAGTTATTCCTGCCGACTCAACTTCAATAGTGCTCTTGGTAACAAGAAACATTTTACGACCAACGCTTTTATATGTCACTACCCGTCGCGTCGTCGCTGTCATCCTGGTCGAGGAATCTATAACCCGCCGAGTTCAAAAATCCTACGGCGATTGAGCGGCGTGGCTTTGTCTCCCGTTATAATTTGTTATTCACCCGACACCAATTTACTCTTTCCCCACTTCCCTTCTCTAACCTCGGAATACACAATCTAAATCAAGATGGGACGAAGAAAGATCGAAATCAAAGCCATCAAGGATGACAGGAACCGTTCTGTGTAAGCTCAGTCCCGCGATTTGCATCATTCTATTCTATTTTTCTTGTTGCTATTCCTGCCCCTTTCTCCATATGTGTTAAAACGGCTAGCTAATTTTACCCCGTCTTATAGCACGTTTCTGAAGCGCAAGGGTGGTCTATTCAAGAAGGCACATGAGTTATCTGTGCTCTGCTCCGTTGACGTGGCTGTAATCATATTCGGCAGCAACAAGAAGCTCTACGAATACTCCTCGAGTGACATGCGAGATCTGATTACGAGATATTCATATGTTGGTTTATTCCCCATTTCCCAAATCTGACAAGGGTAAAGAGACTAACACAAAGAACAGCATGGCGGCCCAAGCGAACATAAAGGCCCGCACGATTTCAACGGCGGCGACGATGACGACGACGAAGATGGAGACGGTACTCCCCCGCACGGTCACGAAGGATCTGTCGAGCCTCAAATGATCCCTCCTCATTTCCACGGCCACGGCCAACCCCAACCTCCCTTCGCACATCTACGACATCAGACTCCTTCCGCCTCGCCTCCGATGAACGGACTCAACGGAATGCCCTTCGCGCCTCGAGGACATACCCCTCAGCCACAAATCGCATCTAGGCCGTCATCTCGAAATGGTTTCCGACGCGACTTGCGCATTCCTCAACCAGGGCTTCAGCCTGTCACTAATGGCTACGCGTATATGCCTCAGCCTGCCATTTACAACCCTCAGAGTCAGCCTAATTATCAGCATGGGGTTCCACCACCTCCTCCGGGTCAGTATCATCAATACGCCGCTGCTGCTCAACAGCAGCATCAGGCACATAACTACATGGAGGACCAGCACCGATCATCTGTGCCTCCCCCTTACCCTCCACAAGGTCCTGCACAAGGCCAGCCGCCTCATTCGCGTCACTCTCCGCCACAGCCTACACACCAGATTTCCCGTCAACAAACGCCTCATATGTCTCCTCCTCAACCGCCGCCTCAGCATCTAGAGCCTCCACAACAGCACCTGACACTACAGCACTCGCAATCTATGCCTGAGCCTCAACAGCCGCCTGCGCCCATGGAGCCTAGACACGATCAGCTTCAGGACAGACCCGGCCAGCCTTTACTCGACACGGCATCTGCGATCAAAAAACTACCACAGCGCAAGCAGCACAGCATCTTTACGCCGATCGACGAAAACCGATCGATTCTGTCTCAGCATTTGGCTTCATTTAATGCAGAGCCTCGTATAAAGGAAGAAGGCGATCGATCGCAATCTATAGATCTTGGTGCGGTACCGCGAGTTAAAGCTGATGCATCTCCACCCCTTCCGCAGCGCTCGAACACGTCTAACCTGTCTCACTCTCATAACTCTGCATCCACGATTCCTGAAACTACCTTTACTCCGCCTTCGCGCTCTAACAGCTTGAAGATTGGCGGCGGCTCGCGACCTCGGCTAAAGGTGCAAATTCCCGAGGAGCAGTCTGAAGCTGGCAGTAACGCTGGTGATACAGCTACTTCTCCCCGTACCACAACGGATACGACTGTGCAATCTGCGCGCCGCAATGGCGATGGCCCCGGAACAGGCGTGGTACTTCCACCTCCTTCACCTTCGGCGTCGGCCATGTTGTCTGCGGGAGCCACCGGCCCGCCAAATCCGTTTGCTAGGCCCCCACCCCAAAACCAGAACAATAGTATGAATATCGACACACCTGTATCAGCGCTTCCATCTCGGTTCCTCAACAATGAATTCCTACCCAGTCCTAGTAGCTTTTACCCGGAATGGAATTTTCGGGGCAACGAAAGTACTACGTTGCCAAGTCCTCTAAACTTTGCTACGCCAGTGGTTGGGTCAGGACCTTCCTTTCTGAGGGATGAGAATGGACCGAACCCGACGAAGCGGAAGAGTCCGGATACTACGAATGGCCATGGACCGGACGCGCCGGATGGTGGTGAACCCAAAAGAATCAAGGTAGAGATTTAGTCGGCCGCCAATATTCCCATGTTGCATCTTTAGCACATTGGGGCTGTTTGGTTAATTACGATTCTTTTACTTTATCTTAGTTCGACTCCTGTTTATATCGCGAACCTGCGACTTGTACAACATCTTATTTTATAGAGCATCGAAGAGCTTATATTGCTCTGGATCCCTCGAAGGGTATTTGGATACATGAAACATTTTATCTTTTGGCTTTCCACGTGGCATACGCTAGATCTAGCAACCTGCGGCGGCTTCGCTCTTTTTTTTTTTTTTTTTTTTTTTTTTTGTTATTTTTTGCACCATGCAAATTCTTCATTTCACAGCATGGCGTGGCGCTTCAGGCGGTTTCATCGTGGTTCCTCACTTCATACCTATTCAAAACACCCATTTTTATACGACTGGCGGCTCGCGTTTTTGCTTGCTGCCATAGTGCAGCGATAGAGAGATGGACATGATGAATGATTAACGGGGGTTGTGTTTAGTTGACGTTGTCGCATTCTACCCGGAAAGAAAATGTTACAAAGGGAATATTGGAGACGACATGGGGAACGGCGTTGGGGGAGATTGTACAATAGTTAGAGATACCAGGGCTCAATGGGCATATGTGACCAGACGGCAAATGAGATTAGTATCGATGTTTGATGTGACTGATGTTTAGCTGCAGTGTTATTACCTAGGTGGTTATTACCTAGGTGGTTATTACCTAGATGGTTATTACCTAGGTGTGCAAAGTAAGATAGGCAATGACGTCGTGCCAGCCCCCAAGGATTCAGGGTCCAATATCCATAATCCCAAAGTTTGAACCCCTGAACTAGTCGTAGAGAGTACTACTGTAGGTAATTAGTAAGTTAAAACAAGGACATTGAATGAAGCCAAGTATGGTTAGAGGCATCCGTCTAGGTAGACTTCTTGGTAGGAAATTAGGAATTAGTGTGAGGCTAATTCGAGGGTTGCTATTAGCACATATTACTAACCCGGGTTGATAATGCGGCTCTGTTCTGTTATGTTGGTAATAAATAGTGTGTGTACTGTGCTGTTACTGTGCTACTGTATCCCCAGCCAGGTTCGTTTCTGCTTCTTACTTAATTACATAGGTAGTTATGTAGCTAGGAACGAACGCTTACCATAATTACCTAAGTAAGTAGGTTTTGGATACTCTCTCTGAGTCTGCGAGGGGGGCTTGGTTGCTTGCGCCGCACATCCATCATCAACTACACTAACCTAGGTAGGTTGTCACTGTAGTAGGTAGGTAGGTTATGTATGTATGTATGTAGGTTTGGTTCGGTAGGTAGGTAGGCAATGCAAATAAATAACGGACCCGCTTGGTGCAGCTTGGCGTGGAAACTACAGTAGTCGGTGCCGCAGAGCCGCAGGTTTTTTCAGGTTAAAAATTTTCTTATCTCTTCTATTTTTTTTATTTTTTATTTTTTTTGGTTTGTGTAGGCGGGAAGGAAGCAGTGAAAAAGGGTGGGGAGTGCATGCAGACACGAGGTAGACTAGGTTTGGTAGGTAGGTCGACCCGCTTAAAGGAGCGAGGCGAGGAGAGGAGAGAGATCTATGATATCTGCCTACTAAACATACATACTTGCGTGATTCACCCGGTTACTAAATAAGTATAAACTTGGGTTAGGTAGGTAGAGTTGGCTATAAGCTAACTAACCTAGGGGGCAGGGGGGGCTTTCTGAGAGGACAGGAATAGGAACGGGAGGAGTAGGGGACGGTAGGGTTACTAGCAGGTCGGTAACGCTCCTACCGTAGTACCCAGGCGGCGGCGGGACAGCATCGGTTCGGTGCTAGGAGGTGGCGCCACCGGAATAAACTCCTTTTTAGCTTTTCTTCTTCTTCTTGTTCTTCTTCTTCTTCTTCGTTGCCGTTCATGGGCTTTGTCTCCAGGGGTTTGGGGGGGGGGTTTCGTTGTCGTTAGGTACTGTTACATACATGCTTCGCACCGTCCGATAAAGCTAGCCCCCGGGCTTCTCTTCTATCTAACTGGTTGTTTACGGCGGTGGCGGCTGCTTTCCCTTCGGTATAGCGGTTATGGTTAAGTATGTTAGGTACGCGGGAGGCATGGTAGGTAGGTAGGTATGTGGGATGTAAGTGATCTACATAGGCGTCTAAGTCTCTAGGTTAGGTAGAATGTAGGATTACTAATAACTAAGGGTTGAAGACATACCTGTACTCACTGTGCTATGTCAGATAAAACCCATAGCTCTGGTGTGCAACAAAGGTGAGTGTCACGTTGCACGAGGCCGGGTAAGACCTTTTGGTATGTACATACCTACAGATCTACGAAGTATATGCATATGTACGGCGTGGTCCAAAAAAAAGATGTAGATACAACCGCGCGGAGAGAAAGTAGGAGTAGCCGCGAGTACACCTACCTACCTACCTACATACCTACTCCCTCAGCGCAGAAAGTAAAGAAGAAGAGTTGAACAACGTTCAAACTCGTAAACACGCCTATAATAATAATAATACCTACCTGCCCTGCTAGTAACGTTGTTGTCTCGGACTCGGGAGTTTGTTGAAAGAAAGTAAAGCAGAGCAAAGCCACGTTTGTCTCATACCTACCTACCTACCTAACCTACCCAAGTCTCCCTCCTCCTCCTCCTCCTCCTCCCCGGCGCCACCACACTCGTTTATCCTTTCCCCAGGTATATGCATGTATCACCGATATCCGCTCACTAGGTACACTACATCTGCAGTAATCGGCGTACGACAGATACGATACGACACGATACGACACGATACAATATAGCTTAGCTTTAGCTTCAGCTTTGTGTGGCTGAATGGTTCAGGTAGTTGAGTACGTGGCTTGACAAAGCTTACATACCTACCTAGATAGCTACCACTACATCTTCGTATAGGTAGGTAGGTAGGTAGGTAACCAGGTGTGTAGCACACACTCGCCTTTAGGGCTTTAGGGCTGAAACTGCGGGTAGGGAGGGAGGTTGGGTAGGTACCTAAGAGTGCAACAGAGTCTGAAACGGCGAGGCTGAGAACCTTAGAAGAGGCGGACGCACTCGGCGATACCAAGAATAAAAGATAAGATCCGATATCATCATCATCATCATCATCATCATCGTCATCGCCGCCTCCGCCCTTGGGACCGGGGGCTTGGGGAGACTTCCAACAAGGCCCGGCCGGGGCTGAGCCTGTCAGGTCGCCGATGTACATACATAGGTCGCATAGATACCTATGTAGGTATTAGATATTCGCCGACCTAGGTAACCATGCCTAGGTACCTACGCAGGTATCCGTGACTCCTGTGAGACGGCAAGTATGCAGGTAACCTCCCACAACAGAGGGAGGTACAGTAAGTTGAACAAGGAAAGAAAAAAGAGAAAGGCAACCTACGTCCTCAACTTTCCCTCTTCCCCCGTCTTTCCTCAAAACACTCTAGGTTAGGCACCTTAGATTCGCGTAGTTAGGTAAGGTAAGGTAAGGTAAGTTGAAACGATGTGATTATTGCTGATAGTAAAAAGCACAAGAACAAACACTAGCATACAATATGAAGAGTAAGGTTGCCATCACCATTCTACTAGCGTTATGCTAGAGACCTAGGATGAATAGTATCGTATCATCAGTCCATCCTCGAAGTCAAAGTTAGTATCGAGGGTAGTTAGCGGGCATGCTATGCTGACCGGCTGACCATCTCATCCAACACATCTGCTTTTCTCATTACACATTACACTAGGGGTGGATAGAATGGGTGATACATAGGTAATCTTTCTAAAGACACTTCACTTCACGGGATGAAAAACTCCGCACAACATTGCAACGAAATAATTCGATTGAGATGACTCGTATCTACCAGAAGTCGCATTTGAAACTCGCGCCCAGCTCCCGATCGAGCAGATGCTCATTGGTGGCCCTTCGAGTGCTTTTGCTTTTATCTGGAGAGAAATATTCTGCCAGTGAAAACTTACGGCCATACTACTGAAAATCCAGGTGCCAAAAAAGATTCCCCATCGAAGAAATCAATGAAAAAAAAACACAACGATAACGACGACGCAACTGCACTTCGTCTCAACGTGCATAGGTATCTTCCAAGCTCTTATCATCTTCCCTTTCTCACGGATGGGCACACCCACCCCCTCATCGTATTCACTCATTACTCTCCAGCTCGGAAACCCAGAAACAATCGAGACGGATTAGTTTGCTGCAAGGCTTCGTAAATTTTTTTGGTGCTGGCATTGCAGTGACCCAGAAGCCGGCATATAGCTAAGTAGGTAAGCTATGCCTCTACCTATCAGGGTTACTGTTGCCTTCAAGCTGTTGTTGATAATAGACCGAGTTGCTGTCCTGCTAAATTCAAACGGGGTAGGGGTAGTTATTGATATCAGACGCCAAAATATCAAATTAATAGACCAGATTCCATTTTTTTGGTTCTAGTCACGAAAGAAACGTGAGACGGGTATGCTCTAGTGGTATCATGGAAAGAAGAAAAGAAAATGGACACAAAAGCGAGGCAAACTAACGAGCATTGGGTAGTTGTTGTCCCCAATACTTCTGGACCCGACGGGACCAATGAGCCCTAGATAACTCTGGACGACGTCATGTGGGCGAGTGCGTAATAAGGATATTCGTCTTCTATCGTAGCCAAGTACGTCATTCAAAACACCGCCCCTAGCGGCGGCTAGGAGGAGTTCCGGGTCCAGTAGTGCCCTCCATGTTACCCGTCAACTCGGCAACGCGAGCCTTGATCCGGGCTACGCGGGATTCGATAGCTGTCAAGGGTTAGTCATCATCTTATTATGCATAGTTGGCGTTGTATTGCTTACTCTCTTCGCCACTGGTATCATCGTCACCATCTGTTGTCTTGCTATAGGCACCCCGACTCTGTTCCTCACTCTGTCGCGAAGCGCGTTCGGCCGCATTCTTTCTAATGGCCGCCCACCTATCCTGCATGGGAACGCTTGGTGACGGCGCACCCTCATCATCCTCTGGATCAACAGGCGGCTGACGGCTGCGTTGTCTGGCGATTGGTGGCGGTGCGGCAGAGTCTACGCTCTGATCCTCGTCAGGGATATAGGCAGGCTGTTCTAGAAGTGGCCCCTGGTCGAAGCGTGAGAATTCTTGGTGAGCCTCGGTGGCTTCTGCGGTGTCGACGCGGGACAGATTGTCGTCGACGGAGGGGTCGTATGCCGGTCTCGAAGGCGCGGGTGTCACTGGTGTTTGCGTCGGGGTTCTATCCTCTGAGCGTTCAGTGGGGGCCCCGAGGCCGGCGTCGGAACCTGGTGAAGCGTGCTGCGGCTCCTCTCGCACTGTCGCTGGAGAAGGGCCTCGTGCTGCCGATTGGGGCGATTCTGCCTGCAACATGTTGTTCACATCAACGGCAGCATTCTCGGGTAGCTTAGAGTGCCTGTGCTTGTTTCGGCCAAACAACTTCCTGAACCCGCTAGACCCGGTTTTCTTCTCGTCCTTGTGAAGTTTCTTTGACTTTTTGTTATCCGGGCTAGTTGGCTCGGGGGACAGCATATTTTCACGGACCACTTCGAAGCTGTCCTCCTCACGTGGGGGGGGAGGCAAGGGTGAGTCCCGGCCCGTGGGCTCCAATCGTTCCGCGGGATGAATCTGTTGCGGCGCCTTGAGGGTTTTCTCTGGAACTGGGGCCGGACTGGAAGCAGAAGCGGGAGACTGCGCCGGTGGGGACTTCTGCTCAGGCTCGGGTGCTGGGGAGGGAGCACGCAATGAAGCTTCCCGCTTGAGGCTGCTACCATTTGCTGTGAGCCCGCTCGACCCAAAAAGGTCGGGTGCTGGTAATGATGTTTGGGAAACGCCTCGACCAGCAAAGGCGTTGCCGAGATATGCTTCACGAATAGCATCCTTGTCATACTTGTTTGCCCACTTCATAGCCGGCGAAGCTGCATTGACAACAGCGGGCTGTAGTGTGAGGATACTGTTAGTCTTCTCTCTCAACACCTCGGCATCCGTCCGACCGCGCCGCTCTACCTTATGCCCCATTTGTTGTTCTTGGAGCTGTTTGGCCTGAAGCTTTTGTGCAGCTGCTTGGATCTTAGCTTGTTGGTCTGGTCCGATGCTAGTCTTGCTTATTCCGGAGCCAATGGTAGCAGCAGCGCCAGTGTTCAGACGGTCATTCTTGTTGCTATTCGGTTTAGCGACCGATTTACTGCGAGACACACCCCTGCCGCGTCTCGTCCAGCTAAAAAAGCCCTTCTTCTCTGCAATATAAGCTCCAGCATCAGGCTCGGGAGCAGCGCCCTTCACCATCTCCTCCATTATAAGCCATCGACCTTGTCGGATTAGCGTCTCGATAATAGCACATCTGCCAAACGCAGATTTACGTTCTGCGGTCTCCTCGGGAGCTAAGCTGCTCATCCACACCCACCAGAATGCTTCGTCGAGATCAAATCGGGAGATACTAGCTAATTCGCCAGGTTCTAGGTGGCGATCACTCTCTAATCGTGGACGATGCGATTGTGAGCTTCGTTGTCTAACGGCTGTCTCGATGGGTGGGAGAATCTTATCCGGTGGCAGCAGGAGGTTCGAGGGACCATTGGGCGCGTCATCAATAAAGCCAGACGAGAGGAAGTCTGCCCATGAGGGCGTGGTGGGTCTTCCGAGACCTCCACCCGATGCAGGCGTTGTTCGTAGCCCACGGGGATTTCGAAGTTGGGTAATCTTGACAGTGTCTTCATCTTCCTCCTCTTCCAAGGTGTCTCCAAAGCCAATATCCTCGAATCGTGACCACGAAGCATCTCGAAGGCTTGTGGAATGCTTTGAGCTGGACACTTGAGACTGGTTCGCAAGAGAGATCGCCTTAAGAACTCTGCGACACTCCTCAGTCAAGGCAGTCACAGGATCCTCGTATTCGGAAAAATCTCGAAGCGCTTGGTCGTCGTCACGATATTGGAAGTGGTTAGCTCGGCGCAAGAGCGCGAACGGCGTTGGCGACACGGTGTCAACAATCATAACGACCTTATACGTTGACGACATCAGCAGTGTCGGGGTTTGCGGGGGGTACTCGGTTTCCTGCAGCAACTTCTGCAGGGACATGGGCAGCATGGAGTAACCTGCACGAGCTTGCTGGGGAGATAGGGATCTCAGATAAGCAAAGAACAGATGGCTCGCGGCATCCGCAGCACTAGGGGGTACATTAGCAAACCGACACAGACGAACCGACTTCATGGAATGATTGCGAACCTCAGCCAAGATTTATACCCCCCCTCAAAGCCATTGCCAGTATCCTTATGTTCGAAAGCCCACCAGGCTGCCATACGAGATAGCTTCCGTCCTCCGAAGCCATTTGACTTGCCGTGAGCTGCAATGGCCGAGAGTAAATCAAAGTAATCAAAGATTATATGAGAACGCGCCTGGTTTTCGACACTGAGTGGAACAAAAGTCGAGAATGAATCTCGGGCCATGCTTGAGTCTACGCCAATAATTTTAGATTAGCATACAATCTCACATTCCTATTAATTAAGAAAAGGGTGGTAGCACATACCTTGCTCTCCCACCTTGAACAGCTCGTAGGCATCCCAACCTACAAGACCGCCTGGCAGTCTACTCCAGCACCATTTCAGAACACCAACGATGACCTAAATAATATGTTAATCAGAAACTGGTTGACTAGCGCATTTGGGTCTCGTAAGACGTACCATTGGCTCCGTCATCCGCAGCTCCTGCAAAAGGAGCTCACCACGCAAACTCTCATTATCGAAGAAATGACGAATAAAAGTGCGTACGCCGCTGGGATTAGAAGTCGGGCGGAATGGCAAGAGGAGAAAGGGGAGATCGAGAGCTATGGGAGGCCATCCAATTAGTCCAGTTAAGTAAAGGCGGGAGGGATACCCTATTCTTACCTCTAGCTTTGAGCTCCTCTGTGCAACGGCTCACTAGCTCTTGGATTTCTTCTGGTTCTACTGACGTTCGTGTATATGCATCATCCCAGCGCGGTTTATTAGATAATTGATGCGCATCGTCGTCGTATTGAGCATTCTTCTTAGACTTGAGCTTCGAAGGGCCATCTTTACCCCGTATTCGAGAAAAGAGGCTCGGCATGTTGATTGGTAGTTTCCGAGTCAGTCTCAAGATGGCAATGTAATGTCACCGGGGACAAATTCAAGGAAATCGAGGTCAAATGATTGAAGTTGAGACGACTGAATAGTTGTTTCGGCTGTACCGTTAAAAGTTGGTAACGCACTGACGTATAAGACGTTTGGGGTGAAGACGTGTTCACGTTGCGCCGATAGAGTGGGGGTTGGGTATCAAGTGGTAATAATATCAAATGAGGTTTGGTAGGTGGTATGTAGTATGTGGTGGTGTGTATTGCTAACAGAGATTTGACTTGTTCGAACCAGCTCTGATATCTCTGATTTGAGATCAATGTTCTCTCTGCCGGTCAGAAAAATCAACTAGTAGTGACTGGTTGACACGCGAGAGAAGAAAAAAAAGGTGGGATTCAATAAGAGGCGGCGCGCCTCCTTCAATAAGAAGAAAGGATAAGAAGAGAAAAAAAAAGCAGGAGAACCGGAAACGAAAGGATCAAACGGTTTAGAAGTGAAGTCTTCACGGAATATGCGCGAAGCAATAAAAACGAAGGGTATCAAGATGCAGGCCTTGGGAAGGTTCGAAAACTTCAAAGACTTCAAGTCGCAAAAGCCCAGAAGCCCAAAGGGAAAAAAAAAAAGTAGGTACTAGATTAAAAGGGGCGGTCCAAAGTTCGACGAGGATGAACGATAGAGGTACTGCCTACATAGTACCTACCATGTAGGCAGGTTCAAGGAAGTTCACCTGCACGCTTCGTAGCTTCCCCCCCAATAACTACCAATACTATCATACCTAGTACTATCATATTAACCAATACCCCAATACCTGCCTACACCCTACGCGCACATCCAAGCTCTTGTTAAATGGACCTAAGCACACCTACCTGTGCTACCCATATACTACCCATATTGGGCATAGCACTGTAAGGGGAGATTGTTTTAGTTCCTTTTCAGTGCTAGCTACCCTAAACCTGGCCAGGGCTGCCAGGTGGCCCAGGTCTGCCAGGCAAGATGCCGCTAAGACCATGAGCTGGGATTGGCTATCTTGCTGTCTTGGTTGCTGGACTGGAGAAGGTGAAGCGGCAGCGCATTGGCTGAAATGGTCAATGCACCTCAGGGATTTTGGTTAGACCAACTCTAATTTAATTGCAGGACGGGAAGGCGATGACCCTCCCCAGGGCATTTGCGAAATCGTTCTTCTTCCAAGGTTATTCTGTGTCAGGCAGGAGTAGGGTTTCGGATTGCACAAGTGCAAAAGTGCACTAAACAGTTCTAAACAGTTCTAAACCTGCACTTTTCAGATCAGTGTAGCACTTTTCGGGCCGGAAATATTCCGGACCCATATATTTGTGATTTGGGACCCATATTTCAGATATGAATTCAGTTAATTCCTGATAAATATCTTGGTTGAATATTGTATCAAACTTGATTTTTTGCTTTTTTGTAGCCGTAATATTATTCTAGGTTTGAGCCTTTTCGCGTGTCTCTAAGAGGCATATCGTGATAGTCAGAAAGTAATTCGTAATATCGTAGCGACAGCAAGCTTGGTATTATATCCCCTAAGCATTATGGATTCAATCATTGGATTGAAGCTTGAGTGTAAGTTATTGTGGTGATAGTAACGGTAGTACACTAGTAATGTTTTGGGAAAAGTGGGGAAAAGTGTAAAGTGTAAAGTGCTGTTTTAAACAGCACTTTACACTATTCAGCACTATTCCGAAAAGTGCTACACTTTAGAAACCCTAGGCAGGAGCCATCGTCATTCGTCAATGTGAGAACCCGAATCTCAAATTAGACCAATCCAATCTTCTCATTGCTTTAACCCCATCAATGTACCAAATACAACATGTGAACTTACACATTACAACACATGCATTGAATATGCCCAGCACCCTCATTACATGTAATTAGTTATCATATGTATGTACGAAGTAGTCGGCATTACTCACTTGCATCTGAAAACTCGTGAATCCCACCGGACAGTAGCTACGGTACACAAAGGACTGTACGTACTACGTATGTGCGCATTGTTAAATACGATGGTGTTCCACCTCTTACCTACACTAACCAGCCTGCTACTGTTACTTCTTTTCGTCTACGAGTTTCTACATTTGTTTGCTTTCTCACTAGATTAGTACGAAAACAACAACCACCAAGACTTGATGATTTCGACTGGGTCCCACTACCAACATTGAATTTGAAGTTACATACATACTGGTAAATTGATTGCCTATTCAGCTTCGTGTTATGCAATACCATGTATGACTAACTACTAACTACTAACTACGATGTACCTATTTACCTACACATGTTTTACCTACATATGTAGGTAGGAATCAGCTCAGACAGCCTCAAACAGCCAGCACCTATTACATTGAACTGGACTTGACGACTTGACGATAGCTTCAATTTTTATGTGGGGCGTCTCCTGCATATATTACAGCCCGGTCCCAGGATGGAATGCTGACCGAGTCAGCATCGACGCGCTGCAGCTCAACTCATTTTCTGCAGCGCGAGATTTGGAAAGACGGGGTTGACCATTATCGGAGCACTATCGGCTATTCTGTACCAAGAGTACTACCTCAGATGTTACCATCTTCCGGATTCATCCAACGCACGTTACTTGGTCCCCTTACTTGGCCGTTTGGCGGCGCATTCAATCTGGATCTAGGCCTGCCTGTAGCCGTCTTTGTGCTGTGCAACAGTTCACGTTGAAACAACCAGAACCAATATGTGTTTGGTAACGAGAGAAAACCTCGCTTCAACAACGCCCGTTGAGATACGCAATTCGATTTTCATTCCTTTTAAAAAAAAGTCTTCCTACCTACGTAGTAGGATTACAGAGATAAAATGATCTAGCAACGGTCAAATGCCAAGGCAATAATATCATTGGCGCACCTTTCCCCCCTTTATTCTACCCATCATCCTGAGGGCGTCGAACCTGCATAAGCACAACTCATCTTTCGGACCTCGAAGCCAATTATTTCACGAAAACCAATGGGCCCGGTTCGACCAGTCACTTTTGTATAGGTTGGGGTTCAGATGAGTTGGCAACTGTTATGAGGTCACAGACAAGGAGAAAGCCTGATTTGGATAGGAAAAATCCGCGATCCATTGGTGCAGCACCATTGCTTTTATTGGCGCCCCCGGGCCTTTTTGCGACGTGTCTGCACTTATCGCGACTTTTAATGCATCCATCCAATGGCAGCTCCAATGTGGTCCAACGAACCTCATTCCACTAAAAGGCACTAATCGAATACTATTTATCTTCCGTCTTCTTCCCCCAAATCATCTATCCTTGCAAGTGCCAGGATAGCGAAGAACTTGAGCCTCCAGAGATTGGAACATCGAGCTTACTTGAACCCTTTCAAGTCTAGAACACATCACTAACCCAAGTTGTACTCGTCGAGATCATGGCCAAGATTGAACCTCATATGTACATCATATGTATTATTATGTATTATGTACATACCTGAAGGTGATACATACAAATATTCCTATAGTGGACCTACACACCTACATTATCATACATACATCTTGACAAGGTTAGGAGGATGGCGTGCGGCCGTGTGGCTCACTTTGCATCTTAGCATTCAGGGGACTAACGGACCTGCATAACTAGCGTCCTGTGTAAGGATCCCTCCCCCAAATGCGCAGTTATCTTTGAACTACTTATTATCTGCAGCCACGATCACCCTGGCACGACTACTCATGTTTCATTTCACTTGACAAGCCGGACTAAGTACTAATATTCGCAAATATTCGCAGGAGTCTATTTGAATATGAATATCCGTCAAATAATAACCACCAGCCAGTGGTCTTTTCAAAGAAGGCTCTTGCATTCACTCGCCAGTTTTCCCCGGTTGCGTTGGCAATAATCCTCTGGAAATACAAGACGATTATAAATGAAATAATATCCACCCCCCGCGTAATACGACAACGGCATGTAACGGTGTGTGGTGGGGCGACTAGATCGTCCCCATTTCCGGCTTCCGAGACAGCTCTCCCCTCCTCCTCCAACAGCACCCACCAGCACCAGCACCAACATCAACATCAGCATCGGCAACAGGCTTGTCATGTGTAATCGATCGAATGAACCCGGACGATGACTTTGTACATATAGAGGAGAGCCTTGCAAAACCCGGCATAATCGGTTCGTTCGAACTTGAAGCAACGCAGCGACACAACCTCGCGGATCATTCTTATGCGCCAAGCCGTTAGTTACGTTATGTCGTGACCTTCAATTGCTGCTATATCTTGGTTCCGATCTCATATTAATATGTATCTGCCAGATTTGCTGCTAGTAAATATGCCTAATCTATCTATTAGTTCAGTTCAGTTACAAGGTATGTATGCGTTCTACATACTGGACTGCCCTTTTTGAAAGACCCAGATCACTATGTCCCTACATATGTAAGTATGTATGCACGTAGGACCCAGCGATCGCAGATCTACATACATATTGAGTGATATCGTTGGGAGAGTTCCCATGCCAAGTAGGCACCTACTAACCTATTTATCGGTTTGCTGGATCCTTACAGCATCATCATTTCATGACGCGATCCGCTTCATCCCCACTCTAAATGGCATGCTACTATGGTATTATGTAGGTAGCAGAGGGTAGATAGGTAGGTCACATATGTATCTATGGATATATTTCACATTGGACCGATGTGCCTCTGTACAGCTCCCTCTACAGACTGGGAATGAATGATATATTGGCCATTCTTGACGCATCGCATACTACCTAGTGTCGTATCTCGAATAGCCGTGGCTGAAGTAGGCAGGCAGCAAATCAGCAGCAGCAGCAGCACAAACGTTGCGACTCATAGGGATCTCTAAATCCAGATTCAGCACTTTATCTAAATAGACTCACTCGCAGGAACTCCGGGTTGACTTTACAAATTTTTACTAGGTAGGTAGGTAGGTAGGTAGGTAGGTAGGTAAGTATATACATACCCATCTAGCTACTATATAGACAAACAAGCACGCGACAGCATACACAGATCCGTAGAACGCCGAAACCTCTAACACGACTTAGACGAGATATCCCGTTCCCTTTTTCCCTTTCATATCCTTCCCTGTTATTAGTCCTTTATGTAGCCCGACTACACTCACTTGGACTCGGCATCCTCCTCCTCCTCCTCCGTATCTTCCGCCCCCTCTACCTTCCCCTCCTCGCCCTCCGCCTGTAACGCCTTACTCTCCTCCTCCTTGCCTTTCTTCTCGGCACTCACTTCGCCTACAGCCACAACCGGCACCGGTTCCTCCTCTTCCTCCTCCTTCTCCTTCTTTTCCTCTTCCTCTTTCTTCTCCTCTACCTTCTTCTCCGCCTCCTTCTTCGCACTACTAGGACTAAGATCCCAATCAATGACGCCCTCCTCACCATACCTCGCCGCGAGCCACTCGTTCGTCTTCTTGAAGTGTCCGCAGTCGAAGAAGCCCCTGGACGCGCTCAGGGGGCTCGGGTGGGGGCTCTTGAGGACGATGTGGCGGTTCGTGTCGACCTTGGCAACGCGCTTGGCGGCGGGGGCGCCCCAGGCGAGAAACACGACACCCCGCGTGCGCTTGGCGGCGACGGTGTCGATGACCTTTTGCGTGAAGCGCTCCCAGCCCTTGTTCGCGTGCGAGTTGGCGTTGTGGGCGCGCACGGTCAGGCACGTGTTCAGCATGAGCACGCCGCGCTCGGCCCAGGGGGTCAGCAGCCCCCCGTTGTTGGGGGGCGGGGTGAAGGCGGGGTAGTCGTTCTTGAGCGCGATGTACATGTTCTTGAGGGAGGGGGGCGCCTTGGTGGGCGGGCGGACGGAGAAGGCGAGGCCGTGCGCTTGGTTGAAGTTGTGGTACGGGTCTTGCCCGATGATGACGGCTTTGACGGTGTGGAAGGGGGTGTGCCGGGACCTGGCGCAGACAGACATATTAGCTATATGGCTTTTTATAATAATAGTCTTTGCGAATATGACTAAACAGGGGCGGGAGGGGAAAGACATACCAGGAATACACATCCTCTCTCGGCGGGAACACCTTCTGTCCGCTCTTCACCTCAGCCTCGAGGAACTTCTTGAGCTCGATGAACTCGGGGGTCGTGATCTCGTCCTTCAGGTGCGCCAGCCAGCTCGGGTCCAGCGTCTGGATCTCCAGCTGCAGGTGCCGCTTCTGCTCCAGCGTCAGGCCCGCGACCCATTTCTCCTTGTTGAACTTGAGCGGCGATGCGGGTGTTCCAGTCTTGGCGGAGGTGGGAGAGGAGGCGGGAGCCCCGAAGAACGAGGTTATGCTCGCGTTCACCTTGGGCTTCTTGCTGGAGTCGGGTGAGGAGAGGGGACCCCCGTTGCTCTTGCGCTTGAGGGATGAGGACATGGTGGCGCGGGATGGGGATTGGTAAGGGAGAGGTAGTATTTGTGCTGCTTGAGTGCGATGTCGAGTTAGTAGTAGTACTCGTCCTACACAATCCCAAGATGGAAGGTGTCTTGGATGACGTAGGGACGGCAGTGTGAAGGTGTTTTATTTTATGGCTTGTGAATGTAGATGTAATTGTTGGTTTTGGTTACAATTAACTACCTATAAGTAGCGTATGTATTAATTGAAAAAAAAAAAAAAAGGGATTGTGTCGAGTATTTAAGTCAATTAAATTCCATATAAGACGAGAGTGAGTGAGATGAGATAGAATGGTTCTAAAGTGCCCGAGTACGAGTAGTTACTTACATATAACTAAAAGTTGAACTACCCCAGGTCTAACTTCTTGACGCGTTTCTCGACGCGAAAAAGATAAAAAATCATAGGGGAGCTGAACTGCCCCTACCCCCCCGTTAAAACGCGAAGCTCGGTTCGCGTAAAGTGGCTTGTGCCATGCATGTTCAGCAGCCTCAGCTAACAGCCTGGAGTACTATGTAAGTTACTAGTTACTAGTTACTCCGTATGTCACATATCAATTATCACATTTAGTCGCATAGCCACATAACTATTCAAATACACAGCTTTCATACCGATCGTCGGAATTACAGTAAAGTATCGTCATATTGACATTATTACACTATGTACCCTGCATTGATTGAGATTTGATCTTTTTTCTGTCTAGGGTTTGGTGTAGTGTATGTGTAGGGATCTCGTCCTTTTCCTTTTCCTTTTTTTATCTCCGTTTGCCTTTCCCGCATCGTATCGTATCGTAACTATTATACACAAACCATCATTAAAGAAAGGGGGCCAACCCAAATCCGGTCTATGCAATTATCGTCTCTAGTCTTCTTCTGATGTAATTCATCATCGCCATGATCAAAACCAATCGAACTTTCCTATTGGGGATTTTCCGGTTCCATCGGCCTCTAAGTAAGGTATCATCATGGCTCTCGAAACAACGCCTGCTAATGCAAAAATGAAAACCCCCCGAAAAAGGAAAAAGAAATCATAAACGGAGTGGAGAAAGTGGTGTTACACATCAAGGTTCATCGGTAGGATGTTCACGCTGTTTACTGGCTTTCCGTTCGTTGATGCTCCTGAAGACCCTCTTGCCGACTTCGTAGCTACTGATCATGATGGCGCAAGATGGTGCCACTTTGAGCATGCGCGGGAGCCACCCTTTCCAAAGCCCCGCAATGCCTTCGGTAGAGTATATGTGCCCTAGTAGACGCATCATCGACTGTCCCTCCGGTGCTGAAACCCCTCCGGCGCTAGGTAAGGCCTTGTTGGATGCATCTCGGAACACTTGTCTGCGGGTTTTGCCAACGTCAAACGGCATGGTCACCATGGAAGCGAAAGCGCCAGAAAGTGCGCCTGCCGTAAAACTGTCCATAAAAGTCGCCGCATGACCCTCGTTGCTCTGAGACCGTGACCTGGCGCGAGATTTCGGTCCGTCGAGCTCTCGGGTCAAAGAACGGCCATGGCGTTCTTCTCGCATATCGGTTAGTTTACCTCTAATCGCCTCGTAGCCCCACCAATACATTCCGGAGAAGGGAACATCACGCCAGAGCATCAGGGTCAACCCTCTCCACAGAGAACGGTAACCGTTCTCGGCCACCATTTCTCGGATACCCTTGAACGTATTTGCGAGATGGCCCGTCGTAGTTGAGCCGGGAGAAGCTTGTAGTCGGGTTCGGAAAAGTTCGATGGGGCTGACGGTAGCTGCGGCGAGTATTCGCGCCATTGTGCCTGCTATCAGAGGAGCGTATTCGTCCTTGGCAATCTTTGCGACGGGGCTCGCTTGATTGTATCGTAGCCATTCGTACCCAGTGAAATAAATGATGTTGGCCGGGACGGCCATGACTAGGGTTGGCGAAAGACCCCTCCATAATGTCGTGAAGCCCTCGTGGCGGGCAATCTTCCTCATACCGTCAAAGGTAGAGTTGAACCTTCTTTTCTGTACTTCCTCCGCGGCGCATTCTGCAGATCCGGCAGTTGCTCTTCCGATAGGACCGGCGATGCAGACTTCGGCAATGTTATTCATAAAGAACACCTCTCGACAGCAAGCTGTAACACCGAGGTTCGAAGGTCGAAAAGCATTGGGTGACGAAATAGCAAGTTTCTGGAAATTTGCGGCTGGTTGCGACGAACCTTGGGATTGCAATCGGACACGAACAACATCAAGCGGGGTGACTGCATCATATGGCGTTAGTATATTTTCTTATTATTTATATTATATTTCATTATATTTACGTATATCAATAAACTGAGTGAGGAGAGGAAGAGGCGAAGAGACAGAAAACTAAGCTTACCTAGTAGCGAAGTCAGAAGACTCCCGGAGATAGCAGAGAGCATCATCTGGCCAGCTGAAATATGCATGCTGTCGTTGGGATTGTTTGAATCATCTTGGGATGAAACCATCGTCTGGCCAGCAAAGGCGTCTTCGCCTGCGCGCTCTCCTAATCGGTCGTGATTGTGACCACTGAAGCTATGGGTGGATGACATGATGCTTGTTGTGAGTGCGCTAGGCCCGGTTGTCCCGGGGGCGCGTTGTATGACAGCACGATGCGATTTACAAAATGGGAGGAGGGGTTGTATAAGTCAAGCGGAGAAGTAATGGGAATAAGTGGTGAAAAGAATGAATAATGTTGTGTTCATTCCAGGTGAGTAAAGTTTGAGGGGGGGGAATTATTAACTTGAGGAGGCAAAAAAAGAATAGTGTAGAACGTTGAACTCTGAACTGCCTAGGACCTAGGTTAGGTAAGTATGAAGTATGTTAGTATGTAGGACTAGAATGTTAGTAACATTGAACTATACTCTGTATGTATTCCAAGTTACGTACATAATTCAACTGTGGTTTCTTCAATGTTCCGCGTCATTAAATTTGTTGAAGCTAAAACTTTTTAAGATAATTTTGCTTGCCGGTTTGAGGCCGAGACCGAGCTGGTTAAGGTCATCTCATGCATGATGTCAAAGCCAATCGGATCATCTTAAGCTAGCCCTAAATAGTTAATGTAGTCATTTGTATCCACTTTAACGGCCTTTCTGCAGCCAGCCCCACGGTCTGACTCTTTTTGTCGGTGATAAGATAGTGTAGATCCGTCCCCATTGAACTCCCCAACCTTCGAACCTTAGATAATGCATCCACGGATGGGGATCTCAAACTATCCCATAGTAGTATTTTATCGGGGGAATCAACGCATACTATGTAGTAACTTCATCCTTATACGCCAATCCGTCCATCATTAATATGGTACATAACCCCAGCCTCTACCTATCACGATTCGTCATTCTCGCCAGTCTTACCATTCTTATACTGCCTAGTATACAGCTTTAATCACCTTTAGAACATACCTACTTAATTATAACCTAACCTAGGTAAATTTAATTTAATTGATGCACCGGCAGCTTGTCTCACTTCCCTCGCCATGAATCCACCAGATCAACAGATACAATCTGAGTTGGAAAACTTTAGAGAACAATGGCGAGCTGAAGTTTCAGCTCGTTCAAGAAATACAGATAGCTCACAACATCAGCAACCGCGAGAGCAACACCAAAGACCGGCCTTAAACCAAGCAGGGTCCTCTTCAGCATCTAACAAACCTCTCAAAAGAAATGAATTTACTCACCGAAAGTCTACCTCCAAGACTGTTCAACAGTTGGAAGACGAGGATGAATACTATCAAGCACCATCCTTCGATGACCCGGATACCGGCGCTAGCAAAACTACGGGGGAGCACAAGCTAGGCCGTCATGATGTCTTGACTAGCTCTAGTAAAGAAAAGGGGCCGCAAGAGCCTGAAACTGCCCTAGATATCTATGAACAGGCAGTGGAAAGGGAGGCTACCGGGATGCTCGGCGACAGTCTACAACTCTATCGCAAGGCATTCCGGATGGATGATAATGTCGATCAGTCGTATCGCAACAAACACTTCCCGGGCCGATGGAACAAACCCGGCCAGGCTAACCCGTCCAACGCGGCCGTGACGGTTCCTAATACCGCTCATCACTCCCTAGAAGGCCCCACTTTATCTTTACCAGATCTTATCTTCAGCTTCTCCCAGCTCAAGATCGAGGGCGCGCCCCCTGAATGTGAAGGTGTACCACCACCTCCATGCCCCATGGCCGAACTTCCCGACGAAATTCTCATCCACATTCTGCGCGATGTAGCCATCGCGGACGTTGGCGACTTTGTCCGTTTAGCCCAGGTCTGCAAACGGTTAGCTTTCTTAGTCGCTACCGAAGACCAAATCTGGCGGCGCATCTGTCTAGGGACTGAGTTTGGGTTTGGTGGCATGCAGTATCACTGGCAGCGAGGCATCCAATGGGAGCCGCTCGACGAAGCGCAGGAGCTTGCCGACGAAGATGTCTTTACCATGGACGAGCTAGCTCAGCGGCGTCAAGAGGAAAGCCGAGCCACCACCGATATCCTTTGGCATAGCCTATATTCGTCATCCTGGCAGAAGATGTTCCGTCGGCGACCCAGGATACGCTTCAACGGGTGCTACATCAGCACCGTCAACTATATCCGCTCCGGCCAAGCCTCAGCGCATCAGGTGACCTGGAATAGCCCCGTGCACATCGTCACATATTACCGCTACCTCCGTCTCTTCCGCGACGGCACAGCCATCAGTCTCCTCACGACCGAAGAGCCGGCGCACGTCGTGCATCACATGACGAAGGACAACCTGCTCCTCCACCGCGGACACGCGTCCATGCACCTCCCCTCAGCCGTCATGAGTTCCGCGCTCACCGGCCGCTGGCGCCTGTCCTCGTCCTCCGATAACCCGGACGCAAGCCCCGCCGATATGGAAGGCGACCTGTATGTCGAAACTGAGGGCGCCGTCGGGCCCAGGTACATGTACCGCATGGAGCTGACGTTCCGCGCCGCGGGAAAGGCTGCGGTGGCGAAGATCAATAAGCTCGCGTGGAAGGGCTTCTGGAGCTATAATAAGTTGACGGATGACTGGGCGGAGTTTTCGCTTAAGAATGATAAGCCGTTCTTTTTTAGTCGGGTTAAGAGTTATGGTGTTACTGGCGAATAGTGAGGAGAGGGGGGTTGATGTATGGAAGTTGATTGATGGATGAAGAAGAGAGAGGGAGGCCGATATGGCCTCCCTATGTTGTGTTTGAGGGGGTGATGAGGTCTTGGGGTTATGGCAATAGACAAACGCACAATACGCGTTATGAATCACGAGATCATCGAATAGAGATATGAACAGGTAGCATTTAGGGATATTTTATTTTACGTTACATGTTAGTCTTCATCCGACCACCATGATTTACTCTCAAGGGGGTTTCGGGAATTATTGATTGTATTTTTCACGGTCTGTTAACTACCTATCCATCTGTCTAAGCACTTACCTACCTAGGGTAGGCACCTAATGACCTCGATTCTCCCTCCTTCGGTTTCTTTCAAAGAAAGAAAGAGGCATTGCCGAAGTGCAACTAATATCTAGGTAGCTAGGGCGTACATAACTCTCATCCTACCTAGCCTAGGTACCTAGGGTAGGTGTTGTCGGTAGCTCCTGGGACTCAAGTCCCTGTCTGTCTCCGACTGGAGATTCTGCCGCTGGACGCGTTCGCGTTCGCGCTCTTTTCTGACAGCCTCGATTAGGCGTCGCCCTCGGCGCTTGATATTGAGGGGTGCGCCTCCTGTTCCTCGGGTTCGGGTTCGTCGGAGGGGTTGCCCTCGGTCTCCTCAGAGCTTGCGTCTGCGTCTGTGGTGAGTTTGTTTGTTAGAACTTAGGTAGGGGGAGAGCTAGGGGGGAAGGAGAAGGAGAAGGGTGGCCTTACCTCGGTCGCGGGGGACGGGAGAGTGGGAGCCGGAGTCGGAGTCGGGACCACCGCCCTCGGTCTCCTTCTGCTCGTCGGAGGACTCTGCAGCGGCGGCGGCGGCGGCGCTCTCGCTTCTGCGCATCGCCAAAGCACGGACGGCTGCGTCCAGCTTCTCCTGCTGCTTCTTCGAGAACTCCTCGGCGGCTTTCACGTGCTCCTCGGTGAGCTTGGGCGCCTGCATGGTCTTGTGGAACTCCGCGAGCCGCTCGCGGAAGTCGATGTCCCAGGGGTCTTGCATGGTTGCTAGAGCGTGGTGGCTCGGGGGTGGGGGGGTTAGGAACTTGGTGGAGGGGTGCTTGGACTAGATATAGATTGTCAGACAGGGGGGTATGGTAAGAGATAAAGGGTTGGGTGATGAAGAGAGTCTTGAGTAGGGGGAGGGGGACTTACATGGACGGGAAACAAGCCGCAGCTTAACTAAAGCGGGAATCTGAAGTAACGAGGAGCTTCAAAGGCTCTTGTCGGGAACCAGGAAGTTGAGTCGTAGGATGCTATGAGTTATGATGGACTTTTTTTATGTTGCTTGCGACGCAGGTAGCCGAGTGCGTGACCGGTGAGACCTCTGACGATAACCCTCTGTACGGAAATAGAGGATGATGTTAGCAAAATGGTTTCTGGATAGGGTGATGTGGCGAGGCGATAAAATAGAGTCAGTCCGTAGGTTGATATATGTAAGCGGCGGGGGAAGGGTGTGAGCAAACGGCAAGTGCTCAGGTTGTTTGTGCTTAGACTGATGACTGTTGACGCCGTTTGGGAGAGGAGTTTGGTGTGAAGGAGAAGCAAGAGGGAGGGTGCGTAAATAAAGAAATCGGGACCCGCGGGGGGAAGTAGGAAAAAAAAATCGGCGGAGAAAGTTGGTGAAGGTGTTCAGATTGGAAGAGCAGGTCAAATTTAGAGAGGCACTTGGTACCTACCTAAATCAAGGCAGCAAACCATAGATCCTCAGGCATACACTTCTGATTCTAAGGGCTTACAATTTTACACCTTTCTTTAAACCAACCACTTACGCGACTGCACCTAGGAAGCCTTTTAACTGAGGCAATTATCTGGTGTCACATGCATCACTATACCAAAGACCTACACTAGGAGATGTCCGCGCCGAGTTTGACCTGAGGAAGAGACCAGAGATGTGCTACCTCAGAATCTGTGAGGTCAGCGAAGGTGTGCCCAATGCTGCCGATGTAGAATAGTGTTAGGTTGTTAGTTGGGTGCTAGGTGAGAGGATGGGCTACGAGGGCTTGGTTACATGACCGATAGGGATAATACCACGAACAATTGATAACACGGCTGGCCTACGGGGTAGTTACGGAAGTCACGGGAACAAAAGAGCTGGCCTTAGGTTGCTCTGGAAGTAAATTATTATCAAGATGGCCTATGTTTGAAGAAATAGGTACATAGTGAACCCCTATTATTGCAGCTGCATATCCGGATATCATGCACCAAAGCAAAGACTACAAAAGCTGAGTACTTTCAGCACTTCCTCAGTCTTGGGCAACCATACCTGGCTTCTAATGACCTGGCTTCATTTGTGTACCTTTATCAATAGGTGCCTAAGTTTATACGGAGAACTAACGGCGACAATGGCACGAACGGACACGAACGAGTCTACAGGCCAAGTGTAAAGTTGTCATCAAAGGGGGAAAGGATGGGAATGGATAAGACTGTTTTTTTATTATCAGCCACACAGTTAACATCATATTCACGTTATCACATGGCTCACCAACTGTGTTTTCTTTAAGGAAAGGACTGAAAAGGTCGTGATCGTTCTTATTGAGCATTCTATAAATTTATCACTTGCTGGTTTAGTTGGACAGTAGAAACTAGAAAGTGTTCCCTCACACTGAAACGACCTACAAAGAGAAAGGATGAGATCACATCCCCTTCTGGGATAATTTTAGCTAAGAGGAGGAAGTGTTGTCGTATATAGGTGCCCAATGTATTGATATAAACATCACAATGGCACTGCCCGAATGCAGAGTTATTATCAAATCGCCGAGGAAGATCAAACAAGAAGTACCAAAATTTTGAAATATTTGGGACATCATGTTCTCGAAGGATGAACTAGGTGATACTTGAGCGTTTATTGGTAACCAGATCTTCGGGTTGTAAAACCTATAATTATAGCATTTTATAGTAATCATGTTCTTGGCAGATGCTTGAGTAGACATAACCATTCATTATTATTTTGGTGAGAGGTAGGTCGAGTAGGATTCGCTATGTACTGTTATATTTCTTCAATGGTTATTCACTGAGTCTTGATGATGATTTGACATTGGTCGAGACCGCCGAAGAAACACCATAGAAGACAACAATCTATTTGGGTATTTTACTGTACAAACTAAACTTTCCAATCGTTTGAAGTCTCTTAAGATTACCAAGGGACCAATTTGTTGTATGTAAATGCATGGTATTACTATGTATATAGCAATACGAGAGTAGGATGCGTCTCTAGGATTAGGAACCCTGAGTGAACGTTGAGATGGGCTTTTATGTACTTCTAGAACATTAGCCACGTGAGGATGTTTCTTCACGAGCAATCTGTTATGGTAGGTGACTGCATCGCCATGCAGTCGCAATAGGATGTAGGATGCCCTACTTCATACCAGGCGGATAAGGATTCGATTAGATGCCAGATTTGGGTAAATGCATGCATGTGTCAAAGTCGTGGGTGGCTTGGGCAAATGGACTGAATATATACCTGCCCTTTTGATTGCTTATTGAAGTTTCATCCAACAATCGTTCCTTGGAAATGTTTATATCGACAACCTCTTTCGTGCTTTTGCCTAACCTTCATAGCATTAGCGGAGCGGAGCGGGTCGGTGGTAACCCGGACTCGGTATCTCTGCGGCTACTCTAATTTAACATGACACCCCGAGTTCTCAGGGCTTCTGTACGCTTGGAGTCTTCGCTAAAGCCTAGTCTCATACCCCGGTGTAGGTGGTATGTGAGCTTGGGTAGATAGTTACAGAGGGAATTAACACCGATAGGTACCTGCGTAGCACAAAAATGAGAACTTGGTTGATTTAGCTGCGGCTGCTTGGCTAGAAAAGTTGGTGGTCTGCCCTAAAGTTAGTAACTATGTAGTTAGTGTAGACGGTTCCGCGCAGGACCCCTTCTTGGCAGAAACCGGCCGGTCCCTGATTATTGAATTTAGAGGACCGGGGGCCATATTACTTACTAGTTAGACTAGACATAGATGAATTTGGACGGATTCCTAGAAACAAGGTCGTCCCTGCGGTCGAGACCACAGGTTACACGACGATTGACGTGCATGTATCGGGTCTGCTGTACGATCTATTTAAGTGGGATAGTAGGCATGTAGTTGGTTCTTTGACTGACAGCCTGACCTGTTCGCTTGTAGCTATGCAGCTGCTATGCGAACTACCAGGTAAGTACATAGATCAGAGATTGGCCAAACGGTCACAGCGTATTATTGGTGGTGAGGTTCGTAGGAGGAGGAGAAGTTACATACAAAGGACGAAAAAGCGCTTCGAGAGTGTTACACTGTTACCAAAGGACGCAGGAGTCAGGAGAGGAAACAGGGAACCAACAAAGAAGCTAGGCCGTGAAGAGGCTGGGAGCATCTCAGCGCACGTTGCACGTTGCGCGTTGCGTGTCGCACGAGACAGGGGCAGCTATCCGCTTGCGTGGGGATATTAAGAGGGGGGGAACTATACTATGTTTAGATATAGCTATATAATAATAGTATGGAGGTGTGTTAAGTAGAGGCAATTCAAGCTATGAGAAAACAAGCTGTGAGGGAGGGGGGCTTTTCTTGGACACGATGATGTTCTTTTATCATGGATCTTGATGACTGAAGTTTTGTTAGATTCTTTTTCGGGGTAGAGTCTAGTATTCTAGTATTCTAGTATTAGCACTACGCAATGCACTACGCAATTTCAATTTGTTCAATTGATGAATGTTGGCCATGGGAAGGTGCTCGCCTAAGAACCGGGTTTGAAAAGAAGGTTTTAATACTATTAGTACACCAACTAATTAACACAAGCACATATACCCGTTCACGACTGGTACTACATACCACTGATACCAGTCACCAGTGACTGTACTTGGTAATACCTATGCTAATGAATGTATCGGTAAGCACGGTAGGCAACGGCAGGCAACGGCAGGCACGGCTCCGATAGTACATAGGTTAGTAGGCATGCATGTACGAGGTAGGTACCGTAGTATCGTATACATTGATAGTATCAATGATCCATTCGGAAACAGACTCATCCATGTCACCTAAACCTTGATACCTATTTGTGGTCGATGAGATGTAGAATCAATATATTCGGTTACATTTTTATGCATAAACCGTTGTTTGGATAACCTTGAAATTGATAGTTAATGACATATTTCAATGTTGGCTCGGCCATATTTTTTCTTTCCTTTTTCTTTCCTTTTTCTTTCTTTTGGTCTCCAAGTTGGCATCATTGACATACGCAATAGGTACCTATCTAGTATGGCATATGCAAGTCTAAAGGCCCCTTACGTTCACGTTTCTTTTATTAGATAATGCCAATCTATGTAACTAGAATTAACTAAAAGTAAAAGAAAAAAACGAATCAAGTTCAAAAGTTGAGAAAAGGAAAGAAAAGCCTCGCTTTCTAACTAACTAATCTATCCCTGCTCTAGCACTCGAGGTAGTGGCATCTGTTCGCAGGTCTAGCGACAAAACTGGGGTTAGATAGCCACATGTAGCTAGCCGCAATCCACTTAGACGCTCCAAAGCCCTGGGCAAGTCCACTTTACTTAACTCTTTGAATTTGGAGTTTCCCGTGTTAGTATGGTCCTGCCGCCGCATGTACCCTTTTAGTACTATGCCGTACCAATAATTGCGTGGCATACCCTGATCAATTCATTCATGTTGATGTCCAAGACCAACCGCGCTACTTGGTGGCCGGGGGCGGTTGAGATGTATTATTGTACGTACCTATCTACCTCCTACCTAGTAGGTTACTAAGGTATGTACCTACATACCTACCTAGTACTATGTAAGTAAAATACCACCATGATAGTACTTACCTACATAAATTGTAGTCAACTAAATACATATTACTATACGTGGGAATTCTTAGATCAATGTTCACCTGGGCATGGATTAATTAACAAGATCTTCCTTTCTTTTAGCTCCATCTTCCATCCTCCAGCTTCTCTGGCAGCCTCTTCTCCCCCCTTCTAACCTACCACCTCATAAAATGATCTGCCTTGCAGCCCCGGGGCTTCTTTAACGGAACGGCGACGTCCTCTCACCGTCACTATTATTCGTGAATACCAATTTAACCAATATACATAATATTACTTACTACACTCTTTTATCCCTTCCTCCTTCTACATCTGGGCTACCTGATCTCTTACTCCAGTAACTACCTACCTGCTCACATGCCGAGAGCGACGTCTTCTTTCTGAGCCTCTTTACGCCGACTTACCCCTCGTATTTTCACCTATCTCGTGGTATTTGACGCCTATTACGCTTCTCGAGTCCCTTTCTTGCCATTCCTTTGACCAATAATTTACAATAATACGCCACGACCACCCAAAGGAGTGTGATCAATTGTAGTGATAATCCTAATCTTTTTTTAATAGTTAGGTACCAGACTTTGTTCCCTTGAGGTCTTGATTAGCAGAGTGCTTGGCGATGTATTTACCTTGCCTTGCAATCTGACTACACTCAGCTTCACAATTTGTTGAGCATACCCCGCGACAGCCTTCTTGACAGCTACATAACTTCTTCGTCTTGTTTCTCCACTACCAATCACCAAACCTCCGAGTCGTACCGCCTCCACCACACTTTCGGCCGCCTGCAGTGTCTTTGTCTTATCGTCTGCCGTTGAGTGGTGTCATTCTAGGTCGCACCGGATCCCCGTGCTCCTTACCGAGGCTTCTTAGGTTCGCGAGTCTTGGTTAGACAAGACTTGTCAATTTCATTACTAGGCCTGAATCTGCAAGGATTTAAAATCCCCTAACTGCCTGGTCGGGGGTTCACCAAATAACCAATTACCAAAACTGTGTGTAACTGTTCAACCTGACCGATATTTAAGGAGAGGGGAGGGGGCGTGGTTCTCGATATTCGAATATCGCAACAATGGCGTTGCCATTGTCTCTTCACCATGACGAGGATCGTTCCGTTCTCCTTTCCGACTCGGAGGACGATGACTTGCTTCCCGCTCCCCGTAAAGTACGTGGGCCGCCACGAGCCCACTCGAGAGACGGAGAGGAGTTAATACGAAAAAAAACCAAAGAGGCGGCAGCCAACATTCCAACTCACCCAATCCCCGCTATGCAGCCAGCCTTTGCCGAGTCCTTAGTCGAAGCCACGCAGAATGTTGCACCAAAACCGAAGCTCAGATTCGCCTCGGCGAGGGACCGCCGGAACTATTTGTTAGATGCAGAAAAGGGAGCTGAGTTACATAACGAACTATGGCGACATCGACCTGGTCAAAAGTACCACGAGCTCTGGAAGCTCATGGCCCAAATATCTTTCGGCGTATACCTGATGTTGAATGGGATAGCAAACAGCAATGAGCAGGTGGTCAGTATCCTTCAACGTCACATAGACGAAGTGGACGAATTTCTGGAAATATCGCTGGAGGATATCAACTTGGCGATCAAGGATCTTCGGGAGCGCTTAGATATCCTGAAATTGCCAATGGAGAATATTAGGACATTCGAACAGATGCTAGAAGACCGCACTTTTCGTTTGAAGATAGTAACTGGAAACGAAAAGATCGAACACATCATCTCTAGAACGACGGCCGTTCTCGAAGCGACGATCGAAGACGTTGGTGAGGGGCTCGGAGCCACGAAGGAATTCGCCATGTATCTCAGTGATCAGCAAGACCGGACCTGGCGTCAACAACGCCCAGCAGTCGTGGAAATCTTCGATGCCATGAGGGGGAATGCCCAAGGCTGGTATAAGGCCTTTGTCGAGATGCAAGAGAAGACGTCAACTCTACGTGCATTGCTTAATAAGCTTGAGCAGATGGTCTCGGAAATGAATTATCGTGCTGGTGAAGTGAGCAGGAGAACGAGGGTAAGGGATCCCCCTTTCACCGGAATAGCTGTCTGTTGCGAGCAAAGCTAACTTTCTATTAGACCAGCATTGCCCCCTTCTCTAGTCCATTCTCTAGCCCGGAACAGCAACTCTCGCCAAAGGTTAGCTCGTCACGCTCGTCGACCTTCTCGTTTGGTAGACACCCACCAGGACTCGTGCTTTCGAAAAGCATGTCTCAACTATCCATGTCAGGCTCTAATGCAACTAAGGAAACCCTCATCGTCCAGTTCGCTGCTCCAATGGAGCTAACAGAGCCGGTAGAGTTAGAGGCGAACAGTATTCCAAAGACCATCGTGACTGTTGAAGAAGACTCAGAAGATTCGGAGGACTCGGATGATTCCGAAGACCTGGAATCTGATCATGAATCAGGGAAGGCCGAGCCGGCAGTAGATGAGGGACTCTTTATTTTGCAGCCGCGGACTTATACCCCACAACCACCAGCGCCGATCCCTTCACCGAGACTGCAAGACCCGCCAACACCGGACCGGGAAGAGCGACCAACAAAGCGAACATCATTGCGGCAAAGATTGTCTGAAAAAGGGAACAATCTACCCGAGGCCATTCAAGTTCCTATCCGTGCCACGCCTGTGCTCCAGAGGCCTAAGACTTCCGCTGCACATCAGCAATCTCCCAGACAACCAGTTCCGCGCGTTTATCAAGCTCCAGACTCGGCTTATGGCTCTGATAACGAAACGCGTTTGCCTGGTCGTTCGATGACCGATGTTGGGGTTGTCACTATCGCCAACATGCCGCCGCCTGTCTTTCCGGCCGCCACGATACCTTCACCGCTTTCTGACCAGCAACATTATTTCCCCGTGCGCGCAAGTCCTCATTCGCCTCTACAGCAGAGGCCATGGACATCGGCCACGAATGCTCCTCCCGACCAAATGCGAAACCAGCCATCAGCTATGGGGATGAGTACTTTGAGCAACATGACAACCCTAAGTCCTGAGAGTAATCAGAAGTTGAAAAAGAAGCGTAGCGCTTTTGGGTGGTTGAAAAAGGCATTTTCCCTCGACGAGGAAGAACGCGCAGAGTTTGAAGCAAGAAGGGCTCAGCAGACTCCTAACCCATATTACGAAGCTCGAAGCCCGAGATTTGTTGATGGAAGACGTCGCCCGGAATCTAGACGTCAACAATAAGGTGAATAGAAAGAAAGTTGAGCATCGAGAAACTTTCTGGTTGGGGTTAGCTTATATCAAGGCATTATCCGTCTGCATCGATTCTGATAGGGCATGGATTGGATCAAGGAATCAAGGATGTGCGATCGACAGGCACGGAATGCAACAAAATGCATCAACTAATCAGCTGGGCCAAGAAGCAGCCTCCAGTTATGCGATACATGGAGTTTCTTCAGCTCCTTTATCGGGCTAAATATCGACATATATAAAAACAACGGGCGGGCATTCTAGCATCGCTATACTGCTGATCTACGATGCCCCTGAAACCACTAGTGTCTCATTTACTACAGCACATGTTCGTGTCATAGTGCAAGGTAGATGGACGAAGTGGCCCAAGCATCTACCTATAGCATAACCAGAGCTTAGGGTAGGTTACGGGAAGAGAGAGCATAGCGACAAAGATGAGAGAGAATAAGGTTGGCTAAAGGAAAGCCTCTACTCTCGATGGAAGATACCCTTTCCTTTTCTATATTCAAGATTGCCTGTGTCTTTCCCTCCACACCAGGCATTATTATATTATATGGTGGTAGTAGGGATGTACGATATAGGCGAAAGTTGGAGATTTCTTGTACTTCTCATGGGATATTCTCGTGGCATAGCGAAGCATTTGCGGACGTACGGAGTTGGAAGGGGTATCTGGAACATTTGAAGTTATTCATGTAAACCTAGACATTGTGGCTGTTTTATTGCCATGTTGCGACCAAAAGTTATTGTAGTGATCAAAGCATTTTCAAGTTTAGCTAGCATGCTTTTACCGTGGGCATGTATACTACTAACCTAACCCTGGTTACTTGACTTCTATCACGTAACTACTACTAGTAGTATTTCCCAACTAAACAGCAAACCCCTGCATTCAGCGAAGATTCAATGTTGCAATTTACTAGGTAAGGCACGATAGTTCAAGGCTTGTCTCAGCTCAGCCCTTTGTTCTGTCGAGACATCTTTAGGCTAGCATGTCACGTATGACATTGTATATATTGTACATGTATGGATGTATATGTATTATAGTAACCCCCCGTTTCTATAACATCGAAGGCCGCTAGGTATTGTACCTAGGAGGCAGGCCAACTCAATAGCTGGGCACCGGAACGATCTGCGGTGATCTATCTCATTGGATCTACATTACCTACATTTAACTAACCAACTAACTTAACCATAAATCCTTTCGACCCACGTGAAATCGGAGATTGTGCCGCGTGCGATCTTGTACCTACAGTACCTAGTGCAAATACTATTACGTCGTATGTACAGGTTTGGGTTGGGTTGAAAAAAGTGGTTCCCTTCATTGTTGCTTGCTTGTTCATCGACTCATCCTTCTCGGATAGTGGGCTGCGATCTACAAATAATACCTGGTAAGATTGATTCGTAATGTTCACATGTTGACGACTTATCATGTACTGAGGTAGGATTGGTGATGGTATACGAGGTTAGATAGATAGTCTACCTCGGCGTCGTACTTTGTATAACATAGGTAGGTAATAGGTAGGTAAGACGGAAATTCGCGTATTTTCCGATAGTTATATCGATGATGAATTGATTCTGTATGCCCGGCCCATAACAATTATCAATTCTGGCAAGTACTTCGCAAGAGGCTAACAAAGAAGAAGAAAGATCTTACGACGCGGCCCCCTAAACTACTAACTATTAGATCTCGGCTTCCTTCTAAAAAGCCCCTTGGCGTGCCTCTGGGGGTGGAGCTTTTCATTACAGCTTGCATGAATCGTTTAGTTAACTACCTTCTGTAATGGCTGATCGGAGTAAGGTAAGGTAAGGCAAACAGGGGTTCAATGGGGTTTGGGTTGGAGAGAGACGGAGAAAAAGAGAAGAAGGGCAGCTGACTTTTTTCATGTTCAATGTTTGTTTGCTGCCTATAACTAGTTAGCGAAACCTCTTTATATATTAACTTATTACCTATTACCTATTACCTATCTATTACTTAACATATCCACTCGAGTTACACGTAAACGACGATCGCCTCTAATTTATAGAGTTTGCTTCTTATTATACCATCGACCTATTTATCTATAGGCTATAGTCGACAACTCTTATAATACTCTCGATTGCCCCTCGTTATGAATCGGTACATAGGTAGCTGAGAGGTTCTTCTTAAGTTCTTAATCGTCTATACACCCACCCACCCGTGAGAGGCAGTGAGAAAAAGAAAGGGAAGGAAGGAAGGAAGGAAGGAAAAAAGCAATAATCGCAATGTCGCGCTTCTTCGCCCGCGGGCCAGAGCCCTGGGATCCGTCTCATCGGTTCGTGACCTCGTGGCTGCTACCGCCGTACGCACTGTTTGCGTGCCGAGCGTTGATGGTAAGTTATTGTTGACTGCTTTTTTTAAAAAAAAAAAAATATTGGATGCGCCTTTGAGATTATCTATACCAATCAATATGTGCCTTTTGAGTTTATTCCCAACCCCATCACCCCTGTTAAAGAATCGCAACACTACTTAGGTTAGGCACATACGGGCTTTGGAATATGCTCAGCACACATCGCCCATTCCATTCCCCCCCAATCTCCAACCAAACTACGCGCCACCATAGCTAACCCCCTTTTCCCCCACAGTCCCTCTACGCCTTCACCACCCTCCTCTTCAACATAATCTACCAGTGCGCCACGCCCTCCGCCGGCGGGTGCGCCGAGTCGCGCCGCGACTTCTCCTACTTCACCGTGCTCACCTACTGGGGCCTCGCCTTCTACCTCCTCTTCGCCGCCCTGCACACCTTCACCTACGCCCGCTCCCGCCCCCCCCACTCCCCCCTCCTCACCTCCTGGCCCCCGCCCCTACAGTCCCTCCACGCCCTCCTCTACTCCTCCGTAACCACCTACCCCTTCCTCGTCACCGTCGTCTACTGGGGCGTCCTCTACAGCTACGGCCCCGCCTGGTTCCCCACCCCCCTCCAGGCCTGGAGCAACCTCTCCCAGCACGCCCTCAACAGCGCCTTCGCCCTCTTCGAGATCCTCCTCCCCCGCACCACCCCCCCCTCCCGCCCCCTCCTCCACGCCGCCGGCCTGCTGGCCCTGCTGGCCCTGTACCTCGGCCTGGCGTACCTGACGCACGCGACCGCGCACTTCTACACGTACCCGTTCCTGGACCCCGCGCAGACGGGGCGCCTGGTCGCGGCCTACGTCTTCGGGATCGCGGCCGTGACGCTGGTCGTGTTTGCGCTCGTGCAGGGCCTGCTCTGGACGCGCCGGTGGGTCACCGAGGAGAAGATGGGGATGCGGGGCAAGTTCGCGGCTGGGAGGAGGAGGAGGAGGGCGGGTGTTGGGGGGGACGAGGAGGAGGATGCGGAGATGGCGGTGGTGGTGGGGGGGAAATAAACACCTACCTGACCTAACCTAACCTACATACATTATTTTGAAAAAAAGAAAGAAGAATTTGGTGTTGCTAGTCACGATGGGCTAAGTAAGTACCTACCTACGAGCGAAATATATATAGCCAGCGCTGGGTGTATATAAATTAGACCGATCTGGAGGTTGTTGCACATTCTGTGCATTAGCGCCATCTCTATTCCGTGAACATAGGCAAACCCCCTGGACGCGGAGTATGGTGGTACGGCACAGTACGGCACAGCACAGCGGCAGTGTTCATATCAGAAATCGCATAGTTATGGGATATAGCATTTTTGAATTAGTCTTTGGGGGTAATAATCTAATAACCGGAATTCATATCCTTTCATGGTACAGAGAGTACAAAAAAGTACATTAGTTTTATCCCGTCCATTTCTATGCATGCCTACCAAGCATTCGTAGCTTTGAAGTACCTAGAGAGGCAGAACTCATTAATTCACCGCGTCCATCACAGGAAAGTGAGCGAGGACTGGTGATATCAAAGCCCCCCTAACCTTCATAGGTCCGTCGACAGGTATCAGCATTTCAGATTGATACCGCGTTTCATCTCCCAATCTCTCATCTCGGACATGACCCTTACACCCACGTAGAATGCAAAATAGGCACCCAACATGAACACGTAGCCTATATAGTATGTTAATATACCTGATCTAAAAAAAAAAAAGCATGTGAAGCATACGGATGGGGGGAAATTTAGTGTAAACTCACCAGAAACGTTCCTGAATATCCCCTTAATGATATCCTGGAGCCCCTCCACACCAACTGAAAACCCGACCAGATTCGCCGCGATCATCATGAAAATATTTATTACAGCACCTACGGCGGTCAAGATGCGGTAAGTCTCTGGCCGGTTTTCCCATTTCTTCTCCGGGAACAAGAAACCCGCGGCCATCTCGGGCAGCATGAAGAGCACGATGAGCCAGCCCCAGATGAGCAGACGCATCTGAATGTCGTGCCAGAGTGCGACAAAGGTGAAGACTAGAACGTAAGTGAGTATGGAGCGCATGGTGTCGCGCGCGGTACGGAAGCTGGATCCGCCGAGCGGCACGTATATGTAGCGCAACGACCAGCGGTAAAAGCTGCGATGCCACGAACGCCAGAAAGCGAGCGTGCTCCAATTGTCGCTGACGCAGCGGACCATGTTCTCCGGGGGGTCGACACCATCAACGAGAGCCCAAAGGCGAAATAGTCGCCAGGGGAGGAGCAATTTCAGCCAGATTAAGTGTAGGCTCATGAAGCTCAGTAAGGAGAGCTGCGGAGGTGTATATTCTGCCCAAACCGGATTCCCCTTGGCTATGGCTTGCACGTAGTTAAAATGCAGCATCACTTCCATGACGAGTAAGGTTATTACAAAACGTATACCGTAGCGGATTGTGCGTCCAGTCTCGATGGTCGCAGACTTGTATCGTAGCTGAGAAATGAAGTCATTAAAGGTGATGATAGGCCCCGTAAGATACAGGGGCGCGTAGATGGCGTATGCGACGTAGTTTCTAAACGAATAGTCCTTTGCCTGCGCCGGGGTTGATATACGATCTCGTTCGCTTAACTCTGCCGGATCGATCTGTTTCTTCTTAGGCGTATCAGTATAGCTTCACGGGGGTTGAGGTCGCTTGACATAACTCACTTCTATAGGGCTATAGCTTCCACGATCTAAACTCCAGTAGTAATCCAGGTTGAAGCTGATCAAGCGTAAAACGGTGATGTTGAACAGGATTTCCCACCGACCCATGAGCCCACTGTAGCCATCCAGCCACCTGCCCCATGATATCAATGTTGAACCCGAGCCGATGAGGGAGTTTGGAGGAGGGGGTCCCGTAATCCATACAGCCATCTCCGCAAATCGGTAGCCCTTGGATAACTCGTTCGCAAACAAAGTACCGACGTTGAAGATCCACGACGCAGCCGGTACATACTTTCGGGGTAAAGATGTAGCAACTTGGTAGTTCAGCCAGAGAATTGCGAGGATTTTAAAAGCTGAAACACCATGCAGCACCACGAGATATATAAGCGCGAAGCCGAAGTCGAACGAAGCTCGTTGGTTTAGTCTTTGATCGGCTTCTTCTGGGGTTGGTCTTGCCGACTGTGCCGTTGAGCGAATTGGATACACAATTGAGTTGTACACCCGACGGAGGAGGGGGTGGAATATAAGAAGCGCCACCAAGTATGGTATGTTACCTCGGAAAGTACGGTATTGTGAATCCGAGGCATCCTTCAAGCTATTAGCATATACAGACCGTAATTTGGAGGGGGGGGGGGGATCAAGGGATGCCTACAATCTTGCGTCCGGGAACCCATCCCGGCGAGAGGAAGCGCTCGTATCTCTTATACTTGTAGTCCGTCGATCTCGAGGCATCATAGGCTGTGTAGAACATGAATGGGATGAGAAAGAACAGAAAGACGTAATAGAAGTAGAACTCGGGTGTGTGCCATAGTGGCTTGCGGGCCGCTCGACTATTCCATTTGGTAGCCCGGTCTTTACTCGCGGCAGTGTCGTCGCGTGCTTCTACAACGGTCTTGTAAGAGGTTGAGGATGGGGTTGTGAAGCGAGTGTCGAGGGTATCGAGATCGTAAATCTTCCCAAAGAGGGACAGGAGACCCATTGTGGAGGAGGAATTGGGAAGAAAAGCGTAGGCAAAGGTGCCTGAAGTAAGATATTATTCCATTAAGTTCAAGACATGAAATGAATCAAAAGTTTGGATTGCGATAATAAGGAGACATCACGATGATAGAAAAAGAGAAGGAAACAGGGTAAGTTACTATGTACGCAGAATGTAACAAACTCGACGATGTTAATTGGATAAAGGATGGGGCACAATATTGAACGTTGAAGTATTGATACAGGGACCAATTGTGCTAGGCAAGGAGCTAAGCAGCCCTGGAGCTACTACGCAGTACATAAATTGAAGGCCGACGCGGGCGCGGTTAGCACCGTGGAGGTTCAATGTTGAAGTCGCATTGCACTTTAAAGTGGAGATAACTATTAGTAAGTACCTTAGTAGCTCATGTACTAGGTACCCTTACCTAAGGATCACCTACTAATCGGATTGATCAATCATCAATCTACATAGCATCTCTTGAAGAACATTGAATATCATTAATGAATTACTAGGTGACCTGCCTAGTAGCGATGGGCAAGTTTGGGAGTAGATCCATCGCTTCCCGCCCCAAACCATTTCAAACAAATCGTATTTCTGCAAAACACTCATCATGGAAGGGTCCATTTCGCTTCTTCGACCTCCCTTCCGAGCTTAGATATCATATCTTAAAGCTCATCCTCCTCGAAGGAGGGTTCACCCATAGCGATGTCATTCACCTCTTCCAAACCTGTCAACAAGTATATGCCGAGGCTGCTTCAATGTTCTACCATGAAGTCTATTTAGATAACCTGCACTTTGAAGAGGTTGTCAATACTTTCTTGACGGGGCCCTTTACCAGAGTAGCCCCGCGCCAGTACGTGCGAAACTTGACCATCAAGTTCGCCTTGAAGGAACATGTCCATCTGTTTGGGGAATCATACGGCGCTGCCATAAACGCCATGGCCGAGAAAGGGACACTCCAAACTCTCAGATTAGAAATTGGGAACAATTTCCCTTGCAATGAGTTCTGGGGTGACGAAGATGAGACGTGTGTTTATGAAGACGTTCGCGTCGCAGCTGGGAAAGGAAAAGGGGCAGTACTATCAGCGCCTCTATTTATAACGGAGATGCCATTCCAGAGCTTCCTAAGATTTCTCGAGGGGTCCAAGGTCCCAAAGATCACACTCCACGTCGAAGCTGATGATCATTCCAAATTATGGTGTCCGTTTCATCGGTCTCCTCCGTCCGGCGCGAAATGCGACGGAGAATTTATGGGCTTCCCGGGACTGCTAAGAATCAAAACCCGGAGTTTAATAGGAACTCTCAAAGGAGCAACGAGCTGTTTATCTAGCATATGAGGGGGTACTACCATTTATCCGGCATTGTTTGACTGGGTTAACATTGCCTTGTCGAAAGCCATGTTCAGATTGCGACTGGACACTATTGCAGTTATAAGAGTAGCAATGTCGCTAGGGATACCGCATCGAATGGTACGCGAGTACGCGGGCACACGCTAACAATAACCAATATATATTCGGGTGTAAGAACGGTGGGTGTCGTTAAAGATGTTCGCAATACATTAACGAGATTATACATGTAGCCCTGGAGGTGCCGAGTTACACTTACATAGTACATAACTTGGGTCTGCTCAAACTTGAAGCTTCAATGTTATATCATGGTTTGTAATAATCAAAACTTGAACCTTTTTACTGTTGGCTACCAAAGTGGAGAGTTATCCCGGGTATTTACAAAAGTATATGGATGTTCAGAGCACTTTCCACACCCAACAACGAAGTTTGCTGACCTACCCCACCATTGGTACAGCTTTGGGCTTAGGGTTAAGGGAATACCGACGTCAGATCTTAAAGTAGGATCCAAATCCAACCAAATCCACTATTGATTTGGAAATCGCCACCATATGATTGGATTGTGCTGACTTGTAATAGCGATAGGTACATAGAAGGTAAGTACGGTCCAACAACGATAAGTGCAATACCAACATGTCCAATATATTTACCTGTGTGCAACGTTGCTGAATTATTCTCAGAGTCAATTTCTTTATCTCTTACGACTACCTAATTCTTTCAGTTAACTATTCAAGGCCAGCTCGTTAGACCTCTAAGCGCCATCATCATTAATGAGTATTGCCAATTCGCTCTCTCGCTACGGTATATACTTTATTCTTACTACCATCATTCGCTAATATCAATCTTGCCGTTCAATCACCAAAAATGAGCCGCATAGCGGTGAAGCAGTTCAACCTGGTTCGAGGTGCTATCGGTGTAGCATCACGGCGAGTGACCAGCAAATGGCCAACTAATACAATCAAGACGAGACACTACAGCTGGAGACAACCAATAGGAATTCAGACATGTCTTCTGCAAACTCGCCATCTTAGCACACAGTCACCTACACCTGATGGCAAGGAGGAAGAGGGGCAAACAGGAACATATAGTGAAGCTGATCACGAACATGCTGTCATATCTACTTTTGATCTTTTCTCTATCGGCATTGGCCCTTCCTCATCTCACACAGTTGGACCTATGCGTGCTAGCGGCATCTTCATAACCGATCTGGTTGAGGCCGGCTTACTGGATAAAGTGCACAAAATACGCATCTCCATCTACGGAAGTCTTGCGCTCACGGGCGAAGGGCAGTACGTTCTCATCCATGATTATCCAAATACAACTAGACTGCATCGGTGGGGCGCATTTACTGACTCGATATCTTTGATAGCATGACTCCCTCTGCGCTATTGTTGGGTCTTGAGGGAGCTAATGTAGAGTCTGTTGACACTTCCTACGTGCCCACTCGCTTTGCGCAGATTAAAAAAGACAAGAAACTCTTCTTGGGCCATGGACTACCCTTTGGCGAAGGCAGAGAAATCGACTTTGACTACGACAATGACTTCAAATGGGAATGGGGTAAGAAACTGCCCTTGCACAGCAATGGGATGCGTTTCATGGTATTCGACCACGAAGGCATGATGCTGGCAACCAACGACTTCTTCAGCGTCGGTGGCGGTTTCGTGGTCAACGGTGCATTATCCACTGCTGCCACGGCTGCTTCAGAGAAGCAAGCACTGGAAAGCGCCTCGGTCGCGGCCAATGAGTTACAAGCAGAGGGAGGCGGCGGGCATCCCGCTGATTTGGCTGAGAATTTGTTTTATAAAGAAATAAGACGAGCTGATGCGGCGGGGGATCGCAGGACTGGTTCCGAGATTAGACCCCAAGATGCAGACCTCGCGGAAGGGTCGATCGCTGGGCCTGAAACTGGTCCAAAAGAAGTTTCTAACCGCCCAGATGCGTCTGCAGTACCAGAGAATGCGACTGCTAGGACTGATACTGCCTCCCAACAACCTCGTTATCCATTCCGTGACGCAAATAGTCTTTTAGCGCTTTGTAACAAGCATAATCTGACTATCGCGCAATTGGTGTACGAGAACGAGAAGAGCCATGGCTATAGCGATGAAGAGATCTTTGGGAAGGTAATGCGCATCTGGGAGGTCATGGACGATAGTATACTGGAAGGTGTTCAGGCGCCCCTCGACGCGACTCTGCCAGGCTCACTTAAGTTACACAGGCGAGCGCCAGCTTTATATAAGCGGTTAACGAGGGGCCTCTATCCCTCTCATACTGAGTCTCCCGGAACTGCCAATCAGCAACCGCAGTTATCTTCTCCCACGAGTGATAATAGCGAGAGCAATGTGTCGGCAGCTGACACAGCCATAGCCGAGTTGCCCAAATCACTGACGACATTATCGACCCGGCAAAAGTTTAGCAAACGTGGTCCTCCACGAATACATGGATCCCTCTACCATCCTCTAATGCCGTCACCTCCACGTCGCACCACCTTCCCAGCCATGGACTATTTGACAGTATACGCAATTGCTGTCAACGAGACAAATGCGGCAGGTGGACGAATTGTGACTGCACCAACGAACGGCGCTGCAGGCATAATTCCAGCGGTACTCAAGTACACGATCGAATTCATCAGCGATGACCCCGAGCGTGATATTATGACGTTCCTTCTAACAGCATCAGCCATTGGCATGTTGTATAAGCGTGGAGCCACCATCTCGGCAGCCGAAGGGGGATGCATGGCAGAAGTCGGCGTGGCCTGCTCCATGGCAGCCGGTGCCTTTGCAGCGTGTATGGGTGCTCGACCGGAAACCATCGAACAGGCGGCAGAAATTGGCATCGAGCACAATTTGGGTCTAACCTGCGATCCCATCGGTGGTCTTGTCCAAGCACCGTGCATCGAGCGCAATGCCCTCGGCGCCGTCAAAGCTATCTCGAGCGCGAACCTAGCCCTCAGTAGTGAAGCTGGCACACAAAAGGTCAGGCTCGACGACGCGATCCGCGCTATGAGACTCACGGCTCAGGGTATGCGCAACGAGTTCAAGGAGACGAGCCTCAGTGGTTTGGCTACTAGCGTGCCGCTGAACATACCCGTCAGTGTGCCGGACTGCTAAGTTTGGGTTGTTTTTGGTGTGCTTCCTTGCCGAAGATAGGAGTCTCCCGGAGATAAGGGTATTCTGGGTTTTGCTGAGAACATTTGTTTACAACTATGGAGCATAAAAGAGGAAAGAAAAATATAGACTGGGGCTAGGGGGCTTAGATGCTGTAGATGCCTGCCCTATGATTTCGGGATGGTGTTGTACGAGGCGTCGGCTTAGATATAGTTTCACATGGGAGTCTGGATAAAGCGCCGTGTTTGGTTTTACGTTGTTTTAATGATGCATACCTAGGTACTGACCTATGGAGATACATAGAATAGCGACGAGCAATTAGTTCCTTTAGATACTGTAGAAAAAAAGGCAACTTACCCGGGTGCGTACCTGCATACCTACAGTACCTCGTACCTGACTAATAAAGAGTGCCCCTGAATAGATCCGTCTGGCCCAAGGCAGTATAATCAGGGGCACGGGCTTCAGCTGTCTGCCTTGCCCATCTACTTACATAACTAGTACTAGGCTAGGGGCAGGGTCGTAGTTGGTTTAGTGTGGCATTATCGATTCCCTGGCCAGGTAGGTACATAGGGTACGAGCTATTTGACTAACCTAGTAGTTAGTTAACTACATCGTAAATTTTATGCGTGTTGGTTTTATGGGTGAAATAACCCCCTTTTTTTCTTCGGCCTGGGTTTGTGGTATTGGGTTTGCTTTTATGTATCTTCTTTTTTTTTTTGGATTTACTTGCTTCCAAGTCTGGTACATAGCTGTGATGTGATGTGGTGTGTCTGTTCTGCGGGCTTTTGTACATCCGTCGGATGGACGAGAGATCAAATACCTAGGTAGGTATGACAAATTTGATTAACTCTGGGTTTAGAAATTCTGAGAAGATTTAATAATAAACGAGCTGGGCCAGGCTATGTATGTATGCCATGTTATGTTAGCTGGCTGGCTGGCTGGCTGGCTGGCTGGTATATTCAACGCCGTGGTAAGGGGGAAAGACCTGTCGTCGCAACTTCCTTAGGGGTAAGTATGCGGCGCGTAAAGTTACTCTAGCCTAGCACTATATATAATCCTATTCCCGTGATAGGAGAAAAGGGTTCTGTCCGTTCCAGCGTATCTTATATAGGTATCAAACTTTGAAAGGCATACATAGGTAATGATGCTTTAATTGTTTCTGTTGTTTCTTCCAAGTGAGATTGCGTCTAGTGTATAGTAATTTGGGATGGCTACTTGGCCACCGTTGGATCCTGTTGTCGGTTTGTGTTAGTCTTAATAGGTAGGTAGGTCTAAGGTGTTCGAGTTCTAATATAGGTATACACCATACGGAGTATATTTCAAGCCTGTGTCGGGGCTTATGTCATGTTAGGTTAGGTCAGTAGGAGGATAGGTAGGTAGGCCATGCATATATACGTGGGCTTTGTTCCATTCAGCGAGGGCCTCTTCGGCTGAGCTTTCCTTGGAGTTGGTGGTACTTTGGAGGTTCTTGATGAAATCTAACGTGAAGTATCGGTCGGTCATAGACTGTGTTGCTCGGAGGATCAAAAGATAGGTAGGTATGGACGCTTTACTTAGTCAGATACCCAATAACCCGACAAATACGAGGTTTCCCCCCCTTTGTGGTTGATATGTGTTCTTTACGCGTAGAAAGCTCTCGGCGTTGGGGTTGGTTCTTTTTCGTTTCCTCACGATTTGATCTATCACGTCTGGTATTGGCATCTATGTAGGTAGAGCGATTCAACGTATTTGAAATTCTCAAGGGTCAAATGCCATCATTTGAAAGAGCGGTCCAGGCCGGCTTGAGTTTGTACAGAAATTGCCGGATAGGGGTAAAATCGGTGGGCGATACTTGCGTCCCTACCAACAGCCATGGGTGTGAGACCAGCAGTATCCATAGGGAGTCGACGACTAGGTTCACTGTGGCTTAATGACCCATCAGACTTTGCCAATTCCTTCTTCCGCATAGGGGTCCGGAGGCTGGCTATGGAGTACAGATCAGCCCCAACCTATTCGTACCCTTTTGGATGTAGTTGTCAACTCTATTTATCTTGGCGAGAATGCAAGCTTCTGGGTCTTGCACATGAACCACGCCATTCCTACTCCGACTCCAGCTTAGTAAATTACTTGTCATGTATGTGCATAAGAATGCCTCATAGGTAGAAAGAAGAGTCCTTTCCAAGATGATAGCACCGGTTTCTAGAAGCTATGTACATAGCAGCTTTAGTTCGATAGTCGGGATTTCGGGCTTAGCCACTCGAGTAGCACTACCAACTCTATCCACAATCGGGGTATTCCTGATAGCCGTCGATCCCACGAGTGCCAGATTTGGCGGCGGCATCGTCCCATTCTGCATGCTTAGGACAGTTCCAACGCTGCCCCATGCATTGTTCGAAAGGCATATGGACTTGCTTTTCAAGGGCAACCAGGGAGCCCCATGAAGAGGAGCGAGAATAATGCCGTTTTGCTCGTGGAGAAACCAAGCTCTTGGGAGCGGGTCAGGGGTCCCCGGGGCCAGGCGGGTGGACGGCTTGGAAGGGACCCATGGTACTAGGTAGTCTAGAACTTGTCGAGGACTTGAGGATGGTATTTATTCATGCATGATCTTGAAATTCGCTGTCAATGTCTCGGCATTTTTAGATGCCCAAGTTGCAAATTCCGTCAGCGTGCCTGTGCTTCAAACCCGTTCTCGTCTTCTTCGTATGAATGAACACAAAGTCCGAGTATGGGGTCTCGCTCAGTCATGGAAAGGCAGTGCATACATACAGACATACCATGCCACGTATTGAATTGCAGAAGGAGTTCAATGTTATGCGGGATGTCCCGGATAGCCTCATGGATTTACGCTTGTGTATAGATAGTAGGAAGTAGTAGTCTTAGTGTTGTTGACAAGAACAGAACGTATGTTTTTTTTGGGATAATTCTGTGCATGGCAGCTACGGAAGTGCAAAAGGCGGAGGACACAGCCTCAAATATACCTCAGCTGAGCAGCCTGAGCTACTAGGTACCTAGCCTAACTAACCCTAGGCTACTAGACTACCTAGTAGGTACAGTACCCTACATACATACATAGTACATACATCATGCAGTTGTCACTGTCAGTGATGATGTAGTAGATTTCAAGTTATCAAACAAACTACTGTTACTAGCGGGGAGTTAAAAAGATAGTACATCTATAGTCCGGTATTTATCAATTCCGAATCTTTGATTCCGTTCCATTGGCTAATCACCACTAACCACCACTAACCACCACTAACTACCCTAACTATGTACATGTAATGCGAGATGCCGGTACCTGAGAAGTAGGGTCGGTCCACTTTACTCTTTCTAGTTTGGATCTTAACCTATTTTTAATAATTTTGATGAGAGGTGCATTTGGGTGCATTTTATGAAACTACTCCCAAGTTTTATGCAAAAGCCTTCAATATTACATAACCCTCCAGGGCGATCTCGGATTACTACACGTGTACGTAGAGGCTGTTCTTAGCGTGTGGCTGTATCTTTGTGTGCACATGGCATTCCACGATTCTGAAACGACTTGCTTTAACGTTTAAGATAAAAGAATTCGGATGAAAATAAGACTTCGGATAAAAAAGAAGGTATCGATTAACCCAGGACCTATAGGCCAGCATACTATGCAGGAATGGATCTGTAAATCACGTGCCCCCCCCTTAGCTTACATATCCTACTATGCAAGAGAGAGCTAACCCCGGTCTTCTCTCCTCAACTTGTTGTTTGACTTGTTTCGTCTCATTCTACTTAGTTATAGTAACTGTTATACCGCACTACCTATCCGCACTTAGTGTATCCACTAGACCACGAAGGTAAGGCATATTGAACATCACAATACGCGGACCTTCGTACAAGCTCGGATAACACCTGCGATATACGAAGCATTAATCACTCTCCAAGTTCGTCATTGCCTACAACCTCTAGAACAGTGGCAGAGCATTGGTCAACCCCACAACATCGGACGAAAGACCCAGCTGTCCACATATCGCAGCCCTATGATTTTCCCCGTCGAGAGTTTAGACTCTTTAGAGCCATCTCGTCAGGGGTTGGCTCGGTGATCATCGGGTCGACATACTATGTACGAAGTGCTATGTCAGTATCATACCCTACCTATGTAGGTTAGAACTTCACTACGGCATGAATGACTAGTTAGCTAGTCGGGAATACTCAATCTCGTAAATCTCGCTCATTTTCAAGTAAGGTCAAGTTTACAGTACATCGGAACTTCCACTAATGACTATGCAGCCGGTCGATCAGGAATGCTTGACCTTCCAAGGCTTCCTTCTAACGGGATACGCGGGATACGCGGATGCAAAATGTGATGAGGTATAAAGTCTAGCATATGGCCGCCATGCCTAAGCTATCAATCACTTTCTCTACCACCCTCTTCACGATAAACCTCCTCGCCGAATACTCACAATGGTTTCTCGTGTCTTCCTCGTTAGCGGCTTAACTGCCGTCGCCGCAGCAGCTCAATCACAAATACCAGTTGTCTCCTTGGCCGACGGAGCCAAGTGTGGCTGCACTCAGCTTTCGGCAACGTACGGCAACCTCACGCTCTTTGATAACTCTACAGATTACAGCACCGAGATAATCAATTTCTGGGATATACGATCCGACTTGAGTCCCCACTGCATTTTCCAGCCGGAGACAGCAGCTCAAGTGGCCGATGCTGTCAAGATATTCTCATCCTGTGGCACTCAATTCGCCATTCGTGGAGGTGGCCATATGAATGTAAGACCGATATTTGACTGAAGACGACTGAAGATGAATTCTTATTAACCACTTGGCTATTAGTATCCTGGCGCAAATAACATCAATGGCGGCGTTTTACTCACGCTCAACGGATTAGCCGAAACTAAAGTTGACGAGAAGGCCTCTACGATCGAAGTCGGACCGGGTTGCAAGTGGGTGGATGTGTATGGTGCACTTGCTCCGTACGGGCTATACACCATCGGTGGCCGTATGAAGACCATTGGCGTACCAGGATTATCGCTCATTGGAGGATTCCACTACTTGATTAACAAGTATGGCTACACCATGGACAATATCCTGGGCTACGAAGTCGTCTTAGGAAATGGTACCCAGGTCACCGCTAACGCCAAATCGAACCCCGAACTTTTCTGGTCACTGAAAGGAGGAGCAAACAACTTCGGAGTTGTCACCAAGTTCTTGTTCAAGGCCTACCACATCCCGCAAGTCAGCACCTCCATACATATCTACAACGAATCCGCCATAACCGACTTCATACAAGCAACGGTGGATCTTAACAATAACAACGGTCCGGAGATTGGTGCCGGTGCTTTCATCACCATAAGTTACAACGCCACAACCAAGGCCGTTTCTGCCACATTCTTTGGCGTCCAAGAGGGCACAGAATCACCACCGTCTCGATTTGCCGGCTTTGCCAAGATTCCCTCCGTGTCCACCATCCACAACGTGACTACACCGAAGCAATGGCACTCCCAGCTTGAGACTCCCAATCAGATGTTCCGGTACGTTCATAATTAAACCTGGTCGTTTATAAATGGGTTACTAACATACTTGTGCAGTATCCAATTCGGACATCACACCATGAAGCCCGACGCAAAGCAAGTAAACCGCATCTACCAGGGCTGGAAGAAGGCAGTCGATAGCCTCAGTGACGTTCAAGGGCTCCAACCAACCCTCGCTCTCAACATCATGCCCAAGAGCTCCATGAGCGTAGCCAAGCACAATGGTATTGGCAACACTTGGGGTCTGGATGATTGCGACAACCTGCTGAGTTCGTCTCCCCCCTTTCCAAATCTAACCCAAGGACAAACTCGCTAACTTCTTTTTTTTTTACTTGTAGTTTGGCAATTTGCTACTGGCTGGGCTAACGCTGACGATGACCTACGCGTGACCAACTGGGCCAAGTCGCTTTTGGAGTACTGGCACGAGGACACCAAGGCCAGGGGCCTCGCCTCTGAATTCTTATACATGGGCGACTCTGGCGAATTCCAGGACCCTTTCTCTAGCTACCCCGTTGCCAATGTTAATCGCCTGTTGAAGGCTCGCGCCAACTACGACCCTCTGGGTGTCTTTTCTCGCCTGAACTGGGGTGGATTCAAGCTTCCTGCTTAAGCGATTCTTGTGGTGGTAAATATATGCGCGAGTGTCTTCGCATGTATAGGTGCCTACCAACCTACTTTATATATATTCTTATCTGCCTTGGGGCCAAATACCTAGTATGAATAACGATCGATACATTCTTGATAGAAAACCTTCCCCCGTTGCAATTCCTTTTAACATAGACTACTTACTACCTATTTAATACACATGTCTTCTGTGATGTGGATAGGTGGGTTTCGGTTGATTTTGTCTCTATGTAGGTGTATTGTGTTGCTCATTGTAAGAGATAGGTACCTCCAGGGCTACCTAGAAAATTATTTCTGTGGCCAGCGACAGCTGAGTTCGTAAACCATGGTATCGGTCATGGTCTCATCCCCGCCCCCCTTCTTGCGGCTCTGCTTTCCCCGTGCCACACACAGCCCCTGGATTAGGCTGCCAGGGTTACATATTATGTAACATAGGACTTACACATGTATGTAAGTAGGCATGTAGTTTATCTCTACCGCTGAAATCACGTCCTAAAGTGCTTACCACCTCCCCAGAATCTATGAATCTCGCTAGATTCGTGAATCTCCGGTAGACCAAGTCTTCCAGTTCATTTACGCGCATCTTTTGGTGTTCTCATAAAAGAACAAAACCAACAAAGCCGCCGCAGAGTCTTGAAGCCCACTGAGTACCTCAAACGAGGATTCATGTACTTTTGGTCTGACAGGCTCGGCTTGGCTACCTGCTGTGCTGGTGCAACTTTGAAGAATTGGATACTACCTTAGTACTTGATTCGTTCCTACGCCACCACCAACAGCCAGTCGCTTATTTATCATTACGACTGTTATTTGCAGCGTGTGGCTATTTACTAACTAACTAAGCTACTTACTTACTTACGCCTGCGACCTCTATCAACGTCTGGAGTTCAGAAAAAAACAGAAAGGAGATAAAATACTATAAACCCTAAGCGCGAATATAGGGTTTCAAAACAGTGAACGATCAGCTACTCGCACAAGTCCTACCTAGGCACCTACCTACCTGGCTTCCTACATCCCCCACCATGACCAGCCTCCCCCTCAAACCCCTCAAACCCTCCTCCTCTACCACCGCCACCTCATCGCCGCCCGCCTCCGAATACGACGAGTGCCTCTCGCCCACCGGAGAACAAGACCCGTTCCTTGCGCCCTCCGAACGACAACACAACAACCACAACCCCAACGAAGGCGATGAAATAGATATCGAGCGCCAACAACAACAGCAACAACAACAACCACCAGCCTACGAACCACCTACCTCCACCACAACAACACCAACACCAACACAAGAAGAAGGGGCAGGGGGAGCAAAGCTAACGCTGCTCGGCAAGACGGTCGCGGCGGTGATCTTCTGCCTGGGCGCGGCGGTCGCGCTGACGGCTTTCCTGGCGTTTTTGAAATTGGTGGTGTGGGTGTGGCGGAAGATGGGGCTGATTTGAATTTTTTTCAGAATTTTTTTTTGAGGGGGGGGGGGGTGGGGGGGGGGGGGGGGGGGTTTGATTGCTTTTAGGAGCGAGGAGGAGGAGGATGAGGGGGGGATAAGGGGATAGTTAGAAGTGCTTTGGGGTGAGGGTTTGGTAGGGCTAAAAGGGAGATTAGGAGGGTAGGTAGGTACTGTATATGTGTTAAGAAGAAGTCGTCCGCTTTGATTGTTCGCGGATATCCGGTGTGTATACCTGCCTGGCGGGTGGTAGCTAATACATCAGGCTACTTACATCTAAGAAGGAGTTCCTTTTGTCTGTCAACGATGTGGTTTGATTGAATCTATATCTTCTTCATCCCATGAACATTATTACCAGCTCGCCGGCTCTAATCGTGTACATGTATGTAAAAGCCATTTAAATATCATGACAATAGGTTCATGTTGTGTAAGTACATAACTAGAAGCCAAGTTTTGGCCGCGTAGCTATCGTGACTGTGATTGAGTAAGGTTTTCTTGGCGTTCTTGGGTTGCTTCTTCCCCCTGACTTGTTCAGTTAGTGTCATGCAACATGATGCAAGTAAGTACCTACCCTGCGCGTCTATCGCTGATCAACATTTGGGATGAATGCACCTGCAACTTGGCAAATCGTTGCCGAGTTCAAGATGAGCGGCATGGCTTGGCTAGAACGTTCCTGGCGTCATAAAAACAGGGGTGTTGAGTTTGTTATCTATCCGGCATTCCGCATGCCATTCGATCGATCACGATAATGTAGGCTAGGTAGTAGACTAGGTACTACGGGCTTCGGCAGGTATCTCGTGATTCTTATTATTATATGCGTAAGTTTAATGTTTGAAACGTACATGCATTACCATTAGTTACCTCCCTACCAAACCTAGGTAGGTACCTACATACATAGCAGGCCATTACTTTTATACCTCCTACCAACCCAACCCACTTTTCTTTCTCTATTATAATTTCTATTTTTCAAGCTTTAACACTCGACGAAGGCTTTCCTCCCTCTCCGTTCTCACGGAGGCTCTGCAAGCCTGTCTTGTGTTCGTGGTGCTCTCTGGATAGCGTCCGTTGGCTGATGAACGGACTTATCAGAACCCCCACACCTGAAATGACCGCGTACATAATATACATGTCACGCAAACTGTTCCAATAAGCTGTGCGAGCTATCTCGCCTTGAACGCCTTGTAAAGAGGCCACGAGACCAACGTTGCCGCCGGCGCTTCCACCTGAGAGTTGTCCTGCTAGCTCTGGGCCGAGTTGAGCTAGAAGCGTTGGATATTGCTTGTCCATGCCATTCTGGAACACTACACCACCGATTACCACAGAGATGGAAGTGGACAGTTGGCGGACAAAGCCGAACGTGGAAGTCACTGCGGCGATGTCGCGGGGCTCGACGGAAGTTTGCAACGCTATGAGAGGCGACTGGAAATTAGGCCCGACACCGATACCGGCGATGATTTGATATATGATGATCTTGGCCCAATGTGCTTCGGCGCCGAGGTCGATGAATAAGCCGTATCCAAGCGTCATGAATACCATTCCAAAAATAATAGCCGGTAGATATTTGCCCGTCTTCTTCATAAAGAAGCCTGATGCGACCGACATGAAGGAAAGCGAGAGGACATATGGCAATATGTAAACACCTGAGAGTAGAGAGGAAGAAGCCAAGACCGCTTGGAAGTATAGCGGCAGGTAGTAACTTCCGGAGATGAAGACGACGCCGTGGGCAAAGCAGATCCCGAAGGTGGATATGTTTTTGCCGAATTTAAATAACCGAAGCGGGATAACCGGATACTTGGCATACCATTTCTCGACGGCGATGAAAAGGCCGATGGTGACCAGGCCGAATACAATAAGACATATCGTCGGTGCCGAATTCCAGGGGTAGGTAACACCACCGAACTCGAGGCCGAATAAGAACATGAGTGTACCGCCGATGATAAGGAGACTACCTAGCCAATCAATGGCGACCAAGCCCTCCCGAACCGGTGTACGAGGGTTGTGCAACTTGAGCACGAACAAAAGCACCGCGAACCCCACACCACTAATAGGCAAGTTCACGTAAAAGCACCAACGCCAAGTAGCTTTAGTGGTGAAGACGCCGCCAAGGACAGGCCCGATGGCCGAGGCGACAGCCCACACCATGCCGAAAAAGGCGTAGTACATGCCCCGCTTGCGCATAGAGAATAAGTCACCGACACAGATGTTGACGAGGACGATAATGCCACCGCCGCCAATGCCCTGGATGGCGCGGGCTGCTATCAACATGCCGATGCTAACACTCAGTGCGCACAGCAGCGAGCCAATCCAGAAGATGGCGACGGCAGCCAAGAGAATGGGTTTTCGTCCCCAGATATCACTGATCTTGCCCCAACTAGGGACAGTGGCGCTGTTTGCTAGCAGATAGGCCGCGCCGATCCAGGTGTAGCCGGCCGGGGACTGGAACTGTTCCGTGATGGTGGGGATAGCGGTTGCGATGATAGTGACGTCAAGGGCGGCGAGGAAGAGCGCCGAACAGAGCGCGAGAACGACCAAGGTCGTCTCTAGCTTCGTACGTCCTTTCTCAGGGTCCATGTTCGTCACGGCAGCCTCCGCCACCGCCGGGGCAGGGTTGTTAGGCAGACTGTTGGGTTGGTCGTTTGTAGCGGGGATGGGCGGAACACTTTCATTCTCTTGGCTGCTCTCGTCTTGTGCGGTGCTCGTCGAGGAGCTTCGGCGTGTATTGTGGCTAGCTGGCTTTGTTCCCTGCTCTAGGTCGCCGAGTTTCTCGTCATCGTGGACGTTTAAGGTGGCGGCCTCATGGTCCGACATCGTCCACTTTGGGACGAAGAAATTGTCGCCTTACAGAGGCGGGTTTCGCGGGGTAATATTAGCTGGGTTAATGGTACCAAATAACCTATGTTAACTTATGTTGATGAAGAGTGGTTGAAAGAAAGAGTGAGAGAAGTTTGGAAAGAGAAAAGAAATTATTCACAACAAAAATATTTGACGAGCTCAGGAGCTATTGTATCGGTTACGATGTACGCTAAGTGGGCTGGGATTTTTTGTAGTGCGTTTTATCGACACTACGGAGTGCGTTGTGGGTACTGTACAGGACTACTGTATGGTACATATGTCAGGTATTAGTGGTGATCCGTGTATTATAGAACAGGGGTAGTATAATGGCGGACACTCCTAAGAACTTGACCAGCTCGGAGTTACGAGTTGACTAATACACTAGATATTTGGATATCCGAGTATGTTATGTTCGAAGACATGTAACTCCGTGTATCAGATCAGTGAAAAGATGATACATGTATGCATGTAACCACGGAAATGCTGGAAGTGTTCGTAGAGTGACCACACCACATATGCAATAATACCTTGCATACGATATTGTGAATGAAAGAGGCGGTCGGCCAGGGTGCACCCCTTTTACGTACAAAATAACGCCATCATAGTGAAGTTCTAGGCATTAGTGTCTCCTAGGTTCGGAGGAAGAACTGTGCGAAGAGGCGAGAAATACATAACTAGGTGAGAAAGATGTATTGAAAAGGAACAAAACAGCGAATCAGAAAATAGTTAAAGGGATTTTCTTTTTGGATGAAGCGGAGTTTATTATAAAACCGAGAATGCGGTTAAATATGGGACGGACGAAAAGAAGCTCTTCTCTACACTACACTAGCATTGGCCAATAGAAAAATCAGAATGCTGGTCGGCAGCTGGTTGATTGGTGAAGGGCTCGGGTCAAAGCGGGTCGTGCAGGATCTGATAAACTGCGAGTGATCCATCGATGAGAAAAGAAACTCCAATTTTTGTTGAGCTTATTTGATTTTTGGTACTCCATCTAAGTTCTAACCTTGTACCTCCCTAGTTAGGGTAGGGTAAGTTGTAACTACATAGTAACCTTGGTCAGAACTTGAGAGGTTCAGATGAAAGAATAAGGTTATCATTATTGGTTTATCTAACTATTTTGGCGCCTGTCTATCTATCTTGGCCACACTTCCACAATGTTCAACATTGAACTTACCTAACCTAAGGTACCCCCTATATACCTTATACATGATGTACTAGGTAATATTCAAACAACTTCACCTCCTAGACCAACGGCGTCTTCTTCCACATATCGATAAAGTGGCTAAAGCGATCCTTTACAGGCGCCTTCTTCTTATAATCCCGCATCGTCTCAAGCTGCAAATACATGAGCGCATGAAAGAGCACCCAGTATGCCTGATCCTCTTCCGCGTCTTCGAGCCAGTATACCAAATGCGTCTTGCCCTGAGCGGGCTCTCTAATCCCGTGCAAAGTCCGGACGATAAAGCGGGCGTAGAAGTGGTTGACTTCCCACTCTTTCCGATCCGGCCCTGCATCTTCGGCCCAGCTGGCAATGCTGTCACTGCTTTTCGCACCAACCAGCCCACGGACAGCCGCCCACTCCCCCACGGGCAGGTCCCAGCTCGTGTCGAGGTAGTTGTCTGCGAACTCGACGAAGGCGCCAAGAAAGGCCGGGTGCTTGAACAGCCCCTGGGCCCGCTGCGTGGCTAGCTGGCCATCCCCGAGCCCAAATATCGGCGCTAGCTCCCCGGATGCTGCCTCCAGGTGTGGAAGCTTCTGCTTGTAGATGCCCCGGATCTCGTTCTTTGTCTCTTCCGGGTCGTCCATCTGCGGGTAGATTGCGTTTTTGGTCTTGTTCAGCCACTACAAAGACGGGAGGTTAGTAATCGGCGTTCGGTGAAGAAAGAAGCTAGCTCTTTGGGTAGGTAGGCAGGTAGGCTAGAGATAGGGGGGTATCGGTCCCCCGCCATTCTACTCACGTTGGTGTACTGGGCACCGCGGGTTTCTCTGTTCGATGGGGAGCTCATTGTTGCAAGGATTTGTTTGTATGTAAGTGTTCAAGTATGTCTGTCTGTCTGTCTGTATGTATGGGCAATATGGACTTAACTTTCACAGACTTCGAACTCCAAAGCTCATATGAGAGATCACATTATATCATCAGAGTATCCTTTGTTGTCTCGAGCTGCGAATTCTCGACAATGCCCAAACAAAGTGGTTTAGTTCTATTTATTAACTGTTAAAGATATTTTTACTTCTTTAGTCTCTTACTCGACTTGAGCTCTTTATTCAAGCTCTGCTAGACAGACAACGGGGTTCTCGAACTTTTATAACTTCACTACCTAGTATGCTAATTACCCAACAATCATAGATGGAGATTAATAAGGAAACGTACCTATATACATGTTTCTCGTATACTAGGAATATATATCCAGTGAATGACGAAGCCCGATAATATTCATTGTCCCTATATACCTAATTTACCGCCTAACCTAGGTACTTCGTCTTGAATGAGATACTAATTGGAATTTTCTAGCCAAGCTCTACGAATTATTAAGCTAAGAATTTTGCACAGCCGGAGATTCTACGTCTACGGCTTGATCATCGCCCTCCACTTGATGATCGTCTTTAGCTTGGCTAGTCTCCTCAACTTATTTATCGTCAACTACGTAGGGATCTATGTCTTTGCCGCATCATCTTCAACTTCCTTTTTCTTATCATTCTCATTTGCCGTTGCATCTGTCTTGGCCTCGGTGTCGTCCTGCTGGGCCTCATCCTCGTCCTCATCCTCGTCCGTGGCTATGGTGTTCTGTGCAGGAGACAAATCCCAGAATTTCAGGAGACCCAGCCCAGACCATTGGGATTGGGCACTAGTCGTTGTTTTCTTGGGCGTTTTGCCCTTCTTCGGAGGCTTCTTGGCGTCGTAGTCTTTCTTAGCCGCGGTATCTGGCTTGGTCTTCTTACATGTAGTCTTTTTCTTGGGCTTTGCGTTGAGCTTGAAGGGGAAACCTGTGATCGGAAATAAGATCCAGAGCAATAAGAGCCCCATTGAAGACCACACGCATGTGCTTGAGCCGCAAGTTCCTTCATCTTCCTTTACTTCCTCTACTGCAGCGTCCGTCTTGGCCCCTCCACCGGTTTTTTTGGCCTTTTTCGTTGGTCGTGGTGGCCCACGCCCAAGACCAAAGAACCTCAAGCCGGCCCACGTGCGTTGCTCACTTTTGCCGCCTTTCTTGGATGATTCTTCCCTCTTCCTCTTTCCGTCTGCGGTCAGGGTCTTAGACATCTCGCCGTAGGCTTCCTCTACGATTGTGTGAGCAGTGTCATTTGCAATCGCTTCGGAGACCTCGTCAGTGAGTTCCGGGATGTCACTTCCTCCATACTTTTCCTTAACGTACTGCTCTTGCTCCCAAAGCAGCTTACAGTACAGAAGATACATGGCTACCCATCGGTCAGAGTCATTCCACACGCCGTAGAACCTATTATCGCGCCCGAACGATTGGGCGTATGCGGCTTGTTGGGTTTCGAAGTCATCGCGCGATTCAGCGGTGCCGTTTTCAATATGGCTTCGGTTGTTCAACAGCCTGTAAATGAACCAACAAATGTAATCCAACTGTCCCCATTGGCTCTTGTCCGCTTCTTCTTTACCAGCATAGGGGGGGATTTGCTCGGGAAACCGATTAAGCATGCTCAGCGCCATTGCCACTCTATCCCACGACTCAAGAAGCGCCCATGGCTCAGTGTCGAGGTACTGGGTTCTGAATTCTGACCAGGCTTTCGCGTATGCGGGACTGTCGTAGAAGTACGCAAAGTCTTCCAGCGTCCATTGCACATCTTTAAACGTCTGGGACGATATGGTAAGGTCTGTGAATCCGTAGAGACAGAAGTATGTGGAGGCGTCACCTCCGTCGATGGCCTCCTTCATTTTCTCCTTCAAAGGTTTAAGGAAGGCGGCGGAGTTCTTTGATAGGGTAGGAGGCTCCATTACGGCAGTTTCCGTTTCCTTCTCCATTGCGATAATGTGATATTTGTTCGATACTTGATACTGGATTGCCGGGTTTATCTATCTGATAGTTGTGCTAGAATCCGCCAACCGGGTATATTTAGAACTTGCGAGTTGCGATGAGATATGGGGAAACAAGCCTAGAAAGAGCTAGCATACGCGAGCTATGTATAAAAAATTGAACCCCCAACGTCAAAAGAAACTAAGATGGTGTTTTGGAACAGCATATTCCTTTACTGTGTTTCTTTTCTACGAGAGTTAATGGAACAATAATGTTATTGTTCGTAACCACCAGGTGCGCACCATACACGAAAACACGAAACACAAACGATGAGTTGGGAACTCGATAGGGAACGTTCACATGAAGGGAATTCTGGTAAAGCTTCTGACAACTGGAGAGTGTATTGGGGCCATGTACTGTTATGATACGAACATGACGTTCATATGGCTGTCAATGAAATGCAAGGGGGGTCACGGGGGATCGCGAGCTACAAGTGTCAGTGAGAGATTTGGTAGCCCTTGAAGGAGTTATATAGGCACCTACCTAAGGTTAGATACCAGTGTACGGATGAGACCTGCTTATATACGTCATCATGATAGTTGGGTAAGCACCGTCTTCCTCAGAGCTACTAGATACTTACCATACATACCAGAGTGGATAGAGACGTTTCCTTCTGTACTGGATTCGTAGGATAGTATCTTATTCCAATGTGCATCAATAGGGAGGGGGACTTTCGTTCAAATATCTCCAGAGCACATCGAGAACCATCAAAGGCCAGCGTCAAAATGATGGTAGATGCATAAAGGGACTCGCAGAGAACAAAGGGTCCTTGTATATATTGGCTATCCCCATCATATATACGTCCATAGCTCCTCACATAACAAGCTCCTTGTATTCATGCTACTTGGTATAGTAATGTGATATTTGGGGGCTCTATGGACCCCCTAGGTTATCTGTTTGGTGGCATGCGCCTGATCTCTGAGGAATAGCAACCCTTACTCATGCCTAGGGGAATATAAAGGAAATAAGGTAGGTAGGCGACGGACCTCCGTGGAGTAGTATGCAGCTGCATGAAAAGACACTGCTCTAAAGCTCCAGCTGATCCTATTAGTTACTAACCTAGGTAGATACCAATGAGGCACCTAATAGTAAGCGATACTCGGTAATGGTTTACAAGTGTCGTTGTCATAAGATCTTGTTTTCCCCGCCTCTTCAAGGCTACTATGGAACGGCCCAGAGAAGCTCTTTGCTTTGTATATGAGTTCCGCTTAGTCATGACTATATATAGCATTATTGATTTGATCCTGTCACCAACTTGCGTTTATACGCTTATAGGGGGTTTGCTTACTTATTATGTCCTTCTAGCCGTATATAACGTATCTCCCTTACAACCCCTACACCAGTTTCCTGGCCCGAAGGTAGCCGCTATGAGCTATCTATACGAGGCATACTTCGACTGGTGGTTAGTAGGGAGATATAGTCAAGAGATCCGACAGATGCACGAGAAATATGGTAAGCTTTCTCTTCTGTATGACCAATCCTTAACACCCCGAGATCACATGGAAATCAAACCAAACTTATCTCACAACAAAACTGGCAGGACCAATAATCAGGATAAATCCAGATGAGCTGCACTGCAATGACCCACGATTCAGCGATGAGATTTACGCTGGCGGAAATCGCATTCGAGACAGGTGGCAGCACCAGCTGAATACCGGCACTGGACCTGTGCTGCTCAGCGAGTTCTCGACTGCCCCGCACGAGTTACATCGGATGCGAAAGGGCGCGTTCGCCCAGTTCTTCTCTCGCCAGCAAGTATTGAGTCTTGAGAACGAGGTGCATGATTTCACACAGCGCACTGTGGACAAGATGCTGCGCTACGCGAATAAAGAGCCGTTCGATGTGAAAGAAGCATTCAACTGTTTCACTGCGGACAGTGAGTAGCGCTCACGATTACTTTGACTCCTTTTTCGACAGCGCATATATGATGAGATACATTGCACCGGTCAGAATGCTTGCGCAGTATATCCCCATGGCAGCTAGTAACTACATGGGCAAGAATGTGAAAGAGTTTACCAAAGAGCTGATGGTGGTGATCCCCAAATACATCCAAGCGGCACTGGACCACCCGGAAAATGGTAGAGTATTTGCGGATATAATTGGATCAGAACTGCTCCCGGAAGAGGAGAAGACCATGTACCGTCTTTCGGGCGAAGGGTTTGGCCTGTTAGCAGCAGGTACGGAGACTACTGCTGTAAGTCGCAGTCCCTATATCTGCCTAACCTAGGCATATTAACTTGCTTTTATCTGATAAACTCCATAGGCCACGCTTACTGTCATTACATATTATCTCCTCGCCCAGCCCACTGCCTATTCCCGCTTACTAGCAGCTCTGAAGGGTGTAGATCCATTAAATCTCAAGTGGACCGACCTCGAGCAACGCCCGTACTTGTATGCCGTGATCCACGAGGCCTTGCGCTTTACCCCTGGCGCCACTCACAGATCTTCTCGGATTGCACGCGATGAGGACTTGGTTTACACGAGCAAAGATGGCCAGGTCCGATGGGTCATTCCCAGGGGTACCCCTATCGGCATGACCTCCGTCATTAACCACAGCAACGAAGAGATATTCCCAGACCCGGATGAGTACACCCCGGAGCGCTGGATTAAAGAAGGCCAGCCGAACTATGCGCTGGAGAAATCTATAATCTCATTTGGAAAAGGGAGTCGGTCGTGCATTGGGATGCAGTATGTAAAGCCCTTACCTTTTATTGTTTTGGCTTCCAAAATATGATCGTCTTCCAATTAGACTTGCGTACTGTGAGCTGTTCCTCATGACAGCTGCCTTAGCGCTGCGTGTCTTGCCGAGAGCTCGTCTATTCGAGACTACCATTGAGGACATTAAGTATCACCATGATCTTGTCATAATTCAGACCATCAAAGGCTCTGTGGCTACACGCATTGAAATATTATCATAAAACATGGTAGACAAAGGGGTAATGCTAAGGATTGTGTCAGAATGGTTGTTAGACCCGTTACTGATCATTACCGAATTAAGGGGCAAGAAATCAACTTTCTTCTTCTGCGAAGATATGGTAAGGGGTATCATATAGGGGCCATGGAACGCAAATTATAATATAATCCTATTCATCATAATGTGCCTAGCCAGTGAACCCAGAGAAACTATTGATGACCGGTCTCGAAGACTGCTACCCAGAATGGATAGGTAGTGCCCGCGCAAATCCCCCCAGAGGATCGCCCGATCAATTCTAGAGTAACATCCTTCCCCTTACCCAGAAACCCACACAACCCGGAAATAATATACAATACACCAACCCGAACCCGAACCCTCCCGAAGCCCTAAAAAATACAGTACTTATGTTCACACGACGGACAAGCCTTCGCGCCGCACTGCGGCTCCGGGCAACCGTAAGCCCACGTCTTACGGACCTCCCCGCAAAACATGCACTCTGCACTGCCCTGGATCTTCGGCCAGCCGAACGGCGGGTGCTCGCATTCCTTAGCATTCGGAGGCTCGGCCTGTCGCTCCCCCCCTGTGGCAGTTTCTGCGTCTCGGTGTTCCGCCATGCCTCTCCAGAAGAAACACAGCGCCCGCTGCTTCTCCTCGATCAGGATGCTGTTGAGCCGCTGCCGCGCCGCGCGCTCCTGCTGGGCGCGGACCCGCTTCGTGGCCTCTTCCGACCGCCTCTCGGCTTCCCGCTCTTTCTGTGCCCAGAGGTTCTCGGCTTCCGCTTCTTGTTGTCTGCGAAGCTGTTCTTGCGCTGCAGCCTCTGCCGCCCGTCTTCGGACCTCCCTCTGGTAAATCACTCGGAGCATGCAGGCTGCAACCTCTTTCCCCCGCCGGAGCATCTCGGCTTCTTGGAGTATGGTTTGTCTTTCTTGTTGCATGCGAGCCATCTCTTCGTACATGCGCTGTCTTTCTTGGTTCACGAGGAGTCTTTCTCTCGCAGCCGCCTCGTATAGCTCCTGGGCTTTTCGCGCGGCTTCCTCGGTACCCGCTTCAGATTCCCGAGTATTCTCCCCTCGCTTCCGCTCCTCCTCGGCCCTCGCCCTGGACGCTTCCATCTGCTCTTTCATCTTGCGCTCACTCTCGGCCGCCGCCGCCTTCTGCTGGGCCTCGCGCTGCGCTGCTTCGCGCCGCATGGTTTCTGCGTGTCTGCGTTGGGCTTCCTGCTGTTGTCTGTACACGGCCCAATGTCTTTGCAACGAGGCACCATAAAAAACATTGTATTGCTTGCGCTTCGTTTCATCTTTGAGAAATTCGTAGGCTTCGCGGACCTTGATTGAAGATACCCTTCGGTTAACCTAGGTACTATTTCCGGGCTACATCATAGGGGCTTGAGATGTTCCGTGAAGGGGGGGCTTGATGAACAAACCTTGCGAAACTCTTGGGCGTCGACTGTTTTGCCCGGGGCCTTCTTATCTGGGTGATGTCGCCTCGCCAGCTTAAAGAAGGCAGCTTTGATTTGTTGAAGGGTTGCATTCATGGACAACCCTAGATCTGCATAGTAATCTGGCGTCGTAGGTTGTGATATATTAGGGAACTGCATTTTTCCGTGGATTGTTGATCACAGTCGAATTGGCAATATACGTAGCCAGGGGAAAGGAAGTATGTTGCAGGTGCTTATTGACATTAGGTTAGGGCCGACTTGTACCTATATCAGGTTGGCGCTGCGCCAGCGTAGTCAGGAACCAAGCAAACTTTCCTCCTTCTCTCGTCCCGTTTCTTAGTTGCAGTATACTCCAACAAATTTTCTTGATCAAGAATAATGAGAGCCTCAGATACGATGTTGGTGTGTCGAAATACAGAGGATAGGCGAACGAAAAGGCATCAAGCATGCCAGCGCAAGCGTGCACTTTCGTTATTGGACTTTTTGTTTGATTGTATCCGATTCGATATCGAGAACGCCCATCGGAGGGGATACCGTCATCACAAGTAATAACCTGGGCTTTAAGTACCTACATATACTGAGCGGTATTTCATCTATGATGTGATCCAGATATCCTATCCACTTGCTAGGTAATATATTGCTGCAGGCATGGCTGCAACCAAAAGGGAAGAAAAAGATAGAAGAGAGCTTAACTATGATGGCATGGTGCCAATATCGAGGGCAGAGCCTTGTGGAGCTATGGCGCATAACACGTTTGAAACATAGATTTCTTCCAACATATTGAATATGCAAATGTCATTCGCCTATCTAGCCAAAGTTACAAACGAAACAGCAGGCTACGGCCGCTTGCCGCCGGAGCTGGCGTTTGATAGATGTCTTGAGGGTTGTATTGTACAGGGCACGCGGCAGTAAAACCGCCTGCTGGAGTAGCACGGCTCTAGGTATGTATACCTATGTACTTGGTTGGAGCTGAGAAGACGACATAGGATGGTCAAGAGTTACATAGGGCTTATCCAGGTCGTTTGCAAGAGTTTTTTATAGCAATTATCTGCAGGATTTACAAGGGTAGCTACCAACAGTTTGGGATCTGGTACCGTAGCATGTCATAGGCGTTCATATCACCAACACCCGTGGATCTTGTGGCGTACGGGTCGATACCTGTACATCCAGTTAATAGGGGTAGCAGGCGCCTACATGCTTTACGCAGATGAGGCAGATGTCATGCCCACTACCCATGTTCCAATCTACCGAGTTTTGCTGTGCAACCCCAGCCCTACGACAGAGCCTCAACAAGTGGCGTTGTGTGCTCGCCGGCTCCTCTCAGCTGGGGATTATTGTTCATGCCAAAGACATATAATGCCTCAAGTTCAGATTTCATACTTGATCGCTGGCATAATTGAAACCGTGCTCGTTACTGTCTTTTCTTATATACCCAACTGGGGAGCTCTAAAAGGGGGCTGGAAGATTCCAAAGTTGTGATTCTATTTATAGGCCGCCTACCAACGGTAGTTAGCCGAGTTTTGTTGCATGTATTGTAGGTACCCAGGCGCTTCCCACTCTTTTAGGGCAAGTTACAGCCTTGGAGGCCTTCCAAGTTCCAACACCTGGAGAAAGCGGGGGGCCATGGGGGCCATGGGACCGCAGCTTTGGAATCTTCCAGCCCATTTCCCACGAAAAACACCCATCTCCAATGTTGTTACTGCATTATCCCCAGCGATATGTATGAAGACGGCATATGCTATCTTATTGCTCCTGGTGGTATATGATATAAAGGACGAGGATGAGATGCATATCCATTGTTAGGGACCAGGCTGATCGACTTTCTGCTCAGCGTGCTTGCGGTTTTCTTCGCCCCCGTGCTGGACTTGGCAGACCCATTCAACCTTGGGGGCTGTATTTACTTCTCGTTGATTTGATCCTGAGTCTTGTCGTTTGCGATACAGTGCCGTTGGTTGGGGGCCAACGGATTAGGAGGAAGGGCTTGCTGAGATAGTAAGAGAAGAGTCTTCCTTTCCCTTCGCACGAATCAATCGTTCGTTCGACCTACGTGCATGAGGGTTAATAGAATATGTATGCGGACATCACAGCCCAGCGTTTTGGCACATGTTGTGGAATTTCTGCGGCGGCTCTAAGCGAGGAGGGTAGACGCCGAAAAACCCCCTATGTGGATGCAGGATGGTGGATATATTACTTATTATTATGTTACTATTTCAATTCAAGACGTCCTAAAGTTCGACGAAGCTATTGAACTAGATGCGCTTAAGTCGATTGGGTATCTCACCAATACAGCTTCCTTGGCCTATACCGTGTCAACAATCTTGACCTCCGGACCTTCAATCTTCTTCACCTTGCGGCCTTCCCACCACGACATGATACCAGCGAACATGGCCACGCCACAGCCCAATCCAATAAAAGTGCCCGTCGCCCATGTCTGATGGCTTCAGTTAACCTTGATCTATAAAGAAGCATAGAAGGATGCGAAAGGGGGGGAGTGTAACGTACAGGTCGCTCCAGCCGGTTGTATGCCCACATATAATACGACAACACGCATTGGATTATCGTATTCAACACCATCATAATGATATTGAACGCCAGCTTCCACAGCGCCGTCGGCGGCGCCACGTTACCCGTAAACGTTACCGCGTGCTTCTCCGTACTCGGCTCGCTACCCAGGGTTTCGTCATCGCGGGCCCACGCCGGCGGGCGAAACCACCCCTTATTCTGCGTCGCCAGCCTCTGCATAGCGTCCTTGTCCTTGCAACTGACGACGCGGATGAAATAGTAGAGGTCGCGGAAGCGCCAGAAGGCGAGCCCGAACCCCGTCACGCAGAACAGCGCGTTGAGGATCTGGCTGTCAATCTCGAGCCACTTTTTCCGCGGCGAGTTGTCGTCGTCGGCGTTGGGGTAGTTCATCGCGGGGGCGACGCCCAGGAGGAGGAAGAATAACATGGCCTGTAAGAGTCAGTGTTAGGATGGGACTTTTTCAAGTCGAATGATGCGCGAGGGTTGAGGTGTTGACCCTTGCGATGGATATGTAACTTACGCCCCATGCCTGTTAGCTTCGTTAGCATTCATCACAGTGATAGGCGGATACCTGTTCATTGAGGGATCTTCTTTATACATACCACGATATTGAGAAAGTAAATCATAATACAGAACCCCACCGGCGTGCGACAGAACTTCCCAAGCGCCTTCAGGCCATTGACGATCGTCGGGCCCCATTTCTCCTTCGGCTCGTCCCTGTACTTCTCGTGGAGCGTGTTGGTCCGCCTCGGAGGTCCTGGGCTCTGCTCCCGCCCTTCTTCCTCCAGGCTCCGCAGCGTCTCGACGGTGCGGATGGGCACCAGCTCGCCGTCGGCCTTCCGCACCGCCGTGTGCGCCGTGTACCCTTGCGCATTGAACTCGAGGCCCTCGCTCAGCTCAGACACGCGCAGCTCGGTCAGGTTGGGCGCCTGCGCGATCACGGTGCCGGCCGCCTGCCACATGCCCACCTGCGGGTTCGCGTTCATGAGCGATATGGAGGCGCTCCGGACACGCCCCCCTATGCCTTTGTTGGTGTTGGATGAGTCGGCCATGGTGTTAACACAAGATCATTATTGTCTACCACGAAAGGTATGGTGGCGTGTTTTGGGATGAGATGCCGAAACTGTTCGATTGAAATCCAGACCAAGAGTTTTGCGGCTGGTTTTTACGAGGTACCTAGGTAAGGTAGGCTTCAAGGCTTGAGATGGGGTGTTGAGATAAGCTTCTACGCGGAAAGAAAGAGTTGGAGTACTATGCAAGCTACTGACTTAGCAGTAGATAGGTGGGCAAGAGCTGAATGAGCTCGTGCCTGGCCTGGCTTGGAGGAAAGGTAGCATTTGGATCTAAACTCCACTAATATGAAAGATCAAATATACATCTATCGACGCTAACAATCGTATGGGTCGTATATTTTTTGCTTTGTCTACTATTGAGGTACCTAGCCTAGGTAGCGTCCCTAATGAGATCCTTTGACTGGTTTAGGGCCTAGGTTGAGTCTGGTTGACAATGCCAATATACGCGTATACTAGCACATGCAATTCCTTCAGAAAATATGGACCTTGAACATTTCCTTGTTTGATCAGGACTCGGCCATAAAGGGTTAACGTGCTCATGTGTACCCATGTGCTATAGCGACAATAACTGGAGAGATGGATTCGACTAAGCTGGAGGTAGCTAGGTTAGGTTGTGAAAGGTTACCGACCTGGCAAGTTCCGAGGCTTTTTTTATTTTTGTCTTTTTACTATGCGCCGTACTATCCCCTTGAATGGCATAAGGCAGTAGTACGTCATGCTGTCGAAACCTGTGAACTTTCATGACTCAATGAATGGGATTTATCCAGTGCTTTGTCCTACTAGGTACTACGTAGTCAGCATACTAGATACTATTGGTAAATGAACAATGAATATCTTCCTACAGATCCGACATATCCTTAGTGTAGCCTATCACAAACAACAATTTGACTGAGACTTTGTTTCGCTGTCCTTGAACTTTGGGTAACATTTTTCACAGCTTCAGCATAGAACGCTAGACACCAGCAACCCCTGAAATTCAAACAAGCCTTAGGAACTACCGGCTTCATAACGGCTATTAATGACTAGCCATTAGCAGAGGGAATATCATTTACCATACCGCGTGTAGATCAATAACTAGCTACCTACCTAGTAGTAAGTATGTAGCCAACTCGCATTCCTTTCGTATTTTTTTCGTTTACTTTTCAACTCTGTCTTTCATTTCCATGTCAACCTTGATCTTACCACGGATTAGTTGCTGTATGATTGGATAGGCCGACAAATATTAGACAGCCTGTACTACTTGGTCGATTTCGAGCAAACACGGCATTTGCCGGACAGCTACCTACCTAATCAGAGCTCACTTCCCAATACTTATATATGTTCAAGATGCCAAGTCAACGGTGAATGGAGACGGCTTATTCTCGCATATCCACCTGAGAGACCATCTCGATTCTTATGAAAGTGTTCTGTCGCACGGGATACCACCATGCCATTCAACAGGCTGAGGTCCGACGCCCCCGGGCAGCTCACCGTCGGTGATGGCATGACTCGCACCTCCAGTCGGGTCAACAGCGATGGGCGGATGATGGTGCAATTCCACCGGAACCCCCGGGAACTTGCAACGTGGCTTAAAGGGTTCTACGAGAATGCCGGCGCGCCCGAGAGGAAGATCTTCGTGCCACAAAACGGTGGCGGTGCATCTCGCGAAGAGAAGACTAGCGGCACTGGACCGCGGCTCAATATCGCTATTCACATCGTCGGCTCCCGGGGAGATGTCCAGCCATTCATTCCGATCGCCCAGATGCTTAGTAGACCTCCGTTCCACCACCGGGTTCGCATCTGCACGCACCCTGTGTTCAAGGACTTCGTGGAGAGCAAAGGTCTAGAGTTCTTCAGCATAGGGGGCGATCCCGAAGCACTAATGGCCTATATGGTGAAGAATCCAGGCCTGCTCCCGAGCAAGGAAAGCTTCAAGGCGGGGGATATTAGTAAGAGGAGGAAAGAGATGAGTGAAATCATGCATGGCTGCTGGCGCGGTTGCATCGAGGCAGGTGACGGGTTAGGAGAAAAAATAGGAGCTTCTGACGTGATTTCGGCAAGCGATTTATTCATTGCGGATGCGATTATCGCCAACCCTCCTTCGATGGCGCATATCCACTGCGCAGAAAAGCTGAGCATACCTCTACACATGGTGTTCACCATGCCATGGTCACCGACACATACATTCCACCATCCCCTCGCAGCGATGCAGTACGGCCAGACGGAGACGGGTACAGCTAACTATCTTTCCTTTATGATGATGGAGCTTTTGACTTGGCAAGGGTAACTTCGCCACCTTCATTCAGTGTCCCCCCTTTTACCCGCCAACTAATACTTTTCATAGTCTTGGCGATGTTATCAATACATTTCGAACGCGAACTTTACAGATCGATCCTATCAGTCCACTATGGGGCCATCAATTATTAACGAGACTTCGCGTACCCTTCACATACCTATGGTCGGAGTCACTCATTCCCAAACCCCCAGATTGGGGCGATCACATCAACATCGCCGGCTTTTCATTTCTCTCCCAAGCCAACTCGTACACGCCACCTCCAGACCTTGCAGAGTTTCTCGATGCTGGTCCTGCGCCGATATATATCGGCTTTGGATCTATCGTCGTGGATGACCCCCAAGGCCTTACTCAGCTTATCTTCGAGGCTGTTAGGATAGCCGGAGTTCGCGTCATCTTATCTAAGGGATGGGGAGGTATTGGCGAAGGAGACGTACCTGACCATGTCTACCTCGTAGGGGATTGCCCACACGACTGGCTATTCCAGCGCGTATCATGTGTTGTTCACCACGGCGGCGCAGGAACAACGGCGGCTGGGCTCGCAGCAGGCTGTCCTACAGTCGTGGTGCCGTTCTTTGGAGATCAGCCTTTCTGGGGGCAGATGATTGCCCGCGCGGGTGCCGGACCCGAGCCTGTTCCGTTTAAAAAGATAAAAGCGGAGATCATGGCAGAGAGCATCCTGTTCGCCCTGCGGCCGGAAGTCCAGCAGGCAGCTGGGGAGCTAGCGCGACAAATGGCCGAGGAGGACGGGGCGAGCAGCGCAGAACGGGGTATCCAGTCTCTCCTAGATGCCGAGGGCCTGAGGTGCGACATCTGCCCCAACCGACTCGCGATATGGAAACACAAGAAGACCGACGCCCACCTCAGCAACTTGGCCGCCTACTACCTGATAAACCAGGGGATAATCAAGATGTCCCACATACAGCTCCTCAAGCACAAGAACTGGTACGTCGACGAGGGCGCAGAAACAGTCCTAATCGGCGCCATCGCAGCCTGCAGCGGCTTCTTCACCGAAGTCGGCCTCGCAACCTCGCGCTACGCACAAAGCCTAAAATCCGGGCCCCCTCCCCGAACCCGGCGCAAATCCTCCCTGATCCCCCTCCCAAGCAACCACCGCAAACGACAACAACAACAACAGAACAGCGCCCCCCAAACAGCAGCATCGGCATCCGAGGGCACCGAAACAGCCACAACAGCAACAGACGACGACACCAGCTCCTTCTCCCCCTTCGAGCGCGACCTCACGCCCAAGCAACTCGCGAAGCTCGCGCGCATCATGGCCGAGAAACCCTTCAAGCCCAACAACCCCAACGACGACCGCCTGTGCCTCGAAGACGAACTCCTCGACCTCGAGTCGATCCGGCGGCAGGCCACTCACGGCGGCGGCGAGCAAAAGGCGCACGGACGTGCTCACCACATCCTGCACGCGACGGGGCACTACGCCGCGGACCTCTCGCGCGCGGGGCTCAAGGCGCCGGTCGCGGCGTTCTACAACGTCGCGAACGGGTTCCGGAATTTCCCGTCGTACGTGTTTGGCGTGCAGGATCTGAGGCGGCGAGACGAGATCACGGGGGTGAAGAGCGGGTTGAAGGTTGCGGGGAAGGAGTTTGCGCTGGGGCTGTACGACGCGTTCACGGGAGTCGTGGTGAGGCCGTATAAGGGGGCGAAGGAGGGGGGTGCGAAGGGCCTCGGGAAGGGGCTGTTGAGGGCGGGGTATGGGGTGCTGGGGGGCGTTGGCGCTGGTAAGTTGGTCCGATGCTCATCTAATGCGTGCTGCTCGTCTGAGAAGCATCGAGTTCTCAAGGCTATGGTGCCTAGGCTGTAGTTATGCTTGCTAACGAATTCGTGTATAGGCGTTGTGGGCTTGCCGGGCTACTCGCTCAAGGGCGTCCAGAAGGAGCTCTCGAAACACCGGCTTACGGAGCTCAAGGCGGAGATCTTGCTGATTAGGTTCAGGCAGGGTCTGGATGACTGCCGGCAAGCGACTGATGTGGAAAAGAAGGAGATTTTGGAGAGGTGGAAGGCGCTGCATGGAGCGCTGCAAGATTAGGCCCGTTCGCGAGGGCTTGAGGTTTTTAGGATAAATAAGGAGGGCATAGAGGGGACTCGAGAGTATTGGCGGCTAACATGGTGCATGGGATGGGATGGGATGGACTGGATTGGAATAGATTTCAACTCCTCTTTGGTTATATCGTCAAACGTCCACATCTGTGGTATATTTATTATGTATTTACCTAAGGTTGGTGTGCATTGGGAATAAAGGGGGAAGCGGTTATCTAATGTAATAAATAAACTCCTCTAAACCAAAACCGTCCCACCGGTTTTCTCGAAGAAACTCAGCCAGGTAGTACACATAATATTACCTATGTACTACATAGGGTATCTATCCTTCATATTTCTTTCACAGGGTGCAGCAGCATCGGCGGCAAATCCTCGCCCTCAACATACGCCTCCCATAATCCCTTTGCCCCATCCCCCGTGAACCAATAACTCGCCCCCCACCACGGGCTCGGCGGGAATCCCTCATTCGTGTAGACCATCGATGTCTTCCCCCCAGCCCTATTACTCGGCGGACCCCTATGGATCTCGCGATCGAGATCCTGCGCACTCTTCTCGTTGGTGAAAACGATCGGATGCGGCACCGTTACCGCTTTCAGCCCCTGCAGCAACGCAAACGTCTCCAGCATGGCTTCACTCACTACCCACTGACCCTTCTCTCGCTGGGCCTTGCTGATGGCGCGGAGCAGCCGCCGTGAAGAGCGCGTAATGCTCACGATGGCCGCGCGACGCGGCGTGTCCGTGCCGTTTGCGAAGCCGTGAACCGTGTTCTCGTACACCCAGTCCGTGCCCACGGGGTCGATCGTCGGCATGAAGTTGATCACATCGGCCTCTTCTTCCACGCCCCAGGAATGCACACTTTGGGGTGGTGGTACGACAGACTCGATCCCTTCCGTTGCGACGGCGCCCCAGATGCCAGTATCGCCGATCTCGGCGTCTACCGCGGCCGTGAAGTTCTCGTACGAGTGGTGGATGGCGGGGAGGTAGAAGCGGCCGTTGCGCTCCCAGAGGTTCCGCCGGCTTTGGGCGCGCGCGAAGGAGGTCGCGGATTCCAGGGCCGAGTGGACGTGGCCTGTGAAGCGCAGGTCCATCTCTAGCTGCCAGATGTGGTCGTACTGTGGGAACTGGTGCGAGAAGATCTGGAGGGCTTGGTATATCTGGTCTTGTGCGCTAAATGTTATAGCCATTAGTTACTCTGTACTGAGGTTTAGAAATAGATAGCTGCGTTATACGAACCCGTGTTCTTCCACCAGAGGATACCAGGCCTTGAGTGTGTTCTCGTTGTACAAGAAGGCCATGTCGCGGAACTCCTCTGGGACATACTCAGCCAGCCACTTCTTATAAGCGAAGTCGTCTTCTTCTAGGTTTATGTTTGGGTCTTTCACGTTGACGAGGAAGAAGACGTGGTATCCCCCTTGAATCGAGGCCTCAGAGATGAGAGTGCGCAGCCATGCGCGCCTCGTTTCGGTGTATGCGTAGTTATCCCAAGTCCTCAGCACGATTGCAACTCTGCCCGAAGAACCTTTTGGTATCGGTTCCACCTCTTTGAAATGGGGAGGTCGGCGCCATTTGCGGCTCATCACATCCTCATTATCCGGTACTTTATGACCCCTTATGGGAAGGCATTGTCTCTGCAACTGGCCTTTCAAAGCGGATTAGGCATATAACTTCGCTAAAAATATTGGAAGCAAGGAAATACATACCCCATTTTATGCTGGGCCAGTAACGCTCAGTCGAGGAGCGGAACTCGTTTAGCCGGGTCCTGGCTAAGAGACATCGCTTCGAATCGCCTAGAACGTTGGGGTCCCCGATAAGGGGAGACCTGACTGTTTTGCAGTCATGGTAAACTGGTGGCGAGCTCTGCCAGTCTTGCCATTGGCATATCTTAGGAGTCTTCGGAGGGAATAGAATTGCTCTCAAACCAAAGGGAGATTGGTAAGTCAATAAGGCGACGAGGAATAATACCACCGCACTGCCTTGGATGAGCCGTCGTGGGACTGGAAGGTACTGCATCCCGATGCCCATGATGCCGCAACATTGGGGACATGTGTTGGAAGGAGAAGACAAAGAAGTAAAGTGAAATATGACATCTTTTGTGCTCAAGTAGATCGAAACGCTTTGGGGTCCGAGTCGTGAGATTCTTTGTTGGACATGGACTTATAGACAGGGATGGCTGCCGACCCATCTTTAAGGCACCGCGCGTCACTTGTACGGCACACGTACTGAACTAAACCGATCTGATAATCTTAGAAGCACTAAGTGGGCGAGGGATTGCCGTCCCATAGCCTTACGTAGTATCGGATGAATGTCGAATGGAGGGTAATTGGGGCTTAAAGTGGTGGCTAGACCATTCCTGTAAGCAACATCGTCAATAGAAATAGAAGATAAGCATGCCTCGTAATTAGAACAACATCTGTTGGCGCATTACCTGGAATAGCCCCCACGTATACTTACCCGCTAGCTTTATCATTTCCTCGAGCTTACATCACTGTCCCAGGTGTCTACAATTTACCTAATAGTCAACTTCTGCATTAATGATAGGTCCTTAGCAATTCGAGCCTTTCATGGCTTATTTTCAGTCCTATTCGTGTTGATCTTAGATTGACCAGCCATTCCAGCGGGAAGTCATTCGTGAACAATACTAACATGACTGATAACTAACTAACTGCTTGGTTAATTTACTGTTACACTAAACCCTAACCCTAGCACCAACTACCAAGTACCAGCATCGGGCTGGTGGTGGCAGACATCCAAATGGATGAATATTGACATAAAGTCTGCCAAGGTAGAAGGATTGTCAGCACTAGAAATGAGAATACTAGTCGCCAACCACTATTGAAGTTTCAAGACCGTGCCGCAACAAAGGTACTTTTTTTTTTAACCATTCTAGAATCTAAGTGCGAACCTAAGGCCATCCTCATGCTTGGCCCAATCCTCATTGGCTGCCGGCTATCCACTAAGTACATTTGTCACACCCCGGGATAGCACCCCGGGCGCTAGTCCATTCCAGGCCTGGTGCTTCCGGATATGCGCTATTCATAACGTCGTCCGGCCTAGCACAGCTGGCCAGCTTTTCTTAGGTAGATATATACAGATCTATCACGCATGGTGTAGCAGATACGCAACATTATAGCGTGAAGGATCACCATCAACCCAAAAGTTATGACTTAGATTCGTTGCAAAGACGATAACAAAGCCCTCCGCAGTAGCGTTAATTCCTTTCTTGAATCACCAAGATGCTTCTCATGGACCAAGTAGTACCTAGCCCGTATTCTCCATAAGAGGGAACCAGTGTAAATGCCACAACATCGACCTGCACAATTCCACGGCGTGCTGCGGCGTCGCGCGTTGCAACTCGATGCTGCACCCTCTCAGCTTGTGCGCAATATCCCGAGCCTTAGCTATAAACACCTCCACGCCCCAACGATCGTCTTCCCGTCCCGCCATATATGCATACAACGATGCCCGTCCTGCATCGACGTCGCTCATGGCACCTACGGCTATATCTCTAGCCTCCAGCAGCGAAGAACGGATGGGTAGCAGGTAGGGCTTGGTCTCGGGGGTGTGCAGGATCTTTTGCGTTTTAACCGCGCGCAGTATGTTGTCGATGTCGATCGTGATGCGGAAGAGGTCGCGCCATTGTGCGCCAGCGGTGCGTTTGGTGAACGTGTACCGCGCCATCAGGAGCCGGATAATTGTTTCTTCGTTGTAGAATGGGCTATCCATAGTGCATTTCACTGGATTACTAACAAAGACTGTTTACGCATGGAAGACAATAAATCTTTCCTTTACGAGAATGAAGTTATGGGATACAATCGTTCATGTAACTACCTAATATAAGGGTTGTAAAACTTTTCCATCCTTTGTCTTCCCAGCAGCGGTACCATCAGCTGGTTGCAGACTTCCATGGTATGGGTTCTAAACCCTCCTTTGTTCCAAAACGATTGACTGCTGTACAAGATAGAGTGGATCACGTGTGAGCCACGTGATTAGCCCCTTTTTCCCGCACCACCACAGTGGCACTCTGCTATCTCATCCACGTACTTTCTTCCCTTTTCATTTTTCTCACTCAATATTAAAAATATAGAAAACCTCCTGCCGGGTGTAAGTACCTCGGCACCCACTGAAGTGAGTTACCTAGGTGCTCAAAGGTCGAATAATCGCATTCGCGCCGCATCGGCCTCGGCAACAAGCTGCTCATTATGCTTGCGCAGGTGGGTCACAATATCATTGATCTGGTCGTGGGCCATGTGGCAGCCGTGCCAGGCGCAACGGACAGCTGTGTTTCCTGGCTGCTGAAGAGCCGCGGCATTGTGCTGGACTAGATGATCTCGAAGAAGTTGCTTGGGGCCGAAGATTCTCTCGTCACATCCTGGCCACTTACACTCGTAGCCGTGCTTGGTTCTTCGGTGATAGCGCAGAGCGTCCTTCTTCTTGAAGACCATTGTGCAAACTGGACAGATCTGACCCGGGGTCGGATGCTTCGAGGTGTTAGCCATATCTTGTTTGATCATACACATTGGTAGAGAAGCCTCTGGTAGTGAGCGTAGTCTCATTGAGAAAGTATCAATACTGACCTCTTCTTCATCGAGAGCGGTGTCATGAGCGGTACTGCGAGCATCATTGCTCTCAATCGGAGTAGGCTGACGACCGATGTTGAAACCGATGTTGGGACCGATGTTGGGACCGATGTTGGGACCGAGGTTGGGACCGAGGTTGGGACCGAGGTTGGGTTCAGACTTGTAAAAGACATCGAGACGTGTTGGGGAAGACAACTGTCGGCGCTTGAATCCACGCTCTGCGAAAGATCGACCACGGCGCGATGGTGGCGAGGGTAGCGGGTGCCGACCCTTGAGAATAGCCTTTTCCCTCTAGGAAAGCTGGCTTTTGTCCAAGGGCGAGGCCTCCGCAGCAGAGGAAGGAGACGCCGTAGGGGAAGGAGGCGGGGTTACTAATGTGTATCAGCGAGATGTTTTATTTTTCGATAACAATGTAGACGCGAAAAGATGTTCAAGATGATGGTTTTTCATAAGAAAGAGACCATGCGTTCTTGTAAACATCTAATGTTGGAAGGAATAATAGGCAAATTGCACATATTATTCAGATGGAGCTGGAGATAATTTTCATAGGAATCATTTCTTACCTCCCCATGCCATAAGATCCCAATTTCTTTTGAGAGTATATTTCTTGGGCTGGGTGTCCCCCGAACCATTTCCCTTCTGATCGGCCATTTTGTCCGAGAAGAAAATGCGTCGGGTGGAAAGAGGAAAAGGTGAAAGCGGAATGTGGACGTGAGAAAAAGAAAATAATTGAGAGAGTGCCTAAAAGATTAGTTGGCGGCACTGATATAAGGCCAGGCTTCAAATTTTAATGGAATACAAGCTACGCCCAGAACGTCATCACCAAGGGCTGCTGCTAGTACCTGACCTAAGGTGCATACATGTACATACCCAGTGAAGGGGCCTACTTGTATTACTTAGTATCAGTGTACTCCTAGGTAGGTATATGCTTAGAAGCCACCTGGTATACAGGTGAGCTTTCGTGTTGCAAATGTGTTGGCTCAACCGAACGACGACGGCCCGACGTACTCCGAATGTATGGACAGTATAGTTATCACTTGGTATTTACACACCTGCCATACACTAAACATACTTACTGATAGATAAATCATTTCCCTTTTGGTGTAGCGGTATATTTTGGCATGTATACCTATTTAATTTTATTTCGTCAGCCGTTTCTAGAATTGAATATTATCCTCATAGGCCTGCCCATATCACGATCTTATCTCATTAGTAAATATGAAGCTTCAAGAAGTATGGTAATATGTGTTAGATCATAGCCCCAAGGACACAATGTCTACGTGATATCCTACTAAGTAGTGCGTTTGCGCTTGTGTGTATTTTACGAATTCTCTGTTTGTCTAGGGCATTTCTTCTCTCAATCAATCTAACCCTAACCCTTAGTCAAACTACTTGTTTCTACCGAGCTAGTTAATCTGCCCTGGCCAATGATATATTCGTGTAGTATTAAGATACTAGGCAGTTGTGGTATAATTCTTGCGCTATGCGTATTAATAGCATTATATTTTCCTGTCGTATGGGCACGCTGTTGCCTTGGTCGTGCTTGAGAGCACGCTTCACTGCTAAGCAGAACCCACTCTCTACGTTCTAGGATGACTACGGAATCGCAGTTGTAATAACTCAGCTATTGGAGGTGACGCCCTTTCCGAGAGAAATCTTGTTGATACAGAAAATCGGTCGTGTGGTAAGTGCCATCTGCTAGAGGATCTCTACTGATATCTTCTCTGACAATTAGGCCATAGGTTCTTTTCAGGTGCTAAACTATTAATTCTATTCCTTTTGTCATCATGTCAGCGATTTGACGCATGTTACATTCGAGCATTACGGGCTGCCATACCTTCAGAAGCTTTTGCTGTCGTATCCAAGCTTCGCACAGCGAGGGCCAACGCGAAACTGGCAAACCCTCGGTATCCAAACCAAACCCATGAGGCGCATCCGAAAATACGTGAAGTTCAACGGACCCTCCCGCTTTGTTGATGCCCTCTGCTAGACGGTATGCGTTGACAACTGGCACAATGGGGTCGTTATTTGAGTAAACAATGAAAGTCGGCGGAGCAGGGTGCGACAACTGTTCGTCGGGTACGACAGTATCATAGAGCGCTTGCTTGGCTGGTGGATCTAGAGGAGCTTTATCCGGTACAACAGTGCGGCCTTTGGCGTTCGTCGATATAGGTCCGTAGCCGATGATAGCGAATTCTATCTTTGGTATCGAGGCGGGCGGTCCCCATGCAGCGGGGTATTCAGAAAGAAGTGCGGCTGCGAGATGGCCACCTGATGACAGACCACACACCCCGAGACCCTTCGGCGCTATGTTAGAAAGCTTTATCCGCCGTAAAGATTCCCTAGCATCATCAAGCGGAGCTTGTGGCCCTGTTTCGGCGTTCGGAAACCTATGAACAAGGACAAACGCAGCGAAACCTAGGCCCCTCAGCCAGAGCGCGACTGCGATGCCCTCACGGCCGACCATAAGTTGTGTATAACCGCCTCCGCCAAGAATAAGTACGGCACGGCCATTGGTATAGTTGCTATCTGGGTTGTAGCCGAAAAGCCATGGCCGTGTAACTTTGGTTACTACTGCTTGGTCAAGTGTCCCGTCTATTTCGAATGATCCCCCCTCTGCCTTGTCGTCCCAGAGAGGCCAGGCGGAATCTGCGTCAAGTGACAAAAGACAACTCATTGTTAACAATATATTGGTGTAAAATAGAGAAGTAGCCTATAAAACAGGCATTTATATTTCGATTTTATGTTTAATGATAGGTGTGTCTTGAGATTCGGTGATTCGGTGCAATCCTAAGGCGAGGTAAATAGAGAATGCAACTAGTTAGCTGCCTGCTTGTATCTACATGCAGTGCCTACACTGCCTAGTATCCAGTACCTAACCCCAATGGCAAATTCAGTTTTGCATATGGGGCATATTCTTTGTTTATAAGTGGAATACTTGCTCACACGCATCTTAGTTACGAGAATCAATCGACTCTTCTTCGCTCGCCAGCGCCAATGAGCTGTAAATCGGACAGCTAGCTGCCACTAGTAGTACTCAACGTTTTTCTCCTACAATGGCCCCATTCAATATAAAGAGAGGTGAATGTATGCAGCACCTGCTACGGCGCCATCCGTTCCGGGCATATAATTGATACCGTCGATAAAAGGTCTGACTACAAACTCAGCAATTAGTTGCGCACCGATAAGTAGGGTAGCTATAGCAGTATTGACGAGGAATAGGTATAGAATAGGTGATCGCTGCAGCGATCAGGGAAAACTCCAATCTAGGAACTGCAGCCCGCCGCTTGGTTCTCTACCGGATATCTTCACGCAAATGATTGACTGTATATGACATGCCAGACCCTTCCTGCCTTCAATTCCTCGCTGAAGATGCGCCGATCTTGTCATGTCCCAAAATAGTGGATCGCCATGTCAGCTCGGTGGCCTCACTTTGATTCAGGTAGCACCGCTTTAATGAACGTCAATTGGGCCTCGTAAACCAACATGTGGAATCTTCAAGTTTAAGACAAAACGAAAGCCACCATGCCTTCGAGAGCCATGAACCGTATGGGAGGGAATTATATCTATGGGAGCCGTTAGATCTGTTTTGGATTGACGCAGGTCCGATATATAAATAAGTCGAAGCTGTTACACCGCAGCTGATTATTGTGATGATTGGGAGAGAATTCACATCTACCGAGAGGCGTCTAGGCCGGTCCGACTTTCTTATGCTGTCAGACGCTTCACTGGTATTAGAACCGACAAGGCAGACAGAGGGTGCCTATGTTGTAAGCATGTATAACTACAGCCTCTGCCCAGGGGTTCATAGTCCTCAATAGGATAACGAGCATGATAAGATCATTTATACATTTTGATTTGGTGTTGTTAGGCTGCTATCACCCATAACGTCAGATCGAATATCGTTCGAGCCCAAATTCGACATGATCATGCCCACTTCTACTCGCGACGAGCTCTCGGCCTTGTCACCAGAGTACCTTGCTGAGGAAAATAACACCCAACCACTTATAGGCACCTGTATTGCCTTCATAGTGATACCCACTGTGGTCTATGCTATGTTCCTCGTGTCGCGGATATTCTGCGCAAGTCGGAATGGTTGGGAGGTCTGGGCACTATATCCTCTCTCTTATCTGCTGACCATAGCATCTTGCATCATTGGCATCGGTGAGCTTTTCTTTTTACTATGATGCGAAAACTTCCATCTATTTCGAAGACCATTTAACTTACGTATAGACTTTAGCACCGGTCCTGTCCGGAGCCGTAGGTCGACATATGGCGTATTATGAACTCAACGATCCATCGGCCATCATCCTAACTCGGAAGCTACAAACGGCCGTTGAGTTCATATACATGGCCAGCGTAACTATCCCCAAAGTCACTATGCTGCTACTCTATCTTCGAATTTTCACCCAACGCAAGGTCCGTGTTGCCACCTGGATCGTTTTGGGTGTCGTAGTTACGAATTACTTCACGTCGGGTGTCATTGTGAGCTTCACCATCTGTCAACCGTTCGCGTTCAATTGGGACAAGTCAATCGAAGGAGGCAGATGCGCACATCTCATGACTGCCTACCGACTGATTAGTATCCCTAACGTCGCTACCGACTTGGCCATCTTAGCCCTGCCGCTCCACCCCCTCTGGCACCTGCCGATGAGCCAGACTCGGAAGATCGGCGTAATCCTGACCTTTATGACGGGAGGCTTGTAAGCTCAAACCCACCTTCATTCACAGTTTATCAAATTACACAGAATCGCTAATCAGGTACCATCTCAGGGGAATAATCACCGCTATCATTCGCCTCGTGGCGTTCTACACGGTAGACTTGGTCTCGGACCCGACATACCAGTGCGTTTACAACATGATATTCACCATCATTGAACCCGGGGCATATTTCATCTGCTCCTGCCTGCCAGGCATACGTGCCCTCCTGCAGGCGGTGCTGAGACTTCCGAGGAACACAGACAGTGATAGCAGCAGTAGCAACAGCCCCTTTTCCAAGACAGGGGTACCAGCCGACCATCAACGCAGCCTCGACATCCCCCTAGGCAATCCGATTGGGGACCACAGGACGTCAGTCTCAGCGACGAGGGGTTCGGGATTCATTGATAAGACCGACGAAAGGGCTGGCTTCATCCGCCTGGAGCAGGTAGTGGAAATGAACATCACCTCAGCCAACGCCGCTCAGGAGCACCGTGAGAATTTTGTTTGAACGAAGATTCGCCACACAATTCATATTCTCGACTCCTCGGACTCCTCTCTGCTTCTATGTTCATTACGAACGAGACCAGCCGACGTGCTATGCGACATGGCGCGTCTATATTTCAGTCGCACATTGCGAGCACCAGGTCATGCCTCCCGTTGAGACATACGGCACTCGGCCCGAGTAAAGCTCTACTTGACCCCTTCCCGCAGAGAGACTTGCTATATGTCTATCTCTATGTGACGGCCTCGTTCAATGTCGACTTGGCCTCGTTCAATGTCGACTTTCACATGAGTTCTCTCAGCAGATCAACTAGCTGTGCCAAGACTCTCAGCCCATGGTCACAAGGCTCAATGAGAGTGGGCGGCAGCGCCGAGCCAGCAATGGAGATCAGGTTTCTTGGAAGCGTGTCTGGTGTGCTGGTCAGATATAGTTCAGAAGCTCCAGGGCGAGCATGGTGGCATGAGTATTTTTCAAGGAATTGGGATTGAGTTGATGTCGACTATCAGGGGTCGCGTTGTACTTTATAGCAGTCACTAATTGGTAGCGGGGGGCATTTATTGCAAGTTGATACACAAAGAAGCATGAGTTTATATTTCATGACCTCAAATGAAATCTTCTCGGGGTATTCTGCATCCTTTTGTTTGAAATGTGTCATTTGTCTCGTAGTTATAGCATACTTTGAGAGAGTACTTCGTCTAATCCCTTCCTTTCTCATAGCCTAGACTCAAGTTTCACTTTCTTTTGACACGAAGGGTGTTTAAATTATATCGATATTTATATACTAACAATGAAAAGTGAAAACACGGTATATGTTCTGACTATAAAAATGATCATAAAAATACCTGAGTCCAAGTCAAGGTCAAGTTAGGACTGGGTGGAGTGTCGGTGTACGTAGGTGAACACTCGACGACATCTACTTATTAGATAGACCTGGGCTCATATATACCTAGTGTTGCAGTACATCTGCAACCAAGAAGAAGAAAGAGGAAAGGAAGAAAGCTTGCTTTATTCCCAACTACGGATGGCGGAGTGCCAATATATGGCCATAAGGGCCATATGGCTCTAGTGGAGCCTAAGGGTGCCTGAGGCACCTGCAACACCTAGGTACCTAGGTAACTATTCGATATAGTTTCACAGTTTATCTCTATTCCGATGTCTAGTTATAGGCCAGATTAATGATGGTTTAGAAGAATAGGAGGAGTTAGAATAAGAAGTAGTGTTATAATGTTGTTGAACAACTAACCTACTAACCTAGGTACGAATAGATTCATACTGGGTGAACTACTACATCACGTGGGCAGTTGCTATCAGTTGCTATATATTTTCAAAAAACAATCTCTGGAATAGGTACTCTGGATCTAATAGTATTATTTGGAATGTTGAAGCGGTATGTCAACACGTGCTTAACATCATTCAGTTATGAACTGATATTGTTATCACTCTAGCCAGCTTTGGATTCTCAGGCTTTCCATTGAAGCCTCTTTGTATATTACGTGAGTATAAGCGAAGAAGTCTCTGCATACAGCCATTAAGGATATCCATGGGAGCTGAACTTGCCGTTGGGCCGCCCAATATCACACGTACAAGCCGTATTCGGGTTAGATGTTAGTTAGGTACCTACGCATCCAGACCGGCGAAGAAAGATAACAGTCGCCTCGTAATAGTTTTACAGAGTAGTATCAGGACCATACGACAGATTACTTGTTTCGTTGAAGAGATCCAGTTTGCTGCTACCTAGTAATTATTGACCATGCTGAATAGAAACTGCGAGCTTACGTATGTGTATTGCTCGGTCACAACAAAAAAGTCTGCTATTGCCAAGAGGTTAGTCCCAAATGCACAAAGGAAGTCGGCAAGGTGATATTCTCGGGCACACTATGACACGTCTGGTGGAGTTATATTAAAGTAATGCACACCGAGTGGGAGGCTTTCGTGGGATTTCGAAGACTCGGCTGGGAAGTCTTTCTAGGTCGTTGAGGGGTTTGATGACTTCCGCGTAACTCACCGTCATCATTGAATTTCTATTCCACCTATGTTGATGCAAGTCATGGCCAAGTCATTGTCATTCGATATATATGTGCATGGGTGGTAGATAGTTCGCCAAGATTAAGAAGGAATTGTCACCGCCTTGGCTCTCTCTCAACACCAACTTGAATTTATATGTTTAATGTGAGACTATAGTGTTTTCCAATAACTTAGATACCATACTCTTATTTCAATCACATCGCCTCATAGCCGGGATAGTGGAATGGGCCTGGAGAATATCAGGATTTGGTCTAGAACTCCTCAATCTCAGCCCATAATCTACGCCTATCGTGAACATCGACGGTCTAACTTGCTCAGTTGTTCATAGACGGATAACAGTTATTATTGTCTACGGTTAATTAGGAAGTGAGCCAGATGTAGGTAGAATTCGCTTGGTTGTTGGTTATCAGCCCCTTTTATCCAATCTGCAAACATATCTCCAGACAGATGGAAATTCGCGAAGCCTTCCCAAACTGGTGAGCCGGACTCGTTTCACCGCCACGTAGATAGAATATCCTGAGAAAGCGTGGGTGAACAAGATGGGGGTTCGTAGGAGGTCATTCGCTGCGGGAGGCTTATCATATATAGTAGTTGGAGAAGTGACGTTCAATAAATTTGCGGTTCGTTAGACCTATTCATATACGATGAAAGGCTTGGCGAGATATGGTTTATATAACCTTACCTACCGAGCGAACCTGGTTAGAGTGAGTGAAAATTAAGGGTCTTATGAGGCCGAAGACGTAATTTGAGAATGTATAAATACCCTAATCTACTACTAGTAGTAAGTACCCACGAGATAGCTAAATAGATTAGGCAGATATCACATAATTAGTAAATAGATGGATATCGAAAAGGTCAGTTAGTTTTGTTCGTGGTCCGAATTGAGTTCGAGTGATTTAATTTCGACGAAGAATAGAATATGGATATCTACCCTCGGTAGGTATGTGCCAGTACCCACCCACATAGTGTATATAGTGTAGATGGCCACGAGGCGGCCGAGCTCTGACAAAGCTTGTGAAGTCGTACATACACTAGCTGACGACCGGGAACACTGGCGTGCATTGTAGTAGGTACTATGTAGTTTATTAAGTAGTAGTTAGAGGAATAGAGGTACTAATGTTGGACAGGGGTCTCGATCGCATGCCGTCATTTGGAGATGGACAGGGGTTGATGGCCTAGCAGCCCTTGGGGCCTTGGGGGAAAGAGGATAGCTCCACTATGTAAGTAAAGGCCATGTGCTCTGCGCCCGAAGAAAGAGACGCGCGTCCCAGGAGGTACAGACGTATTCCCTGTCAGCCTATACATATGCCCTAGCAATGGCTAGCATCCATTGCCAGGTACTTAAGTGCTTTTTACTTTCACCACCTCCAGCGCTACATACTAACTACTGGGTAGTGTAGTAGGCTGTTAGGGCTGCCAGGTAGATTTCGTGATTCTTCATAGTACAACTATATACCCACTCGAGGTATTTACCAGCTTTGTGGTCCAGTAGGTAGGTAAGATTGAAGTTCATTGTTGGAAATTGCTAGGTAGACAAAGACATGCAGCCGTGACAAATATTTTTTGGCTTACGATGCGATTGCGATGGCGATGGTGATGTCGATTAATAGCAGATTACGATCACCAAGACCGCCGGACCTAGAACATCCTTCGGAACTAAGAACTACCCGAGACGATCCAGCTTCGTAACTGACCTAAGTGTCTTGGGTCGGATCATGCCGAAAATGAAACCTCTTCTTCTCTTGCTAGGAGAATATATGTAATAATTATCTTCCTAGCATCTATCCGTGGTCCTTTGATATGAATGAAATCGATGACCATAACGATGTCACTGACGATGTCACTGACATGTTAATTAGGGGCCGGACTAATCGGTTTGGTTTGATAATGTTGCATGATATACGTTGGTTATTACGGTAAATGTGGCAGACAGCCGCATAATTTTGAATTGAAAGGGACTGCCAAGCCTCAAGAATTAGATGATATGTGAAGAGCCGAAGCAAGCAACGTAACATGACCCAGAAAAGAGGTGACTAGCTTAGCAAATCATCGGACAGGAGCCGTGGGATTCGATGTTCGAAAATGGTGGCGACCTTGCCATTGGCCAGAAACACGCAAGTCTCTTGAAGGGGAGACGGGACGCGCAAGCAGCCTCGACACTAAGCGAGAAAAGGGGGAGTCTGACTAGCAATAACGCCATGGGAGTCGTGGCCATGCACGTGATCATCGCCATGGCTTTTGGAGAACATTGATAATTAACATCGATACATATAGAATACATATAGAGAACAACATTGAATTGCATGTATACACACGAACCTATTGCATGTAGATGTACCAAGGCAAGTACTACGAGTATCATACGTACGAATACTTGGCTTCATACATAGTAGCTACACCTAAAGAAAATCGGGCATTTGAAATTCCCTTAGAGACAAAGGTAGGTCATGATAGACGATCAGTGTTGTGCTGTAATTATCAGCAGTTCGGTTTTTGAAGTTGCAAAGAGAGGGAATATCTCGCCAATCTCTCACGTAATCTGAGATAACAAATTGAATTCAGATGGGATAACTGACCAGTCATTTTGGCCGTTTTGTGACTTTACACGCAACAGTGTTCTACCTGATATATCAAGATGTACAATGTCTACATATGTGAAAGACATCAGGGTTTGGGCCACAAGCTTACCTAGTACATGATATAGGTAACTCACCGCGCGTTTGAATTACATACAGTGGAACACGTGAGATTATTATCCACGCACAACTCATTAGTACAATCGGCCCGGAGAATAATCGAGGGACAAAGGGCAGATTTAAGCTTACCGCCGTGCTGGCCGAGAAATTTGTTAATGGGAACGTGGAATCGGGACCCCTCGTAAGTTACCGAGAGGTTGGTCGGGCTGTGTGGGTGTGTATGTGCGATGTATCATCCGTGAGTATGAAAGAACCTCAGTCAAGGACGAGGCTGAAATGCCAATGCCAAAGCGAAAGACAACATCATGGATGGTAATTTATGTTGGGATTCGGCGAAGATGCCCGAGAATCGGGGTCTATGGCATTGTTGCTGACGCCTAATAGCGGCCTCAAAGAATACCATGTAGCATTCGATGAACCCATACATAGGTACAAATGGTGCCTACAGTACGTAGGATAGTACACATGTACTGTAGCGATATATGTATCGTACCTACATATACCATTATGTAGGCTGGCTTTACTAATAAGAGGCTTAACAAAGGGCCTTGTGAGGTGACAGTACCGAGGCTGAATCGTGTCGGCCGAGTCCGCACTTCGGTATATGCTTAGGTACCTAAAAACGTGTGAGAACCTAAATACATTGTATCTGAAGACGAATTAATTGGTGCGGACACAAAAACATCTCGGGAGGATCGAGCAGGTAACGTAGGAAATAGAAGAGTGGCACAGCCAGTATGGCAGTATGGATATGGGATGTGCGATATGGAATACATGTAAGTATGTATGTGCCAGTGTGATGCGCGCGAATGGGCTGTGAGCAATGGTGCCAGGTACATAATGCATCTTAACTAGTAGTACCCACTTAGTTAACCTATGTATGTACATTCTATGTAAGTTCTGGTAGGAAGGAACATTCAATGTTGAGGTTGGAATCAATGATATCTGCGACAGGCCTCATTTAGGTAGCAGTTTCAGCCACGATCAGCAAGCCACGCCTCGTCATCGCCTCCAAGGCTCCACGAAAAAGGTATAGGCTTTCTCGGGTGCAGACCGGAACTATCAATTAAACCAATCACGAACTTTTCTCCAAAAAGAATTAGGTAAGGTATACCTAACCATTTCCGTACGTACCTAGGTACATTACACGTATGCGACACGCTACAACGAAAGAAAACTCCACATGAATCCATATCGGACATTATGTATTATAGGATCTTTCTTCTAATTTAATGGTCAATCTGTACTACTAGTTATGTAGTATGTAGTATGTAAAAGAAAAATTAGTCGCGATTTTCTTCTGGGCAGGGAAAATCAAGATAGTGACAAAATTGAAGCAAAGCAGATGTTCGAGAAACTCTTGAGAGACATCTTTGAGAGTAGTGTCGCGGTAACTCCACTCGCATTGGCAAAATCATGTTAGATGATTGGTCGGACCATCCAAGAGACGCGCGTTCACGCCATCTCTTCTGTGTCCTAGTGCGCTTTCTTCCGTAAGGTACAGTACCGATGATGGCCAATTTGGTAACTACACTGTATTTAGTGTAAAACAGTAGCCAATGATACGAATGCAGAATCAGTAACGGGCGGAGAAGGCCTACGCAGCCCGGCCCAGGTGGAATGACCTTCTAGATCGGAGCGTTTGACCTTGTCTCCATCTTAAACCTTGTAAAAACCCACTTAGTTACATTACCCAAACAAATTGTATGGCGATCATATCTTAAAATATGAATTATGAATGGTTATATACACTGTATTACGTATATTAATTCTTTTATCTTATATAGGTTATTCAAATATATAGCTATATAAGTGCAACCGGTATCAATTGAAAGCGCATTGAATAACGAATCGATTGATACCGGTCTCGAGTTGGTGAGATATCTGGTTGTAAAGTTATTCAGGTAAATAAGCTAGCTGGGCGGGCGGGCGGGCGCACGTGATCACCCTTGAAGCCACCTAAGAGCCTGCACACGATCGCCTAGGGGTGTCACATGATAAGCTGTCACATGATATCTCCCGATATATATACCTAAATAACTTTGCAACCAAGTATCGCATTCATATTTAACTTATATCATTTAATGGACAATTAAATTCTCTTTTAATTGATACCGGTTGCATCATTGTAGCTATATGTTTTAAACGTTTAGGTTGGATATTAAATAATTAAGACTTTATTTAAGCGATTGTATGTTGGCCTTAAGGGTGATCACGTGCAATCCAAATAACCGGCGTTTTACGGCCCGAGAAGGCTCTAGATTTAAGGTTTTAGGGCCCGATAGCAATAATAGGTACAGTACTACGCCGTATATGTAATTACCTAGGATACTCATACTTTAAGATATGATCAACACACAATTTGTATGGGTAATCTAACTAAGTGGGTGTTTACAGGGCTTAAGCAGGGTTTAAGGTGGAGACAAGGTCAAACGCTCCGATCTAGAAGGTCATTCCACCTGGGCCGACGCAGCCTACGCAAACCCTGCAAAACCCTGCAAGGACTGCAAATGGAGACTTTCCCTCTTTTTTTCTTTTTTTCCCTTTAGCAACCTGGGAACTTACCCCATTCCCCATTCAATGTTCCCATCCCCTTCCCTACATAGTGTGATAGTACATATCCTACTACCTAACGTACCTAGCAAGGCCTATCTTGGTATTATGTGTCTACGAATAAGGCATACGCATGCACTTACATAGTACAACGAACAACGAATCTTCTGCTCCACTGCCTATCATTTCTATCATTTTGGACCAATTTTGTACAACTTGTAATCATTTGTATCATTTCCTCACTTTTACAACTTGTATTCTATCGGCTTTCCCTCCTGGTGTACAACCTAAACCACCCACGCAACACACAGCACGCAGTACGCAGCACGCAGCACGCAGGCCACACACGCACACACCCACTCTTTTACACCCCCCACCATTACTCTCTACACCACTCCCAACCAAGTGACTAGACCAGCTTACGAAGGGTACTGTACTGAACAGTAGCGAATCCATAATTCCCATCTCTGGGTCCCCTACAATTGTTCCTACCTACCTTGCCTTGCCTTACCTTACTTTACCATACTCTTTACCGTTACCGTACCTAATAGAATAATCCATATTCATACATCCATCCGCCTCTCTTCCTCTTCCTCCGTTGTCACCTCTCGCTTCCCGCTTACTAGATAACCCTCATCCGCCTCTTAATTTGGAAACATCGTCTTCCTCCCTTTCATCTAGTCGACGTTGACTTAATTTCGTCGTCCGCTCGTTTTTCTACGACTGCGCGATACCGAGAGGGAGTCACATCTTGTGTAGGATTGCCTAACGAAGAAATACACGAGTGGGATACACTTGCAATACGACATACAGGAAACGAAACACGAATATTAGCGACTACTGATTATGGGGGATTGACTTACCACCACAGCCGATCTGTCTCTCGACAACACGAACCCCCTCGTTCGCTGGTGGCGATTGAGTCCCGGGCATTGGAAGGCAGTGGCCGAGTCCACACAATTAGACATCCTTCCAGCTGACCAAGTCTGTTGTGCCTTTCCGCATAAACTTGAAGTCAGTCTAGTCTAGACTCAAGTGCGAAATCATCAGCTTTTCAGTACATAGAGTGGGAATCTACGCCGTGAAAAGGTATTAAACTTGTCCACTCGACTCCGACATATTTCATCCATTACTACGACGGCGACATCATGGCTGGTCGAAGTGACCGCCCTGGTAACGACCAGGGTGATTATGGGGAGGACTGGGCTCGAGATTTACGAATTCAATTCGAGCAATTACTAAGAACAAAACGATTAAGCGAATTCGAACAATCACGGTTGAACCGATCGCGCCTTGAGTCCTCCAGTCCCCGAGAACGAATGTCATCGTCGAATTTACGAGCGCCATTAGGTGCCTCGTCTGGTAGTTCTAGTAGTAGACCATCTTCATCGTACAGCCAATCCCGTAATCTTGCGTCTCCCGCATTGCCGCCATCCTATTCATCATTGCGTAATCTACCCAAGATTCCGACAGCACCATCTCCTCACGACCGCGATTCGCAAAAGTTTCGCAGCTTACTCGTATCGCTGTCACTAACCCCGACTAAGTACGAAAATCCGGGACTGCTTGACGAGGCTCTGCAGGCAATACCGCTTGACAGGATATACGCCGAGGCAGAAGAGGAGTCCCAAGTATTACAAGTTACGGCAGAGAGCATGGGTGATGGCCGGAAACCTGAATGGGGATATCAAGATTGCGTTATTCGGGCATTGCTAAGGTGAGTTGTTTCTCTTGCTCAATTAATCTGGTTGTGCTTCTTTCCCAGATCAATCTAACATTGATCGTAATTGTAGATGGTTCAAACGATCCTTCTTCACCTGGGTCAACAACCCTGCATGCACCGTCTGCCTATCGCCAACCGTTGCGAGGGGTATGACGCAGCCAACGCCAGAAGAAAGCGCCTATGGAGCCCTACGAGTAGAACTTTACGAATGCTCCAACCAGGGGTGTAGATCATGCGAACGATTTCCTCGATACAGCGACGTCTGGCGATTGTTACAAACGAGACGCGGCAGATGCGGCGAGTGGGCAAATTGTTTCAGCATGCTATGTCGCGCCGTCGGTGGTCGTGTGCGCTGGGTCTGGAACGCAGAGGACCATGTATGGACGGAAATCTACTCGGAACACAAGCAACGATGGATCCACGTGGATGCTTGCGAAGAAGCTTGGGATAATCCGTGTCTCTACACCGAGGGTTGGGGCAAGCAGATGTCGTACTGTATCGCCTTCAGCATAGATGGGGCCACCGATGTTACCCGCCGATACGTACGAAAGAGCGAGCATGCGCTTGAAAGGAATAGATGTCCTGAAGAGGTAATGCTCTATATCATGCAGGAGATAAAGAATATCCGACGTGCCAACATGAGCAAAGAGGACCGATTCCGATTGGAGAAGGAAGACTCGAGGGAGGATCGTGAACTGCGAGGCTACGTTGTCGCTTCTATCACCCAGGCGGTGACACGAATGGTTCCTGGCTCGTCCAGTTCTGGCTCTAACGCTGGAGGCTCTGCTCCGGTACCTTCTGCCTCTAACGATGACCAGAAACTTCCTGCGGAACAACCAGCCCGACAGAGTGGTAATTCAGAATGGGTTGCCGCGCGCGGAGAGGGTGGTCGACGCAACCAGCAATTTCAAGATCCAAGGGACCCGCCACGAAGGTGATGCGACGCGCTTCCGAAGGATATTCTTGAAATTTTTACATCACATTGATACCTACACTTGACGACATTGCACAATCCGTCCACTAATTAAACACATTGGTCGAGTTATATACCCCAGCATCTAGCATATCGAACCGACACTCGTCCGACTAAACATAATTTCGGACGATGATGGACTACGTATTACCGATTCTCATTTGTTGAATAATATTATTATTGCATCGGACGACACCGACGTGTTCGTCTATCATCTACTAAAAATCTGTACCTATTTACGCATTCGGCCAGCTCACGACGCCATCCACCGTCGTTCTCATTTGTGGTCCGCATCTTCAAAGCTGTGGAATGAAAACCGCCGGCGCAAAGGACCTGTTTGGTTTTGGGTAGCATTATATACAATTTTGTTTTTGCTGGGGAAAAGGGGTGTTGGAGAACATGGGTTTCTCCTCGTCCCGGCGTTGAGGTTAACTGCATGATTGGATGGAAACGGGTTGACGAAGGGTGATGGTCATACCCAGGTTGAGGACATGAGAATTGTGTGTACTATCAAAGGAGAGAACTGCGTAACCTAGTGACAAGGCACGCGACCAAGGAACGCGACTAGGAGGCCAAACCTTGAACGGAGTACCGTGTGGATTTGTTTTTCTAACCAGCACCCCAAACCAACGACGGTCACAAAGCGCCTTGGATGGATAGCGATAAAACGTAATTGTGCCGTTTTAGAAGCATTATCGCCATGGCTGAGAATAGACTTGTATTGTTGGTGTGTCTTTTTGACAAATTAATCTGGCTTTCACGATAATACCTATTCATTGATTCATCCCATGTGAAATTTTGATGTACCTATTAAAGGTTAGTAATATCATGTGTGTATGCATGCATGCCCAGATGATTATGACCTATCATCCCACTCTTAGCCTCAATTTCGCCTCCATGATGTGATGAGGCAACCTCATGAGTTGATTAGTATGCCCCCAGGAAGCCTAGCGGTGTTGCTTTGGGCTAGGCTTCCTTCTATGATGACACACAGGCGTGACGTACAGGTCTAGTGCCTTAGTATTTCTATGTACTTAAGCCTGTATGTAGGTAGCCACTTGGAGAAAGTAGATACCTAGTTATGTACATACCTCGGTATGTATGTTCAATGTTGTTTTAATCAGTTCGCTTGGTTCCATCCAGGTTCGTATCGTTGTATTAACTAGTTAACCCTTGTGGGGGGGTTTTTTTTTTCTTTCTTTCAATTTTTCGGTATAGTTAAATAGTTATAGTTAGTAGTTAGTGGGCTTCGTAATAGGATATCAGAAGGGAAGAGAAGAGATGATGCCGCGTAAGACGGTCGATCATGTCTCTATCGGGATATATCGCCCTAGCGGGGCTTGGTGCCCCTTTTCTTTTCTGTTGAATGATTAAGGGGGGCTTTTTTTTTAAAAAAAAAGAAAAAAAAGACTACATACGGCCCCTAGAAAGTACTGTGGAAATGGGTTGGGTAGATGAAGATGAGGTAGATAGATACGTAGTTTACTACCTAGGGAATTGTGGTGCTCTCATAGGGGTGACTTGGCAGGCTTGGGGACATGAATATTAGGTTAGGTACGTTGCGTGGTCACGTATGTGAGCTGGGATAAAACGTATGTGTCTATGTTTGCGTACTACAGCCCTCTTATTAGTTGCAGTCTTTCAGTCTAGTCACAGCGTCATCTTTACTGACGGAGTCTCATCCCTAATAGCTATTGCTGCCATGGGATGGGCTGGGGGGTCTCGAAACAGTGGCCGATGGAACATAGAACAGTCAAGATATTAGAATGTACATGGGGCTTCTCGCAAAGTCCTCAGCATAGAGATGAAAGAAAACTGATTCTTCATTACAGTAAGCTATCTTAGGAAGCATCATGACCTATCCACCTGAAGCTGACATGAATGTGTTCGGTCTCCAAACACGAGACAAACTTAGTTGTCCGAGCATCGCGAGTCTGGAGGTACTGCCTTCTTTTAGGAGATAAGTCCCATGCGAGTTACTCGCCTGAACTAGAATAGTCACTTGAACTATAATACTTTTTCGACTTGGAAGCCTTTTTTGATTTGGAAGACTTTCTTGAAGTAGAAGACTCCTCTTTCTTTGCCGATACCTGAGTCGAGGTTCCGACTAATGTTTTGGTTGAGGCTTCTTTGCGTAACTTCTTCGCATTGATGGCAGACTTATGCTGCGATAGGCGATCTTCGAATTGGCGGCGCTTAGCAACTTGCTTTAACGTGTCGAGGCAAAACGCGGGATTGCGTAGGAAGGCGTCTTCCACGGATGGACAGTTAACCAAGCTTTCGTATCTCGAAGCCGCGTATATCGATACCAGTTCTCGCAGTTCATCTTCCGACTTAGTTTTGGCGTAGGTGAAATCAGCCAGCTTTACGAGGCTTACAGTGCTGGTTCTTCGACTCACAAAGTGCATAAGAGCATCTGCTAGTTTGTAGAGCGCCAGGACTTTGAGGCTCTCGATGCCGTAAGCTAGTCCGATCACGTACATATTAGCATGCCTCATCAGATAGTTGATTCGGTCCTCCTCCCATTCAAAACTGCTAATCCATTTCCATTTGGCTCGCATCACGACGTGTTTCCCGGAAGGCGATCTGTACCGATCCCACAAAGTCTTGTAGAGAAAGTCGTGTTGAGAGCCCAGACGGCCAACGGGATAGAACAATTCGTCCATATCATAGGGTTCCCCGCTGATCGGGTCATGGATCTTGGGCGAAGTGTAAGTGTCGTAGTAAGCATACTCGCAAAAGGAATTGAACAAATCCTCGTCTCCAAATTTCCAGTTCATGGTGCCTGCGCGCGCAGTATTCGTGTTTCCGAGCATTATGTTCCACAGAACTGGACCAAGGCGAATAAATGCATCTTTGTGGACCGTGTACTTCTCGCGACGGGGGCCAACAAGAAAGACGAATGTGTTCTTGGATGAGAAGCTGTGACTCCTGTTAGTACATAGCTGTCACGGAAGCCCAAAAAATCGACTTACCTTTGAACGTGGCAAGTATCCGCCGACATGGTAGGCAGGTTGACTATCTTGGGCCAAGGCGAAGGATTGACTTATACCATGTGTGGTTAGGAATGTGTGGAGAATAAGCTTGAGGTCCAAATAGTTTAGAAAGAGAAAGCTAAAGTAAATAAACAATTAGCAACAAGGTGGGTTACGAGGGACCAAGCAGCCAAACCTGAGATTCGAGACAACTAATTGGCACAATGGGTACCGTGAAAGATATACGATAAAAGCTGCCTGCTAGGCAACGACACTCCTTAGATATCAGGCATACTTTCTATGGCAAAATATTGGCACCCTTAATACCACCGTGGAAGCAACTATCCCAAGGAATTGACCTCAAAGTGAAGGGTTCCAAAACACCAAAGAAAGCGTAACCTACATCCCTATCACGAACCCGCCTCGCGCTCGAACCAAATCAGCTCTTTTATAGCATCCTCCAACCTCAATCCCATTTTAACCGCCTTCCCATTCTCAAAGACAAACTCTGCATCGAGGGGATCCTCCTCCTCTTCCTCGTGCTCATCTTTGAAGCGAGCACCGTACTTCGTCTGGTCAGCGACGTGATCAAACACCAGTGTAAACCCCATCGACCGGTCCGTGCCGTCGATGAAGAGCTTGTCGTCTTTGACTTGCACTGCGAAGGAGCGGTAGCCCGGGTTCCAGTAGCTGCCGACATACGCGCTCAGGGGCGTCACTTGCGGCGGCCTCTCCGTCTCTCGTTTGCTTAGCTCCCCTTCTTTAGCCTTGTCGGTATTCTTCTTCTCCTTCTTCTCCGTCCCCTTCCCCTTCGCCGGCCTGTCTGCCTCAGGCACCCCAATCGCCGCATCGACAAGCGCGCGACAAAGCGTCGCAGCCGCCGCCCCCGCACCCTCCGCATTCCCCAGCACCACCGCCCCAAAGCCAGACCCCGGAAGAAAGAAGAACTTGCTCCTGAACCCGGGTATCGCGCCGTCGTGGCCGACGACCGCGTGGCCCCGGTAGTAGTGCACCTCGAGCCCCGCGGCGTACAAGTCCGGCGACGTGAGCGGCTCCAGCCCCCTCGCGTCCGGGTCCGGGAAGCTGCGCAGCCGCACGAGGCCGCGGTACACCTCCTCGCTGATGGGGGCCTCGCGGCGCAGCAGCGCTCCAACCCACCTGATGAAGTCGTTTGCGCTCGTGACGACGGAGCCGGCGCCCTGGCCCTCGGGGCAGTCGGGCGGCGGGAAGGCTTCGTGCGTCGATGTCGCCTTGTCCCAGCGGTGCCCGCTGGCGATGCGGTCGCCGAGCCCCCTTTCCCGGGCTCGCGCGGGCTGCAGGCTCGAGGAGGTCATGCGGAGGGGTTGGAAGAGCCGCTGCTCGAGGAAGGCGGAGAAGGGCTGCTGCGTCTTGGCTTCGATGAGGTGCGTGGCGACGGTGTACATCATGTTGCAGTAGATATGCTTGGCCCGCAGGGGCGCGGCGGCGGGGAGGTTCCGCAGGTTCCGGGTGACGGAGCGCGCGTCGTCGGGCTGGGCTGCCCGTGGGCCCATGTAGGAAAGGTCGTGTCTGTATTTTTCCGCTTAGTAAAGTGGCTTACCTCAGATATCTACGCAGGCGAAAGAGGAAGGGGGGGGAGATGGAGTTTCTACCTACCTACCCATACCAGTCCTATGACTTAGCACATCATCCACCGTGATGCCTTCAGTGTACTCGACACTAGGCATCACGAAGTCCTCGGGGAGCAGTTTTGACATGGGGGCATCATATTGTATCTCTGGATACCCCTCATCTTCCACTAATAGCCCAACCGATGCTGCAGTCAACGATTTGGAAGATGACGCGATGTCGAATAGCGTATCTGCCGTACAGGGCACCGAGGGCTCAAGAGAAGCGTGTCCATAGCCAGCAGAAGCCGTTTCGTTATCCTGCACCACTGCGATCGCGAGGCCCGGTACATGGTTTTGGGCCATGAGCTCCTCGACGCGGGTAGTGAATGCTGGGGATTTGAAATAGTCCATCTTTGGTGATATTGCGGTATGATGCTAGTTAGTTCATAGACCCGGCTGTGAGCGCTACTGGGTATCTAGTTATATACCCAACGCAAGTGGCGGTGCATGCAGAATTGTGACATGCTGGCGGTTGGTGCAGGGGATCATTATGATAAGAATAGCTATCATTCTGAATCATAAGACATGTTAGTAGGTTATTGGCTGCACAAAGTACTCGCAACAAATGTCAATGCATACAGTATGTAGGTCAGTTAAGGGAGTCGTAAGTAGTACGGTCAGCTTCTTTCTTTCTACCCAATGACACTAATTACGGAGTAAATATTAGGCCACCCTGAGTATAGTCTGCTTATGTACCTATATGAAGGCTGAATGCCGATCTAAGTTAATTAGCAAAAAGTATTATCCAATTTGAAAGCTGTAATGATAACTTCTTATTCAACATCCATGGATATCTCTCAAAATGTCTAGGCATTAACTTGAAGGTACTGTGCTGTATTGATGAATTGATGATTGATGAGATCTAATCTAATCAGATCTTCAACGAAGGCGCTTTGGTTGGTTCCGACGGGGCGGTAACCACGTGTGATCAACCTCTAGTCCTGTCTAGCTGTAGTTAGTTGTATGGTGTCTCGGCCAATCACACCCCCGCGATCTACTTAGTTAGTGTAAAGGCAAGTACCCTTCTCCGGTACTGCCCCTCGAGACTCGAGTTCGGGCGCAAGCACTTACCCTTATTAAGTACTGGGGTGCTTAGTACTAGGTACTCGGTGTCCACCTATGTAGTACAGACAAATAGTCTGTAAAGTTGAACTTGAAACATCCATCCATCTGTGAGAGTACATTTGAGCAGATATACGGATACATCTTCAGACATTGTGTAACTAGTAGTTGCCATCAAGTCTACCTAAGTGCGGAGTGTTGTTACCTGGAACTTGCGGCTCGCGCTAAGTACCTGGGCTATAGTTATCACTGATCCATATCCATAAACAACTTGAGTCTTTAGGTTTTCCATGCCCACATACCTTAGGTAGGTGGATAAGTACCTATAGATATTTTCAAGGGTCCCAGTAACATTTGTGAAGTAACATTCACCCTGCTGGTCACAGTATGACCATCACACAGCACTTCAATATCCACTACTAGTGGTAGTATCTTAGACACCTGTATTCTCCAGTCTCGAATCCTCGGCCATGGTCCAAGTTCCGACCTTGTACAGACGTCACCTCAACTAACTACCCTTTACCTACCTACTTACCTATATATTCATGGATATCTTGATGTAGATAAGGCCGTAACCCTAATCCAAAGCTCACAAACCCCGCCCAATAGCGCAATATGAAACCGATACTCAGGAAAGCTGTTCGTACTATCAAACATAATCACCAATGGCGGGGAACTGAGGCATTATACCTATCGATCATGACAGCACCGTGACTGAGGTGAAGATGTTCAACATTCAATACACCATAGTATGTAGTATTCGTCCGAGAATTTAAAGTCTCCGCTTGATAGTTGATGGAAACGTGCTCAGTCTCACGGCTGAGACTGCAAATAGCCTCTAGACACTCCTATTATTGTAGAGAGTAGTTAAGGGCATGGTAACTTGAGAGATGATTGCTAAAAGGTCAAGAAGTGGCATCATGAATCCAAGGGGGGTCGGACGACTTCGCTGTGTACGCTGTCAAGTCTCTGTGGGTATTTGATGTAGTGTGCCTATGTAGGTAGACAGACGTCTGGGTAGGTACGTTCAACGTCGTTACCTTATTCAAGTTATGAAAGGCACTTCAAGAGGGTCTATGGTTAACAGTAGGAAGCTGCGTTCTTGATCAAAGAATAATAAGCTGGTAGCACAACATTGAGGCAGGTACTACGAGACTCCTGTAATATCATTTATGTTATAAGGTATCAACTGGAAAGTGCGTGCCTGAGGACTATCAAATGTACATACACATGTACATGTAGTAGGTAAGTACATAGCATCTTGCCTTGCAATGTCGGCACCCTATCAAGTGGGTTCCCCATGATCTTGGGACAGCAGGTACTAAGTTTCCCAGTTAGCAGGTCAACAACCAACTTGAACCTTGGGAACCCAATCCACCTTCTCCCACCCCTCCCCACCAAACACAAACATCCACCACCTTCGTCCTCTTCCATATTTTTGAACATTTCCCTCCCCAACCCTCTCTTCTAACACTTTCAATACCGTACCACATGGTTTTGAAAGTATTAACTTAACCTTCCCTTCATTCACTCAAGAACCTTCCTTTATTATTCCAAATCCATCGTACTGAATCCACCATCAAGATGCGATTCATCAACACTCTCGTCACCTGCGCCGCTGCGGCTGCCCAGTTGGTCTCCGGCCACTTCAGCATCGTCTACCCCGAGTGGCGAGCTGATTCCATCAGCGAGGAGAATGGCTACTCCCAGTGGATTTATCCTTGTATGTGACTTCCTCTCATTCCATTATTGCACTTGACATCCTTTCTATTTCCATCCTCTCCCGTCCTCTCCCATCCTCTTCGTTATTTCCAAAGCCATCACAGCTAACCAAGTCAAACCCACAGGCGCCAATGTCGGCGGAGGCGCTGGCAACCGAACTGACTGGCCCATTCACGGAGGCGTCGTCCAACTTACCCTCCGTCACCCATGGACCTACCTCTACATCAACGTCGGCCTTGGCGAGGGCAACCTCACCAACTTCAATATGTCACTCCTCCCCGGTCTTGCCAATGTTACCGGTCGCGGCAACTTCTGTGTCCCGACCATTCCCTTGCCCATGGAGATTCTCGACGGCACTCTTGGCAGCATCCAGGTCGTCACCAACGGTGTTGATGGCGCTGACATGTACAACGTAAGTCATCATCTTATAACACAACATCAACGTAACGCGTGCAAGTATAACCCACTAACAATATAATAGTGCGCTGACATCACCTTCCGAGCTGCCGCCAAGGTCCCTGATGGCGTCTGCCACAACTCCAGCGACATCTCTTCTGTCTTCCTCGGCGAGTCCTCGGGCGGTCCCAATGCTACCGTCACTGTCCAGGCTCCTGCCCCGACTTCTCACCCGAACTCGGCCACGGAAGTCATCATGGGTGGAATGGCAATGGCCGGCATGGTTGGTCTAGTTGGTGTCTTGGTTGGAGGTATGGGCATGTGAACTGGCTGTTTTTCATCTACACATAGACTAGGGTTTGACACCAAACTGAGGTCGTATGGGAGGAACACCTGATTGCTATGGAATTATCTCTACAGTGAAGTCCCTCGAGCACAAAGCTCCAATACTGGGGGATGGCTACACAAATGGGATTCCACGTTAGTATGCAAGCTGCACAGATGTGACGGCAGTAATAAAATACCCCAATTCGGAGTGAGACTTACAATACTATAATTTGATGTGTTGTGTTGTGAATATGTGAAAATGCACGACCAGTAATTGACGTTTTTCTTTGTTGCTCTGGCCAAAAATCGTCGTAAGCCAGACCAAAATTGTTCGCTAATTCCATCCCAATTCGTCATGATGTATTCCCGCGACACCATCCCTTCTTCCACAGCGACGCCAACGATCTGTTAAACGTTCCCAGCTTGGATTGGGATTGGGGTTGGAGCAAGCCACGTCGAACATCTCGATAGGTATTATCTATCGCACGTAGTGGCGACATCTAGATGCTTTAGTCGCACGCTTATTCGCACGCTCGCTCGCGGTAGATACCTACTGAAAACCATTTGTTTTTCTTCTTTTTGTTGTTGTTCCAAGTTGCTCCAATTGGGCAGGTAGTGATATGATTCATGCCAAGGGCAACGTCGTCGTCGTCGTGCGCCGGTGATAAAGTTGGAGGTAAAGCAAGATCCGAGATCAGGTTGGATCAGATAATACAAGATTGATAGATGCGACGGTTATACTAGATCGATTGGGATTGATGGTGGCTCGTCAACTCGTACAGTTGCGTCCATTCACGTCCTCGCAACAGTTGTCTCCTTTGTTAGTTCGCTCATGACCCTCGCCATCGTGATACGCTGGTTGGGGTTCGGCGCCAGCATTTGCAGGATCAAGAACTCGACACGGTCGCGCGGATTGAGCCGATTCTTGGCCTCGTAGATCTCACCGAGCCACTGTTGCATCTGGGCGACGGCAGACGTGGCCCTGTTGCTCGTGTGGTGGCCATGGTTCGGCTTTCGGTTCAGATCCGCAATCATCCAATACAACTGCTTCGGATGGCCCTGGCGGCCCCTTGCATCCGGGAACGGGATCTTGCGCAAAACGTACAGCATGGTGACACCGAGGGCCCAAACGTCAGAGGCTGGGCCGCGTAGTTTCTGCCCGATAAATTCGGGTGGAACATAATAAGGTGTGCCGCCGTTGGTGGTCATGTCGGTAGTCCAAGTCGATAAACCGAAATCACAGAGAACGGCGCCGCGGTCGCGCGAGTATAGGATGTTGGCTGGTTTGATATCGTTGTGGATCTTACGCTTCTGGTGAACGTAGTGCAGGGCGCCAGCAATGTCGCGTAAGATACGCACGGCATCACTGCGACTCCCTTCAAACAGGTCAGTGGAGGCGTCACGCCATACACCTCGTGCCGCTAGATCCTTGCCATCGATATGCTCCATATAGAGCGACAGGTATCGGGCATCGCCGCCATGTAGGCGGACGATAGACTGGTGTTGAAGATCCTCTTGGCTCCGGTATTCGCGTAGCCAGATATCCGCTTGTTGGATCACATTGCGATGCGTGTCCTGCGGTCGGGTGTTTGGGCTGTTGGCCCTGCGTGTTTTGAGCACTTTTACAGTGATAACTCCATCTGGCACTTCAGAGTGTTCCGCTGTGAACACCGACGATGCATTTGTCGTCGCGATCTGCTCGCGCTTCGTTAGTTGATACTGATCCAGTTCACCCTCTCCTGGTATGGCGGCTGTCTCGTCCTTCTGAAGCTCCAAAAGCGCATGCCCATTAGGGATGGCCACTTCTTTTGTCCTGGCAGCGTTGGGAAATGGGAACACTAGTTGCTCATCCTTCGGTCCCATGAAGATGATGACGCCATCTTTTTCTTGGCCATCCTCTTTGCGAGCCCTTTTCTCGGCAACGGGACTATCTGGTTCGCCATCGTCGGCGTCGGGCAAGAAGGACCGCTTCCCAAATGAGTTCACGATATCTACACTTGAAGTTATCGTGGAATCGAAGCTGCTGCGAGGAACTAGCCGCGCCGCGGGGCGCTTCTCTAGTATCCTGAAATCAAGAACAGGGATACATTGGATACTGATTCGCCATGTACCTGGAGATAGTTCTTTGGTAGTTTCTGGTATAATTTCTTGACTGAAATTTGCGCCGGCGGCGGGATCTAATTGGGAAAGCCTAGCTAGTACAATGGGTACGTCTGATCTATTCCATAAGATCAAGCAATCACTAGTTGGGTCGTAGTACAGCTCGCACCATATTGGCGGCCTATTTTCGTCTTCGGATTGTGGTATTCTGATGGAGAAGTTGATATCCTTGGAGGTCTGAGTTACGGCTAGGACCTTGAATACGGGTTGCAGAGGGTCGGCCACCTCGGCGCGTAGAGCTAGCCATTGGACATTATTGTTTCCAGGACTCACTGAGCGGTTCCGTGTCAGTGGCCTCACGAGGATACGAATGCCTTGCTTATGGTGGGCTTCCTCGACGACAAGATCGTCCAATGGCACAGTATCTTGGTATGCGTCATCAACCTCGTCGACTTGGATCCCTTCGTGGAGGCGCCGATGGAGCTCTTCGGGAGTGAACGGCTCAGTTTTCTCCTCGGAGGGGAAAACATCGGCCATTGCGAGAATTTGAAAATGTATAGAAGTTATAGGAGATAATATGAAAGTGCAAATCTTAAGCTAAATACAACAAATAGACGACTGTTCAATGGACTACAATTGGAGATGATGCAAATGAATAAAAGACGTAGAAATGAAAATATCTAAGAGAAATGCAAGCAACTCAACATTAAACGCTTCAGGGAATCTCTCTAGCGCACTCAGGGCGAAATAGATTCTTCGGTATTGGGAATTGTTGATGAAGGAACTGTGTCAGGTGAAGCGTTCTTAGGACCCGTTTCACTCATAGAACTGCCTCAGGTAAGCCTTTGGAAAGACTGTCGTAATGTCATTTCTAGGAAAGCTTTCGAAAAAGGTGAGATGCTGTGCGGCTGATCCCGCCCTCTTCCACTGGGGACAGATCGGCTGCCTACCTAGGGGTCAGTCGCCTACCTGGTCTCTCTAGGTAGCTACTAGACCTGCTTGGGAAGCATGCCCAGTTATTTATATCCTTGTGTATTACCAAACTGGTCCGCATGGCAGTATGGCAAGGTCGCCCGCCCCAGAATAAGGCAACATGAACCTCTCCAGCGAGAAGGTTCGTATTTATACAAGTAACTCCGCTCACGGAATAAGCGGCGAGGTACATTCATATGTAAATAACAACCTTTTGGTACATCTGTCACGAGGTTCTAGGGCTGAATGCTTGACATCGCCCCCGCGGTTGCAACACCGTATGAGCGACAGTGAAGAGGGTGTTGAAGACGGTTGCGGCCCGCTGCGTGGACAGTCTCAAGTGACTTGATTATGACATTGTCTCATAATTCGGTCAAGAACTGAGGGGTGCAGAATGTGCAGATTGCTCATATGAATCTGTCAAGTGATTCGACAGTTTTAAATTGTTTAGGCAACGAAGCGACGAGAATGGTAACCGGCGATTATCGGCAGTGGCTCCAACGAGTGGCTAGGTATGCTGAGCCACCAAATCCCCAAATCCCAAATCCCAACCGCCGACCAACGGAAGGGAGCCATTCACATGGCAGTCATTTTGAAGCGATAGTACATAGTACATGGTGCTATGCACGTACCAACTCAAGTTGCCCTAACTTCGACGTTCAAAGTTTGATTAACTTGGCCATACTAGGTATAGTGTAGTAATGTAGCAGTGCTTCTGATCCCGCGTCATCATCTTCCGAGCGAAATAACTACCCAGGGTAGGTTCTCTGTTGTGCCATGTGGTCGAAATGTGTTGAATACAAGATTGAAATGTTGGAAGGAATTCAGTCCATTCATCGGTTGATAATAGTATATATAGCTAAAGGAACGGTGATCTTCAAGTGTATTATATTGTATTGGATTGCCGATGAGTAATAAATGCAATAAAGTCGCGATATCATCCTGCTAGGTTCAAAAGTTCGTACAAGTTGAACAGTTGGGTGATGCAAAGTGAGCCAAGCCGCTACTGTAGACTCCTTGCCTGATCGCACTTAAATGGGAAAAGTGCGAGGAGAACGTGAGAGAAGACGAGTTGGGGGCAAAGTGTGCCAAAGTTGGAAAAATCGTGGATTGGCTGAAAAGGAATCTGGAGTGGTCCGTGTGCGAAATGGTGTGTAAAAAGGTGTGGGTCGCATGAGGATGCATGAGGTAAGATCATCCACTAAATCCTTTGTCGTGATATATCATTGGACAAAGTAAAACATCAAGGCTTTTCATTGGCTTACGTCTGCGACAATGTGGTTAATGTTGCTCCGGGCGCAGTGTCCTTGTGGCCCCCGAACAACCAATAGGCAATTAAATTGACATTTCGTAGGGCCCTCAGGCAGACAGGGCATCCTTCCCTCGCAAGATATGGTATCCGTCCAGTTCCCACTTCCTCTTTTACACCGTCGCCTGGCTGCAACTATCACAACACAAAGGGAACAAACAATAGGCACGCCCACCCTAGGTGAATCACCTTAACATTGAACAACATAACAAAAAGTTGCCAACACCTTTCAAAAATCACTAACATAGTGTATTAAAACCCTCTCGATAAGTCAACGAAGACGACCATAGAATTATTATCAAAATGTTTCCCACAAGCCGCGTTTAAATCCATGACTTCTGTCACCACCTCCAGCCCACCTATGTATCGAATCTCAATTGAATTTGAGCGAGATTGTACCAATACCAAAACCAATATTTTTCCTTTTCTATCCCATCAGTATACCCTTATTTCATTACCAACTACGATACCCAAACCCATTTAGACATTCGCCTACGAATCGTTACGCCTTTTTGAGCCTAGTTCCGACTCGCGACTTAGGTGACCTGCTTCTTGATATAGGAAAAGGGTTATCCCAAAGTTGTTCACGATAACAATAATCCACATTCCGCCCGTTGGAGAATGGACGATTCTGGTTGGTCATGGCCCGCTTGGAAGTTTGGTATGAAGAGAGATGAACTCTTCACCAAGCTACATGATCAATATAACACAGTAGCCTTCTCTATTCAAGACCCGGAGGCCTTTCACCACGACGTCTACGAAATATCTAATAACGCAAGCACCGTCGATGAGCTGCATCGCCAACTAGCTGATCGCAAGCAGCTCCGGCTCAACGAGTTAAATCAGAGTCTAGAATCTGCTTCTCTCGAGATCATTGCCAACCCGAATCTTATCGGGACCCAGCAATGGCAGCATGCTGTTCAGCTCTTTCGAACCAAGTCCTTGGATTCTCTCGTTAGGTACTTCGCATCGTATCTCCCCGACGATCATCCTTGGCACAAATCTACCGAAGATCCCACATCAATTCCATTCTTCGACGATTCTGAGGATGGTGTTTCTTTCATGACAGATGAGCCTCTCTCTATCAACACCAGCATTTCCTCTATCCCGGCAAGCCATCTCCCCCCTTCGCCTCGATCCCTCACCATGTGCTCAGACGATTCTGCCGCATCGACACCGGCAAGAACACTATCCTTTTCGGAGCACGAGTCAGATGTGATGGTATTGTCGACTACCTTATCCCGCGGTTTTGATGATGAGGACATGTCACAACCAGAGGATCCTGACACACCAACTACGTCTATTTCTGACATGTCAGAGATCCGATCTCTAGAAGATGTGGAAGAGGTGGAGAACGAGGAGGACGAGGAAGAACGGCAGGAAGAAGAAAAATATCAAGATGAGGACGGACAAACGCCCTTAGGGTCTGTTGTGCAAGAGAATGAGACCATCGTATCAGACACACCTACTCCTCGAGGCGATGAGTTTTCCTCAGATCCGGAACTGTATAGTGACATAACAAAGATGGTCTCATCAAGATATACCTCACCCCATAAGGGTATTCGTGCTAAAAGCCCTGGGTTATCGAGATCACGGCGGAGGAGTCCAGAAATTGGTCGAGTGCAAAAGCCCTCACCAGATCCAACACGGATTAGACCAAAGGGTCGGAGACGGCAACTAGGCGGTTGACGATGTCATGGGATTGTATATATATCACCCCAAACCTGTAAATACCCGTAATGAGCTAAGTTATCTTCATCGTTGTGTCTTCCCTTGTATGATTTCTGTTGAAGATTACTTTTGGGGTTTACGATGATCGTCAAACTTGTATAAATGCTAACCCAGTTGATGAACGTGCGAAGAGCCAGCAATTGGTGAGCTTTATTTTCCCGTAACAAAACCGTACCCCTCATACCGATTTATTTAATACCATGTTAACAACTGCTAAGACGACTCATATCAAGGGGACTAAAAGAATACTCCGATATTGTGAGTGAGGTTCTGCTAACTTGCAGCGTGTTTGGCACACAAGGTATCTAGCAGTACACTTGGGCTATACATGCGCTAAGATTTCAGTGGTTTAGGCCTTATCCTATCCCTGGGCCGGGATTTATGAAGTGTTCAACCTGAAATGCCTACTAGGTAGCCAGTGAACTTGATGGCAAAATGCGTTGTGAGGTCATCAACTTCATATGATGAGATCACGAATCATGAACTGTAAGTGTCACGTATACCTAATCATTAACATGAATGAGTTCTAGGCAAGAAATTTCGCCAACTTCCATATCTATTTTTCGGCTTAACATTTTCTATTTTCCTTTTCACTGTTGTACCATCAATCTCCAATTGTACCCATATTATGTTTGTTTATGAGCAGCTCCTCAAACGAGACACTTGAGTGCAGCACAAACCCTCCCTTTCACAACAACCGTTTTAGCATTATACGCGTTCAAGATACCCATCAAGTCTAAGAGGATGCCGGAAACTCTACGAGAGAAGGCCACCAAGACCCTTCAAGATCCGGACGCGAATCCGAGTCAGCTTGGTGATCCCACCAGCCTAAAGGCAGAGCAGAGCAACCACATGCCTACCGAAGACGAAAGAGGGGCCACTCAAACTTCACAGTCAGCATCACCCAGCTCGTCATCAAGTGGGAAAAGCAAGAGCCATGAAAGTTTAAGAGAGAGAGCAGTTAAGAAACTTTACGGACCTGAGGCCAACCCAAGTATGCTAGGCGATCCAACGAGCCTAAAGGCCGAGACAAGCGATACTATGCCAACAGATGACGAGGCTGGAGCTCATGGTAAGGATTCAAAGCTGTGAGTGAAAGGGAGTGTATGTATGGCAAGGGTTGTTAATACTTGTATATACTACTAGTAGTACTACCTAGTACCTACATGTAAGTTATAATACCATGTACTACCATCGCGCGGTTACCTACATATGTAAACTCGTAATATCCATTACTACATATACTAGACTACATGAACCATAGCTTCAAGTAACAATGACAAATCCTGCCTCAATACAATGTATACCTGCTTTAGATGCAAAATAGCTGCTTAGATAATTTGATATCGACGATTATTAATGATCAGTAAGTAACTTGGTCACGCAATTAAGGCTAACATATAGCTAGATGTTGCTGAATCCTATTCACGAAATAACCAGGTAGAACCCTGGGAAACCCCAAACGAACCCAGTGGCTTTGTAATCGTGTGCGACACACAGCAAAGTACTTAAGTTCAGTGCTATAGTGGAAGCTTCAACCCCTCCATCAAAGAAGCACCTCCAACACCGAGGAAGCCAGAACTCTTCAATCATTACCTATTTAATGCAACGGATATTAGCCAACAGCTCGGTCTTAGCTCGTCAAATCTCAAAAGCCCATCGGTACGAATCATTAGTCCGGTGTATCTGCTATCGACATCTTAGCAACATGGCTCAACCTGTAAGTACTCCTCAAACTGAAGCTAATCCCAGCGATGTACCGCATACTTGAATCTAACACCAAACAAACATGGAAGACCAAAATTGACTACCAGAAAGATGGCCACTTTACGAGACCGGCCAGCACGTTCCGTGATTTTATTTCTAAAGAACCTAACTCCCAATTCCCAGCTGAGAAAGGTCGATATGCTCTATACATATCCCCGGGTTGTCCATGGGTACATATATCGCAAACATTGAAGTGAATTCCTAAGTTCCTGGCTAGAAGCAGCTAACATGAAAACAGGCGCACCGCACTATGATCGTGCGCGCTCTAAAGCGCCTCGAAGACGTCATTGACCTGTACATTCTAAGTGCATCTGACAATGGGTGGGTATTCGACGGCCAGAACGGCTCGCTGCCGGAGGACCCCGTATACGGGGTCACGTACCTGCGAGAGCTGTACCTCAAGGTGAACCCGGACTTCGACGGGCGCATCACCGTGCCGGTGCTCTGGGACAAGAAGACCGGCACCATCGTCAACAATGAGTCCAGCGAGATCATCCGCATGTTGTACGCCGAGTTCGACGCCTTCGTGCCCGAGCAACACCGCGAGGCCACCAAGGAGAAGCTGGGCGGCGGCCTGTACCCCGCGCCCCTCCGCAAGGAGATCGACGAGCTCAACGACTGGGTCTACAACACCGTCAACAACGGCGTCTACAAGTGCGGGTTCGCCGGGAAACAGGAGTCCTACGACGAGAACGTGTACCCCCTATTCGCGTCGCTGGACCGCCTCGAGGCCATCCTCGCCGGCCACGGGAAGCCGTTCCTCTTCGGCGACCACCTGACCGAGGCCGACGTCCGCCTGTACACCACCATCGCCCGCTTCGACGTCGCCTACCACACCGTCTTCCAGTGCAACCTCAAGAGCATCCGCCACGACTACCCGCGCCTGCACCTGTGGTTCCGAAGGCTGTACTGGGACGAACACAGTGAGCCGACGGGCGGCGCGTTTTATAGGACTACGGCGCCGTGGATCAAGATCTATAAGCAGGGGTATGCGCAGGCGAGGGTTAAGGTCACGAAGAGCCAGGTGCCGGTCATTGTTCCGGCGGGTCCCGCGGTGCTGGTTGAGCCGTTGGCCGATGACGAGAGGTTGTAGATTTCGTGTTGCTTGCTGTTTATTGTGACGAGAAAGGGGGCGAGAGGGAAAATCAGCTTGCACTACTCACATCAGAGAGTAAATGAAGATTATTCAGTTTTATTCAACCGGCGTTATTTTATGTCAAATATTTAACTAGCAGTATCAAAACACATCGTACCTAGGTATTCAACCTACCTCGCTACCCATTTATTTCCTTACTCCAAGCCCTCCCCCTCTCCCTCTCCTTCTCAAGCGACCAGCTCAGAGTCCGGCAAAACCAACTCCACCAGCCCAACCTGGCTCCTGCAATCCCATATCATGTTCAAGCGCAGCGCAGAGCGCTCCGCGATATCGCAAAAATCCGCCAGCTTGCGCTCGATGCCGTTGATGATCGACGTCATCGCCAGGTCGCGCTGGTGCGAGTACCGCGTGTAGACGCCCCAGTTGGCGGGCAGAGGCGCCGGGGCGGCTTTCAGCTCTGGGCACCCGAGGGTTGTGTTCATTACTTGGTCGCTGGCGATTCTGTTAGCTTCCCAGGTACACAAGGAATAAATTCGTATGTATGCATGACTCAACGGCACGCCATGTCATGTCATGGAAGGCTTGGTGGGAGAGGGATGATGTGGAAGAAGTGTTCCCTGCGTGGGAAACATTCATCCGCACCCTTCAACTAGAAGCCAAGATGCGAAAGATTCTATTCCCGTACATGTAAGTTGCCTCCATCCTTTCTAGGTCACTTTTTGGTAGTATATATCTGCTCCCTGCCTAGACATCAATCTTCAAGTTCCCACTAGCTCAGATTGCTAACCACACCAATCACCATCTGCAGCATGTTGACCAACTCGGACCACAACCAACAAGTCATTTCATCCTACGGAGAAAAGAGCGTGTCCCGCCTTCACCAGATCCAGGAGACGTACGACCCGAACCTGGTGTTCCAGCGCCTTGTGACCGGCGGCCAAAAGATCCCGCTTATTTGATTTATTTATTTCTTCTTCCTCTATCTGCCTACGCTAGATTCCCGATAGACAATGTCGCGCATGAGAGGAGCACACATTTTTAATTCATGAGATGAGCAACGTTTATATCATGAGAAGAACGCGTTTTTAATGCCACATCAAGAATAGAGAATGGGGAAAAGTCATGATTTGATGGATGGAGATGAGATATTTGTTAATGAGGTACTTCACTTTCTAAGCATGCGTGTACTGTACTATGCCCATTATGAACGACCCCCTATCTTCAATACATATACATGGCCTACAACCCACCCCTATACTCTTACATTTCTCTCACCCGTGCTCAATAAGCTTCCACTCCTGCGAGGAAGCTACCCTTGAACTTTGCCAACACTTCAATAAGGAGTACCTTATTTTGGCCTGTGAGCGTTGATGTCGCCCGAGTTCACGGAGTTCGTCAGGCAGCGAACCTTGCGCTCGCCTTCAGCTCTACCCGCACCCTTGCCGCAGTAGAAGTCGTCGTTGGGGTACGGCATGCAGGTGCCTACCTGCTTGTCATTCTTGTCGAACAGGCCCCAGCCGCGGTTTGCGTAGATGGCTAGATATCGCACAGGTAAGTTAGTATTGCACCCAAGAAGCATCGGCATTACCCGAAAAAAGGTTGGGGGGGAGAGGGGGGCTTACTCCAGTGATGCTCGTCAGTGTTGAAGTTAAACTCCATCTCCTCGATGCCAGAAGGGTCACCCGAGGCGTTGCATGCGCCGTTCTTTCCTTTGCAGCGGACGCCGTACTTGCCTCCGCTGACATCGCTTTTCTTCCTCCATATCCAGTCGTGGACATCGCCGCAGTCGGGGGCGGTGTCATAGACCTGGTAGCCCCAGGTGTTGCCGCTGATGCCGTCGCCGCCGACCCCTTGGCTGTAGATATCGAAGTTGGCGTAGGTTACATGGAGTAGGGCTGTCAGGGCAAGGGTGGTTGCTGGGATGAGCTTCATTGTGATGGGTTGGTCAATTGACTGATTGAAGATAGCTAACTTTGAGCTTTCAGGCTTGATGATCTGATATGATGACTTGTGATAGAGAAATAACAATGAAGAGACCCAGGGACCTTTATATACTCCTCAGGACTTACATACGAAGATGTTCTTCTGCTGAATTCAGCAAGTCTTCCGTGTGACCATGAGACCTTGCGCCTTCATTGATTTGAACATCAGATGTCATCGTCACTTGAAGCTATTAACAGTCTCTTATGCCAAGCAAGCCCTAAGGAATCTTCATTACGTTATGGGAAGTTCCAGTTGACGGGTTGCGGCTAACGGAAGGCTAGACATCCCAACTGATATCTCACCTTCATTAAGTAAAATCATGGGTGCCTAAGTCATTGTCGTCATTTGTGGTGAATGAGCGTTCATATCCCGAGGAAATATTCAAACATCAGATATTTAAAGTATTTAAAGACTCAATGTTGGAATCCTGCCATTAGGCAGCTTTCTTGGCGGCTCGGTAGACCAAACTCTTTGTCATCATATCGCATCAAGCTTTCCAACTAGTAACTATTTTGTTTATGGACTACTAGATAGGTAAGTAGGTAGTTGATAACTAATTTGGAAACAAACATACGGCTTAACTAAAATGAATCAATGGATGAGTTAAGAGTGTCACACATATAGCTGCGTGAAGGTTATATGATTGATTATACGAAGTTGAGGATGTTATTATATACTTTCATCATGAGAAATCTTCGTTGATATTCTTCCCAGCTGGTAGGTAAACCTACTACTTGTTATAATATTTGGGTTCATTGTGTAAATAGGTAATTATGGTCTTTTTTTGGTTGTTGAAATGTGTTTAGGGGTTGGTAAGGGTTGTAAGAATTACAAAAAGGGGCGCGGGGATGTTGGTTGGTACCTAGGTACATCGTAGCCCCTATTGGATATAGCAGACTGATAACTAAGGAACGCCACACTGATGAGGATTAAATGCCTTTGTTGGTACATAGCTATAAGCTGATAACCAACGAGTTCTTTCAACCTTTCCAACACCAATTTCTGGGGCTCATACACTTACACCAGGTATGCAGTTATTATGCACTATGTATACCTACCATTATATGCCTTGGCAAATACAATGAGGTATTTCGGGCTTTGCATTGTGATATCGGACTTCGGCTAGGCTGCTTTACATAAACGCCGAATGCAGATGAGTCCAACGAGGATACTCTCCTCTCTTACTCCGGCCCCTTGGCCTTGAACTCGACTTTCCTACGTGGTATCGCACACTTGCGAACACTTGTCTCTTATCATAGTGGTTCTCGCATGTGACTCTTGGTATAGGCACAGATACTGACAAGCAAACGAAAGTGAAGATGAACAATTGGCTTTTTCAAACCTTGAAAGGTAGACTCTGCGCATAAAATTAGGGGGAGCCTTGTTCAATCTCCTTTTCGTTCGCAACTCATTTGGCCTCATAAGTACTCTATCTTACTTATGTATAAGCGAACTATACACCAACAAGCAAGCAAGCAATCTTACCATTCTCTTGCGACTAACAACCACCCTTCTCAAAGCCTTGCCAATATCAACTTTCCTTTCCAACTTTTCTCCCCCCTCCCCCCTTTCCCTCTTCCATCCCTTCATCTCCAACCCAACTCTAAACAACATGGCCACCAATAAGGTCTGGTTCATCACCGGCTGCACATCCGGCTTCGGCCGCTCGATAGCTCTCGCCGCGCTGAAAGACGGCGACGTCGTCATCGCCACCGCGCGCGACCCCCCGCGGCGAGGTCGCGCATCTGGGGATTAGGGTTACCTGCGTCGAGCCCGGCTATGTCCGCACTAATTTCTTGGTTGATGGCCACAAGGGCCGCGCGGCCAAGGCCATCGAGGACATCAAGAACGGCGGCGTCACGCCCACCGAGAATGCGCTGGGCGCATTTATTCTTAAGCAGCCCGGTGACCCCGATAAAACGGGCAAGCTGCTGGTGGAGGCATTGGCGGGGTGTGGGCGGTGGCGGGACCCGGGTCTGGAGTTGCCGCCGAAGCTGCTACTCGGGAAGGACGCGTATGGAATTGTGGGTGGGAATATTGATGGACACAGGAAGAGCTGGGAGGAGTGAAAGGCTTTGGCTACGGACTTGGACTGTGATGATTAAGGGGGCTACATGGCATAGTTCTGCCAGCTCCATCATTTGAGATGTACCGCGCTCCGAGGCAGGGAGCGATGTATTATGCAAGTAAAGAATAAAAGATAAATTCCACAACGTGTTTTGCCCTTTATGTCGCAGGCAGCCCATATATGTGGTCCTTGCAGCAGAATGTGTGATTCCAAATGTGTTAGTGAAGGATCTAACTAATCGGGTACTCGTCCGATTTCCTAGCCGACATACATAACAGAGCTTATACATAATCCCAGAAGCAGCCAGGAGACTCGTCACAAGTTTGTGTTACAGGTAACAAGGAATGCGCTCTACACATGCGTGTCTAGATACCTATTGCTAAAGGGGTTAGTGTCACGGGGTGGGACCTAACAGATGCAGAACAACACCCTTGCGGCGCGGCGATCTCTAATATCTCCCCGGGGACCAGGCATGGGAGCTACAAGGTACATACCCATGTAAGCTGTTTTTGCTCTATCTAGCATCCCATGTAGTCCCCGGGTAGACCCTTGACAGTGAATGCTAGTTACTTGCGTCCATTATCGATACACTGAAGCGCTCCGCGTATTGAATAACGTTATCCTGTGAAGCACGTAGGTCATCCCCAGTCTCTGACTCTGCCTTTGTCTCAGAAGTTGGGGTTTGGGTGGATTAAAGTAAGTGCCTGGGTTAGAAGAATCTCCCCCGAACAGATATCATTGGATAAGTTGACCTGTTCGATTCTAGATGATTACTTCGTGCCAGCAGAGCAATATTTGGGGAGGATGAATGGATCCCGGACTAAACGGTACCCAGAGACCATCTTCTCGCAATCGTTCCGTTTACCCATCCACATGTTATTACCTACTCCGTGGTGAAAATGGAGGTCGGCGATGCTTAGGTGCCCACCCCAGATAGACATGCTGGTCCCTATGATGTTGGTGCCCGTGCAGTAAACCTGAAAGGGGCTAGATGATATCAGAGACATGTATGAAGACGGCGACGACAGCGAATCAAAGATTGAATAATCCGAAAGACCTGTACACCATGCTCCGTACCTTATCTGGGTAGTCATGGATGCCTGGCCAGAAACAAGAATTGTCAATCCCTAATCAGCCTACATGTTCCTCCCCTTCCCATCCAAAGGCAGTCGCCGGCATCAACTATTTGGCCCTGCTATGCATACGGCGAAGATTAACTGTCGCGCTGTATATAACCACAAAAGATGTCCTAGCACCCATAGAACGCCGATGTCCTCTACTGTGAGTGCGCAGGTGAATAAGGAACTTCTGGGTACCAACAGTGCATCCGGGGTAGTCAACTTTGAAAACTAATGCGGAAGTAATCCACACTGACGCTGCAATGGATACGCTAGATTGCATATTGCCAATTGCCATTGTTCTGTGCAGTCTATCGGCAGCGCAGCCTCTTCGTGGTCGATCTCAAGTTGGTGCTGTATGGTCCGCCGGTACGACGACGCCTACGAGAGTCTAGGTGCTCAGGGACATGGGTGTCTGGGTACCAATGCCTCGTTTCTACGGTAGTTATACCTGGATTACTAGGTTAGGTATTCATGGTGGAGGCACAGTTTTTCGTGGGGAGAGGGTAGATCTTAATATTCCTATAATGGTTCATACAGCCGGAAGAGATCTTTATACATGTTCAGCTAGGCGGGTCGAAGGAAGGATTCCCGTTGAGAAATTACTATCGCTACCGTCGTGGGTCAGGTACGTTTGCAGTGGAACAAGAGGGACAGTTGATAGCCGAGCCGTACTTGCCGAGACGTTGCGAATAAAGTGATTCTTTCACTCTGCAATGAGCACAGCTCTATGTATGTGTACTATGTATTGGGTACGTGGAATGCACCCCTCTCCTTCTGTGTAGGTACCTAGTAGGTATCTACATAGCTCTTCAAGTAAAAGCTTCGCCTTTACCTTCCCTTGCTAAGCGCATAGCAGCCCTCATTTCATGCCAGACGAAAATAAGGTAGACAGGGATGAGTAAAGCAGTAGGTGGTCTTGTGAAGGAGGGGTGGCTAATGGGGTTAAGTGTCCCAGATGTCATAACATCAAAGTACCTACTCGCCTTAGGGGCATATGCAAGTGGCATGGCTCGTTATCTAATTTCCGATGCATTCTCGGCCCGAGAACGTTCTTCCATGCTCCCAACAGCATCCTTCGTGTACCACGAATCATCGTATGCTCGGAACGTCGCGTACAACGCGACCCCGGTAGCAGCCGTCGCCGCCGATAGAACGGCGTACACAATAACGAGCCACGGGTCTTTGGAAACCGGGCCAAGAGCAATGCCTAGCACGGCTCCCAGAGCGGCAGTCAGTTGCTCGAGGGCCTTCACCACAGCTTTCATGTTAGTGGGGGCCTCCGTGTACGCGAATTCGTTCAGTGCGACGAAGCCGAAGATCTGGCTGGTGGCACAGAGGAAGTGGAACGGGATCTGGATCCAGGCACTGATCTCGTTGGGGCGGTATTGTGTCGCGTCATCGAACGTTGCAACAATGCCGGCGTCGCAGGCTAGCGGCGCCGTGTAGCACGGACCGCGGCTGTATATGACTTTCTGGACGCCGGCCGTATAGGCTGTTCCCACCGCCAAGAACAGGAAGGCAGCCGACATTCTCGCGATCGGTCCCATGGATATGCCGCGACGGGAGAGGAGCGGGAAGATGACGTTTTGGATCAGGGGGTTGAGGATGATGTAGAAGATCGGGTCCATGGACTGCAGCGTATCGTTGGAGACTCCCGTTATCTGCATCTGGTTCGCCTGCGATATGATGTTGGTGGTCGTTTGGTTGAAGCAGAGGTAGAATACGACGAAGAAGAGGACGACTCGGCCGGCTCGGAGGACGCGGCGTATCTCCTGCACAAAGACGGATGTCCATGGAAACGATCCGTCGTTATGCAGCAGCACCTGGTGCGACGGGTCGGCTGCGGTGAGACGGAAGCCAGATCTGGTTGCAAGGACCAGGACTCTGGCTGCGTGGGGCAATACGTTGCCGTCGGGGGGTCGTTTGGCTAGAGCTCATGTTAGTAATACTGATAGTGCATAAGGGACCAGGTACATACTCAGTCGGCCATTCAATAGCAGGAATGGTACCATGGATACAATCAAGCCACACAAGGGTAGCAGGTAAGCAGCCCAGAAACCAACGCTCTTTTCCAAAGTTGTTGTAGCAAGTGTAATCAAGGACGCGATATTGATCGTCCTATTGGGTTAATAATACGATGTCAGGGATACACATGTGCGGGGTATCAGCTCACCAAAAGAAGAGAGTGAATACATGTTGAATTGTGAGGTTAGCGTCAGTAACAACCTCTTCTCCCCTGTGATTGCGAATAACCTGTGGGGGCTTCTCAGGAATCTGGTCGCCTTGATGGAGGTAAGTCAAGTGTCACTATCCCGAACCGTGAGTTAACGCTTACATATAAAGGGGAATACAACGGCCGTGGTACCTCCCTGCCCGAGACCCATAAAGATCATGGCGACGATAAAACCAGCCAGAGCTGTCTCTTTATCCGAAACTGCAAACGGTAAAGATGTGACGAATAACACGACTTGTCCCACTAAGAAGATGCTGTCATAGATTAATCCAGGTAGGCAGGAGTAGCGCGAGGGGGAGAAACGCACATCAAACTGAGAAGTAACGTTTTATATCGCCCAAGCCAAGAATCAGAGATGATAGCGAAAGGCAGTGGCGATAGATAACCAAGAAATAGGAACGCGTTATTGATGATGGTTGCCGTAGATTGACCAAGGCCGAGCGCACCAGGAGATAGGGGATGGCCTGGCGGGTTCTGGAGATAGTTTTCTATCAGTAGTTAGATGTTGAATACTTAGGATGCATCAGAACTGAACCCACGCCATGGGACCGTCGTCCCGTAGTAGGCAAGACGCTGCGCAGCTCCCGTGAAGGCTACAAGCCATACGACCTTGGGAATCGCATCAGCTACATGGCGTAGTCTTGCCAGGTCATCATCCGATGCTTCTCGGGGACAGGAGGAACTGATATCGTATCCTACGATACTGGCAGTCTCTGCGATCTTCTCGTTTTGCGCAGGAGCTGGAGGTATGGAGGGGTAGTCCCGCGACTGGCTTATTTCTGTTGACATCGTCACACCCGCTCGTATAGAGTATTGGTGTTAAGTATGAGGTTCTTCCTAACTTGTAGGGAGAGAAGTACAATATTGAACTTGTCAACATACAGGACACTTGAACCCCTCTCCCCCTTATTGTAGGTAAGTAAGCTGTACATATGTAATGTTACATGCCTAGTACGGTCCAACATGTAATGTTACATGCCTAGTACGGTCCAACATTTATGCGTATAGCCTGTTAGGTGACCTACCTACCTAACTGGGTATGTAGGTACTTTAACGCTATCAATACCGAAAAGGCGGACGAAAGTTGGTCCGATTTGCAAGGTTATAGGCATCGATAGCACTGTAAGTATAGAGGCCACCAGCTGTATCTCACTATATTTATGGTGAGTTTCAGCGTATCGTTGCGCTGAAATTAGCGCCCGATTGGCGCTAACAAAACGTCTCCGGCTTTAGAGTGATAACACGCCTGGGTTACTTCCAGGTTACCCAGGTAACTAGGTCCCTATCAATCCAATATTTACACCTGTAGTCTAAGAGCTCACGTGATACCGGAGAAGGTAACCCCTTTCGGGCGCTATTCCCACAGAGAAGCTTAAGAGATGTATTGCTATTAATACTAGGTAGGTACCTACCCTTTAGTGCATACTAGGACCTAGGTACCTAGTTCGACGTGGCCGAGGATCGATCCAGTAGTTCATTAACCTAACGGTTAGCTACATCTGGAAAATAGGGCCTAAACTGGGGACCTTCATACTACTATCATGGCTGATTATCTCTCTCTCGACGCTCTTCATTGAATGAGGGAGGTATTTCTAACTTCACTTTACAGCTAAGCGACGATGTTATATCTAAGAGCTAGTTCAGTGTATCCCGGTTACATTGCTCCACCACCATCGACACCTTTCCCACTACCACATCGCCCCTAGGGGCTGCGCTAGAGAAGTACTCTGCGTTGCTTGGTGCAATGCCTGTAGGGAGCGAATAGCTATCCTCCGATTGTGGAGGTGTGATGTCGTGAACCTTGGGCTCAGATCTGTTATAAGACTCCAACATTTCCGTCCAGCTCGGCTCTGTTAGGAATTGATTGTGGCTCGTTTGTATTGGTGGGGCGGGGTCGGAAAGGGGGGATATTGGGGACATGGTGATTCCGTAAGATTCTAAGTCTGGGTCGTCAAGAATGAATGGGTCGCCGACTGTTATTGGGTCTTGATGATGAAGGGATTCGAAGTCCATCGTTGTGTGGGAAATCGATTGGGAGGAGCCAGGCCTGGTCTTGTCTATCATCTCCATCCACGACTCAGTGATGCCTTGATCGCTCATGGTTTCTATCACTGTTGAATCCGGTTCACCCAAGTCGAACGGCATAGAGTCGTTTTCCTCCATTTCTTCGTCTGGTGGCGATATCCTCACTGTGATATTTCCGAAGTCTGTTGTCCCAGCGTCCACATTCTCAGGCTGGCTCCGTGGTGTACTCAGTCTCCTTGAAAGGACTGTATACCTTTGTTATATTATTATCAGAACTGATTCTTTTATTGCTCTCCACTGGCATGTCTACCTGTTCTTAAGGTCATTTCTTGACCGCGATGGATAGCTCCTTTCTTGGATGGCTTTCCATTCTCGGCCATATTTCTGAACCGACATTAAGAGAATATCATCCTACTTTATGGTGTTAACGCAAGCATATTTTGAACTGAATTCCTATGAACGTACCTCGGCAGGAGTCCATTCTGCGTGGTCTAGTTTGGGATCGAGATGAGAGAATCGTATCCTCTTCCTCAGTCCATCGCTTTAGTACACGTTTCTCAACAGCGTTCATCTCAATGGTGTTCATCTCAGTGGTGTTCATCCCAGTAGTTCGTCTTAGTTATTGTGGCGGCAGATATGAGTGGAGAAGTCGAAGCTTGCAATTCCTGAAGGATCCGATTAGAATCTGACTAGACGGTTCTATTTACATAAACATAAAGAGCGTGCGGAATGTGAGGTTGAGTACCTATCGAGGTGCCTATGTAGATAGTAGATATCAACTAGGTAGGTGCTTAGGTATGTAGGCACCTACGTATGTACACCTACCTAGGTAAGTTATGTCATGAAGCGGAGCCTTGAAAACGGAGACTGGCATCGCTGTTTCGCGGGGTCTGAAACATTCCAATAGAGACTACGAGGGTTACGGGGAATACACATATTCATGTAGGCATCTTTGTTCTAGCCAAGCCCCCATGTAGTTTTCTCTTTTTTAGGTAGCCTCTGGGTAAATGGTGAAGACCCTTGACAATAATGTTGGCATTGCTGACGCTAAAAAGGCCCCAAAATCTAGGTATCCAACAAGTTCACAGTTTGGTTACACTAATGTAAGGTACTGTTGACCCGTTGATAGAACAGAGTAAGACAAAGCCAAACTTGCATTTTGTATGGTACCGATTCTCGACACCTGGTAAGCATATACTTGGCATCCGACCGTGCGGCTCGTGATCCAGTTTATGATTGTTACTGTTACACAATACCTATGATACACAGGTATTCTATATACTTGCACGAACATACAATTGCTCGAGGTTAGGTAATTTTAGTGTATTGGTGATTGCCTTAGTTAGGTCTTCGATTAGCGGTGAAAACAGAATAAGTCCTCTTTTTGAAGGCATAGTCAGATACTCCTTGGCAAACGCTGTGTAGCGGAGAGAGTTGAGGCTGTGTGACTCTTGTAAGAAATTATCTGTTGTGTTCATGTTACACACCTATCAATGCCCGTGCCGGTGCGAGATTCAGTTGACACCTGCGCCAGCCTCCACTACGGGCCAAATCAAATAATATGGCAGGTGGTGAAGGAAAAGCAAGCCACGTGGCGGACCTACCTGACAGTTGACAATGATGGGGACAAGGATTCTAACGAAGATACCTTGATAGTGTTGGAAAATATTCCGCACCCGGTGTCGATGCTCTGTAGGATTCAAAGATAAAGTGACAGCCAAGGCAATCAAGGCAAAAGTGACTAGGTACTTGGGCGTTCGGAGATAAACTGTGTAACATTAAACTTATTGCGTACCTTAGCACAATCGCTGAAAAGCTTGAAGTTCAAAGTTCCGAGAATCTAACGGAGATAGGCTTAACCCTTAGGTGTGCTACTTGTCTAAAAATTTGAGCCTCAAAGGGCTGAAAAACAACTACCACACAGTATAAGTCAGCAGTGGATACTAAGAGATGCACTGTCACTAGTGCTTGTAAATGGCTTGGCAGCCTTGGAATGTAAGCCCATAGAATCCTATCACATCTTCTGGCGATAAAGGTACATACTATCTATGGAATACACATAGTACATAGTTAACTGCCAAGTCGCCGATTTTTCTCCCCATAATACCCCCAGAAGCTCACTGAATAAGCACTAGACTTACAGTACCTATCAGATAAACACAGGTATGCTAACTACCCACGTAGGTGCCTACCTTCATGTTCAGATATAAAGATGTATTGAGGGGTATCACGTGACAATGCTTGAATGGCTGAGGGGATCTTCTGTGAAGATATGTCAATTTACGCACCCAAGCATGACATCACTATTCTGGCCCGATTACTATTTTTCAGCTTACTAACCGGTTTGGCCCGGCATGCTCTCTTCATTAGGGCAACTTGTATCTCTCAAGAAGTACGGAAGTATCGACTATACCAAGCCTCTAAGCACGTGGTTACTCTTAACCTCACCAAGCCAGAATACAGCCATGTGATTCACCATACGGTCACGTAGGTAAGTAGTTAAAGATCACATGATACAAGGTGTAGGCACCTGAGGTTCGTCTTACCTATGCAATGTAGATCCCTCGATAGCTGTCACTATTCCCACTGTTCCCACTTTACATACCTACGTAGTTCCACCAAACCATCAATTCTAGCAGCCTTACCAACCGTCCCGGAGACACAGTAACGCGTGGGGGCTCGCATGCGTATAGATGAATTCGTCATTTGCTCGCATTGTACAAACTCCACTTTCTAAATAAAGAGAACCTTTCTTTTCAATCATAGCATTGCTTTACAAAAATAATTATATATATATATTGTATATATTGCCCCAGGTTAGGCTGAAGTGGATTTATCCCTACGGATAAAACCCCCGCCGACGGCGAAGTTCGCTGACTGTAAGTCCTCGACATATTATATGGGGTTGTGTGTGTATGACGATTGAGGTGCTCAAGCCCTATGGGTACGTTGAGGATGTTGGCAATGTTCAGCCTCCCAACCCTCTTGGAAACTTTGTCCATCCTCTGCCCTATATGCAAGTGGATACTTACACCTGGCTCTCGGTATTCTCGGGCCGATATGGATCCTTCAAAAATATGGACACTAACAATGCAGCTTATTGGGAGTGGTGACTCGTTGTACGGCAGTGGCAATGGTGTTAAACGTGTTTATGCAGTAGGAGTTCCCGGGGAGCAGGATTGTGTATGGAGTAGAGCGTGGCTCGATAACGTTACACTCCTGGCTCGTTGTTACACGGAAACGGACTTTTACCATAGGCTGTTGGTATATCTTCGAAGTTGTTTATTTCTGTTTCAAGCGTATTTGTATAAAGGCAGGCAGAGTTATATTCTTAGGTTTAGGCATATGAAGATGTACTTACTTATTCACTCGTACCTCCCAAACTCTACTGTTCTATAACCTTAGTCCTCTTCATTTTGATTTGAATATTGTTAAGACACTAGGTTACTTGCTTATGTCCACCTGATATTCTGGCATTCATCATGACGGGACTTACTTCCTCAAAGCTAGAAGATGATTATTCAAACAGAAATGATAGTCGACCAGATGGAACATAGATACAAGAAAAGGATCACAAGGGATATATGTTCCAGTCCACTTTAGAGGAACATACAGGAAACTCATACCTGAGCTCGATACTTCCTTGGACCCGGGTAAGGAAGTATATCAAAGGATATCAAAGCCCTGATGCTACTCAAATCAGCTTGTCCGTGTTGGTGTTGGTGTTTGAAAAGTCACCCCTGTTCACAACTTTCTGTTCCGAGGAACCAACTGCTTGGCAGCGAGTCAAATAAAAGCCAATATATCTAACCCGAATGATACAAATGGACGAGTTAGGTGTTGGTTATCACGAGGTGTAACCTGGAAGAGGCAGGCCAACATCGTGGCGCCGGATCTGACCAACATCTCCCCGAAGGCTATGGAGGCTACACACTTCTACATCTAGCTGTCTTCATTCTACCTAGGCCCCCTTGTAGACCTTAGGTGGGCTCTTGGCGGTGGTCTTACAGCGGAAGTGACCGGAAGAAGCAGAGCAAAATCTAGAGTGACTGGCCGATTCAGGGGTATCGTTAACATACCAAAGACTCCTCCTTCACTCGATGGTAGCTGCTCTTAGGAAATCATCTTGTCAATTTGCGCCCTTTGAACTTCTGTTGATTTCTTCCACGCTTGGACTCAGTTGCTTTTACAAAAGGGTGTACAAGGTCATGAGCGATTCCGCAAAGCCCCGCGGATGACAACTGCCAAGGTATGTGATGTAGGTAACTAGTAGAGTTTGGTGCTAATTAACTCCTATACCTAATCCCAAGGGCTATATGATAAGAACTGCTCAGCTTATAAATCTAAATCGTGCCACTACTATGAGAGTTCGACACGGACCGAACCAGGAGATCTAGGATAATGTCATACCTTCTTCAAGTAGACATAGCATCAGTGTTGTGCCGGATCTGTCGATGAGCTTCGGGTGCAGCACGGGATGGTCGATGAAGTTTGGCAGTCAGGGGTTAAGGGGCTTGCAGTGAGCGTGACGATAGCTTCTAATCCCCTTAGCATGTGATAAAGGTGGATAAATGTGTACCATAGAAGAACACTCTTAGGCTTAGATATTATCATCTCCTTGACATCGTAGATACATGATACAATGCACTATGATTTCCTCCCTGTATCTAGGTATATAGAAGCAGTATCTTTATAGTCTCCTGTATTAGCAATCCTCGGACTCTTCCCATTTTCTTTATCGCGTCGTCGTCATCATCTGATTCATCTCCATGAAAGAACATGAGCGCGATCCATGTAATGAATATAAACGCCGCAGCAGTCGCGTTCATTGTTGCTGGCGCCATGCTTGGTTTGAAGAGCAGGGTAATTTTGCTGCCTATTTTTCTCGGCGCAGATGCATCTCGCTACCGCTGCTAGGGGGTTCCGTGAAGACACTGCCATGCGGGTAAATGGATCGATATTCATTATGAGATACGTGACGAGCTGCTTCTTTATAATCTGCGGATCATCGATTCCATATTCCCACAGCTTGGCATCTAATCTGCCCAGGTGGTTGCAAGTTCTGGTAGCCATATGCTACTCAGAAAGCTTGCTCACATTGTTGCAATAGCGTGATAGTGCCTGGCTATGGCGTTGGGATTTGATGGTTGTCTTTATTAACTTGTGACTTACATACTGTGTACGGTTTACAGGTCTTTGTGAAGTAAGTTGAGTCTATAATGCCAAAAGATACAGTATATGAGCTTAGATGTGTACTTAATTGACTTAGCTAGAGCTTTATGAGCTATGAGGGTATGCTTAGATTATATACATATTCTCGCCGTGACTCCATGTACTGTACTTGAGAGCAGTCCCTAGACACGCATTTCAACATAAAAGATACCTATATGTCTTGGGTCTAACAGTACTAACCTAGACTACGTTGCCCCATGTTTTCAAGCGGCTAGAAAACTCAACTACCCCTATTATACCTGAGACTCGGTTCGTGTGCACCCTCAGGTTACTCAACCACTCGTTGAACCACTAGAATGGGAGGTATTGCTGTGCCTCGCGTCGCTATTCATGACATCTGCACACGAAGAGCACGACCCACTTATATCACAAATACATCTCCATGATACAAGATTTTGCAGATCTCATCGAACACGAATTCAAGTCCTTGGTGCCTAATATAAGGCGGGAACAAAGGACTTGACGATGTCCTCTTTTCCAGCCACTTCTGGCGGAACATTACAATCTGCCGCAGTGCCACGGCTCCACCCCCCTGGACGAACGTGGCAGCCTAAGGAGCTAAACCCGCTCCGTCCACGGTGACGGGTTTGGGCCAAGCCGCGCTGTGACCACGCAGAGCGGCTTTCAGCTCGAAGCCTAAACAATGGGCGGGCGAAGCCAGCAGTCCACTGAACGGCCCGGGCGCAACTCCCATGGCCAACCAAGTTCCACCACAGACAACAAGGCGAGACAAGCTCCCCAGGCAGCTTCTTTTAGAAAGAAAGGAGATTAGCATCGGCACATACAAACCCGATCGCGAAGGATTTTTAAAGAATCGATTACACTAGATAGGCAGGCTCGACACCCCCTCCCCCCCTCTCTGTTCTGTTCTGTCTCTAACTACCTACTTAGCATGTATGTACAATACTGCCGAAGGATCACCTAGGTTAAGAGCTAGGCAACGAATCCCCGCAAGACATGCTTCTTGCAGGACCACCAACAAGAGGTAAACAAGGAAGATCATCGTATGCACGTAATGACCTTGAGCGACAAAGATCTTAACCTTTCAACGATGAAGATCCGCGGATCGGTTCCTAGAGGCTGTCCGTCCGTATGGCCCCCCGTAAGCGGCCGTGCTGATGAAGTGTGGTGTGTAAAAAAAAATTGGTGGGGAGAGAACCTCCACCCCGCGTCCCAGGAGTTACAGATAGGAAGCAACACGGCTCAATTGTGCCATCATTGGGTGCTCACAATTGCTATGTAGCAAGAGGTAACTAGGCTGTGGGCCCTTCATGTTTTGTGAGTGTCAGTGAATGTGGGTTTCCGCGGACGTTCAACTCACACACCTGCCCGAAAGTGGAGGATTTGGAAATCGTATGCGAGGTGGTAGGATTCGTTACCCAGCATTTGTCGACGAACAAGCATTTTCATGTTACTGCAGTTGGTTTAGCTCCCCGCTGCGAGCTGCAAGGTTGCGACGTGTGCGGGCTTCGAAAAAACGCAACATGGGGGGGGTGGGAGGAGGGGGGAGGGTTCGCCCTTTCTTCAAGCATTCAGCATAGAAGAAGCTTTGCTTGGGTGGTTTATTTTTATTTAGCTTGACTGTGCCATGTGGTTTTCATGTACTTACTATTCTTGAGGCTCAAGAGAATCTGGGGTTTTCTTGACGACGGGGCCTGAATATTCGGTAACAACGATGTTACTCGGATGGAGGGCTCATAAATCTAGGTACCAACTCCCCGCACATTTCCTCCTGGGTAGGTTGTACAATTTATGTCGTGAAATCCAACTCGCTTCTCAGTAGATTCCTGGGAGCAGCTAACTGTACGTTAGATTTGGGGGTCACACAAGAGATGCTGCACCCCTTCCCCTTTCCCCTCCCTATCCTCCCCTTCCCTCCCCTGCTTCCGTGATGCTGAAGAACGCCACATGCGCTAATCAATAATGTAATAGAGGTATTCAGGGGTCAGGGGTAAGATATGCAGTGTGTGTGCGCGTACAAAATATGACTGGCTAATTCGCGCAGCACCCACGTGGCGAAATATAAGGTTATTTCAAGATACCACAACGTTAATCAAATCCTTGTAGTCGTGAATTCCTGCGGAAAGATCCTCCATTTACATAAAGTTGTCTTACCTTTCTTTCCTTGTACCCTTTCACACCTCCCACACTTAACAAATCAAGCCATTGTACACTATTTATAATACCATGTACCATACGTACGTAACTGAGCATGTAGAAGCCAAGAGCACTTAGATTTAGATGATGTTGTATCTAATAATAAAATGTGGTCTCAGTCATGCCGAAAAGGGGTTTGGCCGAATGTCGGCTTGCAGATAGTTGATGATAAGTTGATCAAGTCGCAGTAGTAGGAGTAAAATGTTGGGATAGGATTAAAGTATTCAAGGTTCTCTTGGGAGTTCTTCTGTTACTAACATGTTAACCTAACTGCATATCAATGATGTGATTGCTATGCCGTCTCCTACCTTCTAGCAACTACATACACTAAAGTGAATGTACCCCTGAAGTACAGAAAATCTACGCCGCTTTAAGATACGAGCCTGCAGAAAACGGCAGTTAGCATATTTAATCTTTATGTGCATGTGCAAGGGGCTACCGTTTTAAACTATACTCTGGGCAACAGTTTGTTTCTTACTAACGCTGGAATTTATCATCTCTTAACTGTCATGTGACAGATACTCCGGTCACATGTTACGCATCTCACATTTGTCTAGTCCAGTGTTCGTTCTTTTTCTTGCATCGGGGACTAGAGTCGTGATATTTATTGTCATATGATTGCACATGTTAACAATGGTAACATTGATGAAAGCAGGAATGTCTTCTTGGCCATGATTTGGTTGGCGTCACGGGATTGATAGCACAGTAATGCACCATTATATATACTGTATCGTCTGGGCAAAACCCTAGTCGCATAACTCACCTATCTCGATGCAATCGATAATTCATAAACACTAGGTAGGTACCTAGACATGGTATAAAGCACTTTACTTTGACCCCTCATGTTAATGAGTGGTTTGATTATACATACGTATATTGGGGACACGATTACGCTGTTACAAAAAAATGGGTAGGTAGATAAAGTAAAAAAATATTGAATTGAAATAGTTATAGAAGGAATATTTTTTTATTAAAAAAAAAAGGGTCTTATACTCCCCCGGACAGGCTCGAACTGTCAACCTCCTGATCGCTACTGTCGTAACAGTCAGACGCGCTATCCTGTTGCGCCACGGAGGAAGTAATTCCCTGGTTGTTAACCAGAGCGTGGCATAGGTTGCTCGTTTGGAGTCTCGCTTGTTTAGACGACGAATTCTGCTGCCGTTTTGGAAGATAACACATAGAAACTGTGCGGTAGAATGTATGTACTTCTAAGCCCCACAGTTTCACCGAGATGAGGCATGTATGTATGTCGATAGTAGGTAGTAAGACCTGACCGTCATACCCAGGGTGACGGAGTATGGCGCCTTACCCCACATGAATCCCAGTCGTCTTCAAGGTTTAGAACAAACCGATTGTTGGGTATTTTGAGATGATGGAAAATCACAGCTTGAAAATTAAGAATTGAAATTGCTAACGAAGATAAGAAATCAACCTAAAATAATAGCAGTGCCTGGGCATTATGCCTAACATAACCAATTGTGATGCTGAACCACGTGACCTCTAACAACCTTTTTATCGTCATAATTACGGAGTAAATAATAACTAACTAACCTGGGTTTATTTGGGTAGTAAGAATGAGATAACCGTTTTGACTCTCACAGTTCCGTTTTGCGTACCACCCGGGCGACTTACATACATACAGTAGTATGCTACGCAACACTCAGCACGGAAGCACCCGCAGAAGCAAAAAGCGGCGGGATGCACCATGTCTGGCTGCACGTCCAGCTGCGCTAACAGCCTTGAACATGTACTCGGTACTTAGGTAATTACTTATTCATCAAACATCGGCTGGGGGAGAAGAGTTGCATAGCCGAAGCTACATAGTACCTAGTTAGCTTCGGGTGACCGGTAGCAAACCCTACGATAAACCCCACAATACTGGGAAGCTTCCTTATCGCGTAGATCCGGGGGGTAACAGGGCAGGGCAGGGCAGGGCAGGGCAAGGCAAGGCAGGGCAGGGCAGGGCGGGAAAAGGGTAACTTTGAATGCTACTTGGATGAAACAACATTATTAGAGAAAAGAAAGTAAAGCATGCTAAAAAGGCATGAGTTCGGCATAAAAGAAGGGAGCATGGGGGGGTCTTCGTAGTGCCCGACTACCTAACACCGATTCATACAATTGCATTGTACGTACCATTTGCCCTTAGTTCAGAACAGGGAAATCCCGAGAAGCTATGAATACCACTAGGGCTGGTTAGATACGTTACCTAGTGACACAGGTAGTAGCTACGGAAAAGGATTCGAGCCCCAGCCCGCGCTCCCTTCCATTGTCTACTAGGTAACTGCCTTAGTTATGTATTGTACAGGCTAGAGGAATCGAGATGTGTTTGTTGTCCGTACCTATCTAGGTATGCATTAGCATGTACCTAGGTTAGGTGTGAACGTAGGTGCACCTCGTTGTTGGCCTCGTGTCCTCCTCCTGAGACGGCATCCGTTAGTGGGAAAGGAGCAGATAAATTATCAAGGTTACCAACAATAATAACGTGAGACCTGAGATGGGAAAGAGGCGTACGCGTCACACTTACAGCCGATCAAAGATAGTAGGGCCCACACATCTCGAAATCTGACAGCGATGATGATGATGGAATATGGAAAGGATTCCGCTCTTTTCAGATCAGCAAGTAGGTAGGTATGTATTAATTTATGAGGTCTTCGGATTGCCGAGTTGCACATATCCTCGCTTATATCATACGTGCATTCGCGCTTATTCGCAGTCAGATAAAAAAGAGAGAGACGAGTCAGGATTGTATTACCGTCGTAGGACTTCTGACTCTTTCCGACTCCCATCGGCCTCCCCCCCGAAGGTATCATGACTACTTATGTAGGCAGGCCTCTACCCACCAGGCACGTATTTGATATTTGCAAGCTAAGTTCTACAAGCTGTGCCTCACACGTACTTGCTCCGCTTCACGCAATCGTTCCGCTCGCGTGAAGAAACCTATCCCAGCTTGGCTGGCTGGATGGCCCCTGAGATTCCATGCCCAGCCTGGGCAGGCCAGGATCCACAAACCCCTCCAGCATGGCTAAGCTTTGGTTCACGATGCTACTTTCGACTTCATCGTATTTCGTATCGTCCATACCAATGAGTTCACAACGTGTAGTCTCAATGCCATGCATTATAGTACACAAGCAGCTACCCATGTAAGGATGTTATGTAAGGATGTGCGCAGGCTCCGGTGCAAAGGCCATTTGACGGCATTCTGTTCCTCGTACCGATCTTTGTTGCCGACATGTAGTATTATTGTCCTGATACGATGATGGGGTCCAGGAGGTTCAATATAAATGCCCTTTGATACCATCATATCATGAGCGAAAGTACGAGACAGCCGAAAGCTATATTTAGCAAAGGCGTATGTACGCCGAGTCCGCCCAGGCAGGTTTCGACGGCCAGCCGAGCGGTACTACTATGCACAAGGCGTTTCTTTGGGGGCCGCTCCGCCTGGTAACATCCGAACCCCCTGGCCACAAAAATGAGAAACAAGAAAAAAACGGAGGTAACTAGGACTGGATTGAAAATGTCGCTGACCCTTCTTAGATGGATATTTTGCACCATCGGGATTTGGTTTGAATAAGAGCCATTTCGTCCGGCATATGTACGGATACTTCGGCACCTAACCCAGTTTTATATCTTAGCTCGGCCAATTCTCACCCCGTACCTAGGTAGTGTGGGGGCTTTCGAGGTCCCCGGAAAGGCTCTAAGCATGTGTGAGATTACAGAGTACGGGAGAAAAGAAAAAGGAAAAAAAGGGGAAAAAATCTTTGATGCAAGAAAATTGAACAAAATAACTACCTAGGTATGTTTTGTGTAACGCTTGTATGGTCCATGAAACCCATGCCTCGGGTATAGAGAAAATCAACCCACCCAAGGACGCCATTCCTACCAAGATAGATATTAACCTGCGCACCCCCCAAAATCCTATCCCCCCCTCCCCCTGCCTTCCCTACTCCATCCAAGGGAACCTAGTTCAATGTTTAAGCCTGCAGATATATCTCTAAGTAAATACCACCCTAACAATGAGGAGTAAAAAAAAAAAGAGCAACAACAAAAAAAAACAACAACAACATCAACCAATGCTGAGTTAACTGGAGGATCCTTCCTCATGCAGGACCAAGAGGGGGGCTTTGAAAAGCTTGTGCTGTACATGATTACAATCAATCCATGCCCCCACCTCTTTGTTCCTCTCTGCACATATCATCAACACCCACATGTACACACCTGCACACACATACAACCTGATAAAACGCCCGAACTCCTGCATGGGATGGATACAACCAAGTAGTAGTAGTAGTAGTAGTAGACGGGCAAACTCTGAAACCCGAATTATGGATAATCATCACACCAACGTACAAGCTCTCCCCACATGATGTAGTATGTAGGTAGATACCATCATTTGCCTTGCATTAAAGCATGAAAGGATATGAGGTCATTATTGGGTTTCCATCTTGGAGTGGTGGCTCGCGAGCTCGGCGGTCCAGCTGTCGTCGTCGACCACGGCGCCGTGCTCGAGTAGCATCGCTGCCATGTCAGTGCGCCCGGCCATGACGGCCCGCTGCAGCGCCGTGTAGCCTGCGCTGTCGCGGCTATTGACGTTCACGTCGTAGCGCTGAAGAAGCAGTCGCAGTGTGTCGATGTGGCCACCCGCCACCGCGAAATGCAGTAGCGGCGCCGTCGTCTCGGGGAACTGGTGCTGTAGTTCGGAGATGCCCTCCACGATGCTGCCGGTGGACGTGAGGAAAGCTGATGCTAACGCTGAGTTGCTCGGTCTTCCGCTGCCTGCTTTCCTGTCTAGTGGCGACCAGCCCGTGGGGCTATTTAAATCCGAGTCGGGTGATGCAGCGTACGCATTGGTGCTCTGTGCAACTCCCTCGTCAAGCGAATATGATGATTCGGTTTGGTACATAGATATATCCTCCGTGTTGTTGTAGACATTAAAACTAGAACAGGCAATAAATTAGAATATTCTAGCGCTAAAAGGGAAAAACATTGAGAGTAGAAAATGAATGGAAACGCCAAGGCGTAAATTTACGGGGAAACGGTTTAAACTCACCTCGTTGAAACTCGAAGTCCGTCGTGATTGTCTGCTGCTGCACCTTGTCCCCACGGCATTGGGCTATGACAAGTAGAGGAATAGATCGGCGGTATGCTGTTACTCCGCAGGTGATGCGAATGCGATATATGTGTGGACGGGACGTTGGCTGTGACAGCGCGAGCTCGGCGACTGGTAATGGGCAGGTCCGTAACGACGTCGTTAGAAGTTTGGATTTGAGGAAAATACGACGCCGAATCATATCCGAGAGAGCTTTCTCCATCCGTCGTAAGCCCAAGTCCGTGCAACTGCTCGGCTCCCGAAGTGTGAGACCAGTTCTGGAGGTAATCATTCACCCGCCTTGAGCCATTGGGTGTTGTCGATGCTGTCACGTCGGCCCCTGAAGAATGAACATCCCCTATATTTGACGGACTTCTACCGCCAGAAGAGAGATCATGCTCAGGCGGTGGTGTTGTTGAGGGGTCTGCACTCATAGACTGCTGCAACTGCTGGAGCTGTTTCTTCAACTTTTCCACCTCTTTGGTTCTGTCTCGCATATTGCGCCCTTGAATTTGTCAGTCTATATGGCAGATAAACAGGATAGATAGTCGTAATAGACACTTACGATATGCCCGCTGGGCCAGACGATTTTGAATTTTCCTCCGCTCAGCTGCATCAGGTAGGTTTCTCCAATCCTCGTCTGGCTTCATCAAATCCACATAGGAGGTTGTCAGCGGCCGACCGCTGCGTGGAGAAGCTGTTCCTGACATAATGAAAGATATATAATAGACAATGAAGACTAGTGGGAGAATATAAGACGAAAATATTTTTGGCTCGTGTGAACTGTGATCAGAAACAACAACGAGATTAAATGTGACACATGCAGTAGATGTATTATGTGCCTTGGTTAAGTGCGTAGAGACTTAAAGCATCGTGGTTCTTAAATGTGGAAGTGTCACTGAGTGTAATTAACTGCAGTACTGATCCAGGAGGATCAGACAGTAGTGCTGATGGATTCCTTATGTCCTGATTTGTTTGGGAAGGCTAACAGCAACCAGAATAAATAGAGTTAGAGATGAGAGGTTGAGAAGTCCGAAACCCGGTAACGAGATGAAAGATGACCCCCAGTAAAGTATCCGATCTTGAGGGGGTGTTCAGCTCACGGACCAGCACCAAGCTTAAGAAACATGACGAAATGCCCGTACATCCTAGAAGCTGATCAACCCACAGAATGGTCAGGGATGGTTGTGTTGGGAATGCAAGGCGATGGGCGAGGTAGTAGGTGACAAGCACCTTTCCTCTTGTTACGCGGGTTGATAGGGTTGGTCGCAAACTGAATTGCCTAGGTAGGGTTATCAAGCAACCCCAAAGGCAACCTTCTCGATGTAATAGGTCGCCTATGTGATTCGTAGGCTAGACCGCGGGAGATGCGACTTGCCAAGAAGACCCTTTTCTGGTCCTTGACTAAAGAAGCTCGCGAGCTGGAACAGGATTAGCTTAACCTAGGTACTACCTAGATGTCCTGCAGCTGTACTATGTAAGTGACCTCCGTATTCCTAATCGACAATAAAACGCAGGGGTAAGAAGGTACATACAATTATCAGACATCGTGGCTTGCTCCGCCCCAGACTTTTAAGGGAACAAGGGTCAGTGGGATTGTACACCCCAGTAAAAGTAGGAAACAGTACATGGACGGTGCTTCAAAACTTGCGTGCATCTTTGTGACTAGGCCAACGGCTTTTCTAAATTGACTACATTGGTAGGCCGGTACTTACCTAGGTACATGTAGCTTAAAAAGGTCCCCTTTTTGGCGTCGATCCTACCGTTGCCGCCACAAACACCCCGTTACGGCAGCTCAAATAACCTGTAGCATATGCTATGTATGCGTTGTGTCCTGTGTTTCCTGGCTAAAAAAGAGGAAGAAAATGATTGGCTTGAAACTGATTAGGTCGACATCTTCAGCACCTGATTCGTATTCCGTTGTCGCTCTAGGTCAAATGGATCTCCTAATGGTAACATTGTCACAAAGGCAGGATTGCCGCAAGTCTTTGCGAATCTGGCGCCATCTGTAGAACAACCTTAGCCACGATACTATAGCATTGCCATATCAGCGGGTTATCTGGTTACCTGCCTTGTATAGTCATTCCGTGTTACTGTACCTGATCGATTGACACAAGACACGATATGATAGCAGTCACCCTTGGGTTGATAACAGTTCCCACCAAGATATTTAGTGGGAGTGGCGCCGCCGCTACTGCTTCGTCGAACGAAAGAACTCAAATCGACTGAGACAAGACTTTCTGCACGTCATATGCGACTCGGAGATCATGCCTTCCTCTTCAAGTTTAGAGGTGCGGGCACTACGGGTGCTACGGAGCACCTCAGGTATCGGGGCCCGGACTGGGGGGGTATCAACCTACAGTATCATTAGACACACTGCATGCACCCCTACATACCATGCCTGTCAGAGATAAAAATCCTCCGCCGCAGCTACTGCCAGCGATATGAATGTTATACTGGAAGCATACAAAGATGAGATAAAGTACATTGGGCTTATCCACATCTATAGGGTAGAGCACCGCTGTTACGACGACAATGCGAAAACCGCGGGGAATGTCAGGAAGCCACTGACGTTACTGGGTATGTAGGACAAGCCACCGACGTGATGTAGGATTTCCGAAGCAACAAGAGGTATCGAAGAGTTCGTGATAGTCAGGAGTCCAAAGTGACGTTTGGTACCTAATTGTCCTACATGCACGCCGGTAGTTAACAACTTAGATTAAAAGGATACGGGAGCTAGGTAGCAACAAGATGATCGACTCGGCTGCAACCGAATGTGGCCATTGGGCCAACAGAAGTCCATCTTCGGCCTGAGCACGAATCGAGTAGTGAGTAGCACATGCAGATGCGGATGCACAATACTGAACCTAGCATCTTCCGTACAGGCTGGGTTTGGGGTTGACTAAGTGAGAAATGATGAGCATACAGCGATAGAGCAGCTGGGTTCGCACAGCCCATCCCCAGATAGTGCTGCATCTAGGCTCCAGCTATCAGTGAAACGGTCTCCCTTATATCGCTTGTAATAAGATCTGCAGACACGAGTTACACTGTTGGATGGCATGATAGCAGCTCAGAAACGCGTTTACCTAGATCCATATCGTTAAAACGTACTGGCCACTCGGTGGTAGTCTTGACGATCTCAAAGACTCGTCTAGTCGTGGCTAGACAAGTTACCAACAGGTTGGAAATAAATGGCAAGCTCTCGGTAAAGCACAAAGGGTATTAAAGTTCTAATTAGAAACACAGGAACCGTTCCGATCATCTGGAAAGGCCGGCTGTTAAAGTTTCTGATACCTAGAGGTCACATATCAGAACGCGCTGCGACTACACAATGGTATGTTAGCCGTTAAGCGGATCTGCAGCAGGGTTGGGCCAAGATGTAGTAGGGTCGGTATATAGAAGACTTTCAGGGTCCCTCCGAAAACGCCGGATGATATGGTAGCGGATCTATCTGGGGAACAGAAAACCTGTACCATGGCAGCGACAAGTTAAAATCAGCCGGGGAATCTCGCCTAAGCTTCGAGAAAGGACGTACTCGCAGTACGGTCGTAGTTGTGTTGCCGGACATTTAACTCGTCTTAGGAATTCTCCCTAGACGAATACATCACTGTACGTAATCTTGCTGTTGAGAATGGCACTTCCCAATTGTGGAAAAGATCGTGATTTCCTTTCAAAGGGCCAAGAATTGAGTGACGAAGCCATATCGCAACCGATAGTAGACCTTACGCCATACTCGGAGTGGGTGGGTATCGGGGACCCGAGTCTTCCAGAAGCCATCCGGGAGCGATGGATGATCATTGATTCCGCTACCTCTAGTGCGGCAGAGAGGCGAAAACGGACCCACGTTGGATATGATACGCAGCAAACCGTCGAGGACACACCCTCATAACCTACCTACCTGCCTAACCCAGTACGCAGGTAGGTAAGCACCATAGCATGGGCGTGGGCACGACACTGGAAACTTATCTGTCCCTAGGGCAGAAAAAGCTTGTGACGACGGACTAGGCCAGATCTCGACATGGCAACGATTAGAGAAGAGACGGAAGAAGGTTTTGACCCGGTAACCGCCACATTAGGAAATCAGGAAATGGAGGCTGGGCACTAGCCAGTCTGCTATACTGCTGTGACTTTATCATGAGTTCGCGAGACGAATGTGACACAATCCGTAACGAGAAGGTAACGAGAAATTGGTGTGAATGAATGGTGCAGGTAATCCTTGAAAAAGAATGGAAAAAAAGATGAAAAAAGATTGTAAAGATGAAGATGCATGCACATGTGCCCAGACATGATTGGGGGCAAGGCGGGGGGTTTAAACTAGCTTGGCACAGGCCAACCCACGCCCACACCATGTCCACACACCAGTAGGTACTAGGTAGTGCATGCTGCTAGGGTAAGTGCCTAGCTTCTAGGTTAGTGTTCAAGGTTATTCAGGGTTATCCTAGATAGAAGACTTTAGACCCCTGAAAACCTTGGCGCGATGCATTGCAGCACTGTAAGGTAGGTAGGTAACTGTCGTTAACTCGTCAGCTCGCTAAAAAAGGTTAAAAAGGGGGAAGAGACAGCACTCTATCTCTTTGTCAGAGTACCATTTCTCTACCTCCCTAACACACCTAACACCTCAAGCTTATTACATACTTTTTCACAATACACCCATTACACCCATTATCCCATCATAACTTACTACATATATCGTCGGCTACACAGCGAATCTCCGAATAGGTATCTTTGTGTGGCCGAAGGATAGTAATTATCCCAATTCGAATTTTCCAAGGGTATCATTTCCTATACCTAGTATCCTATCCTATACTCGTGAGGAATGGTAATGGATGGTGATGAAGTTATTCCTTCTAGATACCTACCTACTTAGGCAGCTATCAAGTCAAGTTTCGATTATTCGACTAGGGTCAATGTACCGATGTAGTCGTGCTGAACATTTCAAGGTGGTGGCGCTGTCAAGTATCACAGTCCCGTGGGGGGGATTTAGGATTCTCATCCAAGCTCCCGGCTGCAAGCGAACCGACGAGCTAGCTAGCTCCAGCGCTCTGCTATCATCCAAAGATATCAAGCTCGCACAACTACCAAAAACATTCACGTCGTATCATGACACTAGTCCAACTATAGTAGGCATTTGATCGTCTCCTTTTTGCTGATTTACAAATCATGATAGACTCAGCATGCAGATTCATCAGCATCTTATATTACAGCTTGTGGCGCTTTAACGCGGTACTCGGGCCCGCATATAAACCGTAAGGCAACGCAGGTGGCGCCTTCGAACGCCTTCGAACGCCTCACTAGTCTCAGCTACCTGTTTAGAGATCGTAAACATAAGCTCTTACTAGAGCCACTAGGCAAGTAATTACCTAGCGATAACAGGATCAAGCTTTAACGTTGTACATGGAGCTAATGTCCATGCCGAGTATGCACATAATATGTTTTAGGTTATTCCTTGCAGTGTCTTGATAATGATCTCGCTTCGTCTCCCCCAATTAGGTGCCTTACGTAAGGTCTAGCTATATACCTACACAGTAGGTAGTTGAAGAGTCATTTCGGGTATAACTTCATTAACTCCTATCTCGCTATATATAGACAGCCCCTGGATTCATTTCTTACACCTTGGCTCATCGAGTCTAGCTGTAGCCTATCTGAATACAGCCTCGATCTCTCTCGCCGGCTACTGAGTCATGGCTGGCTGCACCATGCCCAGCTGCGCCTACGAGGCATTTGATGCTATTTTAATCATCGCCGAGACATGCAGTTCGTTTCGAAACATGTGTACGCTTCCGTCTGTTGCCGCATTTCCGGATTCTAAGTCATGGCTCTCCTGCTTGACAACCACGTTTATTCTGCACGCAAGGATTCCCTTCAGACGATGCGGGGAATACTGGTAGGCCTTGTAGAAAAACGGAATCCATCCCGAGACGGAAACACCTCGTGCCGGCGTATGCTTGTAGCCCCTAAGTATTAGGGGTTCAATGAGGGCTCATCCTGATCCTTCGGCCGATGAAGTCTTCCTTCCCGACTAGGGTACACAGGATTGAGAGTCCGTGTTTGGCATTGCTCGAAGAAGCGGCCAATAATATCCACAGATGGATTTCACCGTTTGAAGCCTTATAGTCGCCGATATAAATCCATCCTTCAACTCTTGGGGTATCTTAGGTTACCTAGCGATAGATTAGACCGACGACCAACGATGAGATTCCTGCTCATATTGGCATCTCCATATGCCCATGAACCATAGCACTCTTTGCTTACCTAGTACTGGAAGGTAGATATAAGAAATGCGCATCGAGCACATGCCTGGTAGTACGTTAGGAGTCGCGTTATAGAGGATTGTCTTACTTGATGATATTTCCTTGTTCCGGTCGCGTCAGCGATGTCCTCAACTTCAATTGAAGGAGTCCGGAGATTTACTCATGTTGCGAGTGTGCTGCGACTCAAAGAGAGAAAGGTGAAAGGAAGAAAGCTTGCTTTATTCCCAACTACAATGGCGCAGTGCCAATATCTAAGGCTGGCCTAATGGAGCTATGGCCCCTGAGGCACCTGCAACACCCCATGTACAATTCAACCTTGGAACTCTTGACCGAGATCATACTTCAGCATGTGCTTGTAAAGGTCAATATAGGCAACTCTCTTGTTTTATGGCGCTAGTTGTTATCGCGGTTGTTTCTCGACAGTCTCTGGGACCTATCGCTGTCGACTCCTAGCATAACCCATAGATAACTCAACGGGTGGGAAAGAGGTCAGAGTCGAATTGCTAGAGCTGGGTGCAAATAATTGTTCGAGTAGCCTTTCAAGTCAGCGGAACTCAGGAACCTGTTTCAGATCTCTTTCGACCTGTCACTTCTCATTATTTACACTACTACATGATGCGAGGTAATGGCAATGATACATAGCCAATTGCTAACGCGGTAATACAGTAAGACATATATTACCCGATACTTACCTGAGTATTACATGATGTCATATGCTCAGATTCCTAATCAGCATTGCTGTCATATAAGTCACAGAAGCCCCTAGTTTTCTGCCAACTTACCCCAAAGGTACCTACCTCTTGATGTTCAATGCTGGTTCATGACCTCTTATATAACCGCTCGAGATATATCAATGCATGCTCTTTCAAAGCGACATCTCCAAACTTGGCCTACCTCATAGACGTCGGTTTGCATATAAAGGAAATTGACTTGGCGCAGAGACACGCAAGACTGAAGGTCACCCAGCATCTGTTGGGCTCGAGAATCACACCTTCTTCACTCAGATGCCATCGCCAAAGAGAGTTTTTTCAGCCAATTCGATTAGGAATGTATTAAACGAATGATGCAGCGCGTGCCATTTTGGGGGTCTTCTGTTCAGTAAATCGAGGCATAGAGATATTTACGTACGAACCTGGTTTCTGCCTACCCAGTCGGGAGTGAATTCCAAGACATACCAGGTAGGTGAGTGGACTCTTCGATAAAACTCTATGAGTACATATATGTTTTTGTTGATGGTGACATCTTCAATATAATAGAAAACAACTCTTATCAATTTTATGCATAAAATCCTCGAATATTGCAGTGTCGCGCACGCACAAGGATGAAAAGTGACCATATGACCCATTCCTGAAGACAAGGCGAGCCTTATATCCACATCGCTATTGTGTGACAATTGGCTTTCATCGTAATTTTCACCAAGGAAAAAAAAACATGTAAGGCCGGTTGTAGATGGAATCAAGATCCCCAGGATTTTGAAGAATCTAGACTGACAGCTTCAAGGTCCACAGATAACCTAGAAACCTGCGCACCGCCACCCTCCCCCCCTATTTGAAACCTTCACTTTTAAGGGAAGGCCACAGCATCACCACGATCCCACGATCCTTGACATGAGAAAATACGATATCTAACATCAATCTGAAACCCGCAACCGAATGCCCCGGAGTAGCAGGCCTTGTTTAACCTTATTGATCCTTTCACAACTTCTTCCCCCTAACGTCAATAACCCTAACCCTCACATTGTTTCAAACACCTGGTGAGTTCCGAGTCGCCGGGTTTTACGGTTTGGTGAATTTGTTATATTTATAGAATATTGCAATCTCGGGTAATATCTACTCGCATATGTTAGGAGTTTGTTAGGAGTTTGGTAAATCTGTCAAGAGGAGGTTCCTAGAGAAGATAGTAGGGTCTTTGACTGTATCGACCTCTCCTCCTGCCTCTAGGCCCACAGTTCATCGCGTAACAACCTTGAACTTTGTCGTTTTCATGACTTCTAGTTTGGTCATGTGACGGAATATAGTAATCCGAAGCCGTTTACACCTTGTGGTGAGTTCCTCGTAGTTCATCTTCGTATCTAGGATACGGTTCTGTGACGCCTCTTACGCGTATAACCCTCACCTAGCCCAATTGAACTCACCTTGTGGTTCTGGACAGACAGAATATGCGGCTGGTCTTGGACATCCGGTACCTATCTCTCCGCAGCTAGTTTTAATTCCGACGATGCTACTTTGGAAACCTGCTTCGACTGGATTGGCTGAGTTACTCTTACCAATCATGTTCACATACCACTTGGGTTCGCGTTTCCCTCCTTCCGTAACGGGACTCCAATTCTTTTGCCACATCTCTCTACGTGATGAACAACCCTTAGTCACCTGTCTGCTATGTCCGAGAAACGGTTGCGTGTTCGCGTGAAATATTTCTTAGCAAATATCCGCCCTTCTCCTTTCCCCACAGCAGAGTAAGCAAGCCTGCGAAGAGACCACGAGATTCTTGAGAAGATGTTACCTCGTAACAAACCACCCCACATTACTTCCAGAATTCTTATATCTCTGGCTCGTGCGGCCGCATATGCGAGCAGCTTTCCAGCTCGAAATAGTCCCGGGGTGCCCATAAAAACACCAGGACTGAGATGTCCTACCCTAACTACACTGTTGAATGGGAAGGCTGTATGCGAGATAATACATTATAAACAGACCTTCAAGGCTTATAAAGCGACGCCGATAGCATAAGCATAGGTAGATCGATCTTTGATGGTATGCATACAATGTAGGTATTCCTTACCTCCGTTAATCGCCCCTGCCGAGGAAGTCCTGCACGAGCTGATGTCAAATATATTGCTTCATGCCTACGAACTCGTCATGTGCTATCCTCAAATGCCACCAAAACACGAATCTTTTACTAAGATGCCATCAAGCATCAGTTGAAGGCACATGCGCCTCTTAACAGCCATCCCAGGGCGCGCAGTTCTCTACTGGCTGATCCTTCTCCACGTCAAAGATGTCAAAGCCTAGGTGTCTGCCGAGGTCAAGAAACCGGAGGGGCCCCCGCTCCAAAGAAAGCTGATCGACGGTGACGAAGAGATCGTCAGGCAGCCTTTTCAGCCGCAGATTATACTTCATGTGCGCTTCATTGACAGATTTGGGAACCACTGCGATTCCTCTCTGCACAGCCCAGGATAAGCAAACCTGCGGTGTGGTGAGTGTGGAAGTTTAGCAATTGGAATAACAATGTTGAGCGAAAGAAAAGGGGCACTACCTGCGCCAGGGTCATGTTACTCCTAGCTGCGATATCGAGGATCTAAACACTGGTTAGTAAGAGCCCTATTCATCAAAGAGGAGCAGGTTGCGTTATTGCCTGATTAGTCTAGATATCTTTGGACCTTCTGTTGGAAATGGCGCGTCGGCATTCCCTCGCGCAAGGGATACCGACCGCCCACCGAGGGGTTAATGGGCCATGACGAGGATACCATGCTGCGCTGAGAACTGGTGAAGTTCATGCTGTGGGAGATACCTGTGAATAAGATGGTGTTGGCCCTGGAGGGGCATCATTTTTTTCAGATACCTAGATTACTCTTATCCTACGGACGGACCTCAACTTGGATGACAGCGGGGGATATCTTAGCGATTTCAAGAATTCTTTTGGTCTTGAGAATGTTGAAGTTGGACAATCCTGTTATAACAAATTAGGATGCTATTGCGGCATGAACCAGTGCATAACTAGTGCTGTACGCATACCAATGGAGTGTGCTTTCCCCGAAGCGACAGGTTTTTCCATGGCTTGCCATGTCTCTGAGTAACGCCTGGAGAGGCTGTAGTCGATAAGGGGCTGTCTCAGGGGTATAAGTGAATACGAACATAGTATAGACTGTATGTATGTAGAAAGTTGCGATTACCGCTTGGGTGCCTGATGGTCTTGTTGTTCTCGCCAGCCTTATAAGCACGGGGGACTTTAGTATTGCACGGCGTTAGCATCTGAGCCCCTATCTTGACTTGAAGGTACCCAGGGAAATAGAAACTTGTTACATACAGTGCATTGGATAAAGATCGACTATATGCGGTGAGTCAGTAAGTCTCACAATTCCAGAATTTCGGGATTTCAATACCATAATCTAATTGGAGGCTCTTCAGAGATTCATCCAGTGCTCTTTCAACATCGGCAGGGTCATGCCATGTCTGCGCGCTAGAGACTGCATCATATAACCCATGACGCATCTTCTAGTCTAAGCATGGGCTCACAGTTTAGACGTCCCAAAGATCTCATGTCGAGGAAGGCCACTCTCCTTGATGGCTTCGCCGATTTCCTTCTCATTTCCTTAAGCATGGGCCCCATCAATATGTCGATAACCCTGTGCCCGAGCCAGCTTCACGGCATTCTTCACCAAGGAGTTCCCCTCATCACCTTGGAAGGTTCCGAGGCCAACGGCGGACACCTTACGGCCATTATTTATGTTGCAGTACAACTGCAACCAAGAAGAAGAAAGAGGAAAGGAAGAAAGCTTGCTTTATTCCCAACTACGGATGGCGGAGTGCTAATATATGGCCATAAGGGCCATATGGCTAAGGGTGCCTAAGGCACCTGCAACAATTTAAAAGGAAGGTATCCGGGAGATCCATAGTGGGGAGAATCACGATGTGAAGCTGTGTCGAGGTAGTGTCTGCGACTTCTTGAACTCGAGGGTAGTAGAAAGACTTGTAAGGCCTTGGGATGTCGTAAGTAGGTATGCGCCACATATTGTGAGGGGAACAGCACACGATAAGGAACATGTATAGTACATCATGGAATATATTGGCACTGTACTGAGTATAGTTTAATCAGATTCTGACAAGGAATAGCTCACATGTCATATTTTGAAATTACTTACATGGTATCTATTCAATAACTCTCGTGTAACTCGGATAGTGCTGGTATAACTCACAACTCTAGAGGGAAACTGTGCAAAATATGCGTAAACACAAGAATGATCGAACCGTAGCTATATATACTTACCTAGCTCGTGTAACCGGAAAGGAAGCAAGGGAGATCAACCAACTGCGCTAAGGAGGAAACGCCAAATCGGCCTTGGAGCTCATAAGCTGAGAAAGGTCAAAGGCGTGAAGTCCCACACTAAACATAATGTCTGACAAGTATGGAGTGCTCTGTCAGAAGTATGTGGCAAGTATATGATAGCTGGGGTAGGCTCCTATTCTATGTCACGCTATGGATTCTAGGCATTCTGTGCTAGGATATGCATGGCTAGAACGAAGCTGCACTAGCCTCTGGCAAAAGTATTGACCTTCGAGAACACCTTTACCAAAGTCGTAAAACGTGAAAACATGAAGTGTGCCGCTGCATCACTGGCACACGTACTCCAGACGATGGGCTTGGGGCAGAAAGTCAGGGGTAATGTTATAGATAGCTGACGTGGACTCGAAGTCGCCTTTGAGTGCTTCTAGATCATGGTGATCGATACAGACCTTCATTAAGTAGGTAGTCATCCTATTACCGATAGATGTGTAGTACTTTAACCCAACTCGCTTTGGGCCGCGATGAATCTCCGTGGTGCTTCGTCTCACGGATTTTAGCGACATCTGTAAGAGCTGTGATGTGATGCATGGCTGTTAGTGTGCGTGCGAGCTGTATGCGGTTAAGTTAAAATAGATATTTCCTCTTGTGAGATTCGAAATATTGGATAGGTCCCAGAGAGATGGTCCCAAATTGCTGGAAAGATTAGGTAACTGGAGGGTGATGGGAAGGGTATCAACATATGAATAAGAATAACTAAGGCCAGGTAAGGCCCGGCCCGTCCCGGCCCGCCCGATGGTGTATGACCAACAACAGTCAATCCGCCAAATCACAGTGCGAGATCGTACAGTCTAGGCCAACTCTCTATTACCAACGTATCAACTCAAGCCCATTTCAACTGAAAGTAGGCTCATATTAATCGCTCTAATTAAGATGAGTAGGCGTCTGAATATTAGCCGTTCAATTTAAAGTGCTAGCTGGGATATTACATTCGTGTCTGCTCGCTGAGGTCACCCACGTGACCCCCAATTCAACTATCACCACTAAGTTATAATGCAAGGTGCAATAGACTAAGCCACGATAGCCGTTCAATGGCTGAGAATTGGTGTAGTAATGATTAGCTTCGGTAATTATTATTGGAATTTTAGTTGGATTGAGGGAGCTATAGCGAATCACGATACTCATAAACGCATACAGTATCAGCGATTGTCATACTGTATACATTCACACAGTGGATCGGCGGTTGTTGGTCGTCGTCGGACGGACGAGAACCCTGCCTTTTGCTTATTTGTGGCCCGTTATTAGAAGACCTCCATAAGGCTGTGTTGGTCAGGCTTCAAGGAGCCGGAGGAGCGCTGAAGAAATGTATCCCTTACATTGTAAGGTTAGTGTGTTAACCATATATCCAAAATCTTCATAGGATATCATTCACGCCAATGTAATGATAAGATATTACGATGAGACAGTGGACTAACCTAGGTACCTTAATGTGTCGCAATCCCCTTTGAATCCATTCGAATTGGAGTCGAAAAGTAATGTGATCTTCCTATTAGAGCTTTTCAAGACCCTAAGTACCGCGCTATCAAGTTCAAAATCTGATTGCACATCATTACTTCGTGATGGTAGCCAGTCTACCAACCGCGGGGTCAAACCCCGCAATGCCTGATGATGAGATTCACGATGTTCTTGGTCTAACAACTCTTCATGAACCATTGCCTCCTACCAGTGTCGCGGCGGATCTCGTCTTTATTCATGGATTGGGAGGGGGCAGTCGGAAAACATGGTCCTATTCCCTTGATCGGTACCACTACTGGCCGCAGTCATGGCTTGCAAACGACTCAGACTTCGCAGATATGCGCATTCACTCCTATGGTTACAAGGCCAATTGGGGCGAACGACAGAAAAGTATCATGAGTATTCGCGACTTCGCTGAGTCATTGGTAGCGGAACTGAAGAATAGCCCCAGTATACGGCGTAGTAATACACGTATTATATTTATCTGTCATGGTATGGGCGGATGCATCGTCAATAAGGCCTACATTCAAGCACGTGAAGATCCAACCTCCAAAGCCCTCGCTGACAGAGTGCACTCGGTCTTTTTCCTAGGTACTCCCCACAGGGGTAGTGACCTCGCAATAACCCTCAATAACCTGTCCAGAATCACACGGAGGACGAAACCGTTCGTCTCTGACCTCATACCCGACTCGTCTACATTGTGGGACATCACTGAAGAGTTTCGGCACTATGCCTCGGATTTGCGCCTCTGGTCCTTTTACGAAACGCGTCCCTCTAAGCTCAGGATGCGGAAAAAAATCGTGGTTAAGAGAGGGTCGGCTACGCTTGGTTACCCCCATGAAGAGATTTCCGCAATGAACGCCGATCATCGCCAATTGTGTAAATTCAAAAGTCCAAAAGATCCCAATTATCGCCTACTACGAAACGCTCTTCACACGGCCGGGGACATGATAAGGTCGTTGCCTTCCTTAGATGCCGCCCCTTTACAAACTGGTGTTACCTTGGCTTCGGCTCAGCAGGATTCTGATCAAGAGAGTAACTAAGAGGGTAATCAAAAGAGTAGCATTAATCATCGCCTAAAGTCATTTTTAGGGGTAAATGATACCCTGGAGGATGAGGATTGACACGCTTGGAGATATGCGGCTGTTCGTGACTTCGAGGCTCAGAGAGCTAAATCGTCTGGAGAGCGACGAAGATGTCAACGAGATGTACGAGAAGATCTTGGGAAAGGCTTCCGGTTCTTTCTTATGGGCGCGACTCGTGCTTGAAGAGTTAGAGGATGCCTGGACTAACGAAGCTATGGATGATGTCTTGAGCGAAGTTCCTATGGGCCTTCAAGGCATGTATGGTCGGATGCTACAGTCCATGGAGAATGATAGACGTAATTCAAAGCTGGCTCAATCAATCTTGACGTGGACTGTTCTGGCGTGTCGACCGCTAACAGTTACCGAGCTGCGCGTTGCTGTGAAGCTTGATGCCAATGAGACGGCGCATAACATGACTAAGGCAATTCCAAGATTATGTAACCAGCTGGTAGTGTTTGTTGATCAGACTGGCAGGGTGAACTTATTACATACAACTGTGCGATAGTTTCTTCTTGACGAGACTCTTCACTCGGAGTTTGCCATTTACCGCATTAAGAAGCACGCCCATATTGGCTCTCTGCTGCTTCGATATCTCATGAATGATAGTCTCAGCCTGCAAGCACCACCACGACAGCAGAGACGACGGCAGGGTTCGGGGAGGCTTGGTTTCGAAAAGCCAGTATTTAGCATTTCCCCTGAGCTGCCCCTGTTATGGTATGCAGCTTCCTTCTTCTCTGATCACATGTACGAAGGTACCTAGAGAGATGATATCTTGATGGGCGAGTTGTGCACCTTTCTGAAGGGGAAAAACTATCCTCTCATGGATTGAGAACCTTGCCTTACATGGAAGCTTTAGGGATATGTCTAGGACGACAACAAACCTCCGTAGGTATCTTGGCGGGAGAATGAAGTACCTTCCTCCCATGGATCCCTCAGCTTCTCTTGTTGACTGTTGGGTGACTGATTTGATCCGGGTTGCAGCCAAATTCCGATCACGGTTACTGGCATGTCCATCGCCTAAACGAGGAGGAATTCCTTTGCCTTAAGCGAATGGCGCACATGGTAGGGAGAGCTAATATGTGCGGCTACACAGCGCACTGGTAGTCCGAACTTCTTTTTTGCGAGCAGGCAATACATTAGGTGGTTTTCTGTTGCAGGTGCCTGAGGCTCCATAGGCTCCACTACAGCCATATGGCCCGTATGGCCATATATTGGCACTCCGCCAGAGTAGTCAGGAATAAACCAAGCCTTCTTCCTTCTTCTCAGTTGCAGTTGTGCTGCAACTGCAACATTTTCATTCAAGGAGGGTTGGAGCTTTTTGATATTATGAGCGCTAAGTAGTGCGATGTGCAGAAGGAGCCGTGGTGTGGTGTCAGGATCAACGTTTCTAAGGGAACATATCCAGGACTCACACAATATCACACAATGAGCACTAATCACACCTCGCAAGTATCAAGGGAAGGAGCCAACGCCCATGGGTAGATATGGGAATGTATTAAAGTTAGATTTGCTCACACTTTGCCGAAATAAAAGGCGATAGGGATTAGTTTAAAATAGGGGCAATACCTATACTAGCTAACACGACCCCCCCCCCCCCCCCCCCCCTATCCATCTAACACTTGAAGTAACAGTCCATATCACGAGTTGGCGAGTCGAGCCAGTAAGTAGCCCAGCCGCCAACCCTACAAAATGGAACCTTCTTCTCGTCATTCTGCTGATGCGTCCATCTTTGATCCGCATAATTCAACCAAATTAGCCACTGGTTGTATTGTGAGGCGGGACACCTCTTTTGAACACCCCGCGGAGAGTACGCAGACTCGATGTCTGTACCGTTCGCGGCCTCCCTCTTCCTCCCGCCAGGCATCTTGTTTCCGTAGTTGCATTCGTCCACCGCCACCCCCTCCGGTAGGTCCTGGGTGAAGATAACGGTCAGGATCCGTGGGAGATAGTTCTTTCTCGCTTCTGTCATGCTAACTGGAGCGTACCACGGCTGTCGCGTCTTGGGGTAATGTTCAAGCTCTTTGCCACTGCTATCCTTGAGACTCAGTTCTACCCTCACCCCGTCAGGCTCTGCAGCGTTATATTCCGTTATGTGGACACTGCAGGTACCCGCCGCGTACTTGGGCGTCGGCGTCGCCGGCTTCGCGAGACAAACACAGGCCTTCCCCGGGTCCGGCCCACCAACCACCTTTACAAGCGGCGTACAGGTCCCAACTTTCCCTCCATCACAGCTCTTCTTGGCGCATTCTTTGTCGTCGCACTTCGGCGTTTCGGTTTTGGTAGGCGTTGCTGATGATGTTGTCTTAGCCGGGGAACAGTATTTACCAGTTTTCGCATTATTCGAATTAAATATCTGTCCAGCGTTTTCTGGATCCCATTCCTGCGAATAGCGTCAGCTGTGAGTAGTTTGAATTTGTAACCTAGGTGGGTCACGTTAGGTGAAGCAGCCTTACCACGTGTCGTGAACCGAGATCGCGCCCCTCTACCCAAAACTGCCATGCACTCTTGCGGTCGCATTCGGCAGGCTGGTATTGCAGAATAAGCTTTCCTCTATGTGACTTATTGTCTGTGTCGGTAAAGGTATCCCTCTTGGCATTTTTCTCAGCCTGTTCCTTCTCCTTTTTATCCTGCTCCTCGACTTCTTTCAAGGTCGGTACCATCGGCGCGTAATCAATGACCTCAACGCTTGGCTTTCCTGTTGGCGTCTGTAGGGCCTTAAGAACCACCTCTTTTATCTGGTCGATCTTTTGTTGATATAGGACTTTGCCCGCATTTGCGTTTTCGTCTTGGCGTTGTGCGTCGGATAGGGGCTTGTCCGTGATGCCCACCATCTCCGAAGCACCGGGACTAAAAGAGCGTTGAGCGCCGGCAACACGCGGACGCGGTGTAAATATATAGACCTTGGTGCCGCGCATGTCCTTTTCATTGTCACCAAAAATTCGGCCAATTGAATCTCCCTTGGACACCCCACGCAGTTGTGTGAGGCCGTACTTGTGTAGTTTGACAAGAGCATCTGGCTCCTCCGCACCTTTCAATAGAAACGAACCAATCGACCCATCGAAACCTTCCGGCGGATCAATCAGCAGAGTTTCGTACAGATGGCACATCCACGCCCCGCGAGTGGACACAACGAGGACGACGGTGGAGCCATAGAGACTCTGCATTGTCAACGTCAAGGTTTGGTTTTTGAACTCGAGGACCTCGGAAGTCGGTGTTAGTAACCATGGGAGATTTTCTAAATCTGCCAATTGAACATATTTATATCTTGCTGCATGGTCTTTATAAGCCTTCCGAACCTCGCCAAGCACGAACTCATCGTGACTCTTGTAGTCCTTAGGAGTAACCCAATCCCCTTTATCCGGATTTCCACGCTTGATGTTTGCTGCCGCTGTAGGTATTATATCTGTTTTTCGCGTGCTAGCTATGCTTGGTGTTGTTGAAGGTTGGACCTGAACTGTAGGCATTATGGATTCTTGAACCGCCACTGGGACATTGCTGTCGTCTTCCCTCATATATCTTATTCTATTGACTGGGTCTTTCGCCGCAGCGCTCGGTGGATCACAGAGGCCGTGCTGCCTGAGGTTAGCTGTTTTGTTTTCATACTACCATGAAGCTTGGCAGGGGGGAATATAGGTTATCATCAAACACTCACTTTCGTCTGGTCATCGTGGCTACATGGAACCTTCGGATTGAAGGTTTTATGTCCATCAACTGCAGCTTGTAACTGTCCAGACACAAGGCTCCCACAGGCTACGGAAAATATTCCGAGAGCTCTGATGAAAAACATACTTGGAATATTAGAACTTGGTCGGGTGACATGTGTATAGCAGTGGGCGTAGTGGTCGGGGGTGCATCACGCAAGTTTATATCTGTCTTCTCCCGTCGTCGGTCTGACTAGCATTGGCCTATTTAAGGATTTACTTCGAGGTTGCTACGCCGCAGATTCCATAAGGTATTTCGACACCAGATGGATCCATCTGGCTTTTTTATGTCGCCAAGCATGGAACTAAGATCGAAGTTTAATCACTGGAGAGAGAAGGAAGAGAATCTATTATTTCCTCTCTTACTATCTGATAGTTGGTCACTGAGGCGGTTAAATCTAGGTTAGATGTTGTAAATGACCTCTTATGGGTAGGTTAGTAGAATCTCCTGCCTTGTCTGTTGTTTTATACAAGTATGTTCTGTCACTTCATTCTACATCTGCACTTTGCAAGATTCATTAAAACTCTTCAGGCTTACACTAACAATAAATAACTGAACAATTACAAAGAACTAACCATAGGAGTACCACGCCGTACACCACGCCGCATGCTACACCCTGCAGGATTAATATATGGGGATGGTCATGTATTGTACTTATAATGCCACTAATTTTAGCAAATTAATTAAAATATTGAAAATACAAGATAGCTTACCTAGGCAAGTAGATAGCAGGATGGGTAGGATTGAGCTTGGGAACTTATAGCCATATATAGCCTGCGGTAGCTATTAAGGCTAAATGCAGATACGAATCTACAAATATGGCATAAAAGTTTCAGGGGAGAGCCAAAAGCTTGCCTTCCTCATTGAATCTGTTCAGACGGTCCATTCAGCATAATCCTAGTGAGCATTGGCAATTTTCTATTTGGAGAGGATCGAAGCGCAGATCGAAACTGAAATGTGCCGAGTGCAAGTAGGACTCTATTTGTCCTTCGTGGGTCAAGCAGCATTAGCAAGCCCTCTCAACATTCGACAAACATCTTGCACTGACTTATCGACAACGAGTCCCAACTGGAAAATCACGAATGCAGAATCGTCGGACTGGCCCGGTGGCGGGGGCGGTCGAGTTGAGTTCTTCGCCCATCACATCCCCACGAGTGAAACGACTGCTTGCGACGTGGAATATCGTCTGAACTCGACAGATGGACATGTCATTGATTATGACCCCACCGCCACATTCGAGTGTATCAACTTCGGCACAAGCATCTCGAACACGACGGTACAGCTCGATATGGACACATTGGTACTGAGTCTGAAAAGCACTTGGACTTGCGAAGAAGGCGAGGCTGTGACTTACTCAGCCACTGGGTCGACGGCACTGCAGAGAGACACCTCTCCAGGTGCATGTTTGGTGCAGCCAACTCAGCTTGGTGATGCTACAACATGCCCTATAGCCGACATTGAAATAGAGGGGAAGCTTGAAGAAGAGTCGTGAAGTGATGTAGATATTAATGAGTTCAGTCTTTTAACTTAGGATCGTATGCGAGTCTTGATGTATAGGTAGTTGTGGATGTGACTAAGTTACTAACTTAAGGAGTTTTACTATGTGCCTGTCTGATCAAGAAAGTGATTATTTTTGCAAGCATTGAGATCGCCATTTCGCTTTGTCCTTTTTGCTAAAAGATATCCAACCGTAATATTTCACAAGCCCATGTATAACAAATCGTGCTCGGCTTTAATCAACAGCTGCGAATGTGCCAAATCATTGACGATAACTTACACCTTCATCGGACTTCTTCAATAACACGATGTTGATATTTCCTGTCTTGTTCTCATTGACATCAGCATGACGTTAACAAAATGATACCGACCGACATATACTGTATATCTAGCTTATAAACGAATCTATTCGACCTCAACCCCTTTTCAGTTCAAGGCCAAAATAGAAACCCAGCTAGAGAAATAAAACACCAAGAATATGATCTAGATACCTAACACTCTAAAATATCAAAGTGAAAAAGCCTAAATCTTACCTACAGATCGATAAACGCGCACATGGCAACACCACTACGCTCGTTCACGGCCACGGGCCTCCTCCGACGAGCCCGGTTACACAGACCCATAATTCTCAACGACCCCCCCATCGTACCATCCCGGCCCTTCACGGCAAGTGCGGGGCTTTCGTCCTCATCTTCTTCCGCGACTAAAGCCCTCCTCGAGGACCGAGACTCTGGTTTTGGCTTCGTGCGCCACAACCCGGCGCCTCGAAGCAGCGCACTCGCGCTGTGACAGAGATCCGTATGTATGTAGCATCGCCCTGTTCTACTAGTAAACACTGGCAGTTATTACAGCCAGTTCGAGAGTTCCTTGCTCCCGGGACATGCCTCTCAAATTCTCAAAGATCATTTACCCTTTATAGTAATTAGGCACGTAGGTTAAGGGGACGCGTACCAACCCTCATCATCTCACCCAGTACAGCCCACGGTACCTCTCCGACGTCGTCGAAACCATGGGCCCTCACATCGACGGGCTGAAGCTCGCCGGCGGGTCATTCAGCCTGTTCCCTGAGGCTCCCTTGCGCCAGCTCATCGACCTCGCGCACACGCACGGGGTATACGTCAGCACCGGGGGCTGGATGGAGCACGTGCTCGCCGGCAGCGGCGGCGACATCGGCGGCGCCGTCGACAAGTTACCTGGCCAGGTGCCGGGAGCTGGGCTTCGACGTCGTCGAGCTGAGCACGGGGTTCCTGAGCCTGCCGGCGGACGACTGGGCGCGGCTCGCGGAGCGCGTGCAGCGGGCTGGGCTGACGCCGAAGCCCGAATTGGGCATCCAGTTTGGCGCGGGCGGCGACACGTCGGCGGCTGAGTTGCGGGGTACTGGGACGAGCGACCCGGGGAAGGTGGTCAATATGGCGAAGCGGTTCGTGCGCGAGGTTGGCGTCGAGCGCGTTATGATTGAGAGTGAGGGGATCACGGAGAATGTGCAGGCTTGGCGGACCGGTGTCATTCAGTCGATACTGAGGGAGCTGCCCCTGGATAATGTGATGTTTGAGGCAGCGAATCCAGCTGTGTTTAACTGGCGAGTCTCGCTAATTCCTAGGTGCATATCTACACTTCAGTGTCGAGGCCTGACGCTACTAGGTATATCCCAGAGTTTGGTGTGGATGTGAACCTCTTCGTGGATCACTCGCAAATCGTCCAGCTAGCAGGGCTAAGAGCTGGCATTTGGGGTAAGAGTGATATCTTTGGGAAGGTCACTACCGTCAGGCCATAAAGCTCGTGCTCGTTGAAATGCGTTTCGTTCAGCATTTCTTGATATTTCCATGGAGCGGGCAAGGTATTGGTTAATACTATGTACTTGACCCTGAGTGATGCCGTAGGGTAAATCAAAGCCTATGCCTACCTGCGTATGAATGGTCGTCAGGGACCTATGATAAGGATTATAATGATTTTAACAAGCGATTCTTGGTTTCTCTGTTCCTACCATCACATAGATCTGGTATAAGCCATGAAGTGTTGAAAAGCTTATGAGGCCCTGGCCTCGACACTGACCCCAAACCGCAATACTTGGACAGGAATACCATTAGGTTACCGTAACGGGAACACATCAGCGATGCCACTAACATAAAACCTGGCAACCACTAGGTACGTATAACACACTGAGGTGATATCAAGGCCCTATAGCATCCTAATGTTTCATGAGTAGCGGTGAAAGAAGCAGCCTGAGTTACCTAATGTCGCATGTCTAGAGTATCGGCTATATCGTGAGAATGCCACATCTTTCTCATGGGTGCTGATAACTTTGGTTGAGCCAAAACTATTGCATCAAGCTATCGTATTAAAAGCAAATACATCCAAGCCTCTTTCAGCTACATCTGGTTCAACACGAAACCAAATAGCCTACCAAAGCAGATAAAGTTTCGCTGTTATATGGGGAAATCGTAGACCCATACGCAGATGTTAGACAGGTATCGATGCATACCTACAAAACACCCTTGCTCATGCGTAGCAACGGAAGTTTTTCCGAGCGGACTTGCAGCGGCCCCATACTCGTCGTTGACTTTTTTTAAGGGACAGCCAAATCACCTGGGCACATTAATAGGTGAAGGCAAGCGCAACTCCCATTTTCGCTCACCTAACGTAGCTCTGGAGGTGGGGTTTACTGCACACGGTTCAGGTACATCTTGCCACGATATAGGCACAGCTGTCGTCGTGACTGCTAATAGGTAAGACGTCAAACATTGTTAGCCTTAGGTTAATATATTCAAGTCCGGTTGGTGGCTCGGTCGCACTAATACAGCCTACAGCACATCGGAAGTGATGGTCTCCAGGCCCACACGAAAATATGTATATCACTGCTCAAGAGATGGGATCCAGTATATCGTGAGGGGCATCAAATCCATCGTGCGAGTCTAGAAGCTAGCAAGCGAGCGGGGATCAACACCGGCTCCACCTATTTACCTACCTAAAACGTATGCGGGCCCTGAAAATAGGGGGGGCCGTAATGCGATTTCTTTGCAAAAAGACCTGTTAGAGAATCCAACACCTTGGTGACTACCCAGAAAAGCTTAGCTGTGACATTTCATCTGATTCGTGCCCGCCTACTTGTATTTCGAAATAGCTGACCTCAACGACCTTCCAACGACCAAGAGGAGCACGTTTGGCGGATACTTGCGCTCAGGTGTCATGCCTGAACGTGCCGCATTATGCGATAGAACAGGGGGTTCTGAAGGTTGATAGGACCACGTTTTTCATACGAGGTGGTGCGAGACGATAGTCTCGACCGTCGATATTGCATCGTGTATAGGCTATCACATTGCGTCACCTCACATTCGGAGATCACAGGAGTGATGAAATGTTGGTCGCGTATGGTATAAGCTGCCGTCAGGGCAGTAGGTCCGGCGCAGTATATAAACGGCGCCTGTTGCTGCGGACGAGGGAGAGGAAATAGTCGCTTGAACTACATCCCCTTTCCAATTCTCACGAGACACAGAAAGCAGAACACAATGTCTTTTACCGCATCCTCCGAAGATATCCGCGTTGATGGCGGCTCCACGCTCAGGGGCCGTCTACGGACTGAGAGTGGAAACTGGGTTGACGCCCATATCAACTTGAACGAGTTCATCGGAAACAAGGACGGTAAGAGCCCATGAAGAAGATTGATGTATTGATGTGTTTTCAAGTACTAACATGTATCTAGGGAGATTCGAATGGGGTGGAAAGAGTACGTGACGATAAGCTACGACTGCTAAGATATGTTCCTCACATTTATTACAGACTTCACCGATACTGCCGAGGATATTCGATACGCGATCGAGGGAGGTGCCAGCGTGCCAGTCCTTCGTGCTCGCCTAAAGAAGCTCGACGGCGAGTGGGTTGAGGCTGATATCAACCTGGCTGAGCGAGTTCAGAACGACAATGGACGATTCGAATTCCGTGAGTTCACCTAATAGGCTGGCTTCCAAAGCTTCTTGTCATAAGGACGAGCTTCCAAATGCCATTTTACTGACACCTCACGTAGACTAAATTTCCGTTGTTGGAATGGAGATATAGGTTTTAGGAGAGGCTTCAAGTGGTGGGAGGTTAGATACGCTCTACTAGCTTTAGACCCTCAAACAATGATACCATATCCAATTTGACATAAAAAGGGTTTCTGAGCATCCATACATTGGAAAGCTGTAATTGCATGTGACTTGCAAGAATCGCAATGTAGTATTCGTCTTTGTTGGTCCTATTTCTAGTTGATATTTGGCTACCTGCTATTAACCGTAGTATCTCCTGGGTTTTGTAGAGAAATGGTGGTGTTAGATGCACATCTTGGAATTTGGTTCAATGTTATAGAGACATAGCTGGAGCATGTTAGTTAGGTACCACGTACCTAAGGTTAACCTAAAGAAAAGGGTGTAACCAGACCTGAAGGCCAGATGCAGCCTCTAAAATGCGTATATGGCCACAGTACTATACATGACTAAGCTCGCACCGTGCGGGGTAATTACTTGGGGATTTGGAGAAGTTGGGAAATATTGTGACTGTCCAAAAACGAATCCAAAGCTAAATGCTTTTTCCTTCCTATTCACAACATCCACACAAACACATCAACGCACGTCTACATCTATCTGCACGTACATAACATCAGTATTAAGTAGGTACCTAAATATGGCCGAACCGCAACCAAAGACTGTCCATGAGGGCGCCACCGGCGACGTCGAGGATGAAGCCCAAAATACTGCCAAGTCAGCCGAGGATCGCAAGGCCGCCGCCGCCATGGCGAGCTTAGATGCGCGGGGAGATGATGCTGGCGCTTCAGGTAACACCGTTGACCAGGACGCTGTGAGCAAAGTCGTGAAGAGCCTTGGAAGCGGTAGTGCTGCCGAGAAGAAGGAAATCAAGAAAGTCAAGGTCGATCCTGCTGATGTTACGTTATTGGTACGTACACTGCAGCCCTACTAAAAAGGAAACTTGGTACTGATGGGTTGCGACATCAGGTTGAGGAATTAGACCTTACCAAGCCGAAAGCTACTGAGTTGCTTAAGTCGCACGATGGTAATGCAGTCGAGGCTATGAAGGCTTTTGTTTCCACCTGGCAATAATGAGGAAGGGGAAGTCAACGTTTGACTTTCTTGCCACCTGAAGAGCATGAGGCATTCTCATCCAGGCTCCCAATAACTAGAAACCCTGCGATACCACCAAACTAAGAACGGCCCAGGTCTTACAGCACTTGAGCACAGTTGGCTAAGCGACGGCGGGCAAAGGCTTCCTAAGGTTTATGTGAGATGATAGGCAGAAGCTAAAAAGAAGGATTGGGCGAACAAGCGACAAATTCAACTAAATGCATGAAAATGCAAGCGCACTGCCATCAGGGCATCACGTGGACCTTCATTCACGTGAACTTCCAATAAATCACATGACTTTACTCTAACATACCTAGGACGGGACTCTTAACGGTGACCTTATGTTTAATATGTTTTCATAAAGGCATTTCTGAATTGATTTAAGTCAGATGGGAGTATAAAAGATACCTAGACTGACTCTAACAACACAGGCAGCTTTAGCAATATGTTAATTCGGGTTGTTCAGGAGGTCTAAAGCTTTAGAAGTTGAATGCGTCAATCCGAAACAGCAACTGCACTTTATATCCTGTTTTCGAGTCTTATACCAACATCAAGGCTCGATAAAACACCGATCAAATCCAGTTAACTCCACCGCTGACGCTGATATACTGTCCGGTGATCCAACCGCTCAGGGGCGAGGCAACGAGAACGACAGCATCCGCAATCTCTTCAATAGTCCCCATCCTCCCTTCCAGCCTCGTCATGTCCAACAACCTCCTTACCTCGGGGTGATCATTTGGGGGCGATATCTCGGTCTTCGTAATTCCAGGCGCGATCGCATTAACCGTGATACAGAACTTTCTGCCGAACTACGCGACTCAAACCATTAGGTTTAGTGTTCAAAACATCGAGAAAGAAGCTGTCTACTGATATGTGGGACATCATTTACCTCCAAAGCCCAGGTATGAGTCAGCGAGTCGAGCGCCGGTTTCGATGTGGTGTAGACGGGAGAATGCAGGCCCATCCTGGATAGACATGTGCTAATGTTGATGATACATCCGCCGCGAGGAATGTACGGGAGAGCAGCTTGGATGAGGAATAATGGCCCCTGGATATTGGTGCGGAACACTGATGCCATTTCTTCAGGAGTGACTTCGACTGTCGGGGTCATCGGGGCGATTCCGGCATTATTGACTGAAGTGGAAGAGTGAGCAGATGAACCTACTCAGTCACAATCATCACTCGTGTCTTGCTTTGGGAGCTGGGAGAAAGCCTACCGAGAATATCGATCTTGTCGGTGCTAAAGGCGGCTAGAGTCTCTTTGACGCGCTTCCTTGCTTAATCCGGGTCTCCGACATCTCCGCGGACGACGGTGGCCTTTCCGCCTTTGGCCCTGATACTCTCCACAACCTCGGCTGCTCTAGGCGCGCTCGCGTCGTAAACGTAGTCGATGGTGACGCAGGCGCCTCGAACAGTGAGCGCCGCGGCTATCGCGGCGCCGATGCCGCTAGGTCTTCCCGAGCCGGTGACGATGGCAACCTTGCCATGAAAGGACAGATCGTTTGTGAAAGACATTTGGTATTATTCTGAGGAATTGAGGCGAAAGTTTGCTATTGTGAGGCTTGTGAGGAATTTGGCGGCGATTCTTGTTTTCTGAGAAACAACGGGTCGTGAGCCAGCTTTTATCTTGCAACCCCCTTCATATCAAACTCAGGATCGATCTTCAACAGATTTCTAATCAGAGCATTATTCAACAGTCTTGTTCCTTTGATCCCGACATCTAGCGGCGTGATTAGACGACTGATGTCCTCCAAATACTTCGGTGCCTAGCAGGATAGAAGGTATAGAAGGTAGAGCAGGCGAAAGTCAGTATGTGTACCTAGGTACCTATGGATCTGAATGGCAAGACTAGGACAAGAAGGGAAATGGGTCACCCCTGTCCTATATGCTGGGCAGTCTGCCAGTACTACTCTACTCGGGTTGGCCCTATGAAATGCCGCTGTCACATATAGGGGTCTCCGAAATATGTAACTTGGACATCACATCCTCCCCTAACAACATACGCTCTTCTTCCCAGACCCTTTTGAGCCATGGCATGGGCCTTACCAGCTCCATAACGTCTCTCCAGCTCTGTAACCCTGCCGCCCTCATCTCAACCACAAGTCCCACCTGTGCACCCTCTCGCTCGTCCCGCTCTGTCGTCGATATCCCCGAGATAGTCAGCAGCCACAACCGCAGCACAAGAAATTTGGGATCGTCCATCTCGGAATTCCTTAAAGCATCAGGGATAGTAATCAGATAGGACGGAAGCGCGCCCGAAAAGCTGTCAAGTTTGCGCCTGAGCAATATGATAATCGCCAGCGCCGCCAGCGCATACGCCTTTGCGAGAGGGGGGGGTAGCGGATATTAATGGAGCGCAATCAGAAAGTTCGCGGTGGGCTATCGGATCGAGAAAGAGACTTACAAATAGGCAGTCTCTCTCGATGTCGGGCATTGATGACTGAGCTTCAAGCCAAGCAGCTAACCTCTTTAGGTCATGGAATACATGCACGACACTCGACATCGCTGGTGATATACTGAGCATGAGCGCAGTAATATTGTTCATTTGACTTGAGCTTTCTAACGACAGCACCGGCAATACCGGGAGCAGATCAGCCGGCAAAGCGTAGTGAGGCGGATGGTTCTGCATCAAGGCAGTGGTGATATCAATCCTATGATGTTTTGATGAACTCGCTGGGACTATCATGGGAAGGCTAGGAAGTTCACCACGTGATCATCAACCTGGCTTGAGCCGGCAGACTACCAATACCCCCTTCCTGGCGTATTATCTCTCGGAGCCCTGCGAAATGGATTCACGCCTGGGCAAAGTCCTGACACGCATACTAGCAAACCGGTAGGCATGAAAAAACGTGTTTCCCCTGATCACCGAAATCTCATACATTATAGCATATGAACCCAATAAAAGCCGTAATAACAGGCCCCTCTAAGCTCGCCTGGGACTCATGCTGGCGATCGAAGAGTTGATGCCGCGCAGCCCGCTCTCGCACCGGCGCAGACAGATCGACATCCCCTTGCCAAAGTCGCGGGCGACAGCATCACGCATACTGGGCTAATGAGAAGATCCCCGAAGGACCGGGAGTTGGTAGGCGCAAATAAATGGGAATAAGAATTACTGCTGCCGTTGTGAGAGAGCTGCGTAGCTGCATGATGCTAAAGGGGGATTAGCATCGGCTGCGGATTTGGTGGGAGAAGGTAGATATTAGGATAGATACGAGACTGGCTTGCCATATTGCTATTGAGGAACATGGCTACAGTATACATAGCAAACCGGTCCATGCCCCAGCCGTCGTCAAGGACTTGGAGTGGGTTTTGATTCCAGAAAGGACGAGATAAACCGACTCGGCGACGGAGCGCTCTGAGGTGTGAGACTCGACCTCCAGATACTCGCCCTGTAAACCCCGCCCCGTAGAACTGCTAGGCTTTGTCAAAGATGTGATGTCAAGCCTCGACTGCATCAGTGGCGGTAGAGACGAGCGCAACTCCAGCGGAACCCGCGCATTCTTCCTCGTCTTTCGCCGCGCTTTGCCTATATCTTGCATCACGTACGTCCGGACCTCCTTTGCCGTTTTGGGGTCCTGCGTGAGGTTGACGAACAGATGCTTTGGGGATTCCATATCTACTATGGCTCAAGTACCACTTAGAGGAGGGATGATAAATCAAAGAAGAGGTGAGAGGATTGGTTGATTAAGTAATTGATTATTTCTCAGTTTTGGTCATACTTGATTACGTGACAGTGTGGTAAGCCATGCATAGTACGTGATAGGGACGTCTTTCTGGGTCTCATGTGACATGCAGGCTTCCAGTTCTTGATCCAAAAAGTGCGTACTATGTGTCCAGGGAGTTATTGGTAGTTGCCCAATAGCCTTGGAAGACTATCATATCTTATAAACACCTAGTATCACAATTTAAAGAGATGTGAGGCTATATCTACGACATACCTAGACTGTTAACGTAGAGGTTCGCTTCGGTACAGTTCAGGGGCCGTAGAGTAAGTAGCATCTACACCATCGTGTAGCCTAGCTGAATACCAAGTCCTCCAATGGCTGTGCATGATAGTACCACACACAGTCTCTAGGTATAACCCGCAATATGGCCACCTTAAGTATCGTCAGGCACACATAGGTTCCTACCTAATTTTCACTCCCATGAGACTAGCCATCCTGAAACTCATTGGCGCTTATTCATAATGATCAGGCTTGTCCGAGTTCCTGGCAATATTGGCGTGAGGACTGTCTTAACGACATGAAATGCAACTCGATAAAGGAGCTAATCCATAGACTCGATTAATTCGAGAATATTTGGGTAGTATTTGGGGGTTTCGTAATTTTCAGCTCGCGCCTAAAAATGCCCGCCTGCCTACGTACCTACATACCTACGTGTAAGGTCAGACATCTGATGCTTGGCAGGGATTGGTTGCGAGATTTTGAGAAAGGAAGAGCGCCCCCAATGGGTAACACGATTAAAAGGGGGCGATCTAGGGATATGTATATGATCAGAGCTCATCATCATAGAATAGGTGACCTGTCACCAACTTCTGGTTGACTTCATGAGCGAAGATGGAATCGATGAAGCAGATGGCACCAGTAGCAGGCCTGGAGGCCGTTGAGTACTATAGTGCTCCCGAGGTTATTCATCATAACTACCTCCGATACTCAGCCAACGAAGTACCACCGCCACCACCACCACAGGCACAGGAGAAACCACCGAGTATAGCGGGGTTAAAAAGGGGAGCATTCTGGTTGGTGATCTTTTCGACCACCGTGATTGCACTGGGACTTGGTTTGGGTATAGGGTTAGGCCTAGGCTTTCAAACCCATGCCACCCAAAATACAGGTTAGGCCACGGAAATAGGAAATCAACGATTTCATCAATGCATAGGCAGAGTGATACTAAGATCCACAGATGCCACGGCGTCGAGCACACCTACATCCCCATCCGCCAACCGAGAAACAACCACCTATGTCATAACCGTTAGCGCCAGCAGTTCCAGCAGGACAGCCTCCACCGCCCAGGCATTAGCCACGGGTACAATAGTGAGCACGGGGTGTCCCGGACGGAGCGTCGAATCCATCTACATGGCGACAATCCGCTACGAGATCTACTGCGACAGCGACATGACGGGGACGAACGTGGCCGTGCTGCCGACGGAGTCGATGGAAGAGTGCGTGACGCTGTGCGACTCGATGAACACCTGGCAGAACCGCACGGACATCGGCTCCGTCTTCAACGAGGCTGGAGAAGGTCACCAGCCAAAAGGGAATTGTTGGTGCAAGGCTGGAGGGGACGACCTTCGGGTCACGTCGAATTCGGGGAATGTGCTCGGGCGCCCGGTGGTGATATCTTAATATGGTTTTGTGAAAACAAAGCAGATGGGGAATTAGTAATTCAGGGGTTTCGTGGGTTAATTAATTTGGAGGCTTAAGGAATCAAGCATCAAGCATCAAGCATCAAGCTTGACTCTTAACTACTAGATAGGTAAATGGAGTAGGTAATTAGTAGGGTAGTTGGGCATTGAAATAAAGCTCAACAGTGAGCCTGGAAATCTGGTGGGTAGATCCCCCGTATGGATGTCAAATGTCCGATCCCTGCTCGATAGGTTCATACGAGTATCATTGACAGTCAATTGAGGACTCATTGCACAATAGAAAAAGAGAGAAGGGGGATTATTGTCTTGACTTTGTATTTTCCTGGTGAATGGCATAACAGCGCAAGACTGTAGCCCAAGCTTCCCCTGGCTATAGACTGGGCTTCTCAAAAGGGAATCAATTCCTTTGGCAGACTCTGACTGCTGAACTATGTCCATCGAAAGACAAAAGTTCCTTCGCAGGCTCTTTTTTCCATCCGTCAAAACGCCTTTTGCAAAATCATGTGTCTCAAGCAACACAAAACACCCCATTGCCTTAGTTTTATACGGGTATCAACTTAGACGTCGCACAGATATTCATCAATCCCAAGTCGTGATGATTTCATTTGTCGCGATCACCGCCAATTCTCTCGAGGGCCTCTAGCATAACGACGGAGTTACCGCGGATGACCTAAAGTGAATCTGTCAGCACATTTTTATGTATGTATCTCTGTAGTAATCATATTCGAGAGCACATACGACCATGCCGAGCCTAACTTTCTCGCCGCCATCCTTCTCTTCAACGGCGTCATCGAGGACAATGTTCAAGAATACCTGTGTTGCTGTTAGCTCATGCTTTCTGGACCGAGGCGCATTCAATTTGTAGGTTACTCACATCGTAACCACGAAGTATACCAAGAACCTTGCGGCTGCCGTTCAATTGGACAAATAGTCTCTTGTCGAGGTACTATTGGAATTCTCGTTAGTAATTAACTGGGCAAGTAGTTGAGAAATAAAGAGAATTGGGGCAAGACTTACCTTCTTCAGTTCTGGCTGTGCGGGAGCCATCTTGACAGGATGGATGAGTTGTCAGTATTGAGGTGTGTTGAAAGTTGCGAAAGGTGAAAGACAAAAGACGAAAGATGTTGATATTCTAAAAGGAAGGCCGAGCTTCACGGTTGGGCTGATAAGATAAACGCGTCTAGCTGTCTTATCGATAAATAATTTCCATAGCTGAATTGACGTAAACTAGGTACATTACTAACTACTGGTAGTAGACTAAGGCCCCGATCGGAATCCTTCTTAAACTGCCTCTTACTTAAATATCCCTACTATAAAGTGGGTTTTTGGTCATAAAAGTCATCAGCCACAACATAAAAACAACACCTTACTCAAAACAGCTAGGAAGCTATTTGCACAAATTCTGTAAGATCCCTGTAACGATTTTAAGAGCCTCTTGGCAGGTATCTTTTAAATTGGGTCAAAAACTAAACTACAACAGGTAAAGCGTCTCCATTTTTCTCAAAAATAAGGCCTTTTTTAAGAGGCGGTTGAAAGGTAGGGTCTTACGTTAAACTCGACCTTACAAAGTGGGTCAAATTTGCATTTCATTTTCAAAAATAAACACTTTTTTGCATATATAAAATCCATTTAAATAGATAAAATTCTTGAAAAAATACTCAATTATTATTTAATTTTATAGCGTTTTATTGAATATTCTTTCATTAATGTGGCTATTAAATTGAAATTTATTTGAATTTATTTGGATTATTTGAATTTGAATATTACGGACGGTAACCTCAAAGGTTCAATTCTGGCTCCAAAGGTTCAAAGGTTCATCAATTCTGAAAGAAAATCGCAGGGGATGAAAAGATACATTCTGGACCCATATATTCTTTATGCATTCGAATGTACCTCTCCACTTTCTAAGAGGCAGTTTAAGAAAGATTCCGATCGGGGCCTAATAGTTCGTACCAACCCAGCTAAAAGTCAATACCTACCGATTACTACTACTAGTAATACAATCAATTAATATTTCAAACATTGAATCTTCTTCAACATCCAACTCAGCAAATACACATATAACCCCTATCACAACGACACAGCAATATGAGTGCATTCGGAGCTAAACGAAAAGCCCGCAAAATTACCGTCCAAGACGACGAGGACGATGTGATTCCAGCTGCGTCCTTGAACCCTCCAGAAGAACCTCAAGGACCTGCGTTACAGCCATCTTTCAAGACGGCCCGAAGACCATTCAAGAGCTCCTCCCTAAGGAAGAGTGTTCATGTCGATAAGATTGGAGATGATAATACTTCTGCCAATCAACCCACACATACAAATCCCAAAATCACAACAGAAGACGACAACGAGAATGACGGCGCATCACCTTTACGAACCCGGCCACCGCTAGGAGGGAAATCAGCTGCTGCAAAGGTAAAAAAACGGGCATCGAGTTCACGTCTATCCTTCGGCGTACCTAGTGAAGAGACCGCTGCAGACGATGACGATTCTATGATCTTAGGGGATGAATTCCTTACGCCTAAGCGAGGAGCTGCGGTTGAGAACAGCGCCTACAAGAGGGGAATTTCCAAGAAACTGCCCCTGGACCGGTTACCTATGCGCTCTCTCGATACCGACGAAGACCGCCCACGCTATAGCAAGGAATATCTATCCGAATTACAACAATCCACCCCGAACACCCCCCAGGACATATCCAAGCTACGCCTAAGTGCCGACGACGACGATGACGAGATGGCCCTCGACCCATCCGAGCTTGAGGGCGCCCTCGTAGTTGAGACTACCACCGCCCGAGCCCCATCACCTTCGAAAGACACAGTTATCCTAACAGAAACGCAAATCCAAGAGAAGAAAGCCCGGCGAGCGCGTCTAGCTAAGGAAGAGGGCAGCCGAGATACCGAGGACTTCATATCCCTCTCCGACAACGACAACGCCGGGGACCCGCGCGGCCACGGTGCCTCTTACCTAACAGTGCTCTCGCAACGCCAGGACCAGCCCCACAAGTCGAAGAAAGACACTCGTCTGATAGCCGAAGACGAGGACCTCGGCGAGGGGTACGACGAGTTCGTCGAAGACGGCGGGCTCTCGCTCGGCCGCAAAGCCGAGCGCGACGCTCGACGGCGTCGACGCACCGAAATGGCGTCCCTCATCACCGCAGCCGAGGGCGCCGACCCCGAAAACAACCCCAACCAGGACGCGGGCTTCGAGTCCGACGCCTCCGAAGCTGAGCGGCGCGCCGCGTACGAGGCCGCGCAGACGCGCGCGGGCATGGACGGACTCGCCGCGGAGCGGGAGTCGCAGCGGCGGCGCCTCGAGGCCTCGCAGCACGTCGCCATACCGCGGATCACGCCCTTGCCCGACTTCAGCGTGCTCGTCGCCGAGTTCAAGGCGCGGATGCAGCGGAAGGCGGAGCAGGTGGCGAAGCTGCGGGCGCGGATCGAGGAGCTGAGGGGTGAGAGGGAGGGCATCGCTGTGAGGGAGCCTGAGGTTCAGAGGCTGCTGAATGAGGCTGGGGAGAGGTACCGGGTCTTGATGACGGGTGGTAGTGGTAGTGGAGAGACTGCGAACGGTAATGGCAATGGGGAAGAAGGAGAAGAAACGGGAACCAATACGGGCGTGGACAGCGTCGCGGCTGCAAGGTCACTGTTGGATCGAGCTAGAAATGGAGGCGGCGGCACGCCTACCGGCCAGAGAGGATTGGAGAGCTTGGGGACGACGCCTGTGAGGCAGGAGTCGCGGATGGAGTTTTGAGTTGCATACCTTAGGTATTAACACGAGATTGGGTGTTTATTACGTTAAGATACCCCCTAGAATATTATCGATCCAATGCCTCCTGTCTTATTACTAGGTACATACCTAGACATGAAGCAACACTCGAGTCACCTTAACACTTGACAATTCACATATGCCTACCTAACCTACCTAAGGTAAATAATGCAATTCTTCCAAGGTTGTAAAACAGCAAAGGAACCAAAACCGTACTTATATTCGACCGTCTACATAAGAAAACGAAATAACCGTACGAGCCTCCTTCTCCTCCCCCCCCCCCCCCTTTCTAAACAAAGGTGGAAGAAAACACAAAAAACACAACTTAATGCTAACCTGCGCGCCCATTTGATGGTTTGCTCAATCGATCGATCATGTTTGTTTGTTTGTTTCCCTCCTCCGGTTATCAGTACACGTATATGATACATTTCCTAGTATCCGCATTATTGGCCTGGCCGTATAGTGTTGTGTGGTGTTGTTGGCGGTTACAGTGTGATAGCCTCCCAAGGTGGTTTAAACCCTTTCAGCAATCTTTCTCTCTTTCCTTTCCCTTCCCTTTCTTTTCCTCTTTCTTTTGGAGGAATCATCGCGGTGGTGGCCTCGATCCTTCCTCTGTCATCCTCGCATCTGTAACTCGTACATACCTAGGTACCAATGTAATAGTAGCCGGCTTTGCCATCACACTTACTTGGACCGTGAAACGCCTGCTCCAATAACACCAGGTAGTTTCTCCTCGCCAACGCTGAACAGCAAACCGATCGCGAACGTGACAGTCGCGACGAGCGTAATGGATACGGCGGCGAATAGCCAGAAAGGTGTGCTGACGTCGCGCTTGTGGCACATGGATCCACCCCAGTGGTAGACACCGGTGTGGCCGCGGGCGTTGGTCTCGTTGGTCGCCATGCAGTGGCAGAAGAAACAAGACTTATCGGGACTCCCGATCTTGGCCCATTTGTCGACGCATTGTCCGTGTCCCGAGCAGCTGTTCGTTGCGTTGGTGCACGCGTTCAGGCTACTGAAGCAGGTCGGGAGGAGCTTTGTCTTCTTTGAGGGCGAAACGCCACCCGCAGCAAACGCGTGGAAAGGCTTGCCAGTTAGGTCGTTAGATGGGTTGAAGCTCGCATCGGCCGTCGGGATATGCGTCACTTCGGCATTGGGGGCGATGACTTTCTCGGTCTCTTTCTCATCGGATCGACGCCTAAGTTCCGATTCAGAGTCGAGCGAATTGGCATCGGCGGGTGCAAAGAATACGATGGTGGTGTCTAGTTGGAGCTCTTGGGCTAAAGTCTTGAGTGATTTCAGATTCCGTCCTAGTTCGGTAACAGCATCGGAATTCTATTCAAAGTCAGCGCGTTGTTTTCATATGCAATCTAAGACAAATAGACAATATAACAACAAACATACCTTGGTAACATCATATTCAAGATATTGTACAGGACCATTCCAGCATTTACCAGCATCAACGCCGCCAGGTTGGAGGTTGAGGAATTGTTCAAATGTACAGCTTGTCTTCTTTGCCTCAATTGGTAGGCGGCTCAGACCAGGAGCGGAAACGGCAAGAGGCACATCGGATACGGCGGTCTTGATATCATTGTAATTGTCAGGCGTAACGCCAGTGAAGGCGACGACGAGTTGGCGAGGTTCGGGCCAGCTCTCAGGGCTCCAAAGCACGGGTCGTAGGAGCTTTCCGAATCGATTAATGTAACGTAAGGATTCGTCTAAAGGAATAGAGTCGGGCAACTGGCCTAAAGGCACGGATTCCTCTGGGGTGCTGAGGCGTTGGAGGATGATGGCTTGGGCAACCTCATTCGACACGGACGAGGGAGGTTGTGATTTCGGCTTGGGACGGTTCGGAGGTCCTTCGAACTTGATAATATAGACTTCTGCTTGTTGTGATTCCTCGTTTGTGTTGGAAGCAGTGGCAATGCCAGCCAAGGCTGTTAGTAGGAAGCTTTGAAGCTTCATGATTCTCGAGCTCAGTTTTGTCCTGTTCTCGAATCGAAGCTATGTTTGGTTGTTAATTGGATAGGAAACAGCCAAGACGCATTATGCTTGGAGTTGAAGACTTGTATGCATGTATGTATTTATGGATGTATGAATTTAATGAGGGCTATGTATAAAGTGCATATGATGCATATAATGCATACCACGTGACGAAATGACGATATCCAGGATCTGATAAGTACCTAGGTAATTATTACTATCATAAGTCAAGTTCAACAGTGGGGTTAGGAATTAGGTATGTAAGAGAGAAAGAGCGTCAGGGTCTCGACTTCACTTTGGAACATCAAATGGTTTATTAAACTTCTAGAATTTGATGGTAACTCTTGAAGTCCTGTACCTAGTACCTTGTACATACTACTAGTAGTGCTTGCATCAATAGCAGTACTATCTGCGGTTACTTACATCCAAATAACTAATCGATATTAGAGGTATAAAAGGTATACAATACATAGTGCATAAACCGTTTTGTTCTTCCAACGCCTAAAAGTAAAAAGGCTGTGTTTTTCGCCTCGTCGTCTTTACACCACATGCAACAACCAGATTCAATGCTATTTATCTACATACAACTTGTACTAGATATTAACTCCTAAATCACCCGACGAACAAAAAGCCTCGAAAAGACAAGAACATGTGCATAATTCCGTCCCTAATGGTACTACAGGCATGATAGAACGACGCGACGCTACAAGATAAAGAAAATCCAATAAACCGCCTACCGAAAAAAAGAAAAATAGCATCTCCAGACCTCCGTCCCTCTCTCTTCGACGACAGCTCAGTATTCGAAAAACAAAAGTAATCCTGCTACATTTCATCCCTTCTCGGCCGCCGACTCCAGGCGCGCCTCGAATCGCTCGCTCATCATGTTGCGATCGTTGCGATTGTTGCGATCGCGACCAAACATATTATCCCTTGGCACCAAAGTCTATGGGTCAAATCCGCCACCCTCCCAAATTATTCATGTCCAGAAGGTCAAGTTTCGGAAGAGGTGGTTTAAGCCAAAGTAAGGAGGAAAATCATGATTTTGTTGGTTAACCTATCTAGTATCTTCATACTAATATCTGCTGCGCAGTAATTTTATCATAGCCGCCTGCGTCTATTACTTCTGTTTCCAAGTCTACAAGACATCCGTCGTCGATACGCTTACGCACTGGGCCGATGAACAAGTTAAGGAACTATCCGATGAGGAACGCGAAGAAATGGAGGAGGAAATACTCGAACCTTTATTCATCCCCTTCCCTTTTACCACCAGACTGGTCGAATCCGCACCCTACAGAAGCACCGATCCCGAATGGAAGGCCTTTATTACTGTCAACAAGAACCCAGCACTTGTGAAGAGTATCCAGTCCGGCCTGGCCGTACTGACCTGTAAGATAGCCAGTTCGAACTCTGCGCTTGTGCAGAAATGCGGCAATGATATGCAACTGGGTCGATGGTGGCTAGATATACATTATCCTTACAGGCCGCCACCGGTATTCATCCGAAAAGGGTATGTCATTTCTTGCTATATTTTGCTGTTAACTTCTTGATTTAACCCCTATGTATAGGCTATTGATAGACGACGATGGAATTTCCATCGCTGAGGACCCTATCGAGCCCGTTGTAGCTTTATGGATACAGAGAGCTCTCTGGCCGTCTACCTTGACGCTTTCGTTGTATAGTTTCTCGGAGGCGTTAGTAAAACAAAATGCTTCCAATTTTGCGAAGCTATTTGGCCTTGACGCAAATCCCACCCCGACCCCTCCTCTACAGCAGACTATAGAAAAGATCCACCAGCAATTCAAAAAGTCTGCGCCCAAATCCAACTCCAAAGAACATAGTGCTTTGCCATCTACAAGCACACAGGCTGCCAATGGTTCCTCGCCCGAGTCGGCCTCCCCCATTGAGAAGAGATCCACCGAATCATCACCCGCCCCTGGGTCCACGACAGCCTCTCCCGGATCAGGTGTGAGTCCTCTCCCGATTATTCCGAGCGATACCGACTCAGACAAGCCGAAAACCCTGATGGACAGTAGCGTCCTCAAGTTCACACAAGAACACACCAGTGGGCCTTGGGAAGCATTCAAGCAAAAGTTTGCACAAACGTGGCGACCTATTCGTGAATTACCCCCGCGTGGTGCGATATACGTCAGTGGTCTAGTGGAAATAACCACGGCACGTGCCTTTATCACTGTCGATGTTGCCGCGTGGTGGGACCCCCAAACAGAAAATTTCGATTTAAAAACAGCGGCTTTTCACCTAAAGTCTCTACGTATGAAGACGCAAAAGCCTCATAGGGGAAAAGCCGATGAGTGAGATCGAGATAAGACGGACCACATCCCCGGAAGTATCATCACGAACGATAACGACACAAGCATGCAAGAATTGTACTGGCGTTTAGGGTCTAGGGAGGGAAGGCGAAAGGAGGATAGGGTATAGGTACAAGACAGGAGCTCCACATGCATACATAGGCACATATGTAGCTTTGTAGGCGTTCTCGGTTAGATAACTTCACCCCCTTTTTTCTATATCAAGTTTTTTCTTCACCCATTTGCTACGGTAATGGATTCTTGGGAGCGAGCGAGTTTTGCAGAACCGACGGAGTCAGCATAAGAAAATACCACGAATGCAACCGCAACTGCTACTGCTTTTGCAAGTATTGTTGCTATTAGATACTATAGAGATGGGCATCATGGTTGGAGGCGGCGAATTGGTATCGACGGCACGGATAAGGGTCTGCTGGATATATATTAGGTACCTAGAAGCTATTGGGTATATCACCATTAGTAGGGATGAACAGAATCTGACCACACTTGGAATTACATGAATGCCTGAATTGCCGAGATACCTCCTAACCTAGGTACCTGATTTAGTACGTATTATGGAATGCATGTGATGCTCGACAGCAGTTGGGTTTCTAGCAGTTTCTTCAAGGGCGCTTTTTCCGTATCGTATGACTGCCTGAGATGCTTACAGCCTCGAGCTTGAATTCGACCTGTCAGCAGAACGGTCCTTTGAAAGTTGTTGGTCATACATGTATGTGGCAGATACATGTTGCAGAGGCCTTTCATACGTGGGTACTAGGTAGGTAAGTTCCTAAGTACCTATCAACTCTTAACTTTGAAGATATTTATCATTATGGTCATTCCATCCATGAAGGTGTGAAAATGAAAGAAAAGGGGATATGTAGTAAGAGTGAAGGGATGGGTAGGGTGGTGGGTGACGACGGCGAGGTTTGGGATGGCTGCCTGAAGTGTAGGGTTTATTGTGGGTATGTGCGTACGGTAAGTTACCTATTTAGATACATACATAGATAAACTGTGTAGTACACTTCGTCTTGGTGTCTAGGTATTGACCGTAAGATCTGGGTGCTGAGTGTCAAGTGTGTCCAGAAACCCCCTTTTCTCCCGCCCCTTTCTTCTCTCACAGCACGACTAACCTAAGGTTAGGTTAGTATGTGATATACAAACGATACCAGCGTTTGTTCCATACATCTAGGCAAGCATACAAGGCTGCAGTGGTCTTTCAAGTATGGCGGTATGTATGCCTGAGTCATGTTGATTCCACGCTGTATCGTTCAGCGGGCTTTTTCTTTTTCTTTTCGTAGTCACCCTACTTCGTTTACAACTTTATGATATCACAAAGAAAAGTAAGCACGTATGTACAAAGGCAAATATTCTGAGGGATAGTTCCCTATGTAGGTAGTTACAAATTGCAGATGCATGTTCTAATACTTCAAGCCTATGATAGTTTCGACTTGTTAGGCACCTGGGCAGATATCAAACGAACTTAATAGATTCCTAACGTCGACTTCCTGTTTTTGGTGTTAGCTTGCTGTTGGTGTTTCTGCTCTTTCTTCTTGGCCACGGCTCAAGTGCTGTCATGATGATACATGAATAAGCCATTACATAGGTGTATCCTTAGCATTTACTTTGCCTAACTACATGTTGTAACATCTCAGAAAAGACTGTCTCAAATACAGTTATGTAGCTGACCTGGCCCTATACTTTTCTTTACTCAGTGATCAAGGTTACAAAGCATGTCCAGGAAGGCTCCCCGGCATTCAGTGTAACTAACTGAAAAGCAACACAGAATACAACTTCTGTTCTTGCTTTTGCACTCGGCAATGCGCATCTACTCTGATCAAATTGGAAAGAGACAAATATGCTATTGCTATGAGTCTATTGCCTGCCGGTTAGGGAATTGTAGAAAGATGGTGTGTTCTTAATTTCCATATTGTACCTATGGTCGTCCACCCCAAAGTAGACATGCAGATGGCGTCAAAGAAACATGGGAGTCTGTATTGCCAATACACCAATACAACAGTACAGCAATACCCAACAAAACTTGATATATGATTATGTAGGATCTACTTATAACCAACTCGCAGACTCTACGACCTAGGTACCTAGGTACCTAGCATACCAATCTAGACGTGGCATTACATCCGTCCCGAAATATGTACATTGGGGGACGAGATCTTGCACAATGTCATTTCTATTTGGTGCAGACGCAACGTGTCGATTCCCCAAACGAGAAACTCGTATTACCTATCATTGGTCGGATTAGGCCAATAGGAATTATGTTGTCGATTCGGCTCGGGCAAGGCTAACAGAAAGTGCCTAACCGCTTGCTGTGCTGAAGCCTCATTATTGAAAAAGGATGGCGAGATATAGCCAGCAAGCTGCGTTGTATGGGACCTCGCAGAACATAGTGCTTCAGGGGTTTGAGCAAGCATACGGAGTTGTGTTGCATTGCATAAGGTTAACAAGAGATTCCGGCTACAAGCGTTTGTATAGGTAGCTGTTCATCGAGCTGACTCGAAGAATGGGATTATCGCCGTTTGAACTGGTCTATGTGATCCTTAGGATGCCTGCTTACCTTGCATATTAGCTCAGCATAGAACGCGGGGAAGAAATGACGGAGGGGAGAAGTGGACAAATGTGATCCTCAGAGTCAGGCAACCAAGGTGGTTTCGATGAAGACCTGAGGCTTACTAGGTAGGTTGGTACCTCAGCCATAAGTAGACTGGCACCAGTATATAAGATGACTCGCAGGTCAGTCGTATTGGTGTTTTGTTCTAGGGTTAGACGGGTTAGAAAGATCCGATATCATCGAATATCTTGTCAAAATGGGGACATCCTTCAGTATCATAGTCGTTGTTATCATCTCTCTAGTATTTTCAAGTCGCTTCAACACCTTCACACAGTGGGTTTTTCACAGACTTGGACGCAAGACTCTTCAACAACATCCCCACCTTCTGTCCGTGGAAGACCATCGTGATATTGCCGACTTTAGCATCCTTGGTAAAGACGTGGGTCTTGTAGACAAGCTAACGGCTCGGGCCGTACCGAACCACAGACTCGTCAAAGCTTTCGCCATCGCGAACTCGTTTACCACGACGGATACGACTATCCACAACGAGTTCGTCACCTCGGCTAAAGATATCATCAGCAACATGAGCCCAGAAAAAATATCTCAGGTTGCAAGAGTAGTACTCGACCGAGCCCTTGACCATCTCGAGACTGCTCAGCACTCGGTGAACCTAGCATGTCTAGCTCGAGTCTACTGTCTTGGCGTCATTCTCAACGTCCTCTTTGGCAAAGACCCCCAAACCTTTGACATCGACGACGCTGTCGTGGCGAGCGACGCTATCAACCGCCTCTGGGTAGATTCCAAAGATGTTTCGCGCCCAGTGTCACCAAAGGACCAAGCACAACTCCAAGATTCTCTGCGACGTCTGCTCCCCGATTCATACTCAGACGTACCAGAGAAGCAACCTCTCAATTTGATCATGCCAGCCTACGAAACCATGTGGCGCATCGTGTTGCAAACCTACATCTCCGCCGGGTTCCGCGCTCCGGATCAAACAACGGCGCAACACTTCCAAGAAGTCGTCCAGAGTGTTCCGCAGTGCTTCGGCAATCAGTCTATGAAGTACCAAGAGGATAAAGCTCTAGCCTTTTCCAAGGTATATGCCCCCCCGCCCCTTCTCTCACCCACCCCAAATCTTCCCCTATCACACCTTATACCTACTAGTCAGGCAAAAATACCAGCTAACCCCCTAAACTATAGGAAGCGCTACGACTGTACCCTCCCACAAAGCGGATCCACCGCGCCGTGCCCCAGGACCGAGACAGCAACCCGGACTCACCCCAGCCTTGCAACCGCGGCAGCACATACGCCACCGTCTCTGCGGACGTCGAAGCCTGCCACCGGGACCCCTCGCAATGGGGCCGCGACGCCCTGGCCTTCTGCCCCTCGCGCTTCAGCACCAGGCGCTGGCCCGACGACCCATCCCACACGCCCGCGCGCCCCCCGCGCGAGGCCTACATGCCGTTCGGCGTCGGCAAGCACATGTGTCCCGCGGGGCCCGGCACCGGGTTCGCGAACCGCGTGGTCGTCATCCTGGCGGTGACGCTCGCGAAGCGGCTGGGCACGGGGGGGTCTGGGGCCGCGGTGGTGGGGTTGGATGGGGATGTCGGGAGGCTGCTGCCGTCCGGGAGGGAGGATATGGAGGGTTGGGTGTTGGAGATGAATGTGGATGTGGAGGGGGATGACGGGGATGGGAAAAGGGGGCGGGGAAGTGGAGAAGAAAGGGGGGGTCAACTGATTTGATGTGTGCAGTAGTGTTGTCGCACAGCATGTCAACCTACGTACATAAGTAGGGACATATGTAGTTTGCGATGGAGATGAAAATGTATAGATACCTGCTTGGATTAGGTGAAATGGAAGTCTGTCTTGATTAGTTATTGTATTTTTTTGTATTTTAGCAAACAGCAGAATTATTCTAACATCTGATTATATGTAGTTCTTAACATGTCACTTCTTACCCCTGACTTCTAGGTATCTCAGGTACATATGTAGGTTTAGATGTATCTCTGGGCCGTCTTGGCACATCGATCTCGTGCAGCCGGCCGGAGTACATACGGGTACAGCTGCATGGATGAGAGCTGTATGGCTTTCCGCTAACAGTCTAGACTGTCTAGTAACACCTTATTAATCCCGGGAACAAAGGATGCCACCCCATTCCGTTCCTCAGCTCCTCCAACCATTCCTCTTGACCAGGGATCTTCCCAAGCACGTCATCGGTAGCTCTTTTTAGCTGATCGCAAGCTGAAAGCTTCCTTTAAAGTTGTTGATCTATGGAGCTACCTAAGGTTGCTTTCTTGTTAGATCTCCATGTAGTTCCATTCTAGCTTGGGTTTTTCTTCATGGGTTGTATAGAAATCCCCAATTAACCCTGGCAATAATAGCTAGAGTTTCGATATTTACCGTCACCTAGTAGTTAGGCTGGTATTATTACTACTCTAATAAGTCAGAAATCCACCTACCAGCAACCAAATCATGGCGGACGAATTGACCGAGGAGGGAACTTCCAAACCACCACAGCCCGGTGAGGATATCGCAGTTGGCATTGAAGATGTCAGCACGATACCCAAGGGCACAATTGATCCGGTGTATGAAGCAAAGGCGAGAGTTTTGAATAGAGCAGTGAGTTCGAAGTTCGATTCATTCCATCATATTACCCTATATACCTATGTATATGTCAAACGATCTAATCAAAAGACTCCAGATTCAAGATATTGGCATGGGATGGTACCAATGGCAGCTCTTCATAGTCGTGGGCTTTGGATGGGCCTCCGACAACCTCTGGCCCATCGTCACCTCCTTAATCTTCACCCCGATCCTCAATGAATTCCACCCCTCGCGCCCCCCGCTACTAAGCCTTGCCCAGAACATCGGCCTGCTTGCCGGAGCTATGTTCTGGGGATTCGGCTGCGATATCTTCGGCCGTAGATGGGCCTTCAACCTGACCCTTGGCCTAACCGCCGTATGGGGCATGATAGCGGCCTCCGCGCCCAACTTCGCTGCCATCGGAGTCTTCGCCGCCTTTTGGTCATTCGGCGTTGGCGGCAACCTTCCGGTGGACTCTGCTATTTTTCTCGAGTTTCTCCCTGGGTCCCACCAGTATCTGCTCACGATCCTCTCGATCGACTGGGCGATCGCCCAGGTCATAGCGAACCTGATTGCCTGGCCGCTGCTGGGATACAGAACGTGCCAGCAAACGGACGGTAACTGCACCCGGGCCGAGAACATGGGATGGCGGTACTTCATGGTCGCCATTGGCGGGCTAACGCTCATCATGTTCGTCCTGCGTTTCTTCTGCTTCACCATTTATGAATCACCCAAGTACCTTATGGGCAAGGGGTTAGACGGAGAAGCTGTACGCGTGGTTCACGAGGTTGCACGACGAAATAAAACGGCTTCGGCGTTGACCATTGATGATCTGAAAGCATGTGAGCCAGAAGGGTATGAAAACAGGACCACCGCAAGTGATGCGATGAAGCGCCAACTTGAGAAAATTGACCTCACTCACATCCGATCTCTGTTTGCGACGAGGAAGCTAGCTTATAGTACGGGGGCGTTGATGCTAGTGTGGGCCTTCATCGGACTTGGGTAAGCCTTTTTTTTCTTTAAAAGATGAGCATGATAATACCTGTTCTTCTAGCATTTACTGACCAATCTTTTTCGATTAGATATCCCCTCTATAATGCCTTCCTACCTTACATCCAGTCCATACGTGGCGTCGACTTTGGAGACGGCTCCACCTACATCACGTATCGCAACTCCTTGATCATCTCCGTCCTCGGCGTGCCTGGCGCCTTAATCGGCGGTATTCTTGTCGAGCTTCGCAATTTCGGCCGTAAAGGGGCACTTAGTCTGAGCACCATCCTCACGGGCGTTTTCCTGTACTGCTCTACCACCGCGACGAATTCCTCCAGCCTTCTGGGGTGGAACTGCGCCTACAGCTTGACGAGCAACGTCATGTACGCCGTCTTATACGCCTTCACGCCGGAGTTGTTCCCCACAAAAGATCGCGGCACCGGGAACGCGCTGACGGCGACCTCGAATCGGATCTTCGGTATCATGGCGCCTATCATTGCCATGTTTGCGAATCTCCAGACGGCTGCGCCAGTATACACAAGTGGTGCGTTGTTCATTGCGGCGGGACTCGTCGTGTTAACTCTACCTTTTGAGTCTAGAGGGAAGGCAAGCTTATGAGCTTTGGCTTGTGTACCTACCCTCCTATGTTATAATAATCTTTTTTTTCTGGAATTCCTGCTGGTTATATAAGCGACTGGTTAGGCTTACTGCCTAGAGGCTTTGTATACCTAATTACCTCGAGCAAAATCGATACCCCCTACCTATTTCATTATTCATATAGTTCGGTGCCTGATCAACACTCCTCTTTGTTTCACGGAATCTTTTATTCATATACTCTGGATATTCTACCACAAACATATAGATACTTAGGCAAGCCACAGCAACAACACCGACGAATTATATACAACACAACTAGACACCCATGTCCCCTCAAGCAGGCGTCTTATAATGCTGCTTAAAGTCGTAGCACATCGCGAACAAGTTCAGATACAGCTCCTTCTGCTTCTGCGGATCGTTCTCCGCGTCCTTGCACACCTGGATGACCGGGTCGCGGGCGAGCAGGGTGTCGGGGTCGCTGTCGCAGACGCGGCGGAAGTTGTCCTGGGAGATGGGGTCGATGACGGTCTTGTACTTCTCGATGCGCTTCTCGCTGTACAGGTCCAGGATCGACTCGTCGGCCTTGCCGTCGTAGATGCCCGCGAGGCAGTCGTACAGGCCGCCGACGTCGACGAAGCCGCCGGTGATCCCCATGCCGCCCCACGGGTTGCACAGGTGCGCGGCGTCGGCGGCGAGCAGGATCCGCCCGACGCGGAAGGACGGCGCGCACCGCTGGTGCATCTTGTACGGCGACATGCTCACCAGCTTGTAGTCGCCCGGCCGCGGTTTGCCCGGCAGCATCAGCTCGTACTTCCAGGGCTGTCGCTCCTGCATCTGCTCCCAGGTCAGGCCGGGGGACTCGCCGTACGTGACGCGGTACATGCCGTCTTTTGTGATTCGGGCCGCCATCTGTTTTTGATCCCGCGGGATCGATCGGTTAGCTGTTTTGCTTCTCACCAAAGCGGAAGGGGGAAGAAGAAGAAAAGAATTGAGGGTGCTGAGAGTGGGTGGTCGGTCTGGCTAGGGCTGGGACTTACGAAGAAGTTGTCGGGGTGTATGATGAAGCTAGAGTCTTTGTAGCCGAACTTGGTGAAGTCGTAGTACACCTATAGAAATCCAGGGTTAGCTTTCCAGCGTCCAAGACAGCACATCACATCTGATAACTTGGGTAGGGAGCCAAGGATATATCTCACATTCGACGCGACAATCTGCCTCTCCCACGTAAATCCCGGGAAATTATCCCCAAACAGCGACTTCCTCACCCCGCTCGTCGCGCCATCGCAGCCGATAATATAGTCACCGTAGACCTTCTTCTTCCCCTCAGGCGTCTCGACCTCGACCCACGCCTGCTTCTCATCCTGCCCGGACCCGACGACCCTATGGCGCCAGCTAATCTTGCCGTTGTACTTGGTCAAGAACTCATCGCACAAAAGCTCGACGAGCTCGTCGAGGACGAGGCAGGCCATGCGCAGGTCCTCGCCGTTCATGTCCTCGAGGACGGCGCCGTCCATGCCGGTGATGACGCTGTGGTCGTCGTGCCGCCGCCACGCCATCGACGTCGGGCTCATCCCGCGCCGCCGGATCTCGTCGATCACGCCCGCCCGCTTCAGATCGGGTATCGCGGGCGACCCGTAGATCGCGGCGCGCGGCTGCTTGTCCAGCTCGTGCGAGGCCTCGAGGATCTCGACGGGGATCCCGTGCTTGGAGAGCAGGATCGCGAGGAGCAGGCCTGAGGGCCCGGCTCCGGCGATGACGACCTGGTGGGGTGTTAGAGATGTGGCAGGCGGTTGCATCTTTGCGCTTGACTATGTTTGAGGTTTGCGAAAGGGGGAGGAGGGGGGGATCGTGGAAAGAAGTTATAGGTAAGGTATACTTTACCTTTTCGAATGGACGAGACATATTGCTTGACGAATAAATAAATAAAGGTCGCTTTTGACTCCGGGAAACAGTAAGGGTGTATACAGTGATACAGTTATACTACAAAGATATACAGAGGTGCGGTTGAGGTTGAGGTTGAGGTAAGGCGAGGTGAAGAAACGCGATGCAGCGCAAAGATAGATAAAGTACTTTCAAAAAGATCGTGTTGATGATTTATCTACCCTCGTTGCGAACCATCTATTTTTTATTTCCATTCCTTTGCTACCTACCAACCGACCGACCGACCGGCCGACCCAACTTGCCAACCTGCCAGCCCAAACACCCGAGCGCGCAATTTACAATCTCCCCGAAATCCCGACTCGCAGAGGGTATTCATACCTGCACTTGCCGAGACCATGTGCCCACTTCTTGCTAAGATCGAGCCGATGCATTGCTTTTCCCCGCAGTCTAGATGGAGAGAGTCCGTCAGTTCGCAATGTTAGTTTTACCTACCTACCTGCATTTTGGGGTAGGTACAGTAGGGCCGCCTTTTCTTGGTAGCCGGTTAGATCAGTCTTGTCGCCTCCCCCCCCTTCGCGGCTACATCCACATGCATAGCTAGCTGGTACCTAGTAAGGCACATCATCGACCAAATAGGGGTTGTGGGAATGGGGGTAACTGCCTAGGTAGGTAAGTTGGACCATCGTGCCACTCCTGCACAAGCGAGGTTCTTGAAACGCAAGCCTCAAACTTGTCGGTACAGTTGACAATGAATCCTTTGACAAAGTCCCTTGTTGCATCAATTTGCCGAGGCGCTACATGTGGCTTCGTAAATTCTTTGAAATCTTTATAAGCAGGTCCCATAGCCTATTATCGATATTATAGCCTCCCCCCCCCATGTTTATAGCATTATATAGCATTAAAAGCTCATTTCTAAATACCTCCATATATCTAGTCAGGTGCTTATAATCCCAACTAAAACTTTCAAGCGTCCCTATAATGCAATAGCTCTGAAGTTGACCGCTAAGTAGGAAGTTATACCTAATCACCAGGTCTTCAATAGGTACTACATAGTCTTATTAAGCCTAGACAAAACCTCTTAACCTCCAGTTAAACAGATAATTATTTGTAAGACACTAGTAATTGCAATATGCCCGTACTCGTTTACATCTTGTATCTACCTAGGCAGTCTCCAGCAACAGTCCTAAATGTAGTTAAATGGGTAGGCTCTTGGGATCTCAATGTAATGATTTACCGCGTAACTACCTAACTTAGGTATGTATGTATTCACACATTGATTCACATCGTGTGTTTTATGTAGGTACTCACAAACCCATTCCAGCCCATCTATCATCACTCAAACCACAAAACACAACATACATATAAAACCCGATGTATCCATCCTCTTTATATTCGATTCGAGGATAACTACCTATGTACCTAGTTCGATGCCTAAGTTGCCTATGTTCCCTCACTTGCTCAGGCAATTCAATACCCTCAATGCTTCAATGTGTCTTCAATGCTCCCAACCGTATGCTCCCGAGTGTATGTGAAAAAGTGACCAATACATAGACTCCAACGCCAACTCCAACATGTATGTATTTGAAACCCATGCATATGACATGACGAGGGGTAAATCATGGTAGGTTACCTAGAATGGCTGTCGTTTCCCAATGAGTTGAACTTGAATACTGCCCAGTCCATATTGTAGTTAAGGCTTGTCAGTTCTCTCTGGTTGTTTGAAAGTGCATTCGATTTCTAGTTCTCCCAAGATTCCCAACCTTTCAGCGTAATCCTCCAGCGCCCTTCTCGACAACAAACGCAACCCCAGCCCTAGCACGGTCGCTTCGAACACTGCTTCGCCGACTACTGCTTGGCGGGGGGGACACCACACCCACGGCTATGGGCGAAGAACAATATTGGCTGGTCGGCCCACTATCGACGGAGGCGTCATCATCATCATCATCATTAAAAACCCTCTCATCATAACCCCAGCGCGTCACTCCACCGTTCCTAATCCAACCCTCCAAGTTGCGGCACTGGCTCACGTCGGCCCAGACCAGGTTCCCGCAGCCCTCGAGGACGCTCTCGATGCCGCTAGCCTCGACACGCACGCAGCCGCGGACGCTGATGCGTTCGAGGTCGTTTAGGTGTAGGGCGATGCACGCCAGGCTATTATCGCTGACCGCGCTACCGCAGAACGCCATCTTCAGCTCGCGTAGCTGGGGTAGGCCCAGAGCCACCACTTCGGTAGCGGTGTCTGACAGCGCGCAGCAGAATGATAGGTCGAGATGGGTGAGCCATTTGGCGGCATGGACAAGCGCCACGATGGCATTGTCTGACAGGTACGTGCAGTCGGCAAGACACAGGCGTGTTAGATTAGTGAATCGGAAGGGCGCCCAGCTCTGAAAGCCGGCATCGGTGATGGATGTGCAGCGCGTAAGGGATAGAGACTCTAGTCGGTTCGATGCGTGGGCCGCCATGTGCGCCATGGAACGGTCGGTTATATGCTTGCAGTATGATAGATTAAGGCGTCTAAGCTTCGGGCAACCCACGACGGTACCAGGAGGTGGCAGGACTATGGTCTGCGTATGCGGCTTCTGCTGAGCTCTGAGACGCGCAGCGGTTGCGGCTGAGCTCGATATCACGACTTGCTTTGGGTTAGAAGGGGCACTCTCGGGGATCACCCACCCCACTACACGAGCGAGTAGGTTATCGCCGACCTTGCGACAATTGCTCCAGTCGACTTCCTCTAGACCCTTGGCATTCTCGCTCATATCTAGGATCTGGTTGGCCGAGACATCCCAAACAGACTTCATCTTCCAGATCTTAATATTTCTGCCGCAGACCCTCCATAACGCCTGAAAGCCTTCATCGGTAATGTGGAAGCAGTTGCTAATGTCTATTTCGATTGGTCGTGGTCCGAGAAATGGTGCAATTACGTTAATGAGCGCTTCGTTTGTCACCCTGCGGTTGTATAATGAAAGGTTGACGTGAGTGCATATTTTTGGTGAGGTGGTGAGAAGCTTGCGCATGTGAGAGGAGAGTAGTCTTAAACGAATGAGCTCTGCAACGTCGAGAAATTGAAATATCATCACTAGGATGTCGTCAGGGAGGAGAGGCTCCTGGGTAGGAAGTGTTCGACTGGACAGTATCTTCGTCTTCTTTTTAGGGACCTCCGAATCTGGAGAAATAGACACGACCGGAAATTTGACCGCAAGAGAGGTGTCAATCTTGCGCAAGCGTGAGCCATTGGTAGGAGATCCAGGCGATTCAGTCAGCGGGGGTGTGGGTGGAGCGAGAGAACCTCGTCGGCGGTTTCTTAGATTTTCCATATCAACACTCAGGTAGGGATCTGGATCTTTGGGTCCCATTTGGTCTGATTCGTCCATGACCGGTGAAGCGGGCTTTGAGGGTGTGGTGAATATGACCTGGGGCGTGGGGCGCGTCGTCGGCGTTGACGGCGCTGATGTATCACTTTCCACTAGATCTACGTCTGCCATCTCAACGTCCTCATCTTTTGACTTAATTCGAGTCTTGGCCGTGTCTTCAACCTGTTTTCTTATATCTGGTGAACAGCGTCTCCACAACTCCTCCAGAGCTTCGCCATTGATCATGAGACACTCGACGGCTGTGATAGATCGTACAGTAGCTGTACGTCGAAGCGAAAGACCCATGTTAACAACCTCTCCAAAATATTGTCCCTGTTTTAGACGTGGCCTTATAACAGAACGCGTGATCCTCTTTTGCGGTTGCCCTTCGGGTGGCTCATGAATCACCTCGGCCTCGCCGCGTACAATGAAGAATATCTCGTTGCCAGCTGTCCCTTGGCGGATTATGTCGGTAAAGGGCGGGTAGGTTTTAGGTTGTGCGCTCATGCCGAGAAAATGCAGAATATCGGGTGGTAGTGTTGAAAACAGGGGAAGCTCTCTAAGCGTTTGTCTCACGTGAACAAGACCACTTCCCAGGGCGCTGCCTACGGCCGGATCTTCGACCGAGCCTGGGCTCGGCGATTTCCTCTTCTTGGTGTTTACTGTGGACCTTTCTTTGATAACACCAATTTCCCCCGTCGATACTTCACCAGGAACAACTTCTCGTGCTGCTGCCAACCCATGTTTGGAAATTTTGAGACTTTGCCCGCTCTCCCGACGCTTCTGGTTGAGAATATTGAGACGTTCATGGGCTTCCTCTCGAATCGCCTTCTCCATATCCGGGAACTTGGGTAACTCCAATTGGAGGTCCTCTTTCTTGAGCACGAGCAGGAGACATTTCGTGCGCGCAACAATGGTGGCAGTTCGGGGCATGTCCATGAGAACCCCGATCTCACCAAAGAAGGCACCCGGCTTAAGCTCAGCATATACAGCCTCGCCGTCCCTTGAGGTTACACCAACGACCCCCCGAACAAGCCAGTACATAGCCTTTGCTTCATCGCCTTCGGTTAAGATATGGTCGTGGGCGGAGTGTACCTGTGGTCTTAAATGCTTGCCTATAGCTACCAAGAATTCCTCGGGGGCTGACATGAAGAGCGGGAAAGATCTCATGCGATCGAGTAGATCAAGCGGCATATCAGGGATAGTGGAAGCGGCTAGTGGGGATGGGCGTATCGGGCGGGTCGGATTTGTCTCGCTATTAAATGACCTAATCAAGGACACGGAATCGGCAGGCAGGCCATTAGCCGGATGGTGAGCCAACGCCCTATAGGACGAAGGCGGAGAGTGGGAGGCCCTATTCCTCCTCATGGCTAACGACGAGCCTTCGGCTTGAAGGGCTTAATATGTGTAAATTACGGTATTGCCAGCCCTAGATTATGAGCGATATCAATCCTTCCCTCTTTGAAAGCAGGTATTGGCCTGGGGTTTGCCTTGGTCTCGCTAAGTGAGGGGATAACGGAAGTCTGTCACTTTAGGCAAGGAACAGTTCATGCTATAGCTAGCCGCGACAACAGCGCCAGAGACGGGGTTTCTGGTTTAGGGGTCTTCCAATGTCTCTATCAAGGATTCTTTATGATTGCCCCCCCCTAGTTTATCATTTGGGGTGCGACGATCTTGGTTGAAAGCAGAGCGGAAACACAGGAGCTAGAGAGTATATGTCGGTACTGGGTCTAGGGAGGTCGAGCTATTGACGCTAGAGGCAGCACTGCGTCATTGCCAGGACTGAAACTGAAACTTATTCGACTCGTGCTCTAGAAATTTCGGGGAAGCTGTCACTCAAATGAGCGAAGACACATGGCGGGGAAGGCTACCGCGTGCTTTGGGAATAGTCGCGATTTGTCGAGAGGCCGTTACCGGGGTCGTTCGAGGCTGAATATTCCAACTACAAGTGAAAGCTGGTTAGCTTGGTGTGCATTTTCTCCTTATTGCAATATTGCAACTTAATGAGCAATCGCATAGCCAATAAAGAACTTACAATTAGTCGCACAGTTACCAAGTAGGAAATTGATTGGTGATTCAATTATCTCCGAGACAAGAAAGCAGAAAGGAGAGGGAGGAAGGAAAAAAAGAAGAAAGGACCCCGCGGAAAGAGACAAGTTTCGTAAGGATTCAAATTAGTTAGTATGCTGCGCATCGACATGGAGACAAAGTGTGGGCGTGAACATTCAAGAAGAAAGCCACTCCCAACTTCCAACTTCCACTTTCTTTCCTCTTCCTCGTCCACTTTCACTTTCACCTTTCACCTTTCACCTTTCACTTTTATTTGTCACTTTCCAAACGTCTACTTCTTCTATCTCGAATTCGAATTCGTACCGAAAGTAATAAGGCAAAAGATGGACAGGCAGTGTGCATACGTACCTGGGTAATAAGGAATCTTGTAAAGTAAGATATGGCACAACCTAGGTACCTATCGGTAAGGTACAGTCAGAAAGGTATGTACAATACAGTAAGAGTAGAATAATACCTTATGTACAAGGCTAGGAGGCTAGGAGGAGGTTCGGGATATGAATCTTCTACGTCCTTTCAGGGGTGACGCTGACTAGGACTACAAACAACAACAATGGCGATGACAAACACTCAAGGCAGTATAAAAAGGCCAATGCAAATCAGGCTGTCAGGATCATGACAAAACTAAGCACTACTATGCATGCATGGCAGAATGTAGTAGTATATATAGAAAGAAGGTCTAAAATAAATTGTGATGTGCATGTATAAGTAAGATATGTACGATGTTGGTGATAATGTAGGTATGTAGGTATGAGACGTCAGTTTTCTTTGTTAATGTATATGTATGAGGTAAGTTAGGTACCTAGCAGCCCTAGGCCCCTAGCAGCTAAATATGCAATGTGATTGTTGCGCGTGCAGATGCAGAAAACATTATGCAGAAAACCGCAATAGTTGTGAAAAATGCGGAGAGAAAGCAAGCAACAGAAAGGATGCGCTGGGCTATGCTGTGTTGTGCTGTGCCGTGCTGTATGTACATGTATGCGCTTACATAAGGCCCAAGGAGTAAAAAAAAGTTGAAAAAATGTAACTAGTTACATAGTACTTACACATGTATGATGGGAGCTGATGCAGATCTAGAATTTGGGTTCTTCTTCACCTGCCAAATGCTTCATCTCCGTCAGTGCCTGCTTCTTTTGTTTTAGTTACTGTACCTAGGTTAGGTATCTAACATGCTTAGTAAGAGCTTGAGGATCTGAGCACGGACCATATTGCGGCACCGAATCTTTTGCTCTCACATGGCAGTCTCTATTTTTATTCATCGAGCTATGAGCTATCCTAGGTACGTACTGTAGCCTGTAGGTACATATGAACATGTCATGTGGCACCCCTTATTCTATACAAACATTAAGCTTCTCGCATAGTAACTATACCCTAGGTAGGTACGAACATCATAGGGCAGAGGGGATTGAATCCATGTATCACGTGGCCCCCCATAAGCTACTACCTACATATGTATATTCAGCTTCGAGATTCGAAACATAAAGCATCCATGGATATAGCATATACATGACAAGACACCTAGGTATGAAACGGAAGCGACAGCAAGCAATCATCAGTGTTCTTTGAACTTCTTTCGAGTAGGTAGGTTACTTACGTTAGACGCCAATCACAACTACACACGATATAAAGACGAGGGAATTTTGTTTGGTTATTGGCGTGCTACTTGTTATTTGAACGATACGCACTCTCGCCAGATGTATTAGAAACTGCCTACTGCCCACGAAAGATAAAGGCTGCTTTGCTGCTGTCCACTCACAGCATAACATAACTCCTAATAGTCACCACTCATTTCAGTCCACCAACAGATTTCCCACTACCGTCATTAATCCAGCAAGAGCCAAAGGATTTTGCTGCATCACGGCCCACAGTTTCCCCCCCATTTCCTGCTCTCCATACAGCCCTTCCCGACGATGTTTCCGACGTGTCGTTTCGCTCCCACAGCATAGGAGTCATGATTCTTGGGCTGAGTAGATGGGTTTAACGGTTGTTTCCTGTGGTGGATAAAAGTCAGCAACGAAGAATGAAATCAAAAAAAGGGGGTTTCCTTGGAAGAGACTAACCTGCAGATAGCGGAATTTAACAGTTCTTGCAGACGGGGATGCCCTTATCGTACTGGCAGGACTGGTTCTCGCCACAGTGGTTCGTGATCGACCAGCTGTTGAGGTCCCGGCCGCACGCGGCAATCTTGTCGCCATCCAAGCACGAAAACGAGCCAGCCTTGCACGGCCACGGCTTCACTTCCTCGGAGCCAGGGCAGGCCGCGGAGACGAGCGCCGCAAAGGCGGTCATGACGATGGCGGAGACACGCATGGTGAAAGGACTGGTGGGGGGGTGGTTTGGCTTGAGGTGGGAGAGGCAGGTGCTGTGTGTGGGAATTGGGACTTGGGAAAATCTGCGGTGCTGGTGTGAACGCATCTTCAAAATTGGCGGCAGACGCTGCGCTTTTATAGCTGATCGCCCACTCCTGACGATTCCCATCCAAAGTACATAGGGACACAGGAGTTATTCGCCTCTATCACTGTGGTTCAGTAAATTGCCCGCTAGGATGGTTACAACAGTATCCGTCTTCGTTGAGGCTCTCGAAGCCATGTCGGGCCAATCAGATTCAAGGATGTCCGGAGCAGGGCCCTGGTAGTGTAGCTGAAAGGCGGGAGCCCGTTAGGAGGAGAGTGTGTTAGTGGCATTATCGTATCATAGCGGTGAGTACATATCTTACCCCTTACCACAGAACCACGGTTCGTATGAAAGACAATGTTCAGCTGCCAGTCAACATACGGTCTTAAAAAGTCAAGGTCCCCATGACTAATGGCCCATTCGATTGCTCAATAGGCTTCCATTTTTTTTCTCATATCATCAGATTCTAATCCCCATTGTATTCGCGTTGTCATGCATCTGAAAATATCTCTATGATGTGCTTCTATACTCTTGCGTGATCTTTGAGATATATGTTGTTATCTGCTTATAGTCTTCTTAGATAGTAGTTATACCTAGCTCATATCGAATTCTACACTGAACCTCCCAAAACCCATGTGTAACTACTGTACTACCGGTATTTAGAAACTACGCCGCGGGGCGGGAATGGTAAGTGATCCAGTTAGTTAGCGGCACTTCACCAATTATCCAGGGGTATTAAATCTTAAAGTATTGTCCAAATAGTCTTGGCAAACAGGGCAAGGGCTAAAGGTAAAATTAATCCTAGAAGAGCTCCCAAAGTGTTTCCCGGAGGCAAAAAATTAACAGCTAAACTGCCAGCTGATGCTGAGTTAGGGTACCAGTTTATATAAAAGATGGGAAAGCTGAATGCTGGTCTCTTGTAGCTTCCAGGCAGTTTTCCTAGTAATAGTACCTCCAGGGTCGTTTTCTTAATTAATATAGACATTAGATGTGGCTTGTGCACGATGGGACTGCCCGAGTCTGATTTCAGAATGGTACACTAGCCTTTACTAACCTGGTGGAGGTGTCAGCTTGAGATGAAAGATGATGGGGAGTGTCTGCTTGGCATTCGGTTTCTACACCAAGTACTAAAAATGTCCATAGTCACATACGGGTTACATGTCTCCTCAACCCCCTTCAAGTCTCTACTATCTTCCAATCAAGCATAAGTGTTCCCCTGAAATTATCTAAATAGCAATGACCCTATAGTGTCGACTTCAGACATGTCATAAGGCTCCTCTTTCTAAAAGAAGAAATAGGAATACTTGGGGTTGACGTGTCTAACAAGTTGTCCACTCCGGCATCTACACGGTCCCTGTAGATGTGGCGATGGTTCGGGGTTGTGTTGTCTTATGGAGAAGGGGGCAACACCGGAAAAGGGGTCCCCGACCACAGGAATCAAGCAGCTAGCTACCGAGTAGCTAGGAACATTAGAATACATTACTAACGGAAACTGCAAACCTCATATCTGCCCAATGAAGGAAGTACGTCGAATAGGATCTTCAAGATCCAGTACATATCTGTCTGGAGATACCTAGGTATGTATGTACGTATGTCAATAGGCGTCCGAGATATAAGATAGATATCTGAGATTATTGGGTGCCCCTGAATTGTGGCAACTAACTATAACGAGGTGTATATCATAAAAGGGGAGCAGATCATCAATGATCTATACAGGGACCAGTGTCGATCCAGGAGTTTATATTCGCCAGCGTCCCTGCATCCGAAGGGCAGATATATTCCCTTCCATTTATAGCAACTAGCTACATCAGTAACCTAGGTCTAGGGCTTCTGCGAGATGTCCTCTCTTTACTGCTTCGTCGGCATCTCGGCAGGGTCATACAGGCGTACAGGATAGCCGATATTAGAGGCTCCGTGCTCGAGACTTTCAACATTGGTAGGATCTCTACCAACTTCCTTCACCCCAAGCACCATAGATACGTGCCAAATAAGTGCTTAAGTAGGCGGTATAGGTTATGCATGACGTGCCACTTTTCCCATGATATGGGCTTTACCTCGACATGGCATATTCTACGCCGGAATTGTCCTTGTAGGAGATCGCTCCGAATATGAATTAGGTAGATGGCGAAATGAATTCACCATTTAACTATTCAACCTTTATCAGCCAGAAAGTACTCGTTCAATTATGTTAGGGAAACTTGACATCGCGAACTCGGAGGCTTTGCAAATATCACTCTCAACTATTATACAGTGGGGGCGATTCACCGGGAAAGGAGATCAGCTAATCTACCTCTTCTAGTCCTTGGATAAGACTAGGAGCTCTCTGGGCGACCGCCATACATCTACGGTATGCCCAGGCGACGAAATCTGAAAGTATAGACCACATGTGTAATGACCATATGTAGAGGCTGGGGGATTCGATGCATATCTGTCGTTTCCAAGCAATCGCCCTAGCACCATAGGGCAATGTTAAGATTCCGCAAGGCTGCATCCCATAAAATGTGAAATATCGTTTACCGGCGAAGCAAAACCAAACTTCGGTCATGTAACGCGGCGCATCGTGGTCAACATTTGGACTCGTCAATCGAATCACGCAAGGAAAGTCGATGTTCAACAAGTATCGCATACGATACTCCCATGGCTCGACGTACCACCCCATGCCGTGTCTCTTCACTTGTTCCTTATAGCTTTTTTCGTGATACTCCTGGTGGGATTTGTCAAACCAATGTTCATAAAGACCGACGTTGTATTGCAAAAGTGGAAACTTGGGGCTAGATTGTTGGAGGGTGGTATGGGCAAGAGTCCTGGGTCTTACCAGGCTTCCTCTCCGACTTTGTTCCTGGTAGTCTCTTCTTCTCCATTGTTCGAAATATCCATCATTCCAGTCACCGAGTGGGGAGAAGACTTCACTACTCGTGTCACTGGGCTCATAGCCAGGCAAGAATGAATGCTCTAGAGCTGGCTGGTGCGATATCTTCAGTTTTGTAAGACCAAGAGGACCCGGCTCTAGTGACATGAAGTGACTGCCTGACAGTTGTCGATATTGGCTAGTCACAAATTCCAGGTTTGACTTGTTCGGCTTTTCAGTATTTTCGTGGAGCTTCACTGTAAGCCAGCATTTCCAGCAAAGCTTGCTGCACTTTTCAAGGCAGTCTTCGCATGGAACATCGCTGACCATATGAGTGCAGAATGAACAAGCACATGGAGTGTCCGATGAAGGAAAGGCGTCACCAGATAATATATCAAAGTATAAGTCATCCATGTTGGAAAAGATGCCGAGGATTAAGATGGAGTGCTAGAGAGGTGAGGACAGTAGAGTAGAGTAGAGGAGGTGGAACAAGGCCGCTGGGGAGATTTGGGCATTGTGAAAGCAGGTTAGTTTGTGTTACCTTCATGTTTTGCGAAATCCAATCAACAGTTTCATACACCTGTTGGTCAGTTCAACTGTACCGTAGACCTACTTAGACTTTGTGTTGTGTCTAAGTTACCAGACTGTGTAGTGAGGAATAACCTCATTTCACTGCAAGTTGGTGAGATGGAAAGGTTCGAATTATGTATGTACCAACGTTTTTGAATGTTTAAATGTTCGAAGTTGTTGGTAACTATCTCGGGAGCGCTAAATTAAGCTGTACTCCACAGTGATCCACATGTGCATTCTAGTAGTACTAGGTACCTAGTAGTTATGTAGTTATACCGAGGTACCTTGTACACACTCTCGTATCTTTTATTCCGGAGTTTACAGCTGCTGTGGCGGGGTTAGGAAAGTGCAGAAACTGGTCGGTTCTTTCCAGTTCATTCTCCCGCCCTCTGCTCCACCTGTCTTTTTTTTTATCCAGTCACCAGTCACAGTGGGCGATTACATCAGCCTTTTTTCTCGGAACAATATCAAATCAGCGTCATTGTCCCGCATTCTTTCTCTCAACCACAACTTCTATACTTTTATCCACCTTCACCATTCTTTTCGTTTGTCTTCAGTCTTCAACCTTCAACCTTCAACCTTCAACCTCATTCCTAACGGTTGAACGCAAAAATGTCGTTTACTATCATGGTCCGCCAGGGCCCTATGCGCCTGGCATCTAAAATACCAGCTTTCACAAAGTCCTCTCTCCGAACCGCAGCTCCCGCCCGAGCGTTCCATCGATCCACTAAGCCGGCATCCAACTTCTTCAACTCACGAACAATTGTCGCATCAACGCTATTGCGCACCATACCGAAGAACACCTTCGCACAATCGTCGAGACAATACATGCAACAGTCCACTGCACCCCCTGTGGACTCGAGTTCGTTGATCCGTCGACTCCTCACTGGTGGTGCAATTTTTGGTGGCACTCTCATCGCCATTAATGTTGTCTTCAACCGTGAGACCCGTGAGGATGGCGGCATGCCGCTGTTTGAGCGAGCTTACCTCAACTCAACCTTCCTACACACTGGTCTTGGAATCGGCATCATCGGTCTCACTGCGCGACAAATGATTCAGAGTGGTTTCGTCTATAGATTGATGGTGACAAGCCCATGGGCCGTGGCTATTGGTGGTTTAGCTCTTAGTTTCGGTACCATGATTGGAACCCGATCCATCGACCCCGATAAGTGAGTAGTCATTATTATATCCTTACCGTTACTGGATAAAAGTCAGCTAACATGGACTAGCTATGTTCCGAAATACGCTCTCTGGACTGCCTTCAACGCCACTCAAGCCGCCTTCGTAGCGCCCTTACTTGCTTTCGCTCCCGGTGCTCTGATCGCGCGTGCTGGTCTGTACACGGTGGCGATGATGGGAGCCATCTCCTTTGTTGGTGCGACAGCCAAGCAGGAGAAGTATATGTATATCGGTGGTCCTCTTCTAGCTGGTGCTGCCATCGTGGCTGTTTCGGGCCTCGCACCGCTTGTGATTCCAGCAACCGCTGTTCGAACTCTAGCCATGACGGAAAGCCTTTGGCTGTACGGTGGACTGGCCGTCTTCGGTGGCTTCACCCTCTACGATGTGCAGAAGATTCTCCACCACTCGCGCCTAGCTGAACAAGGCATTATCAAGAAGGACCCGGTAAATGAGAGCATCTCGCTCGAGCTGGATTTCTTGAACATCTTCATCAGGATGGTTCAAATCCTGATGATGCAGCAAAACCGCAGGAAGTAGAGTGGTGGGTGGGATATAATATTAGGAAGGTGTCAAGGGTGGATGGTATGGGTGTGACTCATGATAAAGCAAGTCTTTCGGAACTGGACTCGAAACAAGAGATTAAGCAGCATCTGGCTTAATGAACGTATCATAGGCAGAATGGAAACTCTTCTCTCTACACACAGACAGGGTTAGGATTGTTTAATGTTGTACCTACTATTGTATTAACAAAAGAAAATAAAATAAAAACTTCACAACTTTTCAAAATTATATCCTGAGGCACAGTTGTATAGATGAGTGGTAATATGTTGGTCGATTACTGATCGCTGGTGTGATATACGATATATTTAGGAGTAGGCGTAACTATATACATACCTTGCTTGTTCGAGTTGATGTTATGTATCTGTATGCTTACCCTAGGTAAGCTCGCCTCAGGTGGCTGAGACGTTAGTCAATTTCCAAGAACTGCACCCGTGACATGTAGAGTACATACTAGGTAGTACATAAGTAAGAACATTGGAATAACATCGATGTGTTGAGCTGATCTAATTGGTAAGGCGTTGTTCGAGTGACTCAACAGGTCGTTGTAGTGTACCTGCCCACATGCAGTTATCCATATTACAGTTGGAATTATCAGGTTAGATGTACCTAGACATGCGCTAATAAGCCTGCCCCTAGGCCTAGATTTACAGCAGGCAGCAGGCGCACTTGTAGCAACATTGAACCTTAGAAACCTTGCATGCTGCGGTCGATCCATCGACTGACCTGGAGTCTCCAACTTCAACCCTTTCTTTAAAAATATTATGGATCAATGTACATACATACATGTAGTATATATCCTGCCTGACTTCTTCGGTGTACGTTGGTCGAACCACTGTACTTTGGGATTCAACGTTATTAAACGTTGTTTCTGATTTGTTTACCTTCTCATTTGCATCATCAATTTCATTTTCATTTTCATTTTCATCATCATCATCATCATCATCGTCGTCGTCGTCATTAGTACCCGGTCGGTCCGTATAACTCACCACATTTATGCTACTTACCTATGTACCTAAGGTGCCTACCTACCTACCTACTTAGCTCAGACTCTCAGTAGCCTATTATCTACATGGTACAATACTCAGTAGGTAGCCTACTCAGTACATAGGTAGTTAAACCTACCGCCATCTTCAAGATACTTGAAGCCTCTCTTCCCATCTACCTACCCAGTAAGTAATATTAAATGCCCTTATCCATAGGTATCTTCTCCATCTTACGTAAATCATGATGTTATGTTACTCTTGTACCCCTCCTGCAAAGCATCCAATACATAGGTACCTACCTACACGGTATTCATCCAACACTATTATTTATACATATTTACTAAGCATACTACAGGTAGTTCAAATATCTTCACTACTACCTTACGTTTATCAACTTGCATTCGACAAGGAGGGTTCCGAGAATACCCAATTCGTTGGAACCCTCTTTCACGCCAGCCATGGCGAAGCATTTGTCTTCATTCAATGGAAGACAGATGTTGAAGTAAGTGAATTTCATACCATGTATTTAGTAATATTGGCTAACCTACTTAAAAGAAATGCTCGTTCTAAACTTGGGGGGTTGCCTAGCAAGCGATTGAAGGGTCTCATCAAAAAGTTTTCCATTAGATCGCATAAATATCGTCATGATGAAGGGGGAAGTTCCACCGATCCAGCTGATAATGACGATCAGTCATCACTCGGAATCCCTCCCACCCCGGCTCCCACCCCGGCTGACCTGTTGATTCCAAGCAATAGCAATGAAAATGTTTCAAGGCTTGTACGTAAGGCTGGTAGGGTGAGCTCGACGGGATATCAACCTAAGCAGGGAGGTGCTGGCTTACTATCTCTTCCCCAGGAGTTATTCGACCATATCACTAGTTACTTAGGTTACGCCCATATTGGCGTTCTAGCGCTTGTCAACAAGGAGCTCATGGCTCGTTTCCTGCGATCGTGTGAGAGGCTCGATCCCCTAGACACCGAGGAGCAATCGCCCTACAAGCTGTTAGGTAGATTCATCAAGAGAGCACCGATCCCTAGGGCCAAAGTGCGTGGCACCCTCCTCAGCCTCGTGGACTACGATATGGAGGACATTGTCTATTGTTATAAATGCAAGAAGCTACACGACCCCTTTTTGGCTTTCAGAGACCGCGCCTACGCCCCACATAAGGCTGCTAGATGTAGCGATTGGTCTATGGATCATCACATGCCTTCGCGGGCGACTAGAAAGTTGCTGCGCACTATCACTAAACGCCGACTTCACGGCGCCGAGTACAGATACCTGATGCAACAGGTCAACAACACCGCCACGTTCTACCAGAAGGGAATCTTGGTACAAATTTCATTGCGAATGCGATATCGCAACGATGATATGATTCTCAGACGCCAGCAAATCATATCTTCGACCATTAAGTCATCACTCGCCATGTGGCTATTCAGTCAACAAGTTTTGGACCCGCAACCGGCTAGCAGCTCGTTCCTAACACTACCAAAGGTTTACCCGGCATGCTATCACAAGTCCTGGGGTACGGTATACTCCTCTCTAATCCACCAACTGATCAACCCCCATTGCACACAAGATCATGGCGACGAAGAAATTCCACAGCACTCACCAGAGTGTTTCGGAAGTTTCAAAGGAGACAACAACTTCGACGCATCGAAGCAGGAAGGCCACATGATACACGAGAGGCTGAAGTGGCAATCTTCTCCAACTCCGCGGAACCCAATGGACGTGCCGGCGCCACTAGGGGACGTTCTAAGCTGTAGCAACTGCACTACGGATTTTAGCCTGGATGTGGTGGCCCTACCAGAACCCTTCGGCTGGGGCTTCGTTCTTACGACGTGGATAGACTTGGGTAGACTTGACTTCTGCAGTAAGTGGGATAGTCATCGAGACGGGCGGCCGTTGAGGCATTACCTGCGGAAGCACGTGCATGGGGATATATGTACGCGGTTCGAAGACTTGTCAACCCGGCTCGACCACCAGCCACGGATCAGCGAGATTAATCTCGACAGGATGCACCCCGTAGAGTGGGCCGAGCGTGCAGCGAGGGGCCAGGGATTGTACAGTGGGTGGAGTTCGGCGCACAGCTGCAACCCCGCGACAGGTTGGATAGAGGATCCAGATCCGCTGGAAGAGGCGGACTATTAATGACAACATAACTGTTGTTTAAGAGAGGTAGGCGTTATTTCTTACGAAGCATGGCCGAGGAGTTCTGACATCCCATTATTTTCAATTTTGCGCATCACTTGGAAGGATATTCAGAGTTTTTGTCATGCGTTTATGCATCAGCAGGCGTCCGGCATCGCGGAGAATGGGTTGACCTTCAAAAAAATATATTCACAACAGCCAGGAGTTAGGATAGACGGTACCTTACCTAGGCACCGAACGATCGAACGAATAAGCAAGCGGATAAAGGTTTCTACTTTGGCCATAATTAGCATGACGGTCACGAGATCGATATATTTTTCATTAGCGAGCTTGAATTATGACCACTCCAATGTTATCCCAGGGAGAGATTTTGTTCTGTTTTTCTTTTTTTAAAAGAGAAAATTGGCCAGGTTTGTTTTGGAAATTTCTCGAGTTGCTCTACTTGTTATGAATCAAGCAGTGTATGCGTAGTTGCTACCTAAACGGTACCTAGATTACTTTGGTTGCAGGACAGATATCGAGCAAAAGTCGTGAGGATGGCTGGCCCTACCTAGCCCCGGACCCCTGATTTCCAGACAGAAGGTTCTGTAACTAGTCGTTGCAATGACTGCCGAGTCCTCGTGGCGTGATATAACCTAGGTATACATGTACGCTGCGAGACATCACACTAGCTCATCCTCTCCACAAGTGCTAGCAAGCGTATATAGGGTAGCAGCCACCTTTTGAATGCCAAATCAATCCACCCATCCATCACTGCAAAGGCGGAAACTTCCTCAGGAAATGCGTAGGACACTCGTAGCCACTCGGGTTATGGTGCAGATACTGCTGGTGATACTCCTCAGCGTCCCACCATCGCCCCGCATTCACGATCTCGGTGACAATGCCTCCGTTGTACCACTGCTCGGAGGCGCGCTTGGTGACGTCGCGCGCGACGCGCTCCTGCTCGGCGTCGTGCACGTAGATGGCGCTCCGGTACTGGGGGCCCACGTCCGGCCCCTGCCGGTTCGCGGTCGTCGGGTCGTGCAGCTGGTAGAAGAACTCGAGGATTTGCTGGTAGGTGAGGCGCTGGGGGTCGAAGTGCAGCTGTACGCTTTCGGCGTCTTTTGGGGGCTTTTGTTAGTTAAGGGTACCTAGGTAGGGTATGGGCTGGGGGTGTGAGGGGGGAGGGGAGGGACACACGTCCGGTTTGCCCTGTACACACAGCTCGGTACGAGGGGCTGTTCACGTCGCCGCCAGTGTACCCCACGCGCGCGTCGTACAGCCCTTTGTTGCCGAAGTGCTTGCGGTACAGGTGCTCGACGCCCCAGAAGCAGCCGGCGGCAAGGGTGGCTTTCTGGGCGCCTTCGGGGATGGCGGTTGCGGCGCTGTTGCCGCCGGAGGTGTCGGGGGATATGCCGAGGCGGGTGGCGGATGTGAAGGGGCGGAAGAGGCGCGACGCGAAGGTCGGCATGGTGAAGGCCATGGCTGCGATGGCGATTACGAGGGCGAGGAGGGCGGTGGCGAGGATTTGCTTCGGGGTGGTGGTTGGTGTGGTCATGAAATATATACACTACCTGGTAGGTTAGGTTGATTTGCCTAGTAGTAAGTAGGTGGAGTTTTTGCGATATGTATAAAAAGACTGGAGATGGAGAAAGATTAGGTAGATGATATAACTATTGATCACGGGTAGATCTCTGCTAGGCTATAGATAAGTGGGAAGATTTTAGCTTTTAAACTTGGAATGAAGCTGGCCGCATTTGGATTAACGGTTAATTGATTCCTAATGAGGGGAATGTAGTAATTATTCCAAAGAGATGTTAAATAAGCTTGTGTACTACTAGTAGTAGGTGACGTCTGGAGGGGAAGAGAATGACAAATCTATCCAACGCCACTTACCTGACGAATGATGTTATACAATTCAGAGGTACATGTACATAATTACATAGTACTAGGTACAGGGATAGGAACTGTTCTGTTGCCGGTATGTGGTCCGTGCCATCCCAAGCTATGTGTTCTGGAAGCTATTAATTTAGATTCCAAATGCCGCATACACGCATGCACGAGTCCATGCAGTTAACCGCTCTATTAATTATCATGTATCTCGAAAGATTCAGCCCTATCGATATTAAGAATTTCTATATTAATCACGTTGTTGCTTGTGTCTCATCTCATACCTAGTTGAGACCACCCTTCTCATTCCAGACCGCCGGTCGTTGCGACTAATTAGTCCAAGTTAGCTGTTACGCTGAGGCTCGCGTTCGGTGCGAATACGGTTCGCCGCTTAAAGCTTCCGCAAAACTCGAGCTTCCTTGAAACAGCTGACAGTGAAAGCCCCTTAGATGATATAAGATCGATGATCGATGATCGATATACTCAAACGTAGCAGCATAAGTGAGGCATTTTCGAACATGTCATTCATTTTACATGTTACCTCAAGTGTAAGGAGCCTCAAAGCTTGGGTACTCGTCTGGGCAAAAATGCCAGGTAGGTCAGGACCAAGAGTCCCAAGTAGGTAAGCCGGCTTTCAAGGAACATAACTCAACATTTTCACGATCCTAAACATCACTCATCGTCAACGACGTCATTTACCATCCGGTTCTATCATGCATCCTGCCATACCGTAACGGTACCGCCACGATGGGCCAAGCTGAGAGAGCTTTGGAAAAAAAATCGACTTGGATCGCTTTCGATCAGCCATGGCAAGCCATGACAGGGGGGTCTTGGCACGTTGCAGAACCCTGCGAAGATCTTCCCATGCAAGCCGTGCGCTGGGCACACTCTGGACGAGTTGAGGCATGTGCAGACGAGAATGCGGCACGTCCAGAACGATGGTTCGGGTCCATGTTGCAGACGACGTTTCAGGTCAAGGGAAATATCAAGCGATGAGCTACATTTACCTGCATTTGTACCTGCATTGTTCTATCGTGAAATTCGTGAGGCCTCGCGAATGACATGACGTCGTTCTCCAGATCACGATCTGATAAATTTCACCACGATCTCTAGGGGCGATCCATATGAGTTTCCCCAGGGGCACTACCTATCAGATTTTGACCGCATTTGGGCAGCTTCGAGAATTTATTACTTACCTACCTACCTAACCTTTAGTTTACCTTCTTTCCTCTACTTGTGGTTCCTGTTACCGACGCGTCCAACCGCGTCCCAAAAACATTTACCTACCTTCCTCGCCGCCGATCACCTTACCTTTGATCGTCCCATCTTCTCCTCCTCCTATATTACTTCCGCTATCCTATATCACGACCCATCCATCCAACCAAAAACTAAAATAAGATAAACTAAACTAAAAACCTATCATCACCAACCAACCGCCAAAATGCTCACCAACCGCCGCACCACGTTAATGATCCCCTCGCCCAACAGCAACGCCAACAACGGCCGCCCCGCCTCCTACGGCGCCCCCGTCCCCAACAACCTCAGCAGCCTGCGCCCCTCCGACGAGCCCCACAGCGCCGCGCCCGCCATCCTCACCTCCACCACCCCCTCCCTCCCCGGCTACCGCATCGCGCGCGTCCTCGGCGCCGTCTACGGCGGCACGGGGTACGCGCTCAAGGACACCAAGTCCATGCTCAAGGGCGCGGTCACCGGCGCCGAGGTGCGCGCGCTCACGCACATGATGTACAACGCGCGGGACCAGGCGCTCGAGCGCATGACGCGCGACTGCGTCGCGCGCGGCGCGAACGCTGTCGTCGCCGTCACGTTCGAGGAGAGGGAGGTCCTGGGGTGCTTTTTGCAGGTCACGGCCGTGGGCACCGCGGTGTACGCCGAGAGGGAGAGGCCGCAGGGGCAGCCGCAGACGCCGATGACGGCGACGTTCTTGTCGCCGACGAGTGCCGGGTTTGGCCACGTTAATAATGGTGGCGATGGAAACGATCCGAATCCGTTCGGGTCGCCGAGGAATGCGGAGTTCCCGTTGTCGTAGGTGGGAAAAAAAAAAGAGAATAAAAAGGGAAGGGAGGGGAAGGGAGGGGAGGCGCTTTTATTTCTTGATTTTCTACATTTTATGCGCGATGAGGAGGAGGAGGAGAGGAGGAGCTGAGGAGCTGTTGGGTGGTTTGTTTGGCTTGATACCTGGTATGCTATGTACATGCATAGATTTTTGGTGCGGCATAAAGATAAAGCTTTGTTTGGGGTCTATTTTTATTTACATATTGGGTTGGGTATTTATACGAGCGAGATGAGCTTCTACTTTATTTGGTTTATACTGGTGCGCCTGTGTGGATTGGGCTGTATCTCGAGTTGTTGAGACCTTGGAATACAACAATGTCCATTTTTTTTTTTAAAAAAGGGGGGGTTTGGTGATGGTGATGGTGATGGTGAGGATGTTTTTATCTTAGAGATTACAAGATTTGTTAGCGACCCCTTTCTTTCAGGAATTTGTCTATCTTAGTTACCTAAACTAGGTACTGTTGGTGATCCTGGTTTGAAAATATACAATGTTCTAATCTCGGTATAATATAATATACTTCCCACGGGTTTAGAGACTGAAGCCTTGGTCCATAGATAGAGGATAGTGGACGGGAGACAGATACTGCCTATATACATACATACATACATACCTACCTAGGTAGGTTACTTAGTCTGCGGGTGCCGGAACCCCGTTGGTTAAGCTTTCGGGAAGTAGCTCGGATTCCTCGGGTTGTTCGCATTCTCCCGTATCTTGCTTGGCGTGCTACATACATCTGTACCTACCTACATACCTAACTAGTAACTATGCTCTAGTATGATGTGCCGCTCAAGAGTTCTTCAAAGCCGGTCAAGGAACCCGTCACATGACCGAAGTACAAGGCATGGAAACATCGAAGGTCCTGCGCGAAGACTTACGATTGCATGCATGTACAATACAATACAAAAGCCCCTTTCGGATTCCATGCTAAAACCCGCCGGGCCTTCCACTAGGCTTCTTGACAGGAAAAATGGTCCGAGGGTGCAAGTATGTACTAGGTAGTAGGCACATACATACATACATAACTACCCGAATGCCACGTTGAACCAAGGCCAATTCTAAATTAGTCCTTTTCCCTTTTCTTTTCTTTTCTTGCTTCCGGAAATTTTTTACCATGCCTAGGTATGTATGTACCTACCTACATACATACATACATGATACATAGCACCTATCCTCTCCTTCGGTAATTGGACCCGATAACGGCAGATCCTTCCGAGCTAGAAACGAAAGGACATCACACCAGACCTAATGGAAAAGTCCCATGTGTTTTACGGGGATTATGGAGTATCATTGTTAGGTACATACTGTACATGACTAGGTTAGGTATGTTAGTTAAGAAGATGTCAGGATTAGAATTAGGAAGGTGTGAATGAGAGTACCTACCTAGGACCTAGGTATTGGACCCTGCGGAACAAGGTCATTCGAGTTTTTTCTGTTCGGTAACAGGAGTCGGATCCTTGAGGTGCTTATTAGGGCGGAATAGCTTGCTGTTATGTAGGTTTGGCCTAACTAGTGTATCTGTTTTCTCAAGCTCCCGAAAATGGCTTTCGCTCCGATGGCTGTCTGTCTGTCCTTTGGTAACCTCGGCCCGGGGGGCGGAGTGCTAGGTACCTAGGTTAGGTATATATATATACATAGGTTATTTACAGTCTGTATTATCGCCTAGCCAGGGGTCCCGCGCTTCCTCCTCTATTAGCTGCCAATTCCGAATTGGAAGAAGAAGAAGAAGAAAAAACTTGATTAGGCTAGGTAGGAAGGCAAGGTAAGGTTACCCCTGGCTTGTCTTATCACGTCTTGTCCTGTCCTGTCCTGTCCTGTCCCGTCCCGTCCACCTCTACCCCTGGATCCGCCTGCTGTGTGGTACGGGACGGAACCCCATGGGGAAAAGCTTAAAAAAGCCTAAAGAAGGCCGAACCGCTATTTCTTCATCGATATTTTGGTATTTGCCATCCGAGGGCAGGGGGGCCGTTTATTAGGTATAGACCCGATACAGTGTTAGTCACATGCACACATATTCCCCCTTTTGAGCAAAGACGTCGTGCGGCGGGAGTGGTCTGGGCCCCACACCATTTACAGCGAGGAGTGTTTGTGGGATATAAAATAGGGTTAGTTACATGCGTATTATTTAAACTCATACTGTAGCTAGGTAGGTATGCTGTGCGTGTGTGACCCCGTGTGTGTATGTGACCGTGTGGTGTGTGTGTGTGTGTGTGTGTGTGTGTCTGTCTTGTGCTACCTCTCCCACATCTACGGAAAGCAGCAGCAGCAGAAAGCTTCGATCAGATCATGGCGGGAGCCGCCCTGCCAATCTGCAGCCTCCGGAGGTTGCTCCTTTGGCGTGTGCTACCCCAAGCCGAGCTAAACCCAGCCCGCAGGAACCAACTTCTGGACGATTCTGGACTGTCCTGGGCTGCAGCAGTGGTGTGCATTATTGGGGTGGGAGGGGATCGGGGGGTCGGGCGCGAGCAGTAGTGTAGCAGCTCTACATTGCATGTGCATGTACATACATTAGGTAGGTATATATAGTACTATGCATTCATGTATGTATGTATGTGTGGGCAAAGGCGGTGCAACGTCAGGCCGGATATGGGTGTAAAGGGCAGAAGCAAGATTGACCAACGACGATTTTTTTTAAAGTGAAAACGCACTATTAATAGAATTATCAATGTAGTATCACCGGAATAGGAACAGGAAAAGCCTTATCGAAGGAACAGGAATAGTCAAATTTACAACGGACTAATGCTAGCTTGATAGTCTACCTAGTAGTCTGCTTAACCGAAGGAGCCGGGCAAGGAATTCAATCACAACGACATCACATCACATCACATCACCAGTACTAGTTAGTGTAAGTAGTCAAAGAGGGGTAGATATCTTGGTAAGTGTTTGGTTTTTTTTTATATATTTATTTTATTTTGTTTTTGATCATTCGTACTAACTATACTATTAATATAACATTAAGAAGTTAAGTAATAAAACTAATGAGACTACCTATATAAGGGACGGGTGTTTTTTTAAGGAGAGTAGAGTACAGAAAAGAGTAAGTAGCAGTAGTCGTCCGAAAGGTTTATCCCGCGTTCCCAATGAAGAAAAAACCAAAACAAAAACAAGACGCTTTTCCCTTTCCTTCTTGTGTGATGCTGCGTTTTTTGGTTTGTTTCGTTGCGCCTTAACATTCCTGATATCAATAAAATCGTAGAGGCATGCTGTTGGTAATATCCAATGATGCTAAGGCCGGGGTGCTGCTGCTGCTGCTGCTGATGTGTGTGTGTGATATCCTTCGAAAAAAGTAATAAAAATTGGACAATAAAGAATTAATGCTTTCCGCTGTTGTTGATGACATAAAAAAAAAGATCCCGACCAAATGGAAAAAGCTGATGTTTTCCCTTTTCCTGGCCCTCGTGAGTTGTTCAAAGACAAAAATAGAAAGAATAAAAATTAAAAAAATATGCCCGTCCCCCGTTGTTGTTGAGAATATAATAGTAATAAAAAAAACCCTTGGAAAGTAAAGTGATATCATGATATTAACGCCTTTTGCAAATGCCAGCTGTCTCCGAGGTTCTGATGATAAGAAAACCCTCAATAACCCCCTGATCATTTCTTCGTGAAGTAAGCCAGCAGCGGGCCACTAAAATGCATCAAGACCTCGAAGCAGAGGCCCCTTAGGGGAGGCGTAACAAAGACCTCCAGTACAGTGAAGTATAAAAAAACACAATGACGTCCATGGTATGGGAAAGGTAAAAGAAAAATCCGGTGCCTGGTGGTAGTATAGTAGGTAATAAGTAATAAGTGTATGTGTGTGTGTGTCGGCAGGTTTTTGCCTTAAGTAGTAGATAATATAGGATTATGGAATTATGTTGGTGTAGTTGGTTGTCCGAGTCGCTCGCTGGCTTTTGTGCCGGGTATTATAAATCCGAACAAACAACGAACTAGACGTATAGTAGTAAATATAGCGAAAATGTTGAGAAAATGTTGTTGTCGAGTGAAGTTAGTCGCTCGTCAAAAAGGTGAAGGCAGGCCGGATTTTTTGGTTCCCAGATCGTTGGACGTCGAATCGAAATCGGTTGGTGGTGGCGGCTTTTTCCCCCGTCCCCTCAACCGAGCACAGACACGCTCTCTCTCCCCCTCCCTTCCTTTATACAAACGAGTGATAGGTCCCCCTCATTCCCCTTTTAGTGGCAATGCGTGTGTGCCTTTGGTGTTGGCATCGTAGGCTTGTTCTGAGGATGGCAGTACCAACAGCTGCCTGTTGTGTACTCAGTTCCACAGTTGCCGCACGTGTGCATTTGCATATTGTCGGTTTTGTGAATAGTTATCCGCTCCGGGATAGGAATATGTGTAAAATTAGGTTGTGTATGTTCCTGACGGATGGGAAAGACAATATGTGCTGTGTTGTGCTTGTGCAACCTAGAGTCGGTCAAGTTAGGATGAAACGTTCTTTGGGTAGGTAGCTTCAGAAGCGTGGGCCATCCACTTACAGGCCGAGATAGGTTCAGAGCTGGGGACTAGCTTGGTTGGTTTTGGTATTTTTTTTTTCCCTTTTTCCCTTGTTGAGGCACGTGTGTATGTGTGTGTGTGTATGTGTATGTATGTAGGTATGTGTGTGTGTGTGTGTATGTATGTATGAAGGAAGAAACACGTGGAATACTAAGGTAATACTAAAGTAGAAGTAGGAGTTTTGCTGTTTTGGATTTATATAAGAACGAACGAAGCTATGGTCGGGTTGGTATTAAAGAAGGGTTGAGAGTGTGAGTTTGAGGTGTGTCTGAGATTCAGATTTCAGATTCTTTGTGTCTCTGATGAAGAATTTAATTCAAAGTTGGTGATGACTCTCCCCCTCCCTTCTGGGGAAGCTAGACTAGAAATTATGAGCTGGGGTGGCCCTTCAACGGGGACCCTGAAGGATCTTCGTATGTGGATTAATAACTTAATATCCATCCCAATTTGGTTCTAATGCACGATCCATCAATAGCTTCACAATGGCTGGCTGACAAGCTCCACAGACACCACCTGCCTACTACATAGTACAGTACTACCTAGTACTACCTGGGTACAACCTGATGTAAGGGTATTTGCCAATAGTGCCAGGTAAGCAGGAGTGTGTTGCCGTTTAAGCGAATGACGAGAAGGCCTAGCTTCGAATCGAATTTATTCAGGAAGCACATCAAGCATATCAGGCACATCCCAACGCACATCAACCCATATCCCGTTTTGCCCGTTTTGCCCTGTCCGAGAATTGCGATATTGCGATATGCCCAAACGCAAAAGAAGCTAAACCACGTTCACCACGTGGTGTTCGCCTATGACACCCTACAAATACTCTATGATACCTTATGATACGCTATAATCCGTGCTATCATACCCTACGATACCCAAATAAACCCATGTAACCCCAAGCAGCCCAAGAGGAAGGGGAAAAAAAAAAGAAAAAAAAAAGAAACACCACTTCCATCACTACCACTGCTACTACTACTACTACCACCACCACCATTCCCCAAAATAAAATATTAAAAAAGAACTCGTCACTCGTCACTCGTCACTCTCACTCTTTCCCTTCCCCTTCGGCATCGTCGGCTCCTACCGAGTCTGACCACTAGCTGTGACGAGTGCGATGTTGTAGACGCAGCCAAGACCGCGGGATCCCTTTTCGGCCGATATCGTATCAACAAGAATGGAACTCGATAGAAATGGAGAGAACCGTGGTAGGCCAAACACACACATGAAGAAGGGGGTCGATCACCCGTTGTTGGCAGGGTGAGGGAATATTGACAAATCGCGGGTATGCTCGCTTGTCCAAAATAAAAAAATAAAACCGTTTTTTTTCTGGGGATAAACGGACCGGATGCGGCCTCGAAGGTCTCCTGACAACTTACCTTGCCTTGCCTGATTGTGTACAAGTTGGATGTGTGTGTGTGTGTGTTATGTTGGTAACTTGGTATACATCCCTACATACATTTAGGTAGGTAGGTATGTATGAGTATACTGTATGTATGTTATGTATGCTGATAGTATGCATGTATGCTACATGTAGGTATGGATAGTTAGATAGTACCTACCTGTATGTATGTATGTTATGTGTAGTATGTACATACATACATACATACATACATACGCATACATACGCATACACATACACATATGATATGTCTACTTACGAAAAGTGTCCACCTTCGCCCGCGAGAGCAGCAACCGTGAGACGATCTCTCGGATAACTCGAGGTGATGAGCAAAGGGGAATGCTGCCGTTAATCAAACAATTTTGGGATAGTTCCTAATGTAGTAACGGGCTCCAGTTATACCTATAGGCTTGGCACATCTGTCTCCGATTTTCACTTCTGTCGGTGTACCGCTGAATTATATCTGCCAGCTTGCATATTTTTTTTTACTACTAGCAGTAGTTACAACTACATATTGTACAATACATACATACCTTAACAAGACCTAACCGACTAGGTTAGGTATAACTAAAAAGAAATGTTGTCTAGGGCTACTAGCAAAAGAAACTAGGTATGCGGTGCGTAGGTTCTTGCATAGCAGCGAAGTGAAGCCTTCTCGTATTCGAACGACAATCGCGACAATCTTGACAATCTTTATTTTCCGATTTCAAAAAAGTGAATATGTATTTGACGACAAAAAAAATTATGGGAAAAATGAGAAAATGAGAAGCGTAATTTTGTAATTTTGTCGCGTCGAAACTTATTGTCTTTCTCTTTTCACAGCCCTCCTCGATGCTACCGTTCTTTATCCCTGGTAACCTACGTCGATCTTTGTTCATTGTATTGCATTTTTTTCTTGCCCTCACTCCTCTTTTTCTTCTCCATCTCCATCTCCATCTCCCCCCCCCTCTTCCCTTCTCGGGCCAAGCAGAGAAAAGACGTGTTCCCCTCGCGATCAGTTGAGCATGATGATGAGGGGGAAACGCATTTGTGTGGATTCCACATCCAATAATAGCGCTGCCGCCGCCGACATGCATCTTGACTCATTCTAACATAGTATATCCCGTCCCCAATCCGGGTATGGTGGGTGCTCCATTCTGCCCCATTGCTCCATGCTCTATGGCCCCATGCAGCCTACTACGATGCGAAATGCACAATGCAAATGCCTACTCGGGACCTGAGCGCGCTCGCACGCACTCACGCACGTACACACACGCGCGCGCGGCAATGCATCAGTGATCCATCGGTGATCGGATTCTTGCACGACCTTGCCCTGCCCTGCCCTGCCCATGCCTACATACATACATGCATACATACATACATACATACATACATACATACATACATAGGTACATACTTTAGGCAAGGCACCACAACACGCAAACCCAGGTTCTCTTCAACGTTTCGCCTCTTTTTTCTTGGGGGGGGGGGGGGGAGGTGGGAGGGTTTTTGCCTCGTGGCCCTAATATAACTTGGTCGGTTCGACGGGCTGGATTGGGATAACACACCCGCTGTGGGTTCCCGCCTATTTTATTTCCCGACTGAACGGCGCCGAATCAAGTTACTCGATTTCATTTGTTTGGCCATGAAAAGTCTAAAAGCTACGGGTATCGGATCCGTGGCGCGGGCTAAATTAGAACTGGAGATCCTTACGCGAGCCCTACGTGAAAGCTTGCCCTTGTTACCTTGTGCCTGTGGCCCTGTGCCTGTGCCTGTATGTACGTATGTAGTCTGACATCTTAATATGTATGTATGTATGTATGTATGTATGTATCCATGGATATGTACATGTGCCTGTGCTTTGTGCTTGTGCTTTAAGCAGCTAAAGCGCAAGTTACCACCTACCTATGTAATGCTACTATGGTACTAGGAGATGGCGCAAAGCGCAAAGACGAACCGCCAAGATAGCCAAGCTGACCAGTCGCCAGCGTTCCTGGCCCGGTAGTTTGGTTTAGATCAGGAACTACCGTGTGGGAGCTCCAGCGAGCCGTTTCCGTTGGAGGCTATTCATATTACTCCCCCATTCGGAAGAACTGGGTAGGTCAGCATCTATTATTGGTCTATTAATATAGGCATATAGATTACAAGTCATTAAACAATGTATATGGAGCTTTTCTTGGTATATGTTCATAGGCTTTCCGAGCAGTTGAATACAAATGCCAATTAAATATGGATGATCCTATTGGTTTAATGTTGTAAAGATCGTATTGTATTCAGGTTGTACCTAAGTAGTGAGTACAGCTTACAAGTTACACTACGTAAATAGGTACATACCTATCATAGCAGCATCGTGGCATCATGGCATCATAGCATCAATGATCATAGCATCATAGCAACATACTACCTAGTAGGTACATACATACCTAGCATCTAGCAGATGTCTGTGTGTAAAGTGACTAGGACCACCGGGTACCTACCTAGTACAAGATTATGTCACTGTCACTAATAACTACATCCGTACATGCATCATGATGTATGTCGTCGGGATATACACACAAACATACATACCAACAAACATACAGTATGACAGTCAAAACTCCTGGTGTTGATTAACTTTCGCCGTTCGGTAGCCACCTATGGAGATTCTGTATGGCAATCTAACATCTCGTGTTCAAGAAAATTGAAAAGAAAATTGAAAACCCCGTTATAATTGTTTTGAATCCCCATTGAATTGCGTAAGTCATCGACAAAGTTCAAATGAAAAAAAAAAAATCACCCCTGAAGAAAAAAAAAAAAAAAAAAAGAGACTACAGTGACTATGTCATCACGATAACTACATCATCAGATCACGAGCAACAGATTATCACCAGACACCACCACCACAAGTGAAACACACAGACACACAACTAACTAGTCAGAACCTAGGGTGCAAGTAAACTGGGTAAAGAAGATGGGTAAGGAAGACGTCAGTTTTTGAACCCGCCCGCAAATCCGCTAAAGTGATATACCTACATAACATAACATAACATAACGACTACCCTAACTAGGTACCTAACCTACAGCTACCTACTAAGGGCAGAGTACCTGACAAACCCTTGCAAGATATTCTAAAAATTATTCTGACGTATGTAACCAAAAGAAGGGTATCTGCGGAAACGCTACGATTGTTTTAATTGATGGTGGTAGTTAAATGTGGTAAATGTCGTTCTAATGATGATGTGCAAGGCTCCGTTCTAAAAATAAAACCACAGTATCGCTACCAAGAGCAGACCATCGTAGCCATAATTGAGGAGTGAAAGAGGGGAATGCTAGTAATTACCGTAATTACCTAGTACCTAGATTTAGTAACGTGGGCTGGCTTTGCCTGGGTAGATGGTCATTATGTAGTGTTATGGAGTTATGGAGTTATGGAGCCGAAATGGAAAAAGAGAGGGGATTTTTAAAAAAAAAAAAACAGTCGAAAAATGATTGCATGAACGGGGAGTCGAACCCCGAGCTCAACCTTGCTCTTGAGAGAGTGGAAGGGTTGAATGTTACCGCTACACCATTCATGCTGTGTTATGTTGTGTGGTGATTGATGTAAGCTTGTTAGACATTGAGCTATATAATAGTGATGCATTAGTGCAAGTACCGGGCATCCGGACATCTATCCGTTGCTCATTCTCCAACGGCAAAACGGGGTTAGTGCCCAGGTGGGTTAGGTAGGTATTTAATAACGTATTTAATAACCTAACCTAGGTAGTTCAATTGTAGTTTGTCAGCTTCATATACGAAGTATCGTCCTGTCATCCTACCGCTCAGGTCCGCTCTACTATCTACAGTCTAAATGTTCATCTAGTTAGGTAGGTACTTTTGACATTTTCACCCCAACCTATATCGAATCGAATCGTCAACCAAATTGGGGAAAACCCTCCACTAGAGCTGCCGATACCGTTTTTTGCATTCAATATTACCGTGGCCATAAGGTCAAGGTCCAGGATAAGGACTATCAAAGAGTGCCCAACTGGCGATCTGGATAAGCAATGGATGTCACTGCAGACAAACAAAACTCGGAGAAGGTTACAATGACCACGGAAAAGAAGAAAGTGTGATATGTGATGCAGGTACACGGCGATCCATACATTACCACCTCCCCTTTAGAGCCATGATCGGGCTTTTCTAGATGTTTTCGATGGATGGATGGATGGCAAAGTTGATTATGCATACCAAGGTAAGGTGGGAATTTAAACGCAATACCGTACTTACCGCGCAATATACATAGACCGCATATCACAAAATCGCCGGCGATCATGCCGACATAGGTAGGTAGGTACATATCTGTCAGCCAGGGGCGTGACATGATAAGGCTCACTTGGCTGCGTCAGTCATAATTCTCCTATGCCTCGAAGAGATAGAAGAACCAGGCCAAGCACCACAAGCTAAGAAGAACTTCCGGGGGGGTCACATGTATGTCTCGGACCAATTCAAACAGAGCGACATCTTCTCCAAGTAGATCCTATCGGCATTTGATAGAGAAAAAGGTATAGCGTAAGTGATATCTTTTTTGTAATAGTATTTGACCATTTCCTTTCAGATAGGTTTGCTGCCATTTGACCACCGTCCAAATGGCCTACGGAGGATTCGTCCAAATCAGCCATGCACTGCGAGATTGGGTATTATTTTTCATGTTGTGACTTGAGCTAGGTATACATCAAATGACGACTTCTATAAATGACCTTGGGTTGATTTCGGCTGTACCAAGCTCAATACACTTCAGGAGGACGCTATTGGTGCTTATGAGAGTCTGGGCGAGAAGGATTGCATAGAATGTGAGACTCAGGGCGACCTTTGGCGAGGAACCTTTGACGAGGACTGTTTTGGCGATGTCTTGTGGTTGGCTTAGAGATGGGATAAGATATCTTCTGGGTCCATTTATCGCTGGGAGGATGGTGTGTCTTTTTTTGGCAGGCAGCAGGCGTAGGACCATAGCAAGAGGCTTGAGGATGATATAGTTGGTTCTTGTTCATCACGCAAAGAAAAGAAATATGGCGACTTCCAAGGTTGACATGGTAGGTAGGTATTATAGACGATTTCCAGAAACTGGGCTGGGAATGGTGCAGTTTCCGTGAGAGTTGTTCCGTCTCTGACTTGAAAGAAGCTGATTATCGCTATGGTCTCACCCCAGCCTCACCCATCATAACTCGCAAGGCTACAGGGGCTATAGATCAAACTCAAAGAGGGCAGAACAAAAGCGATGAGCCCTTAGTTTAGGTAGATAACTACGTGTTCTGACAATTGCTAATCTTGGAATACACACACACGTGAGACACTTCCATGTCTCCTTTCATCTCAGTTCAAGATGCATAATGCTCAGTTGCTCCCCTGCCAACCTATGATACTCATTTTAGTGTTTACGACGGCCAACAACCTTCGGGTTTCCTCCCTAATACAACATATCTGGTGGTAAACGAGTTCTAAATGCCACAGATGACGAACCTAGCGTAGGTACGTAAGTAAGAGCAGCAGAATCCAGTAGAGAAACATCAGCAAGCCGATAGCAAAATGAAGCAATTACGTAGGTAGGTATACCGAAGGGCTCTTCCTTCTTCTTCTTTCCGCTAGTTAAACTATAACAGACTGTCAGTATGTCCCGTGATTATAGGTCTTGCACTAGGTATACAGCAGCAGCATCTCGGTAGCCAGGTAGAAGTTAGATAGAAGTTAGGGGGTATATCGAGAATAATAACTGTATTGACGCCTACCTTCCATTCCTCACCAAAGGGAAATGGGAAGGGGGGGGGTCGTGTTGACTCTTTATATACCTTCAGCTAGGTATATATATATGTGTGTGTGTGTGTGTGTGTGTGTGTGTGTGTGTGTGTGTGTGTAGTGTGCTCCGCTACCCAGCAGCTACACAGATGCTACGGTCAATCCTTCCTACGGCTCTTGATATAGACGTATGCTCAAGAAATCATAAGAGGTCTACCTCAACCAAGGCTTTTTAGGGGACATTATACAGACCAACTGGAGACATCTCCAAACATAGGAGACACTTGCAAATACCCAGGTGTTGAGCTTCATACTCGCCGAAACTGCGAAATTAAAGATAACAACGTTGCCCGGCCAAAATATAATAGCTTAGTAAGAAAGGAGGAGACAGTGACGACGTGGTAAGGACTGTGAGGCTTACTTACGTACTATAGCCGGACTTAGATCCCACCGAATGAGGATTGGTGCTTCGGTTATCCCAGCTGGGTCTTGAATGGCGATGTCCCAAATAGCCTCGCGTGGAATTATTCGATGCTGAGTCGGAAGCGGACCAGCGGAAAGACTGATATCCAAGCACGCACAATACTACGTAGGTAGGTATCAGCCATCCTCTTCTATAAAGCCTTTCGAAAGCAGCAGCAGCCTTACTTATCTGCTAGGTAGGACCAGGTAGGTAGTTCTCAACCCCATCGACCACATATATGCCCCAGCATTCTTCGTTCTTGATACCCAATCCCTCTTCCTCTACCCGTGCCGAATCCCACTTGGCCAGAGGACCGTGGGATGTATCATATCTTATTCAGATGTTTTCAGCAAGTTAAGTAACGTTGCTGCTCCTAGGGACTAAAGGCAAAAAAGAAGGAAATAAAACCCGATACGCGTTCACTCCTACACCCGAGACTAAACTCGGTGCGTGGGCGCGGGCTTTCAAAGTCCGCCGACCTCTTTGCCCATTTTCGCGACTGTCGTGGGGCGAAGATCCGCGGGCTCTTTATATTATCGAGAGGCAAGCGAGCGCCGATCTTTCTTAGTTCTGACCTGTAAGTCGGCATGTGAGAGAGCTCTTTTATAGCTAGGCACGGAGGGAAGAGGAGTTGGACAGGTAGGCCTTCCTTTTCTTGTTAAAAGAGTTTTGCTTTCAACCGGCTTGGCGATTCGCGGACAGGTTGTTGAGGTATAAGGAGGTAAGTTTGGAGAGCCGCTGGGATAAATGTACAGGGGATGGGAGTGCCAGATGCGACGTCGAGTAGATTGGATAAGATCTCTGTTGGGATGCCGTTTCACCCGTTCGGCAGTGAAGCTGTCTATAATAGCTATGCACTTTAGACCAGGTTAGGATGTGCGTAGTGTACGGAGTTTAGCCATGATGACGATCAGTGTAATCAGCATAATATATTTGAGAACCACGCGTTATATATGTATGTGCTTCCCGGTTCTTGGCGCCCTGTAACCCTGGACGCAGCATGACGAGAGATGCGTGGGATGTGATTGTCAAGAGTATAAAGGAGAGGTAGTCACCTTGAATGACACCATTTTCAGCCCGTACGGCGCCATTAATGTTTTAATACAGCTTGCTTGGTCTAGAACACAGACAAACCGACAACCAGGCCACACTTCTGTGGAATTGAGGAAGCTTCTTATTGGTGATCGTGAGGTTGTCGCCATGGGTAACGGTCCCTCGCTTCCAGGTCCTCCTGGGACGAGGTTTCGTGTCATTGGTGCTGGAATGTAAGTCGAATTTAGTTGCTTGAAACCGAAACTTTACCTCCAAACCAACTTCTTCACAAATACTCAATAAAAATACGGCAGCGTAGAATGTTTATCCAGTATACACTCCTGCTATGTGAGAACTTGAACTAATTTCATAGGTCACGTACCGGTACCAAGACTCTCAACGAGGCTCTTGCTATCCTTCTCGATGGCCCCGTTCACGACTCGGGGATCCAGTCCCTTGGAGGCCCCGTTGATCAGATAAAAGCCTGGCTCGATATCATGGAGCTTGCCCCAAAGGCCCGGACGTTCTCGGAACAGAAGAAACTCGATTGGCTCATCTCAGAAGTGCTCGACGGCTACGTTGCAACCATGGATTGCCCCGCTGCTACCCTCACGCCGGAGATCATGCGAGTCTACCCCGATGCCATCGTAATAGCCACCACAAGAGACCAGGCCTCCTGGTGGAGGAGCATGAATTATTTAAACAGTCTTATGGGGACGTGGTATCTTCCCCTGGTGGTCTTATGGCTACATAAGACGCAAGTTTACGGCGTATGGCGCGAACGATTCCACCAAATAATGCTGTGGCGCTATAACCAGGAGAAGATTGAAGAGGATACGCTTCGCAAGCACGAGGAACATCTGAGACAGGTCGTACCTCCCGAGAAGCTGTTCTTTTATGAAGTCAGTCAGGGATGGGAACCATTATGCAAGATATTGAACCTTCCCATCCCAGGCCGTCCGTTCCCACACAACAACAGCAAAGGCGATGCCGCACAAACTTTCCGAGACCATATCATAGCAGGAATACTGTCGTGGATGTTCGTACTTATACTATTTAGTATGGTTATTTGGGTTGTTAGGTCTTGGATCCTTCAACGATTCTTTTGATGAGCATAAACCGGCTAGAAACCAAATTTGATGGATAATAATGTACTACGTAGTCAATGCAACAACGTCTAATTGAAATACCTACCTTAGGTACTTGCTTACCTCGGTAGATAATACCACATTGTCAGTCTTGGTATGCAAGATATTAGGGCGCTGAATTTTTGATCCAAGTTCCGATGCCCTGTCACTATGCCGCATAGGTATTAACTGAACGAAGTGTTAGTAAGAAAGTGACACCATTACCAATATTTCAAACGTAGACGGTTGAATAGACACCTACCTAGGTAGATAACTGCATAGGATGATGAAGGCATATCGTGGATGCATCCTGGATGGTTACCTCTGTGGTGGCATCGGATCAAAACATCATCGCATCATAACACAAATACTTGAAGTATTCGTAGTTTCCTTCTAACAGCACGAGTAATGAACAATCAATGTGAAGGGAGTGACTTTTTTCTATCCACTTTGGCTACCTAGGTATGGGATAAGTCGAAATTTCCCAAATCTTACGCATAAACGACAAGCACAGAGCTGGCTCGTTCTGATAAGCAAGACAAGAGACATTGAGCTCATGAAAGAGATGTACAAACACACCTTACGATTCGGCAAGAGGAGTGCCCTGGGCAATCTTGCTCTCACCGTACTTCGTAAGGCGGATGGCCTGGATGGCGATAAACCCAGTAGTATCGCCAGGTGCGAACGTCGAAAGTGAATCCATCGACGCATCTTCCTCGCTGTAGAGGTTGCTGGTCTCGCTGCTGCGGCCAATTGTGTAGGCATTTCCCTCTGTATTCGCGTCAGCAACTTTTTCTTTGACTTATCGGGGAATCTTCACTGGTCTGCGAGGTCAAACTACATACTATATGCCATCATGCGAACGGTTCCGTTCACGTTTTGCTGCGAGAATATTATGGAATTCTCAACAAATTCTCTCTCCGGCGAGCTGTTTACCTATTAGTACCTTTTTCACAAGGCAGAATTTGGCATTAGATACTTACAAGTACATGCCATTGTAAAGCTGTCTACTCCATGAGATGGTGACAAATTGGTCACGGAGTTCTCGGACTTTGCTGTCCATGACTAAGCCTTCAAGATCGATGTGCGCGAGACGGAGAATGGTGAGGCCGGGAGTATCGTAGCAACCCCTGCTCTTCAAGCCTAATACAATTGTTAGGGGTACATTTATAAAGATGGACACATGACTATACCAATAAACCGATTCTCGACCTAGGGGAGCTTGTTAGCAATGTGTTCTAGTGACTAGGGTTTCGCTGAAAATAAAGAAGGTGGACTGGTTTGGCTTACAATGTCAATTCTTCCAACACCATTGTCATGACCAATTTTGTTGAGGAGCTTGAATAGCTCCACAGGCTCAGTCACCTCCTTACCATCCTCAGTAGTGAGTTTAATAGGAATACCCTTAGCGAATTGGAGAGTGAAGTGGTACGGCTTGTCGGGGGCATCTATGGGATCAACGGTCATCTTCCAGAGGTGCTTTGGTGGCTCTTGGTTGGGATCCTCGAGGATTCCGGCCTCGTAACTACAGTGAACAAGGTTTTCGTCCATGCTAGGAAAATATTAGATAAGTATAAGTATAAGTGTAGGCTAAACAGAAGACTAATTACCTCCACGGGGCCTTGGGGGTTGAGGAGACGGGTATATCATTGACTCGAGCGTATTCGAGGAGATCTGCCCGGCCTTGGAACTTGTTGATGAAAGCATCGATTCTCCAAGGTGCAATGATTTTGACCTTCGGCGCCAGTGCTTTTGACTATTAGTTGAAAATTTCTTTCATATCTGAACAAGAGAGCAGTCGCTCGTCTCAACAATATTCTAGTTGATGCCACAATAACTAATAGGTGGCGAGGAACAAACATACCTTTCCAGGCAAGCTCACTATGATACAGATTGTTAGTAAGTTCCTTGTTAAACAGATCGACCTTTCTAGTAAGGTGTCAACATCAGCATTAAGAAGGACGTACAATCTAACTTGGTCATTGCCTTTGCCCGTGCAACCATGGCTGAGTATATCGCACTTATACTCCTGTGCGACGCGAACCTGTCTATAATGCCCATGCGTTAGTCATTTACATGTATATTCCTTATAAAAGACATGATAGGGTTGACTTACTCGCGAGCAATGATTGGGCGAGCCAGACTGGTTCCTAGAAGATATCTGTCTTCCTATTTGGCTTGTTAGATAGATCTCATTTGGCTATTGTGACTATCGGCTGCCATGAAAGTAGTCTCTAGATTGCTTCCGAGACTTCGGGCGTGAGGTGACTTACATAGATGGCGTTACATTGTGTAGCTCGGAATACTATTTCGTTAACGAACTGGGCCTGGAGGTCTCGAATGACCATAGACTCGGCTCCAAGTTTGAGGGCCTAGAGAGATTAGATTAAATTTCTGAGGATGGCATATACTTGGGAGTATACCTTCTCTTCAACAGCCTTCCAATCCTCCTCCTGTCCAACATTGGCAAGGAAACACTATATTAAGGTTAGAAACTGATACACGATACAAAAAAGGTAAAGGGGAAACATACGACGACGGTGTAGCCGTCATTAATTAGCCATTTTAGAATAGTAGAGGTGTCAAGACCTATGATTAGGAGTTTCCGTTAGTCTAGTTGCCTTGCCGGCGTGAATGCCAGTTCAAGAATTTGGGATTGTACCTCCAGAGTAGGCACTATGTGATGAGTTGACGAGTTAGTAGAGAATCATAGGGATATAGGGGCAAATATCATAGTTAGGTAGAAACTCACAGACAGACACGGCCTTTGGACATGATGTCGGATGGTGATAGGTGCTATACTTGATATTTGGAGTTTCTTGAGCACTTGAGGTTCAACAAATGCTACAACTGTCTAGTATACAAGCAATATAATGATCACTTGTAAGTGTAACTGAGTTTGATGAAACGGAGGCGTGTTGAATGTGAGGACTAAGTGTGACTAATAAATAGGTCCGGAAGGAACATTGAAAGGCTTGCAATATGCAAAGCGACTACAAGATAAACTTTTTCTTGGTGGTAACACAGCTTGAAAATTATTTGTGGGGAACTTTCCAATCAACCAAATCCGTTGATAACCTTCGGATAAGAAGGCTAGATTCAATCATTCAGGATCTTACTAGGTACCAGCTTTTTCCGATACCGGAACTATATATTCATATATTTAGGATGTCATTGATGTCTCAGCTGTCAACTTTCAGCCCTTGACACATAACTATGCGAGTTAATTCAGGTAGATCAAGTCAATGGCAACCCCGCCGTTCATTTCAGTCTTTACAAGTTTGGAGGAAATGACGTTGGAGGGGCATTTCGAGGTGGAACCGCGGGGTACAGACCCTTACATTAATTGATCAATTGATGTAGATAGTATTACTATGGAGTCTTATTGAGATGAATTTATAGGGCACATAAGTTAAACTTACATCTCTTACCTAACTTAATAGTATAGTCTCTCTGTTTTCGCCGCGAGCATTGCATGGTAGCTTAGCTAGTAGACCTTTAGGGCGTCAATTGAGATTCACAGATTGAGCTATGTTATCTGGACCTGAGCTAGTTGCTACGTAATTATAGGAGATGATAAGAAATGCTATGCATAAAGTAGCATGCGTGCACTTCAATATTCAAAGATACATAATAGCCCTATCAGTACAACTTTGAATAATTTGGATGATTACCATGTAAATATGCTATCTAAAAGAATGATGTCAACTAAATAGCTAGAGGCAGGTACATCTAGTTAAACATTGAAGATCTATAAACACTCTTGGCCAATCGATAGAATTTGCAGTGAGGTGGGGTACCTAAGCTCTGAGGGCAGAACTTCGGCAAAAGGGAAGAAAAAAATTAATTCGGAGCTTGAGAAGACATGCGATGTCATTCTAAAAATTTCCCCCAACAGCTAATTTCTCAACTCCCCGTTCTACGTCTACGTCGACGTCTAGCACTTGGCCTATATTCCTACTCGCATCAAAAATAAAACAAAATTGGACATAATTGGTACATCTGATTTATCTGTTATATTGCGACGACAAAATTTAAACACTTCCTTGAGCGGCTAATTGCCAGGTCCGCGCATTAAAGACCGCCACTTTGGCACCATGTTGTCCAGAGCTCTTGCGCGCTCTGCGCGACCATCGATGCTCCCAAGATCAACCTTAATAGCTCCCGCTATATTTAGACAATCTAAACCGCCAGTTCCAATATGGGCCCGAGGTATGGCTAAGAAAAGTTCAAGAGGCATTCCACCAAATCCTCAGTCCTCCCAATCCAACCCCTCCAAAGCCGAGCCTACTCCCTCGCCTTCGCAGTCTGCGCAACCTGAGAAATTTGAGAAGTCTGAGAAGCCTGAGCAGCCTGCGCAACATGCCGATTTCCAAGATACCCCTACCGAATCTTCCAGCTCGAAACCCGACCTTAGCTCCCTTCCCGATCTCACCCAAGGTATCCCGTCTACACTAGAGTATGAGACGGCCGGCGCTACCAATAAATCGGCACTGGCCGCCGTTGAAGATGACACGCATGAAACAAAAGAAGGTGGTCGCGGTCGTGGAGAGCTACCAGCCTCTGCATACATCAGTTCGACGGAGAAGCGACGAAATCGATTTGCCAACGTCATGTACGCCCTAGCACTGGGTACCGGAATTCTTGGATTTGCTTATCTCGGCCGTGACTGGGATGAGGATGAAGCTCAGGCGCATACCGACATTCCTACCGGCTGGTCACTTAGCTTATGGTGGAAACGCATGATGGCTCGCTTCGGTGATGTCACGAGTTATTATAGCGAGCCGGCCTTCGAAAAGCTGCTTCCCGATCCCGATCCCATGTTCGAGCGGCCCTACACCCTCTGTATAAGTTTGGAAGATTTGCTCCTACACAGTGAATGGACACGCGAACACGGCTGGAGAGTTGCGAAGCGACCCGGCGTTGACTATTTCTTGCGCTATCTCAGCCAGTACTATGAGCTAGTGCTGTTTACGAGCGTTCCGTTTGCCATAGGAGAGCCTTTAGTTCGGAAACTAGACCCTTTTCGATTTATCGTATGGCCTTTGTTTAGGGAAGCTACTAAATACAAGGACGGGGAAATCGTCAAGGTTGGCCATATTCTGTTTACCAACTTTCTATCAGTATAGTTACTAATATGTCTATTATTTAGGATTTGTCATATCTAAACCGTGATCTGTCTAAGGTTATCATAATCGACACTAAGGCCGACCATGTACGAAACCAACCCGAGAACGCCATCGTGCTCAAGAAATGGGAAGGCGATCCCAAGGATACTGAGCTTGTGGCGCTAATCCCCTTCCTCGAATACATTCACACCATGCAATACAAGGATGTGCGAGAAGTTCTGAAATCTTTTGAGGGCAAGCACATCCCGACTGAGTTTGCGCGCCGGGAGGCGATAGCGCGTGCCGCATTCCAGAAGCGATTTGAGGCGGAAAAACGGAAGCGGAAGAGCGGTATGGGGGCTCTCGGTAGCATGATAGGCCTGAAGCCGAGCAACATGAGTATGATGGTGTCGCAGGATGGTGAAATTAGCCCAAGCGAGGCATTCGCGCAGGGCAAGATGTTGCAGGATATCGCACGTGAACGTGGCCAGCGCAACTACAGGATGATTGAAAAGGAGATCCGCGAAAACGGCGAAAAATGGCTAAAGGAGGAGCAGATGGCCAACGAAAAAGCCCAGGCCGAGGCCATGACAAGCATGAAGTCCTCCTTCACCAATTGGTTCCTACCTGCTTCCAAACAGGGGGAACAGGCGCAAAACGCCAACACTCAGAGTGCCGATTCTACCCCTTCTAAAGCCGAAGGGGGAAATGCCAAGGAATCTTAAAAGCAAAGATATCAGGAAAGGCAAATTGCTATTTCGAATAATTGTATGATAGGTAGAGAAGAGGAGGGAACGAATACCCGGAGAAGGGGGGCAGGAAGGATGGGTTTTGGTGCATTTACAAACGAATGCATCGTGCGCTGCCGTATAGGAAGGAAATATACTGCCGTTGCCACACCTACCTAGGTATCTGACCACTACGTTTACTACATACACTACATCCTCGAACGAACGAACGACAAACTCTACTCATAACCGACAACATTTTTATTTTATTTTACATCATTTTCTCTCCTTCCACCTAGGTTCAATGCATGCATACAAACATCGGACGGAGGAGGGATACCAAAGCATGGCACACGGCTGATGGAAAGGAGGAATTCTCTCTTCTACTTTTTTTGTTTTCCGGTTGGTTGCCATGCCATGCCATGTATTTGGAACGAGGACAAGCCCCCTCGGCAAACGAGGGTTGAAGATGGAGATGGAGATGGAGATGGAAAAATAGGGGGTGGCGAGGTTGGGAGAAGGGAGGGAATAGGGGTGAGGAAGAAGACGAGACATCTGAACGGACCGCGCGTGTGTGTCCCTCACGAAGAAAAACAAGACGATGAAATATAGGTAATCTCTGTATTATGTACTATAGTAGTGGCCATAAAAGCCAGTGAAGCGACTCGAGAGCTAGCTTCATAGGATCTGATCTATTCATACGCCTCGGGTGCGGTGTATGAATAGGTGCCTTAGTAAATATAAAACAAAATCGATCCATCCACCGAGTGGGCGAAATTGTTACCGTGGCGGGTGTCGGTGGACAAGGTCTACCGAATATATCACGTATTGCAACACAATGGTAGGTAGTAGCATACACGCTGCTGCGTTGCAGCAGCGCAGAGTGAGATACCAAACATGTGGTGTATAACTGTATTAATATCTGAAGAGAAAGAGAAGACTACTATAAACGGCTATCTAACGGTTAGATGAATCTACTTATGTGCGTGATCACGCATTATTAATCGATGTGTGACTAACCTATATTCCCCATTCTCCCTTAGTGGTATTTCAACAGCGGGAATAACCCCTATTCGCGAGAATCGTTCTGAACTTCATCTAATGAATTCGTGCATTCCAATGATAGAAATTGGAAGAAATGGTTCCAACTTAGAATTATTCTGATTCCAAAAAAAAAAAAGAAAAAGAAAAAGAAAAAAACAAGCTTTGATTTGCCTAGGTACCTACCTATAAACCCCTGAACCCCTAAACTAGATTAATCAATCAAATAGACTTAAATCTCACCGGCAAACAGGCCAGATGGAATGCATTTCTCAAGAAAATCTTAGGTATAGTAGGTAGGTAGGTAGACAGTGGTATTCATGTCACAATAAGAGGAAATATTCCACACCTGGGCATATTCTGATACAGAATCCCCTTTCTTTTCCTTTCCCTCTTATCGGCAATGCTAGGTACCTAATCAACCCCCCCAACCCCCCCAACCCCTTTTCTTCTACCTATCCTTCCTTCTTTCCTCCATTAACCGACCAAATACTTAAAAGGCAGACTTCCCTAAGATAAGAGCCATCTCCCGACCCCTATCTACCTAATCCCCCTCTTAAGGTACGGAAAGCAGACAGGCAGACAGATAAACAACCCATCTACCCATCTACCCATCTAACCCGTCGTTGTCGCGGTAGTAGTGCTAGCAGGCGGCCACGCGTCGTGCTCGCGGCACCACTCGCAGCTGGGGTTGGTCTCGCACTGGAAGTCACTATTTATTTACCCCCCTTTGTTAGCCTTTTCTCTCACCCTCTCTCTTTCTCTTTCTCTTCCTCTTTTTCTTCTTCCCTACCAACAATTCTCTACAACAAAAGGAAAAAGGGGGCAGCTTACTCATCCTTGCACTTGCAGTACTCCTCCAGCGAAGCACAGTCCGGGCTGTTGTCGACGGCGCCGGTGATCTGTACTGGGGTCGGGGTGGTGCTCGACGATTCGGTGATGAGTTTGGGTGTGGGAGTGGGCACGGCGAGGACGGCTGTGGTGGCGCCGAGGAGGGCGATGGTGAGAGATAGGAGGGACCGCATTGTTGTGGTGTTGGTGAGATTGGCTTGTTTTGGTGAAGTTGTTTTTTATTGTCGACGGTATTGAGTTGATGTTGACGTTGAGATTGTTGAGAAGTAGTAGTTTTATGCAGAGGTGAGAAGTTGAGAAGGTTGAGTAGTATGAGGGCGTGGTTTGGTCAAGGCGGATTTGATGTTGGTATGGGGGAGGGAGGGGGTTTATATAAGTTCAAGATATGTGGTTCTTCTGTAGTATGGGGTCTATCCGAGGAATCATGATGCGGTTCCTTATGAGTAGGTATATCTAAGTAGGTGTATATATAGCTAGGCATTTACCACGTAGGCATTGCATTACCGGACTGTTGCGGCAAAAGAGTGGGACTTGGCGGCGTTGAGATCAAAATCTCGACCGACTCATTACCTATCCAGGACTCAGTTCATGTTGCTCACGGCAAACTCTATACCTGTACAATACGGCGTACAAGGCCTTTCTATTTGGGGCAAACGTCGGCACAAATTCATCTCGACTCCACGTCTCGTCAAACAGAAACTGAATGGAAGAATTGATCGTGCGATAAGATCGTTCGGGTAGGCCAGCATGTTGATAAGTCGGAACAACAACCCCATAAACCTTTTGTGGTCAATCGTTTGGTACTAGCTAGCACTGCAGCTTAAGTTTTCTTTTATTTCGTCTCAGTTCCTCCACAAATGCGAGGCTATGTTGTACCTATTTCCAGTACTCCCTACCACCGGCGATCTTCCTCACTCAGGGAAGAGCCAGGTGGCCAAGAGTTGACAGGGAGGCTGTTCACGTGGGTCCAGATCATGTCCACGAATAATACTATCATGTCACAAAACGGCCCATGTAGATAGCTGGTATCGAGTCGTTGTTGTTACACGCGACGGCGTGATAGCTAACTCGAGCCGCACAAATGTCTTGAGCGTGTGGTTCTGTACACTCTAAAACAAGGCCGTTCCGATGATTCGTGCTTTCCGGGTCGTGTCTCTCTCCTCGTAGTCATGCGACGAGAGAGGCTTTGTCATCATACCCAATTCGAGGTGTTTGCTCCTTTCCAGGTACCCATAGAAAGACTTGTATGCCTCTGATTTTCCACTCATCTTTGTTTGGAAGCTGACTGGGCTTGTCTACCCTCAAATCATCCAGAATACACCGATAATGAATCGACGGAGCAAAAGTCCCATGTGCCACAAGATTGCGACTCCTTGACCCCAGCATTGATATGCCCCAAGAAGCGTTGTAGTTCCTTATCCAGGTACTACATTCGAGACATGTGGATAGAGGTGTACTATGTGGGCCGTTAGGGTATCTTGAGCCGAAAGGAATGTATGTGCTTGTGCCTCCAAAGACTGGAGTGACTTCATATGTGAGGCCAGCCGGACTTCAGCTGAGTGGGGGTAAAAACGGCAAGTCATGTAGAAGGTACCCCGTTATACGCGAAACTTCGGTGAGTAGGCTCCCGGATATCGAACCAACCCCCCAAGCCCCTTGATACAAACCGGCTTATAACTGCCGATAGGGTCAAAGAGTATGTAGGTACCAAAGTATTATACATGAATGACCTCGGCGAGGATGTGGTAGAATCTCTATATCTACCTCCGAGCTGGATATGGGCAGTATAGGAGGAAGAAAAAGCGGTGTTTGTTCTCTATATTGTATATGTAAGCAGAAATTGGGGAAGTCGAGCCGGCGCTGTGTTTCAAAACCCGACGTAACTATCCGCAATATCTGAGTAGATCAGCTTAGATGGGGATGGGGCGATATCCAGGGTCATTGACCTATTAGGTAGGTACTGTGCTTAAACTCGAAGCTCATAGGAAGATAGATACTCGCACATGCCATGACATTTACCGAATGCACGTACCCGTGCTACCCAAAGCAGAAAGGCGAGTTACACATCGATCATGTAGCTTTCCACCTTCCACCACCGTTGCCTAGACCTCGTAAGGGACGGGTTTGGTAGGCGCAGGCAAGCTTCGTCGGGGTCTGATCGAAATCATCACAGATCGCGTATAACGACAAAGACCAGAAAGCAGTACCTAGAAGGTGAAAGTGTCAGCGGCAGCGCGGCACCAAACCGCTCACAAATACGTCGCTATCATGCGTAGTAGAAAGTCTCTCATAATAACCAACACCATTCTTTTAGGTTGTCCCCGGAGCCATTTCAATGGTGTCCATTACGCCGTCCACGCCGTTTGCCCGTTCAATCCAACTGGTATGGCAGCCCCCTTTATCCCCGAAATTATATTATATACAGTCCATTTATATCATATTACCCAAGCCCGGCCCGTCGTATAGTACATCAATATCGTCAACAGGTAGATATATCCTTGTATAAATCATTGGAATACTTTCTTGCAGTTGCTTTAGGTAACTCCAAACTCCTGTTGGGGCTTAATATCACACCATGAATGGTATCATGCAACATATGGTGAACTATGATTCGAAGTCCCCTAGACGCCGCGTTTATAGAAATGAACGCACTCGCTTATTACTTTTGGAAGATGTTATGTTTCAAGCACTCCCGTTCCATCCGAAAATAGGAGCAAGGGCCATTGCATAGAGCCAGTGTTTGTGGCGGTGGCGGTGGTTGTCGTAGGGGTATTATCCATGCCCACTCCCAAGGCCAAACCGCTAGTTGCGTTGCCATCAACATGGGCATTGGGCCTCGGGCCAGAACCGCCTAGAGACATCAGAGCGCTGGCGCTATATCGATCCTGATTATCGACGATGGCGGCTGTCCAGTCTTGCCAAGTATTTCCTACTGAAGGCTGTTGCCGCCACATGATCTCCGGTTGCGTCATCTGCGTAGCTTGTGTAGCAAAGGTTGCTATGGGGTTGTGTTCCGTCATCTGAACTTGAGCTTGTACTTGTGCCTGTGCTTGGGCTTGTGTATGCGCATGACTCACTTCCACCTGCCCGGCTGTCTGCGCGTATAGGAAGGAGTTATTAGGATCAAAAGGTATAGTATTAGTTGTATGAGGCGCGGGGTTTGCATATGAAATCGAATATGCTCCAGATTCAGGAGTGGCCTCGGAATAATAGTTATTACGTGGTGTTGAGATGACGTGGCTCGTTGGTCCGTTCATCGTCTTCGTATCATTATGACTAGGCGCTATATTGGGTGCCGTAGGTAGATTAATATAAGGTGGTGAATGTGGAGATTGCTTCAGCATATCTTGTGATAGTTGTGGTTGGGTGACTGGTCCGTTGGACTCTTGAAGACGATCATGCTCTATCCAGGCAATAGTACGATCGATAATAGACGATACTGCATCATGGAGACCCATTCCGCAGCCTGTCGAGGCAATTATGGGTTAATGATGTGCGTAACTGGGGGAAGATTGCGTACTTACCCATAAGATCTCCAGCCTCGGCTAAGATGCTTCGCCAAATATTCATGTCCTTTCGAAGGGTCTGTACCTCAGCTGCATTTGTTTCATGCCGTCTTTCCCAATGCGCAACTAGAGTGCAGAATATAGCCGCAACATATATTGAAAGACAGTACCATGTTGTGTCTAATGACTTCAACCTATACAACTTATGCAGGATCTTTAGCATGTACATTGCCGTTTTCTCACATATTCTTGTATTTTCTGCGACCATCTTTGGGTTGTTCGTCACACAGGCAGCTGGATGCCGTAATGTCAATCCTGGAATGCTCACATTAGTATCTCATGTGATAAGGGTATTATAAAAAGCAAATGTGATTTCGACTTTTCTTATTTGTGCATTTTCAGAAAGCCCAGAAAGCCCAGAACACGAAAGGGGTTGTTCAAATATTGGGGATTTGCTTACGGAATTCGAGACTCATATACTCAGCGTATAGAGCGAACATAGATTGATCTGGCTCGAGTTGTCCTCCGTCTTGAAACTTCAAGGTGGGAGGAAGATTGTCTCGCCAGGCTTGAAGTTGCTCTTCGAGTGTCCCAATCACGGTGGTATATCGGTCAGGATCTTTCCTTAGGCAATATACATGAGCATACATTTCGAGGAATAAAGCAGAAATCTTGAAAGCACAAATGCCGATTTCGAAAGGACATGGAGCTGTTCTTGTTGTGTCAACACCATCCTTAGTAAGAAGTTCATCGGCTATCGGCTCAGGAAACCCAGAATCGATATCCTCTAACCGAATAGGCATGGGCCGTCCCATTCGACCATTCAAAGTGACAGCAGTCGAAAGAATTGCCCACCATACTCGTTTACGAAGCTCGTTCTCCAGGTTGGTTTCTTCGTCAGGCTTTTTCCAGGCACGGTGCACGCCGAGCTCAACAGCCATGCCAAGACAATAGTTGCTCAACATATTACTAGTATTAGATTTTGGGAATCGCATGGTATGGACGGCCATCATGGTTAAGGCTTGGAGAGCCTGGAGGGAATGGGATACAACCAAGTCAAAGAACAGGCTTAAAGCGTAATGGTAGTGCTTATTCGACAAGTCATCTAAACGCGCTCTCTGTTCGGGCTGCTCACGATTTCGAATCCCGTATTGCATATATATGGAGGCGAATACCATGTGAACCATAGTTGTTTCAGCCACAGTGGGTTTGAAGTTGGGGTCATCGTAGAGACGACCCAACTGAGACCATTTAGTATGGACTTGGATCAAACTAGTCGCGTGTTCGGGGAGGTAGACTTACGAGGGACATGAAAGTAGGCTTGTGCAGGACGGGGTGGAAAGGATAAATCATGAGAAAATACCATTCAGCATACGTGAAAGCGTCAACCTTTGGAGGATAGTCAACAGGAATTAAAGGGTTTATGTTTGTGGCGGACTGCAACATGGCCACGACAGACCTGTTGTAGAGTGGTGTTCGAGCCGGGGTATCAGGAGAGGGTTCGTTCATGCCTGGGGCGTCGAATGATCCTATATCTATAGTGCTTCCAAGGATAGAAAGGGTCATGCCCTTAACAGAACTTAGGGGTGCTTGGTCAGCACCAACGCCTATATGTGCGTCCGCTGGTCTCATTTCGACATTGGAACGCAAAGAGTTTGCGAAAGGTATGGGAAAAGCTCGATGTAGATCCTTCGTCCAGTTGGACGATGTGGGCTGGGCCCATTGAGAAGTCACTACTGAATTCCCTATAGAATCTTGTATTTGGCTTCCTACGCCTTCGTCGGGGGTAGTATTTTCGGCCGGTAACGAGGCTGAACGCCAGGGTTTAGTTTCGAGACCATTTTGATGGAGGAGTTTTTCCAGTTCCCGAATATGATTCAACATATCCGTCTTTTCACGTTCCAGCTCCTGCATGTACCCTCTCCGTTCCGTACGCCCCGTAACGCGATCGGTCACGTAACATTCGAGATTTTGGTTGATACAATGCGAGCAGCCCTCGGGCAGAGCATCGCAACGGATCTTGCGAACCTGACAGGACCCATGTTAGATCTCGGTTGGTGTTTGGCGAAGAATTTATAGGATCATCATGACCAGGCCAGGTCAAGAAGGGGTGTCTGATAGTTGGCAGTACAATGGGATGGAATGGTAGCGAACAGTTTTTCAGACCATCCTCCACCCTCCCCTCCACCCTCTGTCTATTTCTCTCTCTCTCGCACACACACACACTCTCTCTTTTCAGTCTCTATTCAACAAACTCCTACGCGCACACGCACACACCACACACCGCACACAGAGAGAGAAATGTACTCTCCTTCTTTCTTTCTTTTCCTTTATGTATATATATAATAGCCGAATGAGACACATACCTTGCATCGATCGCATGCTTGTCCCGTTCTCGTATACGATTGAAGCTTGCTTTTCACAACACTGGAGAAGTCATTAGAAGCAGCGCGGTCGCGATCACGTTCACGATCTCTGTCTCTGTCTCTGTCTAATCGAGGTAATTTTAATTTGGAGGTTGGGTCGGATGAGTCTGGATCGATAGCATCACCAGGCCGTTTAGGCGGCCGGCCTGGAGGCATGGCGACACGAAAAGGTTATTTTCTTGTTTCGAGTTTCGAGAAATGGAAAGGTTGATCGTTGGCGTTGGCGTTGGCGCACAAAACCCGTTTTAGAGCTTTAGAGCTTTTTAGTTAGAGCTTTTTGGAGCTTTTAGAGCTTTGTTATTCGCGACAAATAAGAAAATGGAGTTTCCCGAAACCTTAACAAGCTTTGAGACCAGATGAGCGTGGGGAGTGGCCCCTTACCTAATAAGAATAAGAGCTAGCAGGCATATGGGCAGTTGATATATTTGGTATTGTACCCTGAAGTTAACGGGCATGAGCGGGTTATTATGGTTCTTGAATGGCCTGAGATAAGATTCAAGTTAGACCTGGAGTACTGGAGGACAACGTTGAATGTTGAACATTTAAAACGAAGGTCAATTTAATAATTGAACATTGAATTTAAACATTGAAAGTTATGGGTTTGTACCTACATGTATATATGTAGGTATTATACATACACATATCCATGGATACTATGCATGTACCGGCCTTACTGCCTCCAGGGTTATACATATGCAAGTATAGATATACCTACATAGTACGCACCTAGTACACATGTAGGAGCTACAATGTAGCACTGCTAGCTGCTAGCTGCTAGGCCTACTAGGATAGTGCTAATGAAATGCATAGAATAGAATGTTTTAATGGGCATTGAAGGACTAAAATACCAAAAGAACCTTCTCAACATTCCATTAATAAACTACACAGCCTCGAGCCTGTCCACACCTTTTTATGCCTTTAATGCTCCCTCCCTCCAGAACCAAGCACCCAAGCGTTTCAATTCAAAAACAACAACCACGAATCGTATGTATGTATAACTATATACCCACCTATTTATCTATATTAGTACCTACCTACCTACCTACCTACCTATCTAGTGTAGACATCAAGATATTTCATAAAAGAACGGAATATTCCGCCAGCTTTTCACTTGTGATTTCGAGAAAGCAATTCGACCTATGGAGATCGGATGGGCATGACGAGCGCCCCGGGAAATTTTTACACTGTCAGTGATAAAGTAAGGTACCAATGGGGTTCGGCTCATTCCATTCGTCATCCGCTGCCGTTAAACCCCCATCGGATCCTCGCTCTCAGTCTCTTTTCCGCATAGCGCGACGCAAGGAGTCTTCATCTTAGCGTTACGTCTGAAATCGGAAAGACGATCAACACTTGGGAGGGTCTCAGGAGTGACCTTGCAAACTTGTCTCTTGTCCACATGGATACCTCACAGCCAATTGATCGCCCATCAATTGCCCATTAACTCAGATACTGAATATTACCTAATAGCGGTGAAGCTCTTCCATTTGAGAGCAGTCGACCACGGCATGCCCACGTATCACGGCATGTGAGATAAAGATGAGCATGGCTGCATGATACTAGACCTAGAAAAAACGGCGGCTCATGCAAAAGTCTTGGGCTCATCCAGACCATTCATTGCTTTAAGCCCTATTAATGGAGCCGAGAGATATTTACCGTGGTTGTACTCAGTCCAGCAAGCTCATAGATCATATCCAACTACTCGGTATTTTGTATGTGTTGTAAGTATTAACTCTTATCACGATATGGATGGTGAGATGGCTGTTATACTCAAGCAGACATCCATAGACATATTCAACGTCATTTCAGCAGTCGTCGTTCTTTATCTTATCAATCAGAACTAATTAGGCATAATGCAGTTGAAAGTTGAATTACTTATATAAGTTGTAGTAACAACGTCTAACCTACTTTGTTCATGCAAGTAATTATTAAAGCTTCATCGGCTTTGCTCGTGCCGGCGGCTTGTCGATCTCAGGTGAAAATACGGGCGAACCAGACAGCTGGGTCAGCCTTATATGGCTCTTCAACTTAGCTCATCGGGTTTATCTCCGTTGATAATAAGCAATAAATGCCTACGTAGGTATTGATTGAGAATGCGTAGGTTGGTGTGAAGCTACTTCTAGATATAGCGAAGGTTGCGGCTAAGTCTAAAGGCTTCGAATAGGGGTAAAGGTATTGGCAATATTGAAGCCCTGCTAGCAATAAACAACTAACCCTGTTAGAACAAGTGTCAGCTGTTTGCCAGCTGCCTGCCATGCCCCTCCATATCTTATCCATACCCCACCATCAATCTCATCGCCTACCCTAGGTAAGTAGCTATAACATGCATCTTAATCATTACATGAATTGCTCACTCAACTGGCTTATATCTCATATTGCCATCTTATACAAAACGACATCTTCAATCTCACTACAAAGATATAAAAGCTTGCGAGAAAAGACCTCACTAGCGATGGCCTCCAATGAAGACAAGGCCACAACACCACCAGCAGGTCTGCTAGAAACAATCCAGCTAGAACATGTGCCCTCAACACACACAGTGCACATTGCCGCCTTCAAGGATGTCACCAATGCCGAGTTCCTGCAACAACAGCTGCTGAGTCGGAACGCCGAGTTTGAATATGCTTTCATCGACGCCAGTTCTGTGCGTAAATTATCTTGATCGCTGCCCACCCTCTACCCACGTCTTAAAACTCAGGAGCACATGACAAGCACTCTTGCCATCCGCATTTTGCTTTGGAATTTCAGAGAAGAAAAGGGGGAAAAAAGAAAAGTTATGGCTAAATACTAATGTTCATAACCGGAAAACAGGTAACCTCGCGCCTCCAGGTCCTCGCCGCCGTGTTCAAGGCGATAACGGTGCAGCTAACCGGGAACATGAAGACGCCCAACCTGCACTCCGAGATCGTGTGCTCGCTGAGTCCAAATAAAAACGTATGTGCCTAAACTGTCCACCTACCTACCCTCTCTCTCACTTACTCTTTCACTTGCTATCTTATCTCACCTACTCACACATCCTCACCACCACCTGCAGATCTCAGAAGCCTACCGACGCTTCGGCATAGCAGCCAGCAGCCAGCACCTCATCGTCGTCAAAGTCCTCATCCCCCCCTCCTCCCCATCCCCATCCCCATCACCCCCTCTAACCCCAACTACCATATCATCCCATCTCCACGCCAACATCCACGGCACACCCCTCATCCCCTTCACCGACGCAGTCCTGCAATCGGAGCTCACGGACTGGGCGAAGGTGCGCAAGTACTACAAGCTCAACGGGAGCAGCTGTCTGGACGCGTTCGGGGATGATGAGGTGGAAAGGAGGAGGAGGGAGACGGAGATGTTGGTTTTGGGGGGTATGGCTTTGAGGAGTTTGTAGGGTTTTGAGGGTCAGGTTGGGTGGAAATGGATATGGATATGGATAGACCCAATAGACCCAAGTCAAGTGATTGTGAGTGTGAAGGGGGAGTGAATCTACAAGGACTGCAACACCAATACACCTAAGCAACCACAAACTACACATATGTCACACCCACATAGCCACCTGAAACATCGGAAAGTTCTGCATTTTTTTTTCAATTAAAAGCAGTATCGACCAAAATACATGGTAGGCGGCTAATCGTACCTACTACCTAGTTAAGCGGTACCTAACCTATCAGAGCACCCCCTCCCCTCCCTCAAACTCAAAGCAACCAACCCGTTTCGATCAAATCCTTTGATCTACCCGCCTCCCTACCTACCCACCTAGCCCAGTACATAGCAATGAGGAATCCCAATAACAAAAAAGTAAACACACTGTAGGTACCTAAACGCGATACCTTAAAAAGGGAAAAAAAAAAGGGGGGGTGCCCCGACCACTCCACCCGTGGTATCAATTCATAACTTCATTTCACTCCTGCGCAATGTCATGCTTTTGTCTTTTGTGAGGCGTTATCCCCATCTCCGTCCCCGCTCCTCAAAAGGAAGTCAGTCCCATGCCCAGGTACCTCTAAGCAGCCCCCAACCCCAGACTCCCCCTTACCCTCCTCACAACCTCAGCCCACATCGCATCACGTCCACTCCTCGTCCTGGCCACCGCATCCCTGTTCTCGTACGCCCTGCGGAGCAGGTACTTCATGCACTCGCCGGTGGTGCCCCAGACGATGTACTTGTACGCCTTGGGTGTATCGTCGTTGCCCTTCGCCACGACCGCGCGCTTCTCCTTCGCCGCGAGAACTAGCTCGCAGCTGATCTCGTCGGCCATGCCCTGGAGCTGTGCGATGGCTAGTTCGGTGTTGCGGTCGGCCTCGGGGCTTTCGCGGGTCGTGCGCGCGCGTCGCACCGACTCGAGGTTGTGCGATCCGAGGACGACGCTGACGCGTGGGAATGACGTTGCCGCTCCGTTCTCTGGCTGTAGAGTTTCTCCCCATTGTCGGCAGATGAGGCTTGTCGAGATGCTGTCGTAGGCTGCATCGGTCTGCTCTTTGGTATCGTGAATGATATACCTGGGATCGGCGCCTAGGTACGCGCCGCGCACGAGCTTGACACCGAGTGTGAAGTTGTCCTTAGCCGCAGCTGCGAGATGCGCCGAAAGCGTGTGCGGTGTGGACTTGAGGTATGCCTGGTAGGTTCCGTAGATGATAGCATGGCCGGGGATCTTGTTGTGTTTACGCTGGTATTCAAGAGTCCAGTCGTCGATGCCGGCCTGGACAGCCATCTGCTCGGCATCGAAGAGTAGCGGGACATTTTGTTTGGCAGCAGCCGCGCAAATCTCGTCGATGGCCTGACGCAGGTGCTTCGGCGGGGGTAGGCGGTTCTTAAGCGCGTACAATGCTTGTCGTCCTGCGCCGCTGAACTTCAAGGCAACGAAGTCACCGGGTTGAGCGAGTCGCACTGTTTCCAAGGTACCAGCAGCCCAAGGACCAATCTCGTTGCGCAGACATTCGGCGGCAAGGGGGCCTTCGTCGCAGGGGGAAAGGGTGCGTGTTTGTGAGTCGCTTAGTACGATCTCGCGAGCATAGCCTAGGATTACGCCAGTGAAACCGATATTCTTGAGGCCGTCGATAGTGCGGCGGACCTCAGCGGGATTCTCTCCAGCACAAAACTGAGAATAAAAGGTTTTCTTCAAGAACCAGCGGAGCAGTGGGTTCTTGTCTGGGTTGAGGATCCCTTTGTTGGAATGGGCAAGCACATTCATGATGGCGAGGGAAGGGGGGAGGAGGACTCGTGACGATGAAATACTAGTCGTGGCTAGATTTCGGATTACCGTGGACAAAGGAAGCACTGATAAGGGGGCCGACTTAGACATTGGAGGTGCTTGGGTTGGAAAATCTGTGGGAATGTGGCTTTCTGATGCTGTGCCGGCCAAGGAAACTTGGGGTGCAGAAGATGCTACGGGAGGCGAAGACCTTGTCGAAGAAGAATGAAGGTTTCTAGTTGTGGATGAGTTCAATGCTCTCGTGGTCGAGTACATGTGTGCTCTGCCGAGATTCCGGGAGAGGCCATTGTAGCCTATGACATAAAGGCCGCAAGATTTATAGCTTATCGAATTTGCATAAAGTGGTAGAAGGGACGACCTTGCTAACACCTTAACTTGTACCATTGTCAGTTATCTTTGCGGTATTTCAGTGTCAGGCACGGTCGATGTTGACTAAGCTTTCTTAATACTAGGAAAGGTAGAGTGAATAAGGGTGAAAAGGGATGGGACTGAGTAGGTAGGACTTAATAGAGGACTAGGTGACTAGGGAGATGATAGTGAATAATGGAGAACAATGAGTTCAAGAAAAGAAAAGAAAAAAAAGAGAAGAATGATTTTAAATATGAAGAAATAGACTGACTACCTTATAGTTTTAGAGATCGCAGGTTTACTACCTGCCTACCTACTGATGTATCCATCTGGTTATTCTAAGCGGCTTCTTTATCTCCGGAATCGCAGCAGCGTCAGTTGCACTGCAAGTTGAAAGCCGACGGGGGCGCATCGTACGGCATCGACGAAGTTCCCTAGGTTAGGGGGATGGCGAACAATCCACCTCGAATCTCCGATATTCCAATCACGACTCAATGACATGGAGATACTGCATGGTCCAATCCACCGGAACTCTTATCATCTTCGATCACGTGGGTCCGTGAATTTATGAATGCCGTCTGTAGCCGTGGATGTGAAAGAAGCCAGTACGCATAGTAAAACTAATAACGTAGCCATTGTCCAATCAGCGACAAACCCGCGGGGTAGCGGCTTCAAGACCCGATAAAATGTGAGTAATAGAGAGTAATAGACTCTGCTTAGCGCGTCTAGTAGACCTGGTATGCTCCCTAGCAAGCCTAGCAAGTAGTAGCAACTCCCTGGCTAATAACCGTGACTGTGTTGGCTTCTACTACAAAACTAGCCGTGGGCATGGAAAGGTCAGGCGAACGGGTTTGCCTAGCTTCTGCTTGAGCCGAATGTAGTAGGAACAAGCTGTATGTAACAAGCTGTGACCCCCTTACTACAACATAGTATGTACGATCTGGATGGTTCGAGGCCTGCGGGCCGGCGTGGGGTACCCTTTCTAAGCCAAGCTTAGCTAGACCACCCCGGACATACCTAGTTAGACATTATTTGTCGCAAAAAGCTTCGAAGTTGCGATGTTGGCCGACGCCGATGAAATATTATGCAGTAAATTATAACGTAACCTGCATTTCCCAAGCGGGGCTCATATATTGTTGTTGATCCGGGCTTATGTTTTTTTCTGTTCTTTTTCCCTGAAATATGACCTTCTGACTTTGATCGTATCAGTCAAGGCACCTAACTTTAGGCTTCTCACCTCACAAATAGGTTTCGTGTTGTAATAGAAAACCCCGCAGCCCGATGAAACGGTAAGCTGCTTGGTGCGGTTACGTTGGAAATCCTATCCAAGGAGCCGCAGTATCCAGCGATAAAAGTTGATGGTAGAGAAACCCGTGACCTTGCAACGGCTTAGGTATTCGGTGTTATCATTTCCTTTGGCTAGTTTCAAAGGATCGGCACGATAACTCATGTCGTCTTCTCCTCAAGCTGGGTGGCTTTCCCGATTTGTCTTCGGATAAATTCAATGTATCCGACAGGTCGGCCTTTGGCAAGAGACATGACGTCCTGGATTGCTCCGTATGCAAGCCCAAACTTGAGACCCTTTCTAGCGGTTCTGGCAGTTTCTGCCGCAGAAAAGCGATCTACACCATTCGGAAAGAATAGTTAGACTCAAAGTATAGTTACTGGGTAGCAGAAGATGTAGCAGTAGATGAACAAAATACTGGGGGAAAAAACATACTCCAGAAGCTGAAGCCACCAGCCACTGCAAGACTAGCCATAACAGTGCTGAACATATCTCTGGTCCCTCGATATACGTCGAATAAGTTCTCGGCGCAAAATATAGCAGTGCTCAAAATGCTAAGCCTGGCCCCATTCTTCATGCCCTCTTTCAACCCACCAAGTGCTAAGTGATAATTCTTGCTCTTGTGGTATAAATACCAGCCAGTGGTAGTAGTAGGGAGTCGGTGGGCATGCTCAGCCCTGTATCGCAGTCCTGCCATCTTACTACCATGCGCAAGGCCTAAACACATGCCAATACCAAAGGCTGCCACGGCTGCAGCCGGTATTCGTATGAAAGGTGGGATAGATAGGCGAGACTCTTTCCATGTCTGGGCGTACTCTTCACGAGTGGGAGTCCATTCCTCTCTGGTCGGCCTGTCGCGTCGAGTCATTTTTAAGATTGAAGTTGAATATTTGATTGGAGCTTATAATGTTGATATGAACGTGAGTGTCCGCGTATATGTTTCTATGGTAATTGAAAATCAATTTGAATGAAATGAGATAAAAAAACAAGTACAGTATATGCACATTGCTCTTTACACTTTGTCTTTGCAGCTTTGTAAAAATCAGCTTCAGACGCTTGGACCAAGTGACAAGTGATTATTACTCCACTGTTGCTTTTGGGGGTGGCTTGGCACCGTGGCAGTTGGGTCACTTGGGTGGTTTCTAAAAGCCCTGGAGTACTTTACGCGGCTGCCACGTGCTATCGCGTTTGCATTGTGCTACCAAATACGCTTATCCTTCCAGTGCTGCAGTCACAGCAGGCATACATAAATTATATAGTACATATAGTTATATGCACATACCTAAAGCTCGACATCTTCCGAAATACTTACACTTGAGGTACCTATTTACCTAATACTCAAATCGTTGGCTCTCAAGAATTTATAAGATGGTATGTTACAATGAAGCATTGCAGTTTGTAAGGAGATCTACAAACATGGAATATTACTGGCAGATTACTGGTGACTGTTGGTGCACTCCTACCTTTTAACCTATCTACCTCTCTAGTGATAGCACACTTACTCACCAGTCGGCATGTTACTTCATATTGATAAAAAACTAACCTGTTCAATGCAGGTCTACCGCGAGTATTTGCGAGACATTGACATGTCGATTCACTTCAAATTTGGGACTCACACCATCTTCCTCTTCGTTGAGCCAAGCACACCGATCAGTGAAATCGCAGCAGAGCTACTAGAAGTCTTGACGGAACGCTATCCGACAGGATTAACTTCCATCGAGGATCAAGCTGTTGTGAAGACTGACCTTCCTAGCGATCCATCACAGATCGTGTTTGGCAAGCCCAAGTCTCCTACCGATCCTAGCCTAGGATGGACAGCTCTCCGTGCTAGTGGGGAGGATACGCTAGTCAAACATCATGTCAAGGACAACGAGAGTTTGGCATTCACATTCAAGCCTAAAGATGCAGGCGAAGACTACGAAGTCAAATTTCAAGTCTTCTACCCGAACCCGGTAGAATATGGAGATGAACAGTAAAAGGGGATGGGCCAATGAAATAGATTCACGAGATATGACTTGACAGATGGACTCATGATTCTGATGAGGGCTTCTAATGTTAAAAGCAGGAAGGGCTATCTTAGACTTAGAATCAGTAAAATAAAATAAAAAACCACCTGAAATCCATTCTGCACTTATTCCCAATATCTGTTTGATATCTAATGTTGCGTTGAATGTTCAATTTTATACAATTTTATATAAATAATCCAACATCGTGGAACCTTGAAAATTTAAAGTTCTAAAATGTGCTATGTAACTAAATTTAGTGAAGAATCTATTGGTGCTCTCCGTAATACTACTATGACGCGGCTAGATGGGGTCCTTATTATGGGCCTTTTTATGTGCTGTAATCTCCGTGGCCAGCGGCCGAGGCAGTAAGAACCTTGGAACTTTTTAGTTACTTTCAGGGTCCATCTCGTCCAAATAATCAAACCCCTTTTTTCTTTTGATAACATATCAAGATGTGACATGATCCATCCAATAAAATAAACATCAGAGTTTCTAATCTAAAAAAAGAAAAAGATTGGATACTAACTAATAGGTACCTAACTAACCTAAGTTAGAGTACATACCTACTTTACCAGGTTGAGAAGCAAAGCCACTAAGATTGCCGTTTCAAAGGACAATGTTCAAAATACCTTCCTTCTTCATTTTTTAGTACTAACTAATACTTACCATCTTTTCAAGTACCTGTTCTTAATTCAGTCATTTAGTCAATTAGTCAATTAATCATTCATTCATTCATTCATTCATTTAAAGGCTTCGGCCACTCATGCACTTTTCTACATGTACTCTGCGACCTCTCTTCGCAATGCTTTGCGGGTTCTGATCCCAATCGCTGTAGCTTGTACTTTTTACCTGTATTTGTATCCTGTCTTTCTTGGATGCGCCTTTCCCCTCCCTCAGCCGGCAGGCCAAACTGAGCTGAACAATGCCGCCGCTTTTCGAGACACGTTGCGACAACATGTGATTCCTTCTTCCAGCAGTGCTGCGCCCTTCCGACTTCTCGCGCTCGGCGACCCCCAGCTCGAAGGCGACACCTCCATCAAAAACTACAACCGCGAGCCCTTCCTTCACTGGACATGGGCAATGCGCCATCTTACCTACAAGACTGAACAACCTTCGCTACGCTGGCGCCTACGGCAGGTAGTTCACGATCTTGTCGATGTCGTCTTCGAGGACATCCCTGATACTCTCGAGTCGATTCGCAAGCGAATAGACCTGTTTGGCAACGATTTTTACCTGGCCCACATATACCGGACCCTACGGTGGTGGACTAGGCCCACCCACGTATCAGTCCTGGGGGATCTGCTGGGAAGCCAGTGGATCAAGGACAAGGAGTTTGCGCGTAGGAGCTGGAGATTTTGGAATCGTTCATTCAAGGGAGCCGAGCGTGTGCCTGACGAAGTTGCTGCTTATCCTTTGGAGGAATACGATTTGGCTGGGTTACTCGGGGTCGAGGATAGCAATGCCGCGGCATGGCGGCGTAGGCTCATCAATGTGGCAGGTAACCACGACATTGGCTATGCCGGTGACCTCACCAAAGCACGGCTAGAGCGATTCGAGCGTGCCTTCGGTAAGGCCGCGTACGAGCTCCGATTCGAGCTTCCTATCACGAACGCCAATGCCAATGCGACGATCTACGATGCGGAGAAAAACCCCGAATCGAATCGCCTATCCCCTGAGCTGCGTATTGTCAATATCAATAACATGAACCTGGACACTCCGGCTGTAGACCAGAGTCTCCAGGACAAGACATATGCTTTCGTAAACGATGTGGTGAACACGGCTTCCGCGGTCGAATATTCCGGACATTTCACGCTGGTTTTGACCCACATCCCCTTGTACAAGCCCGAAGGCGTTTGTGTCGATGCTCCTTACTTCACTTTCCATGCTGGCGGCGGAGTCAAGGAGCAAAATCAGCTCTCTGCGGATGCGTCCCGTGGGTTCTTGGAGGGCATCTTTGGGCTGAGCGGTGACCCTAATGCAGCGGGCCAGGGCAGAGGTCGAAGGGGCGTCGTGATTAATGGTCACGACCACGAAGGCTGCGATACGTACCACTACATAAACCAGACGGCGGAGGGCGACAATCGCCAATGGAGAGTGACTCGGTGGGATAATGCGCAAGCGGCAGGAATACCTGGAAACAGCGAAATACCGGGTTTGAGGGAGGTCACCGTCCGAGCCATGATGGGCGGCTACGGAGGTAATGCTGGGCTGCTTAGTGTGTGGTTCGACGAAAGTACGTGGGAGTGGGAGTTCGAATTCACGAACTGCGCTCTAGGTACTCAGTACTTTTGGTGGTTTGTGCATCTATTCGATTTAATCACGGTTGTCGTGATACTGACTTATGGTGTTGTGCGAATACTGGGAGCGGTTGGCATCGATGTTGAAAATTGGTCTGCTGCGAAAGCCGTAGTCTCTGATTCTATATCCACGAGCAAAGGCGCTCCGAAACTTGTCTACAATGGCAATGGCAACGGCACTGTCCATGGTGATACTAAGTGAGGGTAGGGTTCCCCCTTACGCAACTAGCTAGTGGCGGATCTTCAGGTACGGAAATGTAACGAGTCATGAGTGTGAGGTACCTGTACATATATATGAGGCATAGACAAGGACTTAATGGAGTACTGCATACTATGTAGGTGATCAATAGCGAATAAGCAGAGTTGGCAGCTACACTCACTAATCCTGCTTATTGACTTTTGTTCACGGTGAGGCACCTAGGTATCTACACCACAAAATCCAAAACCACCACCTCGACCCCCTCCCCCCCTTTCTTCTCAGCCCGCGTGAACACAGACAACACACCATCATACTCCAGCCTCTTAGTATCCACCAACGGCTCCGTCGGCGGGAACCCTTCCTCCCGCCTCCACACCAGCTCGTACTTGGCGTATCCCGAGTCCCTCGATGCTTTGAGAATTGTCAGGCCCGGAGTTGAGTGGTCGGGTAGGATCAGGTACAGGTCGTCGTCTTTGCTGATGGCGAGACGCCCGCGCTTCCCGCCTTTGACGCCGTGGACGTGGGGGAGGGCGTGTTGGGTCCATGTACCTGGTTTCGCGTTAGTGGGTAGGGGGATTGTGGTAGGTAGGTATGTTGACCTAGTAAGGGGGGAAAGCAGGAAGCGGAAACAGGATATGAGACGGAAAAGGGGAAGGAATAGAACAAAAATAAAACAGGCAGGTAGGCAGGCCGAACTAACCTTCCGGCGACCGATAATAATGCTTCCACCGCATCTCCCCGTCCAGATTATCCCGGTTCAGCACATGCACGCCGCCCCTCCCATCTACCGCCTGCGCCTCCTGGTTCGCCAAGCCCGAGCCCTTCGGGATCGCAAACGCCGTGATGCCTCCTGCGTCTGGCCTCACCCCTTCTTCCCCCAACCCCGCCACCACCTCCCCGGCGCCGTTATACCACACGCCCAAAGCCTCAGCACCACCACCACCAGCAGAAGAAGGGGACTGCACATCAGCATACGCATAACAGATATCATAGTTATTCTCCCCCGAGTTCGGCCCCGCCTGCCGCTTGTGCTGGACATCGCGCGGGTCATCCCACCCCTCGTAGTGCACGAAGCCGCGGTACACCCAGGTCGCGTGGAGCCGGCCGCGGCGAAAGTCGAGGCCGTGCACGTACGGGTTGTTGGCGACGCCGCGGAGGATCGTGCGCGGGGGGTTGTAGGCGTACGTTCCAGCCTTCTCCTTACTGGAAAGGGAGGGGGAGGAGGAGGGGGAGGAGTACACGCACACATGGTCGTCCCCGAGCCCCGCCTTTCCCGTCCGGAACGAGAAGAGCAGCGCGGACTCCAGCGGCACGAAGCGCGGGTACGTGACGTAGCCGAGCAGGGCGTCGTGCTCCGGGCCGAGGCCGGGGAGACGCGTCAGGTGAGGCGTGAATAGGGCGGCGGACCAGGGGAAGGAGGTGGGCGAGTGGGCTACGCCCGGAATAGAGTGGCGGTAGCGGATTCTATGGGGTTTGAGGGGTTCATATTAGGTGACCGGTTACATTTTATTATCGATTTGGATATCTAAGTGGATATGGATATGGATATTGGGGGGGTACGGAAATGGTTATGGGATGGTTATGCGGTGCCTACCTGTCGCAGTGGTGGTCATAGGAGAGATGGACTGTGCCGTCGCCGGGACAGATGCCGAGCTTAAGTCAACGCACTCGCTTTAGCCTCTCATCCTTTCTTTCATTCTTTCTCTAACTCGCCGTTCCAACACGAAAAAAAAACACCCCTCGTCTACGCACACAAAACAAAAAAAATGCAAGAAGGGAGTTCAACATGCAGTATCCCACCTACCTGTACCGTATTATGCCCATCATCCGTCGTCTGCGGGTAGTCCTCAAAGACGAGCGTCTCCCACGGCCCTGCCGGTAGCAGTAGCTGCCTGCGCGCCAGGTGGACGTACAGCGGCTCCGGGGCGGCAGGCAAGGCAGCGTAGTAGCATGCGTACTGCCAGCCGCCGAACGACTGGACGGCGTCCTGCTGGAACGCGTTCCCGTTCAGCACGCAGCGCCGGTGGGTCGGGTCCGGGCCTAGGACTGATGCCGTGGGGTCTGGTAACATCTTGTTTTCCCTCTCTCTCTCCTTTATTTTCTTGTTCTTGTTCTTCTTACACTGTCAAAATGTAAGGGCAGGGAAAATAGGTAGGTATTGGTGATACAAAACGCCACAATGGAAAAAAAAGGGGCTAGCTGAGACACACGCACTCTCTCTACCTACCTAGGTACTAATGCAGGAAGCTGAATGTAACGGTGACGACCCGGTGGCGGAATGTCACGACACTCGGGGTTCTAGAACGAATTTGAACAGTATCGCGATAGTGTAACACGATACCTCCTGTTCGCAAGTGAGTGCTGGGGAGGCAAAAAAAAAAAAAAGAAGAAAAGTTTCAGGTGGCCTAATCAAAATCAATCTCAATAGTAACGCTCGTACGACAGATTTCCATCTTCAAGCTTTATAGTCTTCAGATCTCCCAAGTGCCGGTGTAGCAATCGCCCGAGTGGGGGGACGATAGGGTGGACGATAGGGGGGGGAGGTTGAAATACGAAGTACCCCATGTGAAAGGGGACTCTAGTCGTGACATACCTAGGTAGGTATCCATGAGTTCATTCTCTTTTTTCCAAGCTGGCATATAGGTAGGTTGAGTTCATGTCATCTATTATTGAAAATGCAAGTCCAGTATAGCGTGTTCCGTAACTAATAGGCTATGTCTAATCAAGCTTTCCATAGTCGAATTTCTATACACTTGGCCCCCGAATTTCTCAACTTGCCGTTCTTTTGCGCTTCTTACACTTACACGTAACCAATGTCAGATGTTACCTAGCTATACCTCTGAGCCCACCTTACCTGACAAGCTATTGGATAGGATAACAAAACCCAACTTCTTCGTTACAGATGTAACCACGAAATATGCACGAAACGACAGTTAGACTTGATCTAGCCTACCATCGATAGCTCATCCCCCGCATTGAGCCTAAAAGCAAAGACGACTTCCGTAGCTACATGGGTAGTGAACAAGCATCAACCTGAATGAACCAGGTACGCTGGTTGGTCGCGTTTAAACCAAAGGGACCAGGAAAACTTCCTGCCACACACCCACGATGACTATTCGGCCCTCAATTTCACTCTCTACAGGTACCTCTCCACTTCCCCTACAACCCCAACCGCTAACCCTGTCAGCTTCTTTCTAGCTCTAGAAGGTGAGCTGATCCTAAAGCTTCTTGACTTTTACGAGGTATTGTCGCTGTGGGCAGGGATTCTCGAGAATTCAGAGCAGAGAACCGCACCATAATTCTAGGAGAAGAAGGAGGGGGTTGGTGTATTGAATGCCGTAGGGACCTATACTAAATTTGTAAATATGTCTAACAAACGATCGCGAGTTGAGCTAGGCAAAAACCCCAGATCTATGGAGAATTCCCCAACCTTGCTTAGGCCTACCCCAGTCTCCAGATCCTCTTGGCCTTGGCCATTCACGGGGTAAAAAGGGCTACCCGCACCAGTGCTGAACCGGCACTATCTAGTCTTGCCAGGATTGCTTCGGTTCGAAAGTCCCCAGCGCTTTTTTGCTCAAAACATACGAGCCTTCTGTTTGGTGGAAGAATGCGGAATTTAGCGATCGCTGGATTTCCACCCATCACAAGGGTCGAGGCATGGATCTACAAAGGGAAAAGAAGCCTCGGGCCCCAGGTCCTCCATTTTACAGTACATAGTACGAAGCTGCGTGACATCTATACCCTAGTCCCGAATAGCGTAGCATTGCAGCGAGGCGACGTGAGTTTATATCAGCAGCATGCATACTTTTAAAGGCAGGATTTCGCTGCTCGCCCTATTTGCTTCTGCTCGCTCTTCTTCTTATGAATCGCTGAAGAGACCGAGCAGCGACGAGCTTCGTCACAACATAAAGAGCCACAAGAGATATTAAGCGCACACAACAAGTGATTTGGGATTACTCCCACCCCTCCAGCAATCATGTCGTTTCTTTTGAAGCGCATAGTCAAAAATGACGCCATGAAAACTGATCCGGAGGAGATCTATGGATGGAGGGTTTATTTGTTGGCTTGCTCCGTAAGTAAACTGTATCTTCCCGATAAGTCCACCTCCGTATAAAGGCTAACGGTTGTTGCCAAATAGGCCTGTTTCGGCGCCATGTCCTTTGGCTGGGATAGCGGTGTAATAGGCGGTGTAATTAACCTCGAATCGTTCAAGGAGTATGTCTTCTTTCTGTTCTTCTTCGCCCTAAGTTTAGGAAAGTTACTGACAAAGCACTCGGTTGCAGAGCTTATGGCCTGAATGGGAAGGAAAACTCTGTGGCAGTAGCTAACCTTTCGGGAAATATCGTATCTGTCTTACAGGCCGGATGTTTCGTAGGCGCTCTGGCAGCCTACCCCCTCACAGATGCATATGGCCGTAGGTATTGCTTGATGGGTGCTGCTTTGTTGACCCTCGTGGGTGTGGTTATGCAAGCTGCTGCTTCTGGTCACCTTGAGCCTATGTATATCGGCCGTTTCGTCTCCGGTAAGGGTTTCGAATCTCAAGGGGTCCATAGTCTCCATGTGCTAATATAAAACCATCATTCAGGTCTTGGAGTTGGCACATCCAGCGTTATCAACCCGATTTACGTCACCGAGAATGCGCCTCGTGCCATTCGTGGCCTGCTTACTGGCATGTACCAGCTCTTTATCGTTACTGGAGGCATGATAGCATTCTGGGGTAATTACTCGGTCAGTGTACACTTAAGCGGCGCCAAGCAGTACATCGTACCGCTCTCCGTGCAGGGGTTGCCTGCTTTCCTACTCTTCTTTCTGATGGCAATCTGTAACGAATCACCTCGATACCTGGCTCGCAAGGACCGTTGGGAGGAGGCGAAGGCAGTGCTGACACGGATTCGGAACCTTCCACCTGATCACCCGTATCTGCTGGACGAGTTCCAGGAGATCGCCGACCAGCTGGAATACGAACGACGCCTCATGGGCGATGCCACCTTCTGGACATTGCAAAAAGAGATGTGGACTGTTAAGACCAACCGTAAGCGAGCGATCCTCAGCATCGGCCTCATGATTGCGCAACAGATGACAGGTACCAATGCAATCAACACATACGCGCCGCAAATCTTCCAGAACCTAGGAATCACGGGAACGTCGAACTCGCTGCTCAGCACGGGTGTTTATGGCATCGTTAAGGTGGTTGCATGCGCGCTGTTCTTATTATTTATGGCGGATTCCCTGGGTCGGCGGCGCTCACTGCTCACCTCGTCTGTTGGACAGGCCTTCTGCATGTTCTATATTGGTCTCTACGTACGCATCTCACCACCCGTGGAAAATGCGCCAGTGCCGGGTGCAGGCTACTTTGCACTCGTGTGCGTCTTTATATTCGCCGCCTTCTTCCAGTTTGGCTGGGGTCCCGCATGCTGGATCTTGGTCTCCGAGATACCAGCTGCGCGACTACGGCCTATGAACGTCGCATTGGCATCTGCCACACAATGGCTTTTTAACTTTGTCGTCGCCCGCGCTGTGCCCAACATGCTGGCTACTGTCGGAGACCACGGGTACGGAACTTATCTGATCTTCGGTAGTTTTTGTGTGATAATGTTCTTCTTTGTCTGGTTTTGCATCCCCGAGACGAAAGGTATGTCAAATTCGCTTTCCCCCTTTGGAATTCGCTGTTTGTTTGGAAAGGGGGCTCAAAGCTGTGGATAGAATCATGATAACTAACACTCAATTTTCTTGTAGGAGTTTCTCTCGAGCATATGGACCAGTTATTTGGTGTTCCTGAGCATGAACATAAGGATATGACTGGGGGCGCGAAGAGTCCTGTAGCGAGAGTGGAAATCGAAGAGCATCCTAGTAGGTCGGATACTAAAAGCGTATAACGCAGGTGAAAATAGTAAGGTTAGGTAGAGGTATGATATCTAGGTTCCTAGTAGGTGCATAGCTTGGGGACATAGGTGTAGGTGCTACTGGAATTTCAAGTAATTGTCCTCTACTCGTGATTTATATCATCCACTTGTGTAGTTGAAAGATTGAAGTTTTTGGCTTTTGAGGTTCAGAACCTTTGAACCTTGAACCTGCAGTGCGACAAGCCAGTGCCACCTGCTAAAGCCTAAAACAGACAGTGAGTGAGTAGGTACCTAGGATATGCGATGTCGGTATTACCTTTATCCATGACCCGCCGAGGTCATCACGTCACTGGTTAAAATCCACTATCCTGGCCTAGGAGTTAAACTTAGAAGGCAGATTTAAAGCCGTGCTTCCCGAATCACTTGATCACTTGCCTGTAAAGTACCTACCTAGCCAGGCTTCGTTAGTGGCTAACTTAGATGTTCCATTCTAAAAACCAAAACCACCAAAATCTTCCGATTGAATCAACTTTCTATCTGGATCAACTCCTCTAACCTTAGGTGTCTTCTACCGACCTTGTCCCCTCTCCAATTCAAACTCATTGGTCTTTTGATACTTCACCTTTCATCCCGATTCTTAGCCTATTTGTGTCTTTCAACTGACTCTTTAATGAGACATACGATATACTGCATACTACCAACCTACTGTATTATTTTATTCAAGATGGCAGCCCCGAGTGCTGCGTTTTAGAGGGTGTTGCCATTTGTTGAAGTATCACGATGGCACCACCCTCGCGCTGCCTCTCTGTACCTCGATTCTTTGACCAATTGCCCTACTTAGTAGATACACCATAAATCGAATAACTTCCTGGACAACTCTTGTGAACGATCTCAGTGAACCATTACCGTTTTTACTATTATATCCGAAAATAGACTGTCGCGTAATCACACTCGCATTCTGCCCACGTGCAAATTTGCATCACCATACAACCCGACATACATACAAGATGCGTCGTAAATTTGGCGCTGGAAAGGGTTCGCGGGCTGCGAGCGCAGCTCTGGGCCCAACTCCCAAATCTTCAGCACTCACTACCCCACCCAGCTCAGCATTTCCTTCGACGTATGCTTCGGAAGCCGAGTATGATCTGAATGACGAAGTCGCAAATATCCCCATAGGTGCCCTTTCTTTAGATGCATCTTCGTCGACCCCCCGCAAATCGAAACGCATGAAGCAACCACCCTTTCGGTTTCTCGACCTCCCATCCGAATTACGCCTCAAGGTTTATGGCTACCATTTCGCCACAACTGGCGATGTGCTTGACCTTGACCCCGAAAACCACAAGAGGATCCATCAGAAATTGGCCATTCTACGAACCTGCCGCACTATATACCTAGAAGCATCGTATCTCTTCTATAGCACACACCCTGTTCGCATCTTTCCTACGCACCCGGGGCGATTCTTCAAGACAAAGAAGCCGCTCCTTGCGCGCATGAAACCAAACCAACGAGCATGTATGACTTCACTGGAACTACGATTGGGGCCGGGCTGGAGCAAGCCGCCTCGCGGGTGGGTGGTTAACCCTGGATTGGGTCTGGCAGATTGTACGAATGTCACGAAGCTTACCGTCTTCATCGAATGCGATCCGGGAAATGACATATTCAGGGGGTTCCGTCAGCCAGACAACTTCTACGAGCGATTCTCCAAGTCTTTGCTGTTGGATGTTCTTGAGGAGATGCCGTGGGTTGAGCGAATCGAGTTCGATGCATGGCCTAGCGTTAAGAAGTCAGGGGCACTGATGCGTGGACTGATGGAACTCTCGACCTCACGAGGGCTCAGGATTATCTGGGGTAAGGAGAGGGGATGGACGGATGCGGAGGAGATAGAACCGCAACCGGCGTTAAACCTCAATGATCCCCTTTTCATTGACCACAGTAATCCGGGTATTATGGTGGTTGTGTAGGACAATGCACAAGTATTTGGATGGACTGCAACGCTCTAAGATTGAGACTGAAATTGATGACCGACTAGAGCTATGAGTGATGAATTCAAAGGGGCAATTGGCCGTTTCTTATTATTATTCCCTACCACTATCTGCTCTAATGGATGTATATAGTGTAGCTGTGCGTGTACAAACACACCTCTCATTTCTCCGGTAATGGCTCTGACCTAGGGGGATAACTAAATGCTATTACCATTCTCCCTTCTAGTTGGTGTTATGTAAAATACTGGAAATATTTCAAGGTCGTAGATAATAGGTGACTGGCCACTAATATACTACGTGCTACTACAGAGGGTATGTACGTAATGACAAGAGGCTAAATTGTTACCCAGATGCAATCTCTTACCTACTTCACTCTACTGTACTTGAATTTGTACATTAAGACTGCATCGATGATGGATCATGGCATAATGGCATAAGTAACGTTATCACTTATCAGCTCAGTTCCGTTATCGTCGTAGGTTATCTCCACCTTTTTTGCTCTACCAACCCGTGACCCCACTAAAAATATCTAGGTATTCTAGATTTGCGACAGCAGCCCTGGAGCATGAACTTCTAACCTAAGCTCTCCCAATCCCACTATTACGTACCTTTACAAAACCAGATTACAAACAAACCATCCAAGCATACGGGAGAGAAGAGAAGAGGAGGAAATACTTAGAGAGGTCACCCAATAGGCGAAAAAAAAAACAACAACGGGAAGGGCAGCAAGGGACAGACATAATGCCCCTCGACAGTTCCATCTACACCCTCGGGCTCCTGCGCATCGACGGCCGGTGCTGGAAAGATCTGCGCCATCTCAACGCGCAGATTCACACCCAGGCTAGTGCCGATGGCTCCGCCTACTTCGAAATGGGCAACACCAAGGTCATGTGCGTGATCAACGGCCCCAACGAAGAAGGCCGGCAACGTCGCGGCGGCCAAGCGAGTTCTTCAGGTGCTGCTACGGGAGGAGGAGGAAGCTTAGGAAGTACTGGGAATGCCGAGATTCTCGTCAGTATTGATGTCGGCGGGTTCAGTACCGTCGACAGGAAGAAGAGGGCCCGGAGCGACAAGTGAGTTTTCCTTTCCCTTTTCTCCGTTCGGTTGTCCTACCCTACCTCCTACGCACGTTGGTATTAGGCAGGCAGGTATGCTCTGCTTGCATATACTAACCGTGGGACCAAACAAACCCAACAGGCGCATCCAAGAGCTCCAGACAACCATTGCCAATGCGTTCAGCACGGTTCTGCACACGCACCTATTCCCACGATCCAGCATCTCCATATCTCTGTACGTGCTCTCGCAAGACGGGTCTCTGCTCGCCTGCCTCATCAACGCCGCCACCCTCGCCCTCATCGACGCCGGCATCAACATCAACGACTACCTCGTCGCCTGCACCGGCGGCAGCACCTCCTCCCACTCCGCCGCCGACGACAGCGCCGACCCCATCGTCGACCTCAACGGCCAGGAGGAGCAGGAGCTTCCGTTTCTCACCGTCGCCACCCTCGGCGCCACCGACAAGGTCATCGTGCTGGTGTGCGAGAGCAGGGTCCAGATTAGTCGCTTGGAGGGCATGATGGTCGCTGCTGCCGATGGCTGCAAAAAGATTCGCGAATACCTCGACTCCAAAGTGAGGGAAAGGGGCGATAGGATGGTGAAGGAGGGTGCTGTGGCGAAGGGCGCGAGTATGGCTTTAGATATTGAAGCTTAAGGGTAGTAGAGCAAGGAGGAAAGCCACCGATCAAGGGAACATGAATGAAGAAGAAGAAGAACAAACCCATAGAAAAAGAGAGAAAGAAAATAATAACACGTGGTAGACATTTGGGTGTCATGATGGATATAACATATCAATTGGCAGGCGTTTACAAAGCATAGACTCGTCTTGTTACGGGTAAGTCAATCCCCTTTCAAAAAGTTGTATTTTTGTTTTGCTTTTACATTGTTAAGACTGAACTGCCTGCTACGATGCTAAAATCGAATTACTCCAGACCTACAGCTCCTCATGCTCCCGCTCCTTGGCCGGGGTAGCTTCAGGAGTCGGCTCTGTACCCTCAGTAGGCGTCTCCGTGTCGGTTTCAACCTCCACTTCCACGGACTCCTCAACCTTGACCTCGACTGTCTCAGCCGGCTCTTCCTTTGTGGTCGTCTCCTCGACGACTTCGCCGATTACGCCTTCGGGCAACTTCTTCTTAGAGCCCTCGCCTAATCGGATGGCGTCGATCCAGCTTTCTACAGTTTCGAGGCTGTAGTCTCCCTCGTAATGGCGCCACCATCCCCTCTTGCCATTGACAGCGACGATTTCGATCTCACGAGAGAGTTCGAGGCTCTTGAAGACTGACGCCGCAGCTTCATTGTCAGTGTGTACTTCGAAGAATGGGAACAGGTGGCGTTGTCCATGGACATGCTTCAATGCTAGCTCGGCTAAGCTGCTAAGAGCCTTCTCGGCGGTCTCGCCATGAGTGGAGGGCACGAAGGCAAGCACACAGGTGTGGGATTTGCGGTTTAGGCACTCCTTGGTTAACTGATCGGCCTCGGTAATCGCTGGGATGGGCGGCGCAACTTCGACCGGCCTTTCGGGAGCCTCAGTGATTCCAGGCGACTCGGGCTCAGTCTCGGTTGTCTTGGAGCTGGACTCGGTGGATTTGGAAGATGCTTTTTTGTCCTTCTTCTCAGTCTTCTTCTCGGCTTTCTTCCCTCCGTTTGACTTGAGACCTGTCGAGTCTGGGTTCGGTTGGCCGGCTTGCGACAAGAACTTGACCATATCGTCCTTCTTCAGCTCCCCATCGTACAACAAGCTTTCTTTATCGCCACCCGGCAGTAGTACTAGAGTCGGGTAGGACTTGATACCAAATATCTGGTTGGCCTTGGTCTCCTTGTCCCGAATCTGCGCAACAGTGATAACGTCGAGGAAGTCAATGGCAATACTCTTGAGTAAAGCGCTCGTGGTGCCTTTCTCTGTGAATAGAATTGCCTTGGCCGTATCGTTGTCAGAAGATAGGAAGGTGTCAATCTCCTTGTCGGTCACACGCTTGACATGGTTGTTGATCTTGTCCACGACGGTATCCACGATGCCCTTGGCTGTGCGTGGCCCGTTGTAGTCTTCCACGACCGGCTTCCCCTTCTTGCCCTTGCCCGGCCGCACTGTCTTCAGGGTCGGGAACCCCTTGACGCCCATTGCGCTGCATAGTTGCTTGTTCTCATCCTCGTCGCAGTTCACGGCCGCAACGCGAGCGAGTCCATCGAGATTCTTCGCGGCTTTCTCGTAGGCGGGCTTGAGGTTCTGGCAGTGTCCGCACCATGGCGCGTAGAATTCGACGACCTGTGGTCAATGTAGTTAGTATTCCGGTGGGTGGTAGGTCACGTTCTACATAGGTTGTGCGGTATCTGTATCTAGACTTACAGAGGTATAGTTGGACCTGTTGATCACGCGGTCGAAGTTCTTGGCGTCGACTTGGACTACGGGGGAGCTCTTGAGGTATAGGCTAGCCTGTACGGCCGGCAGAGCGGAGAGCAGAGTTACCGCAGCAATAGCTGTGGTGGGGATGTTGAAGGTGTGCATTGCAGATGATCGATCTGCTTTTTTTGTTCCGAAGTTTTGATCTTACGATTGGTCAAGAGGGGCACTGGGGGGTACAATGGCAAATGGTTATGTATAGGTATATAGCAGTCTTGGACAAGACCAAAGCTATGTAGTCTTCAAGTAAAGAAAAAGTAAAAAGAGGGAAAGTATCAAACCGTAGTGCTCACAATTCCAACGTGTTCGTTATATGTACGAGGGGGAGAGGAAAGGATTGGGTTTATGACAGATCATCCGTTCCTTTTTGACGGTTCGTCACACGGCGCAAAGGAATATGTATTATGTAGGAATTTTAAGCAGGTACGCTATGCTAGGTAGGTAAGGTGTTCTGAAGCTTTGCTTGTGTGGTGTGGTTTGCTCAATCGAGCAAAAGGCCACGGTGGAAATTCGATTCGATTCGTTAAGAGACTACGCTAGGTTACTTTGCCCCTCTTCCCGCAGAAGTTGAGGATGTTGATTGGCTGGGTTGGGAAAATCTGGGGTAATCTGTGGCTGAGATCTAACTAACGTTACCTTAAACCTTGAGAGTTGGAAACTGTGGCGCGAGCTATACGTATCGAAGGGGTCCAAGCCAAGCAGCCAGTTCCTTATCAATTTCAAATTCCATCAAGGGTCACAGTGACGGAATTCGCTTGGTGGGGAACTAAAGTTGAGTTACTTATGTAGGTACCCAGTACCTGTGACGCGGGGGCCAAGATCCCAACACTCGAAGGTTTGAACTTCAGATGCGCCTAATTCTTTTCAGTATAGACTCATACTTTACATATTCATATTCGACGATACTCGCTTACCTACTACCTACTTATCCACTAAAGTAGCTGACGACGTTTCACCACGTTACCCTCATCAAGGACACTAGGCTGCACCTAGGTTCTTTTCTAGTATTCTTATAGCTCAACCGACAGCAACCTACATCTCTCTCCCTTACCTATTTTTCGATCGGCCGAATATCAACTTGCGCTCTTCGTGATAGAGCACCCGCCTCCTCGCGATGGCCTCCAATATACCCCCGAAGATAAAACAGGCGGGCATCACTCCCTTCATCATACGCGCCAACCAACTTGAGACTGCAAAGCCTGTTATTGCCTACTGGTGTATGCGCAATCCACTACTGTTCTACCAGCAAACAACAATTTTTAACCTCTAAACATATAACAGGTTTCTACTGGGCCGTCAACCAAATCCTTGGTAAAGGACTTCACTCCGCTGACGATGAATCTCTCCAATTCACTACGAACCTGATGGAAAGGTTGGAGCAGGTAGGAGATTAACCCGGTTTTCAATATTCATTCAATAGCACCCAGTCCTCTAATCACTTTCTTGGATATAGATTAAAGGATCACAAGTTGGAAATGATGCGATACACGACGACGCTGCCGGGCAGGCATATGTAGAGCAGTTTGCGCAAGAGACCTTCGAAAGAGCGATTCGACCGTTGAAAGCCAACAAAGTGACTCAGTACAGACTCACCATTAAGCGACCCGATCACTAAGAGTCTTGATCGCTAACATTTGTTAGGCAAACTGCGAGTACTTTCGAGGCCGCGGCCACGTTCTATCAACTAGTGAATATCTGGGGGACACCAGATGCCGAAACACAAGGGAAGATCAAATATGCAAAGTGGAATGCCGCCCGCATCTTGAAAGCGATTAAGGAGGGCAAGGATCCCAACGAGTCGAACCCAAAACAAGAAGAGAATGAGCTAGATCAAGCTACACCAGCACTCGACCCGAATGACCCGGAAGTGCAGATGATCAAGGGTGCACAACCGAGACAACCTACTGTAGAAGAAGTGCCAGATGAAGATGCATCGAGGAGTTATCAACCTTTTCCTGCCCCCGTATCGGCGCCAACGTCGCCTACAGCTCCAGTGGCACCAGGCCCTGAACAAGTGTCTCCTATAGCACCGCCTAGCGTACCTACACCAGAGCCAGGGGGCTACTTTCCCAGCACGGGCAGCGCTCCGGACACTTTGGACTTACCGTCTATGTCGGATATGCCACCCCCGGGCACGGCTCCTTACAACCCAGTGGGCCCTCCGCCCGTATTACCGAGCCCTAGTTCTCATCAACCGGGCGAGCCACCAAGCATCGCTTCGACACCTCAGGACTTTTACCGTCGGGAGCCTACACCACCGGTGGTCTCACAAGGTCCGTCACGAGTTCGGACACAGGCAGCTCCTCCTAATCCGCCTGCAAGTACCGGCCATAATTACTACACTCCACCCCCGCAGCCCGTCGCCCCAGCTCAACAGTATGGTGGGAACAACGCACCGTCAAATGCATACAACACGGACGATATGGCGATTGTGCAGGCGCAAAAGCATGCTAAGTGGGCGATTTCGGCGCTTAATTTTGAAGACGTGTCAACAGCTGTGCGGGAGCTGCAGGCGGCGCTGGCCACTCTCGGAGCTCGATAGTTTTAAAACTTTTGTTATTGAAAGAGAATGGGAATTTAATAACATGATGATAGTTGAATGGAAAGCCGATATCCCCACCGTCTATAATGACTAAATGACATGTGAGATTGTGTAGTATCGGCGAATGGAGTGCATTTAGTAATATCCATGATGTTAAGAGCTCCGGTGCACTAGGTATCTAATTCCTTCTATGGGCCGTTTCCAGGGGCACCTATAGGTCACCTATGATTAATTTCTCGCGTTTCTGTTGTTTCCTACATCCGGGGCAGCATTTGTTCGGGATGCGTTGACGCATTCGTGGATATAAGGTGACAGGCTGGCTGGGCTGCGAGATGACTTTGCTTAATCCGATACTAACATTTGAACTTATAGGGGGGGCATCGGATTTGGAAGATTTTTGGGTTGGTAAACCCGAACCGATGGGGGAGGATGGGGACTCTAGGCAGCCGGATTAATTACATGTCGGGAGTATGTGGTTCTTTGTTCTCGCTAGGTTATACATAGTCATATTACCTACCTAGGTACATAATGTATTACACCTAGCTAGTTGGTAGTGGGCATGTAAGCAGTGGATGGGCATCCATGGGCATCTGTACCTGAAAGCAGTTCCCGATAACTTGCATTGGGTCCTTTTACCTAGGCCTGGTGCCCAGGCGACCAATGACACACAGGCATGGGGGATATCTGGTGGTGTTGATATCTTAGTGGCGCAAGTATTATCGACAGCTCGAAAACCCAGACCATCGGCCAGGTCTGATCGATTCATAAATCTGAGACGGATTTAAGTTGCGTGTCGTAAAGACCGCCATTGGCTCGGTCTGGGAAAAGATGGTGATGAGGGGGGGAAATCACCTTCGAATAGAGAGATGCTCGTTCGTATTTTACTTTTGTGAGACTGAGAACTGAGACGTACATACATACGTTGATGCACAAGATAAATAGTTCGGGTCTTTCCCACCACATCAATATCGACCTACTATACCGACTTGCTTATTTTGTAGTATCCCTTACGAGTTGCATACCTGTGGTAGTCACGACATCATCGTTTTCTTACATACCTACCTACCTAGGTACTCACTTCAGCCAGTCAGCCAGTCAGCCAGTCCCCCCCACACCACCGCACGCCATATATAAAAATCTTCAATGCCAAAGCCCTCCTCCCAGTGCAAAAGAACCGGCGGCAAAACCTCACACTTTAAAAGCAAGCTTGGGTTTCTCTCCAGATCGAAAACAGACTCCTCCCCCCCAAGCACTTCCGAACCGTTGGATTCGTCTAAGGAAGCTGGTACCACAACCACCACCACCACCACTACTGCTACCAATACTGCCGCTACTACTGGCAATACCAACACCATGGCCTCCTCCCTCCCCAAAACCTACAAGGCCGTCGTCTTTGAGCAAAAAGGCGCGCCCGTCGTCTTCAAGGACGTCCCGCTGCGCGAGCCGGGCCCCAACCAGGTGCTCGTCAAGGTCCTGGCGTGCGGCGTCTGCCACACGGACCTCGCCGAGCACGCGGGCTCGCTCGGCAACGTCTTTCCCCGCGTCCCCGGCCACGAGATTGTGGGTGATGTGGTGGCGGTGGGCAGTGGCGTCACGCGGTTTAAGGGGGGCGAGAGGGTCGGTGGGCCGTGGCATGGTGGTTAGTTTTTGCTTTTTTTCTTTTTCTTTCTTCCAGTGTTATTACCTTATTCTTTTTTCTTTCTTTTTTTTTAGGGGGAGGGACTATGATTTTTTTACCTCTGGTATGATTAGGGTGGTACCACTACTAACACACACCCACAGGCCACGACGCCACCTGCCGCCCCTGCGCCCGCGGCCAGTTCCAAATGTGCGACGCCAAGGCCATCAACGGCGTGACGCTCGACGGCGGGTACGCCGAGTACGTGACCCTGCGGGCCGAGGCCGTCGTGCGCGTGCCCAACGACGCCGACCCCGCCGAGACCGCCCCCTTGCTGTGCGCGGGCGTCACCGTGTTCAACTCCCTGCGCAAGCTGCGCGTCGAGCAGGGCAACGTCGTCGCGGTGCAGGGCCTCGGGGGGCTCGGCCACCTCGCCATCCAGTTCGCGAGCAAGATGGGCTACCGCACAGTCGCGCTCAGCTCCGGCGACACGAAGCGCGGCTTCGCGGCCCAGCTCGGCGCGCACGCCTACGTGGACACGTCGAAGGAGGACCCCGTCAAGGCGCTGCAGGCGCTTGGCGGTGCCGCGGTCGTCATTGCGACGGCGCCGAACCCGAAGGCGATGGGCCCGCTGGTCGCGGGGCTGCAGGCGGGTGGGAAACTGCTGGTGCTGGCGCCGGTGGGGCCGGTCGAGTTTAATACCCAGATGATGGTTAGTAAGGGCCTTTCGGTCCACGGGTGGCCGAGCGGGCATGCGCTGGATGCGGAGGAGGCGATTGCGTTTGCGAAGGACTATGGGATCAAGTGTCTTGTCCAGAAGTACCCGCTCGCGAAGGTGCAGGAGGCGATGCAGGCGTGTGAGGATGGGAGTGTGCGGTTTAGGGGTGTGCTGCTTCCGTAGATGGGAGGGAGAAAATGAGGAAACTTTGTACACGTGGAAACAACTTGAATGAACAATAAAGAAAAACTACTATTATGCATCTGGATTCTTGCCTATTTTCAAGTTTTTTATGTAGATGGTAGAAATCTTAACATGCACGATAATATTGATAAATGCCCTATGTACAGGGGCTGCAGGGACATGGGCAGGGGCAACGGCAGCTAAATATCATGGGTCCCCCAATCGCGAGGTGTTTCCCCTCAGCTGTGGGCTTTACCAACGATAGGCCAGCAGCCAACGACGGCGATCTCCCCAACCGCTACGTCATCCCACTCAAGCGTTAAAGTACTTCCTTACATCACATCCATGGATATTTACCAGGTAGGTACATCAATAATAGAAACTTACCAAAAGCTTCAAAAACATCGAATCCATGACCTGGTTTCTAGACCCTTAGCCGCCCGCCAGTTGGACATCGCCCTTACTGGTAAGAAAAATGTAGGTACGTATTGTGTAGTGAAACAGGAAACAGGAAACAAGAACCATTCGACATCTATGGCGTCGCCAATATTCGGTTTTTCGCCTCTTAATATAGGTAGCTATCTCTTAGTGTCTTGCTTCTTCCAAGGTCGCATGGTATGGCCTGCGTATCCATCATGACAATATCCCATATTAACCCAGCTGCCCTCCTTGTTGGGAGCGTGACTGGATGGTCAGTATTAATGGCCTTTGTTCAGTGACCAGATCTACAATCATCAATTCATTATTATAAAACTCTTTTATCTACCTAGATAAAGAAGGAGCAGTAACGCGATTGTATATACACCACCTCTTACAGGCTGGATCATCTTGAGTCGTCAATCAAGTGTTAATTTCTGTAGCTTCTAAACTACCAAGCCATCCCAATGTTTTTCACATTTACTTCATCACATCACCTCATCCCTCCCCTCCACCTCCTCATCTTTACCATCTCCCAGCTACAGCCCGTCTCCAGCCAATCCACAGTAACCATAACCCTCGCCCCCGCGATCCCCAGCACCGCGCCCTCCTTCGTCGACCCCGCCGCCTTCACCAGCGCCATCCTCAACAGCACCAACGTCTACCGTTCCGCGTACAACGCCTCCTCCGTGCGCTGGAACAGCACCCTCGAGGACTTTGCCTCCTCCTACCTCGCCGCCAACGCCTCCTCCGACTCCGACTCTGATGATGATGATGGGGGCAGTGGAAACAACCTAGAAAAATGCACAATGCAGCACTCGGGCGGCCCCTACGGCGAGAACCTCGCCCTCGGCTGCTCGACCGCCGGCTCCTGCGTCGACATGTGGGCCGCCGAGGCCCCGCTGTACGACTACGCCGCCGCGCAGTTCACGCACGACTCCGGCCACTTCACGCAGCTTGTCTGGCGCGACACGACGGATGTCGGGTGTGCGGCGCATCTGTGTCCGGGGAACTACGGGTGGTATCTTGCGTGCGAGTACTGGCCTCGAGGGAACATTGTGGGGGCTTTTGGGGAGGAGGTGGGGGAGCCGGTTGAGGGGGCAGAGGGGGTGGTGGATGGGAGTGGGAATGTGGGGGGCATGGGTGCGGGTGCGGGTGTCGAGAGGAGGAGCTGGAGGACGAGCTTGGGGGTCGTGGGTGTGGCGGCGGGGGTTGTGGGTTGGGGGATGGTGTGAGAGAAGGTGTTGAGGACCTCGGGTAGGTATTAGGTGGCATTGACAACGACGAAACGATATTGTATGATGCACTGTATGAAATCTGTATTTATATTATTACATACCTACATCTTGACATTTGGACAAAACAACATAGGAAGGAAGGGATACAACGGGATGGTAGAAACTGTGTATTCAGGGTGCAAAGGGCAAAACAGGGGGCACGGCGTCAATCGATCACTTTTGGCTCTTTAGGAATTATACTCATTATTAGTCATTTATTCTATCCGAATACATACATCATGACCTAAGGTACCTATGCATTACTCGTCGTTTCATTCGTTCATTCACTCACTTCGTCGTCAACGCCTGCTGGCCAGCGGGCACATCAAATGGTCCATTCTCCGCCAACGGGAACCTCGGCGTGCCGTCCTCATTCCACGTGAACCTCTGCACGCGCGCGGTGCGATACAGGTCCGCACCGGGGTTCGCGGTGGTCTGGGCATGGTAGACGAGGTAGTTCTCCTCGCCGTCGGGGGAGGTGGTGAAGCTGGCGTGCCCCGTGCCGTAGACGCCCGCGACGGTGTTCTGGTGGAACACGCAGCCGGCGCGGTGCTTGCGCCAGGACTGGTACTCCATCGGGTCGTTGCCCACGAGCTCGAGCAAGCCCAGGCAGTAGAACGGCGTGTTGACGCGCGCCGCCGAGTACACCACGAAGTGCTGCCCCGTCTGCGGGTTCGTCAGCTGCTGCGGCCCTTCGTTGGTCGCGAGCCGGATGGGCCGCCCGTACGGCACCTGCTCCCAGGGCTCGTCGGGGATCGAGATCGTGCGCCGCTCGAGGAGGGTCGAGTTCACGGTCCACGGGTCCGACATCGCGGTTATGCAGAGGTTCGCCGGCCACGCCGAGTACTTCTGCTCCCAGCACGAGTAGATGTGGTACAGCTTGTCCTCGTGCTGGAAGTACGTCCCGTCGATGGCGAACTGGTCGTACGTGTCTAGCATGGGCTTCATTTCGTAGTTTGCCGTCCAGGGATCAGGACCATCTGCCGCGAGGACGAACATGCGGTGGTTGATCGCCTGTTGTGGTGGGCCATATTCATTAATATTTGCTCAACAGGGCATAGTTTTCCAGCCTCGGAATTAAGAGAGGGCATGGAATACAGTGAAAAGGAAAATAAAGTAATAAGCTCAATCAGATCTAGGGACAGATACTTACGGGGCAGTTGATCGGACACAGGGCATCTAGCAAAGGCGGTGGGTTATCCCCGTCTGAAGTGGCAGTGAAGATGATGTACCAGGAACCGGATATGTTGTGAATCTCCGGCGCCCACAGGCTCGTCGACCATGGTTCGCCGCTAGTGGGATCGGGGACAAACACCGCACGGGTCTCGGCGTGGTCCCAATTGTCGGTGAGGTATCGCGAGCGTCTAAGGGTGATGTTCTCGTTCGTCGTGTACGTGAACAGGTACCAGTCCTCGCCGTCGGCGGTGTATTTGGTCATGAACGGATCGCCAACATTGACGGTCATCACCGGGTTCGAAAACGTCGCATTGGTGGTCTTGTCTGTGCCGATTTTTGAGAGGTCCCAGTCTACACTGCCAGCCTTATTGGGGTCGAAGGTTTCTGCAGTGACTGCCCCTATACCCAACAACGCAGTGAGGGCGGTGGTGAGATGGGTGAAGAAGGGTCCCTTCATCTTGACTTTGCGAACGAAGCTCAGATTTGCCCGTTACCTAAACTGGCTTAAAATGATGCTGAGGTCTGGGACTGAAGAGCAGGAAGGTTCCTGCTGCTGGGAACCTGGGAACCTTCCATCTTAAATATACTTCCAAAGTTCCTTGTCCAAGGGTTGGGCTTAGAGCACCTTCTTCCCTCCCAAGTGGGTGGTGCCGATGTTGTGGAACAGCATTCCCCGTTCCTGCCCGCAACTTAGCATAAGCGGTCTGAAAATCAGCTCAGGCAGAAGCAAACGCCCAGGAATAAGGCGAGGGGTTTGATTCGCGGGAATGAGGTCAGATATGCATAGAGCAGCGAGGTATTTCGTCTAAGTGCCAGGGGTGACCCAAGTCGAAATCCTTTCGTACGATCTTGAAATGGCCGAATGGTCCCAGATCAACGTTGCACTTCTCCATCTTTGCCAATATTTTGGACCTGGGGTTGATGAGGAGAAGAACTGCGGGGGGTGGCTAGCGGGGTAGCTACCCGGTATGTTGTGTTACTAGAGGCCGGTTGTTTGTTCCCGGTGGTTTGGATAGTCACGATGGAACGCTAACCAAGGCCACGAGGTGAGGAGATGGAATCATGATTAGACTCTAGTCTCCCATAAACTTTCATCACTTTGAATTGATACTACGTAGTAAATAATTCTCAGAGACAAGCTTCCAGAGAAGACAAGTGGGTGACATCAACGATTCATTTGACAGGAGTTAGAGAGTGGTCCGGTTTGCTGTCCGGTCACTAGAAAATGAATTATGATCGACGGGCTTGAACAAATGTATTACCTAGGTCTTAGGTAATCACTACCCTAACAATTACCCCGATGGACCGAGAGCCAGAAGCCATCCAATCAGATCGACGATCGATTTCCTATAAGGGAAATATACTCAGGTACATACTAGTAGGTACTAGGTACACATGCGTATAGGCATTGGGTATATTCTATGTCTTACGAATGAGATAATTACATACTACGGAGCACTGATAATGCAAATAAGACAATCTTGCCACTTCAGCGATATATCTATTCAAAGAACGATCAAGTTGTTTATATAAAAAAGAAAAGACATCCATGCCCCTTTCACCATGCTCTATTCATACAGCCAACTATTCTAAAAGCTCCCCCCTCCCCCCGTCCCCCAAGAGAGTACTATTTCCTGTCCCCAATATATCCCGAGCCGCCCTCAAGCTTAAGCCTTCGCCCTTACAAGGATGGTACCGTACATCTCCCCCGCAGATGAAGTCAAAAAGTACCTAACCATGGTCCCCTTCTCCTGCGCATCCAGCACCGCCTGCGTGAGGACTGTGTACAGGTCGCCGGGGGAGACCCCAGCCAAGAGCGCGGGCCAGGTGCAGGTGTCGGGGGCGCTGGGGTAGCCCGTCGTGGCGATGATCTCGAGCTTGGCGTCGCCGTACTCGGCCGACACCAGCGTCCCCGTCTCGCTCGTCGTCGTCGTGATCTTCCGCCATATGTCCGACACCGCCTCGCTGATCACCGAGGTCCCGAAGGCAGCGGGCGTGCCCTGCTGCCGAACGACGGACCGCCGCAGAACGCAGCGCGCCGTGCTGAAGAACCCCGTCGCGGCGTTGCATTGGTCTTGCGGCCCGGCGCGTGCTTCGAGACCCGCCATGGTGGCGGCGGCACGGCGCTCGGTGAACCCGGCACGGAGAGAGGGCACACTCGCAGGGGCATCTGCGCGCACGAGGTTGAGGGAGGGGTTGGTGGTGTCGGCGTTCGCAAACACGACGTTCGCGCTGATGGCGAGGAGGCCGGCAAAGTGGGAGAAATGCATGTTGAGTTGGAATACTAGCAAATGCTTTATAAATGTGATATTTGACAAGGCTTTTGAGGCGATTAAAGGGGTTCGTGGGTGGTAATGCTATGAATGTTGGAGGATGAGGATGAGGATGTGAATGTCTAACAAAATTCACGACCATTGCCGTTCTATAGTCCAACTTATATATAATCGAGTGTCTGGTTATTGTAAGACTACCTATTTCAAAGATCCTTGAGATTTTAGACATGGAGAGTTCCAAAATTAGGTACGTAGTATTTCTGATCTCCCCATCATTAAGGCTGACGCTGATTTCATAATCTTGGCCTCCCTCTCTGTAAAGCGTCAGCGGATGATCCACATGCACCTAGGGTCCTCTATACAAGGGCGCTATAAGCCCCTTTTATTTTTCTGTTATTTTTCCATCTTATAGTACCTGGTCATAATAATCTTGCTGACGCTTTATACTGATTGTTCTATGAACCCCACAACTAAACTCTTAGAACTCTAAGGCCATGAGAGTGTATCTATTTTTACAACAAGGCGATGTGATGTCGATAGTATATTCATCTATAACTAGGTAAGTAGGTGCGGAGGTAGGTAGATTGCAGTATATAAAAAGGGATCTACATCATCAGTTGCTATCCAATAACATCCATCTCTCTGAGTTACCTCACAACCAACAATTTCACCAAGTCTTCCCATCCACTCACGCAATTTTCACATCGAAGTTTTTCAAGTTCTCAATATATACCTATACCTACATAGCATCCAACATGGTCGGCTTCTCCACCCTCAAGATCACCCTTCTTAGCCTTGCTGCCAGCGTCCCTCTCGGGGCAAACGCCGCAGACTGCTTCGGGAGCAACTTTAAGTTTTATGGCAATCTTTACAATGACGCGTGGGGCGCTCGCGGCAACCTATGCAAGAATGGTGGCAGTGGCGTGAGCTGCAACCCAAGCAACACCTACTGCTCTGTGACCAACGGCAATGTGATCGCGAGCTGGGTTGGATCGAACAAGAATGATATGCTTGAGAAATGCTCGGTGAGTTCATTGAACCCTCTCTTTCATAGAATAAACTGCGATAGTTTGCGCTGACCAAGTAACCTCCCCTAGGATGCGTTGAACAATATCATCAACCAATGCGTATACAGCAACAAGCCTGGGGGAGATTTCGTTTACAATTATAACACGTGGACCATCGCAGTGTTGGACAGGTAAAACGGAGTGCTGGATGAGATGTTTGTAGTATAGCAGGTGGGGGGTTTGGTATATTGAGGTTTTGTATTGCTTTGAGCTAGTTTTGTGTCGATGAATAGGGGTGCCGTGAATACTAGGTAGACTTTCTTTAACTCTACATGAACCATTTCGTTATACATTGCAGCGTAGTTGATATATATGGGTGCACCTGTCAATCGCCCCCGCCTATAATTACCTAGTACCTATAAGTTATGTGGTTTAAACATCTAGCCTACCTACCTAGGTACTCTATGATACACTCTGTTCAATCGTCCAAACGTGCAAACAATCAATACCTTTGAACGGCTATCAAAATACACTTGGTACCTTAGGTGGACTTGAATATTTCTTGGCATAGATTCTTGGGATATTCAAGGTCATCAGGTATACATGAGGTTAGTAATATGTGGTTTCGTAAAAGAGTATTAATAACGTGCTTTTTGATAGCTTATTATGTGAGGTAACAATTCGAACTAATTGCTTACATACGTTTAAAGTCCTTTTGCGTTGCTAATTACCCCTGACAGGCAAAGATTATATTCTGGCGTCAGCTAGCATAGCTATAAGGCGCAACATTTTTATAGTGCTATAATCAGATAGATGGAATCATCATAAGGCATGGCATGTGGAGCTATGTGGTAACGGGCAGCTTTGCGGCTTTCCGCGTCTGACGTCGTTCACAGGGGCAGGGAGAACTCCTAGAATCAGCATACTATGGGATATTGGATATTAATAGTAAACTACATTGCACGCGTGAATGAATGAATTCATATATATTTGATAACTTCTACTTACCTACATACTTCTTTACTCATTCCTCATTCTCAACATCTACATCCCTGATAACCATTGCTTCCAGTTTATCTTTGCAACTACCTATTACATTTCAAGTTCCCAACACCAAAGAAATCAAACCACCTACAACATGAAGACCTCCGCATTCGCCTTCATCGCCCTCTCCTTCTTCGGCACCTCCCTCGCCGCACCCCCCACCTCCTCCCTGCCGTCCTCCTCGCTCGACGCGCGGGGCCCCTCGGGGATCAACAACAAGGGCAGCGCGCTGTGCAAGAAGGGGTCGATGCAGGACATCCTGAAGCACGTGGGGTCGCTGCCGGACTTCCAGCTGTACAAGGACGGCGAGCACATCATCTGCTCGGACATCAGCAGCGGGACCGGCGGCACCTGCCTCTTCTTCCAGAACACGGGGCAGACCCACCTCGGCGCCGAGGTCAAGGAGCTGCTCACCTACCTCTCCCAGCACAAGAACACCGACGGCTGCGGCAGCATTCCTGTTACTTACCCCCCGGATGTGGGAGGCATCAATGAGCTTAGCTACGCGGGTTATCTGACGGTTAACTATGTCGCTAATACGGATAACCCTTGCCCGCCCGGTGTCTGCGGTGCGACGAATTGCTGAAAAGGGGGATATCCTCGCGGGGGTGAGAATGAGAGGGCGATGAGATGATGATGAGCCGATAGATGTATGATACTGCGGAAATCGAAGGGGCTGGTATGTTGGGAAGGTGAAGGGGAAAGAGAGAGATTTCACTCTAAGTTGTTCATTTGGTCGATATTAGTTGGGTTTACGGTAGCTTATACAATGTATGTTTTTTATACTCACTCACTTGATCCTCTTGTGCCTGAGAGTGTGAAGCGGCTCGAATGAGACTGATAGCAGACCCGGTATGTACTTTGGCAATGGTTGTATAGAAGATAGACATATATTACTACGAGAAAAGAGGAAGATCAGAAGTTCTTCTTCGTTGACTTACCCTGACTGACCCGATATACACTTTGCTCATGTCTAAGTAGGTAGGTACCTGGAAACCTTTTAACGGCTTCTCATATAAATGACATGACATATCTCGTGGTTATAAAGATGGGGTTGGATACGTGAAAGCGCCAAATAGGGGTATTATTGCTCGTACATCTACATAACAGTCGTCATCCTCCGTAACGCGGCGAAATGACTAGGTACTAAATACCCAGCTAACCCCCAAATCCATCCAGTTTTAAAGGCATATGTGATAGGCATTTTACCTACTTAGGCCAATACGTTCTCCGAACTGCTATCCTTCCCAATCACCTTCCCGTGCATCTTGCGCTCGACCTTGTCGTTGAGATGCCTCGTCGCATCCTTGGAGAAGAGGCATCCAACGATAGCGATACCTCCGAACCCAAGACTGGCTAGATACACGGTCTTGAAAGCCTGCGAATATGCCTCAGGTAGAACCGCGGCGACGGCAGCGCTGATCTCAGGGGTCAGGCCAGGGAATGTGGCAAGCTTGCTCTTCAGCACAGCGGCAACGAGGGCCGGGAGCTCATCGGCGGGTAGACCGGCGGCTATTGCTACGGGGCCGATATTCGCAGGAACCGTCGTGGTAAGACGGTTGGTCAAGATACTGCTGTACACGGCAACGGCGATAGAGCCACCAGCCGAACGAATCGAGGCCAATAGACCGGACGCAAGGCCGATGTCCACCGGTCTGCAGAAGAGAGGTGCCAACGCAAGAGCGCACACCTCGATAACGCCGACGAAGAACGGCCCGATCATCGTGAAGGCGATGCCGGCGTTGAGGGTTTGCGGGGTGAGCGATGCGCAGGCGCCGACGAACGCGACCATGGAGAAGGTCGAGAAGATGATCCAGTACCGAACATTTCCTCCCCACTTCACGAAGAACCCACCAAAAGCCTGCCCGAGTGCTGTCGCGCTCGCTACCGTGCACTGTGTTTGCTGTTAGCGAGAAGATCACGATGTCCCCCTTTCATCCCTGAACACTTACCGAGATCCAACCTCCATAGGTGATATCCTTGGTATAGAGTGCCATGACTTGCTGAGGCCATAATAGCACGGCGGAATAATAAGACATCTAAAGCCTATTAGCTAGTCCCCCCTAATAAGAGTATGTGTTCATTGCTGCTTACCGTGGCAACCGTGGCGCAAGCGACGAGACTGATGAAGCCTCGGTTGGCGAAGAATTGAACCGGGATTGCCGGATACGGAAGGTCTGCGTAGGCTTCGTAGACAAAGAGCGCGATGAGGAGAACGGCGCCGATGACGATAGAAGAAACCGTCGCAGCCGAGTTCCATGCGTAGATCGTTCCTCCCCAGCTCACTCCCATTAGCAGCAGAGTAAGTCCTGCGGTCCACATGAAGATTCCAGCGTCTAGATTCCATATCAGCCCTTCTGGTCAGACGAAGATAAAGTATAAATGGACTTACAGTCGAGCTGCTTTAGCAGTTCCCTCTTCGTCTTCTTCTCGTGCAAGAGGTCGAAAGTCGGCGGGTGGTAGAAGAAGAACAGCAGTATGATGGCTACGGAGACCACAATGATGTTGAGGTAGTAGCACCATCTCCATCCCATGTTCGGGTGCTGCAAAACCGCTCGAGCTATCATAGGCCCGATGCCGGCAATAGGTGCGTTGGTCATAAAGATCAACGACAGCACCATCGGGCGGTGCTTGTTCGGTACCAATTCACCCACTGCCACGTTGAAACTCAGCTGAACGGTCTCTCCTAACCCATAGATTGCGCTGCCGATGATTAAGCTGTTGATATTTTGAGCTGCGGAGCAAACAATGATGCCAATTAGGGCAACAATGTTGCCGCCAATGAAGAACCATCGTCGCCCGAATAAATCTGATAGTCTGCCCACAATGGTGTATGTGAAAGATAAAGCGAGAGTTCGAGCAATGTTAACCCATGAGATATAAGGGCTCGGACCTGATAATCTGTCAGTTTCACCGACCTCTCAACCCCCCCCCCCCCCCCCCCCCCCCCCCCCCAGTCCTCTCATCCGTCACTTCGTGAACTTACCTATATCGGCGTTTATGTAGGTTAACACATTAGTTGGCAAGAGTAAGAAGATAAAAGCTGATATCGCCGAGAGGCAGAAACCCTGATGGCCGGATTAGTCGAAATAAACAACCACGATCGTGGACAGACAGTCTCTACTACTCACAGCTGACGCCCCTAAGAAACCGACCGAGTAGAAATAGCCCTGTGGCAAAACGTTTCCGCGCGCCTCTGATCTGATTGACGACGCATCGTCGTCGATCTCTTTGTCGAAACTAACGACGACGCGATCCTCAGACTGCGCTCCGTGCTCAGACTTTCTGGGCTCCATGACTGAACTGATGCGAAGCAAGGTTTAGACGAGAAGAATTAATTTATCGAGTTTTGCTGCTGCAAGCCGGGATGATGAAAGAAAGACAACGGCTGGCTCTGGAGACAGAAGCGCAAAACCTCGACGGATGTCGAAAGGGATCGACAAATGGGGAGGGCCGTACCTAATTAGTACCTAGAGGTGTGGTGAGCTCACTGTGCAGTGAGGATGTGTGCCTCTTTGGAAATATTTGGGATCCATCTACTTTGCTACTTGGCGCCTTACAATGGTTCAGTCCATAGGAGTGGGATGCATCGATTCTCGCCAGGGATCATCCATCGCGAACTTACCATACTTAGCAGCTGCTGTTGTCACTACGGCATAGTATGTACGTCCATATCATGACTTGGGGCATGGTAGATGGTCACTCTTTGGTACGGTGCGGACAGATGTCCCAGAATGGGAGGGGATAGGCACGGATTCATCGGAGAGAAAATACACATCTGGCATGCGACAAAACTCAATTCGGTCTGACTCGTGTCAATGCCCTGGGTTTGATGATGAATATGATACCTGTCTGGACTCTGGCCCAATGGAAGCGACTTTTACATAGAAGAAAAGCAGCTCATAAAAAAAAAAAAGAGAGGCCGTGTATCATCCCGAACGGACAACGTCCATGCATTAGCTCGGCAAAGTCGTTAGGGGAAGTTCAGCGTATTTGCTAGCGAAGTTTGGGGAAAGGATTTGCGACTTGGATGCTACCATACCCCAGCAGTCGACGGCATCCATCCCAGTCTCGTTCTCCAGTCTGAGGAATAGTTTACAGATTAGGTGATCCCAACATGCTTCTAAATGCATACGCCAAGACGAAACTGTCGTGAAGGTCACTGAGGTCAGTGAGGTGAGATCCGAAACCCCTGAGCGGACTAACTACAATATCCACTCTCCAGCCTACCTATCCTGCTATACTACCTAATTTGGACGTTCGTGGCAGTGAGCAGCCAACCGTTACATCAGATTGCCTTTCTTTGTTCACTTATTTATACACTAGCATGCCTAAGTGGTAATAGCGTAGGCACGCCACTGGGAATATCTTGCCGCAATCATCCGAATTAAAGATTCCCACGATCCAATAGTATCGAGTAATGCCCACGATGCCAAACCCAGTGCCTTGCGCTAGGCACTTGCTGGGTAGGGCTGCTCGGTAGGTAGGTCGTTAGTGAGGAATTACGAACGCCCGCGTGGGTCCTTGATAGGCACTGCTGTGCCTCTTCCTGGTAAGTACATACAGCTACTCATTTCAAAATCATAGCCAATAGCTCATCCTTCTGGCCTCCCAAGCCAACCCAGATACACTATTCGCCGATGCTGTTCAGGGTATGTGTGTACCTGGCAGACCTGACAGCCCTGGTAGCCAATTCTGTACTATGGTATGCATATTGTTTCCGTTACAGAGATACGATTCGACATCGAAACGACTCAAACGAGTCGTGAACAATGGTTGAGCCGCCCATGACTGACTCGAAAGCCCGCCCCCCCTGCCTCCCTCTCTCCCACCTACCTGCAAACCCAACCACCTGGTAGGTAACTATCACTCACAATCTACAACCTACTCCCCTTCCACCTCGGCTCCCTCTTCTCCGCAAACGCCTTGAGCCCCTCCAGCATATTCTCCCCCCTCTGCAGCTCCGCCCACTCCCTCTCAAGCGTGCACTCGACGGCGCCCTCCACACTCGCCACCTCCCACCCCTGGCGCAGGCCCGCGCGCGTGCACACGATCGCATCGGGGCTGTTCCTCGCGATCATCTCCGCATACCTGACCGCCTCCTGCACCACCCTCTCCCGCGGAACCACCTTGTTCACAACCCCCCACATCTCCATCTCCTGCGCCGTGGCGTCGCGCCCCGTGAGCGCGAACTCCGAGGCGCGCTGCAAGCCGACGGTGCGGATGAGCCGCGGCAGCGCGCCGCCGATGGCCGCGATCCCGCGCCGGACCTCCGGGAGGGCGAAGCGCGCGTCCGCCGCGGCGACGACGAGGTCGCAGTTGACGACGAACTCGCAGCCGCCGCCCATCGCGAGCCCGTTGACCGCCGCGATCACCGGCTTCTTCCCCCGCCGCCGGCTCAGCGGCGTGAACGCCGGCGCGTTGCCCATCCTGCTCCCCGGGTCCGCGTCCGACGACATCGAGGAGTTCCACTCCTTGAGGTCGGCGCCGGCGGAGAAGGCCCGCCCCGTCCCCGTGATCACGGCCACGCTGAGGAGCGCCTCTTCGTCGAACCATTTCCACACCGCGTCCATCTCCCATTGCGCGGCCGTGGACATGGCGTTGAGCGCGGAGGGGCGGTCCATGCGTATTAGCAGCACGCGGGGCGCGGGATAGGAGAGCTTGAGGAAGGTAGGTGTTGGCGGAGGGGGTGTTTCTGTAGGCGCCATTGTGAAGATGGTGTTTTTTTTTTTTTTTTTTTCGTATTTTTTGATTTAGGTGAGTCTAAGTTGTATGTCCCGAGTTGTGATGTTCTCCGGGAAGACGGTAAGTTAGATCCAATATGATGTTGTAATATCGTGACTTGTTTAGAGCCTCTCTTTTAGAGGTTATTGCTTAAACCCCAGCCAATTCTCGGGTTCTTGGTACTTTGGCATATGATGATAGTATTTTGGCTGACGCGAACGCGCTTCCTTTGGTTCCTATATTCCTATTCGCCAAAAAAAAAAAAAAAAAGAAAACACGCGGCATTCTAAAGGAAGCTCTTCCTCTCAGTATCTTTGCAAAGCTGCGCTGCGGTGAGATAGTACTATATCGAGTGTATGTACGTTGCCTGCCACCCACTACGTAGGATGCCGAGTGCTACTTTAAATTAAACGACCCTGGATCCTGGTTGTTAGTTGGGGTAGGGGTCGCTTGTGCGGATACGGAAGTTCGTGAGTTGCCAACAGGGGGGCTTCAGGGCCCACCTCGTGGCATTTACGGGCTACACGTACCTATCGGCACTGGCTAGGTAGGCACTACGTAGGTGTTATCCAGGTGCATACTTGACCCGGAAGAAGTGGCCACTCACTCACCCACTGCCTATCAAGGTAGGAACCGAGGCTCGAAAGGGGGAATCATTACCTAAATTGTGCGGCAAAGCATATCGACGCCTAGATATGATAGGAATATGAATACGTAGGTACCTACCTAGTACCAATCTACGTGTATGTAGATAGATACATGTATTCCAGACTCCAAATCGAGGAACCAAATCGAATAGGAAGGGAAATTCAGCGCGGATAGCGTACCTACCTACACAGCATCCAGCAGAAACACCACCACCACCACCACCAATCCCACCATGACGACCCCACGCACCAAAAACCCCGTGCCCTCCTGGCTATCGACCCCCTACCCCTCCGTATCACACAGCATCATCTCCTTCCCACGCCCGCACGTGCTCCTCGTGACCATCAACCGGCCCTCACACATGAACTGCCTCCCCGTCGAGGCGACGATCGAGCTGGGCGCGCTGTGGTCGTGGTACGACAGCGAGCCGGCGCTGCGGTGCGCGGTGTTCACGGGGGCGGGGACGCGGGCCTTCTGCGCGGGCATGGACCTCAAGCAGCGGCTCGACATCATCAACACGAACGACGTCGCGCTCGACTACCCGCGGGGCGGCTTCGGCGGCATGAGCAACCGCACGGGGAAGAAGCCGATCGTGGTCGCCTGCAATGGGCATGCGCATGGTGAGTACCTTCCCTACCTACCTACTATCTACTTTGATTCGAATTTACATTTTTTGATTTTAATATTGACTAATGCAATCCCAGGCGGCGGCTTCGAAATCGTCCTCAACGCCGACGTCATCTTCGCCTCCCCCAACGCGAGCTTCCGGCTCCCGGAAGTCCTGCGGGGCGTCGCCGCTCTCGCGGGCGCCTTGCCGCGGTGCATGATGCTCTTCGGCAACCACCGGACCATGGACCTGTGTCTCTCGGGGCGGGTCCTCAGCGTCGAGGAAGCAGTGCAGTGGGGGCTGGTGAAAGAAATCGTGCCGCAGGAGAAGCTGGTGAGTCGAGCGCTCGACTACGCAAGCGATATCGCGGCGCTGTGCCCGGACAGCGTGATCATTTCGAGGCTGGGCGCGAGGGAGGCGTGGGAGACGGGGGTGAGTCGGGCGACGATCAGGGGCCAGGAGTTGTATGCGGATGGGATGCTGAAGAGCAAGAATGCGGAGGAGGGGTTGGCGGCGTATAGGGAGAAGAGGGACCCGAAGTGGTACCCGTCACACCTTTAGGACTAGATGCATACATGAGTTTCTTTGTTTGCTATTTAGATATACTGTTATATTAGATCTAGCGCGCCATGATTTTATATATACGTCGATTTACAGCTTGCTCCCCTTCTGCTTTAGCGTAGCATACCCATTCGCCAGCGCGACCCGTCCATCGCCCTTGACGATCGTTTCAAAGACGACGTGATCGTGCCCTTCCTCCGACCTGACCACCCACATTCTCGTCTCCAGCTCGTCCCCGGGATACACCACGCTCTTGAACCGCGCGCCGTAAGACTTGAACCTCGCAGGGTCCGAATCGCCCAGCTCCTTCAATATCCCATGCGCGGCGATGTTCCAGGTGCCAAGCCCCTGCAAAATCGACCCCTTGAAGCCAGCGCGCTTGCCGAACTCCTCGTCCGCGTGCAGGGGGTTGTAGTCGCCGCACAGCCTGTACAGCAAGGCCTGCTCGGGGGTCGTCTTGAAGGTGTGTACAGCATCCGGTGTACGCTTGGGGATGGTAATGCTGGGCTTCGAAGGACCTCTGGGGCCGCCGTATCCACCCTGCCCGATCCCAAACGAGGAGGAGGACAGCTTTACGTAGGCGATGTTGGTCTTCGCGTCTACGAGCTCACCCTCCGACTCCAAGATCATAGCACCGCCTTTAATAAGATGTTAGTAATGCGCTCCATATTCTAAAATAGAATACCTAGGGGATAGGGGAATCGAACCCTTGTCATAGACGCCAATCACTTTATTACGGATCTCCAAATCCATTCCCTCAGAGCTGGCAGGGAGCGCCCGCAGGATCTCAATCCCCCGTTCACCGTCCACCGAGCGCTGGGCGTCAAACGGGGGCACACCTGGGACATCGGCTATACATAGGTAAGTTAGTATCAGGAATGCACAATAAGGAGTAGTGGGGGGAAGGAATAGAGAACAAAACTAAAATAAAGAAAAGCTCGGCTTTCTTACCGGTGACGTTTCGCGCAATAAAGTCATATACATCTTGATCTGTCCTCTTGAAGGCTAGATTGACCGGGAAGGTGGGAAAGGCGGCAAACTTAGGATGCAGCTCATATAGGAAATGTAGTTCATCCTTTTGCACACCGATTGCATTCGCCTTCATAAGTTCACTGGTTAGGCCCCGGTATTAAGTAATAACATTGAAGCTATTGATCGACCTGGTCTCGTAGCTACATAACATCAGATCACTTACAAATAGTAGAACATCTCGGCGGTTGTAGGCGCATTTTATCGGAGGGTATTGGTAGCCCGTCGCCTTTCGAAAATCGACATTATCGTATTTCCCGGAGGCGTTCTTGACTGGTTTGTCACTGGCCATTGTTAATTGTTACGGTTACGTGTTATTGGTGCCTAGTAGGTGTGAAGTATAACAATGATATATAATGTGAGTGAATGTAGTTGGAACGTGGTGGTTTATTGAATGAAGTGAATGTCTTGGAGTAATAGTTATGAATAGGAGCCCTGGAGGAGTGCCTCGGCATTGGCAGCCTGGAGCGGTTAAGTGTTACTAGTAGTAATGCCCCAAATACCCGGAGAAAGCCCTGGAGTGCAATACCAAAGTTGGGCCGCAGGTGCTGCATTATAGGGCAGGGGTGCGCTATGGGCTATTACCTACATAGTAGCTAAACACCCTAAAGGTACCTGCCTAGTATGGGAGTACAGAATTATGAAGGCATCACCATCATGGACCCGACTATGATTTATTCCAAATCTCATAATTCATATTCACATTTCACATTTCACATTTCACAATTCACACCTCCCCATCCAGAAACCTCAAAACCTTCCCTTCCCTTCTCCTCTCATTTTCCAACCCCACCAAATCCACCGGCAACTCAACATGTCGAGCCCTCAAAAACTCCGCGAAGCTTTTCGCGAAACCATCCAAGATACTACTGCTACTGACACCCTCTTGCAAAATCCCTTTAACAACGAAATGCACCGCCCACAGATGGGGGAACTCGCATCGCTCAACTGCGCACTTGCTATCCCAATCGTCGGCAAGTAGCTCAATTAGCTTGGCACTGGTCAGGAAAGAGCGAAGCCACGGCCAGGCTCTCACATCTCTTACCCAGAACCCCACGTTCGCGTTGCCTCCTTTATCGCCACTGCGCGCGAACACCAAGTCCCCGAGTGGCCTCGTTACCGTGCCGAAGACATGTTGGTACGGCTCCGAGGGTTCGTAGTTCCGCTGCGGTGGGATAGCTGTCGTGTACAGCGATGGGTCACTTGGCGCGACATCAATAATCTGGTCTTCTGCATCGGTGAATTGCACCGCCAAGCGAACTTTGGACTGTGGTATCAAGGCTGGGAAGTATTTCACATATGGTTTCGGCTCCATCGTCCTCCAGTCCATAGCCAGGTGCAGACCACAGTAGCCCTGCATGCCGTTGTAGAATATCGCTCGTCGGAACTGCGTCATGGTCTCCTTTTCCGAAGCCTGCGCGAGTAGACGAAAGTGTACCGTGCATTCCTTCTGAGAAGAGGGATTTGGATTCGAAGACCCGTATTTCTCGATACTAAAGGCCGTAAAGTCGGCCGGGTTGATCTGCCGCATCACTTGGTCTTTCAGGAGTCGGAACTTGAAGTCAGTGTCTAGTCCTGCGCAGAATCCCGATAGCTCGGCTTGCCATCCGCCTCGAAGGCAGATTGCCAGCTTGGTAGTCGGCGGCGGAGCGGAACCTTGAATTCCCGTCAGGCGCACTCTATCCTTGCCAACCTCTTCAAGGCGCGCTTCGTTAATGTCGGCGATGACATCGGGGTTTAGATATATGTGACCCTGAATCTCATATAACAGCTGTGCTTTGCAAGTATCTATCGTGACTACTCCGTTAGTACCCGGGGGCTTAGTAATGATGGCTACCCCATCGCTTGAGATTTCAGCAATCGGATACCCGACATGATGGAGTTGCTCGATTTCCCGAGCACCACAGTAGTTTCCCCCAGTCACGTAAGCACCACACTCGATCAGATGTCCCGCCATGAGACTGCCGGCTATTTGATCGTAGTTTGTAGATTTCCAGCCATGCCACCAGTAAGCCAGGCCCATGACCGGACTTGCATCGCAACATCGGCCGCATATGATAATATCGGCGCCCTCCTCCAGAGCACGCACAATCCCAGCTTGCCCCGTATATGCATTGGCTGCTAATATGTTTCCCTGGCTTGGATTAAAGATAGTATCACGGTCATCTAGATGTCTGATCGTGTCAAATTCACCTCGGACCAGATTATCCGTAACGTCATCACCTGCTACTGCCGCTACTCGAATATCATTGATTCCCAAGCTCTTAAAGTAAGAGTCCACCTTGGCAGCGAGGCCTTTGGGGTTCAATGCGCCCCCATCGTGAACGACTTTGATGCGATTGTGGGCTAGCAGTCTCGCAGCCTCGCCATTTTCCCACGCGAGCTGTTCTAAAAAGTTCGGCTCGTATCCCAACTCCGGCTGGGTCTGTAGCTCAATGGCCTTCCACGCAATGTTGAACTCGGCCAGGTAATCGGCGGTGATAGCATCTACTGCCCCGGACTTGGCAAGTCGGTAGACTTGGTCAATGCCATCTCCGATAGCTCCAGCAGCGTTACCAATTCTAATCGGTCGCTTGGGGCTTGTTAAGGTCATCCTCAGTTTCGCTTCGCTACTGATAACAGGAGGTAGTAACATGAAATTTCATCATAACGACAAGACCAGTTCAAAATACCATCACCTACCTCGGTAGTTACTCGGATAATACATACCTCCCTGTGATGGCACGTTCTGCGATGGACAGCTAGGTTACCTTGCAAGCATTTAGTTCCTAAAAAGAGTAATTGACCCCAACATCAAAGTACCCTTGAGAACGGTCCTCTCTGCCATATCGCGACTAACTCTTGGCGTTCAAGACGTCTCGATACACCAATTTCCGGTGGCGTCCACTAACTACTTCAAAAGGCGAATTTCGCCTAGTCATAGCTTTTCTAGTCGTTCTTCAATAACAACACAAAATCTTTAAATCGAATATAGCATAGAGTTGTCGTTTCAGGTGAGTTCGGGTGCGTACCGAATCAAGCTTCTTCTGCGTGGCTTGCAGAGAACAGAATCTAGAACATGTCTACCTACCTTTTTAGGTAGGCATGTACATAGTTCACGGGAGTCGTATTCTCTGAACCTTTATTACGGCCTAGCAAGCCCATGGCTGGGAGGGTCGATTCAATAAGCCCCGGTACATGCATAGGCACTGAGCCGTTGCCCTGAAGTTGGGATCTACCGGAATCCACCAGGTTAACGCACGTCCTACTGCTACCGTAACATCGCATACAATTCCACTAACTAATGGGTAGCAAGTACTTTGTACTTTGTACCTACCTACTGGGTAGTATGTAGAAATCCTCTTGCATTGTGCATAGCAGTACCTAGGTCGGCGATGATGGTAAAATCTTGTGGCCGAGCACCCACGTTTATCATAGGTAAATACGAAGAGAATACCTTGTTGACTAGATCACAATTGGGTTACTTAGAGGCGGATCTGCGGTAGATTCACCCTCAGATGCCACTATCATCGTGTCTGTTGCATGAGGTTGAATACGGATAGGAATAGGTCGGTGAGAATTCAAATTAACGACGTAAGATGACCCCTATGGATGATGGCGAGGTTTCAGCCAAAGGATTATCCTCTTAAATGTTCAATGCCAGATTACAATGTTTGGAAATTGATTGCAAGTACTCACTAACTTCTTCGTTGCGCTCATACTATCGGGGTCCAAAATGAAGATATATCGGTCTGGAACAATAGACATCCCACAGGATCTAAATTTGACAGAACTTCTTCATAAATCCGCGTACCCAGACCTTCCCGGGTCTCACTTGATTGCCAAGGACAGTTTAACAAATCGCAGCATAACCATCGGACAGCTACGCGACAGAGCTGGTAGGATTGCGAAGGGACTCCAGGCAAAGCTAAACCCAAACGACCAGGCGAGATGGGTAATCGCTTTACCAAATAGCGTCGATTTCCTCGAAATATTCCATGCCATACTCTGGACTGGTGGCGTCGTCTGCCCCGTTAACTATGCCCTTAAAGCTTCGGAGATAGGCCATGGGATTGCGGTTGCACGGCCGCATTTCGTAATATCTTACGGAGCAATAGTTCCTGTTGTTGAAGAAGCTCTACAAGTTGCCGAAAAGGAACTCGTTGCACAAGGAGTGAAATGGAAGAGACCTCAGATCATAACGATCATTAATAGGGCAAAAGGGCTTCGTCACTTGCCGGATGACTTCATTTCGACTGAGCAACTCCCAATTCCGCATTGGCCTAACACAGTAGATCGGCTTGCATCCATACACTTGTCGTCCGGCACCACCGGCGCGCCGAAAGGTGTTGAGTTGACACATTATAACTTCGTTTCAAACTGCTTGCAGCTAGTCGCTCACGATCGGGAGCAATTCAATCCAACATGTCGAACTGTGGCCTTCACGCCATGGACGCACATCGCCAACACCACATTACCACTCTTCTTAGGTCCCTACACTGGAATGATGCACCATGCCATGCCGAGCTACAACCTCGATGAATTCGCAAAGATAGTCGGGTCTAATCAAGCCACCACGTTCCAAGGCGTCCCTAGCGTGGTCCTGCAGATGGCCAATTCGGATATCACAAGTCGATTTGACTTTACTCGTGCACGCTACATCAACGTAGGAGGGGCGCTAAAGCAAGAACTCAGGGACCGTCTGTTGAGCAAGGCGCCGTGGAGGCTCATACAGGTGTACGGGATGACGGAGGCCGCGGGATACGTCGCGTATCAGAAAAGCAATGAAGCGCCACCCGATGGAGTAACTGGCAAACTGCTACCAGGTATCGAGGCATGCTTAAAGAAAGAAGGCAGTACGGAGGATGTGCCAGAAGGTCAGCCAGGCGAGCTCTGGCTCAGGGGCCCGAACTTCACGCGTGGATACGCTTTCAACGAGGAGGCGAACAAAAAGGGGTTTCCAATGAAAGGGTGGTACAACACGGGGGACGTCTGCACCATCGACGCGGAAGGAAGAGTCAGCATTGTGGGAAGGACTAAGGATTTAATCAAGTATAAAGGGTTCCAGGTTGCGCCGGCTGAACTGGAGTCGTACATCAATGCACACCCGAATGTGATTGAGGGCGGCGTGGGTGCGATCTGGGATGAGAGCCAGCTGACGGAACTACCGACTGCGTGGGTTATCCTGAAGGAACAGTTCCAGACTGAGGACGAGAAGAAGAAAGCATTGAAAGAGATACACCAGTCTATTGACAGCCAGGTCAGCGGGTATAAGAAGCTCCGGGGTGGTGTTTGGGAGATCAAAGCACTTCCTAAAAATGCGACGGGGAAAATATCGAGGAAGGAGATGGTCGCAATGAGAGACGGGCTGTGCTCACTTGGTGACACGCTTGGTGACGCACCTGCCGACTCGTCATTAAAAGCTAAGTTGTAAGGGACCAAGGGTGTCTACCATCTCGCCCCTTCCTTTCTCGATCCCTTCAAAATATACAGTGTACTTCTCATGCAATCTTTTTTCTTTTTTTCGGTATTGAAAGGAAGGAACGATATCTGGAGTTCAAAAACTTTCTAAATGCATGAAAAAGCAAACACAACTAGGTACCCATAAGGGTATCACGTGGATGGCTGTCCACGTGATACCTTGCCTTATTTAATCACTCTTATGTACCGTGTCTAATCTAAATTAGTGTCCAAGATAGATGTGTTCATGGTATTCTATGTTTATCAATGTTGAGTTGCGGGTATCCATTTTGGCAGCATCCAGTCACGAACCCCTTCCCACCAAGCCCGTACAAATTATCGCTCGCTCAGTAACCAAAATTGTGACTAGGTGGTCATCATCAAAAAAGCCATACACTCAGATATGAGCTAAGGACAATACCCCCCTCGCCTACTCTTTCCAGACAATAATACCCTTAGCGTACAGCCCCGTCATGATCCCGATCTTCCTTTCAGAATCGAAGGCAGCCGTGGAGCTAGTTGGGAACTCAGTCTCAGCGTAGAGGTGCTCCACGCCGCCTGCCTCAGTCCACCTCGACACCCAGGACGGGCCCGGAGCTGCGTCGCATAATTCTTGTTTCTCAAGATCCGCCGCCGCCTCCTCGGTGGGGGTTCTACAGTCATATCGACTTTTCCCATAGGAGTTAAGTAAAGGGGGAAAGGGATGACCGGCGACATACAAGGTCCCGTCCTTGGAAACCGAGATATTGTCTACCCAGAAGGGGAACTTGATCTGGGTCAGGTAAGTAAGCGTCGGGGGCGCCTTGGCATCTGTGGTGGGTTGGCTAAAGTTGTAGAGGTACACGGAGGTCTTGCTAGTCGAGGCCACGGCCAGGGTGGTGCTGTTCAGGAACTCGATGCCATTTGCGAAAGGGACACGCGCTACAACGCTGGCCTCGACAGCAGCAGTAGGGTCTTTCACCAGTTCTGATACGTCAACGTGGACGACAGTGCCAATTGGCAAAGACAGGTAGGTCTCTGCCGTTGCAAGGACACGCGAATATGCGATAGGGAAGTGATGGTCATTTGTGACTAGTAGCTCGTTGCTGTTGATAAGAGTTACCGAATTGGGACCGTGAAGGAGCGGGTGCCGGATAGTTCGGAAGTGAGTGGCCTTGGCTTCCTCTAGGTCCAACGAGAACATCTCAATTGTTGTGCCACTTTTACGATGGTTGGCAGCGAATAGCGTATTTGTTGCTTCGTCAAAAACTACACCCAAGGTGTGAAAATCCGCCCCGCCGTCATAGTTCAGGATCTCAATTCGGCGGAGGGTTTCCGACTCAGGGGCGTCTGGCCTTGTATAATCATAGGCATATAACTCAGCACCTGGTACATCACCTGGGCGGAAGATACCCTGTCCAAGATAAGTCAAAATTTGAAAACGGCAGATTATTTACGTTGAAGCGAGAGTAGTGCACATATCAAATGAAACATGGGGGTGATGGTAACTTACTATCACCGTATTGTACATCTCTCGACCAGGGTCACAGCTAAGGATAGCTATGCCCGCAGATTCAATGAGAAGGCCATCTTCACAGTTGCGAAATGTATCGGCGAACTTGATCTCATACGACTTGAAGTTGTTGATCTTAACAAACTGTCCCGGCGAGTTTGCGTACATCAACGCCAGCCTCTGGCCAGCATCATACAGACTGGGAAAGAGGGCAGCTACGCCCAAAAAGAACTACATAAACTTAATAACTGTAGGCTTTGTCCATACATATGTAGGGGTAGACTCACTATCGCAGCTTTGAATGCCATCGTCATCCACGTCAAGACAATATTGATGAACAAAAAACATATGCACAAGGCAGCTATTACAATTCACATCCGGATCCCGTGGAAGACCGGAGCGGTGGGCATATGCTGTCAGCGCTAATGGAGGATAAACCTGGTCGCCGTATGTAGGGGAATATAAGGGGGCAGGCCTAGATTGGTTGCTCATATATATATATATGGATACGACCCTATTTATGCGAGGTAAACCTGCATATTGCTAGCAATCACATTAGATGACACCGACATCACGATAATATAACGAGTAAATGACCACCTAGGTAAATAAGGCTGATAATATATTATTGCTATATTTATCTTACACATCATGATAGAGTATAGAAGTCGTAACGCGCTGTTAGGTGTACGAGAGTGATTCGGCGCCTACACGTGAAGGATTCATCGAATACCTACACGGACCGACAAATGGTCAGCTAGCTCCGAACTATTCCTAAGCTGAGTTAAGACATTAATATGTGTAATAAATAGGGACCCAACTGACTTAATATGTGTAACATTGATAGAAGCACAAAACCGACAGCTCATGAATCTTTGGCAAATGTGTACCTAATTAGATAATTTTCAGGCTTGTTTATCATCATCCCTGTATAGTCCACGACGATAAAGCCCCTTAGCAACATACACGAAGAGTACTACGCACGCAGTATCGTATGTGAAACGGCCGTATGCAAAAGAGCACGGCATATAGGAACAGAAGGAAATTATACGACAACGACAATGCTTTATTAGATGTCCATAATGGTTCTTAACGGCACCAGTGACCAGTCTCAATTTTGCGAAGGGAATAACGGCTTATACCTAACACCTGGGTAGGGATGGACCTACGTGTAACGGCCAACGTTATTCGGAACTGATAGGTTACGACGATCACAATTATCTTCAGTTACCTATGTAAGGGACACACATTCACGAGGCTCCGTGCAGACAATGACTTGACTTCTGTAATAATATGAACTAAAGGATTAGGGTCTAGTCTTCGACTCAAGACTCAGTCAACACCACTGGTCTTATCACCCGTCCTCCCCTTCGCCCATTATGACCCAGATCCATCCATTAACGCCGAAGACGCAAAAGCAAAAACAAATGCAGTCCGGGTATCTCATTATCCCCCATAACGCCTATCCATCCGCCCCCCCCCCCCCCCCCCAGGCGGCCCCTTATCCGGTAACTCCATGCGGAACAACCGCGGCCATATTCGCCATTCGTGATGGCGATTAAAAATATCGAATCGACCCGAAGGTCTTCAGTGTTAAAAAGGGAAAGGAAAAAATGTGTCGAGCGAAAGGTAGAGGTGTTGTGTAGTCGGCTTAGTCGGTAGGTAGGGGCTTGCGAATATGGGCAAGCGCAATAATGCCACCAGTTAGGTAGGTGGGGAGGCAGGCGTCCAGCTTATGAGCTCATTATGAATTGTTCGAACCAGTCTTCGTCGACCTGCTCGACGCCCTCGGCGGGTTGCTCAGGGTTCTCGGGGAGCTGCTGGGGAATCTGGTCGAGAACCTGTGCGATTCCGGTGGGGTCCAGGAAATCCGGTTGTTGCTGCTCTGGCTGCGACTCTTGAGGGTGCTGGGCAGCAACACCCTGCATCATGAGGGCCTTGCGTTGATTCAAGTGACCCAGAAGGTCAACAATGTGGCGGCCCTGCACGGCGTAGGGCTCGCCGGCCTCCGTCCACCAGCCCATCATCTGGTATCTAACGACCAGGCGCGCTCGGATGATACATCTTACCTTCCCACTCACTTCATTGCTCACAACCTCATAGATCTCGTTCCGATCTACCATGAACAGGCGCGTGTCGATTCCTTCCAGAATCAACTGTCTGGAGTGCTCTACTTGTTCCAGAGTAAGGAACTTTCGTCCGAGGTTGTAGAGGGAGTTGTAGGCATAGACATTGGAGCCCGTTGGAGGGCTACTGACATTGGTTCCCTCTGCTTCTGGGGGGTTTACTCGTCCACTACGCTGGTACTCATACATTGCGTTCAACGCAACAACCTCAGGCAGCACGGGCTCCATCATGCTCAGTGGTCCGATTCTGACATCCGAGGCCACGGGGCCTTGCGCCTGTGGCGAGTACTGTGGTTGGTGCTGGAGGGTAGCCTGTGATGGCTCCGTGTTCGTTACTTGGTCCTGTCCACCGAAGGAGTAAGTGACTGGACGTATGATATTGCCCTAGGGCGTTGGATTAAATTGTGAGCGGTGTGTGTGGTATATATAGTGATAGAATAGGACGGTATGGAAGAAGTAGTTGCAAGGAAAGAACACGGGAGGTATCGTATCAACGATGGCAAATACAGCAATATTAGAGCATAGAAAGAACTCAACATGTAGACATGTAGCGACAACGCGCGTGTCATTGCAAGGTCACGGGGGTAATTGCTTTGCTTACCTCAGTATCTTCATCCGCGTTAAGGGGGGCGGTGGTAAGGTTGCCTCCAGCGACAGGTGTGCGACGGGCGGAAGGATCAGCTAAAGGAGCAGGCTCTGCGGTATTGCCTGGCCCTGCGAGACTTGCGACTTGGCTGATGAGGATTTCCCAACCGTCCGATGAAGCAGGATGGTTCTCCATTTTATTATAATAGGAAAAATAATGAAGTACTTAAATAAGCCGATGATGATGAGTCAATGTAGGAGCGTTGCTTGACAAGCTGCAGACAGACTCAAGGAAAGATGTGAGTAAGGAAGTACGAGAGAAAAGCAATCAAAAATATTGCATTGAGTGATTCAGGTTAAGGAATGGCAGGAAAATAAAATAAAAGCAATGGGAAGGTGCACAAAAGTTTTCATGTCAAGTAACGTTGATGTTGAGGGGTGGGAAAGGAGAGGGCGCCGACGAGAAGTGTAGGTGCAGTTGAAAAAGAACGTCAGGAATTGAATAGCCAACGGGTTAAAAAGGAAACTGTGTTTTAAGAAGGGTGAATGGGTTAAATAAGAGAAGACATGCTCTGAAAAAAATTGTCAAGTTGCCAGTTTGGTCAAGGACATCAATTTGTGGGATGGCAGGGGGAAGGTGGGAATTCTTTTGTGTGAACACCATAGAAATTAGGCATATACTAATTATCAGATGCCATGATACCCCTCATCCAGGCCTTAGATATGATAAAGACCGTGCGGGCATGTTCTTAAGAACTAAGTAAGTACCTACCTACCTTGTTCCTAGATGTTCCTTTCCATCAAACGTGCTGCTCAGTAACCAACCTTACTACTACTACTACCACTACCACCACTACTTTTATGATTGCCTTCACTTCCACCCATTTACGAACTAATAGTTCCAATCACTCTTATAAAGTAATATGTATGCAAACATCTTTCATATCAATATAGCTAGATATATGATATAACGAATAGCACTCCATAGGTATATCGATTGCCATGGTGACCTTAACGGCGGTAATAGGCCTAGAGATGAAGGTTCATTAAAATCACAATTTGGGGATGAGAGCAAGAACATATATTTGCCATGCTTAGTATGATGACTAGTTGCCTCTACTCACAGGCTCATGATAAATTGTAATATTTCCGTCTATTCATGTCTACATCTAGGTACCAACTGAGTCGATATATGAATGCATACTGCTTAACCCAAGATATTACACTAAGCGTTAAACATTCGCAACCTCGGCTCGTGACGATTCAAGTTAAGATGAATGGTCAATATACTATCTACCTAGGTAGGTACCTACGGCAAACATACACTGGTAGAGATACCCAATATACCTACACAGCTAGATAGTATTTTGGCAGTACTATAGAGCACTGCTGCTTGTCCCCGGAAGTGATAATTAAAAAAGTAGGTACGTAGGTTAACTCTGATGAGAAAAACGGAAACGCATATTCTTTCTAGAGCCAACCTTGGAATTCTATGTAAAATTACCCAGTAAAGAATGGAAGCACCTAACCTAGATATGTAGGTACCCATCGTCACATTAACAGCCTTAAGTAGGGATCACAGGCTTTAACCTCGAAACAACAGTCCATTTCTCCAGACTATCAGGCGTCCAACAATATCTTCCACTCAATTTATGACGAGTATTATACTTACGTGCGATGCAAGAAAGGGCCAACAACTCCCATACCCCGGCTCCGTAACCTTAATAGACCGTGACTGCACTCACAAAACCATTCTTCAAAACTTCAAAAACCAGTCCAGGAAACCCATATAATGTAGTTGTAGAATCCTCACTCCCGTCAAATTTCTTCGCCGCAACCCCTCCGCTACTATCCTCCCAGCCTCCAAGGAATTCTATGCTGCTCCCAGGGCTATCTCCCCATCCCCTATTGAGCACCATACCCCTCTGACGCCTCTTAGCATCCTCCTCTAATGGATACGTACTCTTCCACTCCTCCCTCAGCCGTTCCTCGATCTCATCGAATAGGGTTTCAGAGTCAAGAGTTTCATCCGGGTTATCGGTTGCAAGATATTGAATCTCCCAGCGGCAACGGCGATGTCGGTTGAATGGGTACGATCCAGGAACATTTGCATGCAGGACCATTTTGGTTGCTACTAATCGGTCTGCTGTACCATTCTTAAACGGAGTAGAACCGGGCACCTCTTTTCCGTTCAAAGCAGCCACCTGAGATGGCGGCGTCTTCGAGGCAGGTTGGGGTGGAGATACAAGGATGTCAAATCCCAGATAAAAATAATTGAAGAAGCATTCGCCCGATACGTTACCAACAAAATCGTCTTCGATAGCTTCGTCTTCAGAGTCATCTGAACCGGTGTGAGCTGAAGATTGGTCAGTGTCGGTCAGATCGTCCGGGCGCCTGTAGTCACCACCGTTTGATCTGGACCTGCTATGGCTCGCAGTGCGCGTCTTGTGGATATACATCCTCTGGTCATTCTTCCTGTAAATGGCATCAGGCGGGCCTAATTCTGCCACCAGATCCTGGGGTGTTGTCTCGCCCAGATTGATCCACGTTGATGCATTGGTCCACTTCTTGAATAGTTGGAGTCTTCCACCTCCATGTATCTTGACAAGAGATATTTCATCAGGCACGACCTCCTTACTCTTATTAAATAGAATTGCCGACTTAACGCTTGGCAGAATTTCGTCCCACAGAGTATCTCGAGCATGTGCCCAAGATTTTCCGCTGAATATGGCAACAGAGGCAGCTGTCTGGCTCGCGGGCGAAGATAGCAAGGATACTACATCTTTATTTGGAGAGTAAGCTGACTTGGGTAAGGGGAAGCTGAAGGCTACACCGGGATACGACAGGATGTAGGTTCCGACCGCGTTTCCGTTTCCTGTGTCATCAGGAGGTATGTACTCCCCTGCGTATGTTGGGCCAAAGAGGCGGTGGTAGATATTCTTAAAAGCCGGTCCATTTGCAGTGTCTCCGCCTAGCCTCGGGGAGCCGACCGCTCCTTGAGAGTTTGCGGGCTTAGCGACATCTTTCTCTTGATAAGTAATGCGGTTCTTTGTGAAGTCAATGACTTCAACAAGCCGTAGTCGTTGCTCGGGACCATCAAAGCGCAAACGTATACCATTTGCAGGAAGGGTGAGAAGCACGGGTTCAGTGACGGGATCGGTCTGAGAGTATGCAAGATCTAGTTTAGGGAAACGCTGAGGTTCGGCTTTCAGTCGTGTCAAAATATCGTGAAGCGAGGCACCGAGCACTAGGAGATAGGGTGATTAGCAATCAACAACACAGTATGATACTAGATCAGCATTTACCAACCGAGGAAGCCTAATCCAACGTTAGGATGGAGAGCAGCTGTAAAGAGAGACATATTCAAGTGATTGTAGTCAAGTATGTGGGTATCCGTGATGTTGTACGACCTTTCAAGCTGAAGAGTGTTAAGCAAGCCAGTCAACCAGCACCTGTTGAATCCATGAAGAGCAGATTAAATAGTCAAGACTTTTATATATATCGTATTTAAGCAAATGCCGACAAAGCAAGAAGCAAGCAATAAGGTCTGACGATAATTATGTTTGCCCCATGGGGAACTAGGTGGCTGGCATTTTAATAATAAGGCTTGAATACGGCAAGCGTTGAAGGTGAAGGAGAAGGAGGAAAGATGAACCTTGAGGTGTCAGATGCGCTGGGACGTCATTTGATCCAGGGCCGCTTAAAGGTCAGGCGGATACAGTATGTATTGTACGTACCTAGTAGTCATGTACTATGTACTGTGTACTTTAATTCTACTACCACATGCACATGTGATGACACTAGTTACCAGACTCTGCAGTCAATGTATTCGTACTTGGTACATACATAAACATAAGGCTTAACCCGATTCAGCTTTTAGGGCATCTTCAACATTTCGCGTCCCATCCCGCGTTCCTACCCCGCCGTTGATATGTACATATGTCTAATCCCTTATCACTTAGTTATCGCTTATCATCTATTCCACTTAGGAATAAGTATGTAAGTACACTGAAAACGTCAATGTTGCAATAGATTTAAAGTTGCTGGGGCAACAGATACAGTAAACCTTGGCCATAACGATATGGAAAAAACACCACCCTTAATTCGTTATAGAGAGATATCGTTATGTAGAAATGGACCCACTGTCATGGTCCGTGTAATGCCGTTGTACCTTTACTGCCATTTTATTGGAAAAGGTACTTACTATTTTATGAAAAATATTGTACAATAGATATTATGCAGTAAGCCAATTTTTCGGCGATTAGATATCGTGGCGGTGATTAGATTTACCTGAAAAAAGGGCAGTCCAATTGGCTACCAAACGCAAAATTCCACTTATTCCACCAAAAATTTATCAAAATAAACGGTTTTTTACACATGGTCCATAACGATCTTGGTGGTGGCGGTCAAAAAATTAACGATATATCGCTAAGGTTAAAATATCGTTATTTCCCATACAAAATTGCAATGTTCCCAAAATTATATCGTTATACAAAAATATCGTTGTCTACCGAATCGTTATGGCCAAGGTTTACTGTAGTACATTTTATTGATGATTTTAGTGGACCTTACCCTAAACTGGCAAAGCAGGTGCATGATTGCCCAGGGTAGGTAATGTACCTAGGTATTTCGTACAACATCGCGTCTTGCATCTGTGCACGATTAATCAAATCCCAGTCTTAACATCAATTTTCACCAATTTTGCATGTCTACTTAGTACTTTGTCGTAGTCGACGCGAACTCATCCCACATTTGCCTCCAGCAGTGATTTTCTATGAATTGATTCATTCAATGTTCTTCTGATACAATCACCGTACTATTTTTTAACACCTTCATCCTGTCCCGCCTTTGTTTTGTTTTGTTTTGTTCTCTTCTGTTCCATTCTAAACACTCCAACGTCTGACGTTGTTAGCTTCAAATAGCTCAAATAGCATCGCGTCCGTGATGCACGGCCGCTCTTACAGGAGCGAGAGGCCCTCGGCGGCTGCCAGCGCCCGTTTGGGTGCTTCTGGACGTCCTGCTATTCGACCACCTACCACCAGGCCATCATCGCTTCGACACCCAATTAATCATCATGCCGCCATTGCCGCAAGAATCGATCGAACTGCTGCCCCTTCACCAGCTGATTCTCTATCATCTGTTGCTACCTCAAGTACCAAGCGCAAGGACCGCGATTTTGAGCTTGAGGCTGGAGAAGAGACTAATATCAATGTTGTTGTGCGATGTCGAGGACGCAATGAACGAGAAGTCCGAGAGAACAGTGCCGTCGTTATTTCCACTGATTCTGTTAAAGGAAAACTAGTCACATTGTCCATGGGTCCCAATGCCCTGAGCAATAAGACCTACAATTTTGACCGTGTTTTCTCCCAAGCTGCTGACCAGAGTATGATATATGATGATGTCGTCAAGCCAATATTGGAGGAGGTATGTCAAGCATGTCAGTCTACCAACCAAAACAGCTAGCTAATCAGGGACCAGATGCTTGGCGGGTTTAATTGTACTATATTCGCCTATGGCCAGACTGGCACTGGCAAAACATACACCATGTCCGGCGATATGAATGAGACGTTCGGTATTCTCTCGGATGCCGCTGGAATTATTCCTCGAGTATTACACTCGCTATTCAACAAATTAGACTCAGCAGACACCGAGAGCTTCGTCAAATGTTCCTTTATTGAGCTATACAACGAAGAACTTCGGGACTTGATCTCTGCGGAGGAAAATGCGAAGCTAAAGATATTTGATGATACATCCCGAAAAGGTCACGCCACCACGATTGTCCAAGGCATGGAAGAGTCCCATATCCAGAATGCAGCGGAAGGCATCAAGCTTCTACAGGATGGTAGTCTAAAGCGCCAAGTAGCCGCCACAAAGTGCAACGACCTCAGCAGCCGAAGTCACACTGTATTCACCATCACAGCTTGTGTCAAACGAACGGGAGAAGATGGCGAGGATTACGTCAGTGCTGGAAAGTTGAACCTAGTGGATCTTGCTGGGAGTGAGAATATCCAACGCTCAGGAGCTGAGAATAAGAGAGCCGCCGAGGCCGGCTTAATCAACAAGAGCTTGCTTACTCTAGGTCGAGTTATCAACGCACTAGTTGATCGTGGTTCGCATATTCCCTACCGAGAATCCAAACTCACCAGGCTCCTGCAAGACTCTCTTGGTGGCCGCACCAAAACCTGCATTATAGCCACCATCTCACCGGCGAAAAGTAATCTTGAGGAAACTATATCAACGCTTGATTATGCTTTTAGAGCAAAGAATATTAGGAACAAGCCTCAGGTTAATCAGATGATCAACAAAAAGACCCTGCTCAGGGAGTTCACACACGAGATTGAACGACTCAAAAGCGAGCTCATTGCTACCCGCCAGCGCAATGGAGTTTACTTGTCGAACGAAAACTACGAAGAAATGACGGTTGAAAGTGAATCCCGTAGAATTCAAAATGAAGAACAAGCCGCCAAGATTGAAACTCTCGAATCCAATCTACGGAATAAGACCCAGGAGCTCTTTTCCTTGACGTCTAGTTTTATGGGCTTGAGGAAGGATCACGACGCTACCAAGGCACAGCTAGATGAGACGCAAGGTGTTCTTGATCAAACCGAGCTCGTACTCGAAGCTACCCGCAAGAGCCTAGCTGAAGAGACCCTCCTACGTAAGGCGCACCAGAAGACCGAAGAACAGATGCAGGCCATTGGCGGTGAGCTCATCACTACCATTCAGAAGACTGTCAAAGATGTAGGGGGCCTGCGAGCCAAGAACAAGAGAAAATCAGATCTGCAGTCGCTAAATCGATCTAATTGGAGAGCGGCTCAAGACCAGGTCTCAGATGTGACCTCGCTCGTGGAAACCCGCATGGAAGAATTCCGGAATGAGCAGCAGCAACACATTTCAAGTATATCCGAAAGAATGCATGCGTTCGTGCAAGAAGAGCTGCTAAAGCTCTCCTCCACTCAATCCTTCCTTGATCAAAACCTTGAACTCTTCGCCGAATCTAAGAAGGAATTAATGCAACAGAAACAGAACTCGAAAGTTGAGATGGATGAGGTACTCGAAGATATCAAGTTAGTTCGTGACCATATCAAAGAAAGAGTGGGGGAGAGTCTCCATACCATTGCGACGGCCGCCGAGACGATAGCCCAGGACGTTCTAAGTGAATTAAGCAGCTTTCACGATCAGTTACATTTGTCATACTCCACGCTTGGTCACGACTTCAAATCAATGTTTGAAGAGCTATTAAATCGCATTGCCTTACAGAAAGAGGAGTCTCACGGTCTCAGAGAACAGCTTGAGCAAGCGGGCGAAACTTTTATCCAGTCAAACACTAATATTTCAACACAATTGCAAGAAGTCATGAACGAGGAACGAAGGCAGGCAGCACAAGATCGCCAGAAGCTCTTGGCACAAATTACTGTACTTGTCAATTCCCACGCTGAAGCCCAAGAGTCGCGCTTGGCCAATAAGGCAGCGTTGATTCAACAAAATGTGCAAGAGAATGGGGCTGCTCTAGAAGGCAGCATAGCTCAATACTCCGAAGGAATGGATACTTGGAACGAAGGGGAATCCAATCTTCTCCGCGACGTTGCCAATTCGCGTGAGAAGCTAAAGACTAAGTTGAAGGACGATTGGACTGTAAGACGCCCCGCCCCCTTTCCACTTACAATGACGGGGTAACCTATACTAACTAGATGACAGGCGGCAAACAAATACAGCACCTCGATCCAGGACACCACCAAATCTGTGCATGCCAAAACAATACGGGTTGTAGACGAGCAGATGAGAGATCTAGATGAGCAAATGACATCTTTGGATGATTTTGTCAACCACGCTCGTTCACAAAATGCCTCACATCACGACAAACAATCACTCTCGATCGAGAAATTATCCAATACTGTAGAAGGGTCATATGCGAATATTGCTGACCATTTTAAAACAACTTGTGCCAGGGTCCAAACTGTAGGCTCGGAAATGGATATTGATGTTGCCAATGCCCAAGAATCTCTAGAGCCTCTACCGGAGGATGTTTGCCAACCCCTCTCTGAACTTCGAGAAGATATCAATGGCGCAACTCTACAAGAATATCAACCGACTGGAGAGACACCGCAGAAGATGGCCTATCAATACCCTACCGAGCTTCCGCATACAGAGGCTCACGAATCGCTTCTTAGAAAGTTCAACGGGGAGTCATCGTCCAGCAAAGCTAAGGTCTTTTCCGACTCGGACTTGAACTTGCCAGAGAATCGGTCGCCATCAAGGCCCTTCTCCTCAGGTAGCACCTACTCACACTCAGAACAAGACAGAAATTCGTTGTCAAAGAGTCTACGTGAAGTGCACCCGAATCTCAGTACGACAGGCGCTCTCAACCTCGATCCCCGCACCAATGCCACCATTCATGGCTTCAGCGCTAACAGTGGGACAGGACTGGGAGAGGCAGCTGGAAGTACAGATGGGGATTTTACGATGCCGCTACTTAAGAAAAGCAGGACGACACGGTCATCGAAAGCAAGCAAGAAGTCGACAGGTGCTGAGGGACGAGAGAACATGCCCCTTCTCTCGTCCATGGTGCCTGGTGGAGGTCGAGAGGTATTCGCACAGAGCGTCACTAGGAGGAAGAGCCCGAGGTTGAACTAAGATGGTTGAATTGGTGGTGATAGGCCGGCGTTTCTGGCTCATCTTCGTCATTGCTACATCAAGATGAGAGGGATTTGTATTATGAGAGTTCCTTCTCTGGCGACGGTAATGGAGTGAAGTGTCAGGGTGTTTTGCTTCTTTCGGGATGATTGAAAAAATGCGTCTTGGTGGGTGTATTGCGTTGAGGGACATGTTTACACTATTCTTGTCCATCGACCTAGCCCGGAGTATGCTGGATACCCCTTGATTTCTGGAAGTTGTTTTCTAGGTACAATAGGCACAGGAAGAATATTGAATTTTCATTATTATTCTCATAATAGTGTTTTATATTTTGGGGGAGGGGGGCAGGCATCAAACCTTGGACTCCCTCAAGTGAGAAGAAGGGGGCATAATCATCTAACCTAACTCTTTCCCCATCCCCCATCCCCCTTCCCCCCCCTTTTTTTTTTCTTTCTAAGCCCCGTTGATTATCAAAATTTTTATTGCGCCTCATTCCCAACGGTACTGGGTAGGATCAAGAACAAAGCATACCTAAGGTACCTAGTATACCTAGTACACTTTACCTGGGGTAGTCGAAGTATAAGTTGGACTTTTCATCTGATTTTCAGGCCATACCTATGATAAGCTGAGGTATTGAACAGAGTTTTGGATGAATCGAAAAAAGGTATATATGTACTGTCTGTGTCACAGCCTCAGGTCGTGTCAACGGTCTTGATTGAATTGAAACATTGAATGGTTATGCTTATTTGCTGCATTTACTTTACTTTCTCATCTTTCTCACCTTACGCCTTGAATTAATTTTCTTTCTTTTAATGTTCTCAAATAAGACTCCATCCATAAGTAACCTGAGTAGCACACTTGAGTAGCCCACTTCTGCTACCCCGTTTCTTTGATTGTTACAGCAACAGCAACACGTCGCCTGCACCACGGCGCAACTTACAGCCAGGAGTTTTTGGGGGTGGCCTTTTTTCTACAATTCGCACGCGTCTACGACTGTAAACGCATACTAGTGATTTAGTTCTTGCCTGAGGAGGATGTTTCGTTCTTGCCCAAGTTCTTACACAGTCGTGTCACGTACATAACATTCTCTTTTTTTTCTTTTTTTTTTCTTTTTCTTTTCCACAACCTCTTCAATCACTTCCGTCCATCGCAATCTTTTCCACGTCATTCACTTCAACGTTCAGTATTTTACGACATTACAACATCTATCAATTCTCATCAACTTCACTTCAACCAACACAGTCAATCGCGTATTGTCTACTATGGCGAACCAACCGCCAAATTTTCATGTTATACCTCACCATATTCATGCACTTGGTCATGTCGAACTTCTTATGCCTGGGCAAGTGGCAGTCCCTGCGCCTCATCATCTTCCCCCTATCGACAACGACAACCCGGCGGAATTCTTCCACCGGAACCGCAACCAAGCAGTGGTCTGCGTAATATGCGGTGTCATATTGAAACCAACGGTGAGTAGCTACGACTCATGTCATTTAATAGGCAATTATAATTCGCTAACATTACTCCTAGATTTCCTCGGGGATTGGCAACCCGGTGCGTGATTGGATGCGTCCAGGCTTGATCAAAGCCAAACCTGGATTCTTCGAATGGTGTCGATCCCAGGAAGGGGACAAGGGCCGTGGATCTCGCTCCGAAGATCATGAAAAACAGATAGATTTCTATCGGGTCCGTCATTTTTTGGGCGGCCCTACAGGCTTCTATCTAACAAACAACGTCACCAATGTGGCAATCGACACTCGTGATACTGAAATGTACTTGCCAGTTCATCATTCATGCTTCCAGGTTGCGAAAAGCTTTTGTCGCTACCAGTCTCGGTTTGATATGAATTTCCGGGATGTATACAACCAGCAAGGTGCACATGGAGGAACACCTACTGGCATCGCGCATTTTTATGAGATATGGATGAAGCGCGCGCTCCTGATGGAGCCTGGAAACCTCGGTCCTCTCCAGCATCCTATTGACGAGCCGAACCGGTACCTCGGCGTCACATTTGTAAATGATTTGCGATTATATGGCATTTACTTGCAGCGAAACTCCCCGGAGTTTCGCGATCCTCGCTCTCATCCTCGCTTGACGACAATCAATATTATAAAACTCGCAAAGCGCATGAACATCCGTCAGATCAGTCACCAACATCGTGACATCGGCACATTTTTCGCGTGCCGCATGCTGGCTCGAGCAATAAAGGATAAGCTGCCTCCCGAGATTCGCAACCGTATTTACGAGGAAATGGAGCCTTTCGAGGATCTCCAACTCGATGAAATGATGTGCACGCGTGTTTTGCCTCCGCGGTGGTGGAGAGACCGATTGTTCAATGGGGATCTGATCCCCTGGTTGTTCGACTTGGACATCGATATGGCGCGAGAGATGAATGGCCATGGAGAAGATTGGGACGATGGCTTGGACTGGGAGTATCTGTGCCGACAGCTGGCCCATCCTAGCGTCAACTCTCGCTTGCTTTCCGGCATGGATTATCTCAAGAACCGCCGTCGCATCTGGACGATCCTGGGAAAGGCTACCCTTGGTACGATTGGCTGCCGCCGCCAAAATAGTACCTCTTAGAGAGGTAATAGCATGATGTCCAACCTATTAAGCCTGGGAGTTGTTACGAGATTACATGGCCTAAGAAGAAGAACCGACTTACTGATATATGGTCCTTGGCCTTGGAGTTTGTAACATTAAAGCCCGTCATTCCCGCCCCTATTGGTAAGTGTTGTACAATCTCCTCGACTCGCCAATCCATCCACAAACTTCCAAGTGATTCATTTGCTAACAATTCCCCTTCTTCATCATTTAGGTGCCCGTTATGCAAGAACAGAAACACGCGCCTTTTACCGAATTGTTGTAGCAATCGTGCTCCACTCGAAGGCTTATAGTCCAAGGGGAATCACGGCACTCATTTCCTTTTCATTCGTTTTTCCTTTCGTTCATTTCCACTGTCATTTCCTTTTCCCCCAACTCACACGACATAAACATTCGCTCTCCTTGCTATTGATTTCCCCCTCTCTCACATTCCGGTTCACGACTTGGCATGCTACGCACGATACCCATGATATTGACGAAGGAAAATCGGACATACAGGGACAATGGGACAATGGGACGAGAGTACTAGGGGACTAAGGAGTTTACGGGCACGTTAGGGGTGTTCAGTACGGTGTTTCGGTGTCCTTGATGCTGTTACGCTTTCGGGCAAGCAGGCAAGGCGTTTGGGAGGCTTTGAGTTTGCGATTCCTTCCACAATGGCTAATTTGCTCCATGGGACATTCTAATTAATCCAGGAATAGTCTAACAATGTGCTGTATGTACAATATGTACCATATGGCAAGTGGGCACGGCTCGTGTCTATCTAGGTAGTCTTTTGTTCGCTCCGACTATGGTTTACTTAAGCCGGATAGTTCAATAAAGACAACAATAAAATATCACGTTTGTGGAAAGACTAATGTGCCTACTTGTTAATACACACTGTTACGTGAAGGGATGGGATGGGGTGAGGTGTCATAGATTATATTATATTATACCCATGGTGTTTCGTCTGGCTCGTCACTTATGAGAGGTGATATTTTATCACGAAGACAAACAAGTGAGCCAGCGGCGTCATTTGGATGGACCTTTGCTCTTCCTTGTGAGGACCTACCTATGTAGAGGGGATGAACGCTGTCTAGCAGTTGGTAGTTACATATTATCTCGCTGACACATGCACAATGCTGTGGCTACCGGGGTACCTAGGTACTAGAACTCGCCTATCGTAGAGGACCATCGAATACATAAGCAGTAACTAGTACCCATATGTAGTTATTCCTACCTTAGTATGTACATAATCATATTATCTGCTGGAGGTATTGTACCTTCCTAGGTAGGTACATTAGGGAGGTAACTTGGTATATAGGTACGCGCACAGTCTCTATGTACATGTAGATTAGCCAGTAGAAGTTACGATGTAGTTACCGAGCAAGTATAGGTATTTACCACGCACCTTCCCACACACACACACACAATCTCAGATATTCCCAGCCAGCCAGACAAGTGGAAGGTATGTACATACATATGTCTGTCTGTCTGTCTGCATGATACAAGGGAAGTCCGCCGCGATGTCTGATTCAAGGTACATTGGGTATGTATGTAGGTATGGTTGCGTGACCTAGGTATATACCTAAGAATAAACATTCAAGGTTCACACCACTGGGGTTGGTTTGTCTGGCCACGTGAGCAAGTGTCAGCTGATTGTAAATTTCACTCGCCGTTTGAGATTGAGTTGCGGGAAGTTCCAAGCTATTTACCTAGAGATGGTGACATTAACTATAGCCGAAGCGCAACATATTCCCTAGCGGTAGTTATATATACCTGCTTAGGGTACCTACATACCTACCTAGGTTGGGTAGGTAGGTACAAGTATCAGCTTACACTCCCCTCCTATATAGTGATGTATTGCCCGGGGATGGTATGGTTTTCGTTTTCACTGTACGATGTTCAGTTACTCTTGAATCTATGATATAAAAGACGACGGCAGCACCTGGGCATCACGAAGGCACTTCCTTATCATCAAGTATATACAGGCTTGATGAAGACGTGCGCTAAATCGCGGCGTACACGCCATTGTGATATCATGATATCACCTCCTGATATTAGCTTTACGCATTCATCCGTATATACTAGGTTACCTATATATACATAGTACCTAAGCGGCGAAGATCTATTCTACAGGGTTATTGGCCACCACCTCCTCGCACCGCTGGCACGGCTGGTCCTCTGCCGGCGCAACATAGCGCCAGCAACGGGGGCACTTCGCCTGCTTCGGCGGCAGAACCACTACGGTTCCCTTGCCACTTTCCACCTCGAAGTCCCGAACGTAAGACCACGCTGCGTCATCCGGGACGGTGGCGTTGAGCTCGACCGAGGAGACGACGAACATGCCATCTAGCTCGTCAGCGTAAGCCTCCAGCGCGTCTTTTATGGCGGGTTCTTTTTTGGCGGGTTTTTTTATGGCGGGGTCTGGAACAGCGGGGTCTGAAACAGTGATGATGACTGAACACTGGAGCGACGATCCCAAGACTTTGTCAGTTCGCGCGGCCTCCAGTCCGGATTTTATGGCTGCGTGGGCGGACATGAGCACTGGTAAGTGTTTCCGTAAGACGTCTAAATCACGGGTGAGACGCGTCTTATCAATAATAGGGTCCTTGTAAAGTTGGTGGAAAGGATGGACCAAAGATCTGTACTCCAAGGTTAGTTGATAATGCTATCGCATAAGGTGAGATAATTCTTCGAACGTACGAGTCGTTCTTCATCCACTCGGGGCGGTGGTCCCACGCCTCTTCAACCAGTAACGGTGTCATTGGTGCCAACATACGCAGGAATCCAGTCAACAAAGGTTCGAGGACGCCTCCTCCGTCGCCACAATATAGTCGATCCTTGGAGGCTTCAATATAGAAAGCCGACAAGTCGTTCGTTATCCACCGATTCAAGGCGGCGAATCCCTTGAAGAATTCGTGCTTTCTGAATGAATGGAGCACTTCTTGCATCGTATCCTCTATCTGTATAATGGCAATATGATCCGCCGTGGTTAGAGGTGAAGTTCTAGCGGATTCGTGTAGTGAGCCTAGAAGCATCTTGATGGTAGTGCGGTATTTGATCAGTGCTATATGGATAGCGCCGAGAACGGGAACACCAATAGTCACATCTCGGGTATAGTCGCTGCTTGCAGCCCATAATCTAAGAGCATCTGGGCCTAATGCATCGAAAGTGGGTGATCCTGGAGACCCTGTCTTGCCTTTCTTCGGTTTGATGGGTGGTAGGAGAGAACCGTCCATGACCTGCTGCGGCTCTATGATATTTCCCAGAGACTTGGACATCTTCTTGCCGTGTTGATCCAGGGTAAAGCCATGGGTGATCAACTGTTTGAAAGGGGCTCCCTTCTCGTTCTTTTCAGCGACTACGGCGATTCGCGTGAGGAGACTAGACTGGAACCAACCACGATGTTGGTCGGACCCCTCTAAATATACATTCGCACGGCCCTTCATCATGGTCCAACTGCTGCCGCTGTCGAACCATACATCCATGGTGTCCCTGCCTCGCCGATATATCCCTTTGTTCCTTATCTCGCTCGGTACCCAGTCTTGGCTGTCCGGGGGATCCTCCCACCAAGAATCGCTACTACCTCGCCCTTCAATCACAGAGATGATATGGCTGATCACACGAAGGTCCGCCACAACCGCTCCCTTCTCGTCATACAAAACCGGGATAGGAACTCCCCAGGCACGCTGGCGCGATATGCACCACTCGCTTCGGCCTTGGACGAAACTCTTAAGCCTACTTCGACCTGTCTCGGGAAAGCAGCGGATCTTGTTGATGGCCTTGACGGCTTCTTTTTTGATAGATGCCACACTAGCGAACCATTGCTCGGTAGCTCGGATCACGACTGGCTTCTTCGTTCGCCAGTCGTAAGGATACTTGTGCACGTATTTCTCCACTAGTAAGACGTCGCCGTATGGTTTGAGAAGGTCAAGAACATTTTGGCCGCCACCCTCTATCACGGATGGAGCCGACTGTAATAGTTCAGGGGCATCAGGGAAGGCCTCTGCGGTGAACTTTCCTTCGTCATCTATGGAGGTGGCCGCAGGTATGCCATGGGCCCGGCATACTTCATAGTCGTCGAATCCGTGGCCAGGAGCGAGATGTACTAATCCAGACCCCGAGTCCGCTGTCACGAAGTCGGCGTGTATTATCGGTTGTGGTGGAGCGGTCTTACCCCGGAGTCGGTTGGTGTACTTCAAGGCAGTTAAGTCCCCACCCTTGAATGTTCCCAAAACCTCGAAATCCTCCTTCGCGCCGAGTTTAGAGATGAGAGTGTCGAGTAGATTCTGGGCTACCAGCAGGCTAGTGCCCTTGTAGTGAACGAAATCATATTGCATTTCCTCTCGGACAGCGATCGCTCTGTTGGCGGGAAGCGTCCATGGCGTCGTCGTCCAGATCACGGCATACAGCGGCCCCTCTATGTCATTGAGACATTGGAACCGAGGGAGGTTTCTCCATTCTTCAGTGATAGGAAACCTGACCCAAGCAGCCTTTGAAACGTGATTGTTGCGGTATTCCAACTCGGCTTCAGCCAAAGCCGTCTTTGAGGAGGGCGACCAGTAAACAGGCTTGAATCTGCGGGAGATGAGACTTCTCCTGAACATTTCCCGGAACAGACGGAGCTGTCGTATCTCGAAATGTAGATCCATCGTCGTCCACTTCTGATCCCAGTCCGCCATAACACCGTACGACCTAAAGTCGTGCATCTGCTTCAGGACATTGGACTCGGCTAGTTCTCGAGCCCTTTGCCGGAGCTGCGCTGGTTCAAGCTTAGTGCCCCATTTTTCTAGAGCTTTGAGCTCGATGGGGAGACCGTGACAGTCCCATCCCGGGATGTAATCTACTCTTCGGCCTACGCGTATCAAGGAATGAGATTGACTTCACGCAAAGTTTTTGTAGGTGAGATTGAAATGAGGACGACCAACCTTGCGATAGTTTGACCCTCAGGACCATGTCCTTCAGGATCTTGTTCAAGGCATGGCCTACATGAAGGTTGCCATTGGCGTAAGGCGGGCCATCGTGAAGGACAAAATCGTCATCGGGGGGCCGGTTTTCCTTCTGCCATTGGTAGAGATCGTCAGCACATCGCTTGATATACTGATCCCGGACAGTAGGGAGAGGTCTCGGGCTAATCTGAAATGATTAGCTAGAGTTTATATAAGGGGGGCAAGGGGGGCAAGGAGGTAGCATACGGAAACGTGGATTTTGGTAATCTCAACGTCGCCGACCACGATCTCGACATGATAGCCTCTATCTATACCATATTACAAGTAGATGATTGGGTACCTGATACTTATGGAAATAGAGCTATTGTATCATTGGATATAGTTGATATGTTTTATTTTATTTCATTTTTATATTCTTTTGCTTCGCATTCGCAGTCGGCTTCTTCTCAAGGGAATAAATTTAAACAGAACCTTGAATAATTTATGAGTCTTATCGATTGCAGTGTGCTTGGATTCAACAGCCTCAATTCCTCAGCCAGTCGCAGCCACAAAGGGTAACTAACGATTGAGCCAAGTTATGGCCCCACTAGATAACCTTAATACCTCTTATCGATAGTTACTAGTATCATGTCGAGGTCCTATCGATAAAGAGCTCATTGCCCCAGAGCCATAAGCTCGAGACATCCCTGACCTTAGGCAGGTACCATCCCCAAGTGCCACTGTGCCAGCCCCAATTCGTGGAATTGAGTCAATGACTAAATAATCCAATTCCTCCAACATTTTCTTCAACTCTTCAATTCTTTAATGCTCATGTGCCGCGATATGCGTCACGCTTCTTCTTACTATTAATTACTAATTCCCAACTTAGGTATGGCCCCAATTCGACGATACCTTCGCATTACCAAATATTCCGTCATTGAGTGTCGTATCTATCTGGATAATCCCGCGTTGGCTCACGCGTGGCTTCTCAACCCGAGGAATCCCGTTCTGCCAAGAGTCATTGAGAGTATACGGCCTCTCGTATTACCCAAATTGCGGGAGGAGCGAGAACGAAGTCGCAAACGAAGCACTAAGAAGAAAGGTATCAAGGATGTAGTAGTTGAAGGTAGGTTGCATACCTAGCTAGCACATTGGACCATATCATACATACATACCATCTACATATATGTAGGCTTGCAATGTACTGTACATACATGCTAGCATTTACATGATACTAGGACTAGGTTAGATACCTAGGTTAGTATAGTACATCGTCTTCGTCAGGTCTCTATTCTGCCCTACTCTCTGCATGGTCTATGGTCTATGGGGAGATCTACATACGTTTGTAGGTACCACTTGTGTTGATTGCAGCATGTAACAATCATCACAGACGATTTCGAGGTATCCATATTCCTCACCGAGACAACCACACGCCACTCGCTGCTCACAAAGCACAAACATTTTCATGACACCACTCAAACCAAACTAACCTCAAACTCGGGTCGCCTCATCGGCGAGACAAACGAGGCACCTATCGATGTTGATGCCGCGGCGGAATTAGCTCCCACAATTCGACAGGAGGAGAGTGACGGCGAAGATGCTGCAGCCACTTTGGCCGCCATCCCAGTGGCAGATGAGACTGCAGCGGCTAGCAGCAGCGGCAGGCGACCCAAGCGTGCACGCAGAGCTACGGAAACAGAAGCAAACGCAGATCCCGACATGATTGATCAACAAAACAGTGGCGTAGAGATCGTATCGGATAGCCAGGATGAAGACGACCAAGATGACGGCCTGTTTGTCAGTGATGAAGATCCAGTTGATCATGACGATGCTAGCACGCGGCCACCACCAGCCAAACGTCGCAAGGAAGCTACCACTGCAGCGCAGGGTTCCATTGACGAAGAGGACGACAAAAAGAAATTGGCCATGGACATCTCGTACGAGGGATTTTCTATTTATGGACGCGTGCTGTGCCTCGTTGTCAAGCGCCGCGACGGTAGCATCGGCAGCGGCCCCCAACCTGCGGGTCGCGGCAGCAAGCCGGCCGCAGCGACCAGCGGCCATGCGACGAAACCTGGGGGCGGCGGAAGCGGTGGACAGGCAATGATGGAGAACTTCATAATGTCGACCCAAGTACCGGCCGGCGCAGACATCTCGTGAGCGGTGCCAACCATAGATTGGTGGTTACCGGAGTAGTATTAATGCACGTCACCCTAATCTTCGACCACGTGGGCTATAGGATTCGGCCGACCATAGCTTCACAGCCTGCGGTTTGCCAGTGTTCGTTCTCGTTTGCTTACTAGGCATACATAGACTACATATCGTTCCAGAGCGATCTCTCGGCGGTGAACGCCATCATCTTAGAGATGGGAGATCGTTACAGATTTGTTTTTCAAACTACATATGCAGACGCATATGGATAAGACCCATCCAGCAATACCTCATCTCCCTCATCCCCTCCTAGCCATTCAGTATATTGTCAATGCAGCGTCGGACATGAATCCTTCTGCCGTGGAACGCAAGGCAAAGCCTATCGTAGTGTATCCATCCACACAGACTGATACTCGGAGACCAGTTTGGCAGAAATCGTCGCTATGTAACCTACCTATGTAGGTACTTACCGCACGTTTCTTCTGAGACGTCGCTGCAGGGCCACGTTGGTTATGTAGTATATAGTATGTAATCTGCAGCACCAGATCAGCCTCTCTCTTCCTCGTGAGACAGAAGCCGAGCAATCAGGCCATGGGCGTGATCTTACCTAAGTCATGTAGCCAGACAATCTAGGCTCTGACTAGATATGTGGGATGGAATTATATGCTGTGACGTATGATGTGTGCAGAATTTCGAGTTTCGAAGGTTTTTTTTCAACCACACCGCCTATCCAGCCCCCAACGCCGAGGTGTCTTGCATTAAGAAACCCCCCTCGGTTTCTGAAGGGGTTTTCTGTCTGTCTGAGAGATTAGAAGCGTTTTGTGGTCTGCTGATTGCATTCAATGTATTGGATTGGATGTAAAGTCTACAAATGACATGGCAGGGACGGAGTATTAGAGCCGGCGAGTGCAGATCATTTTTTTTATTGAAAGGGGAAAAATAGGGGGCCGGCAGTGTGTGTCCCCATGCATACTTTTTTTTTTTTTTGATAGTGGGAAAGGAATAACTGGTTGCGGTCTTAGTAGTGGTAGAGGCGTGATGAAAGCATAGTTCGTATAGTATTACGTTTAAACAAGGTTGGTTTAAGATACAATAACAAGAACGATCAACACCTCATATTTTCGGGCTCGGCACCGCTCCGCGCCGAGCTTAAAATCGGAGACTGCGGAAGCCGGTTAGATTCCGGCTCCGAGCTCCGGTATACAGGCGGGGGAACATGAAGGATCGAGGGGTGTAATACTATCTACGTACGAACGAAGGGGGTCATACATTGGGTGTGTGCATAGGTACCTAGGTAAGTGCTTAGTCTAAGTGTACTTGCGCCGTTCTATGCAGGTGTTTCTATCTTCCATGGTACAAGTAGAGGATGAGGGTAATCTGTAGGTTACTATGCAGGTAGGTAGGTTCTGAATATATGCATTAGGATCCATGGATGACTACATGTACGGAATATCCGCCTTTGTTTACACTACACGGCCTATGGAATACAGGATACCATGTGTACTTTGGTGTCCTGTATTTCGACTTCCAAGTACCAAAACAATACGATGCCTATGAAGATTCCAGTGTCAAAGGACAAGGTCGTTCAGTCCCTAGCCATTTGTAAAATATAACTCCAAAGAAGTCTCTGTAAGAGATATCAATATATCCCCATTGCCCGGGTTGTCAACACCGCCCCCTATACCAAGCCAATAATTTGCAGGTGCTTACAATGGATATCCACACTTTCAATATTGTAATTATGAGGTCAAACGTATATGTAATACTCTTGTCAGCATCGTCCATGTATCAGACAGTGGAGGGCAAATCCAACCCGCCGATGATTTTTAGGTGCTTAGACAGGTGAGTAAGTAAATATACGACAATGACACTATTTTCAATAAACCGTCTAACCAAATCCAGCTACGGAGAAAGTAAATAGCTATATGTATGTCTAAAACTGAGTAAGATTTCTATTTATAGCCCTTTGGAGAGCTGCTGCATGGCTCCGCATCGAAGTTATGTATCGCTATGCCTACCTGGGAGAGGAGCTACTTCCCAAAGGAGAGAAACTAGCATATCAATACATACTGCCGGTAGTACGCTTGCATCTACATGCACATGGATATGTATGTATGTGTGCTGACACATGCGCAATATAGGAATCCGTTTATACCTACCTACCTGGTATAGTACATCATAGCAAACGCCAAATATACTCCCACCAAAAGTTGTCAGACGAAACGAACATGCCCTTGGTATGATGGGAAACGGCCAACAGTTGCCCTTTTTGTGATTGTTGGTGGTGGCAACGTTGTGTGGCTTTTTTTTTTTTTTCCTTTTTTGTTTTTTTGTGATGGTTTTCAGCTGTGAAAATCCATGGTTGATGGGATTTTAGTTAATGCGCGCAATGAGTTCGGGCTGGTTCCAACACGCAGGTGATTTCGACGTCTAGCGAGCAAAAGTACATACATGTCAAGCTTTTGGAATTGCACACGTTATGTATTGTGATATATCAACATTTCGTATAGAAGCTAAATGTAGGTGTGATACTTGGAAACCTAACCTAGCCGGTTTACCTGAACTACGAACATTGAAGCCCCTTCACCCGGGCTTTGTTCCAAATTAGGGACGGGGTCCAATATATATCGGGATATGAGCAACTTGTTTTTGCGAACACCGCGACAACCTACCTAGACATAATAGCAAATAAATTCACCCTTACTACAGACTCACGGTCGAAAAGCCCCTACCCCCTCGTTCATCATATGATTGCCAGTATAGTATCCCCTCCCCCCCGCAGAAGCGGCCCGTGTGGGCGGCCGTTGTTTGTCTCATGCCTCGCATTTATCGTGCTTCGTCGAAAGGACTATGCCCGGGACTACATATAGGTACCTTGCCTGTTAACCCGTGATCTCCCTCCCGGAGCTGTGGGCGGAGATAAGATCGGCATTTTTCTTGGCCCTTTCTTTCACGCGCACCTTGTCGTATACAAACCCCAACCAACAACCGTGACCTAGAACATTGAGTCTGGGGGTCCTGAGCGTACACAGTAAGTCCCGCGCAATATCAGTTTGGGATGAATTTGAGGTTTGTTATACATACGTGACTATGTATGTACATATGTAGGTATGCATGTGTATGTATGTGTGTAGAAGGGTACGTATCAATTCATATCCCCGGCTGCGGCGGAGTGCATACATACATGTATTGGACGACCGCCAAGGGAGACGCCAGAGAGAGCTTCCATTCGTTTGGGTCACCTCGCAACGCAAATAGTACTCTTCTGGGTTAGTCGTTAACGCAAGCAATTTATGACATTCTACGAGCGGCTAAGCTAAATAAATAAATGCATTTTTGAAGAACCCCCCCCCCTTCCAGGCTGTCAATATGTCAGACAGACCAGACTTGGATAGGTACATACATATATATCCTACTAAACTACTAACTACGTACAGACCTAGTGACGCAGGGTAAGCGGTGGAATATTCTCCGCTGATGTATGTATGGGCCAGCAGCAGCAGGTAACTATATACTATGTATGTAAACCTAGGTTTTACATATGTATATGTCGACAGCATATCGTTCTTGGCAATGGTCAGCCGTTCAATTAGGTGAACTTGAGAGCATTGGGTTTAGAATGCTGACTGACTGACTGACTGGGCGCGCGCAGGATTTCGAAGGTCAACACGATTCGTCAGCCTTTCTCGTTTTCATGCGGCAACCCACCACCCCTCCCTGGGCTGCTACTCAGCCTGCTTTTGCCCTTGCGCTATTACCTCTCGATGTACAGTACATAACTACCTACATGTTCATCTTGAAGTTCATGTTGCTCCCCCTCCCCTCCACGCCCCGCTCCAAGTTTCCCAGGTTCCCAAGCTAAGCGAAAGAGTCACGGTTGCTGATTAGCTTGGGCTCCTCGGCATTGGGTATCATGTCCAGGAGCAAAGTTCATCTTGGCTACCTGCATACATGTATACATATGTCATGTACAATACATATAGTAAATATTATGTAGCTATAAGTAGTATGTAGCTGCCTACTAGGCACTAGATATTTTGGAGCTAGGATCTCTGCCTTAGCAGTAGCAGGGCTGCAGGACAGGGTCTGTAGCGTCGATACCATACATGATGGTGTTCATCAGCTGACGATGGGGGGGGGGGGGGGGAATGATTTATTTTGACCTAGGTTCGTTAGTACATGGGTACTAGTTATTACATACTATGTAGTCAGGTTTCGGCTACGTCGGTCTCTTTTCTATTAGTCGACGTTGCGCAATCCTGGCTGGGTTAGGTACATAGTGTACTGGTGGTGGCTGGGGCTACATGCTATGATACCATAGTCCGTATGTCCGTTTCGCTATTGTACAATAGGTACACAATAGTTACACACACATGAAGTATTTTAAGAATAATATCATACTGGTACATACCTAGGTAAGTAAGTATCGACGCCGTGCTTGAACCGCCTCTCGCCTAGAGTAGCTATCTTCGCAAGATGATCTCCCAGCTATCATCAGCATATTTGCCCTTTCCGTTTCCCCTCTTCTGCCACGACTTGTTCCGTGTGGCACATTCGTAGTTAGTTCTGACGCGGGATCCCTCAGACTGTAACAAGGCGCGGCGGGATGGAAGTCCCTTGGGACAGCCTGCCATTGGTGGATCGGAATATAGATCACGACGCTTGGATTGGCCCCAAAGGAGAACGGAGGGGGAGGGGAAGGGGAAGGGGGGGTTGTTGTTGGCTGTGTTCATGTTCTCCTCGTCATAGAAAACTTGTTATCTCTCTCTCCCCCATACCCCCCCTCGCCCCTCGTCAAGCTTATCCGGCTGCATTTTTGGGATTTTTTACCATTGGGACTGTGCTCCCAGAGACACGTGTGGCCGCAAGATTGCAGATCGAGATTCTTGGCAAAACCAGAGCGTCGGATTCCCTCGGCAGGCAGCGGGATATCGATAACTAGTATTTCGCTTTTCGGGGTTCGTACATGATAGTATACATACCTATACATGGGCATTCAAATGTACATACATGTATGTTTTTTTTCTCACCCAAAACATTCAAGTCATGATGCGATACGACATCGACTTTGCGTTTTCCCGTTCGTTATCGTATGTTAAAACATTGACGATATTACTTGGGGTCCACGCGCCGATCTTGCCTTCGGTCCGTGGGTACCATGGTTAGGCTACCTGAGGTAGATACCTATTTTATTGATCATTAGGATAAACGATCGTGGCTTGTGATGCGGAGCTTTTCGTGTCGCTAGCCTTATGTACTATGGAAAAAAAAAGGGTACCGAGATATATCTACATACATGTTTCACTCTGAGTGCGACTACGTACACATGTGCGCATAGTTATCTTGCATCGTGTTGTTGTTGTTGTTATTGGTGTTGGGTGGCCCCCACTGCAACTACATGATACCATCTTCTATCGCGTTCCCCCTCCATGCGCTATTAGAGTGCTGCCCACCACTTTCCCAGTGATGATGTAGGCGGAGAGTGAGAGGTTCGACGAGGGGGCCGACGATCGCCCGCGATTACGGTTTCACTGTTCGCTCGTGCCTGTCAGCCCGAATTTTGACGAGCGAAAAGGCTCCCGCTTATCCGTCGTTCGGGAGTTCTTGGCTCATTTTAGCGGCCGCGTGACCAAAGCCAAAGTGATTGGCGTATTAAAATAGGTTGGCAGTGTACCTAGGGAATAGGAAATTGTGTGCGAGCGACAGGAAACCGATACGATGGGTCTTGGCCGGCAATACCATATATCAATGGTTGCTCAATAGGTCTTATGCCCGAGAGATAGATAGTTACAAACCTAGTGAAATGACGACTAACGACTATCGTCCGAGAATATTGGTACCTGTCAGACGTGAGGACGGAAACACCCTATCAGAAGGCCGGATTTGCGCCTTACAGGTTCAATTTAAATAGAGCAGGCTCGCAAATCCCCCACAGTCGTGACCAGATCCGGGAAGATAGGTTGTCGATCAATGAGGTACCCATTGGTCCCATTCGAGAAGACGGAAAAGAGGGTGTGGCCGGGTTGCCTAATCCCTTCACTCTCCCAGGGTTTTGGAGGGCACATTGTGGCAGCCTAGATACTAGAGATGATTCAGGAACGCTTACACACACACTTATCTCTCTCTATCTGCTACGCGGAGACGTGTCTGAAAAGAGACAAGTTTGCTTCATGGATAAATTGGACATTAACCGTCCATAAGCGTTCATGATCGAGCACATCATCGATAATAGTTGCATGGTAGTAATACGCGACGAGTTATTACCGGGTTGTCGTTAGTGTTGCGCACAAACGATTTATGAAGCTCCTTGCGACAATTAAGGTATGGGAGGCTGTCATGTGCAATACTAGTAAGTAGGTACCTAAATGTAGTGGATAGTAGGCTGGATGTAGTCATGTAGGTATGTAGATAATAATATCGTACCTTGTATTCCACGATGTGATGATCGTCTCGCACGAAAGGCGTAGGTCGGCGGCAATATATGGCTGCATAGATACTTCTTGTATCATCATAATTAATGGTCAGACCACGTCGGCCGTCGCAACTTACGCAACCTCCTTCCCTCCCTCAGACCGCTCATTGGACAAGGAGATCACCGATGCTCAGGGGTGATATCTCATCGTCTCCCTCCCCCCCTGTTTCCCACGTGGGAATTGAGTGATATCGCGGGGGAGGACGCCCTGCACGGTGGTCTGTTCTCGGGCGTAGGTGAATCAGAATAGTGATGAGCTGTCGATGTTTCAGAGCTCAGTCACTCACAGTCCTTCATTGGTCGATCAACAATAATTGAATTGGGAGGTTCAGCTGTAATTGGCGTGCATGTGTATAAGTATATATGTACCTACATAGGTATGTATAGTACATACAATGCTTACATACCTACTACATGCATGTATGTACACATTGAGGCTATACCTACCTAGCTGTACGTAACCGTTTGATGTTTTGATTCTCCGTAGCATCCGTGATGTCAAATCCTATTATGCCACCTCCATATGTCCATTAATAAATCTACATACATATGATCGAATAACTGCGCCGAGTATGTGTGTAGTAGTGTATGGATGTAACTTTCTTCCCTTGTCTGGTGACTTTCCATCAAAGCCTTTGACCGTTTACAAATGTGGCGGTGAGTGGGATTTGAAGCTTCCAGAGCCTAGAGGACGACGAGATGGTAAGCCATTGGCTGGTCTACCATATTACATAGGTACGCTAGAGCGAACCCTGTGACTGTGTTACCAACTGAGAGGTAACGACGCTAGGGAATTCGCGAATAGGAGATATGATGGCTAGAATAGTTAGTTTCTTGTTCTGACTCCAACAGGACGGGCACCTGCAGCTAGCAGCGACGTGCATATCTGCACTACACCCACATTTACGACGCATGTTACATCGATGCCTTCACCACTTGCTGTACATAACCTCAGCCTCGTTAGGTACATGTATGTAATATGTATAGGTATGTAGACTGTCAAGTACCTACACACCTGTAGAGAGATAGCATGGTAGACCTCGGGAGTTACTTACTAATTACATACCTATGTAACTGCACACATACATACATAATATAGTGCTGCACGACCTACAACCCCTGGCTTATCATGTTCGTGAATTTTCTCCCCACGCACAGACGGGACTTTTCCATCTTCTGTGCCGTTAGGCGCCGTAAAGTTGCCGTAGGGCTGTCACACCCATCTCACGTGGGTGAAGCTGTACCTACTGCATCTATGTAGGATTCACAGCACGAGTCGATCTGATTCGTCAGTTTCGAAAATGCCTGAGTTACGAAGGATTGCAGTGAGCACGCACAACATCCATGCATATAGGGCAATGCTTATGAATGAGATATATCCGAGCGGTGATCTACTTATCGCTGTCGCCGTTGCTGCTGCTGCTGCTGCTGCTGCTGTCACCGCTGCTGGTGGCCTAGTACTAGTAGTATGTAAAAGGTGCGCTTTGACGGGATTATCGAGTCTGATCATGACCATACTTCCGACAACGAGACATAATCCCGAGACGCAAGGGAAGCTCTGTTTACAAATACAAATATTGGGTTAGGGTAGAATGTTCGTCGAGCCGGAGTGATGCTTCCTCTCGGTGCCTAGACGATGAACTTCACTAGTTCTCTCGCAAACCGACCCTCCCGTAGGTAGATATAGCTACTACCCTGCTGTGTAAGGGGTTCAACAAAAGGCCAAAGCAGGCTGTGCTTAGTATTTGTAGTAGCCATGTCGATATCCGATTTTGTATACTCCAGGTTGATAGGAGGATTATGAAATCGACCCAGGGTGTTCGGAACAATGGCTCATTTGGCGTCTTTCGTGAAGAAGAAACCCCAGACCCAAGATACTGGTAACCCTTCACTTGCTTGGTATGCCAAAAGGCCAAATCGAGTTTAAGGCAAAGAGTTGTTGTGCATACGGGAGATGATTTATCATCGCATCGCATCACATCACACTACAACTTGCTTTTTTTGTGACGAGTCACTGACGACGACCCTAGTGGAATAAGCCCTGAAATAACCTCCAGGGCTAGATCGATCGTCTGCCAAGGACCGAAGCCACCTGTCCAGTGTCCAGTGCCCAATGAGAGCTTCATCTTCGTCGTCTTCGACATCGAAACATCGATCTGTCCACTGTCGTCCCATTTTTGCCATCTCGGATCTGCCGAATATTCCTGAGAAAATCGGTGAAACGGCGACGCTAAGATGTTTAGGACTTATGAGGCTCGTGGAGCTGGATGGGGACTTTTTTCTCGAAAAAAGGGACTAGGACAAGGCTACTACGATGTATGTACAGCACATACAGGAGAGAAAGGAGAAAGCGCGCCAAGAGAATCATGGAATGCTTCTAGAAAACTGTTGAACAGAAATTGGAATCCACCTCAATCAAACGAAGCGGGCTTGGCTTGACAGATCCACCCCTGACCGCCTGGTTGATCTAACCCCCTTAAGTCAGCCTACTATACCTACTGCGTCGTAGTACGCTGAGCCAGGGCCCTACCTATCGCCGATTGAAAGATTTTCGTGCGACGGAAATTATTTGTGAGAAAAATGAGGCTTCAAACCTTGGACACCTGTAGCACGGTCGTCGACTACGCCGGGGTTCTATCGGTATCGGCTTC